GAAGACAAATCAACAGACACCAAGACCGAGTTGATTTTTATATACAGATGAGGTAGTAATTGGCATTATATCTGTACCAGCCCTCATACAGCATTATCCAGAGTGTAATAAATATTCTGTCAAAACACAGTGTTATATTGCTCCTGACACATTAATCAGACATTTTCTGAGATGTAAGCATAACCAGATGTGTATCTCTTTACATTAATCATTAAAAAGTTCAAGATTTTGATGTGCATTTAAAATTTAATCTCCCTTTTTTTTTGGAGTCCAACTTCAATGTTTTTATTATTTAAATTTGTTTCCCCTTTTTCAATAATTTTAGAAAATTATTTAAATTAATCGAAATATATTCAAAGCTCCTATGAGTACCTTCTGGTTTGTGTCAACTTAAGCGCCCCCTGTGGTCAAGGCAGTCTCTGCTCATCTTGTCATCTGCTAGCTTAACTAGTGTCTTTTGACTTTTGGGACTAAAAAGTGTCATTTTAGTTGGAATATTTTATCAGGAATTGTTTAAACAGGGCTGTTACTTCCAATGGTCTCTGACACCCCTTTGCACTAGTTTCAGGTATTCAAAATGATGGTAAACAAAAAGAGAGTTTTAAATAACATGAAAGGGCATCAATGTAATTTTCTTTCAAATTCATAAACACCACAGAAACTCCTCATAGTAACTCTGATCAAATATTTTCTTGAATTCAGTCATTGTTTTCCTTATTTATTAGATATTTTAAAATGTTTTGGAAGATATGATCATACATTGGTTATTGGCTGACTTGCTGTCACACTATCAGCACTGGCCATTGAAAAGTGATATTGTTCAATTATTAACATACAGTATAACTTGTCAAAGTTGTTTTTATTGTGTATCGATCAGGCTCCCTCCTCTTTAATGTGTTTATCTCAGAAGTTTACCTATTGATCATGTGACCAGACTGATCCTGTCGCTTAATTAATTATCTGACGTGACTGCTTGTTAAACTCCATAGGAAGCAGTCAGGAAACCACTTTGTACCTGCCCTCATGAAAACCTTAGTGCCTAAAATTTAAAGGTATGTGGTAAGTATAAGTCTTTATCTATGAAACATAGAGGCTCCTGAGTGCCTCTAACCTCTGTATGAAGACAAGTCTATCTTATTTACAGTGAAAATATATTTTTGCAACAAATGTGACACACACACTTACAAAATGTCCAAGAAGAAACTATACAGTAAATAAAGTAAATACATGATGAATGAGAGTTATCTTTGTAGAAAAATAAAAAATACATGAAGACTTTAATGATTAAAAGAGAGCACAAGTTACAATGGTGGGATCAGAAAGGGAATAATTGTCACACAAAATTGTCAGTCTCTGAACCTGTTAGGTTACGGATCTTCAGGGGTGATATAAAAAGTACTCTTCATCAAATGTTGTTCATTTTATGTTTAAGTGAAGGTAAAGTACACTGAAATGACACTGGGAATGTAGCTTCAGAACAATTATTGTTAAAAGATAATTAAATTAAATCTGCAGCAACTCACTGATAAGAATAGACATGCAGTCTGACGACATAAAGACAACAATTTTCACATTTTTTACACCAGAAAAATCACCTCTTCAAAATTTCCCTTTGCACATAGCTCACTCAGCTATTAACAGAATAGCACCACTGACATTGTCATCTTATTGCTTATATAGTCATTCAAGCATTTCTTCTTTTATACGGCTGAAACAGAGAGTGAGGCAGCAGAGCTGACTGATCCAACATGAAACACCTGCCACCTGACTAATTCCTGAATCAAATCATCCACAGCAGCGGCTGGAGCGGGGGGCTTTTAGAAGAGCTATTTTACTCTAATACATGGCCCATTACCAAACAGACATTCATCACATTAACCCTATAGCTGTGGAGTGGCTATACAATGCCAGAGCTCTCTGTCTCCAGTCAGGACACACTCAGCAGCATGTCCACTTTGCCATGACTGTGTTTACCTGAGTAATACACAAACGCAGCCTGCCGTGGGCTCTATTAACGGAGCGAGAGCAAACCTGTGCCCATACACACAACACTGACTGATGGACCCTCTCATGTTATATATGCAAATATGACTGTATGCTGCATGCTTAATTTGTCATGTTGCAGGTTTTATAGTATGGTAAAACTGTGTATTTTGTTAAACCAAAAGACATTATTTTCACATTTTACATGCAGGTTTTTATAGCTTGATTTTCTCCCCTTTTGTCCACGTGAGTAATAATGAACTCGCACGTAAAGATACAACTCTAAATGTGCCCAACAAAATGCAATAATCAGTGCACTCTCATAAAAACACAGACAACTATATTTTAAAAATTCACAAAAATAAACACTTTGGCCAAACCTTTAATTAGCATGAAGCTGTGTGCTTTAACTGGAATTAAGGAGCTTCAGGCCCAGCTGTGGTCAGCCTGATTACTTAATAATATGGTGATAAACACAACTATCAATCAAAGCCTCTGACAGGACTTACAATTCAGGAGAGATCAGCCAAAATAAGAGCTGCTGACTCTCTCATTGTGGCGGTGTGTGCGTGGGGGTGTGTAACAGGATATACAGTTCAGAAATGAAGGTACTCACACCAGTGTAATGACGGAAAGAAATAAAGTGTCACTCTTACATGCTGGATTTAAAACAGCTGTCTGTGAAAACAATTGTTGTGCAATCTCACACTGAAAGTTGCTCAGAGAGGAGGACCACGGTGATGCTGTGTCAAACACTGGTCTCTACACAGTAAACACACCTTACGGGACACGGGAGATGAAGTGCACAAAACAACAGAGCTCAGCATGCAACTGTTACAACACATCACGAACACACCTTATGATACAGCAATATATTTCTCAGTTTGATGTTGTATTTTAAGGCACAAAGCAAGCTGTATCTTGAAAGACATATCAGCTATTCCAGTATTAACTGATGCACAGACTGCAGTGTGTTGTGCAAGTTGCTAAAGACAAGATTAAGAAACTAAAAAACAGCATCTGCTTCTTTAAAAAATTTATGATAGTCCTAGCCCTAACCTGCTGGATGTAATACAGTCTGAATAGTCACAGAAATGAGGGATTTTTGGCCCTACTCACCTGTATGTGTTTGGTAATTTTAGAAAATATCTTTGACAAACACAAAAAGCTCAGAAAACACCAGAAGTAATGCTTACTTCCATAAATTTAGATCAATTCAAATTACACCCTCTGGACTGAGAAAAAAATGACAATGTTAAGATAATTTTCAACATATGTTTTACTTTTTGTGACGAGAAAATAAACTGATAGTTTCAACTTGGAAAACTACAAAAATGTTTTTTATTGTATCAACAATGAAAAATCTTCATAGTGATGTAAGGTAAGTTTTGAAAGATATCAACTTGTGAATCTTTCTTTTACAGCACATTTGGACTGAAAATTTAAGCAATATTTTTGCCTTTATTAGCTAGGCGAGCTGAAGAGAGACAGGAAGTATGGGGAGTAGAGAGTGGAAAAGACATGCAGCACCGGGAATCAAACCAATTACACTGAATAGGCGGAGCACTTCAACAGTAGGTGAAAACTTAAGCAGTATATTTAGGTAGCCATTATATTTAAAGCTCCACTGAGGGGCATTATCTGATGATAAAACAGACTTAAATTTTTAGTGACGCCTCTATATGTGCTAATAAAGCAATCAAGACCATCAGCTTGAAGACTGATTATTCCTGTGGGGGAATTTTCAGTAACCACAGTCACAGACTCAGTGTCAGACAAAGTGAGTTCCTGCTAGCTGCTGAAATAGCCCCTATTTCTATTTTTCCTATCCAAGGTTCAAGAGTGTTCATGTTGTCCTTAAAGCAAATCAAAATTTGGAGATATTTCAGAGGCTATTTTTGCCTACATGCATAACCTTCATTAAGTACATTTGTCCCATCAAACCTACAAAATAGTTTCTTGCACCCATACCCTAAACCCAACAGAAAGGGTTTTTAGTTGAAGGTCAAAATTAGCCCTTATTTTAGTGATGTTCACGCAGCTTTTTAAATGAATTTTTCCACTGGCTTTCACCCAATCAACTCCAAAGATACACAGTGTAAAGTATGCATTAAAGGTTGAAAGTTGTTTGGCGCTTTTGATTTTGTCTATGGGTGTGGCTGTGGTGAGCCTGCAAAGAGGTTTTCAACCATGAAACAGGAAGTAGTTTTTATCTCAGCCATGCGTGCTCCAATCTGACCTAAACTCACCAGACATAACAACAGCCCAAACCTGAACAACATCATTCCGCAAAATTTGGTCACAGTCACATCGCCCCCTAGTGGCAGCAAGAAATGTCGTTTCACTCTATGCGCCAAAGCTCCAAGACGGTAGATTATATCTGCATCACTTTTGCTGAGAGGATCTTTGAGAGGTTGGTATTGATGTACGCAGAACACTGTGAGTTCTCCTCAGAAAAAGTCGTCAGCACAGTCCGGCTGTGAATCTGTCCACAGGGGTCGCCAAAATCAACGTAAACAAAAAGTTTCTTATAGGAGCTTTAAAATGTAGTTTATTTTGGGTTCAATATTTCAGTTATGGATAATAATTGTATTAACAAAAATCAATGTAAATATTTGAATATTTTGTTGCACTTTTTTTAATTGTGCGGAAATTTGTATCACTGTTTTGTACCGGCATAGTAAGTCCACATCATTCCCATTGGGTGAAAAAAGATTGTAACGCGGCTTTTAGTGTTTTCCTGTTGTGATTAAATGAGCAAGTCCTCTAAACAGAGAAAACTGATCCTGAGAGCACTGAAAGCAGATTATACAATCTGTCTACAAAAATCAAAAAACATTTATGAGCTGAGAAAGTTTTTATCCTTCAAAAGTGTTGCATGTATTCTAAGCGTCTTGGTGGGGATTTTTCTTATTTTGCATGTTTTCTTTTTTTTATTTTTTTTATTTAAGTTGTTTTCTAGTTGTGTTTTTTTTTTGTCCTCGAAGGTTCAGCAAAGCAGCCACAGACCAAACTCACACCCAACAACATATGCACAAAGAAAACCTCCATCCTATGCATGTTATGCTTTCATTTGAAACCACCTCACATTTGGGGCCTTGCTTCAGTCCAAGTTGCCTGTTTTTTGACAACAGTCTATTACACTGCTAATGATGCAGTCCTCTGCTGGTCCAAAGTCTTCTCAGCCGAGATGAGGTGAAATAAATTCAGTGTGGGAGAGGTAAATCAGTGCAGCTCAGGGGGACTGCAGCTATTCTCTCTCACCTCGCCACTTTTAGCAGACCGTGGCTGATTTCCTTCCTTGCGTGACTCCTAAGTGTAAACACTCAGCCGGAGTGACTCATCACTATTTTTCACTTCCACGCTCTGATATAAACACATGAAGGGGTCAGGTGTCACGTCAGGGTGGTGAGTGGGTGGGGTCGGCGGCGGAGAAGGGGTGCAGTATGTCTCCTCCATAAGACATCTTCCATTCTCTGAAGAATTCACGGCTTCCTGTGGCCAAAGCCGCACGCCGGCACGCTGCAGCCTGCAGGAAGGAGAAAGAGAAACACGGTTAGGAATAAGGACAGAATAATCGGGTGATGGATCACCTTCAGTGCTTGGTGCTCTTCAGCAAAATGGAAAGAATGCAGCCGTGATGAGCCTGTATCTCTTTTTTACCACAGACAAAGGGAAGAGTGGTGGTTTTAGACATGATAGACGGGATAAAGTTGAATCCAAACTTGCAGCCAAAACTTCATTCTGTTGCTTCAAGTGGCAAAATGATTTACAAGTCATGAAACCTTGTTTACATCCGCCTGCCAACTCGTCTTTCGGAGCGATTGGATGCCTCAGAAAGTCGTGATCAGCACTTTGCCCTCTTTAGCCCCACATTATTACATGGTAGTCGGTGTGGAAGGGAGGGTTAGCCACTTCCTGTCAGGCCCTCAGTCTGAAGAAGGGCCAAATACAGCCCAACATCAATCACCCCGCTCTCCACAGCTTTCCCTGTACCATTGTTATAGAGCAGACCAAACGGAAAGAGGCCGGTAGCAGGTGGAAATTAAAAGCCCTTTGACAACTATAGGCCAAGATTCCTCCTGAGATCGTCACAACATTTATACAAGCCAAAGGCAGCCACGTCTGGCTGCCAGCAGCAGTCTGCACACACAGATATGTAGTCAGCAACATTCTTACATGTTCTAATAAGTGAACACATGAGGCAACAGACAGCAGGCTCAGGAACACAAGGGAAAAACACAGTTATATGCCCCATGACATGCATAAGCTAACATGCATGAAAAAAAAAAAAACAGACTCAGTGACAGGAATCTTCCAGCAGTCAATACTGATCTGTTGGAGTAACAATAAAATTGTAGTCTGCAGATATTTGGGTAGAAACTCATAGTAAGGTGTGAGCAGATACAAACAGTATTTTTTTGCAGAAATACCTCTCTAATTCGTCTCAGGACACAATTCCCCTCAAATAAAACCTTACTATGTTTGCTCTTGTCCTCAGAGTCAGAGCTCAGTCACACAGAGACGTCGCACACTCTTATCAACGGTGGAACCTACTCTTGACATCGAGGACGCAAATCTTTTCACCTAAAAACTACTCTATACTATTTCAACTTTTGCCTCAAATTCATTAGACCCAGTTTTTAAATCTTAAGTGGTAACTACTGAAGAAATTTTGGTCTGTACAGTGTGAATTAGATTTGCTGCCACTTTGAGCAAAAAGACATGTCACTGTGCAAACTGGTTGAACATTGAACATTGAGATTTAGACATTAAATCAGGACCATAGCTGATAAATTTACATAGAAGATCTGGTGCAGAGTTTTATGTTTACCCATTCATGCTCTGATTCTGAATTTAGCAGCTTATGCATCATGATATCTGAGGAGACACTGACTTATTTCGAGACGTATTTTTTCAATTTTCATTCTATCACAGACACCTCAGACCAACTTGAATTTTCTAACAACAATATTAACCTCAAAGAAAAGCGTGCAACATCATCAAATGTGACCTGGAATTGTATTTTACGGCTTTTATGTTTCACAAATTGCATTTAAAGTTCACACTAATGATTAGCAGAGAGTAGCATTTTTAGTTTAAGTCTATCGGTCTCCTTCAAAACATCCTTTTTAAAAAAATAATAATAATTCATAATCTCTGTTACATTTACATCATGCACAGAAATACAAGGCCTCAATCAGACTGGGAAATGTAGTTTCCTGCATGCAAAAAGGTTTTCAAGTCACACTGATAATAAATCCTGTGAAAGGCTTTGTAAAACACGTCAGTTAATGGTCTGAGCACTTCTTTGGGAGTATTTTTATACACTGGTCAATCTTTCAAACCAGATTTCTCAAATAAAAAACCAAGTTATTAACGCTCCTGTGAGGGGTTTTTGAAGAGATGTAAAACAGACTGAAATGTCTAATGTGCCTTTATGAAGTTCAAATGCAAATTAAACCACTGCTGTCAAGATTTTTTACTTCTTTATCATGATATTAAGAGTCTGTAACTTCTGTGAGGGGGTAGGTACACTGGAAAACACCTTTATTACATATCTCACAGCAAATTATCATAGTTAGTGAGAACATTCACTCTTAAAAGACAGCAAGAGAAGTTTTTTTTAATTAATAGACACTCCTTTACAAGGATTAGTAGAAATCAGCATCAATGTGAGGGTTACCAATTTGTCCAGAGCCTGCTGAAATCAACACGGACTGAAAGTTCCTCACAGGAGCTTTAAATACAATCTCCTATCTTATCTATTTTCCTCAGTTCTGTATTAGTTTTGATTGAACCAAAAGTTGGTTTCTAGAGTTCATGGATTTGTATAATGGTAGAGAATCAGGAGCTTAACTATATATAAAAAAAAACAAATGCACACTTAAAAGCAGAGGACCACCTGATATGAAATAAAGCAGCAGATGATTTATTACAATTTCTGATATAATTGGTGAAATTAACAGATGCAGATATCAATTTTCTTTATCTATTAGCCTAAATCCTCTTTTTCTTCATTATCAGTTCATTCACAGGTTGCTTATTCCTGTATCTGCTCCTCTCCTGTCTCTAACCTTCACTGTCCTCTTCACCCTCCTCCTCTGCAGCTGTACTCTTCTTCTTCTTCTTCTTCTTCTTCTTCTTCTTCTTCTTCTTCTTCTTCTTCTTCTTCTTCTTCTTCACTCTGGATCATATAAGCTAAATCCTGGCAGGATCCCTGTCACATGATGCCCACGCGTGTGATGCTTGGCTGGGACCCCCCTTCACTCAGGAAATGCTCTCGGCCTTTTTCCCACCCTCACATTCGGGCTGCGGAGAGCCGGGCATTACAACCCAATCCAGTTACCATCCCGGAGCATTCCTGACTGATTCAAACCACTGCCTGGCTCTGAGTTCCCACAGACAACGAGGACACACTGTAATTTCAACCCGTCCGGAGCACCGGGTATCAAGTTGTGAACTACCAAAGCTGTTTATGGCAGAACAGAGGAGTTTGAGCTCCACAATAGGCAATTACCAGTCCCACTCATCCCCCTCCCCTTCATTCAATTTGTGGTTTGACTGTAGGTGGGTTCTTTCGTGCACAGATTAAAAATAGCCAATCCATCCCAGGCTCAAACTGAAGAGACATGGAGCACACATTGCACAAATGATATCTCCCATTGTGGTGGACTGTTTGGGAATTCTTAATTGCTTTTTCCGAAGCAGCCTGCCACAGGAAAATCCCCCTTCAGAGCACAGAAAAAACTGAGTTGGTGGGCTATACATAAACAGCATAGATATTCTGTAAGCGTGCATGTAAACACGTTCATATAAAACCCCTGTCGCCCCGTGTGCACCCATCAGGGTGTCATTAAAGTGGAATCAAAGCAGCTAACCTGTAGCAGAGCCGGCTGTGGCCTGAGTCTGCCCTGCCTCTCTCTCTCTCTCTCTCTCTCTCTCTCTTTTTGTCCTCTGCTCTGTGGTTTCTGCTTCAGCTCGTCTTATTGACGTCTCTGTCTGCATCAGACACACTGGACCCCAGGAGGTGAGCAGGGTGCAGGGTGGGGCATCTAACCGCTCCAACTCTTTGTGTAGGGGCTGAGCCTTAAAGCCAAACCGCAGAGGAGCACAGATGAGCTGTGAAGCTATGTGGAAAACCTTTTACTGGACTTATTCTGGGTAGAAAGAGCCAAATAGAAATGCACTTTATTGTCTATATCAATATTAGATTTTGTACTTACTATCCAGTCATAGAAGTAGAAATAAGATCCTTTTCAAATCAGCATACAAGTGAAGAAAAACTATGCCCACAGCCGATATAACGACCAAAATCTTTCTAAATAACACTTTCCTTTCATTTCTATGTTGTCTCCTGAAATCAGCTAGGATAGAATTTTGAGAAACTCCACCCAAAATGAGTTTTTAACAACCTCTAACACCATTTTCAACAGTCAAAGAGTTTAAATATTTAAAGAAAATGAAACTTTTGCCATGGTTTTAAGTGAAAACAGCTACTCACACACAAAAAAAAAACTTCTTCAATGATACTCACAAAATAAGAGGATTTATGAGCAACACCATACTAAAGAAATGACAAAGGCTGTCAGCTTTAGATTCACTGAGTCATCTTTGGTGGAAAAACACCGGGGACAGCTTCAGTATACATCACTCCAACACTGACACAGTGTAAAATGATTTACTTATAAGATAAAAATACAAATATGCTAACTGTATGCAGCCATTTCATTGTAAAACCTAAAATATTGGTCACAAAAAATATCCATTCTATAATTAGGCTGTTTGAGAGAAAAGTGAACATCAACTAAGCATAAGCAGCCGACACAGAACCCACAAATACCTACAAAGTACATTATGTCCAAATGCATTGTTTTTTTCCCCTCAAGTATATTACCACTTGGTTCTGTTTAAAATAAATGCTAATTTGCTGAAATCCTGGTTTGCTTTGAACAGGTATTTTAAATCATGAAACCGCATCATGCTCACCACATTTGGACACTTTGGTGTTTGTAAAACCTCTAGGGCTGCCAAATCCTCCCCACCGCTGTCCTCCATGTCAAATTATGTGCTGCTGCCTGTGATCCTAAAATCTGACAGAGGAAATTTTACATATGCCTTCATTATTTTTACATTGTCTGAAGTGAGCTGTTTCTTTTTACCTACAGCTGTCAGAAAGCAAAACCGAGCTCTGATTGAATGGGTGACAAACTGCTGATCCCTGAAACAAGAAAATGTCTGATGATGTAAGTGAACTGTCTTGGATTTGATTGTATGACACACCAGGGATCGGAGGAGGTCCGGGTTCTCACAGTAATGTTTACATCAGTGACTCATGATGAGCTCTTTATCTCTATAGAGCTATGATTGTTTTTGACAAAACAAATATTATGCGTTTAAGTGGCACAGGGTGATGGACTCAAACACAGACAGAGGAAACATAGACAATTTATGTCCATCCAGAGACTGAAACGGGATAACAAATGTATCTGTGTCTTTTATTTACACTTAAAAGGATTTAAGTCACCATGCAGTGTGTTAATAATAACCTTTTATATGATTTTATTTCATGTTCATTATGTGTTGTTTTGTAAAGTTATGAATACTCATAATTTGTGTGTTTTTAAGCTCTTGATGTACAGCAAATTCTCCAGAAATCAGATTTTATGAATTCATTCATTCATTCATTATCTACTTTTCTTATTTTTAACAGCTCCAAGTGCTTGTTGTGCACCTAAATAGGAGTAGCAGGCAAATGTAAATGGCACAATTATTTTACCAAACCAACTGAGAATGCAACTATTTGTTAGTTAATTTTTTGTCTGCATCATGAATGGTTTTTGGAGAACGCACACTGTTGTCCAAATAATTTTAGGGTTCAAAAATATTATGCATAGGGCCTACAGCTAACAATTCCCTTCATAAGATTTTTTCTATAGTTGCCTTTTATCAAAAAAAGGTTCCTACGATTGATTTAATTAGATTTGTTATCAAAATGCATCGTATGACAGAGATTTGTGAGCTTTATTATTGACTTTTCAGTTTAACTATTTAAATCCACTTAAGATGGCTGCGCGTCACTCCATATGTAGGAGAACAGATACCTCACATTTCCATTCAAACTATATTGAACGCAACACCACACACAGCCTGATAACACGCTTATTAATATTAAAAACAAGCAGAGGTATCACTGAGAAAAGTATGAACGCGGATATTTCATTAGTCATCCTTGTTGTGCCAGGGGGACTACTTTCTCATGCGCCCTCACACACAACAGGGCGCGGTGCTGATACTTCGCCAGGAGAATTAAAAAGTCATCTCGTGCGCTCGTGCTGCAGCTGATTAGCCCACACGAGAGGGTGGTGCCCATCAAACACACTTCAGATCCACGCAGAGAGCCATGCAGCGCGCGCGCAATCAGCGGTCTGCTAGCAATCCCGTCCTTTTTCTCCTTCACATAAACAGCACTTAAAGGAAAATATACACGGCCACCTACAGCGAGGGGAAAGTGATGAGGGGGTACCCACCTCCACTTTACACTGTTTTCAATTAAAGCGACAAAGCTGCTGAGTGAACTACAGGCGACACGGAGGACACAGAGAGCCAGAGAGGAGCTCAAGGTGCGCATGTGGAAATATGTCCTCTATGACAACTGCTGTGAAGGGAAATGTGTCACTCTGAAACTTATTAATATTTGTGTATTTTAAATATGACCAAAACAAATAATTTAGAGGGAAATAGTTAAATCATGAATACAAAATGTACATTAATTGGAGTATCAATTAGCCCATATGGAGAGGATATAAACCTGCAGTAAAGGTTTGTGTTCAAGAATTGAGCATTTTTAAAACTTTGTATTTTCGCCTAAAACATGCCCAGCTCTTTCATTTCATTTCTTTTACATATTTTTTATGATTGTCATGATAATTTTAGTGCGTCTTAGTGTATGCAGTTAAGTTAAATTAAATCTAAGACCTCTTTGAATCTGTTGATTTTACACAAAATAAATAAATAATTAAAAATTATTCCGTCATTTTCGATAGGTTACTGATTTTTAATAAACTCCAGGGCATACCCAGACCCTTAAACAAATTTATTTAGTGTTGTAACTTATAAAAACAGCTTTAATAAGAAATTATGGTTCAAAACCTTTGAGACATTTTCAATTTAGGCTTTTGTTTCAAGTAGTTCAAAGCAGCCTACAAGATAATTATTTTTTAATGTTTATCGTGTTTTTCTTAGAGGAATAAGTATTAATGGCTTTCGTGCGTTTTGTAGTTTACGAGGAGGTCCAAAAGAAAGCTGTTTGCTCCTTTAGGTCAAAGTTTTACTTGGAAATGTAACTCAAGTTCAAGGCGGATGAACTTGGAGCCAGCTGATCGATCACTCTGTCGCCCTGAGGTCCAAACAAAGTCCCTGTGGCCTCTCGGTGACCCCCCTGCGTCTGCCTCTTACCACTGAAAACAAATCTAGATTATTTCCTCCAAAAAGATCCTACTTTCAGATTATTTAACTTGTACGTTTAAAACCTTAACTCGTCCTCTCTTTGGGTCTTCTTTTGAACATTTTTTTCTACTTTCTGTGAGGTCAGATCAAATTATTCTGCAGAGTGCTGCGAAGTTGTTCCTGCCTTACAACAATGATTCAGCAGTAATCCTTAAATTAACCTGCAGTCTTGATGTTATGTCAAGATTTTGCGTTTAATGATAAAATTGAATCTAAAAAAATACAACAGAAAGAGAGAGAGCTGCATGCTGTTAGTTATTCTGAAATAAAGTTGTACGTTAAATAATGGAAATAAACATAAACCTCTGTTGGACTTTGTTGGCCTGTTGGAGTCCTTCACTGCTCAGTTGACTGGAGAAAAGGCGCATTTAACCTATGAGGGAACAATTTTTGTGTACATTTCTGTAAAACCGTGATTTTAGAAGGGTCCGGAGCTGGCGTGAGTGCACTACATAACGGTAAGACTGCCCGGAAAGGCTGTCAGGACTGCGCTCTTTGCGGTGTACCTCCACCTAAGTGGCCGAGCATTCCTGAGGATGCAGCGCTGTCAAATATTTCATGATGGGACGTCATGGAAAAGTGCATGACTTCGTCTGCGATGGAGCAACAGGGAAGCTCTGACCTCGGGACTAAAGCCCTGGTAATGAACATAATCCGCCTCCGACGTTGTTATGCCAACTATTTCCTCTGAACGATTGAAATACTCACACACTGGACGAGTGAAATATTTAGATTTCAGAATATATCCTAAATTCTTATGGAAGCTATGTGATATTTGACGGGTTAAGTTCAAATTGTTGCTGAATTATCACTGTTACTTTTAAAGCTAACATCACCAATTTCATCAGAAATTTAAAAAACAAATATTTTGGAGCTTCCCTAAAAGTTGGAGATGGTATTGAGGAGTTGCGCATCCTCCAGCATCGATGGTGTGCGTAATCTTAAACAACGGACTCGCTTCACGGACATGTCAACTATTACAAGAAAAAAAATCTGACCTGTTCATTCCAGAGAAAGAATAACATCATACAAAGGTGTGCATGAGAGAGAGAAAAAAACGCCCTAATGCAATGAAGTCATCAGCGGTAATTAAATGCAGTGGGCAGAGAGGGGACGGGAGCGCGCCTACCCCTGGTGCGCGCTGGGTGGTCCGCTGCGCTGATAAATGTGTGGCCCTCACTGCAGGCGGAGAGGCCGAGCAAGCACCGGTTAAAACAATACCTACATTCATTTATCCACCGCTTTCAATCTCCTCCGCAACAGCACAAACTAACAGTGGCACTTCTGTCAACTTTGAGCAGACAATGACATTTTTGCCAAAGAATTGATCTCTCTTTTCTCTTTGGCAAAATCCCTGCTACAAGAAAGCGGCGACGCGTGTTTTAGGACTGAACTGTTCCGGTAAATTTCAATCGACCATTTAATAATATATGAGTCCTGCAAAAGAATTTTATTCAAATATGTTTCCTCAAATTGTACTTGGAAACATGCTGCCACATATTTTACAGAATAATATATCACAGGAGCTACTGGGGGCTTTTACGCACAGAGAACAGAGGCTCCAAACACTGCTTTTACGCACAGGATAAAAGCTATATGACTGTTCATCGACTCTTTTTTTTTACACTGTGATATTTTCTATCATGCCAAAACCAGCGCTCACTTTACGAGAAACAGGAACGCCGGCAGGGATCAGAAGCACGACTAACTGAACCCACGGAGAGGCGAAAGGTTGCAGGCTGCAGCTATCGACCTCTCCGGGGAACAATAAGCAACCTACTGTCAACAGTTTTAGGTTGTGGACTGATCGTCTTTCAGTAAGTTTTGCTCACAGCTGTAGAAAAGGCAGTAAACCCCCAAAATAAAACAGATTTTATACGCTGGAAACACATACAGAAAAACAAACTGGAGCGCGCTTTCTTCGAGGTCAATTACAGTTAAAGCCTAAACATTCTCGAGAGCTGAAGGCATAGTTTTGGCTCCATTTTCCAAATAAGACATCGTTTCAAACTGTTGCTAATCACCTCTGGGTCTCTGCTACAGCCGTGAACAACAGAAGCCACAGTTCTGCTCTTTCAGGGAAAGAGTGAATGTGAACTTTTAAATCCACTTTACCTTCATCTCTGGATCCTTCGATGTGAAAGTGTCTGAAGGAGTCAACCTGAAGTCCTCGTCCGAGTTTGTGCGCCCACAGCTCGGCAGAGCTTCCACCTCACTCCTCCTGCGTCCCTGCGTAAATATTATGACTTCATTACACAAACAATATTCATGTGCAAAAAGCGTCCAACTTCTAGACAAGACGCTGCGAACAGACGCATCAGATTGAGTATTAGCTGATCTAACGGGGCTTTTGCTTGATTTTTTTATTTAAAGAAGGCCAGGGAAAATGTTTACATTCTGCTGTATAAACATCCTGCCCATGTTCCTGTCTATCTTGTACAGAAATCAGGAGGGTGGCTTTGAATATGAGGGGCACGTTTTCTGCAAAAATGCTTTTTATACTCCGAGAAATGTTTTAGGAATATTTCATAACTTTTATAAAAATGGAGGCATGAGGTGCTGCTTGCTGTGCTGCTGGATCAGGGATGTGGCCTGAAACTGAGACACAGTTAATTTGTTAGACCTGTCTGGTTTATGAATCTGCTAAATATCTAATGTCTAAAATGTGATTTAATTTAAAAAAGTTATTTCGGAAACAATGCAGTGAAATTCTGAATCCGAAGGCCCTTCAAAAGAATATTTGCCTTGAATGATGTCTTTATGTTCCTCCTTTGATACATTAAAAGTTATCTGAACTATACCGCTGAAAGCATTCATTGGAATAAAGGTTATTTCAGTCTTTGTTGCAGATTTACTCCATATTTTAGTGTAAGAGAGAAAAAAAAACATGTCCCTGAAAAGTGAACGCACACAGATGTGCATGCTCACAGCCCACCACTGGAGTAGGAGGGAACTGGGCGGGTCCCAACTTTAGGATGGCCAAGACATCCAGCTTCCAATGCGGTGATGGCAACAGATAAGTAAAAAGTGAGCTCCACGGACGCACGGCAACACACCAACTGAAGTGGAAAGCGGCTCCTGTTCTGCTCCTTATCCCATTTCGGACGCTGCTCTCAAGGCACTGTGACTTCAGACTGCTGCAGGACTAAATCAGGAGGAAGAAGTCAGAGTTAAGAAAGCAGCCTCGCCTTTGACTTGTGCGTAAAGGTTTACTACACTCTACCTACGCCTACTCTTTTGGCTCTTTATGCCAGCGATTCAGTGTCCTTTTTGTATTCTTTATACGTGGAAAAGGGAAACAGCATTTTTTGTTTACCACCTCGAAGACTAAATTTGTCTAATGACGGCAGAGATCCAACAGCCCCCAGCGCAGCCTCCTGCCCAGAGCAGCCCAATGTCTGCTCCGGAGAAGCCGCACGGACAGACAGCGGTGATGGAAACCGCCTCTTCTACTACAAAAACCAAGAAGACAAACGCAGGGATCCGCAGACCAGAGAAACCCCCGTATTCATACATCGCTTTGATAGTCATGGCTATTCAGAGCTCTCCAACCAAGCGCCTGACGCTCAGTGAAATCTACCAGTTCCTCCAGAGCCGCTTCCCGTTTTTCCGGGGCTCATATCAGGGATGGAAGAACTCCGTGCGCCATAACTTGTCCCTGAACGAGTGCTTTATCAAGCTTCCCAAAGGCCTCGGCCGGCCAGGGAAGGGTCACTACTGGACTATCGACCCAGCTAGTGAGTTTATGTTCGAGGAAGGCTCCTTTAGAAGGAGACCCAGAGGTTTCAGGCGCAAGTGCCAAGCACTGAAGCCAATGTACAGCATGATGAACGGCCTGGGATTCAACCACATCCCCGAGTCCTACAACTTCCAGGGAAGCGGCGGGGGTCTGTCCTGTCCGCCTAACAGCCTGTCCTTGGACAGCGGGATCGGGATGATGAATGGACACTTGGCAGGTAACATGGAGGGGATGGGTCTGTCCGGACACACCATGTCTCACTTGTCGACCAACGGCGGACATTCCTACATGGGAAGTTGTACAGGATCCACAGGGAGTGATTATCCCCACCACGATAATTCCGCTTCCCCTCTGCTCACCAGCGGTGGGGTCATGGAGCCTCACCCCGTCTACTCGAGCTCAGCCTCGGCGTGGGCTCCGGCGCCATCGGCCTCTCTGAATAACGGGGCCTCCTACATCAAGCAGCAGCCTCTGTCTCCTTGTAACCCTGGGACCAACCCGCTGCAGCCGAGCCTACCCACACACTCACTGGAGCAACCATACCTGCACCAGAACGGACACAGCACCACAGATTTACAAGGTAAGATCCCTGACACGTGTAAGGGGGTGCGTAAAGGCGAAACGAAGATTAATAAAAAAGCAGGAGAGAAAAGGAAATTAAAGTAGAGAATATGATGTAGGAAAATGTGAAAATGAAATTAACCTAACCGTTCCATTTTGGAAATATGTCCTGAGCCGGACCAAGCCTGATTTAGCACGCATTTATGACTTCGTGGCAAAGGTGGGCCTAATGGAATAATTAGCAGTGCGCGCTTCATGTGGCTCTATTTATTTTTCTTGTCTCTAAAGAAACGCTTATCTCATTTACTCAATGCGCAATAATTCAAATTAAGTACACCAGGGGAAAATGACGCAACTAAAAGAAAATGCGTAAAGCTCCCACGAAAATTAAACTTAGTCACTGTTCTGCTCCCAATTAAATAGAACACGATGCACCAAAATAAAACGCAGAGAAGGTTCAAGCTTGCTCAATTTTAAGTGGAAAAAAAAAAGATCCACTGAAGTCTGGCGGGTCAGTTTAGAGTTGTGCCAATCTCCGGACAAGAAAAACAAGCGCGGTTAGGAGCAGCCTGCCTCGCCCCGAGGCCCCAAGTCCTCCGGGACTGGCGTGCAAGAGGGCCACTGTCAATTAGCCCAGCGAGCCCGCCTCCCCACTTTGACTATCTTAATGGTGCCTGCTAAATGGACTCTTAGTCTAGGTGGAATAAACACATGTGTAGTCTAAATCCCTGACAAGTTCAAAGTAGAGTTTGTCTTTAAAAATGATAATTAGTTTGATTTGAGGTGCTCGTTTTAGGGCCTATTTTCTCATTGTATACGGTAGATGAGGTATGAGGAAAATTGAGCATGGTTAAGACATTGTTGTCTTCAACACTACTATTATTATCATCATTATGCCTATTATTATAAATACACACACGCTTTAATAGTCAACTCAAGACCAAGACAGTACACAAGTGTTAATATAGATATCTTTTTTTTAGGTGATATTTAAAAATGTTCGTAATATTTCCAAAATTTGAGCTTTTATCAACACCAAAGCTCTCCAGAAACGCATCTTTCTTCTTCAATCTATCTTTGGTTCAAAATATTTTCAGAGATTTACCTTCAAATCTTCGTCAATCTTCTTTAATTTCTTTGAATTTTTGCATTTTCTTTACCAGGTATTCCTCGGTACCATTCCCAGTCCCCCAGCATGTGTGACCGGAAGGAGTTCGTCTTCTCCTTCAACGCCATGACGTCCTCAGCGATGCACACACCGAGCAGCAGCTCCTACTACCACCACCAACAGGTCTCCTACCAGGATATCAAGCCCTGCGTCATGTGAGGCGTTCGCGGACACTCTACAGACCAGAGGACGCTGTCACGGACTCGAGCCAGCGAGCAGAGAGACAAGAAAAAGAAACAAACTTCAAGTAACAAACCACTGAGGGAAGAAAGGCTCGCCACGGCCCTGCGTGAAGAGAGAGAGCTCACTGTTTTGAGGTAGACCGGACTACTTTTCTGTAAGGAAGTCACTGAGGCAGGCCAACAACAAAACAAATCAATAATAATGAAAATAATATATAATAATAGACGATATTGGTGACATCTTCTTCATTGAGCAGCAGGTTACAGGCCGGGTGTATGAATCCCTGCTGCTGTTTGGTACGAAGTCCTGCGGAGCGGATGACTACCACTTCACACTTTGTTTAATCCTCGTGTTAAAGTAGGCCCATGTAAAAAAAAAAAAATGAAAAAAATGCACACGTCCATTTTCTCCACCTGAACTTTTGACTGTTTTCTTTCTTTGTCATTTTTCTTTTTGGACTATAATACAAGCGTTGAATTTTAAAATGAACTTCTCTGGACAGTACATACTCTTGTCCATATTTACTGTGTACAAATGATGAAGGCACTTTTTGACTAGCCTATAAGCGCAGCGATTTATTTATTCTGTAAGCCTACGTATTTTAATTTCAAGCGAAATGGCCAAGGAGGTATTTGCTTTATTGGCAATATTTGTCAGAGCGCTTGTTATTTGTTTTAAATGAAAATGGAGGATATATTATAAGCACTGTTTTGTCGTTTGTGTTAGATATACGTAGACCATTACTTCCAGCACTGTATACTTGTATATTGTTAGGGAAATTAGCAAGGGTCCATCAGTGGGGGGGCTAATCTCTAGGCTTTAATACAACAAATCATTTGTACAAAATAAAAGTTTATGTGTTGGGCTTTTTTCAGCCTAAATCCACCAAAACATTTTGATGTTATTGCACACCCACGATTCATCATTGAGATACACCACTTAAAAACTGTAAAGATCTGAAATTGGAGATCAAGTCTGAACAGCTGAGATTATTATGCTTTTCTTTAAAAATCACTTTCAAAAATTTCACTTGAATTTAGTTTGTCATTAATTGTTATAGCTAGTGTAAAAATAAGGATAAACTGACTTTATGCAGGTTTACTTGATCAACTTTTGATGACATTTAAGAGAGAGATGTCAAGCACAATATGTTGATGGGATGCAAACAACTGAGTGGTAATAAAAATGCAGAAACAGAGCAGAAATATCACAATGTTTTTTTGTTGAAATGAAGTTCATTACTGACGCCAAAAGTTGCTTTTACGTACAGGGATAGCCAAAGATAATTTTCAATTTATGCTACAAAAAAATCTGATTTTTACAGAGTAGGGATAAATTTATAAAATATTTTAAATCAGTGGTTTTAAAGGTAAATCATGCTGCTTTTATGCAAAACCAGTGTGTAAAAGAATTAAGGCATAATGAATCAGAAGAGAGCTCATCATTTGGTTCTACTTTGGTAATTCATCGCACCTTTTCTGCTCTGCTACACTCACAGCTGTTTCTCTTCAAAGCTTTGAATTTCCAAGAACATGTACAAGATATATACAAATGTTAAACGTTTGCTTCTCAGACTATAAAAAATCCTGCTTATACACAAAACTTAAAGGACAAAAAAAAAAGGTTCAATGTATGTGAAGTAAAAAAAAAAAAATGGAATGTTGGAAATGGAGCGTGCTCTTCTCATGAGAAAAACTATGTTTGCAACTAAAATGTTACCAAAATAGCAAGGTCAAACTTTGCAATTGATGAACATGAAAAACCTCAAATTAAATATACTCACAAATGATTCAGAAGTCTCTTATCACGACATGAAAATACAAAAAAAGAAGAAAAAATACACAAACTTGGGAAAGGTAAATTTGCTACATTTTTATTCTCATGTTCCCATATGTGTTCTTGATTATAGAATTCACAAAACTGACAAAAGTTCTACTCACCAACCTCTTCATTAAGAGGTCTAACCAAAAATATGTTATTCTTTCCTTTGTGAAGGGACGTCCGTGGAGTTGAAAATGACAAAGGTGCTCCAAATGTAGTTGACTTATATTCATTTCTACGGGCAATTCAGTCTTAACTAATACAGACGTCCTGTAAGTTGAAATTGCTGAATAGTAGATCTAGATGTGAGTTCATCTATATTTAAGGTCGTGGAAATACTGCATTTCTGTGCTTGTGAAGTTTTGTACTCTCGCAACATGACCACTGACTGAACTCAGTAAAATGGTTGTGCCATGGAGCGCAGTTAGCAGGCTGGACAGCAGCGGTACAGCACATTAACAAACTGATGACATTAACCGAGGTTCAGCGTTCTGGCAGGGCTCAGGGAGAGAGATGGAGCTCCACAGCTGTTCCTCTTGCCAGGCCTGGATGACAGCTCCATAAAAAGCTCTGTGTTTAGTGCAGACAGACATGCTGTGTGCATGTGTCCCAGTGCAATAGGACTTTAGTGAAAACAGGACAGTCATCTGTAGATAAGAGAGCGAGCAGTTACCAGCTAGTGGTCTGTGCAGAAACACAGAGGGTATGATTAAAACATTGCAGTGCAGAACATGCTGGTTTCTGGGTGCTTACTCCTGAAGGAGTGGCTTGTATTTATGTCAAACTCTTGGTGCTTCATCTATCGTACAACCTCTACTTAGGCAGACATTTTCAGGTCAATAAAACGTTATTTTTTTCAACAAACTTTATTTACCGTGTAAATATTCAGAGGTTGACTTAAAGTGCTGAAACAACTACAGTTTAAAAGCTTTAATTATTTTGTGAGTAGTAAATGTGTATTTTTGATGACTAGTCGGACATGTTCACTATTTGTTTTCTACGACTAAAGCCTCCTTAGACAGAAAAATCTGAGACCCACCAGTTTAACTTTGACTAACCTGTTACACATAGAAGTGCAAACAGGTTTTTCTTATGAGCATTTTTTAAGCACTACAAAAAATATCATGTAAATGCATCATTACTGTAATACATAAACTCAAAGACACAACACAGATGGAAAAAAGACAATGAAGAGAACGTCAATTCAAATGCTTTAGTAGAGGCTGTAGTAAAGTCTTACAAACAGATGCATTAACACTGTAACAGTTTATTCTGATATGGTAGTGTATCCAGTCTCCTAATCACACTCTCTTCAAACACAAACTAGTCTATCACACAAAATCCTTTAAAGGTTATATGTTATTGTAAAGAGGTACAAATATTACTGTCTTTCGATGAACTGTATTTTTAACATTTCAGAAAAAAAAAACTAGCAAAAACCAAAGCAAACAAGTCCAAGGCTACAAAAACCATAGCATTTTTTTGTTCAGATATTTGAAGTATGAAATGTGCACATTCCCTAAGGGTAAAAAAAATATTAGAACGAACTCATACAAGGAGTGGTGAAAGATTGGAGCACATTAATGATATATAAGTGTGTGGTCAAACACTGGCCTTTATGGACTCATAAACGTTAAATAGATTTCTCGAGGCACTACTGTGTAGCAGTCAGGACTCATTTGAGCTCTAAATGACCACATGGTGGCGTTCCAGACAACCCCACTTCACAGCGCTTTGCTCGTGGACTTCGTCTAAGCAGAAAACTAGATCAAAAAACACAACCGTCTTATTGTTCATCTAAAAAGCAAATGGATTCAGTCCTCATTATATTTTAGTGAAAGACCATGCACAGTCTTTGTCTTTAAAGGGAAGACACATCGACCGTGTGAATAACTAAGGCACAGAGGTGTTAGTCGTAACTATAATGACATGATACTTCAGAAATTGCTTTATCATGCTGTGGTTCAGAAAGCTGCATAATTACTCAAAGTTTATTTAACTTATTTAGCTTCAATATTCACTTCTTTTTAAAACGTGTTAACTCTGTCCAACTGACTGCAACCTGTAATAAATTCAGGAACATTAAAAACAAATTAAACTCTTTGTAAGGCATTCAATTTTGCTCCACAGGTCATTTGATCTCTAACTTTTACGAGTCAGTCCCCTCACTGGCTCCACTCTTGGTATCCGGCCCTGCTGGTTTAGATTTCGGAGCTGCTGAGGGCCTTGGTCTCCTGTTGGACTGTACAGACCTCTTGCCTCCTCTCTGGCTTTTGGCCAGCTCAGCCTGCAGACTGCTGCCGTTCAGGTTGAGACCCTGCAGAGCCTCCAGGGCCTGCTCTGCAGCTTCAGGGTCGCTGTAGTCCAGAAAGGCCCTGTGCTGAGCTCCCTGCCAGGTGAGCCTCAGCGGGGCTGCCTCCCTCTCTCTGAGTGCCGTTTTCAGCTCACTCACACGCAGCCCAGCAGGTATTCCCCCGAGGTACACTGTGGTCACACTCGCAGGGAGCTTTCGCTGGGAACCGACTTCACTTCCTCCCTCCTCTGAGCCTTTCTCCCTCATGTTCCCCCCACTCCTCCGTCTCCGTCTCTCATAGGTTTCTCCCTCTTTACCTGCATCCCCTCTGCTTTCTTTCCTCACTCGAGCGGGCCGCTGTCTGGCCTTATACTCTGACGCCGCTCCTCTCTCTTGTCTTGGTTCTCCCTCTGCATCCTGCACAGAATTCTGTCTTGGCCTCCTTCTGGTCTGTCTTGCGGGTTGACTGGTCTGCAGACCCGGCTCTTCTGCTTCAGGTGAAATCCCCAGTGTTACATCCTTTCCAGCCTGTTCCTCCAGAGCACGCAGCTTCTTCAGGATGGGGATCTTCTGCAGCTTTTCTGTATTCAGCTGAAAACACGACTTAACAAATTCAGTAACGGTATGAAGAGAGACGTACCAACATAGCAAATAAATAGACCTGCTACAAGCCAGCACACAAGTTAAATCAATAACAAAGCAGACAAATGATTTGGTATTATTCCATCCTGCCCACTGCTCATGCTAAAGTAATAACTCTCTTTATAGAAGCAGGACATTTCACTTCCTAAGCAGTTTAAAAATACAGCCTGCTCTCCTGATTTGTAGGGTCCGTAAGTGTCTTGGCAGCCTTTGATGGTGACCAGTCCTGTAAAGGATATACCGGGCTATTGTTTTTACACTGGCCTGTTTGACCTGTCGTTCCCCTGCCCCTGCAGAGCCAAGCTGGCTGGGCAGAGGAGCCTTTGATGATCAGACATGGCCTTCCTGCCAGTGAGGTCACTGGGTCCTGTTTACTTACAAGCCAGTCTAAAGGAACCCAGAGTTACACACAGACTCTGTACATGTTAGAATAATGCCTCCATCAGGTCTGATGTGAGAAAAATGACCAGGTGGAAAAAAACAGCAACTTTTTACACTAATGTCAGAAACAGACACGGATCAACATCCATTTGAAAAAAAAAATAAAAAACATAGTTCGGTAATTCTTTTATTTACCTGGCTTTTACTCTAAACTTTCAGTCTATAAATAGAAGTCATGTGTCTTCATTTGAATGCTTGTATATTTACATGACATTACACCAACAGACAAAAAAAATGGAGAGTAAAGAATGTAGGTTAATAACATAAATAATGTAAAAGTATCACAGCACAGGGTAATTCAATGTATAGAAATGCAAAACGTAAAAGCTCTTATAAGATGTAGTGTCATGACATGTCCAGCAGAGGTCGATGTTGCAAAGTAAAGAGACAAGCCTCTGTATGACCAGAGAGAGCATTTGTTTCTAAAAGGTCATTAGATTTGAACTCTTCAACTAAACCATTACTTTTCCATCAACAAAAATACAAAAATAAAATGGTTGTTTGGCACTAAAACATTTCTTTGTGAAAACATATGCAGGATTGTGTTCATGATAAATAATATATAAACTATCTCCCACATGTTATCTCAGTGTATGCACTTTTGTCTAAGTATAACCACAGAATCTGAAGATTATGGTGGTATCAGATCCAGTTTTAAGTTATACCACTAGCAAGTACAAGCAGTCTGAATTTAACTTCTGTCCATATTTAGCGTGTTGAAACAATTCAATGCAAATTCTAATGACTGACTGACAATGTTGCTGTTTGAGCTATTGTTATTCTGATCTGGTTAGAATTGAAACAAAGACTAAATTAATCTAAAATTTAACCTCATTGTAGATAATTGTGAGAAGTACCCTGTAAAGATATGTGACTTCACCTTAGTCCAGATGATTCCTTGAGGCTTGGGGAACTTGCAGTTTGTCTGAATGACTCTGGTGGGAGTGAGGATGTAATCCACAGTCAGGTCGTGGCTTTCTCTTAACTCCTCAGGAATGTCCACCACCTGAGGCACAAATGACACAGCAAACATAAACCAACAAAATGTCAGGTCTTTACCAAAGAGTTCAAGAAAATAAGAAATTTACATGGCACATCAGGAATAAACAAAGACGGAAATTTCTGTTGAAATATTTATGTAAAGGCAGTCATTTAAAAGTGTGAAATATGAAGAGTTTTTTTTTATGTTAAGGTGTTTATCAGGTTTTTGTTTGACATAATAAGTCTAAATTCGGGCGATGCACACAGAAAATAATAAATATCCAGGACTTAAAATATCAGATCTCTGGGTTCAAAATGCGTATGCCATGAATTAACTAACCTGGCAGTCATGAACAATGGCGACCACCACAGTAGACTCATTCACAGCTCCCATTGAGACCATCATGCCGTACTCCATGTCAGCAAACCCCTCTCCTTTCCCAATCCGCACGCCTGCAAAAGAAGACAGGGGCTACGAGTCTTTTTGGGAGGGTTCTGCATTATGTGAACTCCAAGTCTTCGGTGATACACTTTCTTCATGTTTTTTCAATTAAACAGGCAGCTCAGTGAAATGTAGACTGATGGGAACAAAGATGGACCAAGAGCAACACTTTATAAGAACCATGTGGTTTTATTCAGTTGGAGTCTTTTGGAAATGTACGCATTACTGTAAACAAGTCTATTTCAATGCAGTTCTGAATCACTTATCTGACCATAAGGATCAAATGCATTACGAGCCACGAGCCAATTCGTATTGGTGGAGCACGACAGAACCCACATGCAGCAAAACCAATCTGATTGCGCACATGTGCCCCCATTTTTATTTCTCTGCTTCTTTAGATTTCTCTGACACAGTGTCATGGTGCCTTGGTGTGGTAGAGATGCGTGCAGTGATCACAGTTTAATATCTATCAATAAAAAGAGGTTTTCAAGACACATCATTTTAGTCTGTGGTTATTCACAAAGCACCTAATAGGATACAACCTTCACGGTTCTGAGAGATTTGTGTGTAACGTGAGTCTTTGTCAACACTGTCAAATTTTACTGCCACTAAATGCTGTGATTTTACACTGCTAAACACAGATATGTAAGTACATTTAATTGGGATGCTTGCTTGCTGCTTGTCTAATCTTACAACTTTAACTTAAAATTAGATTGTGCATTCTTCAGCGACAACGAAGGCATCACAACAGCCTCAACTATCGTGCAGAACCAATAAGGCGGCGTATCAAAAGATTGTAAATTAAATGTTTTAGACTCTGGCAGAACTTGAGACTGGCAGCTCCATTGCTTTACTACATTTCTGAAAGATTATATTAGGCCATCTTTTACGGGGCTCTCTGCATATCTTTAAGCTCTCAGTTACGATGGGTGTATGAAACTAAAGCTTCAAATCTTATATTACAACAGTAAACCATACAGTGAGCTTCAGTCTAAAGGTTTTAAAATATCTCACTAGACTGGTTGTGTTTGAAGCTCCAAATGTCCCAGGTGCTTCAAAAACTGTTAATATAAATGGATGGTTTAGAAAGTCTCAAATGTAAAATGTGTGACTGATCAAAATTAGAACAAAAGTAAACTTGTCTTTTAACTACAAAACATGTGAAATTGTGTTTTAAATACCAGAGTAACAACACAATGTGACAACACATAGTTAGTGGATAAACACTGATTGCAGTACAACTTCTGAACAAGGGTATGTGGATATACAGATAGTGTCTTTTATAATGTGCAGACTCCTTAAACTTTTATTTATTAGAAATTATTATTGGTTTCACAAACCATCAGACATCTCTGTGTTTACTGAGATTGAAGCGTCAAAGTTTTGAATCTTTTTTGCCATGAACTAAAGGACAGCCTCAGAGCTTTATAAGGCTTCATTTGCCCATCTCTAGCTCTCAGTATCTCTTTAAATTAGGGTGACTAATAATTAGCAGTTGTTACCTGTCTCTGAAACAGCCACAGAGCCAACCACCACAAGGTCAACCTTCACCTTTGCATCCAGGCCAACAGGCACACTGAAGTCCTTCACACCCTGAGAGAGAGAGAGAGAGGTTCATAGTGCAAAAAGAAAAAGTTAAATGTCTATCAACAACCAGGTATAACTTTGATGGAATATGTGCAATAAACAAGTTGGAACCTGAGCAGAGGCACAAATGCGTAGTTGTTCTTTGGTGGCACCCTGAGGAGGCGTGATCTTATTGAAAAGACCTGTTCGAAGACGAGGAGTCGGGACCAAAAGAGTTTTCTGAGCCTGTGAGGATTATACAAAATGTCAACCCACATACATTTAATTATGTATGCAATTTCTATGCCATAAAACTGACTGAAAAGAGAAAGCACTGAAATGGGAATGTAATACAAAATCTTACAAACTCATTCAGTATCTTTAAACTGGATCCAAATAACAGATTTGTTTTCCTAAATAATTTTCAAGATAACTCTGTCTCAAAATGCTATGAGTGGGTCAAACTGATGTAGTTATATATCACATCAGACAGTTAAGAATAAGTTTCTGCAGCAAATGCTTCTTTGCTTTTAATTTCTGCCTTTCTCTGCAGTACAGCGCTACCTGAAGCACTGCCATCCTGGCGCCCTCCAAAGGTTTATCAGGATCCACCTTCACCTCACTCGTCTTGCTGAACACCTGCAGCTCAGACACTTTGCTGCAGGCTGTGAAAGCCCCCTGCGTGAAAAGAGAGAAATGTATAAGGGCTAAAATAATCAACTTACTTCCAGAGTGACAAAGCGTGCTTGCTGCTGTGGTCTGTCTGGGTTAACTTTGACTGTCTGGCTGGACTTGAACTCCTGCAGGTCTGCAAGTTTGTTGCATGCTTGGGTTGCACCCTGGCCAGTTAGTGCACAGTAAAGGAGACACATAAATGCACAGACAGTGGTTAATTATTAAAAATCAAGGAACAACATGTATGATTTATTTCACAAACCTGATGACCTGAAATGCTATCTGCAGTTATTAAACATCTGCATACTTTGCAGCAAATTCAGTGTGTAAGTACTGTCTTATTGTGTTGATTCAGAAACTTGATAAATAAATAAAGCACAGAGGTGCTGATGCATGCTTTTATCTCCTCTCGTTCAGATTATTGTAATGCCCTGCTCTCTGGCCTCCCAAAGAAGAACTTACAGACACTTCAGCTGCAAGAGTGCTGACAAGAGCCAGAGGGCAAGAGCATATAATGGCAGTTTTAGCATTGCTGCATTGGCTCCCCCGTCCGTTTCAAGATTGATTCAAGGTTCTTTTATTAGTTTTTAGAGGTATTAATGGTCTTGGCCCCTCCTATTTATCTGACTTACTTTTATCATATCAACCCTCGCGGACCCTGAGGTCCTCCGGCACAGGCCTTTTAACCTTACCCAAAGTCAAAACTAAAACACACAGGGAGGCGGCTTTCAGTTTTTATGGTCCCCGGTTGTGGAACAGCCTGTCGGAGAGCCTCAGGGCCGCAGAGACTGTTGATGTTTTTAAGAAGAGGCTCAAGACTCACTTTTTTAACCAGGTTTTTTACTAATTTCCTTTTTATATTTCTCTTATTGCAAATGTTCATTTTAATTGAAGTTCTTAATGTTTATCTTATGTCATTCCATTAATTATCTCGGTTCTGAATCTTTTTCTTAATTCCCGTCACAGGTGTTTTACTTCTTTAACCCCCTCTTTATATGGTAAAGAGCTTTTACTTATCTGTTCATTTAATATTATTTTCTTGTTTTAGTCCATCAGGTTTTACTCTTTTACTCTTTTGCTCTTTCTTCGCGTGATGTCTCGGTGTCAGGCCATGTCTCTCTAGCAATATATCTTAAATTCTCACACTGTGTGCAGTTGTGTGTGTATGCGTGGGTGAATGCATGTGGGTTCATGGGTGTGTGTGTGGATGGGAGGGTGGGTTTTATTGTCATTATTGTTGTTTTTAGCCTCTGTGAGGCACTTTGTATTGCATTTTTTTTTGTATGAAAAGTGCCATATAAATAAAGTTGAATTTGAATAACTCATACTTGGGTGAACTGCAGAACTACACCATTCAACTGTTTACTATGGAGTCTTTGAAACTTTTACAGAGCTATTTATAACCCTATATGTGTGGTTCTACACGAAAGGTCTAAATATAGATTTCTCATATATTGAACATTTTGAGCCTGGTTTTCCAGTTTGTATCTTCGTGTAAAGCCCCTTGTGTTAAACTTTTATTGATTTTACATTAACTTTAGTATATTAACTTTACTCTGATTATCCTGAGAACACGTGGCCCCTGTGCAGAGTCATGTTACAAGTCGAAGTAAGTAAAACTTGAATGAATGAAAGGAGCTTTACAACTCAGAGCTTAAGCAGTCACCAAAACTCTCGACATCAATACCACGGTAATATCCAGTAATACAGAGTTATCAGCTTATTGGCCGGTGTGCCATTTTTAGTAAAAGCTCCATAGCAAGCCTGTGTTAACGATGATCTGCTCCTTTCTAGACCTGCCTTGAAATTTGGGATCCTGTTGTGGACAGGCCTTGGAAAGTTGGCCAGATTTTTTTCTTCAATGTAGTCCCAAACTTTCTGCCGAATGTCCCATTTCGTTGCCCCTAAAAGACACACACACAGAGAAATGTAACACAACTGGAGCAACACGATGCAGCAGACCTAGCCAAACCTCTAACTCCATATTAGCATGCATCGACAGTTATTTTAAAAGACGGAAATAATGTCGACAGCATGTCACTTACCAGGTTTTATCTGTATAACAGGCTCCATTGTGTAGTTACTGACACGAATTAGTCTCTTGTACAACTCTCGGTTATACTACACGGTGTAAAATCTTACACGTGAGCTCTGTGTAACATAACACTAAAGGAACAGCTGCTTGTCAGTGTTTATCATTGATACGGCGGCTCAGGGAAGACAAGCTTAACCAAACGCGAAAATTGAACGTTATCTCTGCGAGGGCCTGAGGGGGACAGGTTTACGTTTAGAAGATAATGTAAGGAAAAATACGATTAGGAAATAGGTCACAGTTGTAAAGCAGCGTCGTTTCTTATTTTTTAGCGAGTATTTCTTTGATAAACTCAAAATGTCCGTCCTCTTCCATGTACTAGCAATGAAGGAGGCGAGTGGATAGCAAATTTGCTTTAATAGATAGTGCGTCCTCAAGGTAGGCTCGACGAATATTAATACAATAGTATGACGAGATACAAATAAAGGAGAGTGGGGTAAGATGAGCCATTTTTCAAATTTCGGATCACTAAATCAAGGCAATCATAGTTTTGTATATTTCAAGATGTTGTGCATCCCTGCAAACCAACAGAATGAGTGTAAACATAACTGTCTTAATAATATAGCATGCCAAAAAAAGTGGTCTGCTAAGGACCATAGGAGCGGGGTAAGTTGAGCCGTAGCCCTACTACCCCTCCACTCTCCACCCCAGCCCTCCCCCACCTTCTCTCCCTAAATAACAGTCACTTCTTCACATTCATGTGTTTTTTTATCTGTCATTTTATTTTTTTATCTGTTAACTTACCCCTGGCCAAATGGCTCAACTTACCCCAGAACTACAATGATGACTTTAATAGTCCTCTAAGCTGGTGGACTTTTATGCTAGGTTTTTGACCTCATGTTATAGCTCATAGATACCACAATTAATGCATAAAACACTTTAAAATGACCTTTTTTTTTTTTGGTCTGAACACAATTCTAACAAAACATATGATAGACTAAGTTCACTTTCAAGAGTGAAAAATGTTTTTTTTTTTTTTTTTTTTTTTAAATAAATGTCTAACCCCTTCACCCATGTGCTTCTAACCTTCACAGACTCCATGAATTGATGCCCATCTTCTAAATATTTGGTTACATGATTAATTACTTTTACCATTTCTAAGCAACAGGGGGTGTCTCAACTTACCCTTTGGCTCAACTTACCCACTCTCTCCTACATATTTATCATAGATTTCTTTACTTGCTTTTATAAACACTGATGATAGGACCACAGTCATATTTGCCAGCATAGTTAAGAGTCTGTAACAATTTTTGTAAAAATACCTAACTAAATAGGCAACCTAACGGTATCTTTTCTATTTCTCATGGCAGAAAACTACCCACTGTGTTTGTAGTGCCAATGTGGTTAATTGTGTTGGTCAAACAAGTGTCTGGGGGTCTGTGTTTAATTTGAACAGCCCCAAGCAGCTAAGGATGTAACTGGATCTGGAGTATTGTATGATTATTGCCCTTCTATGAGACACCAAGTTACTTTTATCTGTACCAGTTTTAAATGAATCACATTAATTATGGACTTACAACATTGTATATAGGATATGTAATCTTGTCACTACATTCAGAAAGACCCCCTTTTCCACGCCTTGCACTTGGCCCCATTGGATTTAAGAGCCCCTGTGTTGCTCAAGACTTATTTACCGTAACCCTTTGGTTTTTTTTTTTGAGAGAAATTCTAGGAGCTTGTTGTTGTGTATGTGGGCGTGTTAAAGTAGTTGCAGATGGTCTAAAATATTCCTGTGACGACAGAAGAGCTGGTGACAGTCTTCCCCCAGATATTGAGAAACTGAGGAAAGTTTCCACCATCGGTGAGCTCTCTTCTATACAAGGAGCTATCAGACAGGACAGCATGAGGACAAAAATACAAATCTTGTGAACTTACTAGGATTTTTTTGTTGCAGCAATACTCTGATCCACACTGTATCTACTACATAATTGGTAAAATGTGAATGAAAACAACAAAATTTCAGAAAGAAGTGTGCTAAAAAGTTGACAGGCTGATGTTTAACAGGTACAGCGATCACAGTAATCACTATTTTGGTTAAACATATTAGTGTGCCAACTCTTGCTGGTCAGGCATGAACATAAAATACATCAGCTAACATTGATGGGAATGTGATCACTTATCTGTTTCCAAAGTACTGAAAAGTTTTTTTAAAATTACATTTAATGAGTTTAAAAAGTTTAGAAATAATCAAAATTATTCTGATATGAGGGGGGCATGGATGTCTGTGGCACAGAAACTCATCCAACAGTTGTTTAGACATTTTAGTTAAAACCACAATTGATATCTTTGTACCAGGAAAAGGCAGAGAATCCCCAAAGTCAGCAGGTTTTATCTTCTTGGGGCCGTGGTTATTTAAACCCAACTTTTTGGCAATCGGTTCCATAATTGTCAAGATGTGCCACAAAAAAGCAAAGATGTTGGTCAGTGTGGAAAAGTTCATGCCACCGCTGTGCAAGAAAATATAAACAGAGGTTGGTGGCCGAGCCTACAGAGCAGTAAACAGGAGTAAACAAGATGAACCACCGTGCTCTCTGGAAGATTTCACACACTGTATCATTTGCAAAGTTCTCACAGTTTCTTCATGATCATGCAGGTGCTGGTTTCAATATCAGTAAGGCCAGCTCTGACTATGTCCATAATCTTAATCAAAACCCATACTTTATTTGAGCATTCTTGTTTGACCAAAAGATTGTGACATTTGACTCTCTTGTTTGGGGTCCAAGTTTGACCCTTTTTTTTCAATTGAGACCAAATGTTTTTACATTGGTTTTAGTGAGTGGCTGGGCAAACCCAGATCCTTAACCTAAATGAAACCAATCCTAGTGATACAAGATAATGTAATTTATTTATGAGGCACTGGCTTGGCAAAGTGGTTCATTGTGAATCCCGTGTGCAAAGCCAAAAGTCCTCAAGCAAGCAGCCTGGGTTGGATTCCAGCCTGCAGTCCCTTTCCTACAAGTCACTCCCCACAGTTTCTCAGTCTCTTCCATCCACAGTCCCATCCTGTATGAATAAAGGCATAAAACCAGATAAGTCAATACATTCATCAAGTGTAATTTTTCATCTATAATTTAAATGTAGCTTAAGTAAAGAAGTAAGTTTGAGTTTTCACCTTCTTAAGGGCTGTGTATAATTTCTTCACTTTACCTTACATGTCAGCTCAGTCAAGATAACCTGCAGGTGTTGGATTTCACCACTAGAGGGTGAACTCTAACCAGAGGCTACAAGGATGTTCACTGGGCTCTGCTATGAGAGGGAAAAAAAATGATTACTAAAGCTTTTACCCCCTGCAAACCAATGCATTACTTTAAAAGATTAAGTAACCAAGGAATTAGAAATGCAATGTACTTTACCTCAGATCAGAAATCGAATCAATGTTTTTGTTTATGAATTATGCAAAAACTGTACAAAATTCACATCTACAAAGTGAAAACATTGAAGAATTTGATTGATCCAGTGGAAAAAAGACACAGCAACTCTAGAAAAGTGTACATGTGTGCTTTGCCTCAACATTTTAGAGATGATTTTGTGACAGTTGATATCAAGCTAATGAAAACATGTTTTCTCTAGTTGTGGCACAGACCTGAATTGATCCTTAACGCCTACAGAAGCAGACCTAACCATCAAAAATGATACTATAGGCAGTAACTGTCTGTGTGTCTTAGTCACAGTCCACATATAGCTCATCAACAGGGTGCTTTTTGTTTACAATTTTCACGTATTTTGTAAGAAAGTGCACTACTCATGCATGTCCTGAACAAGATCCCCGACCTTAGAGGTCGCCAAGATCATCATGATCCCAAAGTTTACCACAGCCGCTTTAAGAATTTTTTTACTTTCTGTTTTTCTAAAGGTAGACTATAGAGTTACAACAACTAGTAAATTAACTATATATTTACAGGTCTCAGCTATTTTAATGTTAGAAAGGATGTTTAATGTCATTTTGTCAATGAGGGGTCTTGGGTTTCAACTATGGTTTGCTAAAAGAATATAAAGGGCTTTGGGATATTGTTATAAGCCCTTTTTACAACTTTCTAATCAACTGATCAATCATAAAAATAACCCAGATGTATGGTTTAGATACATGGTGATTTGTTGCAGCCAAAATTGATAATTCCCGAATGTTTTTATTTTACTTGATGCCTTTTCAAAATAGGAGAAGCTGATTTTACTGTACATCCCAAATGTGTTCGGTCCAACAGTCCATTTGATTGCATGGCTTTTTGTCAGCTAGCAGACTGCTGAATTGTGTATTTGACATGAACTGACTCATCATCAGCTTCAACAGTTTGTCTGCACACATTGTTGTACCACATTCATGAACATACATGCTCATTCACACACTGATTCCCCCTCCACTGATCCATAAACCTCCCTGTCACCCCACTGTCTTTCTCTCTCTCTTTCTCTCTCTCTCTCTCAGTCTGGGCAGGCTGCCAGCCCACACCCCCCACTCCCCACTCTCTCCCTCTCTCTCCCCCTCGATCTCTCTCTCTCTCTGTGTATTCTGTACACAGCGATCCCAGCCTCACAATGCTGCGTTTACTAGACCAAGTGGCTCAGAAATTTGCCATGATGTCGCTGTTCCCAGACCTTCCTCTCTGTGTTGGACTCTCTCTGTGAGGCGGTTCAGCTCTCACACGGCTCGGATGGTAGAGCAGGGTGGTCAGCCTGCAAGAGAAGAGAAAGCAACATCACCTGTGTGGGAAATCTAGATCAGCAGAGGACAATAAAAAGAAGGAGGAGCCGAGTCTTTGGAGAGCTGAGGTCTCACTGTGTCTCCCCATCCTGCCCTGCTCTCTCTCTCTCTCTCTCTCTCTCTCTCTCTGCCTCACATGCACACACACAGACACACACTCCCCCTGCCTTTCCCTTCCTCCCTCCCTGTTTGTCTCCTCTGCTCTCCGATGCTGGTGTGGTGAACAGCAGGACTCTCTTGGCTGAGCTGCATGGAGGCTCAGGGAGGGGCAGGGAGCCCAGGTAAGAGCCATTTTTCATTCTTACTTTTCTCTTTGCTGCCGGTTTTTTACCCTACACAAGCATAGTTTATGCAGGGTCTTTGTGCTTTGAATAGCCTGCATGCCTTAAAGCAGCGTATTCAAGGTGCCTCCAACTGTGCGGACACTTCTTCTATAGTAGAACAGAATAATGTGGGTCAGAGGGGCTGCTTTTCAACCATTTCACCACCCTTTTATCTGATTTAGTAGTCAAGAGTAATTTGCTGACAGAATTTACCGGTTGGGGTGGACCAGTACTTTGCTTTGTGGAGGGTTTATTTCTACAAGCTTCATGTTTAATCCATTGCCCTGGCAGTGCAGGTCTTTTTATATCCATACACTGTAGGTCAAGCACACAAAAGGCAGGCTGGTGATGAAGTTGCAGTACAATAGTGGTCCATATGATCCTTTGTGTAAAGTCCATCCAGAGAAGCCTACACTGTCTAGCTCTGCTGCACAATGCCTCATTGCAACTATTGCACTAATACACAAAAAGCTGCAAAGGATGATCAATTGAATGTTTATACAAAGGAACAGAGTGTGGTGGGGTACACTGAGGTCTTAATGAAGAGGCACAAAGTAAGTCAAAGCTGTGAGAGGGTACTTTTTGTGTGAGCGAGCATCTCATGTTAAGCAAAATGCTGCTTCATTAGCACCTTGAATTAAAAAAGATAATACACAGGGTCTTGCAAAAGTCTTAACCACCTTAATTTTTCAAACCTTATGTTAAAAGTCCACATAAATATAGAGTCAAATGTGGTTTTACATCATGGATAAGCGCAAATTAGTCCATGAATTTCAAATAGAAGGGAAACTTTGCATGAGGGCAAAATATCTTTTTAACAATCCATTGTTGATGTTTTACAAGGTTATTGAACAGACTGAAATTAAAATAAATACCGATAAATCTTTAAGATCTGTGGAAGTTAAAGAGACCGTCAGACAGAAGACTGACAAATTCTTTATTGGCATTTCAGATGCCTTTAACTGCTGATGCAGGGTAGGTGTCAAATTATGTAAGTCCCTGCAAAACAGCCTTTTTTCACCCTGCATATAGTTTCCGAAAAGCAGGGTTGGATTTGCAGTGAAATTAAAGGTACCACTTCATCCACAGGGAGGCGGCAAAATCAACACAAAACAAAACTTTCCTCTCAGGAGCTTTAAAGCTCAAGTGGGAATTTTTTTATTGACATTTGTTAGATATACTGAAATTCATACAGATGCCTTTTTATGGTGTACAAAAGTAAACAAGACTATTGGTATGACTGGCAAGTTTCATGGTGTTATTTGTAATGCCTCGTACAGGTGTGAAGGTCAATATGTGAGTCAAGCAGCAACAGTACAGCCCTCTTTTCACAATGTCTATATAAAATATTGACTGTCAGAAGTCAGCAGGACCAGACTTTTTGTCAGAAGACACTACTTAAGTGGCCACAAGACACACAAACCAAAAGTTCCTGTCATTTGTGGAAAATGGAAGTAATCTGATTCATAGGCACACTATCTTCATAATTGTGTGATAAGGTCAGCACTTTGTTCCACTTCCTCTCATTTATTTACAACATATACCAACGTTGACATCTGGAATAACCTACCCTCGACACAGTGGGATATTATATGGAATCAATTTAGAGCTAACAGCATTGTGATAATGTATTTCAAGGCAAGGTTGTCAAGTGCCGTACATACACATTTTCTAGTCATGCTTAGAGTTCAGCCTCTAACAATGCAAAGAACTGAGAAATAATTCACTTGGTATCTTCATAACTCAGTCCCTGTGCACAATTATGTACAAAAATGCTCGTTTCATTCTATGCAGCAAAACATAAGGGAAAAAAAATAGTACTATAAATAGATTGCAATCAGAGAGGACAAGGAGTGACCTAGCTAAAAGGGTGCCCAGAGAGGATTTTAATCCCCTTCTGCCTGCACGGTGAGCACTGATTGATTTATTGAACCAAGACACTGAGTTTGATTCAACTTTTGGCAAATGTACAACGCATCACTCTCCCTCTCCTCCATCTTTCTCCCTCTCTCTCTCCATCTGTCTGTCTGCAGAGGGTGTGCTGATTCATAGACAGTCATGGCTAACAGCTTGAATAAGGGTCAGACATAACCTGAACAGACCATGCTCCTGATAGCTGACTGAACTTACACCAGCAGTATCATTTATATTCTGGTTTCTTCACAGCTTGCTCAGCAGGTGGTTGTTCAGTCAGGCCGTGGATGCGTAAATCCCCTCCTTCACACGGGGATAACACTCTGACTTTCATGAAAACTCTATTTCTTTTCTCATTAATGTCCTGACTGAGTCAAACTTCTTTTCCAACAAAAATATTAGGGGATGTTTCCAAAAATGAGAAAACAGTGGAGTTTCTTTTCTCCATGTGATGGCCATGTGTTTTCTATATTTTACAAGTAAAGCAAAATTAGCTCATCAAAACCATCACAATAGGGTTTTTTCCTTCCATGTGACTGCAATCGCTCAGAGGCTCTACTGTTCTTGACATGACATTTCCCAGATTTTTTTAACAGCGAAATTAAACCACGGCTTGATGGGGGCATGAAAAACTGCCTCAGAGCAATGGTACAAAGGTCAGGTACTGTAATGAGTCCTTCAATCTGTGTTTGCAGAAGAAGGTGATGGAAATGGAAACCAAAGCTAATACAAATATTGAACAAATATTTCATTATACCAGCAGAGGTAATGCTGAACTCCCTTCAGTTTGTTCAGCAGAGAAAATCGATCAACACCCCGACGATGAACAGCAGGCCTCTCAGCTTGGACCTAGAATTCGTCATTTTCTGCCCCGTGCTTGGCTGTGACACACAAGAAATTCAACTGTGGAGTAACATACTGCAAGTAGCAAAAGCTCCACCAGCCATCTGCCATCCTCCAAGAGCTCTGTGTGTTATCATTAAAAAACAGTACTTACACAAATTTGCCTGATTAATATTTTACACAGAAAGAAAAGTTAGTTTTTTTTCCCTTTTGCTGTCAATTGTTTGAATGTAGTTCTGGTTTATTATTTCCTTATTAGCAGAACTTCTGCCAGGTGCATGTTGGTAATGAATGTAGTTAATGTTGCAGGTTTAGTCTCCTGAATATTTGCAGTTAAATATGCAAATTGTCAGAACTCCTGCTCATACCTCATGCAGCCAAAGCACACACCCTGCTGTGTTTTCAGCTGTTTCAAACTGACAAACAGAGGTTTTGCAGACTCTTGCATTTCAAGGGATGCTATTTTAAGTGCCCTCTATTTTCAGACTTTGTTAACACCCTGTGAAGACATTTTTTTCTATTTTTGAATGGATGTTTGAGATGCTTTTTCAGCTGACTGTGGTGAGGAGCATGTCAAGCAAACACAAAAACACTTTAATTTAACAAGTATAGAATTTAAGTCTGCATAAATTACAAATTTAAAACACCGTCAACTTGCCCACACACAGTTGATGTAAACAGACGATACAGGATTGACAGAATGCAGTGTGTAGGCTTGTGTGGAGTGCACAAGCTATAAGGAGCTGGGCTGATAATAATAGGTGGTAGTGGTATTTGACACCACAAACATCCTGTAGTAAATGGTTACTTATCACTTTTCTAGTCTTTTCAAGCACTCAAAGTGCTTCTACAGCTCTTGTCACACTCATCTATATCCACACCACATCATACATTAATGTCAGAGGGTGCTTCTGTAGGGGACCACTGGTGGGAACTAATTCAATTTATAGTCCTGCACACACCTCTGACCACTTCACAGAGAGGTGTTTCCCTCAAAGATACTTCAACAGCAGAATCAATATCGGATTTATTGGCCAAGAATTCGTACACAAATGACTGCAGGAGAAGGTATCAAACCAGAGTCGACTGCACCACTGAGCCACAGCTGCCCCGTATTGTTACAATACAATAAGTTTTAAATATTTCAGGTTTTTCAGATGCAAGAATAAAGTGCAAAAATCTAGGCCAATATCAGAAACAGTAAAACAATTCCAAATAAAATCACCCACAACATTTCCGTTTGACAGTATGCACCATCTAAGCAAAAAATAGACAGACTGGAGCTGATGCAGTCATACAGTAAAGAAGAAACATTTGCATCTTGGAACATCTTGGATAAAAAGTTAAATGATCTACAATCAGCATGAAAACAGTTCTGAGACCTTCATAACCCACTTCCGACACCTAAGTACAAAAATGGTCTAATTTAGTGCTTAAAGCCACTGTTTGAGACTTTGGTTTCTGTCCATTTTAGTACATCCTGCTGATCTTGAAAGTCAAATATATCATTTATTGTGAACAATATAAATGTAAACAGAGTATTGTTTCTTCAGCTGCTAAGCTAACTGTTTCTCTTGCTTTCACGCACTAAAAAAATAAAAAATAAAAGAATAGGCTAATGGTCAATCTTCACACTGATTATCTTGTTTGATTTTCTATAGGCTTTTGTAACAAAGCATACAGGAGAATCAAAGTTAATCGCATCATCATACAGAAGAAACTGAAACTTTAAATGGTTCAACAGTAAAATCAATCAAATACAAAAACCTGCACATACATAAATGGTCACGTGACTCCTGGAGCAACATAATGTAAACAGACGGCAGATGCTAGCTGCTACCAGACTGTAGATAGAATAGACGCCATCTGCCTCCTCACTGGGTGAAGAGAACAGCACCATCTGGTGATGGGCTGCAGTATAGATCATAAATCCGGCCTCTGCCAGCCATCCTCATGGGGCTGTGGACAAACTTAGAAACTAATTGCACAGAATATATATTTTTTCTCCCCCCTGGTGGTGATGCTGACATGTAGTTATTGTTTGTGCTCAAGTCTCCTCTTTTCTGTGTAGCATCGTTTTAAAAAGTTATTAGGGGGTTCATGTTTTCTATGATTGACATTTGATACAGCTTATGGGTGTACGCCTTTTATCGTTTTTGATTTAAAATAATCCAGGAAAATGTACAGCACGTCAAGAAAAGCAAATAGGCACGCATCTCCTAGTGTTTCTATTCAATAGCCATGACTGATATCTCTAACCTTTCCGATATCTCTAACCTTTCACTCCTGTTGCCTCATCTCACCCTTTCTTGCCTTGCCTGTGTTCTTGTAGAGCCCAATAAAGACATCCAGAAGCTGCTAAAGCCCTCCAGCTCAGGTGACCTCTCCAAGGAGCTCTTCCAGCACCCTGTGGTGGGGGAAGAGGAGGGCAGCCTGTCAGGGCACACTGCGAGCCTGCTGCACATCACCGAGAAGAGACGTGAGTACAGGAGGTAGAGAGTGGATGTGTAACAGGCAGTGATGAATATTCATTGATAAAGAGGTGTGAAAGAGTTGTTCAGGGCTCATTGTGGATGCAAATGCCTTCAATTGAGGAGGTGATGAAAAAAGTTAATAAGGAGGTGAGAAAGTATCTTCCTCCTTAGAAGAGTCTCCAGTAGTGGTCACCAAAAGTTTAATCAGCAGATGGATATAGTAAGAAACTGTGATATCAGGTGACCCACTGTGGAGAACTAATGCATTAGCCACATATTTTACATTTCTCTTAGTTTGATCTTTGCTGATGTTTAAACCTGCTGAATGATCACGGCCTCTTTGAGGTATTCTGGTCCCACATTCTTAGAGACCAGTGCAGCTTAGACTTGGTTGAAAAGACTCATTGTGCACCCGTCCCGCATAGAGGCTTCCCTGTATGTGCCAGATTCAGGGCCAAGAGCTCAAGACCACAGAGACGGATACTGGAGCTGCATGGGTGACAAGGCAGCCTTTATCTGCTCCACTAACTAAACACTGCTTCAGAGAGACAGCTCATCCAGACGCTAATGTCTGTGTATCTGTGACTGAGAGTGACCTACTAACAAGCCAGGCCACCTGGTAGGTCAGCCTAAAGTAAGTGAAGCAAGGGGGCAGAAAAGAGATCCCCGCTGCTCCACAAAATGCTCTTCAAATCCATCCCAAAGATATTAGTTTCGACAATGTTATCGCTTATGTTACATTATTAATTCTCCTATTATTGTAGAACCAGGAATCACATTAAAAAAATGTTACAGCTCCTGAATTTTTAAAGATATGGTCCCTAGTGGGATAGGGCCACATTGCAGTATTACTGTCAGTGCCACAGAAAGAAAAAATCCTGTAGTTACAGCAGGAGGGCCAAAGTTGCCCATGGATTATCTAGAAATATTTTTCAGTCCAATACTCCCGATAATATCCCACTAAAGAGAAAGTTGTTAGATGCCTTGTTGCAGCTACACGATGGAAATACATTTATGCGGTACAGGTGCAGCTGGCAGTACTTACAAAGCTATAAATCTGCAGTGCGGAGAGCTGGTCTATTATTATTTTTGTTTGGGTGGATGTGAAATTGATGGCAACTACTGCAAAGTCTGAGAGCCAAGAAAGGGTTGTCCATATTGATTTTTAATCAGAAACCAGCTGTCAGATTGCCAAAGTGAGACATTTTTTAACCAAAAACTGTTTATTTTACAGCTTGAATTAAAACACACACTCATCTCTTTTTCCTCGGTATGCTTTATTTATCGAACACTTTTGGCTAAATCTCCTTCATCGGGGGGTTTTAAATAAAGCATGATGCACGGGAGTGGAGTTTTTTTGACATGCTCAGTGGTCTGCACTTCCCTGCATGTGTGTGTCCTGAAAGTTAGACAGCTTCATTTTCCAGTCAGTAATCAGCAGGAGAAAATAGCTGAACAAGGATAAGAAAGTGGATGGGTCCCTGACTGTACGCGGGAGGAAAATCACCTCCTGCAAAATTTATTTCTAGAGGGAATCTCTCGAAGTCGACTAGCATCTTTTTCAAAACCACACAGTAGTAAAGAAGTAAGATTGCACTGATCCAGCATGGACAGCTCTCCTCCTCTGTCCGGTTTTCTGTCTCCCAAATGTGGACCCCTCCCTCTTCCCATCCTCCTTCTTTGTTCCTTTGGTTCAAGACTTGCACGGAGACTGAGGAAGAATAAGGGAAAATAAATTAAAGGAAATGCTTTTTATAGAACATCAAATTGACAGCATGAGAATTATTATTTTCTCTCTGTGATATTGTGAGATTAAAAACGCCTTACTGCATTTTCTGTTAATTTTCAGCTAAACCTTTATTTCACACAAATTAACTACAAAGCCGTGATTATTAAGCATGATGTGAAAGCTATGCTCATAGACAAAAATACTTCAAAAAAGACTTTAAATGGATGTGAAGGCACATTTTCAGCTGTATGGGTTCACTGTAAGAAGAGAAAGTGGTCCATTACATCATCTCTTTGCTTCAGACACAAACTGTCCGTTTTTTTCTTCTTTGAGTCTCAGCGTGAATTCTTTATTGTCAGTCATCCCCGCTGGCGTCTAGTAGCTCTCCTGATCAGCCTGTGAGAAGGAGGCAGTTGTTTCAGTGTGTCTGCCTGAGAGAAAACGTACTGATCAATTATTCAAAGAGAAAGGGTGTGGAAGAGGGGGAAAAAAAGAGAGGGAGAGGAGGTGGTTAAAAAAGCATATACAGTCAAAAGGAATAATCAAGTGGAAATAATGGCAGCAAATAATGCAGTGTTTTGCTTTACATAATGCTTTCCTCCCTCTTCATCTTACTCTTCCTCATCTTCTCTTCTCCCATCATCCCGCCCCTCCCTTTTTCGCTTTATCTACTCCCCCACAATTTCTAGCCTCCCTGTCTCTCTGCCTCCTGCCTCTTCACTTGTCCTGAAAGAGGTGAAAACCTCTGATAGCTGCAAGCAGGCAGCTTCAAGCCTGAGAGAGAGGTAAAAGAATCACAAACACAGTGAAGAAGCAAGCTGAAGTGAGGAAAATATGTGAAGAATAAATTGGGGTTTTTTTTTATTCTTGTCTTCCAATAATGCTGTTTGATTATGAGCGGTGCAGTGGTTTATGGTGCAACAATAGATTCTGGTCACTTAGCAGTTAAAAATATAGCAGTGTGCAGCTTCAGAGCCTTCAAAAGAATAATATGATTGTTAACCATAAAGGAGGAGTCAAGCTTTAGGCTGCTCTTAAAGAACCTAAGAGAAAATGTAGAACTATAAATAGAAAGAGAAAGAAGATGGATGTTTGTAACGCGCCAAGATAGGCTGACACAAGACTCTAATGTGGGCAAGAAAATCGATAACTCGTTCAGTATCCGAGTGGTCACCTGTAGAATGACATAGTAGTCAATATGGAGTAGCATACAAGTTTCCATGCTTACAGCGAAGACTGAAGCTGGAGCTACAAAAAACAAACCAGTTTTTATCACATCCCAAGCAGTGTTGGATGGGTTTCTTATAAAAGTAGTTCGCTACATTACGAGAATGCACAGACAAAAGTCACATGTCACAATGAAAATCTCTCGAACCTCTGGCTCCCCATGCTGATCAGTCACATTGTTCAGACGACATGGAGCTTACTGTACAACTACCTTATAAGAGTACAGAGATTATCCACTCCACAGCTATTGTATAAGCAAATCAGCAGCTTATAATCTTTACACCTCTTTATCATGTGACTATCTGAGATTGAACTGGGCAAGGACACTCTGTGTTAGCACAGCTGTTTCAATGAAAACATAGCAAAACAGACTTGACTGGAATCATGTTCCAGAATGCAGTTAGTTGACCCACGGAAAAGGTCAGAACTCAAAAACAGTTTTAGTCCAAATGTGATTTAGGTGCAGAGGCTTTATTTTATCACGGGTAGCACAGTGCATCCGGAAAGTATTCATACCACTTCACTTTTTCTACATTTTGTTGTGTTACAGCCTTATTCCAAAATTGATTAAATTCCCTTTTTTCCTCAAAAATTCTACACAAAATACCCCATAATGACAAAGCAAAAAACTTTTTTTAGAACATTTTGCAAATTTATTAAAAATAAGAACACTCAAATGTTGCATATACATAAGTATTCACACCCTTTACTCAATACTTGGTCGAAGCACCTTTGGCAGCGATTACAGCCTCCAGTCTTCTTGTGTCTGATGCAAAAAGCTTGGCACACCTGGATTTGGGGAGTTTTTCCCATTCTTTCTTGCACATCCTCTCAAGCTCAGTGAGGTTGAATGGGCAGCGTCGGTGCACAGCTTCTTTCAGGTCTTCCCAAAGATGTTCAATCGGGTTCAAGTCTGGGCTCTGGCTGGGCCACTCAAGGACATTCAGAGACCTCTAGTAACTGGTGCAGGTGTCCGTAGCTGTTGCAGTTCCCCATTAGCATTCAGCGACAAGCAGCACATTTGTCTAGTCTTGTTTCCTCTCCTCCCGAAACTGGACCAAAAGCTGTTGCTGTGTAGGAGCCGTAGCACCATCCGCTGTCATCCGTCTCCTCCTTAGTGAACCTCACCACCAGCGTTGCAGAGCTGTGTTTAGTCTACAAAGTTCTTTGTACCTGACAAGCTTTTGTCCTCCATGCACAGCTAACATTCACCCTGATGTGTTCTGGTCTCTTTCATCCAGAGATGAATTAGCTGGCTGAGAAAGTGCAGTGACAGGACCGTGTTTATCTTCTGTGTGTGTGTGTGTGCAGCTACCTGCCATGAAATAAGAGGGAAACAGAAGGCAGTGAAAATGCTGATTTTTGCTGTTGAGAAAGATTCTTCAAGATTTTACTTTAAAACACGGAAAGAATGTGACAGATTTTTGAAACTACAGAAGAAATATGTGATTTTAATCGTAACAGCAAAAAAATAGTCTGAGTACTCAAATGCTTTACTCTCAACACTGGTCCTCCTCAGATATCTTAATTATCAGTGATTTTTGATGTGAAATCTGAAGTGGAAATAGAAATAAAATTTGAAGAAAAATTCCCAACATAGACTTAGAGAAGAAGTATAGGGGGACTGGACCTGAGGTCTGTGGGATCCCGCAAGTCAACACAGGCAAATTTTTAATCTCTGTGGTGGTGTTTATAAAACAGCCTGAAGTTCATGCTGCTTTATGACTTTAAAACTACCCTGCTTCCGACATCATATTCATGCTGTTCAACTCCCCAGTCATTTGAAGTGATAAGTATGCACAGAAGGGTTTAATACATTTTGAGTGTGTGCACATGCAAGAGAAATTTGATTTCCAGTCACATCATCTGGGTCTGTTGGTTCAACTACCGACAAATTGAGGTGATGCAATTTCATTCAGCCAACTAAAATGTTCTCCTCCTGCTTCATGTGTTGAAATGTATTTTAAAAATCCAGATTTTGTTGGACTAACTCAATAAAGTGAGATTTTTAAGCAGTAAATGTACTGACTTTGTCCTCAGGCGTTGACATAATCAACACAAACAGCCTTAAGGGAAGATAATATAACACAGGGATACATTCTGAGCTATCTTTTGTCGGCTTTGAAGCGTAGTTATTTAACGTTTACCATCTGAAGGATTGCTGTACTGAGACTACTGTACTGTACTCCCCTCTTTAAATTTTCCTCCTGGGTCTTTTTTTGTTTGTTTTCAGAAATCTTTTTTGCCATTTTCTCCCCATTTTTATGTAGGTTAAACTCCTGATACAGAGTGTTTACATGTTCAACACAGAGCCAATGGATTTAAAATATTCATGTATGCTATATTAACTCGGGTCACTGCTGCCATGTGATCCAGTTCTGGTTATGATAGTAAAACTGGTCATGACTGTCCAAAAAGGGTTTTGGGGGAAATAAAGGATAGCTGGTCTGTTTGTTAAATCATCCCGCTCAACAGAAGCTCATCAGGACTTGAATCTCCCAAGTCGCTAAAAAATTTTTTTTTTTTTTTTTTCGTTTTTGCTGTTTTGTATTCTGTTGAAGTCACAGCCGCCTATTTTTCATTCCATGTGTCTGCTGGCATCTCTGGTGTTGAGCGTTTTAATGAAACATGGCAAAATAATCAGCCGCTGCTTGAGAATGATTATCACTCTTAAAATCAATACACGCCCGATCAGGAGGACAATGCAGGGAATTGGATGGAGCAGCAGACACACAGAGCAGCGGGAGTGTAGCCCTGCTTTGAAAACAGCCAGAAACAATTTATAAACAGCCTTGAAAGCAGCAGGCAAACAACACGGGTTAATAACAGCTTTCAAACTGTCACACAACCCGTTGTTTTCTTCATAAAATCACGCCCACAGACAGTCAGTGAAATGTTTGACTCAGACTTGATGTTACTTGGCAGATATCCACAGCTTTACAAGGTGGCTCAAACACACCTCCATCTGCTTCAGTGCTATCTCTGCACATCTTCATCACGATAATGGTCAGTAATGGCAGATTTGTTCAGCCCTATTACACAGAAATGGCTCCTAATTCAGGTGAAGCAGATGTGCTGGTATCCTTGTTGTGCTTCTTCATATGTACCAAGAAGTTGAATATATACATACCATTAAAAACTCTGCTTTGAGGCAGCCTGATTGGAATGCTGAGCCCAGCACGTTGATGCTCTCCTCATGTAAATATGACCCTGCTGTTTGCTGCGGTGCAGCTTGTGCAGAAATGAACAGGTGCAACACTCCCAGGAGAAAGATAGAGATCACAATGCATTCAAGAACTAGCTATTTTCATCTCCACTGACTTCAGCTCTTGTTTCAGCTCTTTAGTCACTGCTTGTGCCAAAACGCAGGTGTCACCCTGAGACGGAGGCACCCTGACTATAGGGAGCTCAGACGCAGATGTGAAAAATGTTTCCAAGGGACACTTAACATGCATGACTTATTTTTTTTATTTTTATTTTTTACTACTTTATTGCAAGGCTTCTTTCTTTCACAAACATAGTCAGGCTTTCATTTTACAATATTATACCTTACATTTTTTTTCTCTTCCTTCCCTTTTTTTTTTTTTTTTTTTTAACATACAGAAAGTAAATAACAACCAAAAAGTAACCAAATCGACATATCTCCAAAAATAAGGCAAAACATACAAGCAAACAAACTGCAGAAAATAAATGCATAAATAAATAATAAAGTGAACTAAATATAATTAAATAAACTAAAGAAAACTGGTAGGGGTAGGGGTTGGTGCATGTATGTGTGTTCGTGTATCTGTGTGTGTATGTACATGGATGTTAGAGTTGGGGTGGGGACCTTTTAATCCATCTCCTTAATTTGATTAAATATTTCTACTGTTTTTGTCAACCTTTCTTTGTGGTATAGCTTGTTCCAAATATGCATTTTTTCCCTATTCATTAACATTAGCCTTTCCATCTCTAGACATTGTTCTGCTGTTAATACCCAAGCCGTTAATTTTGGTTGATCTGATTGTTTCCATGCTTTGGTCACCTGTTTCATAGCAGTTGTTCGACTTATTTAAAACAAGAGTAAATGTGATCTTTGTTGAAATCCATTTTACAACCGCACCACAAGTGCCTGCATTGATCTGTTTATGGGTACACAGTATATTCAATATGGAGCTGAGGAGGAGGTTTATGTTCAGAGGATAGCTATGAGGTCCCAGTACTCCCACCTCTATTTAAAGAGCCACTTTTCTTCTGCACTGTCAGCATGAGCAAGTGCATCATCTTTTTAATCTCTCGACTTCTCTTGTTCTCTTCTTCTCTGTTTCATAGAACCACTGAGTAGTGTGTCTTCTCTGGAGGTGCATTTTGACCTTCTGGACTTGACTGAGCTGACTGACATGTCGGACCAGGAGCTGGCTGAAGTTTTTGATGACTCCGATGAGGCGAACCACAATGATTCTCCAGCAGGTAATAGTGAAACGCATACGTCCCCATCATAAATGAAGAGGGCACTCTCACAATGTATAGACATAAATTTATAAACTGTATAAACATCTGCCTTCTTTTTGTTTGTCTTTTGTTTATATTGAATTTATTTATAAAAATTGATATATAAAGTTATTCTTATTCTTACTCTTATTCCCAAAAGCGTGCACAGGTTTTAATCCGTGCAAGAGTTGAAGCAAATCTGTGGGAACTTCCTCTTTGCTTCCTCGAGCTTCATTTTTTTTTTTAAGTTTTGGTTGTTTTAGTGCTTTACTCATATTTTGATTGCTGAGGGAAGAGTTTGCCTAATTTAATTGTCCCCTGCAGTCCTTTTATTCTTGTCTTAAGAGTGTGTGAGAGAGAGAGCGAGAGAGGGTGTGGGGAGGAGCAGAATGATCTTTTTATATGATTATGGCCTAGCAGGGTCCTTAAAAGGGCAGCTGAGCTGTAATGGTTCCTTCAGGGACTCATAACAACGCATATTTCAAGTGCCATGGACAAACCCAACCTGGAGTATAAAAAAAGACTTAACTTGCTTTTCTAAGCTGGCCTACTCTGCTTGATTTCTATGAGAAAATATATGTTTTATTCAGATCCTATCCAATAATTACATAAAAGAGCTGCTACTTGGATTTGTAGGAAAGAAATGAAGCAGATAAATTAATCAGATGCAGCTCTGGGATTTCACGCACATGTACATGCATATAAAAGGGGAGAAAGGGTTCAACCAGCGTGCACATCACAGCAGCAGGTACTAGATAAAGGTTAGCATGTCTTTCTGCCAGTTTCCAAAAGGAAGCACAAAATCTTTGCCATGTTTTATTCATGTCCTGAGCCTCATCGAGCATGCGGACAGTGAACTCTCTCCTCCTCCTCTGTCACTCTGCCTCTCAGCCTGCACTCAGGGTTTCAAGATTTTAAGGTCCACTGAAAGTGTCTTGTACATTTCATGCGTGGACCGTGGCGCTCAAAAAGTTAATATCATCATTTCTGGATAAAAATGTCAGCCTTTTACTTTTGATTCCAGTGGTTATGAAGGATGTAGCCAAAAAACTGTTGATTGTAAGTGTGGTAGCAGTAATGGGTTTAAAATGTTATTCATTGCTCTGGAAATGAAGCAGACATAGTCATGACGGTGATTAAACTAACGCCTAAAGGTGGCTGGAGGCCAATCACATTATGTATGCAGAGATTTTAACGAAAGATTGATTTACCACTCCGCTGTTTTAATACAGTTTAACACAGAGCTGAGCAAATCTAGTCTGGTAGTCGTCTTTAAACTTAAGAAACCAGGATTTTGTATTTATCTGCTGCCATCACTTTTCTCTTTTCTCATCATTTTAATCATCTCTTCCTTGTCCATTACATCTTTCCCTCTGTTTCTTCTCTTTTCTGTTTATTGCTAATGTTCCATATCATTGCACAGCTTGTTAAGTCTGAGTTATTGTCTCAGCGGGCCATCTGGGCGGCGTTCGGCTGTCTGCAGCTCCAAAGCCAGTTATCAAAATCAAAGATGTGAAAGCTGGAAAACAGGCTTTTTTTTATCCTCACACATAATCATTATAACTTGATACGCTGCAGTTGTTAGTTACTAGCTACCTTCCATACCTTTCTAGCATTATTACAGAGCAGCATACATCAAAGTCTTGTTTCTAAATGATCCACACACAAGACATTTTGAGTTAAAATACATCTGGGAAAGAGTGTGTTCGGTTTGTCAATTAAAGCTCCAGTCAGGAACTTAAAGTTTGTGTTTGGCGCCCTCTGTGGACAAAACTGTCTTTGATACTCTTGAGCAGGGGTGGGCAATTAATTTTTACATGGGGCCACACGAGAAACCTGAACTGTGTTGGAGGGCCGAACCAACAATAACTTATGCATTTTACAAGCAACTTCTGAGAGAAACAAGCCTAAAGTCGTTTATAATAAGTGGACTTCGCAACTAAAAGGCGTCTATGTATATTTTGCCGATGTTTAAACTTGTCTCTGTTCACGTCCAAACGGAAATAAACCAACGGCTAGGTTTTCAAAATAAAAGCAACACACTTGCATGTTGATGATTTCATTGATGGACCTTACAAAGGGCTGGGCAGGGACATCCAAAGGGCCGGATGTGGCCCATTGGGCTGTAAAATGCCCAGGTCTGCTCTTGAGGATAATAATAATTAAAACAAAAGTAATAATGATAATAGTTATAATAATCATAATTATAATGATATTTATGTAACACCTTGAAATACAAAAGTTAACAAGGTGCTTTGATGGACAAAGTAGAATAAATAATAATTATAACAATAGAGAAGAAATAAATCTATATCACAACACAGTCAAGTGCAGATCATAAAAGGTACGGTCATAGCAAATAAAAAGGCAAAAAATTGAAAAATAAATGCATTTTGAGGAAAAGGAAAGGTAAAAGGAGGAAATTTCAATGATCTATTTTAGCATTTTTCACAGTGTTATTAACCTCGACAGAATTTTTCTGACTCTCAAAACTGTTTAAATCCTCTGTGTGGTTGTGTGCTTTTTGGTGATGTACCTGATTAAGTTGTTTTTTTTTTGTTAGAGATGACAGAGAAACGAAAAAAGCACAGCTAAGAGTCAAACAGGTAAGCAGCAAAAATATAGCTGATACATCTCCGTAAATTCAACATCTCCTCCAGAATAGCAGTATTTCTAAAATTTCACTGTATCTAATAAATCATGCTAGAATCATTCAGTAATCCAGAAAATAAATGAACACTGAGATGTGTTCAGCTGACTCTATGGACTTCATGACTGCTTAGCAAATAGTCTAGATTAAATACCTACAAAAGTAAACATACCCGTTGATGCTGTCACAGAATCATATTTTAAGTTATTTACAGCACACACACCTTCAAATGCCTTTGCTTATATCTTTTCTGGGATTTAATGTCAGGCGGTAAAAACATTTTCATAAAGTGAAGCTCTGCACATACAGGAAAAGATCAAAAAAGAAGGATGTCCAACTTTGTTTGCAGCGGCTGCAAAAACCAGCTCTTAATGAAACTCCCCCACAGCTGCACTAACTTTGAAGTTTTTTGTGTAAGCTTACAGAGTACAGTTTTAGAGACTAATCAAGGTTTTGGACACTAATCAGATATAATTTTACACACGGCTAAAACCAGTGACTTCATACAAAAGTGGCAACACAATTAATTTCACAGCCATTTGATTCAAACTTTGGTTATTATTAGAAATCATATTCTGATCCAATTTAATCAGAATGATTGATCCTCCAATTAACTCAATACACTAACAGCCACACCAGCTCAGTCAATTAAACCTGTTTTCATGGCAAAGCATCAAGTGGCTCAAGTCTAAACCGTTTTAGCCAGTCCAATTTTTCAGCTGTCCTCTCTGGTATCACAGCATCAAGGTTCCTCTTTGTTAGTCACAGGACACAGCTGCCTGAGGACAGGTGCAGGAGAAACAACAGCCAAGACACTTCCAGTCCAAGGTCTAACATCCGCTGTTCTGCTTTCAGCTAATCAAGATGAAGTCCTGCTGCCAGGACAGGCACAGCTGGACACGGCTGTTAGGATGTGAAGTGATTTTATTTCCACTGCCTCAGATCTGTGAGAAACTAAATCTTGACAATGATATAATGTTGGCATTCACATTCCTGATGTAACTATTCTGCAGTGAACGCCGTGTGTCAGTCACTCTGGTATTTTTACCTGCATAAATCATGAATAAAAATACATCAGCCACCTGGGAGTATAGCAACTTCTCTTCCTTGTCAGAAGTGTTTAACCTTTCAACAAACGACACGGCTCCTTCTTCAGAAAATTTCTGGCATCTCTACCTGGGAGCTGTTTTTGTCTCTCAGTCAGTGCAGACGCAATCCTCCTTCTCCGTCAAGCTCGGTGTCTCAGCTCATCTCTGTACTTCACTCCCTATATCAGTCCATGTCAGCTGCAGATAGGGCTTATACAAGGGACAGATAACAATCCCAGAAGGGCGCTGAGAGAGAAATTGATGCGCATGATTCAGAGTCTGCAAAAAAGATAACGTAAAAAGGCTTCAAAGGGTTTCTCACAAGGTTATGAAAGACGTACAGGAAATTATCATAAAGAGATGAGAATCACAGTTTTTATATGTATACTTCTGGTTCTAGTTACTCATTTGAAGTTTTATTTGATAGAGAGGTGTCATGTGTATCTCCACAGGCACGGCCCTGAGCTGACGTTAGCATTGGCATTTCTGCCAGGTGTTCATAAAAGGAAGAAAGTGACAAAATCGTGTGTCTGCAGAGCATATCAAAACTAAATAGTGTTTGCTCCTGATATTAAAGCAACTTACAAAAGGCATCAACACACAGTTTGATTCTGGCAGTGCCAAAATCCTAGTAAAGACTGCTTAGAACTACCAGGATTGCTGGGTTTTGGTGCTCTGACGTTCAGTCAGAAAACTGGAGGGTTTGCAGGGCAACAGATGGAATGACAGCACAGAGGAGGGATAGGAAATCTTGTCGCTTAAAGGGATGTTTTTCCCACTTTGTCTTTTTTAAGTGTGTTCATATGAGGTACTTTTCACTACTAACTTTATCACTACCAGGGGATGATAATCTCAGCCCCCTTTATTGAGAAACAGGGTGGGGATCTGGCATGAAAGCTGGGCTATTAGTCCCCACAGATGGAGTCAACTCTACTCAGCTGATTTTGGGAGAATTGGACTCAAAAGTGTGTGCTCTGTTTAGAAAAACTTCAGTGCCTCACTCTGTATCAGAAAACCACTTTGTTGACACTGGCAAAACGTAAACTGACCTTTACATTGATTGCCTAATCAGAGGGAATATATTGTTAGGTGGTTGTGAGAATGGGCATTGAATCAGTTCAAGTTGCCTGTCTGAAGTAGCTCACTGGTGTTTCTCCATTCACTGTAGTTCGAGTCCTCAAAAGCCCTCTCATGTTTCGTAGAGAAGACGAGTGAGAATAGCAATGCTTGATTTGCTCATGTGGTTTCCATCACACAAAGCTGTTGTTTTCTCTGAGCTGTGTGTGTGTGTGTGTGTGTGTGTGTGTGTGTGTGTGTGTGTGTGTGTGTGTGTGTGTGTGTGTGTGTGTGTGCGTGCGCACGTGCGTGCGTATAAAGACATCAAGATAGATTTTTTTTTCTATAAACATTACTTTCACATGACCACCTTTCACTTTTTGGACAACAGATGATATATCACTTTGTCCACAAGGGGCGCCAAAATTGACACAAACCAAAATCTCCCCACAGCAGCTTTAGGAACAACATTTTTATAACATGTTGGGATCATGCAAAGCTACATATTTGTAAATGAAAAATATATTTTATCTCTCAGTTGTTTGCTAGTTGGTTGTCATTATAAAAGATAACTTGTGTTGCACTGACAGACAAGGACATTGTGAGTAAATGGGTTTATCCAAACAGCAGCTTCATGCACATTCACTCTGTGTTTTTATTCGTCAGGGCCATTATTCTGTCTTTTAATTTCATGCAGAGCTTCTTTTGATGAGTGTGAACAACTCTGCTAATAGTAAAATGATGACACGTGCGAACTGCCTTCTGATAAAAGTCGTGTAATGAGAGCAAATTGTATTTGTACATCAGTAAGTTCAGGGTGAGGGCCAAAGAGATGAGTGTAATTTAATTAACTGGTGTCAAAGTTTGAATTGCAAATGTGGTAATATTGAGCTGTGGTGTGAGAGACTCTAAAGAAACTGCTGAGTGAGTGGTGAGTGTGTAGGAGATGAGAGAGGTTAAATGAAGTAGAACAAGGAGAGGAGAGGAGAGGATGGGGGGTTAGCAGGTTCAAGCTAAATGTAGGTTTCTGAATTATTCACTGTCCCTGCTGGAAACAAGGCCAACCCTTCAAAGCCATTTAGACAGTTATCATGACCTCAGAGAGACACAAGCACATCATTTATACATGTGTGTATCTTGTTTGTTTTTTTTACCCTGCTGTCTTTCTTCCACACTTCCCCCTCATCCATTCCCACGTTCCTCTCCTTCACATTCGGAAACCTGGCAGCTTACAGTCTCATTCAGATTAACATCCTTTCATGCTTTTAAATGAGTAAAACGTGATCAGCTGTAATCCACAGATCGAACCCAGAGAGCAGGGAACATGCAGTAATGAGTGTTTCAACAAGCGTCTGTTTTTGTAGAGCAGCTCCAGAGACACAGAGGAAAAGGCTGAGTCTGTCCAGCAGGTCTGCTCTTTGTGTCAGACTGAAAAAAAGAGAGAGTGAGAGCAGGTCTTTGTTAACAGGTTTCATGAAGAATTTCCTTTGAAGAACAGAAAATGTATAAACTCGAATTCTTGACAGTGTTGACAGTGACAGTGTGTTAGGGCTGTCAAAGTATACCGCTATAGAACTGTATCTTTAATTAAATTTCAATGTTATGCTTTGCAGTAACAGCCTGGGTTCACAGTAGGGCTGGGCGATAAAACGATAATGATATATATCGCAAATTAATTTCCCTCAATGTCAATGTAAAACATGGTCAATATGCTTTTCAATAGTCTGCATTCTGCCATGTTTTGGTAGACTATACGAATAGCCAATGAAAGGGAAGTTGCTCCAGGTCTGCTTTGCACTGAACTAATCATGTGCTGAATTAGAGCCAAGTAGCAAACAACTGCATAGTAGCAGGCTGCAGCTACACGCAACCATAGCACTTTAACATGTAAAGCCGACAGCACTGTTGGTGAGAAAAAAAACAAGTGCTACCCCCGGCAGAAATGCAGATGACGACTCAACAGATGATGACATCGTCAACAACACTGACACGGAAATGTTAGTGTTGTGGAGGTATTTTGGTTTTTAAAGTCGGACATGAAGCAGATTAATGTGCACTACAAATTATGTCGAGTACATGTTCTTACAAACTCGGGCAGAGCAAGGAGCCCATGGTGCCTGTGCAGCTGAAACAGCCGACCATTCAGTCTGCTTTCTTAACGCAATGCCTTACGACAAAACGTCAAAGAGACACAAAGACCTCACAGCTGTAGTAGCTTATTGTATTGCAAAAGACATGCTACCAATAAACACTGTTAAATTTCTTTTTTTACACCGTGATATATATCAATATCGACTGATATAAAAAAATATATCGTGATAAACTTTTTCCCATATCCCCCAGCCCTAGTTCACAGTATTGAACCTTTACATAAGTTGCCACATGTCTAAATAGAGGATAGACGCAAAAGAAGTAGCAGACTGCTAGCAAGCTAGATGAGCAGCTTTTTCAGAGATGAATAGGCACCTTTAAAACTGATGTTTAAGATCTACTGTTTGCACCTCTTGGGGTTGCTAACCAGTTTAATGCATACTTTCAATTTTTTTTCTAAATAGTTTCCATTCAGTCCTGTAATTTAGGTCCATTCTCAGCGTCCACACTCACTGACTTAAATGTGCTTTCCCACTAAGTCTGTCTGGGCTGTCTCATTGTTAAATCTCACTCTCAAGTGTGTTAGGGATCCCTGCCAGACTTTTGGAGCCCTTAATGCACCCTTTCCGTAAGTGGGCACCTCTGCAGACTTTGTATGAGGGATTACCCATAATTCATAGCATTGTGAAGCAATCACGAGATTCCCAAGGGAAGCCTGCAAGGACAGAAGGGGAAAGGAAAGCCATGACAAGGAAAATTTTAAAGAAAGACAGTTACTATGGAACAGAGAAGAGGCGCAACACTGACTCTTAAAAGAATACATTTGTCTGTATATAGAAGCGAGGATATCATAATTTTTTTGCCACTACTGAGGGCAACAAGATGTTATGTTGTCAGTGTTTTGTATTGATTTCCAGGCTTTGCAGCCTTGTGCACTCAATCGCTTTCCAGGTGATGTCTTTAAGTCTTTAAGGTAGGGTGACCATACGTCCTTATTTACCCAGACATGTCTTCTTTTTGGGGGGGCTGTCCGGCTTTGTCAGGGGAAGTTTATAAAATCCTTCAAATGTCTACGGTTTTGTACGTAAGTTTCGAGTTTGTGTCACGTGGACTTACTGAGTTAAAAGCGTGTGAAAGACTCTCGATCCGACCCGGAAAACTCTTAAAATGAACTTTGTGCGACTCCATGACTGCGCCCCCATGTAGTCGTGTCCTCTTTTTGGGAAGTCAGAATATGGTCACCCTTCTTTAAGGGCTCAGAGTTTAGGAAGGACATTGAGATTCAGCCAAATGAGAAGTAGTATTTTTCAAAATAAAAGCATGGTTTAACAATGCATTAAATAAAGAAATCTAAACACAAGATCAACAGTATATCAAAACAAAATCATGATATGCTTCATTTGTAAGGATCCAAGGCAGTTTTTTGTCACAGGGCTGGCTGTGTGGATAATTCATGAATCTGAATATTGATAGGAATGGTGCCGTAAGTAATTGCATATTAGTCAGTTTCTGAAATGATGTGTAATTATGAGGAAAAACTCTGACATTGTGACAGTGTTGGGCTGTGTTATTATTCAACAGTGACTCCAGCAAAAAGGGTTTTCCTTTCTGACAAGTTGTGTTTGGTGTCTGCAGATTTCCTGAAACACATCTTGCACAACATAGATTAGAAAAAATACAACAGGCTGCACCTGCAACCACGATGATGTCACGGCAGGTGTTTACACTCTGCTGTCACGGATACAACACCTGCAGTGATGTCACTGCTTCAGACTGAGCTAAAAGGCTCCAGACCACATTTTTACAGACTGATTCCAGCTCATTTGCTGCATGTGGAGGTTGCTCCAGGCAGTCAAGACATTACAGATTATGGTAGTTGAAAAATTCTTGCCCTACTTCTCAAAAATTGATTAGGCTTAGCCGGGATCAGCATGCATATAAGATTACTAGAGTTCTGCTGAAGGAGTATGAAAAGGGAAGGGAAAATAACAATGAGCACATAAACACAAATCTTGCATCCTATATCATCCCTCCCTGTACCCTCACAGGTTTTCTGTAGGAGAGTCTGCTGTTTCTGAAGTGAAGATGTAATGGCTGTCAGCCAGCAGCACAGTACACATGCCGTCAGATCAGAGTACCCTGTGCATATGGCAGAACAAAGAAAATCTCGACACACTGTGAGGAGCTGTGGAGACAGTCCTTTGTGTGTTTTTCAATGATTTTCTTTAACTGTGCGATCAGCTTTTTTAATTACATGTCAGAATAAACAGGCCAGCCCAGTTCTGAGTGATAGACGGGCACATGTATAAAGAACATATACCGCCCACATATACACATTGTGCTGTGCATGCCACATATACATACATATATACATGCATTTTTACATACATACATACATAAACACCACGTGCAGTCACTAGCAGGTGTTCATAGCTCTTACAGCAACACATGCCGTCATGCTGTTCAGGAGGTTGTTGTCCCCCTCATTAAAATCCAGCAGAGACGCCATCAATCTTCTGAGATCAATAAGTGTTTTCCACCCCCCCATCCACCCCTTTTTCTTATTTTCTCCTTTTTTTTTCTAGAGCCATTTTGCTCACTTTCTAATGTGTGTGGATTTCTGACTGTGGCCTCAGGTGGATTTGTAAGGTTTGTTATTGGGTGACCTTTAGTAATGAGACCCAACAAAGACTGGAAAGCGTCTGGCGGAGCGAGGTTTCTGCTCGCTGCCCTTCAATCCTTGTGTTGCTTTGTTGTCCAGCTGGTAGAGTGGACACCACCACCCAGTGGCATAAAGAAGAACTGACATTAAAAATTCATTACAACAGTATTTCAGTGAAAGCTGAACATGTTTTATATTTGCAATAAAGTGACACTGTTTGTTTTGTGTATTTGAACCATTTGCTCTTGTTTGAAAAATTCTATTTCAGATGTTTCAAATAGTTTCCAACCTCATCCTGACCAGCTAAACATTATTAATTCACATTCTGTAATTTATCTGAAATAGTATTCAGTGTCATCAGGTAACTGTGAATAAATAAGATTTGTTTCCAGTGAGTTCATGCATATGAGTGTATGTATTGGTGTCCTACAAAGAGACTGTAAGATAGAAGAAAGTCTGCAGTAAGTCAGTCTTGCAGGGTCTCTGTAGCATTAAACAGCTGAGCTCTGGAGATCATTGTAAAACTCCTCGTAAAGGTTTAAAGGCTGAGTGTAACAAGGCCAGTTTACACAAAGACAGAGAAACGGGACCAATGTGCAGTGTGATTTTCTTCAAGCTGCCTCCTCAATCTGTGTATTTGTAACAAGTCATTGTGTGTCTTTGTCTTCTAGGTTCACACCAGCCTGTGCTGCCCAGAGGTGGGTACATGCGCTCCCCCTCGTGGACACGCTGCAGCAAAGTTGAGCCTCCCAGAGAGAGAAAGCACCACAGCGACTCAGACACCGTAGAGCCCTTAGTGAAGCTGGAGAGGCCGAAGCAGCTGTGAAAGCTGTGGTGAAGCAGCAGATCAGTCGGGGAAGAAAGAAAGGGAGTGAGAGAGAGAGAGAGAAAGAGAACCCGGAGCAGAGGAGGCACAGCCAGAGTGGGACCACAAAGCGGACCAAGAGGCCTCCCACTGTGCACTGACATAACGTTTCATGGTGCTCAAGTTCAGGCTGAACTCTATACAAAGAACTCTGTGCTCTAATTTAAGATTTTGAGATGTGCAATACACACTCTCTCCTCTCTTCTTCTTTTACACACACACACACTCAGTCATTGTGTTTTTCATGCAAGGGGCTTTTAATGCACTCTGAGCTTCCAGGTGATTTGAAGCTTTGTTTCTAAGTGACAGGCAAGGTTTTGAGGTCAGCCTCCATCCTTACAGCCTCTCAGGGTGGGAAACAGCCAAAACAGCAAGATTGGCTCATAATGTGTGTGTGTGTGTGTTGAAGTGCAGAAAATGGGAATCACGTTGACTTCCCAGGATATGATAAGAAACACAAATCAATAGAGTGTTTTCAAGGTAAAATGTCATGCTGAGGCTGCTGCTGCTAAATGTGTTGGCTTGAAAATGTTACAGGGTTTTTTTTTCTTTGCCTGTAGTTCAGGTAACTTGATCAGATGAAGTGGATGCAAGTCAGGCTCTTTATATCCTCCACACCTTCTTCATCTCGATGAAGAACGCTTCTTGTTGCCTAAATTGAATTTTGCACTTCTCACTGGACTTTATTTACAGTGCCCTGAAGAATTATTGGCCTTTGGTGCAGACGACTCACAGATAAACAGACCAAGTAGCAAGCTAGATGCAGCACACTTTCCCTTGCTTTAGTTTTCTTTTGCATTATTGGTTTCAAAAATGTTTTCAATTTTTTAGAAATAACTTTTAGAAAGAAAGCAACAATTACTGCAGTAGTTGATTCGTATTTTCCAGAGTTGGTAGTTTGTGCCATTTGATAGAGATGCATCAATACTTGAAGTTAGACGTGAAGGGAGAGCTGCACCAGTCGTGAGCTTTGCATGAATGCCAAAAATACAACAAAGTGCCAACAATTTTGTAATCCTGCATTAAACATATCTAGGCAAAGGTTATAGCCGATTACTTGATTTATTTATCTCACCTCCAGCTCGTCTTCACCAGGAGTGCCAATAATTCTGAAATGCTGTGACACGATGGATCAAAGTGACACTAGGATGACAGGAGAATAAATACAGTCCTGAAAAAGTGTGTTTGATCGTGTCTTTTATGAACTGTACACCATAATTAACAGCTTTATTCTACACAGCAGAAAAGCAAAAATGTTTCTAGAATCATGGGATTGATTTGCTGTAACTCATACTTCCGCATTACAAGGAATGCTGAGCAACTAAATTCGAGAAAAAAAGTTGAATTTGTGCATAAATTATTGAACATATCCTTAAATAAGATCCGAGAGTTTACTGAAACGATAGTCCCACTATGCAGAAAAAAAAAGTGTTGCATTCAAAAACAGGTTGAGGCTTGAATAAACACTATACTGTTACAGGGTCATTCTCCTCTTCCTCTGAGCCAGCTCCCATATTGGCTTTCTGTCACAGCCACGATCTTTTGGGTATTCTGGAGCAAAAATCCTGAACCTGAAGCAAGACCCAGGAGTTAGTATTTTCAGCTCATCAGTTATACATCTGTTTTTTCTGTTTGTCAAAATCAGCACGTTATTGTTGAGTATTAATACTTTCTAAAAGACAGTAAACATTACAAATCAAAATACCGCTTGTCAATTTAGGAAAACTATATGTTTAAATTTGAGATTAGACAGACATTCAGACCCTACAGAATAATAAGATTCATGGGGGGGGGGTCAAATACAATTAGGCACTGCTGGGAAACACAAGTTCAACAAGCCTTTTTATATTCTCAACAAAGACTTAAATGTTCTTACCTGGTAATTAATTTGCATTGCAATAGTCTAGTACCAGAAAACTCAACATTCAATCTTATTTTTCCAAAATTAGACTTTAAAGGCTGAAAACCTGTGCAGTCATTTTGCTGCTGCTCTCCCTCCCTCTGCTGGTGTTTTCATGTAAGCACATGGAGGCTAAGGAGCTGGTTTGGTCAATAATTTTGGTCAATTTCCTGCTGCTGCTCTCACTGCCTTGGCTTTTCGTCTATGAACATAAATAAGAAGGGAGGTGTAACACACATGGAAGAGCAGGGAGCTCACAGAACAGAGCCATACCGCCAAATCACAAGTAATTTATTCTTCTTGGTGTAATATTATTTTAAATACAAACTGAAACAGAAAGGAGCTGTGTCCACTACTCAGCTGGGAGTTTAAGTTGCCCAAGCTGTTAAAGAGTTGAGTTCATAAAAGGGGCTTGATATAACATGCACATTTTCCACAAACCTTTAGTCACAGAACTTGTTGAGTGTTACGATTAATTAAGAGGTAAGTTTTCTTTTGGTTTTCTGATTCCTGTAACCTGTTGGAATAGCAGAGGAGCAACCCAGTGGTGAAGGTCTTACATTAAATGTGTATTTTCCTGAAGAGAAGCTGCGCTGATCAGAAAAAATACACAAACTCGAAATGAAAACTCAGATCACTGTGGTATAAAAACAGTTTAATATTGGAGAGTCACAGCAGCCTCACATTGCAGTTGCTTAATTCATCTTCAATCATAACTTTGTGTAAAAACAAATATTCACCAAACAAGAACAAAAAAAAACAAGATTGTCAAGCAGGCCCAAAACACACAATAACTCTATATACAACCAGCCTGCTCATTTTTTTGTGAATGTTTTTTTAAATTAAATCTGAATGACAAAAATGTTCCAGTGTCAGCTGGTCAGGGCCTTTTTCACAGGGCAAACCTGATAACAGTCTTTAATTATACTGCAAGGCATTTATAGTTCAAGTATATTTTTACATTAACTCCTTTGCTCAGCTCAAGGCAAAGATTGATTTACAATGCTAACAGCATCTCTAGGAGTGGTTCTCGTGACCATAAGGTGAGATTTCTGCTCAGTTGGCTCACAGTTTCGAGACATTTCAATGTAAGTCACAAAAAGGCTGAAGGAAAAAACTTCTGATTATAAAAAATCTAAGGTCATTTCACTAAACCTTGAGGGGAGAATTGAAGAAAAGACAGTAAATTCTCACTTTGCTGAGATCCACTTATGCTACAGTAAAGTACGGTCAGTGAAGTCATGGAGCTTAGTTCTTACGATAAACAGGAAAAACTGTTTTAAACAGGAAAAACTGTTTAAAAGAGGCAGTAAAAAGAGACTGTGAGGTAGTGTGAGTGAGTGAAGAGTGTAAAACCTTAGTCCTAATGTGTGACAGAAAACCTTCAGTACATGAGGTCCATTAATTTTTGTAACAATGCTCTTACTTTAGGTGCACCAAACACTATGGTTTTTCTAACAGCTGCCTTTACTAATTTATATTCATGTGAACCGGGTTGAGGATAGCTGAATAAAGATATTAAAATGTATGAATGCATTTGAGAAGTGAAGCATAGACCAAGACGTGAGATGGTGTCTTTACAGAACAGTACAATAAAACAGTGACAAGCGCAGACAAAGTACAAAACCTGGTTTCCTCACTCAAGCATGTTTATAATATTCAACTATTCACAGGATAATATGGAAGTTTGGACTTGAAGCGACTTAAAAGGTGAAAAGGTTCTGAAAATGGCCAAGGAAAAGTATGTTTTTGGGTACGATTGAGTAAAGTTTGATTTCATTTAACTCTTAATACAGTCCTCTAAATTTTGTCTGTGCTGACTTTGACAGCAGATTATTATTAGTAGATTGGGGCGGCAGTAGCTCAGGAGGTAGAGTGGTCGTCCAATAATTAGAGGGTTGGCGATTCTCCCCTATCCCGAGTCTGTCCGTTGTGTCCTTGGGCAAGACACTTAACCCACCTTGCTCCCAGTGTGTGTCCTCCACTGGTGTATGATTGTGAGTGTTGTGTGGTGGTGGTCGGAGAGGCCGTAGGCGCAAACTGGCAGCCATGTTTCTGTCAGTCTGTCCCAGGGCAGCTGTGACTACTAAGGTAGTTTACCACCACCAAGGTGTGACTGTGTGAGTGAATGAATGATGTATCCAATGTAAAGCACTTTGAGGGTATCTGATAAAGCGCTATATGAAATCTGATGCATTATCATTACTATTATTATTATGTGGGTTGTTTATCCGTGACATTAAAAGTCAAAAGAAAGTCATTTTCAAACTATCTTTTAAGATCATTAAAGCAAAGTAAAGTTGTTTGTTTTCACTTTCAAATGGACATTTTCAGCTTTTCACTCTCAGTTATAACACTAAATTAAAAGTCTTTGGGATTTGGATTAATAAAGGGGTAAAAAAGGCTATTTGAAAAATTCACTTTGGCTCCTGAAAACCTTCAATGAGCACATATCTCTCTCTCTCTCTCTTTTTTTTTTTTTTTACATTTAACAGACTTAATCGGAAATTGCATACTCTTGAAAACAGTCAGCAGATTTACTAAAACGACAAAAGCTGCTAGTTTCAACACTTCAGTTGTTGCGGGGAAGTGTGGCACTAGAATATGAAAGGAAGGGGTCTCCAGTAAAATGCAAGTAACATACACCTTGGCTTACCAACACTAGACTGCAAACATTATAACGTATACCAGTTTTTTGGCCGTTGTAGACCCGTGCAACACATTACAATTCCTCCCTTTACAGCTGTCCTTGAGATGAACAAGGTTTTTTTTTAGAGCCCTGACAGGCTGCAGTCTGGACCAGATGGTGTTGCTCTTAAGAAACACTAACCTGAATCCAGTGGAATATTTCCGTTCAGCTCAAGTCCACCTACAAGTACACAGCTGATTTATTTTGCTGATCCTGCATGTGCTTTTCTTCACCTCTGTTTTTGTTCCAGTCCTTCAGTCCTTTAGGTAGAGATATGTTCTCCTCAAATTCCCCCAGTCCTTCGACAAACTCCTCATACGATGACTTCTCCTGAAAGGGACGAGATCCTAGTAGCTCCACGATGTCTGCTTTGTCCAGAATCTCTTTTTCTAAAAGACGTTTTGCCACCTGCAACACACACAGTCACATATTTATTCTTAAATATAACAGAAGTTATATTTGCACATCCATTTCCCAAAAAGCCTGGGAATTTCTGACACTTTATCTCCAGTCTCTCTGTCATTTAAAGGTGGAGTGTGTAGAAATTAGAGGCATTCAGCAAAATACACTTGGTAAAAATTGAACAAGTCAATATATTCTTTGTATGTAAGTTTAAATCAGAGTATAATCACCTGAATTTGAAACTTCTTTTGTTCCTGTTCACTTAAACAAGACTTTTATATCTGCATAAAAGTGGATCCACTTTCACAGTGGCCACCATCTTGAATCACCATGCTTCTACTGCAGCATGGAAAGGACAAACTAGTAAAGTACATGTTTTTTTCAATGAGTGACCAAGTGAAATGCACTGGTGAGAAGATGGAGAAGAAGAGGACAGTGGTTATACTTGTAATGAAAGATGTTTTTCATAGAGAAACTTGATAAATGGAGGATCAAATTTAGCATGTACTGTATGTTGAGGCTTCTTGTCCTCAAAGGCTGCTTCACTGAGCAGGGAAGCATTTCAGCTCGTGTTATGCATTGACAACCTTCCTCACCTTCTCCACCATGTCTTTCTTATCAGTGACGAGCTGGAGTGTCCTCTGGAAGGCAGCATCTATGAGCAGGCGGACCTCCTGGTCTATGAGCTGAGCTGTAGATTCACTGAAGGGTTTCTCTGTAACTATATCCCCCTGCCTAGGGAGGTCAAAGGACATCTGACCCATCGTGTCGCTCATCCCAAACTGAACAACCTGAAAATAAAGAGAAAAGGGGACTGGAGATCAGAAGTTGCTTCATTTATTTTTTTTTTCTTTATTTATAATTTTAACTGTTGAAAATTAAATCAGTGTTGTTCACTTTAAGAGTCTGATTCACCACTAATGTTTAATAACACTGCAATATTATCTGCGATACCATACAGTGGTCTATTGCCTTGTGTTTGTTGTAGGATGTGAAAATTATTACCTGTGCATATGCAGACTGGGTGACTTTCCTGAGGTCATCGTGAGCTCCGGTGGTGACTCGCTGAAAGAAAACCTGCTCTGCCACTCGACCTCCCAGCATCATGCACATTCTGTCAAACAGCTGCTCCTGGTTAAATAGGTACTGTTCTTTAGGCAGATACTGAGCATAACCCAGACCTTTACCCCTGGGAACGATGGATACCTGAGGGTGAAAAATATTATTAATGTAATTAATATCATTGTGATACAAAACCCACTGAGCAATAGACAGCTATTAGACATATATTTTTTTTTTACCCCTAATTTCAACCGTCTAGATTCTGTGTATTTTTAGACGGAATTTAGACGGTTGCATTTTCACCCATTATTTGATAACTATTTATTTCAAAAAGCAACTGTGAGTTGCATAACTGATCCCCAAGTACTAAACTAGAATAATTATGATAGCTGTTGAGCAATATACAGTGTAGTACAGATATAGCCCAGATTTAGACTTGGTCTAAACTTGGTCTAAATTTAGACGACTAAAAAACTTAGATTTTTAGACCTGTGGTAGCCTGATTTTAGACCAGTCATCTAGGCTACATTTAGACGTCAATTAGACCTCTTTTAGACCAAAAAATGCTCAGTGGGAGGGCAAAAACAGAGAGAATTATGCCGGAGAATTAAGAAACATTCTCAATACTGAGTACCTTCAGTAAGGGGTCTGCATGTTCTAGGAACCAGCCCACAACAGCATGCCCTGCTTCATGGTATGCCACAGTAGTCTTCTCTGGAAGCTGAAGTACCTGAGACTTTTTCTCTAGACCTGAGAGAAAGAAGGACGTCTCACTGAACAGCACTCTATATCTCTATATTATCTGTGCATGCAACAAATGATCAGGGTTTATGAGCTCTGGTGGGACGCTACAGAGACAGCTGAGAGGAGGGTGGTGTGGAAAGATTTTGTCTCAGAGTGGCACAAAAAAATCAAATCATAGCGAATTATAGAATTAAATCCTTAGAGGATGACGAGCTTATTACATTTGACTGACTGACCTAGAATTTCAGCATTTCTGAGTAAACACGAAATAATCCATTCAAACAAATGTTGTACAGTACAGAATAACAACACATGACAGATGTGAACAACAAAACAAACTCTTGGAGTCCATTTCTGCCCTCAAATTACTCGAATTAGTGATGTTGGAGTACTTTCATAATATCGGGTACATAGACTGTTTGTGTCTGATAACTTACCTCCAATAACTCTCTCTGTCGCCTGCTCAAAGTGCTTAGTGCTTATATGTTGGTGGAGGTGGCGTGCAGCGATTAGAGCAGCTTCATTACACACATTAGCAATATCAGCCCCTGAAATGCACAAAGAGAGTCGATACGAGAGTTAGACTGCGATTTAACTTCACAGACAAACCAAATGCTCCTTAGAAATCCATCAAATGACCAAGCTGACCTGAACATGAATTGTTCTTACCAGTAAAACCTGGAGTTAGTGCAGCTAGCTTCCTGGCCAAAACCTCTTTGTCGATACTAGAATCAAGCTTTAAAGGTCTTAAATGCACCTTGAAGATGGACGCCCTGCCTTTGATATCTGGCGGACCTGCAGATAAAGAAAACAAATAAATAATGAACTGTGAATTTCATGAAGTTGGACAAGGTATCTTTGAAGATAAAATTTTAGGGGTGTCCTTTCACAATACTGATATTGGATATCGGTCTGATATCAGCAAAAAAATATGAATATCGGATTATATCAGCCTGCATCTAAAATCTCAGATATCAGCACTCCCATACAATCAGCTCATTCCAGACTCCGCTCCAGCACCTCTAGCTAGCAGCGCCCTCATCCAGCAAGCTGAGTCCACAAAATCACACCAACAGTGTGTGCTAAGGTACTAACAAAGTAGCAAGGAGTAAGAGTGATGTCGGCCTTGTGGCAGTGGTTTTTGTTTGAGTCCGAAAAAGACACTGCAGCCTAGTGAAAAACTTGTCATGCACAATTTTGTGCCAAAATCAGATCAATATTGGTATTTGTCAGTATTGAAGGGGACAATATAGGTATCAGACCGGAAGTCAAAAAGTTGTATCCGGACACCCCTATAAAATTTGGAAGGTGATAATCTTTATTCACTTTTTACTTTAAAACTGCAGCTAGATAAAAGATTATGGGGCAAAAGCTGCAGAGAAAGTGGTATTAAAAGCTCCAGTTTGACCACCTGTGATGAAAAAAATAATTTTGCAGGACTGGGTTTCAAAGTAAAAGACTGAAACACTCTGATCTTCTGATAGAAAATGAACTGATACCAGGAACTTAACATCTAAGCATGAGCAATAAAACTGGAAAAGAGGGAAACTGTTTTCAGAGTAATGAGGTCAGACTTTTATTCAGACTGTTTACTTGCAGCCGCTGAAAGACTGAAAGTGGACAACATCTAGAGGAGTGGCGACTGGCATCAGTTATCCAATCTCTCTTTTATAAACTGACAGCTCTGACCCTGTTTTCTTTGTCACAACAAAACTGGCCGGCACTTCTGGTTTAAAAGCTAATTCGATTCAAGCCAGCGGAAAAAGATTAACCACATTAACTGCTGAGATAAAAGCACTCGGTCTGCAACACACGCTTATAACGACATAACTGTAAAGGCGCCAAGAAAAGAACAGAGGCCGGTCTAATGGGCTTGAAGCTGCTTTGAATGGAAACCAAGCAATTACAAGAATAAAGAGTCACCTGTTCTGGCACAGAGGGAAACAAAAACAGCTTAATCTAGGTCTGCATGCACATCATTGACACTAAACTGCCTCTGTTGTACGGTGCCTGGTGTGCAGCTGCATGTGTCACCATGCCACTAAACAAACTGCTTATCTCCAGATGGAAACAATAGCAAGAGGCGAAGCTCAACTCTACAAACAAAGTCTGTTTTGAAAATGGGATGAAAGATCTGTGTTTTCTTTTTGGGGGGAGTGTTTAAAAAAAACATGAGGTTGTATTTTTATCAGAGGTATTTTTGATTTAATGTAGGGGACAGAGGGCACAAAGATCAGTCATTTATGAAAATCCATCATGGAGTTAATGATGCAATAAAATAGGTGCAGAATACAGAGGCAGGATTTAGATGAGTTACCTATATATATATGTCTATCAAATCGCCCTGGCCTCATCAAAGCTGGATCCAGGATATCAGCTCGATTGGTACCAGCCAAAACTACTACATTAGTGCAACTGTTGAACCCTGTGAAGACAGAAGGAAAGAGCAGGGTAAGAAAACACACAGAAATAGATGAAAATAAGCTATAAACAAAAAGCGATAATGATCAGCTCACCATCCATCTCCACAAGCAGCTGGTTGAGGGTGTTTTCCTGCTCGCTCTGGCCACCAAAGTCCCCTCGGCCTCTTTTTCTGCCCACAGCATCGATCTCATCGATGAAAAGGATGCAGGGCGCATTTTTACGAGCTGTGGCAAACATATCTCGTATCTATCACAGGACAAACACATGTTTTATTTTTTTTTTGCAATCAGACTTAATAGACTTTCCATTACGTTTGTAGCACATAAGGGGCTATTGTCAGAGTCCTGAATTCAGCCCTGTACTGACCCTTGCTGGTCCCACGCCCACAAACATTTCCTGGAACTCTGAGCCATTGACAGTGATGAAAGGGACGTTGGCTTCTCCCGCTGTGGCTTTGGCTAACAAGGTTTTGCCGGTGCCAGGAGGCCCTGATAACACTGCACCCTGAAAATAAAAGCAGAATTTTACATTTACAAGCAAAAAGGCCATAAATTATTCCGTATAATCTCACCAGTCAAATAATAATATCACACTATCATCCCTGATCTTTGCCACAATCATTGATGATAGAGGGATGTATGTTACAGCTCACCTTTGGGATCTTGGCTCCTAGATCCTTATACTGCTGAGGGTTCTTCAAGTAGTTGACAAACTCCAAAATCTCCAGTTTAGCCTCCTCACAGCCTGCAACATCCTTAAATCTCACATCGATGTTGTCTTTTATGACCTTTGCTTTGGATTCACTCATGTTAAAAAGGTTTCCTCGCCCCCTCCCTCCACGACCTCCTGCCAATGGTCCCTGTCGCGAGGCAAAAAGCAAAAAGCCAACCAGCAGCAATGTTGGGAATAGAGTAAAGAAGAGGGTCCTGTTGGGGAGAGAGAGAAAAGAAGCTCAATCAAAACAGGGTCAACATGAGAGAATCCAACGTGCATAAGAGTCACCAACAAAAGTGCAGAAAAACTGTGAAAAACTGAGATCCTCACCCGTCACTCTCACTGCTGTAGAAAACAGGTACTTTATGTGTGGGCTCTACACCCAGTTCTTGCTGGGCCATCTCTAGGTTACGTTCAAATGAGTCAACACTGCCAATGTTGAACCACAAATAGCTCTGAAATATATAAAAACAGAAAATATTACATGAAGGTTACAGCACATGCAGTATATACATTTCTAACTCTGTCCTCCAGCCTGGGTGCATTAACTATAATGCTCTCATAAAGGCCAACAACTTAGGACTAATTTTTGACTCTGATCTTTCCTTTAACACCAGCTTTTACTTGTTCTACTTGGTCTGGTAACTGGCCAAGCAAACTCCTGATTCATTGTTTTCATTTTAAGGCTTTTGGAAAAAGCAGTTTGGGCAAATTTTCCTGCCTTAAATTTTATCTTTAACACAGCACATGGGATGGATATATCGCAGGTTTCAGTCACAACTGACAGTCTAATAGGAACAAGTCACTATGCTGGAGGACAAGAGCCATAATGGGTTTTATTTTTTTAAGACAAAACCCCAGATTAGATCCTAGAACTAATGATAGACATAAATGTGTAAAGTCCAAAACTCCTGCTAACCACTTCTGATGACTTCACCCCATGGGCAGGAATCACTTTGACATATTGTTTGTTGACAACCTCCAGGTGATCTACCTGTGAAGAATAGGCAATTACTGACGTGTTTACACAAACATACAGATCAAAACTACAAAACATGCCAAAGATACTAAAAGACTTCCTGGCTCTATCTTAAAGACTCCAAAAACAGGCAACTGGGCTGTCTACACAGTCCAGTTGCCTGTTTTTGGAGTCTTCAAGATATCCATGACCTGGATGAATGAGAATCTACATGGACGCTCTGGCTCTTACCACGCCTCTGTTCAAGTAGTGATGCACAAAGTCCTTCCAGGAGATCTGGACCCCCGTCTCCCGGAAGTAAAAATACAAGAATGCTGTGGACATGCCTGCTGCGCCGATTAAAATGTTACGGACAACTTTTGAATCCAAGGGGAAATCCTCCTGTGAGATAAAGAAATATTTTTCTAAATACAAAGTAAGGTAGGGTCAGAGCTAGTACGTCTTCAAAACACTAAAACTAGAGGTGACATTGATATCAGATATAAGTTTGAGGCTGTGCATTTTAGTGAGACTTTTCCACACTTTAAGTGTAAATGGCATTTTGATGCAGCATTAACAGCCTAAATTAAAGATGGTTTTACTTCATTACATATGTTGTATGTATGAAAACCCCTCTCTATGATTCACACCTGAAAACGTGTCCATGAGTACCATTCTTCCTTTTTGCCTCCTCTTTGCCTCTCGTCCTCATCATCATTTGTGTTCTGTCTTTCGCTCACAATAGATTCTGGCTCTTTGGTGTTTCCTTAAAAAAAAAAGAGACAGAAGTCTCATACACTTCAAACAGCTGAAAAATGAGGCAATACAAGTGCTGTCAATAATAAAGATGACTTGAACTCAAACCTTCCTCACCTTCAGCTGATTTGCTGCTTTCTTCACTCTTTGGGAAAAACTTCTCAAAACCTAAACAAGCAGAGGAACACAAACACCAAAAGAATTAAAGGCAAAAGCTTCATACTGACTTGGGATCATTGAGTAGAGATAAACATTCAGTCTTAAGCACTGGGTAATACAATGGATTGGTTGATACATCACCTCTGGGTGGTTTGTTTGAGCTGAGGAACCGGGGTAGAGGGAAATTGTGTTGATATAGTCCTCCACACCTTCTTTGGATCAGTGGTAATTTCTGAAATGAATAAACAAAACAATAAAAAGAAGTAAAGCCATAAAGATCTTTATAATACTGTATGTATTCAACATGGTATGAATGATGGTTAGACAGGCAGTAATTAAACATAATAAACCACAGAGACCTGGTATCTACAGGGGTTAAAAATCAGCCATGCAAGCTGTAGCTCTGATGCTTATTTGTCCTGTTACATGTTTTTCCATGAACAACCACTAATAAAGTTATGAACTATGATGCCATTTAGAGCCAAAGAAATTGTGGCACAATTAATCTGATTCAATGAGGTCACTACAGCACTGTTGCTGAGTTACAACACAGTCCCAACATGAGCCTAAATGTAACAGTGGCTGTGAAAGTCAACAGGAATGAAATACTTCAACAGGTTACAAAGAGTCATTTTCTTAAAAGCTACAGACAAATGCTTGAGTGGGGTTTATTTTCAGAGTCAAAAATGACCAAACTCTAGCATTGTTATTTTTAAAGTATTTAGCACAGTCTAACATATTATTTTAGGCAAAGACATCTGTCTAAAGCTGTGTTTTAGTTATTCTTTATCTTTATCTGCAACTGTAAATTGAGCAGGGCATATCAAATTAAAATTACTTTAAAATCAAAGGTGCATTTAACCAAAAGTATTGAATAATAAAATAATTAAATCAAACTTGAATAGCGTACACAGCGGCTCAAGTGCTCCAGTTTTGTTTTTCACTCCATTCAGCCAGTCTCTGCTCCAAAACAGGCCATGTCAGACTTAAATAATTGTATTAAACTCTCTGATGTTGTTTTGCCCAAACTGTCAAGCAGGGGGAAAATCCCTCTGAGTGTGTAGAATAGCAATAGTCTGCAACATGGTCAGCCTTGGTGGACCGTGTGTCACTAACACATCTTGGTTTAAAAACATTGATTGGTCTGAAACTGCCGCTCTTTTAGATTTTTGAGATTGGGCAAAATAACCACTCTTCATCATGTTTTCTCATTGATTTTTCAATAATGATGCAAAGTCCAAATATGCAGGTCACAACCTTGAGAGTGTGTCTTCTTTATATCTTTTAAAGCAAGGCCACAATACTATCCATTCAATGATAACAGAATGCCATTATACAGAATACAATATAAGAAAGGTTCACTGCTTTTATTTTCCACCGTCCACTGACTGTTACTTATATTTAATGTGTCTGCAGACATCAAACCCTGTCTGCAGCTGAACGCATGTATGGGGAGCAGGACAGACACGCCCCCTTCACAGCAGAGCAGCAAGGACACACCCCCAAAGATAAGACGTTACAAAACGGATGAATTTGGCTTTAAAATGCGTTGTTTTAAAAGGTAAACCTCACAAGCATTCACCCTGACAGAGGAATAGTCCTCAAACACTGTAGTATTTGACAATTTTAAGGGTTTTTATGAAGTCTGCTCTCTGTACACAGAACACTGTGTTCTTTTCCATAACAGACCTAAAATCCACCCATGAGGGACTCCTGCACATGCAAAACATTGCTGAATTACGTACACATAATAACCTGTTGCAAAATAATAAGTTGCATGATTTTTTTGTCAGAAAAGTACCAAAATTTGGTACTTAAATTTCGTACAACAAAAACAAAGTGTAACCATACCGACGAGAGCCCTCCGTTGTGTCGAAAAGTGGCTGAAATTGTAGATAAGTCTCTGCTCCACTCCCGGACCGTCCGGACCCGGTTTCGAAAAGGTCCGATACTTAAGGAGAGTAGACCCGTCATTTCAGCTCCCTTCTCTCTGCCTCACTGGATCGTGAGAACAACTACCAAACAATGCAACCAAGTGCCAGCAACCGCCTGTCCTCTCGCGAGATTACGGTACAAAGGGTAACGATGGCTTGGAGAGCCCAGGCAGATTTTCGACGAATGAAGTTAAAAAGCCAAATTTACTTCTAAAGTTAAGTTTGTGTCCGAACCTAAGCCTCAATATTTGTAACATAGAGGAGATATTGACACAGGAAAAAAAGTTTGGGGGTCTGACTTTGTTCTTAAAGAGTGTGAATTCAGTTGCAGATGTTTGTTTATTTCTGGAGTCAGCTGCAGGAAGTTCACTGAGTGTATTTGTTCCTGTCGTGACGCATGCCCCATATATAAGTATGCTCTTAATGAAACAGCTAAACTGCGTGTACCTTGGGGATTCTTTGTTATTTTAACATTACATAATAGTCAGATTTGAGATAGTCCAAATATTTTAAGGACGTACTGTACATTGCACAGCGTTACATAAGGACTGGCGGAAGTCCAAGTCCTCGATAAGTCCCAGTCCTATTCACCTCTGCAAACTCAGACTGATCCCCCACAACATGCCTCCTTGGAGTATGGGAAAGTGGGGCACTTTTATCCTTTGCTGAATACTTAACAAAACTTTAAAACGAAAATTATCTCTGTCTTCAGCAATAATATAAATTTGTACCCAGAAAATCTGCGTTTTTTACTCAAATCATTAGAGTACTAAAGTTATGCATGAGCCGATAAAACATTCTTGGTTACATTATGACTAGCTTCATGTGAAATTGTTCAGTTTTCCCATAGTAAAGTTATACTTTTGCAAAATAAAACCAAAAACTGTTTGTCTTTTAGAGTACCTAATCCTTAAAAAAACTCAAATACATATTTAGTTAATGTTCACATTTCAGAGGAAAAAGGTTGTATCGTAACAAACATTTTATGATATTACAGGCTGATTAAAAGGTTTCTCTTCCCACTCTCTAGTAGTCCAGTTAAATTACCCATTTACTCTTTAAAAACACAGTCTACAGCTACGTGGACAGATTTCCAAACAGTCCCACTCAGCTGGGTCAGGTCAGAGTTTAGGTAAAAACTGAGGTAAAGCCGATGTTAAAGGTGATGATAATCTATTTTGTACTGTATTCCAACAAGGAGTTCATACTGATGTTATTTACTACCTTGCCGTTAGTTGAAAGAGGTAAATGCAAGACTAAAAGGTGCATCAAATAATAACAATAATAATGCAACAGATTTCATTTAGTGCTTTATCAGAGACCCTCAAAGCGCTTTACATTGGATACATCATTCATTCACTCACACAGTCACACCTTGGTGGTGGTAAACTACCTTAGTAGTCACAGCTGCCCTGGGGCAGACTGACAGAAACGGGGCTGCCAGTTTGTGCCAACAGCATCTCTGACGACCACCACACAACACTCACAATCATACACCAGTGGAGGACACACTCTGGGAGCAAAGTGGGTTAAGTGTCTTGCCCAAGGACATAACGGACAGCCTCAGGGTAGGGGGGAACCCAACTGCCAACCGCCAGTTATTGGACAACCACTCTACCTCCTGAGCTACTGCCACCCCAAAGTCAAAAGGTTGAATAAGTTTGACTTGAAAAAAAAACAAACACAACACCATTGACTTAATGCATTTGATATCTTTATTCATGCATTACTTCACGTTTTCCAACAAGTCATGGCTCTTACAGAAACCATGTCTGTCCATTAATTTGAAAAAAAAAGGGAAAAAAAAGAAAGTACAGTACATCATGCTGAAAGGTAACACAGCCAAACTGATTATTTTAAAACAAATACTTCAGCATTAAACATTTAGACATTACCAAAGGTGTTGTGTAACATCTTTGTCATATCAGGTTATAATGTGCTACAGGAAATGTAAGACTGAAACCATTAACATGATGGTTATAGTGTATTAAGACGGTTTGAATAACAGCTGCTTGTAACCTGATGAACTGAGGCACACAATGTTCATAAGATTTCACATCTATTTGCTACACAGTGCACTAAACTGAACCTGATTGAGCACAGATCAGACTGAATACGATGAGTTCACAGTTTTCAACAAAAGTCAAATGATCCTCCAACAAATAAATATACTGATAATGCATGCTTTGTTTCTGTTGCAGATACATGTATGTAGAGTTCACATAATGGTCTTTCATAACTGTTTATATGTAGTCTTTTCTGTCAATAACTGCAAGCCATAAAAGTTTTTCCAGTATTCACGTTTGCTAATTGACAAACTTAGTTACTACTTAGTTAAGATGCAAGAGTTTAAGTTTAATCCTTGTAAATGTTAAAAGAATCAAAACTCTGGAAAGAAAGTAGGCATGAAAAACAAAAAATAATGGGAAAAATACTGTTAACTAATCGTGGAATGTGTGTTAAAAGCGAAAGAAAAGTTAGTGGTATGTTCACAAAATCCTACAGATTTAATTTATTTCCATTCAAAAAATGTTGCACAACATAACCTTTAAGTCCTTATTTACCTCCAAAATATGCTTTAAATTGATATTAACACATTTGATCAGTGCAAGAAGTGCTTAATTAACTTGAAGCATTTCTAATGTAAAGCTTAAAGGCTGAAAGGCTGGTTGATGAAATTTGCGGCTTTGTCTTTGAAAGCTGAAGCCATAATGCTTAAAATTCAACAACACTCTTGTTACGACCTTTACGTTAAGTATGTAGCTAAGATGGCAGAATTGGCAAATGCATCTGAGGCTTTAAACTGTTAATATACAACTCCTGCATGCATAATCACCTACAGTTATACTGGCTTTTCTCTCTAGGTAATTTATTTTGTTCATTTCCACAAGCACACATACTCACACAGACGCACAGACACAGTGTTCAGTTCATCCAATTTCAGTATGAATTAAAAAGTTTGATAAAAATATATATATTAATAATTTTCAAGTGGGTTTTGGATACCCTGCTTCATTTATGTAGTGCACAGGAACATTAAGACACTACAGCTTAAACACACACGCAAAACAAACCACAGACAAGACGGAAAGCTAGTCTTCTGTCAGTGTAGAGAACTACACATGGCAAAGTGCAAAATCTAGATTTCCTCTCTAGAGTTATGCATCCTTCATATCCAACACCTCGTCCTGCTTGCGGTCAGTCATCCGAGCACATCGAGGACATGTGGTGGAGTTGTCATAGTAACAATCCCTGAAGAGACATGTAAAACCACTGAAATATTTCCAAAATAACACACCTTAATCAATCATGGTGTTTATTTCGAGGCAGTGAATGTATGTTGAGTAGTACAAGAACAATAATACCATGTTTATTCTAATTTATGCAGATCATCCCCATCACTGGACATCTTTGAGATTATAAATAGCTCCACAAAAGCCAAGAAAAAACTTTTTGGTCACTGAGACTGTATTAGATTGGACCAGAGCTCAACAGTGCGACCGTTTAACTCGCATTTGAGACCAAAAACAGATGTGTGCGAATTGTAAAACATGTTTAGGGGCACATGTGCGCATAAAAAAGATCAGCCGAGGAAACAAATGTTTTTTCATGTAAATACTGCGGTAAAGTTAGTTTTAGGTTGGATATTTGATGGACATTCACTGAGGATCTACAGGTGTCTTTTCACTCTCCATAATTGGGAATAGACAGCAGCGCGGTTAAATCTACTCGGCATCCTTACTGTTAACAACAGGTGTTGAATAAGGGACCATCAATAAATTACCAGTTCATGTTCTCAAAAAAGGCTGTTTTCCTTCAATAGCTTCCATGACATGTGACCAATTGATCTAAAATTGATTTCAAATAATAGTCCTTATGTCGACCAATAAGACACACCTCTTTATTTCCCTAATTTGTCCTCTAAAAAATTTTGTGTTAAATTTAAAGGCAAATTTTAAACATTTTCTTCAAAGCTTCCATGACATGTGACCAAAAGACCAAAAATTGATTTCAAATAAAAATCATAATATGTTGACCAATAAGACAAACATTATTTGATCAATTTTCATTGTGCCCCTAAAGTTCTTTGTGTGCTCCTTACTTTTTCATCTTAGGAGCACATGTGCTCCTAAGATGAAAAAAGTTAGTGTCAAGCCCTGGATTGGACCACATTTTACAGATCCCTACAAAGTGTCTGTATTTTCAGTTTTATGGGCAGGTGGTAACTTACCTGTGGAAGACAGCAGAGCAGTCGTGGCAGACTGAAGTGTGACTGTCAAAAGGAAACAGGATGTCGCCCTCCTTACAAAGCTCACATACAAATCCTTTGGCCTGACAACGCTACAAAAAAATCCCACACAATAGCACAAGAGAGTCAGTATTTCACATGCATATATACAAATAAACACATTTTCAACTACTATAACTAATCTTGCGGCTGACAGATGTGTGTGTTGTGTGATAGATGTACTGTAACTGTGCTTGAAGTCTGAACTCACATCACAGTCTAGTTTGATGTGCTTGGCAAACGTGGTGTGGATCTCAGTGAGAGAGCAGCTGAGTCTGCCGCTGGAGATGTCGATCAAATCCTGCAGTGAGTACATGTCGTCGTTCTCCACAAAGTGCTGCCGATCTTGTAGCTGGGAGACACAAACAAAACCGTCTGTAACTTTGAATCAAAACTTTGCAGAAATTTTGAGAAACGTTGAGTTGTATTGTCAAGTTTTCACACAAATATTTAAAAAAAGATAAAACAGCATTGAACGCCACATACTCAGATCATTTTGGGGGCCTTTCTCAGTGCAGTTTTAATGCTGTTTTTTCACCACATGATGGTGCTGTTGTAACATTATTTTGAGGTTTTCAACTAGTTGTGTCATGCCTGTGTAGAAACTGGGCCATGCAGAATCTAATTACAATGTACAAAGTATATCTTGTAGGATGATGCTGACCTGTAGTAACAGCCGAGCCTCCATGGCCTCCTTACAAGTAATGAAATAAGGTTTCATCAGCAGGATATCTTGTCGCAGTTTCTGTTGAATCCACAGAAACACAGAAACACAATGCTGTGAGTTGAACTTATTACACAGAGAAGTTGTGGTTTTCCCATCTAGTTACATTTGCTTGTAGAACTCCATTAACAATTGTCCAGATTTTCACTGTAACAGCGTCTCTTGCAAAAACAGTGACGACCGCGCGGGTAGATGGGATACAAACAACTCACCCAGTTCTGATGGGGGTCAAGTTATCTTAAAAGAATACAAAATGTCTTTAATAATGTAATCATGTTTGAATATCTGTAACTCAAATTCCTTAGCGCCTTAATTCACATACCCGGATCTCCACCAGTTCCTCCACAAAGTTGAACAGCAGCGGGTTGATTTCCTTCAGCTTCAGCACAGGTCGGGGCATCATCAGAGCCAGGTAGCGCATAGAGGAGCGACAAACCTGTGATCAGAGGTGCACCAACAGGACATGGAGAAGAGATTGGTGTATGAGTGCAATGATTATGTCAAAACTAGCATTTATAAACAGCTCAGTGTGTATAATCTACACTCAACGGAGCTTAAAAAAGGGAAAGATGAAAACTGCGGTTTGTAAAACCAGCATTTCTATCGGAGATGTCAATCTGATTTTATATCAGTTTAAACCACATTAAGAAGAAAGCAGAGACCCTACAAAGACCAGTCTCACAGTGTGTGGCACACTCACGACTGCTTAATCGACTCCTCTAATGTAATTCTGGGGTTTATCAGAAACATGTTTTGCACTACAGCTGCAGTTAATATGACATCAATTCCCCGCAAAGCCTCGAAAATTAAGACGTAAAGCAGATGAGATGTTTTCTACTTATAGTGCATTCCTCTGTGGCTGGTGGGGGTACCTTTCGGGGTTCAAACTCCCAGTTGTGAATGACACGAGCTGGTATGATGGCTGTGTCATTCCAGTGACATGTGCTGCAGTAATACTGGCCTGTGTAGTCACACTGTCTGGCTTCACTTGGCACCCCTCCTAAAAGATAAAAGTGCGAGTCAAACTATGAGACAAAAAGATGCAAGTTTAAAGTTTCTTTTTACGGCCTTAAATTTTGCTAAATGATTTAATGACTTCACTTTCCAAGATCCCACAGACACCCTGCTAAGTACTTGTATAATACGACATATACTGATATAAATTTGGACTCACTCAGTGAAATAGGTGTACGACATTCTGAGCAGCGGTAGTCTTGTCGGTCCAGACCTATCTCAGGACAGATGCTGAGCTCGTACTCTGACTGGTGGCTGACCTTGGACCTGACACAGGGCTTGGTGATCAGGTTCATGCACTTACTATGGCAACGATAATAGCATCCTGAAACAAAAGAAAAATGGCATCCAATATATGAATACGTATTTAACAAATTCAAAGACCTATAGTGTTCTTACAGGTCCACAATTCAGGAAACAAATTCTGAGAAAATCAAACTTCAAGCAACACAAAACAGCTGACCACACTGTGAACATACCAGCGATACTACAAAAGCACAGACGGTGATGTTGATCAAACCATCAAACCTTCTATTTATGAACATTTGAGGGTTTTTTTTATAACTTTGGACAACATTATCTGGGAAGATTTAAAGCAGAGTGATGCACTGCATAGTGTGCCTCACCTGTGCAGGTATACCAGGTCTGGATAAGGCCCCAGATGATGGCACTGCACTTGTCGCAGGTCTGTTTCACACTCTTGCTTTTCTCCTTAGAAAAGCGGTGCTCCAGAAGAGTTCTCAGATTTGGCTCGTCCTCTTCGGGGTCCTTCAAGGTCACAATGTATGTAAAATGAATCATAAAGAGAAAAAATATAGAAAAAATCGTCACAGAGGTAAAGTAAACTTTGGGCATTTACACTGAGCTCGACATGATAATACAAAAACCTGTAGCTTGTTCATTGTTTGTTTGTCTTGTCATGATCCTCTGTTGTCATCGCACGATCCTCTGGAAGAATCAAAGACTGTCTATTCAAGCTGTATCACGCAACTTAATATAAAGCTCTGTTATTACACAACACAGCATACACTGTTGCGCATTAGGTCAGCTCTTTCTCATGATATGGCCTAAATTGGTTTGATATCAGTATAAACCATCAAGATGGAAAGGATTTGGATGGTTTCATACAGGCTTAACGACTGAAATAACGTCCTCTTTTCTTTCAAATGCATCCAAATCCCAACATGACTCTGGAGTAATCGATTTAATAGTTGAGTTCTTGATTTATTGCCCTGCGACACACAAGCCAGAGATCATACAGTAATCTCTGAAAAACAGAAACGTTTCTTTTAGAAATCTGAGAGGGTTTTGGTGGTCTCAAAAAACTGTTTTTCAACATAGCAGTGTCCTAAAATGTCTTCAATGCTCCTTCAATATCCAATATCCAAGAAGTCATTATTGATTCAAATAAAGCTGCAAAGGGTTTATATAATGAAATATGCTTCAAGAATGTTGCTTCAGTTTTCCACCTGAACTTTTGTACCTATTCCTGCACTCTAAATCCTAAATGTTTTAGTTTCCAAACGCATACGAAAGCAGCTCAAGGCTCCTCAGAAACACAGTAAACAGGCATGCTTTACATAACGCATTCTTCTCGGCAAACTACTGTGAACGGCCCTGCATTCCACTAAATCAAGAACATGCAAGTGAAATGAATTAGTTCTGAATTTGTTGTTCTGACTGCATCAACAGAGACAACATCATCATATCCTCTACGCCTGCTCCCTCCTATGCTCCAACCTTGAGCTCCTGCAGTTTGAGACGAAGGTGGATAAGTTTCACCACGGTGTCCTTCTGCCTCTCTGAGTGTTCTGGCAGCTCCAGGATCAGCTTTTTACACTCCTCTATGGCCAGTTTCAGCTGCTCTATGTCAGAAGCCACAAATGAGCCCTAAAAGTGTCAAAGCAAGAGCACATACAAAGTCAAGGAAACAGAAGTGAAAGTTCTGTGATCAAACACTGTCACTTTGAAACATAAAAACACTTTAATTTGGTGTAACAGTTTTTTTTTTTTTTGTTTTGTATGTCTGCTGCACTCACCACAGGCCTTGAGAAGTGGTCTTCAGCTAGACCCAGATCCATGGTCCGATCAGAGCTGTGGATTCTAGTCCCAGAAAACAGCTCTGGTCTTGCTTCTTAAAAGAGGAACAGACAAAAACAATGTCCAGTCTTATCATACACAGCGTAGAGCACTCATTCATACACGCTTACTTCACAGCCATGACTGTGGGTGAGACAACCCTAAATCAATACTGAAGATGTCTGAGAGACAGAGAGCAGAAAATGAACAACTCAAGTCATGAGTTATGAGGGTAATTATCTTATCAGCATTGGTAATGTGTAACCCTGCCAGCTGACCTGACAGACTCCTACCAGACTCCATTTAAAACTGCTTACAGAGCTTCAACTCGCAGCATAACTCATAATAGACTCAGCTGAAACAAATTCTATCACATAGGATGTCACATACACTGATTTTGAGTCAAGTTTCAGTATTCTTTGTGTGGATCAGGTAAAAATTCACAGACACGTGTTTTTAAGATCAAGAGTCTGAACTTTACTAACAACCACTTCTGAAGACATATCCACAGGCTAGAGGATTGTCAGGAGATCAGAAGGGTTGTTGCCACATGGAGATGAGTTTACACTCTCTAATGTTTGTGGCCCTGTCAGCTACATTAAAGGATTTGAGATTTAAGCTGCAGAACAAACAGAAACCAAACAAAGACTGTCTCTGAGAAATGGAAATAACCTGATGATTCACCACAAATGACATTTAGACTTTAACTTCTAAATGCTGCAGTAATGAAATACGGACTAACTCATCCAGCATACCCACTTGACTAAATCTCTGCTCATTGTCATGTTTTTAAAATTCAAAGCTATGTAATGATCTGTCAGTCAACCTTAAGCTTTATGGAAATGCAGTTTCCAGTATTCACACTGTCTGAGGTTTTGTCTGCACAAAAACTTCAGAAAAAAAGGGGAACATGAGTTCATAGTGAGCACAAGCTAGATGGTATTTGTGCTGTCTTAAAACTTAAAACAAACTCTCCTGGGGTTCATAAATTTAACATTTTAAACTGAATTTAATTTTTAAATGAGATTTCAGGTAAAATCAAGCCAAGAAGGAGCAAATAATACAATATCAGACAAAAAACACACCTAAAATTTCTTCTTCTTTCAAGTGATATAAATTAAACCCCACCAATATAAAAACAACTTAAGTGCCTGTTACCTGCGTACACTTCAGAGCAAAACATGTTGGATGAATTCAGCGTGTCAGAGAGAGGACAATGAAGCAGGAAAGCAGACGCCACCAGTAATCAGTCGATCTAACAGTGCACCAGTCAAATATACTCAATCAAGCAGAAATGTTTTAATTCCTTAAAACCTGAAATACAGGAAGTGTTACTGGGGCACTTCGTACAATACTGCTTTTCATTTCCCCCTGCTTCAGCAGCTAAACTTCCTTCCCTCTAAACCTGCACTTACAACTGTGTTGTTGTTTCTAATTAAGAGCTGGGCTGAAAAGAACAGATTAACTTGCACAAACATTCATGGGAATACATTAATCATAACTACTTTTATTAGTGGGGTGCCTGTATGATTAGCCACGCTACAAAATGAACCACCAGTTTCCTCTTTGTTTTTGAAGCCCCAGGCAAGTTTGAACGGAGTAGGTAACATTCAGAACTAAGGGAAATGACTTCTGAACAAATCTGTGTGCCTGGTGTAAGGGGCCGTGAAATCTCGTAAAAAAAAAAAAGGGCATATCATCAACCTGTTTCCAATCAGAAATTCACAAGATTTTTGTTTTATTTTTTTTTCAGTGCCACAACGCAAGGATGCCTGGTTATTTTACCCTTCTTTTAAAAGACTGCAGTCACAAGGAACATTTCTTTTTACATGGAAATGCTTGTAAAGTTTCCCATTATTGTCCTTCTTTCATCAAAAGCAACAACAGTAAAGATACCATAACTAATATGATGCTACGCTGAAGAAAACACCCAATATTCTACATTTGCTTCAAACTGAGACTCATAAAGTGGCCTTAAAGGGAGGTTATATTTCACACTTCACATGACTGTGTCCGGTGATGAGATTTACCGAGCTGTGGTGGTGTCTTGCCTCCATGGGGACCATTTTCTTCCTCTCCACGATCAAAAGGATTGAGGCGGGTTTGGCGGAAATGTGCAAGTCTCTCATCGTACGCCATGTCCATAGGCTACATCTGAGGGGAGAAAAGCACATGATTCAGTCTCACCAGATAATTTTCATTCTTTTTGGTGTATGAGTAATGGAGCAGACGTGACAGCCTTCTTTGGGGTTAGGGTTAAAGATAATCAGACAGCTATTTGGTTTGCATGATTTCTTTATGTTAAATGCAAACCAGTTAACTAGGGCTGGGCGGTATGGGAAAAAGTTTATCACAATAATTTTTTTCATATCAGTCGATATTGAAATATATCATAATTTAAAAAATGAAATTTAACAGTGCTTATTGGTAGCATGCTTTTTGCAATACAATAAGCTACTGCATCTGAGAGGTCTTTGTGTCTCATTAAGTTTTGTTGTAAGGCGTTTTGTTGTAAGACATTTTGTCGTAAGGCGTTGCGCCAAAGAAAGCAGACTGAATGGTCAGCTGTTTTGGCTGCACAGTCGCCATGGGCTCCTTGCCCCACTAGGGGTGTGTAACCTTTTGCGTTGCGCGTGCTCTGCTGTGTGGCACTGCTCCAGGTGGTGAAAAAGATTTGAGGTACTTCCCGACTTTGTGAGAACATGTACTCGACATAATTTGCAGTGCACATTACTCTGCTTTATATCCAACCTCAAAAAACTAAAATACCTCCACATCACCAACATTTCTGTGCAAGTGTTGTCGACGATATCATAATTTGTTGAGCCTTCATCTGCATTTCTGCTGGGGTAGCACTCATTTTCTTTTTTCTCACCAACAGCGCTGTCGGCTTCACGTATTTAAGTACTAACGTGTGTAGCTGCAGCCTGCTACTACGCAGTTGTTTGCTACTTGGTTCTAGTTCAGCGCGAAGTGGACTCAGATCAACTCCCCCTTTCATTGGCTATTCATATAGTCTACCAAAATATGGCAGAATGCTGACTATGGAAAAGCATATTGACCATGTTTTATATTGATATTGAGGAAAATTAATTTTAAATATATATCGTTATCGTTTTATTGCCCAGCCCTACAGTTCACATGTATTTCAACCTGGTTAAAATGTAGGGTTTCATTTAAGTTTCATAATGTTATTTTCTCAGACTTTACCAGGCTACTCTGTACCCAGACAGAAAATGATACAATAATTATTACAAATTGGTTAGACTTCAACATTGTATTGACTCAAAATTCATGTTAGGAGCATTTGAAGTCTTTTGGGAACAACAGTGGTCTGTTTTTACTGCCTCACAAGGAATATAAGATATTTATATTCTTATTAGTAACTGATGAGCCAAAAAGATCTCAAGGAGGTAAATGGCCACATCTATGACTGAGTTTAAATGACCACCGCTGAAAACCAATACACCCAAAAATCTAGGTTGTAAATATGATACAGGCGTTTAGAGGATTGGCAGAAAGCCGTTTATAAATGACAAAAAAAATTCATTTACAGATATGCAAATCAAAATTTAAAAATATGGAGTTTGTGCAAAATAATCAGTGCTAATCTCACAGACTGTAGGCTAGTTCCCTGATGATAACCGATTCCAGCTGCTGAAGACAGAGCTCTACTAAAAACAGGGTCACTGGTTTTGTTTTGACAGCTAAATATAAAGCTCGGGTATTAACTGTAAGTCAAGTTCAGATTTGCTATCCGTGCATAAAAAAGGTAGATCAATATGAGTGTTGATGTAAACAGCCAGCTAACATTAGCAGGCTAGCAGACCTTCAAAACAAACCAGTCATGTGCTCTGGTAACGCTCCCGTTAGCTCCTGCTAGCTCCTGTTGTAACGGCCCAGTCTCAAGCTTACCCCGTTGTTGTTGACCCTAGAAATCATCCAGAGATGTTAGTGGAGGGATATCTTTCCACTCGACGCTTGAGGTAATAACGAACACCGCTCCCGTGTTGTCTTTATTTTTCTGTCATCATCGCAAGGCGAACTGTCAAGTCAGGCGTGGTGATAGGTCATTTTCCGGTTTGTGGCTTTCAAAATAAAAGCCTAAATTTGAACCTTAAGGTAGTAGTACCAGTGTTAAGAAGATTTCTGAGCAATGTGGAAAGCTATACAACAGGACAGTAATACAAAACTACTCGAAGGTAGGATTTGACAGTTGCATTAAAAAAATGAAACTAATTAATCACCATATTTATGATTTCATATGAATACAATACATAGAATGTATTTCAATCTTAAATTTAGAAATCATTCAGATCATAGACTGTATATAGATTGGATGCCATCTGCCTCCTTGCTGGGTGAAGCCACCATGAGAACAGCACCCTCTGGCGACAGGCTGCAGCATAGGTCATAAATCCCGCCTCCGCCAGCAAAGTTTATGGAGCTGTGGACAAGCTTTAGAAATTTATTACACAGAAAATAATTTTTTTCCCCCCTGCTTGCGATGTTAAAGTGTAGTTGCAGTAAGACTGCTTTGTGCTCAAGTCCTCTTTTTTCTGTTCAGCTCCGTTTTTAAAGGTTATCAGGGGGTTCATTAAAGTCGAGACTCAAAGCTAAAGTTGATAGAGCTTTATCCATCAGAGCTCCTCGACTTTGGAACAACCTGCCGGAGGAGATAAGGCGTGCAGAGACAGTCACTTCTTTTAAGTCAAATTTAAAAACTCACTTTTACAGACTTGCTTTTATGTGATGCCGTCTTTTCTCTTTTTTCTTTCATCTCTTTAACCTCTTATCTTATTTCAACTTACTATCCTTTTAGCCTTTGTTTTACTTGTAATCTTTTCGTATTTTACCTTTTAGGCCCTGTATTGGTTTTATTGTTTTTTTCCTGCTCATTCTTTATTATTCCATTTTATCATTAATATTAAAATCATTATTATTTTATTATTTTATTATATTATTTACTTTTATTTTTTAAATTTTATTATGATTTTATTATCATTATTAATTCCCTCTCTAATACTTACTATCCTTTTTCTTGCTTTCTGCCTATTTTATGTTTTTATTTTGGTCCTCATGGTCTCATTTTATGTTGTAGGGTTCTTGTATTGCCTGGGTTTCTAATGAAAACTGAAATTGGCCTTCAATTCGGAGGCCTTGTTTTTAACTGAGCTTTTGTTTTTATTTGTTTTTATTTTCATGTGCTGATGTTCTGTGCTTTGCAATTGTTTGTCAAAGCACTTTGTAAACTTCTGTTTTTAAAAGTGCTATATGAATAAAGTTATTATTATTATAATTATAATTATTATTATTATTATTATTATTATTATTATTATGTTTTCTATGATTGACACCTGGTACAGCCTATGGGTGTACAAGGATTGCGTAGCTCACCTGGGGGGATACGCTGTTTTAGCCGAGCGTCATTACAGCGTCTCTCCCATTGAATGCATACAACGCTACTGCACAAGTGGTGGAGTGCGCACAATGCTACTGCGCAATGTTGGTTTCAGGAAATGGAGAAAAAATACGGAATTACTAAGGGCTTTTCGGCTTCAAATCCGTATACTGGCGGAAGGCAGAACCAAGTTGTCCGTAGTATATACAGTCTATGATTCAGACCATGAATTTAATATTCTTTTCAAATTGAACCCTGGTCCACCTTTTCAGTATTTCACACAGATTTATTAAGCACACAGCGTAACATAAGAGTAATTTTCTTCTGATACAATAATCTGAGCCTTTTTTTACAGCCGGAACTTTTTTATTGGTTGAATCCATGAATAAAATTGTCCACTGTCTTGAGGCATTATATGATTAATATTCAGTAACAAAACCCCTTTTCCAGATGAGTCACATGATGTCCCCAAAAATCTACTGAAACGAAACAATCTCATTGTACTTTCTCATAAAATGGCTTGAATAAATTACGCTTTTACTTTGAAAAAAAATCGTCCCATTCCTCTTGTAGCTGCTCATGTGATGAAATAGGAAACAGGATTGTTAAACTGTTAAAATGCATGTAACAGCAAAAAAAATACAGGTGCATCTCAATATTTTAGAATACTATGAAAAGACCAGATTCTTATTAGATATACAGTTAACATTTTTAGAGTCTTTAAAACAAACTAAATGTAAAAAGTATTTTTAATAGGCTACTGATTCTTAAGGGCCTATAGCTCAAAATATGTTATCATACATATATATCAAACTATTTTGATTTTCTTTTTTAAGTTTGAGTACATTTCTGCACAAACAGTACAAACACCATGAAGCTCTGACTGGTTATGAACACACAGCCGTAGCCATGGTTTCAGACTGCTGACATAGCAGTTATTCAGAGGATGATCACAGACACTCTCTACGGGGGGAGGGTGAGACACAGAAAGTCACTAAAGGCTGACTGTTTACAGAGTGCTGTATAGAAAAGTATTTATGGAAAGCTGACTGAAATACCATCAGCAACAGGAATGACAAAACTTTTCATTGCAATTTTTCATACCTTAAACTGGAAGAAGAGGGTATGTGTCAGCAAAACAGCCAAAGAAACAGCCCTGTTTTTGCATTTTGCATATGATATATTCACAATAAATGAGTCAGTTGACTGTCAGAGGTCAGAGGTTAAACCAGAGACAGCTATGACAAGGACTTCAGCCTCTGTATGGGGGGTGCACTATAAACCATGGGCGCCCTGATTCCTTATAGTTTTAGTCTGATCCACTGCTGTCTCTCTCTACAAATAAAATATTGGATATGTAATCAACTGCTCTAAAAAATGATGTTGGAGTGTTAACTAAAACTTATAAAATTGATTATACAAAGAAAAAAGTTCCAGGAGACTTGGTATAAAATTAATATATTCTTTTAAGCTTCAAGAGCAGCTGGGAGTGGATATAAATAGGCCTTTCAGCATCATTTCAGTGTATTACAGAGTGAATAAGTGTACCAACATTAAGTACAGTTAAGTTGCTGAGTTCAAAGGCTTGAAGGGACTTCCGTGAAGAGTTAAATTCTATCCCAAAGTTTAAAGGTCAGATTCTTAGAAAACAACTTATGAGCAACAGTGTCATCATCACCAACAATGTTTGTTATTCCTGGAAGCTGTGATCATGTGTGGTGAGGAGAATCACTCTGGTGATAACACTTCCTTTGTACAGTGAAAAACAACTCACTTTCAACCCCATCAATCACAACATCAGATAGAGCTATAGAATATTGTAGAACTCTGCACTGCTATAACATCATAGATGTTATTTTGCTGCTAAGATGGCTTGAGTCAAAGTCTTCTGAATGGAAACACCCACTGCCACGCTGGACGCCTTTGACTGCGTTCATCCATTAGTTCAGTGTTTTGATCACTGGTATTGCTAATTACATGGAAAAGAACATTTGTATCCAGGGACTTTTAATGGTCTGTACCAAAGCAATTTTATGGACGTGTTATTTGTAGCCATCCCTCAGGGAGCATGTCTCAGATTTTGGTCATATGTATTTGAATCATTCTGTCTTGAACATGTTTGCTGTTTGGATGGCAGCTTTGCTGTGAACAGAGCTGCTTTGTACAGGAAAAGGAGGAAGAAGTTATGAGCCTGTCCCTAACTGTAAATATGCTCCTCTCTGCACATAATATACTGTCACACTTTGAAAACCCTTTGGGCAAATCAGCAGTTCCTGTAGTCTATCCGTCTGTCTGCTTCCTTTCATAAATTCATTTGATGATGATCAGCTTTAAATCAGAAAACTCTGTCTGCTCTGAGCGTAGGGTCTATTCAAAGAAAGTTCAAACACTGTTTTTATCTTTGTCCACGTGCACATCAAAGCACAGTGGATATCTACTTTTAGCTTTTACAGTGGGGTGACTGATCTCCTATTTGAAAGTTAACAAGGAGGTTATGTGATCAACTGGCCTGCTGGAGGACCAACCTTCTGTGAATAAAGGGTCTTTATTCCTCAGTTAATGAATAAAAATGGTCTGTTTAACAGAAGAGTATTTTTATTGATGGACAGAGGTGAAAAACACCAAAATAGAGAGTCCATAAAATGAAATTTTATGCATTAACGGATCAAAAACTTCATTTATTTGGCTTTTGAGGAATCTAAAACTTTATTACTATAAACAGGAGTACCAAATCTCATCTGAATGGTACATTATGGGCATCTACTGACGCTATGAAATCATAAATATCATCCACAATACATCAAAATGTGAGAAAGCTCAGTCGTTGTTGTTTCTGCAGTGCCCTCATACTGTTTTTGCGTCTTCCTGTGTGTGTGAGTGTGGAGAGGTTTGGAAACAAAGAGAAATCTGAGTGTTGTCAGCAGAGTCCTGCCAGGATCCACAGATCATCATTCTCGTATTTGTCTGGAACTTTTTAAGTGTAACTCTTTGAAAACTCCCGGTCTGAATCATCTTTATGTTTGAGTCTGACTGGTGAATGTCATCATACCTGAAGTTCATATGTTCTCTGGCTCTCCTGTCATTGAGCGCTACATCATCATGTCCAGTGTAATGTTGTGGATACTAACATAGAGTTGCTTCAGTGTACAACATTTTCTCCTTATTTTTGGTGCCCATTCAAATCTGTGTCAGCGTGTTCACCTGCTGCATTCATCCTTGTCTCCAGTTAATCCACAACAACATGTCTGTCTACATTTGGATCCCGTAACTGACTTAAGGGAATTCATCTTCACACCAACTATTTCACTAACCCCTTTAACGTTGATACGGTTATCCTCTTTAAAGCACCCAGCTGTCCTAAAAATGTAGAGTTGAAAAAGAAATCTCATTTAAGTTTAATTAAACAATTTTAGGTTGGTTTCTTAACAAGGTTTCAGAGGTCATCTGCTGTCACATCGGGTTATCTGTCTTTATTTGTGTAAATGTACTGTGTTGGGCAGTAATGTGTAGCAACTGATCTAGCTGATTGGCTCAGGCAACGTTTGTGGCTGAAACCCATTAATAGTTGAACAGAATGCTTTGTTGTGGATGCCACTCGCTCTTTGCTCATGCATTAAAAAGTGCACTTGGTTCATACAAAGGGTATCCTCAACTCAAAGTTTCCAGTAACAGGAGTTCAACTTAAAACTTTAACTGTTGAACTGCTCCTCTGTTAAAACTCAAAAACCAGGAAGGGAGAAAAAAAAGTGTATAAAGTGTAATTTGATGGCCTTCTGTCCTCTCTTGTCCTTTTTTTTAAATCTGAAACTGCTGAAATGGTCCCCCTGTAAATAACCCAAAATAAACCCAGAAGTCGACAGAATGACTTCAAACAATTGAGTTTTTATATTTTTCTTCTTAAGGACAGGACAGCGAGCTGGAAATTCCCTCCATTCAATTACTTTATTTGCAGCGTGGCATCCCAACTTGATCATGAGTTTAAAAACAGAGCATTTCAAAAACGTCTGTTATGTTTGGTCACAATGGCCCCTCTGTCTGCTGAGGGCAAGTGCTGAATTGCACATTTACTCTAAGGAGCAGAAGAAATTGTGATCATCTATCGTTTGTTGAAGATTAAGGACAAAGTTTTTCCTCTTCAGTTTGGGCTTCGTGGTTATTTTAGGGACACTAGTGGTGTGTGATGAAATGAGACAGTTAAAGGATGAACTGCCATCTATGAATTTCTTCTTTGGCACATCATGGTGGAGCATGGCACTGCCCAAGGTCGTGAGAAGATTGCAGAATCTGATCTAGAAGCTGGCAAAACTTGTCTGTAGTTCTACAATATATATATATATATATATATATATAAAAATAAAAATAAAAATAAAAAATAATAATAATAATAAAAATTGCAAACAAATAATTTCTATAAGCATTAAATAAATAAAAAATTAGAGATGGTTAAAATAATGATCCCTTAGCTGACAGTCTTTTGTGTTTGCTTTTTTATTTGAGATGACAATTAACATGCTGTCACTTTCCAAGATTACACACAAGACAGGCTCCCTACAATGACTGCACAACACAGACCTGTTTCATTCAGTTTCAAGTTCACATGGGGTGCATAGTGCAATTATATTTTTACCAGTATAACCACCGCACACTTTCCTTAGCACATACTAATTGTAGTACCACAATTTAATTCACTCCCACAGAGCTTATTTCCTAATTTCCACACACAAAATGATCACAATCCTGTACAATCACAATCTTGCATAACAACTCTAAAAATTACAAGAGGAAGATACAGATGATAGTGCTGAGGTGTAAAATACAACATCAAAATACACACACACACATATTTATATATATATATAAAAAGATAAAAGGAAAAAGTAAGGTCAATCATGTGCTCAAAATCAGTAGAAAAAATAAACTGAACTGCTGGAAGGACATATTTCAGTAACAACATCAGAGATCACATGAATACTCAGCAGCAAACGTGGCAAGCATTATTCAAGTAGTGTACAGCAGTCTGTCTTCTTGTCAGTATTTACGAGCACATTTCACACATAAAGGAAGCCACCATCCAACCAGTCAAGTTTGTGAGTTTGGCCTCACCTCACAGCCTGATCATGGCCTCTGGGGCCTTCTCTGCCAAAGCATCACCAGATACTGTACATTGAACCAAACATGTCACATTTAAAAGTATAAATACAAAAGTTAAACAGTTCAGAGTCGTATGTAAATCCAACTTAGAGACTTGGATCAGAGGCTATAATGGTGAGATAAATCATATGAATAGATATGAGGTTTAAGTGCTCCAATTTCCATTAGCATACATCTCAGGACAGTTTCATATAGTGAAGTAGAAAGTAAAGTGAGCCCAGGTGATTCCACAAAGACCATCGACTGTATTAAATATTTATATAGAGATAATAAAATGGTCCTTACTCTCTGGACTTTGGTTTCTGCATCGCCTGCAGAGACAGACATTAACTCAAATCACTAAGTGTTACTTTATTTGGTGTTACTTTGCCCAAGTCCCTCACAGATCACCAGAGGCTGTCTTGATTTATTGACCTACAAAACTGGAATAAGGCACCAAATCTTTGAAAGACGACTGTCTGTCAGCTAATTTTTTTTTTTTTTAGACAACCAAACATATTTTCATGCTTATTTTAAAAAAAGCCCACTGCCCTGGGCAGCAGTGAGACATGTGATGTTTTTAGACTTCAGATTTAAACATTTATTTGTGGGTGATATAAAGAGTCTTCAAAGAGTTTGTAAAAAGCGTCTCTAACATGCTCAATTTGACTTCATCCATTCGCTTCAGCATGGCTCCTTAGAGTTGCCTCATTCTGTGTCCTTTTGCTCACGGCCCTGTGACAGCAACAGTGACAGTGGGCTCCACGAACATTCATGAGGAAAAATCAGCACATAGATTCAATGTGATAGATTTCCTGAGTTACTTTTCAGTTTGCTAAAGCACAGTTGAGATTAGTACGTTTAGACCAATGAAAAAGGCACACAAGAAAATCAAGTGGATTTACTCAAAGGTGACCGAAAAGTCTCTTTTTTCCAGCTAGACAGTCACTTCATGTTCAAGTCTCTCAGCTTGCAGTGGCGTTGCGCAACAATAAATAAAAAGGCATATACGATATGACGTCCAAAATTGTCTAAGAAAGAGTCGGTGCGCAGGGGCGTCGTGCCTTCCAGACACGTTATCAATCGAAGCATTTGTCGACTTAAAACACGTATATAGAAGTGGAGGTAGTCCACAGTGATGATGACCTGATGTTTATGCGAAATGTCGGTGAGTGTCACACTCCGAAGCACCAGGAGCACAGTACCAACTCCTGCAGAGTTTTACGCAGCTCCTGGCTCCGGTACGCGTAAATGAGCGGATCAATGAGCGAGTTACAGATGATGAGGATGAGGAAGAGGTTAAAGTTCCTGAAGAAGCAGTTGCAGAAGGGGCTGGTGGGACAGGTGAGGATGAGGATGAGGTGGAGGAAGAAGGGACCCCAGCATAAAATGAAAACCCCGAGCAGGATAGTGAGAGTGATGGCGCCCTTCATGCTCGTGGATTGGCGCCTGCTTTTGTTGAAAGCCACGATGCGCCTAGAGTGCAGGTGCGCCAGGAGGAACATGTGCAGGTAAAGCACCGCGTTGAACACCAGCGTGATGCAGAAGAAGGTCACGAGGCAAACTATGACGGCGTTGTCGGTGTGGTATACGATGAAGAGGATGCTGGAGATGATGCTGGCAAGCCACACCATCACGATGATGGTGACAGCGCGCTGCGTGGTCATGATACTGTGGTAGCGCAGCGCGTAAAAGATGGTGATGTAGCGATCCGCGGCGATTGTGCACAGAAAAGAGAGCGAGGACACGACGGAGCTGCAGATCATCACGTCGATGACGTTGTCCAGGTGGCGAAGCATACCGGGGTGCACGTCCAGCAGCCCATGGTCATTGAGGAGCATAAAAATCGTCTCCACCACATTACTGACGCTCACCAGCATGTCGGACACCGCTAGGCAGCAGATGAAGTAGTACATGGGCGAGTGCAGGTTTCGGTTCTTGAAGATGGCCAGAACCACCAGGATGTTCTCCACCAGACTGATGAGTCCTAGTGCCAGGAAAAGTTCCTGGGGGATCCGGACCTGCACGCAGCCGAAGAGGTTTCTCTCTCCGGCGGTGGAGTTGGTGTCGTTCTCCTCCATAAAATCAGTGAGAGGGCTAAACTCCATGTGGAGCATGTTGTGGTGGGTCCTGTTGGTAATTTCCATGTCTGATAATTGGACTCTTACGCGTAAAAGTGGCCAAATAAATGAAGAAGTTTACTTTGGAGGATTCCTGGTATCAGCTGATCCAGTAACACGCCAAGATGGAGAATCGGGCAAGCTATCCCAAAAATTGCTTAGCCGTGGAGCCAGTCAACAAAAGAGGAAACTGTACCTTTACGCACCGCCACAGACCAGAGAGATGGCGCGTTTGTTCATGAAAAAAAGTGCGTCCCTTTGCTTCGAGTCGTCTTCTGTTTTATGGATGAAACTTATCCAGCACAGGGGTCCATAGATAGCCCATCTTCATCACAACACTGCGATCATAATTCATGTTTTTTATTCTCATGGCGCCCAAACAGTCGGTAAGCGTCCTCGAGTTAGTTCGGACTGCGGTAAGCAGCGCGCTGACTGTGAAGAAAGTGTCTTTCCAATCTGTGGAGGCTCTGACTTGCTTAAACATTTCTTTATGAGATGCTGGGGACATTCAGGACTCCACCCCTGATATAAACGTCAGCTGGGTTGCAGAAATGCCAGCTAAGCTCCATAGTTTGTCTCTATTGGGTATCTAATACATAATTTCCAGCGTTGTGGTGGAGATTTAACCATGTAGCCTAATGAAAAACATCATGTATAAAGGTTTTATTCTGGCATCCACATCATTTTAAAACAGTGTGGTTAAAATATAATGATAAAACAGACTGAACACTTAAGATTATCTGGATTATTAATAGTTTACAAACATTGTAGGTCGACCAAACATAGTTAGACTCTATGAGAAGGTTATATTACTAAACCTACCTACATTTCTTATATTAAAGGGGCATGGAAGAGGCACTTTTTACATTTCATCGACTGAAAGGGCATCCGCTGGAAACATTTTTCCCATTTTATCCACTTGAAAGGAAACTACTGTACTTCTTTTATATGTGTCATACCAAAAGGACACCCAGTAAGGACTGATTTTATTTGCATTTTATGCAGTAAAGGGAATTCAGATGGAAACTTGATCTAATCTCATCACCTGGATTGCTTCCCCCAGAAACACATTTTTTTAACACTTGATATACCGAGAAAGCATCAAGAGGAAACTTTTGACATTTTATATTTTAAGAGTAACTAAGGGGCACTTCTTCATGAGCCGCATTTTTTATTTTATTTTGTTTTGTTTTTAATATACTGAAAGGGCATCCAGGGGGTCACTTACCTAAACCTAACATACAATAACGTACACTGACAGAGGAGTTTCTTAATAGGCCTTTCCCCCTTTTTGATTTCTGTGGGAAAATGCTATGATGAGAGGGGACATGATGATAGCTTCTCTCTTTTTCTTAAAACATCATTTTAACAGTAAATATCCACTACACACCAGACCACAACTACAACACCTTTGATAGAAAATCAAGACAGCTGTACATGTTAGTTACACATTCTGTATACTGTATATTGTGCATGTGTGCGGACTTACGGGTGCTTGTTGTTGATTTGTGTGGGTGCTGCGGCAAATGGCCTGAGTACACTGCACATTTTGACTTCAACCGAATAGATTTGTACAGTTCAGATAAATGGGGGCATCTCGTGGGAAGTGCAGGGTTTATTTGAGATTTTTAGATAGGTTGCAAATATTGCATTTAAAATGGAACAAAGATGTAAAGTCTTTGAATGACTAGACTATGGATACACAACTAAATGATTGTTTGGTAAGTTTGTGTTATGTCATGTGGACTAGAGTCCCTGGATTCAAATCAACAGTTACAGTGCGTTTAATTAAATTCATTCTGGGGGACAGAGTGACACTGAAGTTATTCAAAGTCCTGACTTGATGTTACGCAACCTCCACCCAGACTGAGCTAAAAGTGGTGATGTGAAGAAGCAGTGACAAACATGATGTTTTTAAATGGAATAAACTCTTCTAAAATTGATTTTGGTATCCAGATATGGACTTTGTCAAAATCGTCAATTGTTTTAATCTTTTTGATGGAAATTTGGGAACATTACCATGACTGGAACATTTCAAAACTAGGATGAAACAGGACTTTTTGGTCTTAAATGTGAAGATTATCAGTAAATGAGACTGTAAATCAGTAAATATGCTAACTCCACATTTTAGGGTTACTGTGGGGGGTTTGCATGGCCTGATATGGGGGTCTGTTTTCAGGATGCTCAAAGACAATCTATGTACAATCATCAGGTACAGCTTTTCTGTGTGAAAGGAACATGTCTTTGGGTTTTTACAGCTAAAGTGATCATACCAACAGGCTTCCTGCACAATGTCTCTGACCAGACAACACAAAGATTAAGCATTAATAAAACTTATATTAGCTGCAGCAGTACACTTCTGCATCATTTTGATTTATGTCTTCATAGAAAAGGTTGAGACAGATCTGTGCTCTGTTGTTTGCTTTTAACTTTTGCATTAAACTTTGCAGACATGCTGTTTTGTGCAGCAGCAGCGGCATCATCATAGTCGCTCAAATGGCTCCTGGTCCTCAGACGTCTCCTCCTCTGAGGGATATGAAAGCCTTTCTATACTTTGTAAGGATCACATGGAAGGTTCCCCATCATAGCTTCAGGTAAACTAGGAACAATGCCATCATTTGATCATCAGACACAGTCACACTAAATCATCATGAGGCTTACCAAGCACCAAATGTAGAATATAGACAGCCACAGTCTGAGGTTTATTTGCTTAGTGTCTTCAGGATTTATTCTGATGGTTCAATATTTTGAAACTAAAAAAGCAAAAAAGGGGCAAGGACAAAGTTTAAAGTCAAGTGATGTTGGTTAGAAATGACAGATATTAACTTTGTTATCAGGAGCGCAGTTATGACCCTATGCCAGCCTGGAGGTCATGAGTTTTGGGGTTGAGAGCAAAAGGAAATATTAAAATCAGTTTAGGAAAAATTGACCATAATCTACCATAATCTTTGACTGAATTTTACTTGATGAAGAGCAGCAGGCAAGTGGTAAAATTCAGACCACGATTCTGTTCTGTTTTCCTGGGTGGAGCCCGCCACAAATCTTGAAATGTTGCCAAATCAACTTAAACTGACAGGACTGGAGCAAAACAGAGCAGGAGAGATGGAGGATTACAGTGCTGATAACACAGCAGACATCCTGCAGTTATGATGAGAGACTACAGCTAAGGAAATATGTGCTCTGGTTTTTCAGACTTTGGTAATCAAACAAATTTAAGACAAATACCCGTATAGCTGAAGAATTTCCTCCAGGATGAGACTTGAGTGCAGATTGCTGGTACTGTCAAGAGTTTTAATGAAGACCTGTAGATTTCAGCAGGTCAGGAAACAGGAGGAAACTGCAATCATGCTGGACTCATATGCACATATGAAACGGGAAAAAGAAGAAACTTATCAGCCCAAATACAATCACCCCTGTTTCATAATATTTGGCATTGTGTTGAGTAATTGAGAAATGTAATGAATGATAATCCAAAAGCACATTTCTTTTTATCCTTGGCTTGATTTTGAAACTTTTGTGAGAAAACAAATTAATTTGTTAATAAAGGCTTCATCTTTACTGACTTTGAACTTAATACCTTTTTATTTTATTATAATCTTGATCTCTGTACAAGATGCAGATTCTTCTCCGGATCATTAAACCTTATTCCACTTAAGTGGTAGGGCAGCGGTATCTTAAAAGTTCAAATCTCTTTTCTTTCTTCAAATAAATTTAATCCCAAACCGACCCAAACAGAGGGAGACTTAATCCAGTATAAAACCATCAGTGATGGGTTAAACGACACATCCGCTTCCTGTCTGGATTTCCTAGAGGAATCATCACCGGCAGAGAAGTGAACAAATGATCTCCTCCAGTCTTGTTAGTACCCTGGGGTTGTGGAAGTTTTAAAATACAATTACTGACTGTCCTGTTCCGTTATTTAATTACAATAAACAGCATTGAATATTTCCTTTTTTACTTCATTAAGTCTCTGTTTCTTTTTTCTCCGTCCCCTTTTAAAATGTCTCCTTCCACCCTCAGTCCCACTCCTCCTCATCTCTGTAAGGGTTGTCCTCTCTGGGTGGCTCCTGAAACCTGATGTTCGCCAGCATTTCCCTCATCGCCACCATCAGACGATCCACCTCCTGGTTCAGCTCCTGGCCCGCTCGAGCCACTTCCATGTCAAACTCCTGCCTCGGCCCACCCTAAAGAAGAAAAAAAAGCATCAATATGAAACATTTCCGTTCAAACTATATTGACGTTCAGCTGGTGGTCATGCTGAAGTCATTCTTTAAAACCTTAATTTGTCCTTGTGTTTTACGTCCACTGGTTATCTAACATTTGTGAAACACTCGATTCTGATTGGTGGAGACCCAAAGCAGTAGGAATCAATTCTGAAATGTCAGAGGGACGCCAAGGACAACCTGATCGCACGTCATATCAAATCAATGTGAATCAAGAGGTCCAGCTCATTCGACCTCGAACTGTTGACACTGTGGCTAATCCATTAGTCCTTGTCTCACGATGGTCTTAAGACAGTCAGTGAATGATGACAGCTATCGGGCACAGATGTTAGAGCAGCCAGAGGAGATCCTGACAGGGAAAACTGGAGAAAGATCCTGTCCTGAAGGCTCAGCAATGACAGCAGAGCTGGTGAGAGCAACTCTGAGTTAGTGATGCCACATAACTAAATAAACTATGAGGGGTTATAGTACCAGAGTCAAAAGTTGTGACATTTGCCTTGTTTATTTTTAAGATGGATCAACAGCAAAGCACAGAAGAAGAAGAGGAGCCTAATGGTGACATAAATGTCAACATACGCATTTGCGCAAGCCCTGCTAACCATCACTGTAGGTAGGTGTCCTTCTCACCCTGTTGGGTTTCAAATCAGAGTAACTCCAGACTCAATGCACATAACCCCTTTCATAAATGCCATTGCACAACAAAGCATAAAAGTGTTACAGCATCTGGATGTCAGATTTTCAGCAGTTACCAAAGGAAACGACTTGGCTGCATGTCTTCTCGAGGCTTAACTGTACTTCTTCTTCCCGTATGGTATCTCTCCTGCTCCATAAGTGGACAACTTTATGAGGATGGATGAGACTGTACTGATGGATACAGGCTAATCGTCCATCTGTAAACAATAAACATGTATAGCTGATGGACTTCATGTTCAGGGAGAACCTAATGCATGCTGCTTTAACTGGGTGCAGATGTTTTACGCTAGAAACAAGACACTAACAGAAAAATGACCAGACGGACAGACACAACTTTTTAAAATCTAAATATTCCTCTTTTACGTGACATTCACTACCTCCTCTACCGCTGTGAAACACTGCAAACATTGAAGAACTGTCAAAGCCATGTGATTGATCCTGCAGAGGCTTACAATTACTCACATTATATTACCCCGTCACCGACAGCACACTGTGCGATTATCTGTGTTGTTTGAATCCCCCCCAAAAAAGCACAGTTCTTACAGCAGTTAGGTTGGACATTGCTTGGTTTATGTTCTCGCATAAGTTTGAAAACAACTGGACCAATACAGTACAGCTGTTTGGTTTCATTGACAGTTTTCACACCACAGCAAACAAACAACACTAACTTGGCAAATGGACTCAAGTTCGTTTTTAACCAAACCAAACAGGTCAGGTGTGGAAGTACCTCAATCTAAGACATGATAGAAATGCTAACTCCTAGTTTAACTTTTAATAAACCTAAACACAAGCTTGTGCCCACCTGTCAGTCAACTCAACTGTGCACCCGATCATAGTGAAAACACATCAAGCATGCTTCTAGTCACTAGCTACTTCTTATAATGCTGATTCTAGTGCATGTTTCTTTGTTGTCTTTCTTGGAGAGGTTGAGTTTAGGCTGTTTGATGCTTAAAAGAGGAGATGTGTCATCATTTTTGACAACTCTGTTACTATATGAGGCTCCTGCAGCACTTGTGGTGGGATTAGTGCAGGAAAATAAGAGTCACTGAACTGTCCATAACCATGAGTCATGACTGCAAACCAATACAAGAATCTGTTCTGCCATGATTTATAACAAACTGACAGACAGCTGCCGCTACTAACAGCAGAAAAGGTGTGTCAGTTCTGACAACACACAAGTATGGAGGCTGTATTTCAGCTTCACTTTTCATATTAGGAGGAGTTCAAAGGTCTTTTTCCAAATAACACTAATTTTATAAACCACTGCGTTATGAAAAAAATCGCTCAAATATTAACATATATTATTGTTTTTTTTTTTTCTTTTTCGAGACTTCATGTGTCAATACAGAGGATCTTGTAAATGTTGGGTTAATTGACAGAGCAGCTACTTTGAGACACAGGCTAATAAAATGACAGATGGTGGGTTTTAGAGCTTCTGCTTGAGAAGAAAAACACTATGAATAATTATGCAACAAGTGGTTCAAACTCCACAGGTACCTTTGAATTTGCGATCTAACCATTTCCCCCTAAAACACTTGAACATTTGGGACAACATCAAGGTATTTTTAGACATACATAAACATTTTGTTATGCAGTATGTTTTAAAGGTTAGCGTGACTCAGGATAACCTTTTCTCTTTTTGGAGAATACTATCTCGCTCTCCGCTTTCATCGTTACAAAGTTGCATGTGAAAAGTGGTGCATGACTTCCTCCTCTATGAAGTCAAGCATCAACTCATATAATGCCATCACTGTCTCCGAAAACATTTTTCCACTTTGGTTAGGACCATAACAAAAAGTAAGCTATTCATGCTTTATGAGACCACAGATCCACACACTTAATCAGTTCTTCATCCCTTAATGCTCCTCTGAGGAGAAGCTGCACTATTTTAGTTACTAAAAAGTCAGATAGCTCCGGTCCACAGTCATCATGAGACTGGACCTGAAAAAAATGACAAAAAAAAAAAGTGGCAGAGTGTGTGAGTACGCAAGTCCTGAGGTTCTCACACCTTAACACCCATGACGTTTGTTAATGTTTTCTCTTAGGCTGACATCTTTATCTACTTGGTTATGTCATAGTCAGGTAGGGATGTCCCGATCCGATATTGATATTGGTCCGATATCAGCAAAAAAAAAAAAAATACATACATATATATATACATATATATATATCGGATCATACCGGCCTGCTTCTAAAATCTCCAATATCAGCACGCCGATACAAGCAGTCCATTCCAGATTCTGCTCCAGCACCTCTCTTTAGCAGCGCCTGAATCCAGCATGCAGGGCCCATGTGATCACAACAACAGTGTGTACTAGGGTACTAACAAAGTAGAAATGAGTAGGAGTGATGTCAGCCGTGTGACAGTATTTTTCATATCTGAAAAAGACGTTGCAGCTGAGTGCAAAACTTGTCATGCACAATATTGATCCAATATCGGATCAATATCGGTATTAGCCAATACTGGGGGCTACAATATCGGTATCGGCCAATACTGAAGGCTACGATATCAGTATTGGCCAGTACTGAAGGCTACAATATCGGTATTGTATCAGAAGTAAAAAAGTTGTATCAGGACACCCCTACAGTCAAGTTCACCACTATAGTTTTAGGGCTCTATTTCTTTGTTTGCAAGAGTTATCAATCTCTCAATGCAATTCTACAGCGTTAACTTTTTCAGACTGGCTCCTGCCCGCTTAAGCCGTGTAGCTCTGAGAGCGGATATCATAAAATGTTTACATGTGAAGGCCTCAGGTGAGTTCATGTGTGGGACTTCTTGTTCTGTACAATGTTATGACTGAAGAGAAAGGAGGGAGGACAGCTATTAATACACACAGCAGATCCATCAGACTTGGACAGACACCGGTACTACTACTTCTCTTTATGTGCTTCTCTGCATGGAAATGTGTTCGCCATATGGTCTCTTCAGGATGTCCTCCTACACATAATATCTGCTAATCTGCAGTCCATTATGAGAGAAGAAGGCTCAAGCAAATCAGGACGGGTAATTAGGCAGAAAAAGTATCCACTCATCTGTTGCTGAGGACACAATCAAAGATGACTCAGCGGTTTAAAGTGACATCACCCCATATTTGACAAATGAATGCATCTATAACATTAACAAAACAAATCTAAACTCGAATGTGTGGTTCAGAATTGAGAAACAAGTTCTTGGAACTAACTTACCAGATAACTTTATAACAACTATGACCAAAGCCCAAGAGAAGGAACTAAATTTACTGAGTGCTGCTCAAAGACTTAATGACTGTGGAGAACAAAGACTAAAAATGAACCTATTCTTTCAAACTTTCCACTGTAAAACTCTCCACGTGCAAAATAGTCTGCAGGACAAGCTGCTCCGTGTAGCAGATTTTATCCCCCATTGGCCACATTTCATGTTACCCCTCGTATAAAAGACAGTCAGTGTGAGAGTTACGATGTGAAATATTTTGAGCAACTGCGAGGAACCTTAGTGATTCTTAAGGGCAAAAATGTAGATCTTATGACTTTAGAAATTCTGTCCTGTACATGCTTGTTAAGTATTTTGTGAAGAAAGATGCTGTCCTGATCCAAAGTAAAGAAAGGCACTTTTGGACTGTGTGCTAAATACGGCCAATGCTGACCTGCAGCAGAATCGACCACATGCAAAAGAAGCTTTTCATTACTGCTCTTATTTTGCATTTGTAAATCATAGAAAGAATACAATATACTTTCTAGTGTTTTTCTTTCATATGCTGCAAAATCTTCACGTTTAAGTAGTGTGCTCTCCGAAACACCAACATATTACCAGGATTTTGTTTGTACAAAACAGATCACATTAAAGTTTCATAAAATTTTATCTTTCGTAGCTTGACTCCATAAATAATGTGAGCATTTAATTCAATTTCATGACAGAGACAGAGAAGCCAGAGCCACGAACTTGAAGTTTCTTGTTACAGTTTTGTTCTTCAGCAGTGTAAAGAAATGGTGGGATGGGATGAACTGTACAAGCTAACCCAGATACTGTAGGAAATGTTCAATCACTTTAGGATGTAGTCAAGATTTTTCAAGCTCTTTAGGCAGTTCAGGTATGTGGACTCTCTCTGCTAAACTGGTGTATCTTGTTTTGGTAATGACTTATCAACATTTGATAAGAAAGGAAAAATCTGGTGAGAAATATAAGAATCAAGGAGATTCATTTATGACTGTATCATACAGTATGAAAAATTAGTTCATAGTGAGTTATTTTTTGAAACAAAGTCTTAAAAATAAGTCGTCTTTGAGTGTAGCGCTCACAGCAGTTGATCACATGATTCGCCCATATCCACACCACGGGTTCTTCATTAGTGTCTCTTTAAGTGTTTTTATTTTATGAACAACATTTATCTTAGTGACACCACTGCAGCTTGCTCTTTAATTAGAAGAGGAATGAGCTCATGATATTAAGGTCAAGTGTAAACCGTTGTTACTCGCTTTGAACAAGACAAATATGTTAAATTCATGGTGACTTCTTGACATGATGTGCAAAAGTTACCATCCCTTACAAGTACATCTATACTCAGTGATAGGAAATTTAGCTTCTTTAAATATTCTAAAATAAAATTCCTACCCAATCTATCTTGACTGTTTGACACAACTCACCTGAAGGTTGAAGTTTGGCAGCAAAGATCGAAAAAACAGGGACAGCGTGCTCTCATTTGACGCACCGGCATGCTGCCTGTACAACACACAAAGTCATGTCATTTAAGTAAAAGAAACAGACTGATGATGATGATTAAAAAAGATGTTGGTTTGTGAATACACTGACATTGAATGCACTGTGAAATTTCATAAGCACAGATGTGCAGATCCGTCTTTACCTCTCCGGTCGGGTGTATGAGATCACCGAGTCCAGTGGAGGCAGAGGGTCAAAACCCATCACAGGCTGACTGGTCACCTCCTGAGGGAGTCAAACAAAAAAGTAAGAATTGAGTCAGTAATGCAAGATCTCATACATGTTCACTCCAGGGGTGATGAATGGGGATGTGCGCACTAAGTCAACTAGATAGTTAAACATTGTCACTTTTACAGCCAGCTCGAGAATAGCTAGCTAAATAGATTATTAACTGATAATATAAATAAACATATTTACTATATACACCACCTATATGTAATAAATACGGATGATAAATAGCATGCAGCAGCCCAGTGCAGTTCAGAAGTACTTTTGATCCAGAAAATACAGATAAAGTTGTATGTAGGTCCTGTCCACTTCAACTGGCGTATTAACATGGCAGGTATGTTGCTGTTAAGTTGCGAGGAAGACTGAAGGCTGGTTGTTCAAGTTTTGCTTCCAGGTTTTACCAATTTGATGTCTACCTATAGATTGTGATCCAGTTTCACGCAGTTTTAAATAAATTGAGCTAAAATTTTTCTATCAGAGTGTTTTCCATGTAGCCCAACTTTGAGATGACAAAGAGATGAACATTTTTTTAATAATGTTAACCAACCTTGTTTAAATCTATACAAAGTTTATAAAAGTATGATCTCTTCTTCTTGCTGTTGCTTGCTCAACTTTTTAACAAAAGTTCCTGTAACTTTTTTAAAAGGTGTTTAAAAAGGAGGCCTTGTAGTGTTTTTTTTTTTTTTTTTCCAATCACATATTCTATGGCTGAACCAGGGTCACGATTTCAGAAAGAAGCTGACAGAACCAATATATAAAGTTGGGGGGAAGGGGGGGGGGGGGGGGGGGGTTCTATTTGTAATGAACTATCTTTCATCAATTTGTAGTTTAAACATGAAAACCTGTTTTACGAGGAGTGCATAAGTAAACTGACACAATGTCAAAGCTATGAATGAATGAGTGATTCGACAACAGTAGTTTATAAGTGATTCTTGTTTGTTTCTCACTAGAGGCAGACTCGAAGTCGCTTCTTTGATTTCTGACAGGAGAACATGGCGGTGGATGTTCCTCGGTGCACTCTGGTACCTCTGCTTTCTCCTGGAACAGACAGAATATAGACCAGTGAAATACTCAGCGTTTCTGCTCAGAGGTCCAATTGTGGCAGTGAGATCTTACTTGTTCTGAGACTCCTCCACCTGTGGGTCGTTGGCATCAACTCGCTGCAGCACCTCTGTCACAGACTGTTCTAGCCACAGCATGACTGCCGCTTCCCTCCACAGAAGGAAGGTCCTCCCCACATAGAGTGCTGTCAGCTCAGCCAGCGCTGCAGGCTGCCTGGAAACACAAAGTAGAGAGAGGAGGATGAGTCCAAAGTTTTTGAGTTCGAGCAGAAAAGATTAAAAAAAAAAGTACATTGAATATACATCATGAGGGTAAAACAAGGTTATGACAAGACTGGAAGATATTCAAGTATTTGATGCACATAATGGTTATGTATTACTGGTTAATAAATCTAAACTGCAGGATTGTTTATATATAAATATATATGTATATAATTAAATTAGTGTCTCAGTGTTACTAAACGCTGGATTGTCGACAGTGTAGAAAACAGAGGGAGCATACATTACCCAATCTGACTCCTTGGGCCAAAGAAGGCGTGTGAGGTGACTGTGGCGTCTGGCTGCACAGTGCACAGATCCAGCAGAGGCATCAGCGCTGAAGGAAGTATATTTACAGTAACATCATTTGGGGGATGCACATTTACAACTTCCCCTACGCTAATGAATTTGTAACTCTTTATATCTGAAAGGGAATCATTTCAGTCATGGAGTAAACAGTGTAAATAAAGCCAGCGAGGATAAATCATGTTTGCAATCGAACCTCCAGGGAACATGATGAGAGCGCTCTGCAGCATCATGTCAGCTTTGTGTCTCAGTTTGCTACTTTCTTCAGGATCCAAGTCTTCCTGCTGACTGAGGTGGAAATGGCAAAGTGCAGTAGAAAAAGCAAAGTTTGGCAGCTGGGACAGGTTTCTGTGCACCTGCAACACATGAACAAACACTTTTGTACCAGACTGACAATATAGCACCAACCTGGCACTGCAGGACCCACACACAGTTCTCTTCAAATATGTGCTGAGAAAAAAAATTACCTCCCAGTCCTGATATAACTGAAGGAGGGACTGGTACTCTCTTGAGCGCAGCATCAGGAAATCGATTAGAAGAAGCATGCAAAGCGGGTCAGAGTCTGAGTCCAAGCTAATGAGAAGGAAGTACATAAGATCACAGGCAAGATTAGCAGGAACTGGATGAAAAGTAGACCAGCAAAATATCTCATCTCTAAAAGTCTCATCTCAAAATTCAGAGTGGTGGAGTGTGTTCCCACCGGTTCCTACTGTCTGCAACCAGTGGTGTGTGAGTATGATAAGTCAAAACTGATGGGCTCCATTAATTTCTAATGTTTATAGTGTAGTTAAAGGGATATTCTGGCGCATAATTAATTAAGGGTCAAACACACTGTAACACAGAGTTAGACACCCCCTCCAGAGATGAATGTTGCCAACTTAAGTAACAACCACACGATAGCAATACACAGTGGTCTGAGAAGCCATAAACAAACTTCAACCAAAAAGCCGCCCTATAGCCACAAATAATGCTCAGAACAGCACCTAACTTCATCAACAGTACATATAGGGTCCTAGCCATAGTACTAACCACCAAACATCTTTTTAGCTTTGGCTAATTTCTTTAGCAAAGAGACTAAACACAACTTACCTACTCTCTTCCAGCAACTGCTTGTTTGTAGCGAGACCTCAAACAAGTCCATTACGGACTACAGCGGGGTGACGCAGCTCAAGGAAGAACATTTATGAAAATTTCTTTATCATTTCCTTGAATTAAAAATCACCATATTTATCATTTTGCACTGCAGACGTGATGGTTCTTCTGCCTTAGCATCTAGGTCTGATTGCACTTCCATGAAGAAATGACCATAAATGTTCTTCCTTGAGCTGCGTCACCCCGCTGTAGTCCCCAATGGACTCGTCTGAGGTCTCCCTACAAACAAGTGGCTGCTGAAAGAGAGTAGGTAAGTTGTGTTTAGTCTCTTTGCTAAAGAAATTAGCCAAAGCTAAAAAGATGTTTGGTGGCTAGTACTGTGGCTGGGACCCTATATGTACTGGTGATGAAGTTAGGTGCTGTTCTAAGCATTATTTGTGGCTATAGAGTGGCGTTTTGGTTGAGGTTTGTTTATGGCTCCTCAGACGCGGTGTATTGCTATTGTACGGTCGTTACTTAAGTTGGTATAACTAGAGAAGCAAGCAGTCGGCAACACTCATCTCTGGAGAGGGTGTCTAACTCGGTGTCACAGTGTGTTTGACCCTAAATTAATTTTACGCCGGAATATCCCTTTAAAACAATCATCACTCTACTCCACCCCTCATCATTACACTACTGCCATAACAGTCCTGTATATATAAGTTGACATGTGTTTTGCATCTTATACATATTTTGTTAAATATTTGTACACAGAGGGCAAAGTTTACTGCAGTTAAATTCTTTGTATGAGCACACATACTTGCCATTAAAGCTGATTCTCGCTCTGAATTTTAGCTGATCTCTACACAGAGGGGAGTTGGCAGCTCTAATGACATTGTGTGTCTGGTTCCTCTTTATCTGTTTAAAATTTTAGGGTAAATTCATGTTGGATTTTATAAACTAACAGTGATTTAATCCCTGGTGATCATAGAGCGACAGCTGTCAGCTTTTATTACCACAGTGCTGCCTCGCAAAAAGACCAGAACACAACTGTCATGGGGTCAGGCAGCCTGAGTTTGATCAAAGCCTGAGATAAGCTCTGAGTATGAGCGAGCTGAACTGCTTAAACTGCAGCAAACTGATGGCAGCAGTGCGTGGGAACACTGTTCTTATGTGAATGTTATCTATGGTAGTATTATATGGAAGGTTTTATGCTTTATCCAGAGATTTGAATACTGAATTTTGTTACCAGTCCAGATCACATTATCATGAGTAACATCTCAGACCAGCACAGTCTTCCATTGGTTTACATTGCATACATGTCACAGTTTATCGGTAGATAATCAAATGAAAATGCCTTTGATTAAACATCTTTTCAGTCAGTATCAGGAGCTAGTAAGACTCAAACATGATCAGTTGTTTTTCTTCTTTCAAACTCATATTTTGGGGTTCTTCTTTGATCACTGATCAGTGGTCCTAGTTGTATAAAGCATGTGGTGACTATTTCACACAGCAGACAAACTAACATGGACTCTGCCTGAACAGGAGTAACATTTACAGAAGACAAACCCACACATTCATTTATTTGTGGCGAAATGCCAAATAAAGATTTTTGTGCTTTTGGCGCTACCTCAGACTCAGTATGTACCAGCTTATGTGGCGCATACGGGCGCTGCGCCACGGGGCGCAAGCGCAGGGTATTGACGAGTAGTCGTCTGTGATCACAGAGCAGATTACTTCCTCCATCCCCCTAAATCACAAATACATTCCCATCCTGTGGGAACCACTGAAACCCCAGAGAAATCTTCCAAGCCTAAAGACTGATGCTTCTGTTGCTTTTTATCATGGAAAATATTCTTCTTGTTGAGCAAAAACGTGATGTGATCTTACATAATCCTTTTGAAATAAAGAAACTAAACAGAAAACAGAACAGAGTGTAAGGGCAAACTTGTTTTTTCCTTTGCTTTCTTTCACGTTTATTTCTTATTTAACTATTTTCTTTAAAGTTATCCTCTGGTTATGAACCTGACTGAAATCAATTATGAAGCTTCTTTATGGCCGACAAAAGCAAATCAGACCATCAGTGGGGAGACTGACATTACCTGTATAATATAATGGCTGTTAACAACAGAAAAGCTCATCGATAGCATATAGCCAAGACAGCCTTTCTTTTTATTTTCCACTTCAAAATAAATGATACTTTTGACTGTTAAAGGAAAGCAGGATGACATTATTTGGTCAAAATATTCTTCATACAGGGCCTGAGATCAGCAGGGAAATAAAACAGACCACAAAGAATCACTGCCTCAAGTATCTTTAGATAAGAGCTATATTATATCAAAGAACTTCTTCAAACTGCAGACTAATTACATTATCAGTATAGTTCCTGAAAAACAGTCAAAACTTCTACTGTCGACTTTGACCTTGTCTGAAACTTTCTCTCTCTTCTCAATCAAAATTTCCAACACTTGAAATGAAGTAAAATCCATTCAAGGAGTATAATCAAATCTTTATCAGGTTCACAGAAGGCCTGGTTGTTCATCCTGCACCACCCTGCAGACACACCAGAGGGTATTAAATGTATAAAAAGATACATTTAGATACTGTATACAGAAAGCTGTTTCTATGGACAGGCTTTCAGGGGAATTCAGTTTACATAAATGGTATACTATACGTGGGAATTTCCCCTTGTGGGACTAATAAAGGAGTATCTTATCTAGTCTTATACTAGAAAATTATCTGATCAATTTCACCATCCGGGTTTGATTAAAACTTTAAAAATGTGATTCTAGCAGTCTTAACTTGTTGGGAAATAAAAACATAATTGGTGATAACAATTCGTCTGTCGCCTGTTCAGAATCCAGATTTCAATAATTGAAGATATGCTGCAAAAACAGTCACTGCGACAAGATGTTTGGCGTGCTCAAAGGGATGTTTGTTGTACAAGGTACTTGTTAATAGTGACTGTAATACCCACCAAAGATACTGATCAGCTCTACTGAGAGATGGGCCAGATAATCAGAACAGGAGCTGGACAACCAACTTTTGCAGACGGGGTTAATGCTACCAGATAATTTAGCTGATAACAAAACAGTCAGATTTAAATATCAGAGCCAGTGTAGGTATGCGCTCCGTTTCAAAGTTCTTCTCTACTGAATTTCTCTTTTGGGGCTCAAAAAGTACTCTCCTCTCTGATCTTATATTATCTTATCTTTACCCACAATCTTGAATTTTCAGACGTTTAATTTGATGTGACCCCAGTAAATACTCCTCTCGGCAGGTCTAAAACAACATGTTGTCAGTCTGTTTTCTTTTAGCCAGGAGACTGACTTTGTTTACATCCACCTACACATAGTCATCAGATAAGGGAAGTCATGTGCCATCTCAAATTGGAGAAGATCAGATATACCATTAAAGGCTCAGGTTTTGAACCTTGTTTGGGACATGAACTCTTAACAATATAAAGATGTAACCACCCTTTATGAAATTCTAACATACTGTATATGTGTTCATCTTTTATTTTCCTTATTGTCTGGATATGTATCATATGTGTATGTGTGAGAATGAAAATGAAACATTCAGAAGACCTTACTGAAATGAATCTTCAGAGTGAGTTTTCAGTTTGCACAAATTTTTTCAAACATGATGACATAACCTCAGAACAAAGACATCAAACAACTTGAAAATTCGGGTAGGATTTGGTCAAATTAGCGTAATTATGTAAGAGAATGGACCAAGTCAACACAAGCTGATGGCTTAGCATCTGTTCTGATTCCCCGACTGTTTTTTTTTTTTTTTTCTTTTTACAAAGGGGCCGAGCTGACTGAGGTCCCTGTGGCTTATACACCATTGAGGCGTACCTCATACAACCTCACAGAAAAGAATCAACTTATCTATCTTCCTTTAACATTAAAGACACACTCTTCAGTATGTCGTGCCTGTCATAGAGTTCTTCTTTTTCAACGCCCCGCTTCGGCTTATCATATTCATTTTTTAGCTTTACATACTGTGTTGGAGGTTCTGGATGACCACTTTCCCAAAAAATAAATACATTCGTTATGTACAATGAAAAAAATCTAATCAAATGCCTGATAAAGAAGTTACATGATAAACTAAGAGTGAGGCTAATTATTACTGAATAAAGTACTTGCTTGAAATGTAGCACAACATAATGATGAAGTGTGAAAAGCCAGATGAATGTAAAGCTGTATTCACACCCCTTTATATACTCTATCACATGTACGCTGACATTTTAAAAACACTAGTTACTGTTTGATTAATCTAGTTTTTAAATCAAAGACCCTAAAAACTCTATTGATCCTTGTCTTTCAATTTGTATGTACATTTTTCTTCTCTTTTTTGCCTTTTCTTTGTTCAAATGTATTTCTATCACATTTGCACGCTTGTTATGTTGTTTATTTTTATGTAATAAGATAATTCCTTTCTTTAGAGTAAAACCCTTTTTTCCATTTACCTCAGGATCAGTTTGCAGTACTCCAAAGCTGTTCGTGGACATCCTCTCTTCTCAAGGAACATCATGTGTTTGTAAAGAGCCAGATAAAAAGCCCTACAACAGAGATAATGGTATCAGCTAAAACATAAATACTGTAATGCAGGGATCCAACATCTCAAAAATGAAGGGACTCAAAAGAAAAGCAAAGACTGGAGCAGGGTTCCTACACAGCTGGAATTTCCATACTTTCCCATACCCTCATTTTTACAATTACTTTTGGAAATACCTACTTTTCTTTTGTAGAAAACAGTATTTTAGAACTGTGGTAGTAGTCTGGAAACATAAATATTTTTCCATACTTTATTTTTCATATTTCATACTTTTTAAGACCTGGAAATTGATCAAATTTATTTCCACACTTTCTATACTTGCGCAGGAACCCTGCTGGAGGACTGAGGAGGAACCAACCTGTTCTCTGGTCTTAGATAATCAAGTCTGCTGGCACCTGACGTCAGACTGAAGAGAGGGTGAAAGGCACACTCAAAGCTGTACAAGGCTCTCTCTAGAAGAATAAATCAGAATAAGAGCAGTGATAGCATATTTCAGTCAGATATCTTGCATTAGATTGGTTGAATCTGGTATTTGAGCAGAGCAGAGCACTTTGTTTGGTGTCTTGGGCCACAACCTCATCTCCTCACAGTTTTATTAAACTTGCAAAAATTTGAGAAGAGATTACACTTTCTTAAACCTCATTCGATGGAGCCTGCAGGGGGTTGGGCTCAAAATATGAGCTCAGTGTTTGTAAGGAGTAGTGACGGCAGAGGCCGCGACGGGGAATCTCACAGCACAAACAGATCAACAAATTCAAAGGCTATGTTGGTCAGGTGATTGTCGCAGTGACGCATGTTGATTGTGAAAGCTCGTCCAGCCTGGTTTAACGGCCTGAACGAGCTTGCAGGCAATGTTCTACTAGTTTTATTCACATAGATGAAGATACAGCATTTTAGAAGAAGCAAGATCATATCAGGTCACTCTCACCGAGGCATTACGCAATAAAGCAAAACAATCGTGCTTGTGGAGGAATCTGTTTAGTTTGCTGCCTCTCACTTGCAGATTTGTGGCATCATTAAAACAAAAATTAAAAACTGAATCACCTTTCCCTATCATGCCAGTTTCAGGAGATGTTATTAAACCAGAAATGAGACTAGTCCTCTTTTGTTAGATGATCCTTTTGGGTTTCCATATCAACCATTTTGGTGATCCTATTACAGACAGGCCTGTAATAAAGCTGTAATGCCTGAGGCTGCTATCAACATATTAACATTGTCTGTCTGTCTGTCTGTCTTTCTTTTTCCTACCGTGCATAAACTCTAATTTCTTAATGACAACTTTTTGTCCAATAGCACAAAAAAATGCACATTCATTGATTTAGATAACAACATCTTGAGTCATTTTAACAGGTCAATACTAGGATGAAATTATTCATCAATAACTGCCCAAAATTTTGAGATGAGCCGTGCAAGCAAATCTCAAAACTGTTGAATATTGTTGTGCAAAAAACGAAAACTGATCCCTCTCTTTAAAACAACACTACAATATCTTCTTTTTACTTTTATAAATTTTCCTTTTAACCTTAGGAAAGATGCTTCAACAGATGCCTGTTGAGAATCCACATTTTTCCAAGTATTTTACAAATAGCAAAAAATTAAACAGTTGAACGCAGTATTCGACTTTGCCTCGTGTTTGTTATTTAAAACAATGACATGTAATTCAATTAGGAAATTTTTACTGAATAGGATTAGTACCAAATTTTGCTGCCTTTGATCTGCCACTGACATGTTTTAAGAGTGGAAGAAAGCTTTTTAATGCGCTCAATAAAAAGGGATCAAGGATGAATCCTTTCTTAAGAGCAAAGAAAGTGATGAACTAATAATGAAAACTATACTCTGTGTGCCCGGTCTGCTTATCCATGAGAAAACACAGACTATGAAACCACTAGAGAGCATTAATGTCAAAGAGGGACTGCATTATTTCATGATCATGCCAAAAATTGGTAAAAGAATTACACTGAGAAAAGAAAGAGCTTGTGTTTCAAACCAACATCAATTCGGTAGATTCATTTCTTAATTCACAGTTGGAGGACTTATTGTGCATCTTACTGCTCTTGATATACATTAACAGTGATGTTGTTGTTTTAGAAGTCATGTTGTTAACAAATTCAGACATAGACGCTCACCAATGAGATCCCGGGCCATCTCCTGATCCTCCTGAATGCGGCAGACATCAGAGAGCTGCAGCAGGGAGTCGATGTGGTACGGGTTCAGCTGCAGCAGGGCCTGAAGAGAAAAAGACAAGAGAGAAGGGCTGAAATGGCAGAGCTAAAACACCAGAGCAGATCATGTATATTCAGAGGGAGGTGAATAAAGATGTACGGTGTGGGTAAAAAATGAATTAACATCGATCATGTGGTTACCAAGAAAACACAGAGTCACTGGTAAGAAAAAAAGTCCTTGTAAATCCGCAGAATCTTGATATTTATTTGTTAGCAAGTTATCTTTTATCCCTGCTATTTTTTTCCATTTGTATGTTTATACATTCATTTTATCAGAAACAGACTAATTCATAAGTAAAAGCAACAGTTTGAGGTGTGGCAGCTACAATTAGAAGTCACATTTTCACCCGTCGAAAAGTTGTTTTTTTTCCCCCTATCAATTCTAAATGACAAAAAATCATAGAAAAAAAATCAGGAATAAATCATTAAAAAAAAAATCTCAATCTCTTTACAGCCGGAAAAATAACGGCTGTGAAATGGAATGAAGTCAAAAACTCTTTTTAACAGTTTATTTTTTTTTTCTTGAAAAACAAACAAACAAATAAAAAACGGAGCTCAGAAACATGAGGATGAAGATTTAAAAAAAATACATACATAAATCTTTGTCCTCTATGCAACTTTTCCCCTTAAGTTAAAAAAGAAATGCCGGAAGATGCTTGGGTTTTTTCATCATGAACAGAATGAGAAAACTATCGTGATAAGATCGCCAGAACTGTTTCTATTTTTTTCTTCCATTTGTCAACATATTCAAAAGCACGCGTCTGTAAAATGCCACCACAGTATGCAGAGTCTATGTATGATCATGACTTTGCAGAAACACATGAATTGTTTGAATAATTCTTGAAGTCGGAAAGAAAAAAATCCAGCAGTGAGCTTACTTCACAGCCGTCATATCTTACAAATAAAGCGTGAAGCGTTTTATATTTTTTACACTTTTTAACTCCTAAGTTTCTTCAATTTTCATTTCCCTTTTGTATCTATCGCTGCTGTAAATTTGGAATTTCCCCTTGTGGGACGAATAAAGGAATATCTCTCTAAAGTCTAAACCTGCTTCGTATAAAAAAAGGTCCTCAAGATCACCTCTGATGATTTCAGAGGGAGGTTTCATGCTAGGTCAAAAGATGAAAAGATCTTTTTTGAAAATATGATCCACCACATCTATAAGGTCATTCATGCAATCCCATATCATCCGCTATTTTACACATCTCTGGCTACGTCAACGCTGGGATGGAAATCCAACGGCACCCCAGAGAGGAACTTTTTTTTAATTTACCACAATGTTGTTGGGATCCATGGACTCCACAGCATCCAGAAACTTGAACTGCACTTGTTGGTAGTCCCGGCTGTGCTCAAAGGCAAAGTACTGAATGCCATCCTTTGATTGCGATAAGGTCATTGAGACTCCTGTGGAGACAAAGTAACACAAGGTAGAGTTATTCAACAGATACTAAGAGGACTGAAAACGAATAATCACAGGAAAGATAAGGTTCCAGTTTCAGAGTGTAAAAGACTCTCACATTCATGAAGAGTTTGACTAAAAGACTTCACGTTCCAGTTTCAACTGGTTCTGTAAAGATGTGAAAAGATGGTAACTTTCTGTTACTCATAGACAGAGAGTGACTGTAACAGCTGACTGATATTAAGTAAGTTGGTCCGCAATAGTTAAACAGTGTGTTTGTCTGCAGTTTAACATGTTTTTCAAAAAGAACAGTATTATTCCACCAAGAGCACAAAAAAACTCATTTATCGGGTATATTTAAAACCGTGCTATAATGGCTATAAATTACGTCCTCTGAAAGACAAAGAGGTTTCTGAACAAGATTTTGGAAAACGTGGATTTTAGAGTTCATGTCACATCAGAAATTTGAAGAGTGATGACCATCATAATTCCAAGACGATAAAAGGTTTTAATAGAATTTTTTTTATATTTTGGCTTGAACATAACAAAGAGGCAGCCTGAGTGAGAAGATAAATGTTGAAGTATTGGACTTGGTGTTCTGATATGGATTAAATAAAGCCTAAACGTGAATAAAAAATAAAAAAAACAGAAGTTACACAACACATCAATGGTGACGTTCAGAGGGAACGCAATGAATAAGTCTTCTGATGTTGTGTGTGTCACAACTAAAACATCATACAGCCTACTCTGTCTTTAAAATGAAAGGAGCTTTGTCGACTGAATCATTGCTGTTTGTGTTGCTTTGAGATGACCAAATACAGAAAGATATGGATGTATGAGAAACTATCTATGCTCTAGTCAGTATGAATTATGTCTGATAAAAGAAAAACATAAAAGATCGGACTTGCTGTAAATTTGCTGTATGAGGTGATAAAGCAAGTTTAATCTCAGTAAAAACAAACATAAGACTTGTAATAACATTTTAAATAGGAGCATGCTTGAGTGTGTGAGTGCTGGAATGAAATTTTCCTCCACTAGGACGGCACTTTTCTTACTTTTTTAATCCTATTGAGCTGATCTATGTGAAAAAAAAAAACTTGGAAAATCAACAAAAGGCAGATCTTTGAATTTGTAAATGGTTCACATGACCATGAGTGGAAAGACTACCTGGGCGGCTAAATCGAGGCCAGCTGTCTTTAGGACTGGTCAACCAGGCGCTGCGATGAAACTGTCTGTTCCTCTGTCGGGGTCTGCTAAAAGAGTTTAAAAAGAAAAGGAAAAGGCATGAGACCTGTTATTGTTTTGATACAAATGCTGTCAAATGAAAAATTTAGACAATCTCTCATTTATTTCTTTTATGTATATGCACCTTTGATCCCCTTGGACAGCTCGGGCTCCGAAATACCTCTTCAGCTCCGTCTCAGGGTTGAGATTCCTGATAATGAGGTGCAGGAAAGAAAAAAAAGAAATGTCTTAAATGGATATCTAACAGTGTGACTCTGCAAAAGCAACACAGCACACGAGAAATAAATTAACATGTTTCACTGAAACACTTCACACATTTTTGTCATGTTATTCTAAAACTCAAGAGTGATTCAAAGCATTACCAAACTGAGCAAGCAGTATTCAACTTTTGAGTTAATGCCTGTATTTGTACAAAACTTTATCTGTACCTTGTTTGATAGTTTGCCTTTTGTTTCATGCATTTATAACAATAAATTCAAGTAGTTTACTGCATGCACGTGGATTTATAATGGCATTTATTTCCCCATTGTGAGATTAATAAAGGAGTATTTTATCTTATCTTAAAGTTTATTGTGTTCAGTGACAAAAACAGAGTAAAATAAAATAAATAAAGGAAAGGGTTTTACAACTACATTTCTATCATAAATTACATCACGTGCCTCAATTCATTCCTGCACACAGAAAAACCCTCGTTTCCATACACCAATCAGCCAAAACGTGAACTGTCTCTTAATGACATTGACTATCTCTTTAAAACGTCTCCCATCAGTGCGTATGATAGGAAGACAGTGAGCATCTTTTTCTCTATGTGGATGTATAGAAAGTGGAAAATCGTTTGAGCATGAGGATGTGAACACCTCAACTGGGACCAATGGCTGGTTCAGAGTATTTACAACACCGCAGCTCTTGTATTAGTCGCAAAAATTGTCAAAAGAAGGGTACATCGGTGAACAGGTGACAAGGTCATGGATGGCAAAGGGAATTTGAAGAGTGGAAGGGAAGGGAATGGCTTGTCTATGTGGTGGGATCCCACAGAACAGCTACTGATGCTTAAAAAGGCTGATTCTGACAGAAAGGTGTCAGACACCAGTTTGTTGCTTTTGGGGCAGACCAGTCAGAGTGCCCATGTTGATCCCTGTTTACCACCAAAAGCAAATGAGCTGCCAAACCAGACCATGGAGCAGTGGAAAAAAATGACACATCTTTGTGATGTATTAACAAGTCCAATCCACAGAAGCCCGATTGCCCAACTTCCAGGATTTACAGGATCTGCTGCTACTATCTTGGTGCAAGATACCACAGCACACATTCAGTGGTCTGGTGAAGTCTATGTCTTTTCGCTGCCAAGAAGGGAGCATATGGACCTATTACACAGGTGGTCCTCATAGGTGTGACTGATTGGTGTATATGAAATGAGTACAGAGGGTGTTTCAAAGTTTCTGTATGTAAAAAAAAAAATGTTTTTGCCCAGTATTTAAGCGGTAGGTAAAAGTTTACCATCAGACTGAAAGGGTCTGCTTTGATATCACTTGTTAAGAAGTTTGAGGAACAATTTGCCTCATTTTAAAAGACAGAAATTCACTGTAGTGCATCCAGCCTTTTTCATAATAGCGTCCTCTTCTGTGAGCTAAGTGCCCCCATGTGGTGTCAAAAAGAATAACAGGGGGAATATACCTTTGTGAGGCCTCTCTTTTACTTTATTCACCAACTTAATCAAGTGAAGTTAGTCTAGACCTAACTTAGAATGGCTACTGGCTACCAGTGTGATGAGTCATGACATCTTTGATTATAATCTGTTTATTTTCCTACATGTTGGGAAGTCAGCCTCCTTACCTGTGCTCCACGTGCAGCACTGGTTTCTTGTCAAAGGCTCCACAATCTTCATTTTGCAAGCTGAAACCATTAGACTGGCTCATGTTCTGTAGTAGTAAATCAATGTCATCATCCGCCGCAGCCTCCTGGAGGTCCATTTAAAAAAAATAAACACAAGGAATGAAGTTTGTTGTATTATATTGATTATTAGACGCTGTCATTACAAATGCACTGACATTCACAATAATCAGCAACTCGATTACTGTTGTGGTTTTTCCTCTATCAATTACAGTCTAATAAATGGAAGTAAAGAATCAAGTCTCAAACCATGTACCTGACCACTCTCCGGTGTCACTTTCGCCTTTTTCTTTTTCTTCTTCTTTTTAACTCTGTCTCCTGTCAAAGACTGTTTAGAAGAGAGAAATAATAAGTCTTTATAAACAAAGATGTAATTTTGTTGTGCTGATTAAAAATACCAGAGACAGACATTTTTACACAGTTTCAATGATTTACCTTTGAATTGGCCTCCTCTGATTTCTCAGCATCTCTGTTATCTTTTTTTTCAGGGCCACTTGTTTGATTTTCTTCCCGTTTCTCTGTCTCTTCATCAGGAGACATTTTCTCTGCCTCATTGTCAGCATCACAGATCTGGGGAAAAAAATCAGAAAATGCAAAGAAAGTGAGGTGAAATTATCAATGCCAAGAGTAAGCTGGAGGTTCACAGCATAAAAACACTGCAATAAACTTCTCCCTATGTCTTGCCCTGGACTGACAGTACTGATACTAAAACTACAAGTGGTGGAAAAGTTGTGTAATCAAAAAGACAGTAAAAAATTACACATACAGCAGATGTTGTGAACCAGAGATTCTTGATGGTTTGTTGCAAGAATAGACAATATTCTTAACAGTAATGAGTGGAGTCCTTCATGAGTTTGTACAGTTTGTATGTTGGTGAATAACCCATTGGAAAAACCCAGTGGTTCTCAAATCTAGTCCTTGAGGCCCACTGTCCTGCATGTTTTGGATGTTTCCCTGCTCCAACACACCTGATTCAAATGATCAGCTCGTTATCAAGCTCTGTAATGGCTTAATAACGAGCTGATCATTTGAATCAGGTGTGTTGGAGCATGGAAACATCCAAAACATGCAGGACAGTGGGCCTCGACGACTGGACTTAAGAACCACTGGAATAACCCATTCATACGTTTAGGACTTCATACAAGCGTAATGTATACCTTTAATAACCTACGGTTCAAAAACTAAATATTCTCTCTCTGTTTTAAATCTAGGACATGATTCAATAGATGCTGAAAAGTTCTGAGCTAACACACAGACTTTATATACTCTGTTTCCAATAATATCAAGTAATATTCAGTTATTACCTTTAACAAAGCTGGCTCTCTCATTTTTACAGAATAATTTATTTCATTAACACGAGCAACAAAAGCTTTTTTCTAGTGATAAAATGATCCTTTTCTGGCAAACTAGAAAAAAAAATGCAGTCGGAGACACCATGTTGCCATTCCTCACACAACTGAGGTGATAAACTACTTTCTTTAGGATTATTTTATGCTTCACAACTCTAAGGACACAAGTTATAATCATCTGAAGTCAAAAAGGAAAGTGAAATGGACAATAGAGCAGATAAAATGTAGAGATTCATGTCTGCTCAGGGCCTCTGCAGATTTCAGATTACAGTTAATAAAGCAATGAGAGAGTGACTTGAAGTCACATTCAAGAATAACTGAGAATAAAAATAACTTCATTTTATCCCTTACGGGAAATTCCTCTGTAATGTGACTCGCAGACAATCTTCCATCCATAAAAATGTTATTCACTTTTTTATTATTATGACACATTTTAGTACAGCTTACTTCACAGCAGCTTAAGCTCAAGGAAATGATTTGGTGACTGCAAAACTGCAAGCAACTTGACTTGACAAGTTGTCAATATTAAGTGTCCAAACTTTAATCAAAATTTACAGCAATTTTTCAACGCAGCAGACAAACTTGACCCTTTCTTTGACCCTGAATTGAGTTAATCTTTGATAAACTTGGGAATGAGCTGACACCACAGCGTTAGCAGGTGTTAGCAAGTTTCATGCTCAGACACTTACTGTCATTTGGCAGAAAAACAAACAAATCCTACCACCATGTTTAAAGTAACACGATAAGGGTAGTGTACCACCTCTTACCAGTTCATAAATGTTGCTGAAGTTTTTCTGTGCCTTGTTTTTCTTTGACTTTCGGCTGTTGGATTTTCTGTTGGTCGGAGGAGAAGAAACGTTAGCCGTGTCCAGCTGCTCCTCTTCTTCAGCACCAGCCTGCTCCTCCGGACTGTCACCCAAAGTTAGCTCCCCGAGGTCCAAGGCCTCCTGACCCCGCTGTTTCCCTTTCAGCCTTCGCATAGCCCGGGAAGACATGGTCCTCTTCTCATAGAAAACACTCACACTGTACAATACTGAAGATTAAATCTCTGTTTAGGTTAGCTGGCAGGCACAACAAGCCAATGAAGTGTTACTCTTCTTCTTGACATCTAAACGTTTGGGTGTGTGACACTGCCCCCCACAGGATGAATGGAGAACTGTATGTGGGAAATCTTATTTTCTTCTATGCCAGGGGTGTCAAACTCAACTCAGCAAGGACAATAATTTGGATTTAGGTCTAACCTGGGGGCCAAAGAGGGTAAACATTTCACCAAAACTGTCAACCTCCATTTAAAAGAAATATGTAACCAAAAATAGTAATGATTATAAATCATTTGGAAATTCAAAAAAGATAAGTTTAAAGGCAATCTGAGATAGAAATTTTTTTTTTAAATATTTTATACTTTTTTTTTATGAGTTCAAAAGATCAGTGCATGATATTAAAAATAGAAAAATAATGCTTTTAAAGAGAAAATGCACGAGGAGAACATTGAAATCATGTTAAAAAGGTCAAAATATGACTAAAAATTTAAAATTGGAATCTAAAGTATAAAAATGAAACAAGTCTAAATACTGAATTGAACAAAATCAAAGCATGAAATCCAATCATGTTTGACTTGTAATCTCGAAATGCAAAATTGAAAACATGAAAAAAATATATATATATTTTCACCCATATTCTTGACTATTTATTAAATCTTTCCCTACACTTTAATTTCCCAGATTTTCGTGGCTTATTAAGGATATTCTAAATAATGGTGCTAAAGTTTACATTATTATAGCGGAGGAAATCTGCAGACTTCATACTGGTGGGCCAATAATAATACAAATATGAAATAATCTTGTACGCCAGATATAATTGTTCAGATTTGGCCCTCGGGCCTTGAGTTTGGTATATATATATATATAGTTTTCCCTGTGTCCCTAATGAGGATTTTGATTGCGAGTCAGACTTTTATTGTTAATCAATTTGCTCTCAAAGTGATTCGATGATGCAGAGATATCAGAGCAGTACCTAATTAGCAAATTGGTCTCAGCTGTGGGCCTGGCCTAAGGCTCACAGATTACCATGGCAACTTGAGCTGGTTGCGTTTGATGACAGACGCACCACAGGCTGAGGCAGTCAAAGAGAAAAATAGTGATTTTTTTGCCTCGGCGCTGATCTCACATTTTGGCTTACCTTGACAGAACAGTAGCTCTTATCAGAAACAAAGCAGATTGTGGTCATCATAAGGACTTCCTGAACAGTTTGATTTGATTTTGGTGTTTCTACAGTAAATAGTTCCGACATACTTGCAAGTTTGAATTTGATGTCTGTAACACGTCCCTAAAAAGCTGGTTCAGGGTCACGTTTCTCTCTGTTTTACATCACCTTTCCTGTAACAACACTTAGTGAGCCTTTGTGAACTGACTGTTGAAGATTTGGTGGTGAATTTTTTCACAGTCTTGGGTGATGGACCAGTGGTGGACAGCAGACCCGGTCTTTGTTGTGGTATTTTGAGCCATGCATGTTCAATGTGAGAAAGGTCTGGACTGCAGGTAGGCCAGTCTAGTGACTGGACTCTTTGACTCTAAAGTCCTGCTGTTGTTGTGTACCCTGCGTTGTCTCCTTGAAATAAACAGGGGCGTCCCTAAAAAAGAAGTGGCTCTAATGGCAGCAGATGTTGCTCCTAAACCTGCATGTATCTCTCAGCATTAATGGAGCCTTCACAGATGTGACAGGTAGCCATGGGCACTAACACACCCCCAGACCATCACAGATACTAGCTTTGACCTTTGACCTGAGAACAGTCTGGACAACACATGTATGATTTCCAAAAAGTATGGACTTGTCAGACCACAGCAGACTTTTTCACTTCAGGTCAGTCCATCTCAGATGAGCTCTGGTCCAGAGAGGCCGGCGATGTTCCTGGCTGTTGTTGATATCTGTCTTTGTCTTTGCATGGTAGAGTTTTTAGATGAAGAGACCAACTGTGTTAACTGACAATGGTTTTTCTGAGGTCCTCCTGAGTCCATGTGGTATAATCCCTCACAGAATCATGTGGGCCATTTGAGGGGTCAGAGGTCACGGCCTTTCTATGTTGGTTTTCAGCTTTGCTGCTTACATGCAGAGATTTCTCTGAATTCATCAAATTTAAATTCAAAATGAGTCCGTATTGACAACAACAACGACAAACACTTTACCTGTTGAAACGTTAAGTATCTTGTTGTTGTTGTGTATTCAGTTGAGTATAAGTGGAAAAGGATTTGAAATTACATTGTGTTCTGTTTTTATTTACATTTCCCACAATGTGCAAACTTCACTGGGATTGGTGTTTTTTAACTTTTTGATGTTATAGCAGGAAATTTTGAAATCTTTGGCACCCAAGAAGGTTATGTTTGTTATCTTCTTAATTCCCAGCTTCTCACAATGCTGGTACAGAAAAGCCATTGAATAAAGACCAACATCTGACAAACTGTTTTCTTTTTTATTTATTTGTTTATTTATTCAAAAAGTAATACATCATAAAAAAAATAAAGATTCTGTTTGGAATTTTATCCATCAGGCAGAAGTAAGTGGTGCGCCTTTTTGCAGAGAGAGCTCTGAATTTTCTTTTCTCACTAATAATAATAATAATAATAATTCATTTTATTTGTACAGCGCTTTTAAAAACAATCAAAGACGCTTTACATAGTACATAAAATTCAAGATAATAAAACAAAGACATGAAAACAGTATCAATCAACTTAATATCTCTAGCACATTTAAAAGAACCACAAGGGTAGCCAAAGTGCTGTACAATGACACATAAAAACAAAAAAAAACAATCAAAGAACAAGATATGGCAAGCAGAAATACAATAATGCAAAAGAATAACACTACACTACAGGAGGCCTGTCAATAAGATGAACAAAACAGTTAAATATTAAAAGCAATTTTAGATAGGTGAGTTTTTTAAAGGGATTTAAAAGTAGTGGGGTCAGGCACCCCACTATAAGGGTTAGAGGTTAGGGGGTGAGGGTTGCAGCAGCAACAGAGGGTCTTGGCCACACGCCTAAGGAATTCAGAAATCCTCCTCAGGATCTTTTTCCCCCGTCCAGAGGAGGCTGGAGCTGCTGGAGTGGAGTCCGTCAAAGTCTGTTCATGGCAGGAGGACGGACCCGAGTCCTCACTGTCAGAGCAGGGTGGTGGGATGCAGGTGCTCTGCACTGAGTCTGTCTCTGGAGATGTCCAACCGAAAGGTTGGACATCAAATGCCTTGACCACGCCTCATTCCCATCAAATGCCTTGACCACAAATGCCTTCCTGTCCTGGTACTCAGCTTCCCCCTCTTTGGGGTGGATCTGAAAAAGGAAACAGATTCAGGTAAAACAATCAGAGAACCATGTTGACTATTTAGACACCACACATGAAACCAAGCAAAGACTACCTACATCCACCAGATCATCCAGACAGCTCGGCTGGTCACAGTTCACTTCACCGGTCACTGTGTGTTCTTCAGGCATCTAAGTGAGTCAAATACACATGAAAAGCATTTAAAAGAGCTGAAAATGACATAATTTAGTCTGTCAAACAAAAAAAAAAGGAACAAAGTTCTCTACCAGTAGCCTCCATGACCCGTCCACCTCATTGAAGAAGCTCCCGGTGAAAAGCCCCTCTTCCAGCATGTAATCTTTTGGCTGGCCCAGGAGCTCTACCACTCTCTTCGTCTGCAGATAAAATGTACACTTAATCAATCAGTCAGTCTTTATTTGTATAGCACTTTTCAATAAAAAAAAACAATGTAGCACAAAGTGCTTTAGACAGCAGAGGAATAAAAGATACAAAGAAAACCCTAATCTACCCCAACCCAACGCCTCATTCCCACCCCACAATCTAAGCACAATAGAAACATGTATTAAAATGCATGAACTTAAAAAGGGCTCAATTTCATATAAACAGGAATGTGTGCACATAGGAAACGCTATTTTTAAATTAAAAGATAAGGAAACACTGGGAGTTTATGTTAAAATCTAAAAAACAAAGTTACATCAAATGAAATCTAAAAAGAAATCAATTAAATGAAATAAAAAACAGTAAAAGATACTGAAATAAGAGCACCAAAATAGCCCAATAAAAGATGATCCTGTCATTAAAACTAGAAGAGATAAATGCTAAAACACTTAAAGTTAACAATATAAATTTAGTTATAATTAAGACTAAAAAGTTTTGAATTTGCTTTTAACATCATTAAGATTAACATGAGCTGACATCCTGAATAAAGTCGCTACTTTGATTGAGGGAGATCACATACCATCTGATATTCACTATTCGCAGGGAAGAGGTGTCTAGCCAGGTACAGACAGGCCAGTGTACATCCTAATCCCCACATATCTATGGCCTCGTTAAAGGGCAGGCCGAGGGAAACTTCTGGAGCCCTAAGGAAGAGAGAGATCAGGGCCAAAGGTGATGAAAAATGTCAGTGATCTTTGTCAACCAAAAGAGAAAGTCAGATGATTGACATAATTTCTGTAAGACTGACTCATGATCTGTAAAGGATGAACCCACCTGTACCCAATTGCCTGAAGCACCATCGCAGGTCTGACTTCTGAGGGCATCTTGGCAAGACCAAAGTCAATAAGTTTTACCCTCAAGGGCCGGTTCCACCGGTGAACTATCATGATGTTGTCAGCCTTGAGGTCGCCGTGCAGGATCCCAAAAAACTTTAGGGCATCAAAGGCCACCAGCAGCTGCAGCAAAAATCAAGCAGGACAAAATACAGCATTCAGAATTCATTAGCTCCTGTGTGGGGTTGATTTTTACCAACATGTAGTATACATGTCAACCACAATCCAAACAAAGTTAGGACTATGAGTAATGTTGATGAAAACAGATTCAGATGGTTGACAAATCACTTTCAAAGTCAAACTGTCTCATAAAAAAATGTCTGTATGCAGCATCCCAACAGGTTTTTAGAATTGAGGTAGTGAAACAAGGTAAAATTGGTTGTGTAATTAGACTGTTGTTCAGCATATACCTGATTTGCTATCGGCCGGATGATCTGCAGACTCAGTGGCTCATAGTCGTGCTCTGCGATTATCTCGTGGAGATTCTTTTCGACCATCTCAAAAGCAAGACAAGTCCTATCCCTGTCCTCAAAATGCTCGAACAACTTGACCACGTTGATACGGTCCGGATCCAGCGCAGACAGTGCCGTCAGTATGAATATCTGGGGTTAGAGCAGGAGACATAGTTACAGGTCTATGTATGGTAAGGGGGCGGCTTCAGAAACTGACTACATTTGCTGTGAAGTGCAGAAATTAAAGGTGTCCAAAAACATACCTCATTCTTCATGCTTGCTGTCAACTCACTGCTCTGCTTCAGGATCTTAACAGCCACCATCTCCTTTGTGGCCAGATTTCTGCACTTGGCCACTTTTCCATATACTCCCTCATTTGGAATGAGTGTCCAGGCACCCCACTACAAGGGTTAGGGGGTGAGGGTTAGGGGATAGGGTAAGGGGTAGGGGTTAGGGGTCTCTGATCACAGAGATGCCTCAGTCCTCCACATTGCAGCAGCAACAGAGGGTCTTGGCCACACGCCTAAGGAATTTAGAAATCCTCCTCAGGATCTTTTTCCCCCGTCCAGAGGAGGCTGGAGCTGCTGGAGTGGAGTCCGTCAAAGTCTGTTCATGGCAGGAGGACGGACCCGAGTCCTCACTGTCAGAACAGGGTGGTGGGATGCAGGTGCTCTGCACTGAGTCTATCTCTGGCTCATCGTTTCGAGATGAAGCAAACACATCTTCCTCTTTTAATGGCTCATCAGCCTCAGCATCTTCTCTGCTCTCTGGTGATTCGGTTGCCGATCTTAGGACTGAATCGAGGACAGCAGAGATGTCCAACCTGTCTGCTGAGGCCCCCAGATGGTCTTTTAGAGTTTGTGCCTCAGCCAGACTGGATGAAACAGAAAAATCATTTTGTGAGTTCATCAGTCATTTTTTTTTTTAAATCTCTGTTACATATGTTTCAACAATAAACCACTGGAATGACTATCACTGTCACTTACTATACTCTGCTGTGGGGGTCCTCGACCAGGTGGGACATTGTAATAAAAGGGTGCTGCAGAGCTTCTTCAGGGGTGAGCCTTTTGTCACCCTCAATATGCAGCAGCCCTTTTAGCAGGTCCACAAATGCCTTCCTGTCCTGGTATTCAGCCTTCCCCTTTTTGGGCCGGATCTGAAAAAGGAAACAGATTCAGGTAAAACAATCAGAGAACCATGTTGACTATTTAGACACCACTCATGAAACCAAGCAAAGACTACCTACATCCACCAGATCATCCAGACAGCTCAGCTGGTCACGGTTCACTTTACCGGTCACTGTGTGTTCTTCAGGCATCTAAGTGAGTCAAATACACATGAAAAGCATTTAAAAGAGCTGAAAATGACATAATTTAGTCTGTCAAACAAAAAAAAAAGGAACAAAGTTCTCTACCAGTAGCCTCCATGACCCGTCCACCTCATGGAAGAAGCTCTCGGTGAAAAGCCCCTCTTCCAGCATGTAATCTTTTGGCTGGCCCAGGAGCTCTACCACTCTCTTCATCTGCAGATAAAATGTACACTTAATCAATCAGTCAGTCTTTATTTGTATAGCACTTTTCATTAAAAAAAACAATGTAGCACAAAGTGCTTTACACAGCAGAGGAATAAAAGAAACAAAGAAAACCCTAATCTACCCCAACCCAACGCCTCATTCCCACCCCACAATCTAAGCACAATAGAAACATGTATTAAAATGCATGAACTTAAAAAGGGCTCAATTTCATATAAACAGGAATGTGCGCACTGAGGAAACGCTATTTTTAAATTAAAAGATAAAGAAACACTGGGAGTTTATGTTAAAATCTAAAAAACAAAGTTACATCAAATGAAATCTAAAAAGAAATCAATTAAATGAAATAAAAAACAGTAAAAGATACTGAAATAAGAGCACCAAAATAGCCCAATAAAAGATGATCCTGTCATTAAAACTAGAAGAGATAAATGCTAAAACACTTAAAGTTAACAATATAAAACTAAGTTATGAGTAAGACTAAAAAGTTTTGAGTTTGCTTTTAACATCATTAAGATTAACATGAGCTGACATCCTGAATAAAGTCGCTACTTTGATTGAGGGAGATCACATACCATCTGATATTCACTATTCACAGGGAAGAGGTGTCTAGCCAGGTACAGACAGGCCAGTGTACATCCTAATCCCCACATATCTATGGCCTCGTTAAAGGGCAGGCCGAGGGAAACTTCTGGAGCCCTAAGGAAGAGAGAGATCAGGGCCAAAGGTGATGAAAAATGTCAGTGATCTTTGTCAACCAAAAGAAAAAGTCAGATGATTGACATGAATTCTGTAAGACTGACTCATGATCTGTAAAGGATGAACCCACCTGTACCCAATTGCCTGAAGCACCATCGCAGGTCTGACTTCTGAGGGCATCTTGGCAAGACCAAAGTCAATAAGTTTTACCCTCACGGGCCGGTTCCGCCGGTGAACTATCATGATGTTGTCAGCCTTGAGGTCGCCGTGCAGGATCCCAAAAAACTTTAGGGCATCAAAGGCCACCAGCAGCTGCAGCAAAAATCAAGCAGGACAAAATACAGCATTAAGAATTCATTAGCTCCTGTGTGGGGTTGATTTTTACCAACATGTAGTATACATGTCAACCACAATCCAAACAAAGTTAGGACTATGAGTAATGTTGATGAAAACAGATTCAGATGGTTGACAAATCACTTTCAAAGTCATACTGTCTCATAAAAAAATGTCTGTATGCAGCATCCCAACAGGTTTTTAGAATTGAGGAAGTGAAACAAGGTAAAATTGGTTGTGTAATTAGACTGTTGTTCAGCATGTACCTGATTTGCTATCGGCCGGATGATCTGCAGACTCAGTGGCTTATAGTTGTGATTTGCGATGAACTCGTGGAGATTCGTTTCGAGCATCTCAAAAGCAAGACAAGTCCTATCCCTGTCCTCAAAATGCTCGAACAATTTGACCACATTAATACGGTCCGGATCGAGCGCAGACAGTGCCGTCAGTATGAATATCTGGGGTTAGAGCAGGAGACATAGTTACAGGTCTATGTATGGTAAGGGGGCGGCTTCAGAAACTGACTACATTTGCTGTGAAGTGCAGAAATTAAAGGTGTCCAAAAACATACCTCATTCTTCATGCTTGCTGTCAACTCACTGCTCTGCTTCAGGATCTTAACAGCCACCATCTCCTTTGTGGCCAGATTTCTGCACTTGGCCACTTTTCCATATACTCCCTCACCAATAAACTCATGAATGCAGTAAGTGGAGCTGCCAAATAGATAGTGACCTATCTTGGCCTCAGGTGTGGTACGTGCTGTGAAAAGGAGAGATGAGAAAACATGAAGTCAGTGTAGGCCTGCACAATATATCGTTTGAGCATCGTCATCGAGATGTACTTGTACGCCATAGTCACATCGCAGAGCCTGCGATGTCGGAGGTGAATGAACTCATCTAATTTCAAGGGTAGCCGACTGAGATACACTGCATGTGACTTTGCATGTGCTTTGCAACGATCCACCAATCACCTTCGTTCTTTACTCAGTTGCCAATCAGACTACTCTGCCGGCTGTCAATCAAAATCAGAGAGGAGGAAACCCACCCCTGCACATGTCCTGCACATGGAGTGAGTCGTTATCGGAGTTGAGCCGAGAAACGCGTGTCTGCTGAGAATTACTTTCGGAACATTACTCATCAGTGTTTAGCCCAACAAATAAGAATTGTATGGGTTTTAAATTGTACATTTTCCCTGGACCACTCTACTATAAGCAGTGCAATTCTCGAAAGCCATGCGTTTCTCAGCACAACCCCGGCAGCAACAACAACAACGATCGCAAACTGAGCAACAAACAAAGAAAACCACAAGGGTTGAAGACTTATTGCCAAAAAGAAAAGGAAAGTCAGTTATCTGGAATTATTACGGTTAAAAGAAGGATGATGTCGACCAAAACAGGTGTTATGTGTTCACCTGTTTCCACAATAAAGTCCCAGCACAATAAAAGCTAAAAATATCTCTGAGACAGACAGAAGCCACTCTACAAACATTCACAAAAAGAGGTAAGATCAGAGCAGGTTAACTGTCCTCAAGATTTCAGCAGTGCAGCGTAACATCAAGTGCTATTCAGGTCATCTGGTGAAAATTCCTTTATTTTTTAATATCGCAAAATATATTGCAGGGTTGAAAAAAATCGCAATGTTAGTTTTTTCCAATAACGTGCAGCCTTAAGTCAGTGTATACAGTCAGTGAGCGAACATTCTGCGTCGTGTAAGATTGTGAGTTTGGACCTACCAGTTGACATTTTGAGATCCTCAGGTGATACCAGTTCTTCTTCCAGAGGAATTAAACGGTACACAATTATACAATACAAGGATGTAAATCTAAAGTTCTTCAAAAGTTCGATTGTACTCTCCAAACAATTATCTGTTGCTCTCTCTCTCAAATGTGTTATCTCTCTCCAAGCGCTCTGAGAAAACTAAGCAAAGTGTGTTTTGTTTTCTTTTGAAATTTCCATGTTTCACTAACCATGGTAACATTCTACAGTTAAGGTGTTTGGATTCAAACTGTAGCACTGAAGAAAAGAGTTCTGCTCCAGATGGTATTTGGAAAATAGCCTTTTAGTTGTTTACATTTAATCATTACCGGGCTTTCTTACTACTTATTCTGCTGTTTTCAGGCCTAATACTTGATTCTGATTGGTCAAAAACTCATAACAATGGTGAGTGATTCCTATAAGACAAGATGAGTCTACAAGGACAAACCTGATCATGGTCATCTGGTCAAATACAGTTGCAGTACAGTAAAGTACACCCTCTGATTGTTGTCTGCTGTCCATGGTGCTGATGTGAAAGACTTTGAGTCCCAGAATCATCAATTTTGTCTTGTATTAATATCTTCAATACTCCTGTACACTGTTTGTGTATGAGCAGTGGATCTTGGTGTTATGAGGCTGCAGGATTCATGTGTACCCCACTATTATTTTTTCCTATATTGTTTAAATCATATGTTTTTATACCTGCTTATGAGCATTTGTCTATACTTACTTCTGTCTCTGTTCACAATCTTTTAATCCATGTAAAACACTTTGAATTTCCCTTCAGGGATCAATCAATTTGTCATTGTTGTTGTTGTGCTTCTTCTTCAGTTGCATGTGAATTGTAAATAAAGAATAATATTTTGGTAAAGGCAAATATGTTTTATAAAATGGGAACATTATTATTTCACATTTTTAAACACTTTGAAAGTGCATGAACATCATTCCAGCAACCACTACTCCAGAGTCTGTAAATGACAGGGTCTTATTTGTCAGGATCCATGACCCACAGAGGAAAGCTGCTGTGCGTCTCTGTTGGGTTGGGTTTTCTGCTCATAAGCTATAGACTCTTTTTCCCCCCTCCTCTTGTATTCTTTCTCAGTAATGCCTGCATAATTTAGCAACACAATACCAGGGTTTTTATTTTCAGTAAAAAAAAAAAAAAGACTGAAGAATATTACAAACCACAATTCCAGTGAAGTTGGGACGTTGAGTACAACACAAACAAAAAAACCTTACAATGATTCTTCAATAAATTGAATACACTCTGAAATTTTTTTTATTATTATTATTATTATTATTATTATTATTATTATCTATTTATTTATTTATTTTTGTAAATTCTCACTTATTTTGAATTTAATTTCTGTAACACGTCCCTACAAAGCTGGTTCAGGGTCACGTTTCTCTCTGTTTTACATCACCTTTCCTGTAACAACACTCAGTAAGCCTTTGTGAACTAACTGTTGAAGATTTTGAGGTGAATTTTCTCACAGTCTTGAGTTATGGACCACTTCAGGTGGTCTATGTTGTGGTTTGAGCCATGCATGTTCAATGTGAGACAGGTCTGGACTGCAGGTAGGCCAGTCTAGTGACTGGACTCTTTGACTCTAAAGTCCTGGGGTCCGTTTCACGTAGCAGGTTTAATGGAAACTCCGAGTTTGTTAACCCTGAAATCAGTGAAACTCTGAGTTTTCCGTTTCACAAAGGAGGGTTAGTTAAACCAGGGAGAGAGGGGTAACTCTAACCTGTTTCACAAAGAGAGGTAACTCAACCTCGCGGTCAGTTACCACAGTAACAGACTCCGTGAACCTAACCTGCTCGGGAGCAGGTTTAACTCAGTAAACCCAGAGTTTCAGGTGAGACATCGGCATTTTCTCATTTTGATCATGTTTTACATTGTCAAGTAAGTATTAAGTGGCAGTTTGATCCCTTAAAAAATGCTCTTTTCACACTGAATTTTACTCTCTTATTATGTTCCGTTAAATGATTAAGAATATTAAAGTAACACAAAAACGGGTGGTGGTCCAGCAGCTCCACCTTTAACGGAGGCAGAGGACCTGCCCCCCCCCCCCCCCCCCGTTCGACGATCGCGGCCGATCCGATCGCAACCCCCTTTTAACCTCCGTTAAAGGTGGGGCTGCTGGGCCACCACCCGTTTTTCTGGCATCTGCCCTCTTTCTGTTTGCTGAGTGAAAGTCTAATATTGAGTGAAGTGTGTGTTAGTTTAATATATGTACATATACATACATACTGAGAGTTAGTTTAATATTCCTAATCATTTAACGGAACATCATAAGAGAGTAAAATTCATTTTTGAGTGTGAAAAGAGCATTTTCTAAGGGATCAAACTGCCACTTAATACTTACTTGACAATGTAAAACATGATCAAAATGATTCAAGCAGTTTCCCTGCAACAGTCTGTCATTGTGATTGCACGAGACTAGATTTAAAGTTACGCATTGACGCGAGCAGCGATTTCCTCCCAAGCCCTCTCCCTCTCCTTTGCAGCTGCTGCTGTATTGCACTTTCTTTTACAAACGTGCTGTAATTCGCTGTTGGCTTGCTGCTGCCCCCTCCTTCTCCCTGTTTCCATTGGTTGATCATTGAATCTGCGCTCCACAGATGCTGGCTGTTTATGTCTGGCGTGCACGTGCTTAACTCCAGGTCAAACTACTCGGAGTTGTTAAAACCGTCTCAAATCAGGTATTGTGAAACCGGAAACTCAGAGTTTCCTAACTCAGAGTAGATCAACTCAGAGTTAAGGATTTAACTCAGAGTTTGTTGAACCACCTACGTGAAACGGACCCCTGCTGTTGTTGTGTACCCTGCGTTGTCTCCTTGAAATAAACAGGGGCGTCCCTAAAAGAGAAGTGGCTCTAATGGCAGCAGATGTTGCTCCTAAACCTGCATGTATCTCTCAGCATTAATGGAGCCGTTACAGATGTGACAGTTAGCCATGGGCACTAACTCACCCCCAGATCATCACAGATACTAGCTTTGACCTTTGACCTAAGAACAGTCTGGACAACACGTATGATTTCAGACTTTTTCACTTCAGGTCAGTCCATCTCAGATGAGCTCTGGTCCAGAGAGGCCGGCGATGTTCCTGGCTGTTGTTGATATCTGTCTTTGTCTTTGCATGGTAGAGTTTTTAGATGAAGAGACCAACTGTGTTAACTGACAAAGGTTTTTCTGAGGTCCTCCTGAGTCCATGTGGTAAAATCCCTCACAGAATCATGTGGGCCATTTGAGGGGTCAGAGGTCACGGCCTTTCTATGTTGGTTTTCAGCTTTGCTGCTTACATGCAGAGATTTCTCTGAATTCATCAAATTCAAATTCAAAATGAGTCCGTATTGACAACAACAACGACAAACACTTTACCTGTTGAAACGTTAAGTATCTTGTTGTTGTTGTGTATTCAGTTGAGTATAAGTGGAAAAGGATTTGAAATTACATTGTGTTCTGTTTTTATTTACATTTCCCACAATGTGCAAACTTCACTGGGATTGGTGTTTTTTAACTTTTTGATGTTATAGCAGGAAATGTTGAAATCTTTGGCACCCAAGAAGGTTATGTTTGTGATCTTTTTGATTCCCAGCTTCTCACAATGCTGGTACAGAAAAGCCACTGAATAAAGACCAACATCTGACAAACTGTTTTCTTTTTTATTTATTTGTTTATTTATTCAAAAAGTCATACATCATAAAAAAAATAAAGATTCTGTTTGGAATTTTATCCATCAGGCAGAAGTAAGTGGTGCGCCTTTTTGCAGAGAGAGGGTCTGAATTTTCTTTTCTCACTAATAATAATAATTCATTTTATTTGTACAGCGCTTTTAAAAACACTCAAAGATGCTTTACATAGTACGTAAAATTCAAGATAATAAAACAAAGACATGAAAAGAGTAAGATGAACAAAACAGTTAAATATTAAAAGCAATTTTAAATACGTGCGTTTTTAAAAGGGATTTAAAAGTAGTGGGGTCAGGGCAGTGTCTGATGGAGGGAGGTAGGGAGTTCCAGAGGTCCAGTAATGGGCATCAGTCTTTGTACAGTGGTATGGAGTTGTTTGGAAACAGTCCACAGGTTGAGAACATACATATTGTTTAGACTAGGGTTAGAGGTTGAGAGATAGGGGGTTAGGGTGAAGGTTAGGGTTAGGGGTAAGGGTTTAGGGTAAGGGGGTTAGGGTTAGGGGTTAGGGCATAGGGATAGGGGTATAGTGGGGTTCCGTGTACATGTAATTTTATGTTTTCATTTCATATTCGTGTAAGAGTTTATTTTTCACTTCCAATTTGTAGATTATGGTCTATAGAACAATTTTGGTTCTAGTGTCAAGAAACCAGATTGAAGAAAAATATATTTTTTGCCCTATTTCCAAAATGGCCAAAATCAGAATTATGTTTTTTGAATAATGTCTTGGTTTTCCCACAATTGCTCTGTAATTTTTGTTTTTGTGCTAGATTATGTCGATAACAGAATACAATGATTTTTTAATTTTTCAATAAATTGAATACACTCTGAAAAATTTGTATTAGTATTATCATTTATATCTATTTTTGTAAATGGTCACTTATTTTGAACAGGGCTGAGGTGATTCGTTGACATTATTGACGTTATCGACTACAAAAATCCGTCGATGCATCGCATGATGACCATAGACTGTATATACTATGGACAACTTGGTTCCGCCTACCGCCTGTATACGAATTTGAAGCCAAAAAGCTCTCAATATTTCCGGGATTTTTCTTCATTTCCTGAAACCAGCGCTACGCAGTAGCGATGCGCGCATTCGGCCACACAGTCACCAAGAGTCCCTGTGATGAAGCTCGGCTCAAACAGCGTATCCCCCAGTGAGCTACGCAATCGTTGTACACCCATAGGCTGTATCAGGTGTCAATCATAGAAAACATGAACCCCCTAATAACTTTTAAAAACGGAGTTTCATAGAAAAAAGAGGACTTGAGCACAAACCAGTCTTACAGTAACTACATGTCAACATCACAAGCAGGGGGGAAAAATATGTATGTCCTGTGTAATAATTTTCTAAAGTTTGTCCACAGCCCCATAAGCTTTGCTGGCGGATGCGGGATTTATAACCTATACTGCAGCCCATCAACAGAGGGTGCTGTTCTCTGAGTGGCTTCACCAAGCACGGAGGCAGACTCTGTCCATTCTATATACAGTCTATGATAATGACGACGTAATCAATATATATATATATATATATAATATAAATATATATATATGTACATAGGTGGAGCTCATTTGCCGTCCATGCCTCCACCGTCACCTGAAATAGCCATTGTTTACATCATCATGTGACGGGTCGACGCATGTTTTTAGCGTCGACGAATTTTTGTAGCCGATTATGTTGATTACGTCGACATATCACCCAGCCTTCAATTTAATTACAAATACTCTTGTAATTACCTCATATCTGCCATACAAGATTACCTTATACTGCCTGGCACACGCCGCAAAAATCTTTCAGTTCTTATAAGCCAAATGTTTTTTTTTTTGTTTGATTTCAAGAGATTCTTGAATAAATAACTGAATTAAATACTAACAGGACAAATTTTTACTTGCTATTTTGGTTAAATTCATTGTTATATTAATCGGTTAATAAATTGTTAGAATATTCAATAAATTATTCAATAGATTAGTCGACTAATAGAAAAAATAATCGTTACATTAATCGATAGAAAAATAATCGTTAGGTGCAGCCCTACAGGAGTCACTTTTGCCTCTCTCAGAAAATATCTGCGTAAGTGTCAATGAGGAGCAGAGAAATATTGTCACACTAGAGGCTCAGTGTTCAAATTCTGTAAGTCTCTCTGCTCAAACAAACACATCACTAAAGACAGAACAAGTCCACTCTGAGGCACTGGCCCCTTTACTTTTGTATATGGGCCAAAGCCTCTGGTTTAAAAAGTAAACAGACTGAAAAAACTCAGAAACTCAGTCAGCTTTTTCCCTTAGGAGCACAGAAACGTAAAGCTACTTCACCTTCACCTCACCAGGTATGATTCAGAGCAGACCTGCTCTGTCCTGGAGGACCTCAGGGGTCCTTATGCCACACAAGACAGCAACAGATCTGATGATAGTATTTAGGCCGTCATGCAGGGTTTTATGCCTAACCTAGTCAGGTCAACCTCTGGCCTGCTTCTGTCTTTTCTGTCCTCTTTTAAACATCCCTCCACAGACCCCACACGCTGTCTTTTTTTTTTTTCATCCCCCTTTTTGGGTAAAGGTATGATCAGAGGTAAGAGCTGGCCTGAGTCATGCAAGGCCTGACAGGCCAAAAGCTTATCAAAGTGAAAACTGTACCGCTTAAATGTGCATATACCCTTTTTCCTTATTACTGAAGTGTATTAAAATTTGACTTGAATCTCAACTTAAACTCAAAAGCTTCTTGGACATTGTGAATACAGGTAAAGTTTCACTTTGTCTCAAGTTAATCCTGTTGTAGGTTCTCTTGAGCAGCAGAAGGTGGCAGTATTAGCCTACAATGAACTGCTTCAATAATAAAGGTCAGATTTAGATACTTACTTTTGTCATTAGCTCAAGACTTTCAGCTGAAAATTTCATTTTTCTCAAACAAAAAATGTTCTATTGATTATTGAAAACATGATAAATTCATATTAGAACAAAACAGAAATATATAAAGCCTTAATACAGAAGGAGGTGTTATACTTAAAATCTAACAAGTACTGCATATTGCACCACAGTGTGGAAACAACACGGCATTTAATGTTACTTCCTCATTTAGGTATGCATAAACCCTCACTGACTCCAGCTGCTTGGCAGGTCAACTGTGGCTGACACAAAGAAAACCTCAAGACATGACAGAAAAGAAAGGACACCAACCAGCAGGACTTGTCTGACAGGCAGCAGTGATACCAGATGTAACTCAAACAATAGCTGACTGTGTGTCAATCACTGTGAGAGGAGGAAAGCTTCAGATGAAGCTGGGAAATTCTAATATAATGAAATTCAGTGTGTTTGCGAAAGAAGGAAGTTGCAAATGCCATCTCTTAAAATAAACCTCCAGAGGAGACTCTTCAAATCAGACTTTTGAAAGTAGAAGGTGATGATTCAAGGAGCAAAAGGGGTTTATTTACAAGACAAAAAAGTCCAGTGGAAATGGCTACAAACAGCTTATACAGTCAAAATGCCAATTTCATGTAGACCTTATGTGATCAGTTGACTTCAGCGCAAGTCTGTGAAACAGTGATTGTAAAATCTGTCCTAAAATCTAGATGAATTGATACAGTATATGAGGACAAATATGATAGATAGTGCAAAAAACTACTTTCACAACAGCTTTAAAAATATACCAACCCTGCATCTTTTCACTAAAGACAACATCTGTACTGCAGAGCCGCTCAGCTAGGAAATAACCTCCTATGACATATTTTTCTCTTCACATGTTAAATAATACATATGTTTAACCTTCTGTGACCTTGCAGCTATTACTATGACTTTAAAAGATTTTCCTCTGCAGGCTGAGGTCTGAAGGTGTGGACCAAACGTGTTAGTCGAGCCACTTGCTTGTTGTAAACTTCAGAAAACTCTTCATTCGTCCGGAGTCAGAGTCTAGTAACAGCCCACTGTGACTGGTTTTGATGGGGTTAAAATGTGCCAAGATCAGGCAGGCAGAGGAAGAGAAGGACAGAAGAGGGCACTGGGCTGGTTATTCGTCAGCAGTAACATTGATGGCGTTGTCATAGGCGGCTCCCTCCAGGTCCTCTACCCGCTTCCTGCGCGTCTCTGGGGGAGGTCTCGGTGGTGGATTCTGAGGAGGTTTGTTAATGCTCCCGACATTTGGCTTTTGGGCTGGCTTTCTAGGGAGAATAGGCTCCCAGTGTTCACCCCGGATAGCTGCCTAGAAAGCAAAAAGAAGACGAGGGATACAGGTTATACTTGCTGGTTATTTTCAGTCAAATGCACGCAGTAATAAAAATGATGAGGAGGAGTGATGGCTCTTATCATGCACGCCTGTATACGTGCATGAATATAACAACACAAATTGCTCAGCCTGGAAAGGTTTATTACTTTGAGTGACACATCTAGTTCAGTTAAAGAATTCAGGCACACCCCTGACTTCTCACATTTCATAACTACAGGGCCATGTCTCAACAGAGCTAACGAAACAATCTCTTCCTTGTTGCCATTTCCTTGTTTCCACCAACAGGCCACTTCCTGCTTCATCTTACAGCCTTATCAGTTTTGATAGTAATTAACCTGCTTTACTGGAGGCAAATACTGTAAAAAAAAAAAAAACAAACTTCAACTTACCACAAGGTAGATGATGCTGGCGATACCGAGGCAAACACATCCCAGGACAGTGGCGAGCATAAAACCTCCAGGTACACAGAGACTAGACAGGTAGACAGACAGATGGAGGGGGATTTGAAGACAAATGAGTCTAAGTCTTGGAGTCTTTTGTTTACTGACTTGTGATGAATAAGAAGAATGCTGTATGGCAAAGAAAAGACACATTACTCACGCAGCATGTATAAACGCTCTCACATAGTAGTTCCTGGTGAGGGGCCCAAAGGCTTTGACAACCACAGTGAAGCAGTACTGACCTCTGAGGGACAACAAGGGAAAGTATTATGTGTTAAACTTTCAAAGATGTGTCAGTTAAAAGTATATGCATGCAGTCTTGTAGAGCAGAGGTGTCCTCACTTACGTTCTCCCCACACTTGTTCCTTTAGACCTCTTGCTCCGGGGATACTCCAGCAGACACACAAACACTCCAGCAGCACTGCTTATCTGTCAAGGCTTTCTCACATTACATGGTTCACTGAGTCACTTTATACCTACGATAAGACTTCAAAGCTAGTCTGTGACAGACAATGGTAAATGGACTGGTTGTGTCTAATATAAAGGACAATATGTGCAGAATATGATGGGAATGCCAGATTCAAAAAACAATGATCCCTGCGTCATAATGTCTAACTTTCAATCAGCGGCCTCTTATTTTAAATAAATCATGGTTAATTTCAATAATGAAGGTATGACAAAGACATGTTATGGTCTGTTTCAGTGCTTAAGTTTTAGATTTTAATGTGTATGCATTAGGTTCTAGCAATGAACTAGAACTTCTCAGGTAATTTTATCACCCGAAAAGAAACAAACTTCAAATGCAGGTGTATATTTACTCACATCCCATGTGTTTTAGTCATTTCAGTCACTAAAACTAGACCTACAAAACTTAGTCTTTAAAATAAAAACCTCAGGTGGATATATTTTTCCTGCACAGCATGTAATTGTACTGAAAGGCTGTTTCATAGAATAAATTAGCTTCGAATTTATCCTGCATCTTCATCTGTATGGCTGCTACCTTGGCCAGGTTCCTCTTGTAAAAAAGATTACTAATCTCAATGGAACTTCCTGGTTAAATAAAAGGTTAATAATAATAAAAGAACCGGCCTGATTGATAAAACATCACAAAGATACCTGTAATTCTTTAAGTACAAACAAGGGGGACTTAAAATGTAAGTCAACAACTTCAGTGTCCCATCTTCAGCTTAAACCTGCAGTTTCTACAGCATGGTCTTAAAGGATACACACCAAAAGCAGCAAACTGCCAGCCTCTGAACTGACCAGCCACCCCAACAATGCCTCCAGTGAGATATACTGAAACAAGGAAACAGGAAGAAAAAAAATCACACATTTCACAATTTAGGTTCCTTTTACACACTGACATACAGAGGGAAATAGGCACATTTTATATCATATATAGAGCCTTGTGTTTCTTATAGGGAGAGGTTTTATCCATCGTTAATGTGCACAATTAAATATATTAGTGTAATGAAAAACATAAAAAGTAAGACGATGTACTTTTCCAATGACCAGGAATTACTTGATTAACGTGCCAAGATAGCTTAAAACACAATAAGTACATGATGATTTGAGTTTTTGAGGCATAATACTCAATTAAAAATGTTATTTTTCCAGAGGAAAAAAAGTGAAATACTCACTGAGTCCCGAGGCCAGAGCCTGCTCATTTGCCCACATCGCCCACTCTATTTTCCCCATCGTGTTCACCTGGATGACCCCTTTATAGACGACTTTAACTCTCCAGCACGTAGGCTCACAGTGCAATACTGAGAGTTTCTAGGAGGAAGCAAAAGTATTTATGTGATTTGAGCTGTCTGCGGGCCGTGGGAGGGGCGGGGCTTTCCAGCTCGTCATTTTCGAGTAGTAATAACATGAAGGAAGGGCAAACTAAAGAAACCAGACAGGTTTATTCATCAAGAGGTGCATGTATCTTTATAAGGTTTTTTAATCTCTTATCTAAAATGTTTAACCTTAAGGCTGAAAAAGTCAAAGACTTCTGTCTCAACAGGGATCAAACTGTGGTTTCCGTAGTTGACTGCAGGTGTGTCTGAAAATACGTTTTCTAATTTTAGTTGAGTTTATTTAGCACTCACACCGTCTTTGTTTTTTTTTTTGTTTTTTTTTCTTTTCCACGACATCCAAGAGCATTGTTATTGATTTCATTGTCTTCCTTGGCACCTGGTCTTGATAAGCACGTTCATCAAATTCAACTTTACTTTTTATGGCACTTTCAGACCAAAAATGCTGTTCAAAGTGCCCCACAGAGGATAAAAACAACACTTAAAAACAATAAAACCCGAACCTCCCACTCACACTTGGACCCCCCCCCCCCCCCCCCCACACACACACACACACACACACACACACACACACACACACACACACACGGACACATACCCACTTTCACTTTCCACACACACAAGCACACACAATGTGAGAATTTAGGATATACCACTGGGAAACACTGGAGATAAAAGGATTAAAAAAAAAAAGATAAAACATTAAAAAAATAAATAAATAAAGTGGTAAAAAGAATGACTAAAACCTGATGGACTAAAACAAGAAAATAATAGTAAATGAACAGATAACTAAGAGGTCTTTAACATGTAAAAGGGATAAAAGAAGTAAAAACTTCTAAAATGAAATTAAGGAGACTAAGAACAGAGATAATTAATGAAATGACAAAAAATAGACATTAAGAACTTTGATTAAAATGAACATTTGTAATAGGAGAAAAATAAAAAGGCAATTAGTGAAAAGCCTGGTTAAAAAGGTGAGTCTTGAGCCTCTTCTTTAAAACATCAACAGTTTCCGCGGCCCTGAGGCTTCCCGGCAGGTTCCACAACTGGGGACCATAGAAACTTAAAGCTGTGTTTTAGTTTTGACTTAGGGTAAGGTTAAAAGGCCTGTGCCAGAGGATCTCAGGGTCTGCGAGGATTGATATGATACAAGTAAGTCAGATAAATAAGAGGGGCCAAGACCATTAATACATCTAAAAACTAATAAAAGAACCTTAAAATCAATCCTGAAACGGACGGCGAGCCAAAGACAAACTTCAATGTGGGAATAGCCAAAAACAAAGAAATGAAAGCATGGATTTACATAAATATGTTTTATTTTATAGTTGAGACTGAGTTTGACAGATGTGCTCTTGCTTTGACAGGATGAAAATGAAACAGTCGTCATGTGACTATCATCATGGTAACACCCGGAGTACCCTCAAGGGAAATATGCATCTGTTTGGAGAGTAAAGGATCAGCTTCAGCGGTTTATTATATTTTTTAAATTTAAGTGCATCTGGGTTGTTAGAAAAATACCTCTACAAATAGTTTTTGAGAAGACTATACATGTACAAAAATGAAAAGAGCAACAAGAACCCAAAATGACATGTGTCTGGGGTCACTTATTAAAAATTACTCACTGTACACATTATGGCTACAAATAAAGTATCAGCTGATTGTTTTTATTATTTCTGCCATTTAACGTTGTCCGCTCAGGGTTGCAGGGTATCATACACTTCCTATAGGAAATCCGTCAGAGCCAAGTAGGTGCTGAGTAGGATCTGTCACAACACAGGGACCTGGTCCAGCCTGAAACACACAATTAGAAAAGATGATTCATACCAAAGACTCGACTCTTGATTTCTGTCAGACTCTCTGATTAGTTTTCCAATAGTTTCGAGGATTCAAATGTGAAAGACTGCATTTAGAAGCTAATGTTAAAATAGTCAATCACATTATGTGTGCAACAATTCCCGACTGAATATGTGCAACACAGTGTTTCACAAGAACACCCTAAAAGAGAAGGTAGACATACATTTGTAATGCAATCTGACATAAAATAATCATACAACTAAATGGTGTGCTGTGCAGTCTTTAAAAATGCACACCACTACACATAAATCAACAACAGATAACAGTTTTTAATTTGACCCTCAAAGTTGACTAGTAAATTCCAGGGATAACAAGGCTGTAAACTGGTTTGTGCGTGTGTACCTTGGTGCTGATAATGTAGCTTATGCCCTTTGGCATTGGCTCTAAACCAATGTCCTGCTTCAGCTCCTCAGAAAGGGCAGCACTGTTAACTGGAAGACCCTTAATAAACCTGCAGGGGAAAAACAGCAGCCGATGACTCATTTAGGACAAACACACCTCAGCCAGCAACAGTGTAAAATAATTTATTTGCAGACAAAAACACCCATCTTTTTATGAGTACTTGCAAAAACAAGTTTTTTTCAACATATTGATAAATAAAAGGTTATGTATGTGTCCACTCACTGTCCTCCGTTGGTCTCTGGAGGGAAGAAATGTTGAACCACTTGAACAAACTCAGGAACATGCTGCTTTAGCATGAAGATCACTGCATTGGGTCCTGCATCAAATGTGTAGGCCAGCTGGAGGGAAACAGACAGAGTGTGACCATCATATCAAGAGTTTTCTGTTCCCCTGACTGCAACAACCCTCTGAGTTTCACATCTGCATTACAACATCTCAGAAATTTCATCTTGAGGAAGGCTGAAGGAAAAGAGAAAGCACAGACATAATAAGTCTTAAGACTTAAGTATTTAACAAGTTTCTTATAAAATATACACAAAGCAATTTCAAAGTATAATTTAAACTTTGAGTTATTTTCTATCCTTCAGTTATACCATGTTTCATTCATATTTATCTGCTTTTAATTCTACAGAGAACCGAAACTCTCACAACCCATCCTTTAAATTTCCTTTCCTGTCTGTCAAGAGTTATTTTGTAGCATAATGGTGCGGTCACACACATTATATTTAAAAAAATGGTAAATGCAATTGAGTCACAGGTTTGGTAAGTTGAATCACACAGCCAGGAGGAAATGGCAGAATGAAGTTGCTCACCCGTGTCTCCCCGTAGTGTCTGTTATACCGATGAACCACATTGATAATCTGTTGAGACACTCTGTTGAGGTAGAAGATGGGAGGGTACGTGTCGAGGCAGGTGGCGTGAAACTGGTTGCTGTCCTTCATGGTTAATTCAGCAAATGCAGCAAAGTCTTTTTTCTGCACTGCCTCAATCATGTCCGCCATCCGACCTGGGACAACGGAGTCGGCACGGTGCTTCACACGGACAGAAAAGATTGAGATAAACCTCATTTGAAGAAATTTAGATACAATTGATACCACCATAATGTAAAATTTCAGTAACGCAAACAATGAAAATTTAAGGGAAAAGAGAGTACCTTTAACAAAGAGCTTGTTTTTACACTTGTTTGCATCCCAGAGGTGCTGCCCACTGGTTTCCTCTCAGCACTGGCCTGAAAAAATGTGTATTTATCACACCAAACATTAGAAATTGTTCATGTGGGGAGGCAACAAGACCTAGCCAACAAGTACAATCATTTTAAATAGATTTTGTCACTGTATGTCTCTGTTAGGTACACTTACCACAAGCACAAGTATTCTGAGCTCAGGCCAGTGCGTCTCTGCCTCCACCTGCTGGGCTAGACTGTCTTTACCATCTTCTTTTTCCCCCATGATCCACTGGACAAACCCTCCATACATACTCCTGCATGCACTACCCGAGCCTTGCCGAGCAATTGCAGACAGCTCCCCCTCCACGCCAAACACACGGGCGAGAGTGTACACTGTAGCACAGGAATAAAGAAGTAAGAGCAGAGGACACCGGGTTCAATGGAGGTGTATCAAAGATTATTTCAAACTATTCATATCAAAAAATGGATAAACATGCAAGGAATTAGAATTTTAATTCTTTCATTTAAACTTGATTATGCATTTAAGTTCAATCATGGAGACTTAACACACACACGCTCTCTTACCAAGACAAGCAAATCCAGCCGCTGAGGATGCAAGCCCAGCAGCAGTGGGGAAGTTGTTTACAGAGCAGATGTGAACTCTCTGAGATAGACCAGTGGAATCCAAAGAGGGATCGTCATCATTACGTCTTTTTCTCGCTAATCTTCGAACTAAAAACACATGACGGACAAATCACACAGAAGCCTTGAATCTCTTAAAGACCCAGTTTCCTACCTCACACAAGCTTTAAAGAGGAAAGTACAAACTATCAGCACTTACTCTCTCTCAGACAGGATTGTAGCCTTGGATGGTTTATGTCCTCCTCTTTGCCGTTGAGCCATATTCGATCTTCCTGAAAGGATCTGCTGGTGGCAATTGTCGTGGTTGTTTTTAGCTTGACAGACAGAGGAAGAAAAGGCAGACACTTGAGACACTGTGAACACCAATGAATATAATTTCATATTCCAAGACGTTAGCACCACAATTTCTCCAAATCACCAAGACATTTATAGAGGTACTTGTGATTTGTGTGGTAAAAACACAGGATTAAAAAAACAATATCAATATCAGCACTGCCAAAAAAGTCAGGAATAAAATGATAAGCACCAATGTCTCTTTTAATATTCTCATTCTTCTCAGTCTTCATCTAAGCAACATACATCTGGATAGACCTTACTTTTCTATTGGACAAGAAAAGTCCTCTGCGAGACAAACCAATTTATTCTAATGATCTAATGATCAGAGTGGGAATATTATAGGGTCTCTGAGAAACACCAGTGTTATGTCTCATAGACATTTTAAGACGGGCTTTCAAGGCGAGACAAGCAACTGCTAAACTAGGTCAGATCTTAGCGCTCAATTCAACTCAACTTTATTTGTAAAGCATTTTAAAACAACCACAGCTGAACAAAGTGCTGTACATAAATAGGCAAAACAACGCAGACATAAAAAACAATCACAAAACAATTAAAACAATGGATAAAATAAAAGCAGATATTAAAAAGTAAAATATAGTTTCAATGTTTTTAAAAACTAATGTAAAAACAATAGAAACAAATAACTAACAAAACATAAAACTCTGAAACAGGAGCTGAGTCTCATGCAGGGTTGAAAGCCAATGAATAAAAATGGGTTTTAAGACGAGTTTTAAAAATGGACAGTGTGGGTGGGCTTGTCTGATTTGGAGGGGTGCTTGTTCCAAAATTTTGGGGCCACAACAGAAAAAGATCTATCCCCTCTGAGCTTCAGTTTGGACCTCAGTACCTCCAGGAGCAGCTGATCTGCTGACATGAGGCACTGAGCAGGGGTGTAGGGGTGGAGAAGCTCAGAGAGGTAAGATGGAGCCAGACCATTTAAAGATTTAAAACAAATCAAAGAAACTTAAAATGAACTCTAAAATGCACAGGTAACCAGTGGAGGGAGGTCAGGATGGGAGTTATGTGCTCCCTCCTACATACTCCAGTTAAGAGCTGGGCGGCTGCGTTTTGTACTAACTGGAGACGTGAGAGGGAGGACTGGCTGACTCCAAAGTAAAGTGCGTTACAGTGATCCAGCCGAGATGTAACAAAGGCATGGATTACTGTTTCAAAGTGCTTACGTGCAAGGAATGGCTTTGCCTTAGCCAGCTGCCTAATATGATAAAAGCTGGATTTCACTACTGAGCTTATTTGCCTGTCGAATTTATAAAACTGTCCATCTTAAAACCCAAATTTGAGACGGTTGGCTTTAAATAGTCTGCTATAAAACCCAAGTCTACAGGAGGGGATTTTAAAAGCCAGACATAAGAAAACAATACCAACTAAAAACAGCAGTTCTGGCTAGTGTCAGTGGCTAAATGTATATTTTAAACAGTAGTATCTGGGACGGCTCTAATCTTTACAATCAGTGCATCTCTAATCATAACTATATCGTGTAAAATTACAGTGTTACCTTAACATTTTAAAACATTATAAGCATTTTATTTCTATCTCCTCTGATCACTACATTATAGTGGTTTCATGATGCTATTTTTGCTGTACTTGCTTTTGAATGACTGCAGAGAACCTCCACACTTGATCACTCTTGCAGCTCTGAGCAGGATCGACACTCTGAAAAGTGAAAATAGTTACCTGGTCTTGATGCAAAGTGACACTCAAAGATGAGTTAATCGGTAGGATTAGTTCTTCGTCTCTTTTCCCCCCTGAATGAAAACACGACAGATGATCACATTCATTCAATAGAAGTCAGAGTAAAAGCTTGACGATACGTCTTTCCTTCAAATTTTAGCAACACGACACACTTAAGTCCCCACACAGGAAAAACATGTCTTTTTAATGCTTTCATTGGCATAGTATTGAAAACACAAGGTTGAATTGAAGTCGAGGTGATACTTACAGTACTTTACCACAGCTATATTCACAGGAGCGGTACATGTCACTATATTCGGCTTGTCCATACTGTCTTCGGGCATGTATAAATGGGTAAAACGAAGTTTGTCTGGTTGAAATTACTCCTAAATGGTCTAATATTTACACTGTCCAAAGCTAACTAGTCTGTTCAACCTTGCTGTAGCGTTTCCTCGAGGTCTCTCGATTGGCTGGCGTTGAACACATGGCTCTCCCTTTGACCAATCAGAGCCAGGCAGTCGTGACTAAACATTGAGAACAGCCAATGAGAGGTCATCTGACCACGGTCGTCCGAAATGGGGCAAGAGCACAGGCCAACCCCCCCAGAGGTGTAGGGTTGAGTTGAGGTTAGCTATAAATAATGTGATTATATTTAAAATATATTTGTCAAATAATCAAAGAAATGAATTAAAACAACTGTAAGTAAGTGAATAATGATAACTTATTTCAAAAAATGAGAAAGCCCTTTGACTCTAGCAGGGGCGGACAGGGTAGAAGTACAGCCACTTTATCAACATTTTACTCAAGTATGATTAAATCTAGTCGTCTGTTTATATACTGATATAAAAGTCACAGTATTTTATTTGAAGTGTTCTTACAGTACTGAGTACCCCTTATTGGGAGGTTGAGAGAAAAAGATGGTCCTTTAACTTATGCAAACGGACACTTTCTTAACCAATTGTTATGAGATATAACTGATTGCACGGATGTGTAAGGTGATTTCTATGCATGCTGATGCTCTATAAAATTTTGCGCCGTCTTTGGTCAATATTGTCCTTTGTAGATGGTCTCTGTACACTTCACTCACGGAAGGTTGTGCAGAAAGGACTGTTATTACAGGCAAAATGAAAGAGTTGATTGTAATAAGTGAAAGTGGCTGAAAATGCTGAAAGCTACATTTCCTTAAGGTGATTGAAGTATGATGTGCACTACTAATATGGACCCTATCAAGACAATGTGAAATTTAAATATGTTTAAATAAGATTCATGTTTGACCTGTGAAGAAGTGTAACCTTAGTGTTTCAAGGTATTTTGTTTAGATTTGAGGCTAATTCACTTCAGCTCACTGTCCAGAAAAGCTTGTATGTTTTCAGCAATTATGTTGAAATCTCATTGATGCTATGTAAAATAAAGTGCAAGTCTTCCAACATAGAATACTTCAATAAAAGTAAATGCACTGATCTTAAAAACCAGCTATAAAGCACAAGTACATTTACATTTACTTGATATTCACCTGCAGCCCTCACTTCATGTTTATAGTTATGATAAACAACTCTATCGAATACTAAAACTCATAACGCCAAAATCTACCAATGGAAGAAAAAAATTACTCTCAAGTTTCTTTAAATTAGAAAATGTAGGATGAGTATGATTGACCTTTTGTTTTTATTTTATTTAATGTTTTTATTGTATTTATTATGGGTTCATTCACAGATTATGATCTGTGAATGCACATGTGCTATGTTTTATTTGTTTCTGCACTGGCGCTTTCTCCGCAAATGAAGTTCCTAACGGATGAATAAAGTTGATTTAAATTTGATGTTGCATTTTAAGAACATCAAGATGACAAATATAATTATTTAATCCACTGGTCCTTTTTCACTCATTAGAAGCAAATTAGTTCTTTTTTTGGCATGTCTTAAATTAAGACATGTCCCAGACTTGACATGTCAATTTGGCTGAAATAAAGCTTAAGACTTTTTTTTTTGTACTAGAAATAAGACAAACCTCTTACTAAGATTTGAGTTTTCAGAGTGTAAGGTATGGTTATTGTACCTTTGCTTTTTAATGTTTGTCCTTTGAAGAAAAAATCCTTAAATCAATCATCAGTGTTACCAGAGAGACTGTTTCTTACAGAGGAAAAAAAAATCTTTCATGCCTTTTATTTCAAAAGTAGTTGGTTACATTTGGGAATCTGTATAGATCTGTATGATATAGATTCAGAGATGAAGTTTAATGTTCCAGATTGTTGATTCAGCAAAAAAAGTCGCTCATTCATAAAGACACAGTCAGTAAAATGAATTTGGGATGATGCTGCTTTGTTTTTCTGTTTCCTGGTTGGGTGTATTTACAACCTAGATAACTGTGTGCCTCTCACCAGAGAACCATAACTTGTGAACTAAACAGAAACCTTTCAAAAGAGTTGCACACTTGTGATCATTTTAGAGATGGTTCATCTGAACAACTTTAAGGCTTTTGTTAATTCTTTTATGTAAACTTTGAGAAATATGCCAGCAAAAAGGAAATATTCAAACACAATCTAGTACTAATCAGAAGTCGTCTCTCAACAGAAGACTGTGTTTCGTGTTTATAGAACAGTCCAAATAAATTGACAGCAGCATTTTAACAAACTCTACAATGTTTGAAGAACAGAAGTCATGGTAAAAATGAAAAAGGTAAGGATTAGGAAGTACTCGTGGAGTCAAATAGCGCCAAGAGCCATCAGGTGTTGTCATGAGCAGTGCACAGCCTGTGCAACAAAAACAGATGTGAAAAGGACACCTTAATGACGCTGTGATTATTCTACCCTCCACCACTTAAGCAGCATTGTCCTTTTGGTTGGTCTTCCCTCTTGGCCTACAGTTTTCAGGGACATACAGAATCTTGTGTGGACTCAGTATTCAGCGGGTCAATGGAGCCATCAGAGTCCCGGCAGAGTATGTCCTCTTCGGATATCTTGGCTCGTTTCTGGCTTTCAATTCAAAGTTAGTAATCATCCTCATCATCTGAGTCCATCACCCTCAGTCTGTTAAACTGGTAAAAAGAGATTAGGTCAGAGAGAGTAAGGGTGATAATGAATGAAATATGGTTGATAACTTAGTGACACTTACTTTGACTGTTGTCTTCTTCTCTGTTTGCTGGCTGACTTTTTCAAGAATCTCGATCAAACCTGACTCTGAGATCTGAGAAAGACAAACTTGATTCAATACTCTACAGGGATAAGAAAACAATATGGTAAACAGTGCATCCATCAGAGGTAGTTTTTACCTTTCCTCCTAACTTCCCAAAACGAGCCATCTGGATGAGATAGTTTTCAACTGCATTGGCCTTCTCTGGCTTCACCAAAGCAAGGTTGCTCACTGAAAAAGAAAATAAAAACATCAACATGTTATGCTCATAAAGTGCAATAACTGAACAAACTTTTAATTACACAATGAAATTTCAATGGAATCCTGGACATCTTTTCAGCTGAAAGTTAGACACGACAGGGGAAATCACGAACAATATGTCACATATATTGTTATCTAGATCTACAACCTTTATTGTCTTAGAATGCAAATAGCCACATGGTAAAAGATGGTGGTGATATCCCGGATTAGCTTCCACAGTGTGTCATTATTGGCATGATTAAAATTTGATTCTGATACAGACTATATTCCACAACGGTCTTCTGTTTGATAAAGCCTATAAAATCAATTCAATAACTCTACCTTTAATATACATCTACATCTTTGCCTGTAACAAGAACCTGATTTATTTTGCGAATGATTCCTCTCCAGGATACACAAATAAATCTGAGCACACACTTACATCTGGCACGGGCAGACTGGTCAAGGACTTGAGCCAGTATTGTATTCCTCATTTCTGTTTCTCTGTAAATAAAAATTAATAACATGACCACACTCACAAAACTACAGTTTGCAAAACAACAGGAGATTGAATTAAATATGAAACTATCAGAACATTACCCTGGCTCTCCTACAACACTTTAAAAGACTTATGATAATGTGATGTGTTTTTATCCCTAGGTCCATTTTCAGCCAAACTTAATACTTGTAAAAATTGATTTCTGAACAGTATATGGTTAACAGATCTTACCTTTGTTTGGCCTCCTCTCCTTGCTGATTATTTGAAACATTCTGAAATAACAATTTAATGACAATTAGGTTGTATCTTTGCATCCAGCAAAGTGTGAGTGGAAGACATGAATCACTACTTCATAAAAACATTTCATACATTTCATTAAACTCCCTCAAGTTTGTGAATAGTCTAACAAATCAGTTGAACATCAAATTTAGTTTCTCCATGATTGTCAGAATCCAAGTTTAGCTTGGTGATTCAATAAAACTACAGTTATCATAAGTTTAGTAAAACCACATGATGTTTAATAGTTGAGACAGGAATTAGAAAATAAAATTAATACCCCATAATGGACAAGAGTGAGCAATAATCTTTTCTAGATGCTAAAAATCTTTTGGCCTCATCTGTAGTGATATTTTTTTGGGTTGGCTGCCTTTATCAACTCAAATCAGTGATTTTATCTTATGATATTCACTCTAACCAACTGTTCTATCCTTCTCTGCTGAGAATTGGATGATATATTGCGTCCAAAGCTCTCTCACAGTAAAAAAATGTTGTAACATATCTTTAACTTAACAGCTTTTAATAAATTCTGATTCATGAAAAGGTGATTTTTTTTCCTCACATTCTCCTTTTGCAAAAAAGGGCAAGTCCACTTTTTTTTTAATCTCTCAAATTTGATCTTTCTTGCATTTTTATGAATATGATACAGGGGATGAATCTAAAACTGTGTTTTAATGAGTGTGTAACCTCTTGAGAATAACTTCAGCCAGATGTAAGAGGTCATAGTATTAGGGATTTGGATCAGGACCTAATATTACAGAATCTTGACAGAAAAAAATAAGAGGAGAAATTGCCATTTTTTTTTTCAATTTAAGTAGTATTGAGGTTTTACAAATCCGAAACCATTTTTACAGAGGGCTATAGACTGTCTTTGATAATTTAGTCCAGATCTAAAAGGTCTGGGTGGAGTGGTTTTGGATCAGGATCTGTTTTTTGATCAGCTAAATCGGAAGCTGCTGATCAGATGTTCACCACAAAGTAGAAACATTGTAGCCTAATGAAAATACTGCACCGAAGTTAAAGTCCTCCACCCACTTCTTGCTATAAATAAACTCATATATTCAAGAGTCTTTGTTCTGTTTTTCTCAGCTGGCTTTGTCAGCTATGGGGTCTACTAAAGCTAACAGTGAGGGGATCACCCCCTCCTCTAACTGTGATGAATCTTACTTCGACCACATAAACACCATTTCACTATAATGGTTCATGTCTGTCAAAAATGAGGCACGTCCATCCCCTGGGTGCCAGTCAGACCAGCAGGGTTGTGGAGACCAGTTTAGCTTCAGAAGTGTTAGCTCGCAGCAGCAGCAGCCTGAGCTCAGCATCTCCTTATAAGGCGGACTCAAACACGTTTACAGCCCAGGTTTACACTTACTCCATGCTTCGCCTGCAGTTCCGCCATCCTCTGCTGCCTAATAGCCTCTAATTCGTCGTCTGCCATGATTTCTGGTTGTTTTGTAGAGTCAGAAGATTAAAAACAGAGGAGGTAACCAAATATAAAATTGTCTTAACTCCCACCAGAGGCAAGGCCCTGCGCACCTCAGGCTTGAGTAATCAAATTCCAAATGATCGATCCAACACAGGGAGGAGCAATCGAGCACGGATACAGATTGCATGCGTGGTGAACTTGAAAAACAAACAAAAAAAGATTTCGTTGCAGAAATACATTATACATTAAATTACACACTCTGACGACAGTTTTAACGATTTATTGATGAATAAAACAGGCTTTTGGGTTGTGCTATGCCCCAAGTTCAAGAGGACATTTCCACATAGGGATAGCTATGTTTGGAGAAGCTAAGAACATTAAACGTACCTCATCTAAAATGTGTTTTAAAAAATCCTTATAATAATCCCTGAACCCACAACTTAAGTCCTAAATGTGTACTGTATATCAGAAACTTTGAGTAATATTAATATCCCCACTGAGGGTGTGGGGTGGGGTGAGTACATTCCTTGTCCCAGAGGTAAATTGCGTCATCTGCTGGTAAAAAACCTGAAAACTACAACTTTATATTCCTACCTGCAAATTAAATGCAGACTGGCAGCAGGTTTTAGGTATCAAGGGCCATATGTTTGAAATTCATGGTTATATGGGTGTAAATGTTGAGATTTTGGGCCACAGAGGGTAAGTGTGATTAATTTGACTGTAGGGAGCACCAAAGGCCCATGAAAACATACCAATTTTTGTCAGATAACATGTCGTATGAACTATTAGAAAAAAAACCCTGAAATTAAAAGTGTGTGCGTTCCCAAAAGGGAGCACTGGGCACAATAATTTTCCGGTGTAGATAATACAAAAAGTGTCCATGTCAAAAAGTAGCACACAGTATTAAATGCTTGAATCAAAAAAAATATGACAAAAACACCTCATTCGAAATATCAATGTTTAATAACATAAAAATAATTAAAATGCTTAGAGAAAGTTAGACTTTCTAACAGTAACTTGGGTAGATGTTTTTGTCAGAGCTGCCTCTGCATCACATCGGGTGGTAGATGGAGGTTTTCTCAGCAGGTAGGCTGATCTCTTAACTCCCTCTGTATGTGCTGTAGGAGAAACGACTCAGCAGCAGAGGGACATGGTACTTCTGACAAGGGTCAGTTATTGTGAAAACAATCTGAAACCAAACACAAAAAGGTGATCGGTGTTAAAAGGTATTGCAAGTGGGATGCAGGTAGTTATCAAAAGATAATTGTAAAAAAATATGTATTTATATACCACAAGTATGCAAATTTAGATTTTCCTCACTTCAACATAGGGGTAAAAGCTGGTCTCTCCAATACTCTCCCAATACTTTGCGGTCTCAAAGTGCATTTTATACACACCAGGTGTAAACATTTGTTTTGTGATGAGTCCTGGGCAGCGTCCATCATCATTGGTGGTTCTGTTAAGTCAAAAATATTATGAATAAACTGATTTTGCAGCTGAATTACATTTTACAGATGATGATAATAAATTTTGAATGTGTGTTTTTTTAATCTGTCTGACTGTCATACCCTGCAGTTATCAACCTCCAGGCGTTAGTGGATGGGTCTTGTTGATAGAGATTGAGTGCCATGTTTGAACCTGGGACACCCATGGCAGTGTTCAGTACATGGGTAGTCAGAGGACTAGGCGAGCCTGCCATCCCTGTGATCTACAGTAAAAAAAAGAGATTTAATGAAAAAGATTAAAGATAATATTATTTTAAAGCAAAAACATAGTTATCTGCAGCTCTTTTTTTCTAATTCCATTATCAAGAAAACAAACATTACTCTTACATTAAGAGGATAACCCTATTAATTTCCAACATGTCACCATGTGTTCACAGTTTTCAATGGAATGTTACAGGAGTGCCTCTCAATAAGAACCAGAGAAAAATATGTACAGTATGCACATATTAAAACAATGCCTGTATGGGAGTTCCCTTAACTTAAGCTGTGGGACAGTATGGAGATAAAATGTGTCGAGATGATGTTTGCAAAACATAACCCTGTGTCGGAACACCATGAGGCAGGGTTATGATTTCAATATTAATGTATGCTGTAAACCCTTTCTGTTTACTAATTAGTGTTTAGTACTCAGTAAATAAAATTATGTTCAGATAACTGGATAACTCTGTAGCTTAAGTACAAGATAGTGTCAACTGTACAAGGAAAGAGAAACTCTACGGTTTTACCTGTTTCTAAATGTGAGCAAAATTAAAATGAATAATTTGTTATTCTGACAGGACTGACAGCTCCTGTCATATTGTCTCCTGCCTTAAAAAAGTGACTTCACATGGTTTCCATAACATAAACTGAGCAGCTAATAAAAACATTGATATGATGTTTCAAACCTCACTCAAATGTAGCCTGGTCATTAAAAAAATATAAATATAATAATTTTAAGATTAAAGCTTACCTTATTTTCAGGTAAAATATGACCCTTAAGTTGCTGCAGCCTGTTGGCACTCATGTGCACTGAGAAATGAATCCACACTGGGTCAGCTGCTTTAACCAAAAGTAAAATTTCACGGTTAATTAGAATCAGATTTTCTACACATCATAGTCATGCAGTTTGGCAGATTTTTCTGTTCAGTCTGACTCTCAGCACAAACGTACTTATCTCTTTGTCAACAGAAAACTGGTTATGCAAGAGACCCTTTTGTCATACTTTGAACTCGGGGAAACAGACAATCACTGTGGGCTTCTCAGAGGCAGATGAATTAAAATACTGAGAAAAATACAGATAGAAAGCAGAAAACTTTCATTTGTTATATGTGAATTATATAGACACAGTGCATTTGTTTTATGCTGCTGTGATCTCTAGACGGCCTCTTCATACAATCTTTAAAGCTTTATAAGAAGTAGTGTACAATGTTACAACATTATAATGTTGTGTTGCAGAGGCATTTTGTCAACCAGGACTACTTCCTCTTTCCTAACATGTTTCCTGAATTGGAAGTAACCCCATCAAGCAGGTTAAACCTCTCTGGTTTAGTTTGTTGCTCTCCTTGTTTGTTTGTTTTCCCACTCCAATTGCTACTTTTGAGTAAAATAAAGTTTGCAAGGACATAGTGAACATACCAACAGCATGCATGGGACTATTGGAGCTACTATAATTATCCACAGCCTTTATTGACAACTCAAAAATCTCTTCTCTTTGTTTAAGCAAAGCCAACGTATTGATGTATTTGAAACGACCGATAGAACTGATCCTTGTACCATTAGTGTCTGACTTATGAACAATGTTGATGTGCGTTTTCCTCAATAATGTGTCTTCACCAAGGGAGTAGGTTTGATTTTGAAATTGGTAGGGATACAAAATTGTCCACCTGAAAGTTTATGCACGCAAACCGACACATACACAAATGTAAATGTAAATGACACCCCTGATATTAAAATCTGTTTCAGCCGACGTGACCCAAGTACAATATGCCAAACATGTTGACAACTTACACTCCGCGGTTGCAGATATCCTACACTGTCTGTCTGCTTCCTGTCCAGTCCAACTCACAGGTAACTTTTACAGGCAGATGTACTGACAGCGGGGACAGCCAATCACACGTACGTAAGCGAGAAACCGGCAGCCAATCGAAGAGCGATACTTAGCTTAGAGGCGGGACTTCTAGCAGAGACCGACTGTTAACCCTTTGTGTGCCATAATCATTGCTTGAACACTATACGGACAGCGGTTGTGCTGACAGGGACTACACTGTAGCAGCTGATTATTGGTTAGGGACGTGTCCCTAGCGTCCCAATTCTACGCCCTTGGTCTCTACGGCAGGACAGGAAGGCTTGTTAGATGAGGAGCAGGCTGCAGGAGAGTTTCTTTGAAGATTTGTGAGAGTCCAGTGTAGAGGAAACCATGAAGTAATTAGGAGTTCACAGTATTGTTCTCAAACATTTTCTTCTGTTTTGAGTCTCATCAGTATCAGTGATGGGCAACCTGATGAATCTATGTCTGGGCAGACTTTGGTGTTTGGGGAAACCATGTCAACTAGAATTATTTAAGGTATACATCTGTTTATCTTGGTGTTTGTTTCTTTGGTGCTTTGTTTACACTGATAACCTCCTGCTAGTGGTCCATCCATCCAACCATTCATCCATCCATATGTCTACATTTGTCCATCTACCATCTATCCATTCATTCATCCATCTTTTGGTCTACATACATCCATCTACACATCTATCTTTTCATCTGTTTGCGTCCATCCATCCATTCATTTATCTTTCCATTTTTTTATTTATTTATCCATCCATCCATCCATCCATCCATTCATCTTTCGATCCATCCATCAGTGCATCCATCCTTTAATAGATTTTGTAGTCCTCCTGTTTCCCCTTATTTTCTGTTAGAACTACAGTTTGGTTGAGATTATTGTTTTAGTGATGCACATTATTACCCCAGTTTTAAAACTTTTTTTTTTTTTACTTACAATATCAGGATTTGTTCAAATCCCCTGCATTTATTTCCATTATTTCCCACAAGTCTTAGTCTTTCTGTCACCCCTTTACTCTTTTAGGGTGTCGAGAATAAAAACAAACTCTCATGGACTGCATTTATACTCAATATGAAAATACTTTTACTACTGTGACAATGGGTATTTCCACTTGGCTCATCTTAAGTTTGCAAACAAAAACATGTAACACCATAGGAATTATAATTATACATTGTTGTTTCTTTAAAAAAAAAAAAACACATGAGAAGTCCTAAAGCAAGATTCAAATCAGACATTGGTACAGTTACAGAAAAGTTTACGATAGTACACAATATTACACACTGACCTGGGATTCTGCATGTCTTTAAGTGCCAAATACATGGTGGAAGAGTGTTGGTAACATTCCTCTTATACAGTTAAAGTAAAGGACACACCTTGTTTCTGCTACAAGATCATTTCCAGAACATTGCTGTCAGGGTCTCTGTGAAGCTTTCAGGCCATAACTACCTTTTTTTTTCTCCTGAATGATCAGTGGGATTATTCAGGGATCACCATGATTTGCTACATCATAATATTATTTATAAGTATACAAGCATGATTAAAAAAAACCCTCTTGCTGTGTCAAAGAAGAGATTTCCATTTCTACAGTACATGCACACAGGCTTCAATTTATGCCATCATATTGAAAATTACTATAAACTTTAAATACACTGTGTACATGGTTCACCACATGGTCCACCCACACTTGTTTTTGCATTATCTACATTACTGTTTCTTTGTTTTTAAGGGAGCTCATTCTTGAACAGAAATACACTTATCTAATAAAAGAAAAGTTGCATCTTTAAATATGTCTGTTTCTTTAGATGCAACAAAAACAATGCAGTTCGTCTTGCACACCACCATGACTTCACTTCAAGGATTTTTGTGTTTACAGTCCAACATTTTGCAGCATTTTCAAGAAATTTTAATGAGAATGAGCTAAACTGGTAAGCTGCTTACATAATGCTCCAATCAGGGAGTCTATTGTCTCATTTGGATTAATACAGCAATATTTGGATAAATACTGGAATACTGGTGCTGTTTGAACCCTGCTCACACAGTGCAATAGGAGTGCATGATTATGGAGGATTATAAAAAGTTTAATTCACCACCATGCTTCCAGGTAATCTGTATAATTACTCTCTGGATAAGACCATTCTCTCTCTGACACTCTCTCACGCCGACAACAAATCTTCTAAATAGTGTGCGTACATGTGTATATGTCACCAGTGTCTGTGTGTTTTCCCCTAAAGTATGCCGACAGAAACAGAGCTGCTGTGATACAGTTAAATGCATTGTGTTGTCTGAAATATACACCCAGCTGGAGGGGAGATGATCCTCTGATATGAATGTTGGTTTTCTGGTTGTTTGTTCTCTTCCTCCATGTTTGGCACTTTATCCACGTCTTCTACTTTTTTCTCCTCTTCCTCCTTCATATTTCCTCCTCGGGGTCAGAGCTGTGGTTGCTCATCTATAACAGACAAACAGACAATGAGAGACAGGACAGAGGATAAAACATACAAGGAGACTATTCATTACAGTGCAAAGTCAGAATGACTCAGTAAAATGTAATGCACGGGGAAAAAATGATTTCATAGGAGAGGAGACTCTGTGGGTGTTACATATCTGTTCTCCTTACGAGACAGGAACATCTGATTATCTTGAATGAACCAAATGAGTCTTTTTTCTTCTTTGAATAATCTAACAGTATTTTGATAAAAAAATTTAGAGCTCAAATTTGATCACTCATTTTCTCACTTTTCAAATAAGGTTTAGGGCCATCTGGATGGATGATCTGGTTACTGGCAATGACAAAGACAAAGGCTGTGTCCAAAATAGATCCCTAACTCCTATATAGGTGACTATATGGGGGTTAGCGTCATTTTGAGGGGTGTCAGAAGCCTGAGTGACCAATTCCAGTGCCCTATATAGGCGACTCAAAATTTCCCATAAAGCATTGCAAAATGTAGTGACCATCCAATGGTCACTCACCGGTGGTGGGCATCCCGTCATGCATTGCATCTTGCCATGTAGTGTCTGAAACCTCCGGTGATTGAGCTCACTACATAGTCAACTATATAGTGAAACCCCATATGGGGGTTAGGGGTTAGGGATTGAGCGATTCATTTTAGACACAGCCTTAGTATGAGCCTCCCATTAAAATTCAGTGCCCTTGTCTGGCCACCCCAGTCAAGACAGTCCGGCTCAGCCACTGCTGTGTTTCCATTAGATTTCTGTTTGTCTCAGTTTTCTGTTTTGTGCGCTTTGTTACAACAAGGAAAAAAACAAACATAGTCGGGGGATTATGATGAAGAGTAATGGCTTCCTTTTTATTCATGCACTTTTGATTAATTTCACACAGATTTGGTTTGTTTACCGTGTGGCGGTCGTCATCATGGTCCCTCAGCTCGTGGCTCTCCCTGTGGATTCGATGACGGGAGCTGGGTGGGGAGAGGGAGGAGAGGGAGTGCTCGGGGCTGCTGGCAGATAGAGCGTACGGTGAGCCGGCCGGACTGTCCTCTCTCAGGGGGGAACCTACAACACACAGATACACAAACACCGATAGTTAAATGACATCAGTGTGGATCTGAATTCCTGTCCTGGAGGATATCTGTTGTTGGACAAACATAAAACTTCTCTCTGACTTTGCACAAGATGATGGGCAGAAAACAAGAGTGGAAGTGACAGGATGAAGTGACAGGATGAAGGACAGGAAAGGACATAGTGTGAGGAAGGGGAAAGGGAGAAGAGCTCGATAGTGAGGGACAGGGGAATGAAGTAGAGCTGGAGATAAATTAATGTGAAGATGAGAGCTATCAATCGACACAAGGTCATTCAAAGTAGATTCAACACACACATACACACACACACACACAGATACAGACAGATATACACACTTCAGCTGAACTGCAGCAGACTACAGATCACTTTTTAATACTTCATTTATGAGCCTAGTAAAGACTTTATGATAAATAGGTTTAAGTTAAAACTGTGTCTCAGAGTTTACAGCAACATTGTAGTGTATCTGTGACATGGTGTGTCTTATTCAGAGTAAAATGACTGTGGTGAGTGAGTGAGTGAGTGAGTGTGACTGAGTGGTCTACACTTTCAACACAGTTTCAATAAGAGCGCAGATAAATCTGTCACCTTAGGACAGGAAGGACGGTAGTTCTTGGTAATTAAGTTTGTTCTCTGCTCTGTAACTTCTGCCGTCTGAGACTTTGACTGTATGGGCTTCAAATGTCCACAAGAGGGCAGCAGCACTTCTTCCCCTTACACACAGCTCTGCTTTCCCTCTCAGTCCCTGTTTTTTTGTCTGATTTTTAAGCTTTATAAGTCAGTTACTTCAACACTGTTTGTTCAGCATGTTCTATAGTGTCCTCCTGACCCAGCCATAAATCAAAAGACCTGCACTCCAGTTTGATTTAACTTTCTGAGAGAGTAAATAACAGATTTGCCAAGTGTAATAAGAGTGACTGTGCTGCTGCAGCTCTATTCTCGCTCTCCTAGTGTCCCTGCAGCATAGATCTTGAACCGTTTTGATCAGGGTTGTGACTGATGACGCTAATCAAGCGGAAATCTGATATCTCAGGCGCATCACCCGAGTCTGCCTAAAAATGTTTCTGATGGTTGTATAGATTATCCGCCATGGGATCAGACACTGATCTGCCTCCAGTGTCTTTGGAAATAAGTCCCATACCTTTGTGGTCATTCCTCTGTGTGTCCATCCTGTCCAGACTGTCGAGCAGCCCATCGATCTGTGTCTTTATCAGAGTCAGCTCCTTTTTGATCACCTGCAACTCCTCCATGCCCACTGCAGGGAAAAGATGAGATCATCGGGACACATTACAAAACCTGGAGGTGTATGTAGGGAGAGTTTTTATTTCATAGTTAAACACAGAGGGAATTATTCCATGCAGAGAGTAGGAGAAGATGATTAATACCCCTGTCACTACAATATAGTAAATGAGAAGAAGGAGAAATGGAGAAAACCCTACAGAAAACTAGTTAAAATGGTTTGATTTGAAAACAATGTAAGCTGTACTAATGTCAAGTAAAAAGCACACCAGCTCTAAGTGTTTACACATTTTTTCCATCTTTGCAGTGTAACAGTAACAGACACCATCCAGATGAAACAAAATCCCCCTGATGGTAACTTTTAAGTAAACTTTTTGACATATTTTAAACTTCTTTTGGGTTCATTGGGAAAGTAAACTTTGGTATAACAAAAAAGAGGTCTTGGGACTTTTGGTGAGGTTGCCAAGCGACCAGCAGAAACACAGGAAGCCACTTTGCCTTGCTAAAATAAAAGTATTTTATTCATACATGACAGTTTAAACACAAAAGATGATGAAGTATTGATAAGACTTTGGTTCTTAATCTTCACATTTAAATACAAGCAAGAAAAGCAAAGTGATTTTTTTTAAATGTCCAACTATAACTTGGAAAAAAAATGTCAAGTGAAAAATGACTTTTAAACATTAAAGCTCCAGTGAGGGTTTTCTGTTGGTTTTTGAAGTGACTTTGGATGCTTCTTCAAGACCCACTAAAGCAAACAAATACTTAGTGTAAAGAGGGATTACTTTGTCCATTTTGTTGTCTGGTAGGTGTGGGATGAAATGATAAACTACATGCCTCTCAGTAAGCCTTTTTGAACAATGTCCAGGTCAAAGATTTTTAAAAAGTGACATGTTTGACACCAGAAAAAAGCTAAATTAAGTATGTTTTTGTGGAAAAAGGAACCTATACATATGGTTTAGAACAGTGGTTCTCAAGTCCAGTCCTTGAGGCCCATAGTCCTGCATGTTTTGGATGTTTCCCTGCTCCAACACACCTGATTCAAATAATCAGCTCGTTATCAAGCTCTGTAATGGCTTAATAACGAGCTAATCATTTGAATCAGGTGTGTTGGAGCAGGGAACTGGTTTAGAATAACCTAATAGAGGTGCCACTTTGTCCACAAGAGGGCGCAAGAATCAACATGAACAAAAATTATCTCTCAGTATGGCTTTACATTAACAGCCTAATTTGTGCAGGACAACTTTAAAATAATGAGAAGTCTGATGACGTTAGGTTTGAATTTTCATGATGCTGGTCAGCAGCTTTTTATAACCTTTTTATTTCTGGTTTACTCCTTTAGGGATACTCACACTTGGATGAACTGGATGAGTGGGCTCTGGAGCTTTTGGAGTGGGTTCTGTCTCGACTACGTCTGTGTCCCGTGGAGTGAGAGGAGGAACGGGATCGCTTGGCTTGACTGGGTCCCAGGGGTAGAGGGGACAGAGAGGCCGGCACACGCTGGTAGTCATACACCCTGGAAACACAGCAGTATAAACAATCTTAAAACAGCCTAACCTTGAAACTTTGTCATGCAGAAAGTTTTACTTCATTTGTTAAACATGCTTTTGTAAAATCATCAGGACAGACAGCAACACCGTTAGTCATATGTTGTGGAAAAACTACATGAGAATATTAATACTCTGCAAATAATTTGGGCTGCATATTAATTGGTCTCTAAAAGGACCAATTAAAAACATTTTTTTTTGCCATTAAAATAATCTGTTTTATTATTGAACACATGAAGTTGAAGACCTTTGGCTTCATTAAAATATAATCAGTGCAAAATCAAATCCCTATTTAACCTTTGAACAACAAACATCAAGGGACTCAATTATTGCATAGGACTGAACTTCAGTGTTATTGGCATTAACAATGTAAAATTCAAAGACAGTCGTTGCCCAAACATACAAACAGCCCTGCTGTTATACAAGCTGTTAAAAAAGATATAAAAGAAGAGCAAGTTGAAAAAGTCTCTGTTCAAACATCTTCCAGATAAATATGGATATTTATATTCTGTGTTTCTTTGTCTTTTATCTCTGTTTCTCGCTGGCACACACCGGCGTTGTTCCTCCCTGTGGACAGCTCCATGTCTCTATCTGTCACTGAATGTAATTGGTTCTGTCAGGGCCAATCAATAGCTCCCCGCCGGGCTGGTAGTGCTGCTGACAGGGGGTGTATTACAGTCAAACTCTATACTGCTTACAGAAACCACACTGTTTGTGCATGTGGGCTGGTTGCAGCTCAAACTGAGGGGATGCTGAGATGGAAACAGAGGGCATCTAACCTCAACAAGCAGAGAGGCCAATGACCAAGTCAATTACAGCCACAAGATCGGCCAATCGCAGGTAAGAGAAGCTGCAGGGGTCACAGAAACTAGTTATGGCTGCTATCTGAAAGTCGACGATTCGAATAATCACTCAGAAGAGGCTGAGACCAATCAGAATTTATAAATACTTTGGGTAGTTTTCAGCTGTATCATTGTACACAATATGATGACACAGAAATGATTCAAAGGATGTAAAACTTTAAGAATATTTCTCAAAAAATGTTTTGAAATCAATCAAAACAGCAGTTTTCATCACTCTTTCCACTGCAAAACAAAAGGATGATTGTGAGCCAAGCCGCTGCCACCTTTAAGTCACAAATCCAATAAAATTCTGAACAAACAAGTTTGTTTGTTTCCACCATGGACAAAATTGTGAAGTTGAGAAATTATTTCTACAAGAGACTCTTTGGATGGTGCTTGACTGCTGTAAGTCTAACTTTCCCAACAGGTCATAAAGTTGAGTTATACAGTTGATAAGAGCATGACTTTAAAAGAACAGAATGTACAGAGATGGTTTGCATATTAAAGCTTAAACATTGGTATATTGTGAACTAAGTCTCCTATAATCATGAACAGTACTGCAGCTGAAAGTGTGGGGAGTTTAAGTATTTGGGCATGATTACTGAAAACAGGTTGATATGGAATGGTAACAGTGATGCTGTTTGAAAAGGCTCATCAGCATCTTCACTTTTCAAGGAAAACTTGAAATTTAATGTTGACAGTGCCATGTTGAAGTTGCTTCACTGAGAGCATTGTCTGTACCAAACAGGAATAAGCTGGGTAAAGTTGTTCAACTGTTCAGTAGGAGATGGGTGTGCAGCCTGTCTTTTCTCACAGACCAGTAAATGTTGAATTTGGACAAAAAAAAATCTACAACAGACCTGCAGCAACCCCCTCTGATCAGATTATGTCCCCCCTAAATTCAGGGCTCTAGTATAGAAGACCACACAGCATTTGGCTGTTAAACAAATTCTAATACACAGCATGAACTTTGCACTTGATAGAACTTGGCCCCAGATGTTTCTCAGAAGTTATCTTGTGAGGCCCTGGAGGGGAACTGTTTTCACCTTGGTTTTATTTGATTTGTGTCGTCTTATATGGCTGTTAATGTCTTTGTCACTTATTTTTGATGGCAAACTCTCCAAATTTTGATTCATTTAGTGACTTTTTTGACATTCTGTCGAAAGTGGTCCTAAACAACAGAAGTGAATTGAGACCAAGCACGTTATTTCATGATACAGAGCATTTTTTTTATTTGGTGTGGCAGCAATACACTTCTGTACTATACAGATAATTGGCCAAATGCATTTTTTTTACCCCGATAATTGGCCAAGGTTGTTAATAATTGAGCTCCACTTTTCAAAATCTTTTGAATGTCTCATTTACTGAAACCAGATACAGTTGTCAAAAATCATGACAGCAATCTGATACTGAAATTATTGACCAGGTACACTGGTTTTTGAAACATGTCAACTCTTATGCTTGTTGTCCCCAAATCAGAAAAAAACAATAACCAGTCAATATGGCTGGATTAGATAGGTGGCATTAAACCATTCGTCCACAGATAGATGAATGTTTAAATGTCAAGGTCAACTTCATTTATTGAGGGTTTTACATCAAATAAGGTTTGCATCAAATAGGATAAGAAAAGATAAGACAAGAAGAACTTTATTCATCTCCGAGGGGAAATTAGAATTCAATGGCCTTAATGCAAGAAAAAAAAACCTCCACAGAAATCTAATACATATCGAAAAATCTATCAAAACAATAAAGACACAAAGACCTGCACATAGATTTCCACATAAACAGACCCAAACACAAAAAGACAGGTCTTGGTACAGCCTCACAGAGGGCCCTGTCTCTGAGAACTTCCAGATGCGATGGTGGGCTGGTCATTAGCCCTTGATCAGATGATCTGAGAGGCCTGGCTGTACTGTAATGGGAAAGGAGCTCTGTAACATAGCTGGGAGTGCAGCCATAAAGGGCTTTGGACACAAACAGAGAGTTTAGGGAGGGATTCTGTGACAAATGGAGAGTCAGTGCAGGGATGTTCATATGCATGTAATGTGTTCCTGTTTAGTGTCTGTATAGAGCTCTGGCTGCAGCTCTCTGGATGTGACATAATCATGGAGGTCTGGCAGATACAAAATACAGAGAGCTGTGGTGGTCTGAATGAAGTTTAAACATGGATGACTCTTTTTAGGTATTTACTGGAAGCAGGTGTGGTAGGCTGCGAAACTTATCAGTGGAAGGTGCAATAGGATGGGTTTCTTCAATGAGCATTCATCGTTCTTGTGAGGGTACAAATACCAATTTATCTTAAATATTAATGAGATTCAAAAAACATCTGGTTAAAGTCTATGTGGTTGGATAGTTTAACAAAAGAGACTGAGCAAAGGTGGTGGGCGGAACAACTCACTTCTTTGTCATTAAGTTGTAAAAAGTAAATCTTGAACTCAAGATTCAGTTTCTCATAGGCTGTCATCATCAGATCCATCAGCTGATATTCATTTTCTCTGGACCTGGAACTGCTGCCTAAATAGTGAGATTTCATACATCACAAATCCAAGCTCCGCCCCCGGAGCCCTGCTATGCAGGCCAGACTCTGCAGAGGAGAAATACAAAGGACGATCGCAGAACAAGCGTGTGCGTTAGCGGATTGCAATACTCGTAAGAAAGCTAATTATGATATTAGTGCTCATCGTGTCCCTAAAGACATTAGTGTCCAAGAGCTGAATAGCTCCTATGTTACCTGGAATTTCTACTACCCCGGCAATATGAGGCTGCAAGCTAATGTGAAGACGAGTGTGCAGAGCAGCACTGTCTCCGCCCAAGACCCAGAGGTGAATTGCTAATGATCTACTGAAGCTCTGCAGAAGAAAAGCCCTTGAAAACGACACAGGTAACACGATTTTTGGTAAAAACATCATAATCACAATTTAAAGACCACTGAGAACAATTTATGTAGTAAAAAAAAAGCAATTGGAGTGGGACTTTAGGATGGCGACACTGGTGCCCCGTGCCAGTAGTCTGTTGCAGCTCTCCTATCTTATTCAAAAACAACCAAGATGTCAGTTTTCACTGTCGGGAGATCGATTGAAGCCTCTATGGCAGCTGTTTTGAATAATCTGGGTGATTTATTTTAATTAAAACAAGACTGAAAAACTGCAAATACAGGGTTTGTTATGAGACAATAGTGAAATAGACAATAGCTGCACAGAGACAATAACGTTGCAGTGTGCCTCATCACATACTGCATTTACTTGATTGGTTGTAGGTCTGTACAATCTTCCAGTGGCACTTTCGGATGCAATCATTGCCAATCCCTCCATATGAAAATGGAAAGCAATCCCAAACCCATTCACTAGGGTGAATTGGTCTTGTGACACCAGGCTAAATTTCTGTTGTTAAAGGAATTCGATAATGTGCACATAAGACCTGGAAATAAAGGCTTTCTCCAACCAAATGGTCAGTTTAGAAGAATTGCTGCAGCAGTGTGATTTTTGTTTCTCTCTGGTCAATATAATCCATCATAACTGCATCCAAACACAATCTGGATATACCTGGACCATTGACAGCCCTCTTCCTGCAAAGCTAAGAGAATAAAAAGCTCTTCTGCTGTTTATCACAAGCCAGAAACAGGTAGACAAGCTGTCAGCTGCAAGGACTTGGAGTGGGACAGAAATGTAGATTTACTGACTGAGCTGTTAGAGAGTCAGTCAGATGCAGCCCGGCTTCCTTGAAAGTTTTCCCTCAGTTGTTTTCTTTTCTTTTTTTTCAATCTGTTTAAATCTGTGAAGTCTCTTTGTGATACAATTTCCAACACACCCACACGTGAGTCACATGAGGATGGAGTATATTCGGTTACCTTAAGAGTGTGAGATTAGACACTTTAAGCTTTGTCCATGTGAGGAGACACAGACACCAAAGACTTATGGGAGTTTAAAGTCCTTCAGAGCAGTTTGCAGGGGCAGATATACAATGTGTTGTTACACCAGCTTTGAAGTGTCATCTCAGAGAATGGAAGCTCAGACAATGAGAGAGCATAGACGAGTGAGGATTACAGAAAAGTGTGTGAGTGGATGTGAGAGGGAGTGTTTGTCTCTGTGGATTAGAACCCACACAGAGCGCAGCTTTGTCAGCTCAGGCTGTTATCTGTGTGCTGGAAGACACTTTTCTTCTGCGTTTGCACAAGAGGACAGCTGCAAAAAAAAAGTCATTTCTCTTCTTCCCACATATTGATGTGCACAAACAACAAACGGGCAAACAAACACACACTCATGTACACCGTTGCCACACACTCACATCTAGAGGCAAACACATGCAGGAAGACACACACACAGATGAAATACACTTCCTTTCCCACTCACAAACACACACACAAAACTGTCAGAAGTGCTAGCCACCAGCATGGAGAATAATCATGCACTGTGTTAAAAAACAAATTGAAAATCAGTGGTGAGTGTTCCCCCCTGAGCAAACAGAAAAATGCAGAGCAAGGAAAACCGCGGGATTAAAAAAAAAGGAAAAGAAAAAGAAAAGATGACAGTTAATACTTGGAGCAGCAGAGCATCGATATGAGCCAGAAAGGGAATGAAATGAGGTGTTATTCTGTGTGCGTGTGTGTGTGTGTGTGCGTGGTGCATTCTGCTTTTCAGATGTGCTGAGTGGGGTGTTTATGAGTGGGGCCTGGGGGATGTTTGAAGGTCCCCGCACAATTTCAGTGGACGACCAGTAATACAGAGCCACAGTCTAACCAACCACTTCATCTGCATAACCACTGCACTGACTGTACACATGCACAGGAGTGTGATCAGCAGGGACAGAGAAAAGGTAAACACACTGAACTAACCGCTGAGCTTTGGGTTCAAAACAAGTCCAGAAAATATTCATGTTTCAGAGGAGCTTATTTTTTTTATTAACCGTATTATGAACCGGCTCTTCTGAAAAGACATTATGAAGTATTTGGCAGCATTTCTCAGAGCAGATTTGGTTGAAATGGAATATAATATTCATGTTTGAACAAGTAGTTATCACCAAATGGCTTTTTGATAACCAAGAATAAGCCTGTCTCCATTGGAGCGCCCTCCCGTCTGTGGTTGCTGCCATCTTGCACTGCCAGGTTTCTGATGAACAGAGAAACTATAAAAGTCTTTGTTTTTGCAATCAGTGATTGGCCATCGGAAATGCAGCAGGTGGAAGAGAGCGGTTGTTGTTGTGCAAAAATAACAAATTGTGTTAAAAGATCCTGTGGATGGTAAAAACTTGACATAAGAGAATCAATACTCATCATGCATCACAGCAGCTTCTTGTCCTTAAAGGCCACTGGGGCTGTAAGGGAGTGTTTCAATCTAGAATCTGATCTGACATCCCTAAATATTTTCTATTTCTACACTCTGCACCTATAAACACTCACCTGTGAAGGGTCAAAAAGCCGATAACTGTGTTATTTCTCAACTGTTAACACTTGCCAGGAAAAATCTGATCCTACATACAAATCAAATCATGTGTATCAGGGAGTCTGTCTCATTCTCAGCCTGTTGCGACAAAACTGGTAAACAGCATTTTAGTATTATTTACAATATACAAAATATCAGGTTGATAATTAATTGCAGGAAGCAGAATTAAAAGTGTAGACATCCCAAAACTCTTGGACTTGTGTGAAAGAGATTCTTTACTGCAGGAAAAAAGGCTCCTCATACAAACACAATATAACCTCAAAGACAGCTGCACTATCACAAACACTCCGCTCCACTGAGCAAATTTTTTATTCAACCTTATTCTTGGCTGTAATTATCATCTCATTAAAAACAGACTTATCTAATCCAGAGCCAGGTCTCTTTCTCTCCCTCTGAGGTCAAAAATCAAGCTGCTCCACTTAGCACTCCCCCCAGAAGGTCTGAAGTCTTCTGTTGTAATGACTGAAAATTCAGCTTTTTCCAGCTGCAGCTGTTAATTCAGGTTTAAATGCGTTCTTAATGTTGCCCAAGGCTTTTATTTTCAGCATGTTTGTTTAAGTGTAGCACTTTATCCTTCTCTTTTTGGCATTTGTGTGTGATCATGGTTTTAGGATTATTTCTGAATTTGCAGTAAAATATATTTGGCCATTGTAGCCTTTTGGCCTTTCTGGGCTACCATACATTGATATAAACTGAACCAAATTTGCACAAAGTTATGATTGGATCTGATCAAATATAACTTGTCTGATCGATGAGAGTAATCTTAAATTAGGTGGAATGAGGAAAGTAGATATGGACCGTGCATCATAATATTTTTTTTTACTTATTACAGTAAATGTGCACATTTCTAGGTATGTAGAGAATCTATGAATTTACTCTGTATCTCTATTTTATTCTTGTATTTGTGTGTCTGTTTGTAGGTGTGATCAGAGTGTGGCTGTGAAACAGTAACAGGGACATCATAAGTAAAGACAGGATGAGTGACAGCTGTGTGGCGGATGGTGACAGGGTGTTTGACTCGTAGAGACCAGAAAGATGAAGAATCCACTTTAACCCTCTTCCTTTAGCTTCAGTGACACAAAGACAAGCAGTAATGTGTGAGAGCTGCCATGCGAAGCTTTCTGACAGTACCTGTCATAGTAGTCCTCGTGGTAGCTGTCATAGTCCAGGTCCAACTCAGATCTGCAGAAAGAAAGACAGGGGAGGTGGTTAGCTGTCAAAATGCAGTTTCACTTAACAAAGAATAAGTCTTTGTGAGTCAGCGTGTGAATGTGTGTGTGTGAGTTGAATAACAGTTTTACGGTACAATAACTTCATCTGGAAAGAATGCAGATTTATGATCTCCAGCCAGCTAGAAAAAGACATGGATTTGTTCTGCTGCAGCATCCAAGGTGGAAACTCCATAGAAAATGTCATTGCTCCAACTGTACCCCTCACTGAACACCTCCATGTGTGAGTTTGGTGAGGCAGCCAAGAGTGTGTGTCTGTGTGTTTGAGAATTAGTGTCAGGAGAGTGATGTGACAGCAGTGAACTTATATGGGCCGGTGGCTGCTGTGTACCTTTAGAAAAGGCCAGAAGAAGTGGAGGGGAGAAAAGTGACACTAAGCCAGAGTGAGATCACATTCTGGTGTGTCAGACCTCAGCGGTCCTCTTTAATCCCAGCACTGAGTGGCCAATAATCCCTCCATGTTGCTCATCCTTCCTCCGTCTCCCTTTGCCACTCGGGCTGACTTATCCCCTCTCTCTATTATTGCCATTATTTCACAAATCTCAAATGATTCTGCCTTAATTGAACTGACCTTGCTCTTTTCATCTCCATCATCACAAATTGAAACTACCGGAGAGGAGTTATGCAGCCTAATGATGGTGGTCATCATGTTGCAGTGCTGACTCTTGATAACATCGGGTCAAAAGAAACAGGCCATCAGGTGGGGTTGAGGCAGACCTTAGGCTGCTTGGAAAACAAGCTGCAATGCACCCACCTGTCAAGCCAACCACACCCCTAATTATGCCAAAAAATGCAAAACTCATGGACTGAACACCTTCATTCATAGATAAATACATTTCATCAACTGAGCAATGTGTATAACTAACGCCATCACTCACAGAAACAGATATTTTTGAATGAGGTTGTTTACATGTTTAATTCTGCATGGAAAATGGAGAGTTAAACACAGGCGTCTCTCCTCTAGTGGACACCCAAGGGACTGCAGTATTTCTGCTCTTTTTCGGAGGGGTGTGACGCATATCTTTCAGACTCTATGCTTCCTTTCTGATACTCATTAACAGCTTTACAAAATTTTTAGATCAAAAAAAGTTTTTCAGCCTCCGTCTGCGACGCTTTGTTTTAGCTGTAGCTCTTTAAGGCAAATCTGCTCTTGATTCAAGTGTGTTTGCCAGGAGAAAAAAAGTCATCTTTTGTTGTTGTTGCTGTTTTTGACACAATTTTACCCACAGGAAGAACGTCTTAACTGCAGCAAGTGTGTTATCACAATATTTAATTGGACAAACTCAGAGCAGACGAGCTTCTGCCCCATATGAGATCCCTGATGTCCCCCATAAGGCCTTCTAGTTCAACTTTCAGTGTGAAAACATAGGAGTTGAGGAGGTATTTGTGGCAGAAAAGAGTAGACAGAAGCATACTACTCTTTTCTGCAATGACGCTACCCTTATTAGTGGCTCAAACTAGTAGAAACCGGTTCTCATCAGGAGACTACAGCCGCGTTTGGAAAAGTGACACACACACAGTCTGCTTATTTTGGGAGGTGATTTTTCTCCTGGTTGTAGTCATGACACTTGTACCAAAGAAAAGATATATCTGTGTGAATGAAAGGATGAACACAATAAGTGCAAGTATGAGCAAAGTTTGCTGAGTTGGGTGACTCAAAATCATCTGAATCTCTGAGGATCTTTTTTTGGACTGAGCTGCATTCACATCTCCTCCAGTGTTACTCTCGCTGACCCTGCAGCTGGTTTTTCCAGAGCACTGAGGGGGGAAAAAATCACAAAATAATTCATGACAAGTGCTCCTGTCTGAGCTGGACCCTTTCCAAAAATGGAAAGTGTTATTTCATTCCAGTGTGAAGACTGCTGTCTGTTATCCTATTGGAGATGGAGGGAAAAACAAGTGCCATTTTGAGCTTATTCTGATTCATTGATGACACATTAACAAGCAGGGCAGCTGCTTCTCTATTTGGTTGTGACGCATTGAAGGACCCACTGGAGGCAGAAGGACGGAGGACAAAAGAAAGAAAAACTCCTCGGCTGAGCAGCTTTTTGTTCTGTGAGTGAATTCAACCCAGAAGGAGACAGAAAATAACTGTTATTACACAGATCCTCACTGAGAGGGAACTAAACTGATAATAACTCTGATTCTTCTGCACCAATGCTCATGGTTGACCTTCCTTATTACGCTCATACGATAAATCATGTGTTTTCGCTGTATAATAACAGACAAAGTTTGAAGACTTGGATGGATTATTTAGCAGTCCAAACATAGAGCTTTGTGGCATATTGCTGTACATTAGGTAAATGCTGAATGCTTGATTCATGGTTATTTGTTTAGGGATCATGGTCGGGTCAGTAATACGCCTGAAGTGTGGAGGAGGATATGACACAGATGTGATTTACACACAATAAATGTGTGACAGGGAAGCCCAGCCTGTTTAGACCCTAATTACCACTAAGGAGAGCAGCTGAGTGCTTGGGTCACTGTGTGTGTGTGTGCTCGCTGTGTTTGTGTGTGTGTGGAGAGAGAGAGAGAGAGAGAGAGAGAGAGAGAGAGAGAGAGAGAGAGCGAGGCAGATGGACAGCAGGGTCACTAAAGGCTAATTAATTTCTTTTCATAATTTCTCAAGTGCCAAAGCAATCCATTAGACACGGCTGGCCATAAATCATTTCAGCCTCAGTGTGCCTGTGTGTGGATGTGATTCGGTGTGTGTGTGTGTGTGTGTGTGTGTGTGTATGTGTGCGTTAAACAAAGAAGAGTCGCATATCCACGAACATAGCAGCACAGAGGTTTACTCCAACATGCGAACTCACCATCCAGCACAGGTAGAAAACCACTTCAGACACAGCTGTTGGATCCATGGAAATCCTCAAAGGTGTGTGTTACTGTGTGTGTTACTGTGTGTCTGCAAGTGAGATGAATTATTACAGATTCAATTGGCTCAGAGGGTTGACAGATGCAATTTAAATCTCGCTGACGATGAATCAAAGTGACATTTTCGGTTGGATTTATGCCTTTTTGATTGTGGTGACATTCTGGGTGATAAATAACCACCGCTTTAGTATTTTGTCCTGAGCTTCTTCCCTTACATTTCACAAGACTGTCAGCTGTTCTTTGTGTAGTTATCGGACTGGACCGACAACTTTGTATTGCAGCTCATACAATATGTACAAGTAATTGTCCATTCATGGTCAGAATTCAATTTCACTTTTATCTTTACAAAGTAGTTACCAAGAGCAAGTTAAGTTTGGCGTAATTATTATTAAAATGATCTTTATAAATACATTCAAATGAATGAGTAAGAATATGCTTCCTGAACTGTGCTGACTGACGGAGTTATATCTGCTTTATTTGTTTATCCACAAAATGAAAAATCTGAGCCCCAGTAAACCACTCACTCCGATAGTCAGTATGGTGACATAGGACCATTAGAGGTTCATGCACTTGGCAAACAGAGGACTGTGATGGACTTTAGATACTCTAAGCTATGGGAAATGACTTATTTTTCTATCAAAACAGGACTACAAAGAAGCTTGTTGAAGGGAAGTGAGTGAGTAGGTTGGATTTTCTGGTAAATTGTGAAAACACAACAAATCCTTGCAATTTAGGCAACCACATCCATGTTTGGTGTAAACAGACTGAAGTGGCATGGAGAAAACTCCTCCTCTCTGGCATTCACTGATGTGTCTGGGCACTTGTGTAGATGCAATATGGCACACAAATGGAGCAAATGAACACAATATTCAGGCCTCCAAATGCATGTAAAGTAGGTGTGTGAATGATTTTATTTACATTAGGTGTGAACACAACAGTAGATCCACAGTCTGAGCCATGTCCAAAGTACAAAAATGAGCTTTACTCACAGTAAACTGAACATTTCCATTGTTGGCGAAGTAAAACAATACAAACAGAACTGCACAAATTAGTGTCACACTTGGTTGAGGTTTTCGGTCTTGTTGTTATCAGTCTGTGACCTTTTCTGTTCTATGTCCAGTCCTTAGACTCAGCTGTATCCCACAGCATGTTGACTTAGTAAACCTTCTCCAGTTTTGTAGATTTATCTGTCATCAACTAAGTATTTGACTCAGCTGTGAAACAACATGTGATGAACACTCACGAATAAGTTTCGTTATTACAAAAATCATTTGTTATTTTTCCTTTTTTCCCCAGAGAATGGGAAATAAGGGCTCTTTTTTCCTGCCTCGCCAATGGTGTGGCGTAGGCGGGCAGACTTTGGTATTTTGGTGAGCGGCTGAGCCTGGCGCAAGTATCCTCCCTCCCTTACTCTGCACCAACAGAAGCAGACAGGAGTATCCGTTAATGACATTCATACAAATATTCAGCAAACAGAGAAAGCACAGATCGTTTGGAGTGTTTTTGGGGCAGACTGGAAATACTTTAGATGGTTGGATTTGGGACAGGAAATAAGGTTGTGCTTTTTAATCTTTCTTACATTATTTTGATGTTATTTCACTTTTTTCTAGTCTCAAAAAAGTCTCAAATGATCATCTTGATGCTGTTACTATCAAACTTTTATGAAGAGTTTTCAAAATGAGAAATGCAAACAATGAAAGTTATCCACAATGACTGTCCTAAAAGCTGCGACCAAATCAGCATTTTTACAAAAGAATGAAAAAGCTGAAATGAAGAACTAAACAGACAGTTTTTGGTGAGACTGATCCACAAACATTTACAAACCAGAACATTTCAAGAGTTCAATGATCTTATTTACAAGTTTTTGGTCTGATTGACTCAAAGTTCTGTTTATTTCAGTTCAATAAACTCAGCAGAGCCGCCCTGACCTACCCACAGTCCAGCATGTAGCGGCTGAGTGAATGTGGTCTGGACTCTGTGGAGGAGGGTCATGGTTTTAGAGACGCTGTAGAAGGACAGCATACCTGCTCTGTGATCCAGATACACGCCTACTCTGGAGGACAGAGGGCCTGAGACAGGAGAGTGGATTATTTTGTGCACAAATGTATAACTGTCATTAAAATACTCTAACATCCAAGATTCATCATTGTCTCCAAATGAACAATACTCTGAGTTTCCTGCTCTGCTGATAGTCTTGTATGCGACTGCTACATCAACCCAGTTCCCTCTCCAGTCCACCTCCCAGTAACAACGTCCAGTCAGACTCTCTCTACTCAGGACCTGACGATAATCAGTGAATCTGTCTGGGTGATCAGGATAAGACTGTTCTTCTTCTGTTTGTGTTGCTCTTCTGTTTCCATCAGATAATAACAGATGTCTGTTTGCTGTGTTTGGATCCAGTGTGATTCTTTTTGAATATCTTAAGAAACCAGCTCTGGTCTTGGGTTCTGGTTCTGGTTCTGGTTCTGACAGTAAAACATCCACTTCAGTCACTGCCTGTAAGACGTTTGTCCACGTCTCTGTCAGAAGATCCTGGAGTTTATCTCTGACCTCTGACACAGCTGCTGTCACCTCCTCAAAGTATCTCAGAGGACGGATGTTGATCCTGGATGAGTCTGCAGGTTGACCCGGTCCTGACAGTGAGGGGTAGCTGTGCAGAAACTGGTTGTGGTCCTCTGTGAGTGAGAGCTTCAGCAGATCAGCATCTTTCCTCTTCAGCTCATTGATCTCCTGCTCCAGCTTCTCCTGAAGCTCTTTGACTCGACTCACTTCATGTTCCTGCTGGGATCTGACCTGCTGCTCCGTGTAAGAGCGGTGTTTCGCCATGAGAAGGATCAGCTGGCTGAAGATCTCCTGGCTGTGCTCCACTGCTTTATCAGCAGAGCCATTGATAGCCTCCACCTCCTGTTGGAGCAGCTTCACATCTTCTTCTCTGTCCTGGATTCTCTGCTGGATGTTTTCTCGACTCTCCTCCAGATCTTTCTGCCTCTCAGTCCTTTCTGCTGCAGCTGAGACTGTGTCGTGGCCTTTGTGTTGGTCCACAGAGCAGAGATAACAGATAGACTGTTGATCAGTGCGGCAGAACATCTTCATCACCTCATCATGACGAGAGCAGATGTTCTCCTGGAGCTTCTTGGAGGGCTCCACCAGCTTGTGTTTCTTAAACTGAATTACTTCAAAATGAGGCTGGAGGTGAATCTGGCAGTAAGAAACCAGACATTGCAGACAGGACTTAACAGCTTTCAGTTTTCTCCCACTGCAGAAATCACAGGCCACATCTTCAGGTCCAGCATCAGAGGGATCATCAGGAGCAGCTTGGAGTCTGCTCTTCTTCAGTTCCTCCACTAAACCTGCTAACATGGTGTTTTTCATCAGGACAGGCCTCGGTGTGAAGGTCTGTCTGCACTGAGGACAGCTGTAGATCTTCTTCTCATCCTCAGTATCCCAGTAGGATTGAATACAGCTCATACAGAAGCTGTGTCCACAGGTGACAGTCACCGGATCCTTCAGTAGATCCAAACAGATGGAACAAGAGAAAGATTCACGGTCCAGCTGAACTCCTTTCTGCGCCATTTCAACACTCGCTGTTGACAACTGACTGACTGAGTTTCATTTCCTCAGAAGTGAAACTAGTCTGAGCTCTGATCTCAACAGCATGTGTGTGTCAGCAGGATCAGTTCAGCACAGGCTGGTTACACCCTTTCTCAGACTGTAGATCTGAAGGGGAGGGAACAAGGAAGTGAGTGTGCAGAGTGGAGTGTGCTGTGTGAGAGATAAGGGAGGGGAAATCCAGCTCTTGTATAATCCAGGAAGAGGAGTGGCGATGTGAACTTTAGACTCTCAAACTCCAACAAGCAGAGGTTATTAAAGCTGCAGCGGTCCTGAAGATCAACTGCACCAACATTTCACTAAATGCATCAACATTTATTCACCTCATATGAACCTCATGGATCACACTAACACTTCCACTGTTTACTTGTATCCATATTTAAATATACACCACATATAAACTCTCTCTCTCTCCCTCTCTCCCTCTCTCTCTCTCTCCAGGTCGAGCTGCGCGAGAAAAAAGAGGAAGAGAGAAAAAGGGGGACAAATTAAATATCTTGTTAAATTCATCATGTGTGACTATTTACTGAAAACTTAAATGATAATTCAGTCAGGTTGAGTGTCCAAACACGTGCCAAACACACTCATCAGATAAGATATAGATCAGAATATAGCAATATAGATCTAAATGAATGTGCTGACTCAGATAGTTGCACTGAATATTGGTTGTTGTTGATTATTTATTGCACTGAAATGTGCCTGACACTGTGGAAACCTGCCAGTGAGGCATCGCTGACATGTGCGCACTACACCGCTGGTCTACTAAAATACCACTAGACCAGCTGCGCTCCGCCTGCGCTGAAAGCTGACCAGGTTTGAATCGGAGAGCTTTCAGCGCACTTTCCGCTGCCGGCGGGCACAAAAAAATCACTACGCCAGCTGATTCTGTCGACACCTCCCCCCACCGCGCCACCACGCCCAGCTTGGCGGACCTCGGTGCACGAGAGTCCACGAAAATACTAAACTGGCTGGGGGACATTGCAGGGGTGTACCAGCCTGATGAATTAATAAGAATAAAGTCGTATCATGCTTGTGCTTCTTTGTGGTTTCTACGCTTGCTAGATGTAAAGTCACCAGGAAAAGAGTCAAAGTAGAAATGACACAATTTCAGAAATAATGCTTGCCATAAAAATATCAGTAAGAGTCAACCTCATAGTGATGGGAAGAACAGTTCTTTTAACTGTACTGAGTCATTAAAATGATTCGTTCAAAAGATTTGTTTACCGAATCAGTCAGTGCTTCATGTAATAGCACTTTAATGCGCAGTTTTATTTGAGCCGCTGTGAACGAACCGATGCTCGGCAGTTCATGAACGATGCTACGCCCCTCCCTCCTCTGCCTGCCTCAAGTTGTTCAGAAGTCATTTGTTTCCTTCACAGTCTGACTCATACATGTCGTTGACGAGACTCTGACTGCTCGCTGTGTGTTGTTCGCCAAAGAGTCAAAGACCGCAGTTCCACACCCAACTGGCATGCCACGCTCGCGGCTGAGCTCAACTGAACTGAGAAAGGAACGAATAAGGTCCTGGAGTGATTCCATTGACATCGTTCACTCAGCAGTTTCCTTCTTTTGAACTAAACATTCATGAACAACACAACACTACAACTTCAGACCTTACAGACTTCCCCTCTCTTAAGCTGTTTGACTGCTACTATAACCAGTCTGGATGTCTTTTCGCATGTATTAACACACTAACTCGCTCATGCTTTCTCCTGTTAAGAAATACAGCTTAGATGAGACATATTCCCTCCTTTAAAGTGCTGAGAAATTAATCCGTTCTTTTGTGTCTTCACGCTTAAATTACTGTAACTCTCTGTATGCCTGCCTTTGCCAAGTAGCTGCAGCTCGCCTTCGGCTGGATCAGAACACTGCAGCTCATCTTTTAACAAAGAGGAAGCACAGGGAGCAAATTACACTAATATTGGCCTCTTTCCATTATCAACCAGCGGAGTTTAGGATTAAATGTAAAACTCTGGTAATTACCTATCAAGTCCTACTGCAGGATGAAGCAGCTGAGAACATTTCTGGACTGCCCGGGCTTAAGCCCAAGTACATACAGCGACAGAAAAATGGCCATTTATCTTTAATATAAAATAGAACATCTAGCTTAACAGACTTTGTTTGGAAAAACCTCTTAAGACTCATTTCATAGTTTCTTTGTCAAATCAGTCCATGACTTTTTTTTTTCTTTTTTAATTGGGCACATTGATGTGTGTGAGGAGTAGAGCCCGGCATGCGTGGTCCAGTTCAACAAAAGAGCTACTCCAGTAGCTGGTTCTGATGGTAAGATGAAAGATCAGTCAGTGCGTTTACATGTGCAGCTTAATTGGACTAAGGTCATAGTTCGTTTTTTTTCGCTGAATCGACTTCTCTTCTTGTCCGCCTATACATGCACCTAAGAAAATCAAAGTATTGACGCGAATGTGCCCTGCTGCCCAAAACTAGGGGTCGATATGGGTCTTTTCAGCAGTGCTGTTTACAGTTGACCCCATACAACTGTTTACAACAACAGCAGGTCCGTGCCAGACGTCAGAAGCGGCTATAACTGATGCTGGGCATTTTCGAGCGAGAGGAGGAGCATCGTACTGCGTTGTTTTTTCGTCGTACATGAGTTTTTTCATGCACTTCAGTTGTCAGGTCTTAATCGGAGTAAGGCAAATTTTCGGTTTTCTTGAGTGTTATGTAAACGTACTGACTGTGTTGCAATCTGATTTAAATTGGAATGTGCAGCTGCAAAACAGCCAGGGTGTCCATACCAAACCCATACCCACTCCCCAAAGTTGCACATTGTGGATCTGTGTGCATGTGGATTGTTTTCAGTGTTATCATTTGGACACAGATTTTTTTCATTTCTGTTCTTGATGGGCTTGTTGTTTGTTGTCTCTGCTGCCAAGACAAAGGATTGATTAAAAGTAAATCTAAACAAGCTAAGTGTCACTAATCAAATCCCATGGCTATTTTTGATTAAACTGGATCGAACTGGTTCCTTGGGCTGATACATCAGTCTCAGAATATCTCTTAAAAAAACAGGTAAATATGCAGGTTTGAGGCACTTGTGCGTATATGGGCGAACATTTAATGTCTTTTGGTTAAAGTCTAGGGGAATCGTTAGAACTGAATCTTTAATACCCAGCAGTGATGCAAAGAGCCCCTCATCTTTAGCATTAGAAAGTAAAGGTCAAAGGAGGTTTTTTTAATTGGGTACGTCACAGTGAAGTGTAGTGATACATGATAAAAGCCCAGCTGATGAGAACCAAGGACTGACTGCAGCAGGGGAGAGTAGAAACACCTCAGGTAAGACCAGTTCTCACAAAATACAGTCTTTAAAAGGTCTGCGCATCATGTCAAGAACATCTAACAGACACTGTTCAACCACAGCATGTTGTAGTTAAACGAAAACCTTTAATACTGATTTTCCAGCCAATCAGAGGAGACCACAAAGGTGACATCGATGGGACTCTGAGGGTGTTTTTTGATTTTTGAGGCTGTAGGAATTAGGGTTCAGGTCAATCAGGAAAAACTAGATGGTGTAATTTTATTTCTTGTCTTAAAAGAACAGAGTCAATCGATTGAGGAGGTTGAAGGGGAATCGATGGCTCCATGATCAATGGGAAGACACTGGTAAACAATGTCTTTCTGTTTATAGTGTTATCAGATGGGAAAATACACCACTGACTAACAGTACTTTTCTTTGTTTATTTCAAAAGGCTGTTTCTGTCAGAAACACTTTTCTTTTTCTTTGGCAAGGTACAAAAGAAAGTCCACAATAAATTCACCACAATCCCAAATCTCTGCAACAGTCAGGGTGTATTTCAACATGTTCTTCTCGCTAAATTCATGAGCAAAACACAAGAAAGCAGAGTAATCAAGAGAAACACCTACACAGGGAGACTGACAGCGGCATGCAGTCAGGGATAAAAGAGATTACTTGTGAAAAAAACTGTGCAGGGGGGGATTTTTTCTTCCTTGCCATACAGGAAAATGACAGAGAAATCTACATGTGTGATGGAGTGACGACCAAGAAAGACATGGAGAGGGAAGGAGAAAAAAAGAGAGAGACGACGGGAAGTTAAGGGGTGAGTGTGATCAAGATGAGAGCAGGGAGGCTTTGATGAGGGAGGAGGAGAAGATGAAGGGAGAGCTGGCAGCTCGTCCTCTCTCTCAGACACTCTCTGAGGACAGACTCGGCTAATCTACTCCCTCTTTCACTCTCATTTAATCACTGTCGCTCTTATTTACTCCTTTGCTCATGTCTCTCTAGTTTTTTGTAAAATGCACAAGTGATGCTTCAATTACCCCCTACAACATGCATACCAACACGTCCACAAGGACACAGGTAATTACAGCAAGCACAGGGTCTATTGTTTCAGATGGATTCATGAAAATTATATGTCATTTGCATGCACAACAAGCGAATAATCTTTCTATTTTTTCATGTAAGCAACAAGCCCCACTTCTTTCCTGTCTATGATCCAAGATTGCGTTGCCGCACAATCCATAATCCACAAGAGCCCCTCTCTTATGTATCACAGGATCCTGTGTGGTACAAAGATGACCAAAAACAGCTACAATTGAAATTCCAAATATCATCCTTTGTGATCAATCCTATCACAGTCCAGCTGTGATTTGAAATTATAATTTTAATCCAATGACAGTAAAAGTCACATGGCAACTATTGAGCTGATTACAGCCAGTGTTGGCACCATCCAAAGGCCAAATACTGACCACAACAGCTGATGAGTGTTGTTGGTCACATTATGGATGCTGGTGTTGAGTGTAAGCTTGGGAATTTGGCTCCATAATGATAAAGAACTAGGTAAGAGCCCACAGTTTTCAATTGGCATAGCATGATATAAAGACAAAAAGGAGCTTTAGTGAAACTGTTGCATGCATATACACAGTTCATTATGATTTGCAGTAGCACTAGATGACTCACCATTCAGCTACCTATGGTGACTGATAAGGCTCACTGATCTGCACCAGCAAAAGATCTCATTTTTGTATCACACAGATGAAAAATAACACAGAAAACAACTGAAAAAGAAAAACGCTGCGAATGAAGACATAACAAAACTGCTCAGCTGACTGCCAGTAAGCTTTGCAGTTAGCTGTAGCATAAGCTAAGGGTGTTAATACAGATTGCATGTAAGCTACTTAGCTAGCCTTGCATATACTGTAATTCTAAGGCTATTCTCTGCTTTGATGCTGCACCACATCCTCATGTAAAAAATAAATTGAGTCCCTTGCAGAGTTTAAATAAGTAATAATTTGGGAAAACAGTGTACATCAAATAAGCATTAATAATAAACTGTTCCATTTAGCGCCTCCAGAGGCATCGGGTGCCTTTGACTTTATGTCTTGATAGTTTTTCCTCTTTTGCATGTGTTTCCTGCGTTTATTAGTGTTCAGATTTGCACCCTTTGTGTACTTCCTGCGTATTAAATGACCTTCAGATTTCCACACAGATTGTCCTAAAAAAGATCACTTTGGTTGCTGCAGACCTGTTTGCTTTGTCAGTTACCATAGCAACCAATTGGAAAGAGTGTTTTTCTGATGTTAGGGCTTTTGCCTCCCCCTGACACCACCAATACTAGATGCAGATGAGCCAGGCAAATGAAAGTAAAACTGTTGTCTGTCATGTAATCACAGCGTTAGGAGATATTACAAGCAGCAAAATGAGTTTGCTGAAATGGGCTTTTAAGTGGTTATGATGGGTTATTTCCACTCACAGTTAAGTAAATGATCAACAAGAATCACTACAGAAATATTATTTATGCTTTATTCAAGCTGCATTTGCATTGCAGGGGATGTTGCAAATCAATGAGCTAAGCTGCTTTATGGATTTACAGGATTTTTGCAATGAGATCCTTGATTTACTCATTTATCATTATTTGACAGCATTATAATGAATATGGATATTGAACTATTTGCAGACCTACAACGATGTAGAAGCTCTTATTGACATTTTGAACCTCTACACGTAGGCGTACCCCCGCAGCAGCTTTTACAGCTTCTCCAGAGGGAAAATTAACTCTTGACAAAAAGCATCTTTATTGTTTCCTGAGAAACCACTTAAACACGCAGCGATCACACACTCTACTGCTTCAATCAATAACGTGCGCAGGACAGTAGCTGATCAATAACGCATCGCCTTGTAATGCTGCTCCTTGACATCCATTACTGCCAGGCCCAGTGGTCTGCATCACTCTGTATGTACTGCAGCATGGTGATATACAGCTACAGGCCTAGAGCATGAGAGGAACCAGAGTAATGGCTGCCCAAGGAGCTGGTAAATTTATATCCTGCATGCATCAAGGTTAAATTATGGCTCCAGAGCAGTTTATTCAGACTGAGGAGCAGAGGTACATAGATAAGGGTTATGTGTCAGATTGCACTCATTCCTCCTCACTTTAGTTTAAGTAGCAGTGAATGGCTGACAGCCCTTTAGGTTTGATTGCAGCCACAATGAAAAAGAGGAGCAGTGCATCGAGAGAGAGGAGCTGGGGAGTGCTGCTGCATCAATAAGCCATTGAGCAGCAGCCAGGACGAGAGCTGGAGCATAACAGGCAGTACTTATCAGACAACAGACACTCATCAGGGAACAGGAGACTCAATAAAAAGTGTCCCATAGGAGACAGATTTTTCTTCTTTGACCCTCCATTTGTCCATCAGTCTGCATCCTTCTCGTCCCCTCACACTCATCCTCGGTAAACTAACACTCAAACGACAGGAGGGGGAGGAGGAGAGGGAGGAGGCAGTGCCACCGTGCCAAAGCTCTCAAACAAGAGTGGATAAAGCACAGAGGACAGGGAGGGCGAGAAAGGATGAGTGGTTCGTTTGTCAAAGAGACAAGGAGGACAGGGACAGAAAGAGGAATGAGTCAGATTCCCCTACAGCTGTCAGGGTGTGGACATTCCTCTCTAATACAGCCGGCTCGTAGGCTCAGCCACGGCAGCGACCAGGCCGAGTATAATGTGCTGTGGTTAATGTTTGATTAGGCAACCAGCCAGAATGGTTAGAGCTGGAAATTATGAGCAACCCTGTGAATCAGCCTGTTTTTAGCATCATTACCATCTCACAATGATCAGAGCTGACAGCTTCATTGTTACGGATATGTTTAAAATCTCAATTAGACACCACTGAGTCATCGGTTTCATAAAAATGTTCCCTAAAAGAGACAGAAATGTGTCAGTCCAGAGGTTTACACAACAGCTGAATTATTTTTAGCCAAACCAGGCTTCTCTTCTCTTCTTTGATACAAAGCTAATGGATTTGAATTTTGAACACCACATTGACAAGAAATGTATTTTTAAGGTAAAAATGTTTTGTAGAGTGTTGCTTTTGGTTTGAATCAGCAATTCTGTTCTTGTCAAAGAAGTTGAATAAATGAACTACTGTTAAAAAATGAATAAACAAAAGATGATGAAAGGAAAGTTCATCAAAAAACAAGCTAAATGTCCCAAAAAGCTAGCTGCTGCCATGCTAGCACACTTTGTCAATCTGTCTGAAAAAAGACAGCCTTATCCAGCTATATTTTTCATAGATATATACTATGGACAACTTGGTTCCACCGTCAGCCAGTATAGAGAATTAAAGCAGAAAAGCTCTTAGTATTTCTGCGATTCCTCTCCATTTCCTGAAACCAACATTGCGCAGTAGCGTTGTACGCATTCTGTGGAAGAGTCGCCAAGAGCCGCTGTGATGACACTCAGCTCAAACAGTGCATTCCCGGGTGAGCTACGCGATCTTCGTACACCCATAGGCTGTATCAAGTGTCAATCATAGAAAACATTGACCCCCAAATACCGTTTAAAAATGGAGCTTCACAGAAAAAAGAGGACTTGAGCACAAACCAGTCCGACAATAAATATCACAAGCAGGGGGGAGAAAAATTTAGATGCTTTGTAATTAATTTCTATAGTTTGTCCACAGCTCCATAAGGATTGCTTTAGGAGGCGGGATTTATGATCTATACTGCAGCCCGTCACCAGAGGGTGCTGTTATCACGGTGGTTTCACCCAGTGAGAAGGCAGATGGCGTCCATTCTATATACAGTCTATGGGTCTGACCAAGCAGCAACCTCTGCTACTGAGAGAAAAAATAAAAACTGATCAAGTAGGAGTGTCAAAAGTTGCAGTACCTCAAGTGTCCACTTGAGGCTGGCTCCAAAAGCACCAGAAGCCACATAGACAACCATTCAACAACGCCCATCTTTTGAATATGCAGACCAAAAATGTAAAAAAAGAAAAGTAAGACAAAACATTTAAACATAAAATATAAAATATACATATTTAAAAAGGGGTGAGAAGAAGAATAACTGATGAACTCCCACTATCTCTACAGCAAAAGTAGACATGTTTACAGCCTTGTTTTGGTGCTGTTGAGTGGGTGACTTTTTTACAAAATTAAGTATTTTTTATGACATTTAAGTTAAAAGTTTTGAATAGTTAAAGGTCACACTGGAGTCAAGTCAGTTAAAGGCACACCTAAACTACCTCTATGTCAATAGATTGACCAAGAGTTAGAAGAAGTCAGCATTCCCAACGTGTCGTCTGCTAATGAAAGGCTTCAACACTCTGCTTCAGAAGCCTGGTGTCACTATGAGTACAGTCACGTCTCATACAGTCTGTGGTTCTAACCACTGGGTCAGTTAGTGCTAGAGAGAGGGACGATGTTTGTGGATATTTCAGCAAACTGCTAAATCCTTTGACCCAGCACCATCTGTTGGAAACTTTGTTCGAAACTAAGTAGACAGTCTGTGATAATGTTGCTCCTGCATTTTTTTTTTTTTTTTCGGGTACAATGACGCAGCAAAACGTACAGTGCATACTGTATATTCAGGGGAGAAACCATCAACCACCAGAGCGTTAGTTGATAGCAGTAAGTAATCATTAAACATTAATGTCTCTGCATCAGGGCAGGGCTTTGATCAAACAGGCTGAAAAGGTTCAAAAGACTTTACTGGATCTCTGCAACACCAGGAACATAAAAGACAGTGAGATGAAACACACTGAAGTTGCACGTATACTGTAGCTACAGATTGAGGGCAAGGACAAAATGTGCAAGGCAGCAGAGGGGGGCTCACTGTAAACTGTCCTGGACTGATAAAACAAAAGATTAGCATAATCTGCCTTTCAAATCAGACTGTGTTACAGGTTTTACTGTGATTAAAAACCCAAAGAGCTTTTACATTAATTACTCATAAAGCTCTCTTGCAGGACAGGATCTGAATACATGAATAAATAGTACATGTTTTGTTGTTTTGGCAAAAACATTTTTTTATATAATCCAATCAGATCAGGTGCTAGATTTGGCCGACCTCTGTTTGCTACAGGAAACACAAAGCAGAGCTAAAAATATGAAAAGATTCAAAGAGCAAAGGAGTCCAACCTATGAATTTAAATCACCAGAAGATGTACAGTATAATCCATACGCTAGGTCTGTGTGCTTGCCGCTGTGACTGTGTGAATGTATGCACACAGTATGTGGGTGAAGGTATGTCGGCACAGCACAAATGTGTGCATTTGTAGATAAGTGTGGGTTTAGCTGGATGTAGAAACATGCTCCCCTCAGTAGTGTCGACAATGTGGCCTAATCCTCCTGGAGGCAGAGTGTTTGGAGTGGGATGAGTCCAATTCTCCTGCATGACTTGAGACCATCTGCACAAAACTCGGCACAGAAGAAAAAAAAAATGAGCAAAGGATGCCACTTTGTGTAGTTTTTCTTGCAGCCTTGAAAAGGTCTTCTGAAGCTTTTCGTAACGCCCATGAGAGAGGGAGAGGTAGCAGGAAACAAGAGCTGGTTAACATGTCATTAGCCTGTTACTGATGTGAGGGTGTATTCTTTTATATATGTGTGCAGGGTCTCCGCAGGAGGGCCGACTAATGTGACTCTGTGCCATTCATCAAAAGCTCAGGGTCTTGCTGGGAGCAGTAATTTGAAATTTCAGTGTTCAGGATATTTAGAGCTAATTAGTGGCATTACACAGCGGTAAGGTGACAAGTGACATCTAGGGCGCTTAAAACACCCCTCCTCTCAACCCATTATCTGCAAAGAGCACAAGCAGATATCAAGACACTTCCTCTAACAGGGGCGAATACCCCCCAATCAAAAGCGACTCCGAGCATAATGTTAAAAGGTTACCCCAGGCTGCCTGGAGTAATTAATCCCTCCAGCCTTTTCAGCTCCGTCAAACCCCTGCACCGTTTTCATGTCCTGAACTCGACTGTTGTCCTGAATTTACAGAAGAATTAAAAGCTAAAAGTCACTTCAGCTCTACTGCATGAAGGGCAGAGCAGCACAGTGACAATGGGCTAGAATAAGCTGCAAGCCTCTACCACAGGAAAGAATATTAGAAAAGACACTGTCACGAAGCTGCAAACACTCTGAGTCTGTGTGTGAGCGTTACAGGGGGAGTTGTTGTAGACTTGGTCATCCAGCTGAAGTCCAAACACATCCACTTTCCCCCTCAGACCCCAGGAGAGGATGGAAACATTTAGGAGATATTGGAGACAAATACTGCACTGCCATTCAGAGACGCCCTCGAGAGATTTTTTTCATGGTTTTATTGGTGATCGACAGGACTGACATTTACAAAGTCAACCTCAGACTGTTGTCCGCCATCCTCACTGGACATAACTCAAACTTTGGCTAACATTAGGTATGCTAAGTCAACAGCCTCCCTGTATCAGTCTGCCTGACTTTTATAAGTGGGATGGGGATAAAATAGAGGCAGATAAATCAAAAGTTTGTAGACAGGGATGTAATTAAGGTGGAGGGAGAGAGTACAACTCCCAGACTTGGTGTTAGCATGGCTTAGACAAAGACTGTCTGGACTATCACTCAGAAATGGAGACATTAGCAGTGAGGGTTCGAGAGGAAAGCAGAAAGTCTTAAAGCTCAAATTAAGTCAGCTGCAAGTTTTTGTAGAATGTGAAAGAAAATGGTGATTATAACATATTTACACACTAAAATACCAATAAAATGTTATATTGTTGGTTATCATCACTGATTTTCTCTTATTAGAAATGAAACAAGAAGTAACAGGAGGATCTGTCACTCTGGAGGTATTGAGCGAGGGTCCCCACAGGCTCTGTTATCTTCTATGTGTGCACAGAGCTTGACTGAAGCTGCATTTGTTTTTGATCCGCTGGTTTAGCTTTAACCACAGGCTGTAAAACTTTGGCCTGGTGTCAGCTAGGGTTCCACCAACTAATCAACTCGCTCACTTCTTAAACCACAGGTTGGTGCTTTTGAAAACCAGTAAAATAGCCGGTAAAATAAGTAGTCATGAAACCCGAGTGTCAGCTCAAATGGGTGCTCAAGTTTGGTGTGATGTTGTAGTATATTCAGCCTCACTGATGCTGATATGTGACATGACTTCCACCATTTAGTTGACCAAATAACTGTCATTTAGTCAAAACTAGAGTATGGTAGGAGCCAGAGTGTCCTTGTGGGAAAAGGGACTATGGAAATAACTGAATCCAGGATTTTCAGAATCAATATTGAATTAGGAATAACTATATTCCACTGCTCTAATAAATCAATATTTCACTTAGCCCTGTAATGTAACAATGTCACTTTAAAGTCTGGTCGAAGTTGCTGAATTTTTGTAATTCATTGCTTTACGTAATCCCATATGGTTCAATATACTCTTACTTTAATCAGGTGTATACCTCTTATTATATAGATTTAACCTGCTGTTATTATATTTGTATGAACTCCACTGCTTATTTTTTTATCTTGTGTTGCTTTATGCTTTAGTTCCTCCTCAAAAAAAGTGGTTTATCTTATTGTATCTGCTAATATTTTGGTTTGTTACAGATGTAAAAGCACCTGTCTAAGTGGTAATATGGTATAAAATTAAGCACATGCTTGTAAGATGAGCTGATTCCTTTTTCCTGGTATAGTAAAGGATGACACTCCACCAATCTAGGCAATCTTAAATCAGTTTTGTCTCTACTTTGTTGTTCCTGCTGCACAAGTCCGACATGTCTGATATAAAGAAGAAAAAGTTCTACAAGTTCTACAAAACAGAGGGAGGTGCACATAATGATAGAGCACAGCATGTGAGTAAGGTATTTGAAGGGCATTCATTGGTAGGTATTACAGGTGAGACTGAAAGAATAAATGGAGAGTAAAGCAGCAGGGGGTGATCTTGAAGTGTGTGTGTAAGCATGTGTGTGTCCCTCATGGAGGCCAAAGGTCAGGACAGGGTCTGCCTTGTTTTTGCTGATGCATTCATTAGCACAGGTTCGTCCTTGTACACTGAGGAGCTTTTTTTGTTGAGAGAGGAAAACACATCACACTCGCTGATCTGTCTGAAAATCTGCCTCCGTCTACAGTTGTTTGAAGGATTATTGGACATTTTATAGAACAATTTCTTTATTTGTACAAAAATATTCATTCCAGGAGGAACTTCTGAGTCAGTAGAGGCTGGCAACCATTATTGGATACTGTAGGTTTGTATACATCCATATGATTTCAGAAACATTGGCCAAATAAGCTTTTATTCAGTGTCTATATATACTTAAAAACGTGACTGTTTCTTTTACTCATGCACATCTTTAATTGTGAAGGGCTCAGAGGGGAAGTTGCGACCCTATAATAATGTGGTCAAGTAATAAATGTTAGACATTGTATGACTTTTTGACATTTATAAATATAAAAGTTGCAGGTGTAATGTTCTGACATGGTTTTAGGTTGGTTATAGGATTAGGCAAATAGAGAAGTAACATAGTCCATACATGACATACATAGTTAATGTACAAACAGCAAATCTCTCTGAGTCTCTGAGTTGAACTTTTGTCCAAAAAATGTTGTAAAAAAATCACATTAGCAGCAGCACATTAGTTAGCTTTATTATTTGTGAAATGAATACATGTTAAAAGAAATATTTGCTCTTGTGCAATCTTCTATTTAATGCTTCTACCTGTCTGCCCCTCTCTCAGCTCAGCTGGTGTCCGTTTGTAAATGGAGCACCTGCTTTAAACTCCTAAACTAGGACACTTTCAAACCTGATTGACCAACACCAGGTTACTTTACATGACAGTATGACTTCATTAAATTCACATTAACTTAGAAAAGTCCCCGGATCACTGGATATTACTCCTCCTTGACAAGGACTTTTGAAGGAGTAGACAAGTCACTCTGGAAATGTATTCGTACCCAAAACAAAGGCTGTGCGGTTTGTACACATACATGTAGATATGTTGTTATATAGTCGCCTACAGCAGCATATTTTGACATGTTAGGCTTCTTACTAAGCTGCTGTTTTTGATGAGTCGGCTGTAAATGGCAGTAAATACATGTATACCTGCTCAGTTATTCCTCTGTAAGGTCTCTGGGGTCACTGATATACTGCCGTACTCCTGGGGACATGCAGCCACTTGTACCCACACACTTCCACTTTTCTATAAACTCACACACTCATCTGCGCTCCCTCTTTTCACCCTGCTAACCTCCATTACCCCTCAGTGCTGACAGGGAGCTTTTCCAGTCCAGGCCACAGAAAAGCCTCTCCTGCTGCCTCCCAAACGCTGACACACTCAAAGACACACCCCCTCCCTTCCTCACAGCTTTTCACTGCACTCTCCAAGTCCCTCGGTGCACACATCCCTCTCCTCACGCTATCTGTGTGTCGTTCCGCAGCTCTCTGTCATCAAAATGAACTTGGAGTCACTTTTCTGTGTGTTCTGGTGTTTGGTTGTGCTCTGTAAAGTTGCTGTCAGCTTTAATCTGATGAGTCGAACAGTAAGTGGAAGTGAGAAAAGAAGTCCACAGCCCTTTACCATCATAAATGTGGAGACTGAAGTATACTAAAGTTTCACAAGCAGCAAGTTGACTTTACGTGTTCTCATTATAACTTTAGTGGAACACTCATACAAGCTGAGTCCAAATCCAGCAGCTGCATCCTTCAAAGGACCAAGGCCGAGAGAGATGCATTTTGTTCTAGCCTACATAGACTGCCAAGGGCGGGCAGTTACGAGACAGTCTGGTCTACTGAGCATTTTCTGTTTGTGTCACCAGCTGTTCTGGATCTTACCTTTGCACTACAAAGTCCTGCATGTGGTGTCTGGCATCAGGTATCATAACGATACCTAATGAACATGACTGACACCACTGAACTTAACCCATCATGTTTAAGAAAACTTGAAATTTTAAAACCCCAGATGTATCTAATACATGTAATGCCTCTATTTGTCTGGGATATGACCACAAAGAATTCACCTGATTAATCGTTGACTCGGGTAGAAACAGACACATGTCAAGTGGACACAAAGAAAACTGCAGTTTCCTGAGTGTCCACTTGAGGCAGCTCCAAAAGCAGAGAAACTCGACTGAAACCCATGTTTACATGCCTCTTTTTACGGTGAAATTAAACATGTTAGCAGCCTGAGACACAGGACTGTTTAAGGTTTAACGCATATTCATTTATACATACTCATTATACTGGGTGTGTTTTTGTAATGCATGTGTTTTTACTTTATCAAGGCTAAGAGTTATACTTTAACTTGCATGATGGAGGGTACGCTGAGATGACATCTAGGTGGGTCCATTGTGGTAAAGCATTTAAGCATTGTAGGAGGTTAAAACATGCCTCAAGTCCACCTCTTAGACTGTTAGACTGTTAGCTTTATCAAAAGTTAGCATGCCCAGAAACAAATGGGTGACATGATCACCTGCACCTAAAACTAGCAGGAGGAATGTGTCCTGCCTTCAAGCTTTGCTCATTCTCTGCATGCATCCTTTCCTACTGGAAGTGTGTTTCTTATTTGGATATTAATCTGTGATTTTTGAGCTCCAAGATGAGAATGCCACAGATTGTTCAGTACTAGCAGAAAGCAGTGCACACACTTCCTGTGGGTCTTGGGGGTTAAACTACACCCACACTTTATGCAGTCTAGAATACCTTTAACCTCCTGTTGTGACGCAAAAAGTGTTGAGACAACTGAGTTTCACTGAGGTAAAAACAATGGTGTGCCAAGAAATCAGAACATAATATGGTGTCAAACAGTGGTAAGTTTACCTCACCTTTGAAGGCTGGTGTTTGACATTTTGGCTTTGTCACCTCTTTTGAAACATATTTACGACAGAGGGTGATATCCATCCTGCTCACTAGCCTCTGTGGTGGATTTTTCCTCATTAAGTCATAATCATAATTTTCCCCTACACTCTGTGATTGACTCGTCAGGGCTCCCCCACAAACAAACAGCTGCTGGAGGGGAGTGGGTTAGCTGCGTTTAGTCTCTTTGCAAAAGAAATCAGGTAAAGCTAAAAAGATATTTAGTGGCTAGTACTGAGTGCTGGGACCCTATATGTACTGTTGATGAAGTTAGGTGCTGTTCTGAGCATTACTTGTGGCTATGAGTGGCTTTTTGGTTGAGGTTTGCATGTGTAGATGTAGACCATGTGTATTGCTAACATGCGATCGTTGCTCAAGTTGGTATAACTAGAGGAGCAAGCAGTCTGCAACATGTTATGGTGTGTTTGACCACAACTTTAATTTATGCCAAAATATCCCTTTAAGTAGCCTTGGAAATGTTGCACCAAAACTATAAACTCAACAGGGAAGTAATTGCTGGGGTGATGCATCAACTAAAAAGTACCCTTACTGTCTGACCCGGTGTCATACAGTTTGGCAGGTTTTTGCAACCAGAAGAGTCGCCCCCTGCTGGTCATCAGAGAGAAAGCAAGTAAAAGGCAAGCCTGTATTGGCTTCACTTTTACAGCCAGAGACTTCATCTATTTCTTAAAAACAGTCTGTGGTTCTTTTATTTTTAGACTGGATTGAGTCTTTTTGGAGATACTGTGTGATGAAAGTCACCGTTGAGCAATTGTTTCTGTGGTTTCATTTTTTTCCCCAAGGCCTGGAGAGGCAGGTTGCTCCCTTAAGCTGACTGAACGTCTAAATGCGAGTCTGTATCGATCGTCCCTCCCCTGGCCTCTCGCGCAGCCTTGCTGAGGACACATTAAACGTGTTATAAGTCATTAAGAGCTCCAGGCCTCAAATCTCACCTGTCTACCTTAAAATATATCGACACGTTGTGCTCTGACAAACTTTTTATTTTCCGCGGTAGCCTGTAGCTGTGTGCTGATGCCTGTAAATGTGTGCGGTTGTGTGTGTAGGCTGAGTCTGCGCAAAAGTGTTTATGGGTCTGTCTGTGCAAACTCTCTGTACTGTGCTGAATGCTGGGGAGCATGTGTCAGTGTGTGGTTGTGTTGGGTGCATGCAGAGACATTGAATCTGTGTGTGTTTCTGCATGTGTGTGTGTGCGTGTGAGTACAGGGAGCAGGCTCGTCCTCTTGCTGCCCCGGGGGCTTGGAGCCCATTTCCTGTTGTGCAGTGTGATAAGTTTCCCTGTCAGATCCTCCCAGCACCACTATATTTCTGATAAGCTCCACTGCTAGTTTTCCCGACCTCTGGCACAGAGATCAATTTGAGATTGATTCAGAATGCCCTGCTGGGCCGAGCAGCAAGATCAATTTGAGATGGATTGTTCACGCCAGGGGGCCAATGACACGCAGTGCAGTGCTCACTTGCTTTCCCTCCTCTGCTTTCTTCACCCCTCACTCTCCTTGACTGTTGTTATTGCGCTTTTTGCTTTTTTTTTTCTCACCTTCTACTCACTTCTCTTTCAATTGTTTCAAACTTATCCTTTTCCTAACTGCAGCATCAATCGGACTCTCACTTCTTTTACTCCCTCTTCCACCAGCTTGCCTTACTTTTCACTTCTCTACGTGGAGTAGGCAGTAGAGATAGAGATGACTTCATTAGCAGAGGGGCCAACCCCTGCAGAGTGATAAGCCTGCAGGACGATAGAGTTAACTCATCCGGCTCTGTAATGCACACGGCTACAGAATGTATGGATGCAAACCAGCACCCACCCACACACACACACACACACACACACGCACGCACACATGGAAAATACTTTTATTTTTTCTATGAAGTCATCATGCTCATTCTTGCCTTCATGCCCTGAGCTATTGGTGTCACCACAGCTGACTCATGACCTTTCTCCACAGAGGTGTGTGTATGCAGAGACTATATCACCCCCCCATCCATTCCTCTCTCTCTTTATCCAACCGCTTCCTCTCTTCTCTTGTTCTCGGTGGTCTCTAAAACCTCAGCGGCGGCGGCGACGAGCTGAAAACCAGCAGATGCACTCTCCATCCTTCTCTGCACAGAGTGACCTTTTCCCCAGCAGTACATCCACCTCTGACTGCACTGACCTTTACCTACAGTACAGCCCCTGTCATCTCTGCCAGGAACGGACTGCAGACAGCACATCGCCTGTGCGTCCATGCAGTGAGAGCGCCGATAAAGGACAGAGGGAAAAGGCTGGGCAGGAAAATAAAAAAGGCAGTTAGAGCGTGAAGTGATGCTGGAGTGAAAGGAAAAGGTGCAGTTGGTGTTGATGAATAGATGGAGAGATGTTTTAAAGGTTGTTTGGGCCTCTGCCACGACACAAAGAAAAGCTGTTCTGGCTGTTTTACTGTTTTCAAATGGCAATGTTGGCCTGCTTGTTAAGAGTGCTGTATAAAGACGTCAGTATTGAACGGCACTGGAATGAATACACTTCACATTACAAAACACCAAGTACACAACACAAAAGCATGTAATCATTCAGATTTGCCAAATATCAATGTTCAGCTTTTCTGTCTTTCATCCCCCTGTTACCAGTTTTACAAAATAATTCCACATGTAAGAGAAGATATAAAGAGGTTTATCTTCCTCTTTGCTCTATGGAAGCTCAAACAGGGCTTTGCAGAGGGAGGTTGGCTTGAACCCGGGCATGTACTTCTCATGCAATCAATAAACCTCAGTCCAAATGCTCATTGACCATATTCACACAGCAGCCAGCTTCTTGTAAAGTTACACTAAGGGCCTGATCTACTAAAGGTTTGCATGTGCAAAAACATGTGCAAACATGATAGCGCACACAAACACCTGACCTACTAACCGGGTACACCGAGGATTGCGTCTGTCCAATGAGCAAAACCGTGCGTGCAATCGATTTAACGTGTTTGATTTCATGCAGATTGTATGTAGATCATCAGAACGAGCAAAATATGAGCAGATGCAATGCTTGTGATTTATTTTATTTTTTAAAGTAAATGATGTTTTTCATAAATTAGAAGGTCAAAACCGGAACAGACGCAAAAAAAAATCTGTCATTGATTTTAGATAGTTTTAATCTCCTTTTTGATTTCTAGTATATATCCTTGTATCTGTAAAGCACTTTGAATTGTCTTGTGTATGAATTGTACACACAAATAAACTTGCCTTGCCCTTTATGCAGTTCCCCAATACGATATGTACAACTCCATGGCTTCAAACACTCTGCTCTCACAAACTCTCCATGGTGACAGCCAATAGCGCATGCAAAACCTCCTTTAAAGAGGGCGGTCCGCACCACTTTTGCACCTGTTATCAATTGTGACCTCAGTTTAGCGCTCGCTATTTGAAATCTTAGTAGATGAGGCCGTTAGTGTTCAAACCTCTGAGATTATCATCATGAAAATGGATTGTAGAAATACAGAATATTGTGCCATGTTTCAAATGGAAAAAAAAAACAAAACATGTTTGACAGTAAGTTAGCTAACATGGGAACACAGCTGACGTCAGCATTTAACTACTTCCTGTTACCGTTCTCAAAAATCACAGACATGGTGCAAAACTGGAAAATCTGCACCAGAAAAATCATGATTTTTATACTGTAGATCAGTGGTTCTCAAGTCCAGTCCTCGAGGCCCACTGTCCTGCACGTTTTGGATGTTTCCCTGCTCCAACACACCTGATTCAAATGATCAGCTCGTTATTACATTTCAGAGCTGTGATAACGAGCTGATCATTTGAATCAGGTGTGTTGGAGCAGGTAAACATCCAAAACATGCAGGACAGTGGGCCTCGAAGACTGAACTTGAGAACCACTGCTGTCGATGATTACTCTGGAAATGCTAATCTTTATGTTTGTGTCTATTTTTTAATCATGTCTCTTTACTGTCAGTACAGTTACAGGCATGCTGATGTTGGTGTTAAGGTTTAATGAGTCACCCTGTTAACTTTCAGTGACTTGTCAGAGTGAAACATTCGGCTCAAGTCGCCAGTAAACACGGTACCTCATTACACTGCATGTGACACCTGTGGTCTTCCCTTGTTTGTTGGTGTTGTCAGCCACACTCCAGTGGCAGGTTGAGAAATCTAACATGGATACCAGCAACTTCCTTTGAACAAATTAACAAATGGTAAATTAATTTTCCATGTTTCTGATTTTAAAAGAAAGACAGCAACATCCCTGAAGTTGAAAACAGACTTTTCTTTGATACAGTTGTACTAATGGTCACATACCAGAATGTAAGTTAAGTAAAGTAGTCTTCTATCAAATAAATGTTGTATTTGAGAGAATTTCTCTCTTTTACCTTGTTCCTATCATTATTTTTCATCCCAAATTATAACTTGGAAGTGTCTAAATTCTAATGTTAGCTGTGTTTGGATGTGAGCTTAAACGTGAAGTCACAAGGAGAAGGCAGCTGTGGGAATACAGTTCTCTCATCTCTGCATATCATGTTTAAAAAATTGATTCCACCATCAGTATTTATCTGAATGTTATCTAGCATACTTATCAGGTTGTTTTTGAATTCATGATCAAATATCTCTTGGATATTTGTTCCTCTCTAGAGCTGGGTGAGTGAGTCTGAGTTTTAAACACGCACTAGGTGTGAAAGGCTTCATGCTTGTTGGAAAGCAGCCTGATTGGCAGCATGGTGTCTGTCATGGCCTGAACAGCATTGCATATCCCAATAAAAAAGAGTGCACACAGGCCAATAACTCTTTTCACACTTCATTAAACTTCCTTTTACAAGGTGCAGACATAAGCAGAACCCTCGGTGTGAGAAATGTGTGAGAAATTTATCACTGTGAACTAAAGTCTGGTGCTGTTCAATACACGACAAATGAACATGCCAAACTAAATTCAGGCATCACTGCATGATTTGTTTTTGTATCAAAACTTTGCTTTGTTTTCCTTTATTAGCTGAATGTTTTAACGTATGAAAAACTACCCAAGAAATGCGCTTCAGGCAAAGTCGGCAAACAACAGATAACTACTTTAACACTAAATCTATTATTTACACTTCAGTATCAGTTTATATCAGCAACAGCCTGCTGTTTTTCTCCACTTACAAGATCAAACGTATGGGGTTTTATCTGTCAGTGTCTCGAGCGTTGTGATACCTCCGCCTTTTGAAAAATGCTTATATCTCTCATCTCTTTCGAAATGATCAGGGTGTCGTGTGCAGGTTGAGCTGTGGGTGGGTGTCATAGCAGCTTGCACTCAGCTGTGCTGTGACAACCAGAGTGATGCTGAAGAAATATGACCGCCAGGAAGAGGTTGTTCATAGAAAATGGGTGAACTTCAGCAATGGATTTCTTGGCTGCAGATTGTCTCTGTTTGCCCTTTGCTTTTTCACAGCTTGTGGTGGTTTCACAGATGTCAGCCAGCAAAGCCTCAGGCTAGATACAAATATACAAACTGACAAAGTTAGTGACAAGTGTAGCATGTGAACAAATGAGATGGGAGGAGATGCGGCTAAAAATACATCACGAATACAAAAACAAAAGATAGCTCATGGAGTTTGAAAGAGCACCGAACACCACCTCTGCCACCTCTTTAACTGTAGAGGATGATTCATGTTTTAGACAAATAGAGATGGAACAAAATATGTCATGGTAACATGTGGTCACCCTGACCTGTGTAGCACAATTTACCCCTTGTTTCTATTTAAAGGTTTATCTTTTATGTCTGTTGTACCCTGTAACCTGTATGCATATTGTTGTTTATAAAATTTTTCATCATTTTATTTTCAAGTTCAGTTTCCAGTTTTATTCTGTTGTATTCAATCCCTGTGTGATCCAGTTTACTTCCAGTATTTTTCCTCATATTTTGATAACTTTCATTCATTTCACCCATATCTTGTGTCCTACCTGTAGCTCATGAGTTCCCTTGTGTTTCCCCATGTTGGTCTTTTGTGTTTCCTCTGTTGTAGTTTGGAGTTTGGATTTATTAGAGTAAATTTTGTTAATCTTTAATCTTTGTGTTGATAAAAATTGCTTAGTTTATCTGCATTTTGGGGTACATATCTTTGCTTTGGTGTTATTGCTCACCTAAGCTTGGACAATTTATTCTCCCAATCTCATCAGACTGCTTTTTACTGAAGTTATGATATACCTAGCTTTTAGAAATGAATATGGTGAGCACTATGTGAGGGATAAGACATGGTGAACAGGTAGTTGTGAATATAAGAATCCTGACATGATGGGACCAGACTACCTCAAAATATAAGTTCAACGAGGGTCACGTTAGACAACATAAATGGGTCTATTGTTTTTCGTCCTCACTCAGCTCTCCTTCTCCTCAGAGCTGTGCAGTTGACACTAAAGTCACAACTTTAGACACTGATGTTTAGCCTATACAAATATGGCATTCTTATGTTTTTGCCTCGGCATTTACCAATGATGCCAATGGAAACTTTGCCTCAGTCTCAACAAACAGACATCAAAATCGCTGGAACTACTTTCTGTGGATTGATTGCTCAGGTGTTGCCCTTGTTATGCCTAAAACAGCTGGGTGTTTAGGAATAAAGCTGGGGTAATAAGTTACCATAATTAATATTAAATATTTCAAATGTTGTTCTATAGTTGCCCCAGCCTACTTAAGTAACCCATTTTTAGTCACCCTCCAATCCATCTTTGAAAATCTGCCATGAGATCAGCCTTTAAATCGTGGCACACTGTGTATCACATGGAGCAGATCAGACGTATTCACCAACTGCTCTGGCAACTGAACAGCACACATCCCAACATCTATCCTGCCCCCATTAGCCTCCCTGAGCCTATACGACAGATGGGGCTGCCTCATGGTTTCCATCCTAAATCAAACTCCTCTATGACCGGGCCTTCTGATAATTAAAACAGATGAGAGAATATTAAAAGGAATGAAGAGCACGGAAAGGCTGTCAGAAATACCAGAGGCCAGATGCTCAGCACACTCTGTCAATCCAAATTCAAACTGGTACACTGATATCGAGGCGCACAATGGAGCAGATAATAAAATGAGCAGTGTTCTTACCCTAACACCACCCAGACATTCATACTGAGACAGCTTAGAGTCTAAGCTACGGCAGCCAAGAACACTGTAATGATGGCAAAGTCGTATATAAACTTACATTGGTGTTATACCATTTTAAGATTAAAATGAATGTACGTTTAAAATACCATAAACCTAGGGTGCCAGTTGGCCGCGTCTGTTAAACATGCACCCCACATGCCGAGGCGTCAGACCTTGTCACAGCAGTTAATGGTTCAACTATCAGCTATCCCGCCATTTGTTTACACACATACTTAAACACAGATCAACTCCTCTGGGGTGCGTCCTGTAGCACCTGAGCCTCCTGATCTGTGGTACACACTACGGTGAGTTTTTGTTGTGGTGCACTGGAGCACACAAAGCATCTGGGCTGTGAAATGCTCACCACTCTCTCTGCAACCAGCCCCCGCTTTCCACAGCTGGGGTTCAACAAGGCTAGAGGGGACCCGTAGCTGCCTGAAAGTGTAGCCTTGATGATACACAATGACAAAAAAACGTATTTTGTCGGTGTGGTTCTAGAGCAAAGACAAAAAGTTACACAAAAATAAAACCTTTAGCTGTTAAACTGTGGATAGAGGCCTTTTTTCTGCTACTTTTAGGATTAACATTTCAGTCTTGCGAGCAGCCCACATGGTGTTGCATGGGCAGAGTGTATTAGTTTAGCATCTTACACAGGAGTTGGAAAATTTGCTCAGAAACTAATCTAGGCCACAGGCAGTGGTGTTTGTTGGCTGGCTCTGTGGGAACAGTGGGTGGAGAGAGGAGACGGGTTAGACTGCTGCCAGCAGCACAGAACAGGATTATTGGAGTCTGGGCACAGAGATTTTTTGGTGTCAGTCTGGCCATGATTTACATTTGTGAATCTAGCTGTATAGTAGATACTGTGGCTGTCATTGAGATTGGCTTTTCTAAAACAGAATATCAAGGAATTATGGTGGACATATTTAGAAGCTGCCTGCAAAGCCACTTTAATCTCTGATGCAGTTCCTGTTATGTGCACATGATTGATTTTATCATTGTGGTGGAGAAACTCTGGGGATGAAAACACTGGTGTGTTGGACAGAAGTGGTCTGCATTACAATAAACTGATGTCACTTTTGTCTCTGTGGATTTCATTCTATCCAACATGCCCACAGGATGGATCAGTGTCCCTCCTCTTCTGCCTGCACAAGGTTGCCAGCTGGATTTTTGTGCCAATGAATACAGTCTCGAAAAAAGTGGCATCTTGGTTACACAAATGCAAAAGTGCAAAAACTTCAAGTTACTCTCAGTGTCCCGTAAAAGGTGACAAAACTGATTAGAGATGGGCCAAAATACTGATACCACAGTTTTTATTATCCAGAGGAAGCTGATTTAATATTCAATGAGCTAAAGGAAAATACAGATATATCAATTTGAGCTAGGGCAATCTAAATAGGTTTCCTGTCATTTCGACTCACATGATCGCTAAACAGAAGTTGACAAGTAGTAAAACAGCAGAAGAAGTCAGCAGCATGTCATCCAACAGAGTTTAAGTGAGCAAAGAGATAGACTCAGGTCTGTTGCTGGATCTACTGCTCACCTGCAGATTGTGTTGAGTTCAGATTTGCTCTGTTTGGGACATTTTAGCTTTTAGTTAAATGTAAAAGGAGGACCAGCTGATAAAGATGAGGACGTATGTGAATTCTGTGCCAGGAAGAACCAAAAGAAACAAGGACACACATCAAAATAACAGCTATAGTCAGTCGAGTAGATGCCAAAGTGGCCTGATACAACACTGAAGTGACCATCGTAAACACCAATCAGGTACTACGATACGGTGTCTGTATAAGGAGGTGGTGCTGTTTACCACAAAGAAGTAACCTACATTCAAGTTAGCGCTAAAAAAAAAATTTGACACGCGACACAAGTTTCGTGTAAAACAAAAGAAGTAAAAGCTAACATTTAAACCTGTTCAAGTCAAACAATCGATGTCCACTCCTGCTGCATTTAAGAGAACCCCCACGATTCAAGACCAGTAAAAGATTTCATAAAGGCTTTCATAATCATTTCCCTAATTAATGACGACAGACTTTTGGTGGGCTATGGGAAAATTCTCCCTGGATGCTCTCACCACTTTGAAACCAAAATGGAAGAGGAAATACTTTTGCCAGCTCCTGACAGGGATGAGAGAGGAGTCTACTGATAGAGTTTCACTCACCTGCCGTGGGTGGACTTTGTGAGCATGTGATAGTGTGAGGAAGTGTGTTCCTAATAGATCCGGACTGGCTTGATAGATGTGAATCACACTGGTGTCTCTAGGTAAACTGAAAGCTAAGACAGAATGACATGTAACCGAAAAACAAAAGATACCTTACATTGTGGTGGATACAATTGTAGATTACGGGTACAGCCATACAAGTTTACTTAAAAGATATAAGCTGGTTCTGTTTGTTAAAGCACTGAAATAAAACTCTTAATGTGCATTTATTTAAAGTGCGTATCTTTTTCACTCCTTTGGTAAGTTTCTCTTTAGTCATGGAAAATTTAATTTACAGAATGAAAACGTTTACATTGTTTCATCTCTGTCAAACCAAAGTGCAGTGAATAAATCCATCAATCCTGCATTTGGTGTTTGACAATTTAGCAGATACTGTTGTGTGTTTATGATTGTATTGCAGCATATTGATAACTTTACTGGAATATTTTTAATATCATAAGTTTTAAAGTGATCCCCACCCCTAATACAGTATAATAATGATCTCTTATATAGGTAAATGGCTACTTTGAAGATTTCTTGGGGACAGTATGATATGAAGTTTTTAAGTTATTTTCCTGGTGTTTTAAATCGACAATGAAGCAGGTTATGTTGCACGGTTACCTTAAATGACTTGTACAGTTGTGTATGTGTATATTACCTGCTGTTGAAATGCAAACAACTTCAGTTAAAAAACAAGAAAGATTCAAAATACAAAGGAAAAAGGTTCAAAAACCAAAGGATGGTGCAATGACGGATATGCCCACTTCTCATGAAGACTCTTCAAAAATGTCCAAATTATGTCATTATCGCTCACAGTAGAAATGCTTCCTATCATTATGTCAGCATCATTACCGTGTGGTTTTTAGCTTGCCAACAGATGCACTGATCTTAAAATACCACCATGCATAAGTGCGGCCTCACAGGGCACGGCGTTAGATCATAGTTCTCTTCTTAAAGTCGACAGGTTTTCAGCTTAGTTTAGTCACTGGATGTGTTCCTAGACCCGAAATGGCCACAGGGAGCCAAATTGTTCTGCTCTAAGTCCATGTCATCTCTGTGAAAGATCACGTTGGCTCAGGCTATATCAGGACTGATACCTCAGGTGTGTACCATTTGTATTTTGTCATCGCACGTGTGTGTGTGTGCGTCTGTGTGTAGTGTGACTAACCTCATTAATGCATGGCTGCACGCCGCTGAATAACTACATGGTGGAATGGGCAAATAAATAATGTGGGGGTTTGAGGTTTAGGGGGTTGGAGGAGGGGGCATGCAGTGAACTGGATTTACTGTTTTGAAGGACACACAAACCTGGATATTTATACCTCCACATACGAATGAATCACTTGATGAAAATAACAGATGGACAGGAAATGTAGCTGCCAGGAATGAGAAATGGTGAGTGTTTATCCTGGAGCTGCAAACATATGTGGATCCTGGTTCAGCAGGAGATGGAATTATAATGAGATTTGCTAATTAATGAGGTCAAACAAGTTGGCATTAATGTTATTACAGGCACTAATATTCATTCGCTCTTATAGTTTTGCATTCTGTTTAGCATTTTTGTGTCCAAGAGTGGATGTCCCTTGAAGAATCCCACTATAATTTATTATGTTTACCCTACGGGTGCATCAGCGTGAGTAATTTTTCTTTCGCTATCTCCACTGTCAGCAGAAATAAAAGTATTGGTCAGTATTCAGAGCAATCACGTATTTTCCTTTTCATCAGTCACGTAGGCCACGTTCTGGTGAAAATCACATTTTTGCAAATATTGAGTCTGACTCCTGTTTCAGTTTCAGTGGACATAAAATAAAGTTCCTGTTTTTTTTTTTTTTACTGACTTCTGAAGGACAATGTGTGAGCTTCCACAGGACATACAGAGACATTGGGGCAAGAGGTAAGTTATAAAACACTGCTTGCTTTCTTACACACACACACATTCACACACACTTTTCTGTTAGTGGTTTACGCTCATTAGATGGACTCAAACCCACAGAGCTGCAGCAGGAGTTGGAGATGTAGTTAGAGCCAAGTCTTGGAGGTAAGAATAATGAAGGCATGAATTAATTCAAACAAGCCCACACACTGACAACCCCCCCTCCCACACACACACACACACTCCATTCACCAGCTATCTAAGCACACAATTAATGTTATTGTAGCTCCACAGCACGGTATTGAACCACCAGCACTAAACAGTAATAAGCTCTAATAATATGTATGCACTACATCAACAGATAGATTAAAACTTTGACTGATGGAGACGGCACCTTTTGTGGAAAATCAATAACAGCTTACATACACAGATGCAATGAAGCTAATAACCAATAATGCCGCATTGATTGCAGCTCTGAGGTGCAGCTATTGAGTTACAGATAAAGGACTGCAGCAAATAATGGAGCGCATGATTGTCTGCGAGTGTGTCAGTGTCTCTCTCTCTCTCTTTGTATGCTTGTGTTTGAGAATAAGGGGGTTCACACTTACCCGTAAGTGGTGTTGCTGGCCCTCTTACTCGCTGCCCTGGAACGGCTGGACTTCAACTCTCCACTCATGCTCATGTCTGCATGGAAGAGTGACCAATTAGCTTTGTACAAGGACAGCAAAGAGAATCATAAAACAACACAGCAGCAGGAAGCAAAGAGATAATGTTCAGATAGGGGTTTACACTTTTTTTTACTGGCCTCACAGAAAGACAAGAAGCAACAAAGGGTCACACATTTTCGAACAGATCACTCATTTATTTAACAGATTTTACAGACATGTAAAATGTGTTTCAGGCTTAGCTGTAAACAGTCAATGTGAATGCTGAAAAGACAGAACATTATGTGCTGTAATGCAGCCATTTATCAACAAATCTACTAAAATTAAAGCTCCTGTAAGTAATTTTAAGGTGATTACAAGACAAACTGAAGCTAATACTGATGCCTAAAGAAGTCCACTGACAATATTGCTGATAATGTGAAAAAAGTATTATTTTATAGGTACTACTCTGTCCACAGGGGGTGCCAAAATCAAAGCAGTGAAAGTTCCTTATGGCAGCTTTAATGCTCCAAATACAAATAACAACAAATGATAACTAATTCATATTTAGTTTCACAACACCTTCTCTATTCTCACTTTTTAGGTTGACAGTCTGTCTAAGATGTCCTTTCTCTGCAGATCATTGTTTTTGGCCAAAGTACTTCCTGTGCTAGTAAACTGTTGACTTAGGGAGATAAAGACATAAAAGTCTCACAGTATGATAATATTGTGATATCAAGTCCAGGAAGTGATATTGATCAGCAATATTCTTGAAAACAAAGGAAGACTTGGGTAAAAAATGACATTTCTATCATTCTGAGAATATGATGAAGTCCAATCATGAGGTGAGGGGGCCTCTGTCGCTGTCTCTAGAGCTCATATGAGGACGTTAAACCGGACGTACCTCTGTGCAACATGTATTTTATATTACTGATAAAACAAAATAATTTCTCTCTAAAACAACTATGTAATTCAAGTTTCTCAACCAAACCTTAATTTACTTATTCTTTTACTTGAGGTAACATTCAAACACAAAAAATGCTTTTTTATGTATTTCACCCAACAGTTACTTTACTATGGACCTTGAACACATCGTAATGTAACTCTATGACACCTCCTCTAGTTCACAAACAGATGATTTCAACACAGAAGTCAACCCTGGATTTCTATTTTTGATAGATTTTTAAGGCTTCCTAAACTGGCTGTTAATGTAACTAACATAATATTGCACTCAACTTCTAATTTATTCAGTTTTGCTCTTTTTAAATGGGAAGTTACAATAGTCTGCAAAATTGAAATGTTTCTATGAATTTTATTTTATTTATTTTTTCCAATGAACAAGTTTAATTGAGATTGTGAATGTGTCTTTCTAACTCCACACTTTGTCCTGGCATATTTATTCAACTACACCAAAGCTTATTTTTCATCTGTGCAAATTTTAGCCTGTTTTTATTCGAGTTGTTGCCATCTTTTGAGAGGATAATGGTAGAAGAGCCAGCAAGGACTGACACTGGCTGTGTTTTTTTCCCCTAATGTATCTTCTTTTCACTCTGTGCTGATTGCTTTCCCAGCCAGCTGTTCACCTCCATTTTTGTCTCCCATCTGCAGGCATACATTAAGAAAGTGATGCTGCTTCAGTCCTGTCTCAAAAGCCAAAAGCATCTCTCCTGCAAACACCCCTGCACACACGCTCAGGTTGGCAAATTAACCAGGAGCCATCTTGATTACAGACAGTGCCAACAGCTCTGCAGTGACTCACCAAAGGTGACTGTAAAGTGGGGGGAAAGCAGAGGAATAAAAAAAGGAGGAGAGGAGGCCGGTCTGACATGGACAGATGGGTGGTGAATGGAGTGTGACTGGGCCAGCTGCACATACACTCACACAGCATGACTGTCAAATGGCTGGAAGCTACAATTAATTAAGTATGGCTCTGAATGTGTGAAGAGAAATTCAGACACGTGTATGTGCTTCTACCTCCCGCTGCAGAGATAATTTTCTGACAGTTTAGAGTCAAACAGAGATCTGCTGGATGGCTTCTCTGCAGCCAACAGGGTCTCTGCAGGTGAGGAACTGGCCCCTGCTGCTGACACTTTAACTATCACATGCCTGAGCCGTGCGCGCACAAACAAACCTGTGATCTTGCAGTAGAGGGAGTCATTGAAGGTATGTTTTAAAGCCCCTGTGAGGATTTACTACCTGGTTATGAAACAGATTTAAACTCAAAATGTTGTCTCTTTATGTGCAATAGAGGCAAAAAAGACCACCAAGACAAGATTTCAGTAAGTGATACAAAAGTGTCCAAAAGTGAGCAGGTTACTGTACTGTAAGACAGAGATGTACATCTGAATAAGTGGAATTGTCATATATTTCAGATAAAGTATTTTCACAGAAACCCCCCACTTCTCTGTGAAGTGGACCCAACATCCATTTTAGGCTGTAAGTTATTTCAACTTTTATGGTATGATAATAGTGTCCCTGCAAGAGCTTTATTCACACATGTTCACATTTTACTAATTTTAAAGCCCCTGTTTTTTTGTAGCATTTAGACTGAAATTCATATTGATGAATTTTTATGATACAGAAAAGCAAAAAAGACCATCAGCACTGACAATTTTATATTGTAATTTTTAATGCTTGAAACCCGTGCAAGGAGTCAGTCAAGCAGCTAAAGAAACACTCCTGTTTTTACATTTCTCTCATTGAATATTCAAATAAATGATATCTATGTCAAAAGTCAGCAGGATGAGGTTATTATTGTTTTTTTTGTCAGAAGACACTAATTCAGCATGTAGAGGACAGATAGGAAAACACTGCTTTGTCCACAAAATGAAGGTTCTATAGGCATGTTTGTCCATATTGATAAGACAGTTGCAGGGAGACCAAAGGTATAGGTAAGAAAAAGGGGGATGACATGCAGCAAAGTGTTGTGGCCAAGAGTTGAACCAGCAACCATTTCCTTAAAGACCCACTCTGATAAAAATAATGTTTTTCCTGTTTTTATATGTTCACATGGCATTTTTCTGATGCTACAGGACATATCATGAGAAAAATAAGCGCAAAATTGCATTTCTGAGTATGTCTTCATTCATTCAGACCCAAACGGCAGGTTCAGAAACAGTGAGATTTCCTACGTAGCAAATCCAAGCTCTGCCCTCGGAGCCCAATTATTCAGGGCCACACTCTGCATATAGAGGAGAAATAGAGAGGACGATCGCAGAACAAGCGTGTGCGTTAGCGGATTGCAATGCTCGTAAGTAAGCTAATTATGATATTAACTTTCATCGTGTCCCTGAAGACATTAGTGTCCGAGAACTGAATAGCTACTATGTTACCTGCCACTTCTGCTGCACCGGCAATGTTGGGCTGCAAGCTAACGTAAAGAGGAGTGTGCAGAGCAGTGCTGTCTCTACCCACGACTCAGAAGTGAATTGCTAATGATCTACTGGAGCCCTGCAGCAGATAAGCCCTTGAAAATGACACAGGTAATGGGATTTTTGGTCAAATAAATAAATGAATAAATAGATAAATAAATAAAAATAAAAAATTCATAATCACAATTTTAAGACCACTGATAACACTTAAAGTAGTAACAAAAACAAACAAACAAACAAAAAAACATTAGAGTGGGACTTTAAAGCCACTGAGCTCTGCACATGCAGTGAGCTCCTCAGCCAAACTGGTGCTCCAGTACTGCTTCATCTAAGACCTTACACCTGTTTCTGATTGCTACTTTAAACACATTTCATATGACATTGTAAACTTCCTCTCATTACTAGTTCCTCATCAAATCCTCTTCCACAACATGTATATATTTTTTTCTCTGTGGTGTTCAAACTGCCAGCCTATTATATTCATGTCAAATTGTCTTCCAACTCTAAAATGAAAAAGAAATGACATCTGAAGAAAAGTCTGATACTAGTCAGAGCAGACTCCAGCAAGAGTGATTTCGTAGCAGCAGAAACACGACTGAGTCTTATGATGTGTTTGCTGAGCAGCGTGATGACTGTATGATTGACTATAGAGGAAGCCATTACACAGGAAGAGAGCGGAGGGAGCTGCTGTGCACAGTTGTGTCGCTCTGCGGGAATCAAACCTCAGGAGGTAATCAGACTGCTATTTTGTAAATAGAGTCCTGCACGCCATCTAACCTCTCTGCTGCACGCGCACACCTTCACCGACATAAAAACCATCTATTGTTAAATGTCTGAATAACAGCCTTTTGATGGGGATTTGCTGTTGCATCAAACTTTTTTTTTTTTTTTAACTTTAACAGCGGGGTTTCCTTTTTTACTGAAAACTCAAAAACGTTTGATGTTTAAAGAAGTTTTGAGTTAAAATGGTGGCATGGTTATGATGATTGTATTTGTGTAGGCCTCACACAGGCTCTCTCAGAAGATAACACCGACATCCTTTTAATGCACGACTTTTATGTTTTTTTTTCATTTAACAAGTCAAAAACCATGTGAATTGACCCCCCACCCCCACCCCAAAAAATAAATAAATAAATAGAAATAAATAATAATAATAATAATAATAAAGAAAGAAAGAAATTTGAGGACAAATATGTATCTGCCAACTGTCATGGACAGCATGCACCGTGGAGATGAAAGGCAATTTCTTCAGAAAATAACACTGGTCTGTGATATCACGTTATTCTGGAGTTATTTTGAGAGCACACAACATGTTAACAAAACATAGAAATGAGGTTGGAAGTCATTCTGTGCCCAGTGGTAAAATGTGGCCTTTGTTGCATGATGTCCACTCAAGTGGACAGATGAAAGAATGTACATGAATAATTTTATTCAAGTGTACCTGAAAGTATTTCTAGTGTCCAATTAAGTTAAATATAAACCTCCTCTGATTCTCTTTGAACGGAGGTATTTTTACACTTATTAGTCAGGTACATCTGTTCCTCTATCAACCATGAATTTCTGGTGTAATTCCTCATTTGTATGAATAATAGGAGGGATAACTCAGTGATAAACCATGCTTATGTAGGTACAAAAACTATCTATTAATTTTTCCACAGAGACTCCCGTGTGTCTGCATGACGACAACTCTTACAGAGAGCTTCAGCAGACAGAGCAAACAGGCTAAACAAAAGCAGGAAAAACTAAAAACACCACCACTTTAGTGCCGTAAGAAGCAGATTTCTTATTTCATGAAGAATATTTGCTGCTTTATATTTTGTAAAACATGTTCAGTGTGGGTACCTCAAAGACACTGTAGACACTCTGGCTGAAATAATACAGACAAACACATAGAAATCAAGCCGCATGTTCGATATTAGAGCAAATGGAACCGTAGGACACACTGAGGTAACACAATCAGCTCAAAGCAGTGATAAAGCTCTTCAACAGTTTACAATCTGCCTCGGTATTTTGTCAGGCTGAGCGCCAGACTATCCTCATAATGAGCCAAAGTGAGAGCTGCTTAATCACACCCCGTCTTTACCAAAAGATTACACTAACAATGTGGATAAGACTTTCAATTTCAGTATTAAATTTGATAGAAAATAGCAACAAGTACTTCACCTGACGGCAAATCTTCAGTTTGTGGTCAGTCAGAATTCATCCTGCTCTAATTTTACCTCAATCTTTATGAATCTGTTTTTACTCCTCTGTAAACACATCTTGTATGCACAACCATGAAACACCAATTTAAAGCAACAAAAGAGAGTTATCATCTCTACAGGAACACATTACAGTCAGATATGTGCGTAAAGCATGATTCTTTTTTTGTCCTGGAGCCTCACTGCCGATGCGACCACATGTATGAATACGCACAAGTTACAGCTTTTCCCAGATATTACGTCTTTTTCAATTCTGGGAAGAGGCCAACATAATTTGCCTGCAAACCAAAACACAGTAATGTGCATGAGAAAATATAATTTTCGCCTGTATGTTCAGTTAATCGCAGAGCTTTGAAGTCACTAATGTGGGCGAGATGAGATAATAACAGGATCAGATAAAAATATCGATGCGCTCTCTGTCTCCCATCATCATTTTCTGTCTCCCTACTGTAATTTCTCATACAGAGGGTTGGAACACATCCTTTACAGTTTTATGTACTTTTCTAATAAATGTCAAAATTACACTGCTAATTTCAGAACAGACTCCAAACACTCTGAATGATGACATTTTAATCCAAGACAACAACCGCTTCTGTAATCCTGTTGACAATTCATTATTTTCACAAACATCCCACCCAACAGGACAGAAAAACAAAGCTCTAATGACTGAGCGTGTTTGCAACAATCATTCACGCTGAGAAAACTCAGACTAGAAGATTTATTTCACTCTGGCGGGTTTCAGGAACTATTCTATGCTGTGGTGAAAAATTGGGCTGCAGCAGTCTTTTTCTGTGAGTTGTACATTTCCCCTTTTTTACTTTGATGTGCAGCTTACAGCTGTCATGGTAAGTTTGGTGACAGTGTTTGAACAGAAAACAGCTACTGGGGACATTCAGCTGAAACACTGAGTGCCTTGCTGGTGTGATTACAAGAGTAAAGCGTAATAAAACCTTGAAAAACCCACTCTCAGGTTGCCTTTTGTTAGCTTCTCTATTGTCATTTACTGTCGAAGAAATTACCAACACACTTATTCAATTTCTACAGAATTTTTACAGAGAATAACAACACTCAAAGCTACAAATTTGTCATCTTGTTAATTTGGGATTCAGCTATGAAGTTTAAATTCTTAAAAATTAAGCATAATATCAAGTGAATAAAATCCTGACTCAAGACCTATGATTGCCTTCTGAAATTTGTTCGTCCAGATTTTTCTTTGTTATAGTTCAAACCTTGTTTATCATTCATTTTACTGTGAAGTAGAAATTTTCAGACCGTTAATGTTTTTGTTGTCACTAAGGCTGTTAGTCTGTCTCTTTTGGCATAATGCTGCGGCAAAGAGTAACACTCAGTTGATCAGTGTAAAGTAGGGCTGGGCGATATGGCCTCAAATCAATATCACGATATATTGAGCAGTTCACCTCGATAACGATAAATGGACGATAACTACCTCACAAGCTGCTCACTTCCTCCCACATTAACTTTGTCTACTTCAGCCGCCGCTACAACTTTTGAACCGTCCTCCATCTCCTCACCTGTCTTTCCCTCTTTGTTATGGACTGGATGGGGTGGAGTCACGTCTCTGACATAGGACAGCGTCTTAAAGGGACATGAGACTATAGCCTACCAAAACACATCCAAACCAACTTTTATTTATTCATTTTTTTTACACTAAATATACCGATACAGACAAAATGATGTTGGTTATTGTCGTAAATTTCGGTATTGGTAAATTTTCAGCAGCCCTGGTGTAAAGTATATGATTTTATGTCAAAAAGATTAAGTATATCACCAAAGCACCACCTATGAGTGAAGCATACAGGTGCAGCTAATTTAACCTTCGTTAGCAGACACCTGTCAGCAAAGCACTAACTTGGGGTGTGAGCATCACCACAGGTCTAAGTGACATCCTCAGGTTGGCTTAACATGACCACTTATATGCATTACTGCCACAGGAAACAACAGCTTCCTGTAAACAGGAGCTGTATGAAACAGAGAACAACCATACTGGGGCTCCTGAAAAGTGCATTAATTTTTAGGTTAAACAGTGAGTAACGAAAATTATCCTGGAGTTACTGCACATCACACTGACGGGACATTATGTACTTACAGTCCTGCATATTCTTTAATGTGTAACATTGTTAAATAAATAACACAGATAAACTCTTTTTTACAGAATAAATCATAGTTTTTGACCATTATTTGATCAGTAAATCTAAAAGTAAAGATCTCAAAGTATATCAAATTGGATTCATTTCATCTTTCAATCAAGACACTGGTGAGATTTGCTTTACCTGTTAATACAGACCTAAGAAGTTGTTTAAAATACAAAGTGATGGAATTTCAAAAATACAGCTAAAAAAATGAGTTTAACTGCTGTCGTACAGTAATTGGTTATGATTAAAAAAATAATTATTTGCTGTCGCTTCTTCTTGTTTTAAACATTCTCAGAAACTCTACAAATGTCCTCTTTAAACTCTCCTGTCATTGAAGTTTTAATTAGGCACAGTCAGGCTCCCTGAATATGAAGAGGAGGTCGTTTTTTTAAGTGTGGATAAAAAGCATATCGTGCATGCCTCTCACTGACCGGCCTCGCTCTCTGTCACGCTACATTTTCTTCATATCCTGTACTGCAGCTGACCTCGGGTCAGACTTAAAGCAACCATGAAGCTAAGTACAGAGTTATCATAAGCATTACTGTCACAATGAAAAAGGAGTTCAAATCCCAACAGATAAGAGGAATAAAGCAGAGGCACAAGAGAGGGAATACGCTTTAAGAGGAAAGGGAGGTGTGTGGACGATTTTACATTGCAGCGAGGGAGATAAAGCAGACACAACAACACTTAACATCAGTCAGGTTATTGAAGAACTAAACGTTTGCATCAAAGCATGTTTGTGTCTTAGCGTCTGGTAGAGATGCAGAATTTTGGCTCTTGGAGTTTTCTAAACTAAAGAGGAAGTTGAGAGGAGGTGTCACCACTCTGACCACATGATTAAGAGTGGTTCACTGTCTGGATAAATGAATACTTCAAAGGATAAATAGAGAAAACATGTTTGCATATTTTATCCTGGAGAGCAGGCACTGACCTTGCCAATGTTGGAGACAAATTGAGCTTTGATCATCTCTACCTGTGCAGTTTTACTGAAGCCTTGAAGTTCCCCTGCTCACATATTAATGCTTCACATTATTTGAATCCAAACCTTGAACATCTCAATGATCCTTTACAAAACCATCACCTGACTGGACTGAATCAAAGGTACACAAAAAGGCAAAGAAACACCCACAAAAAAAGATGCAAAAGTGAAAGGAGATCTGGGATTTAAGGTGCAGTGAAGCAGATACAAAGGAAAAAAATGGTTATAGAGGGAAAAGCAGAAGGTGGGAGGGGAGAGCATGAAAATGAAAGTCACAGTGGAAAATATTGTCCTTTAGAAACACACCTCTGCATGCAAACATCCTTGCATGCTCGCATAAATACACACAAACACACAGAGAGGAATGAACCCTGGTATACTCACATCTTGGGCTGAACAGGGTCATATCAGGGTTGCAACACAACCAGCAGACAAGTAAAGAGAGGAACCAAGCGTTTCGTTTCTTCTCTCCTGCAACTCTCCCCTTTTACGTCCTCACTCTCTGCTGTATGAGTTTGAGTGTGTGTGTATGAGTGTGTGTCTTCAGGCTGCTGTTCGTCTGACTGCTGATGATACTACTGAGTCAGTAACAGACCAGCTAGAGAAGCACTGATGGGATGTACCAAATGTTTTCCTCTTGCAGGGGTGGAGAGGGGTGCACCGGGCTGTTCCATCATCGGGAGCAGAGGCAGGAGGATTGGATGAGCGTGCAGCTGCTTTCCCCTCAGCAACAGGAGCTCAGGGCTTACAGATTTCAGCCAGGCGGAGAGGAAACTGCTGGAGCGTGTGCAAGAGTGTGTGTCTTTGTGTGTGTCTGTGTCCTAACCTTAATACACGTGTCAAAGAGCAGGGACCCAAAGACACAGCTGTGCACTTGCTTCACTTCACTTTTACTGACTGATTTTGTACTCATACAAAAAATATACTTATTAAATGATACATGAACACACTGACATTGAGGTTTCACAGATTTCAACAATATCAATTATGTACAACTTACTATCATCAAAATAAAGGGCATTATGGGGAAAATACACACATCAGAAACATAGCTTAAAAGCCAGAATCGTGCGGACTATGTCATACCTGTGTTGCTGAGAAGCCGGGTCGTAAACAAAGAGTTAAAGGTGAAACTGCAGCTCTGGACAAAAGGTTCAGAGCTGTAAAAGTGACGGTGTTCTCATGGTTCAACATACATCCTGTTAGTTTCTTGCTAAATTGTTCTGTCGACTGTTTTGGTACATAGTAAGAATAAGCGACTGTGTCTCCATGTTGGGAGAGGCATGTTTATGTATGCACGGTGCAGTGCCTTGTTACTTCACTTCGATCTCCAGACACACCAACACACCAACACCTACTACTCTGGTGGTGCGAATGGCGTGAATTGGGCGTAAGATGAATATGTCTCAACTTGAGCGGATATTTGCGTCGCAATAAATAGTCAGCACAAAGGTTGCCGGGTGACGTAGGCAAACGGACGATTGTTCACTGGTATCTGAACTGGAGGACAAACTGATCATGTAGGTGTGTGGGTGCCCAGGATTATATGATACCTTTTCTTTCAATTATCTAAACCAGAATAAAACGGAGCTCATCTGGAGGCAAGTGAGTGAAGAGGTCGGATTACCTGGTAAATTGTAAAAGGCCTTTGTCTATCACTTAAGGTTCTTTCACATCGGGACCGTTTTTTACATGTGATTATTTCAGACATCAATATTTTTTTTCGAACCCGTATCCTGTCAATACAAGCGTTCACATAAGCGACGTTTTCCCATTCTGCGATATTGCAGCATTTATTTTTTTGTATCACGGTAAAAGTTTTGCATACTGTGTGTCCACTTCTGACCAATCAGATTGCGTGTTGGTGCGACATCTGATTCATCGGTATATCCAACATGGCCGACCGGCTGATTGTTTACGTGTCGGAGAACAGAGTGCTTTATGATAAAAGACACAAACATTACAAAGATAACGACCTGAAGGAGATGTGGAGAGTCTTAGCGTCGGATCTCTCATATGACGATGGTTTGTGTGCTTTAACAGCACCGTTAGGTCTTGGTTGTTACCTTACGTTTATGGATTATAGTTTAATGTGCTTATCTGGTACTGGCCCTGACTTAGTAAATGCTATCTATAGTCCAGCAGAATATTATGCTACATGCTACAGACAGCCATCTCAAAACTAGTGTCTAATCATAACTGAAAAAATGGTGCGCATTATGCAACAGGCTGAAAACAGGCTGAAATTCTTAATTAAAACACGTCTTACACATGTGAGGGAGAGGATCAGCAAAAAGGTTCTGTGCTCTGTTTTGTCCATAGGGTGCCTGAGCTAAAATAAATCTGTATTTCTTTACAGGAGCTTTAAAATGATGTGTTTCTGGCCTTGAAATATAACCTGACAGAGTTTTCCAGTCTTGCACTAGTCTGCACTGTGGTTATGTTAGACGTGAGAAAAAAGATTACTAACAAACACAACATTTGCTGTCTGACTTCAGCATATTTGATGAACTAATAAGCAATTATGTGTTTGAAATGCTCAGACAAACAGAGACTTAATCTCCATCCTAAGCCTGAACCCACTGAATAGGTGAGCTGCATGTAAACAGACTGAAGTCCTAATAATTTACAGCAGTATCATAATATTTTTGCATAACATTTCCATCAGAGAGTTTTTTCATTTTAACTCATGCCTCCTTTGGAAAACACACCAAACTAAACCCTGTTCTTGCTTTTCGCAGACTGTGCATGCAGATTAATCGCTGTCCCATTTTTGTTGCAGTTGAAGAGAGAATTCACCTGAGGGTGTTTAATCTTTCCTGGCACCCGAGGAGAGGCTTTCATGTGAGTTTAATTAGCTTCTTTAACAACCAACACAGAGTAAGACTGGCTGTAAGCCAAACTTTAATCTTAGTCAACTCTAAAATGATTATTACCTCTTTTCACACTACACTTAACCCAGGCACAATTGCATTATTAAGCTGTTAACCCCTGAATAACTGTGTATTCAGCCGTGTGACAAGGGGACAAATTAGCCCCTGGCCGTCCAAACTGTAACAGAAAACCATCATGTGAAGAGTGCGTTTTTTGTTGCATTATGATGCAGATGCAAGATTTAGATTTTGGTTGGTTGTTGTGAAAAACTCAACTATCATGTGGGTTGATAACAAACAGCAGTGCAAACCTGACACCTGTTTTGTGATTGTATGACAGTGATTATAACATTATTGTCTTAAACTACCCTGGTTTTCATGCAATGCTCATGCAACTTTTGTTTTTGAGTTGCTCTCTGAGCTCTGGTGAACATGTCAAGACATCAGAGTTATTTTGACATAAAAACTTCTCCCAAAAAAAGAAATCATGACGTACCTGACATTACTGAAAAAGACACATTTATGTTAACTTGTCTAAATTCTGCAAAATACATGTAAAGTTTGTTGCTGCTGTAATTTTAATGGGTATTTATTGAACTAGCATGTAGTACTGTTGCATGTAAGAATGTCACCAAAGTTGCTTACTTTTTCAGACCGGTTATTTGGGCTAAGGTTGCATTGCAAATATGGTCACTTTTGACCAAAGGATTTCAAACCTGATTCCCAATTAATGAACAAAAAAACCCCAAAAAAGTCAGATTTTTTTCCTTCCTTTCCTTGAAATACATCTTGAAAGGTGGGGCTGCTATGTAAGTCTTTTTAATTGTCACTATTTGTAGGCAACAGTAGATCACTGATCTGCAGAGTGCATGTAAGCCCGATAAGATAAAAGGACTGGATGGTGATGATCATCAAAATTACTGTTGTAGTGCACAGTACACACTTCATACAGTTCATATTTCCTATAATGTATAGAGAAGCACTGAATTTCTCAATGATGCTTACTTTTTGGCACATGAGCTAACCGTAGCGTCATTACCTAAACAATTAGGGAAAATGTTGATTTTTCGTCCCCTTTTAAACAATTGATCAACCACAAATATCAGGACACCTTGAGAATGATAGATCCTCAGTTTGTTTTTACCATACACACTACATCAGTGAATGCAAATGTCCAACCATTCCACCTTTTGCAATCCCTTAAATTCATCAGGATCATCATTTCTAATAGGGTGGCAGGTGGAATAGCAAAAAGAGGCCTGCATTTCCTTCCACCAAAGCTGAAAACAATCCCAAACCCTTTTTTGCTGGCCAATACTGGTTTACATGTCCAAAGCTGTTTTTTTTTTCCTTTTTGCCCCAACTAAGCCCTCCCATCCAGAAAAAGTCCAACAGTCTAACACTGAGGTGACAGTACACAATGCTAGCATGGTTGTAAGGTATCCAAAGTATTATCTGATTTTAGCAACTTTAAAATATTGCAATAATAATAATAATAGATATTGATGGAAAACTTAAACATACCCGTCTGCTGTCATCTCACAGACAGCTGCTTCAGCTAGCTCACTTCTTCCCTCCTCTATGAAGTTAAGGACCACTGCTATGAATTTACAGGATTACCTTATGCTTATTTTTAGCACCATATCAACACTTTAATTTTAAAGACAGTTATTATGAATGCTGATATACTGTAAGAGCACCAGTTGGAACTCCTTGGCCTGAAAAAAGTGACAATGAAAGTCATGCAAAGGCTCGACTATGATGCCTCACAATTTCTTGACAGAAATTCTGGCATGTTTAATTTTACTCTCTGATGTCTACGGTTTGTTCCCTCACATCAGCGATATTAACCATTGGTGGTATGGAGTGCTCGATATATATAACAGGCAAACAAACCAAAGGGTGAGGCCACAGAGGAGTGATGAAGGTGGTGCCGTTGGATGGGACTATGAGACAGAGGAGGAGCTTTAGCAAAAACATCCCTAACTTTATGATGTGTAGTTGAGGCACAGTCACGAGGGACTGAAAAAGAGAAATGTTGTTGGGAAAAAGCAGACACATTACTGCTGCCTGGAGAGTGACTGGCTTTAAAATTTCCATCAGTACATGCACGTGTTAGTCAGACTGAAACCTCACTAAATCAAACTTCTCATAGTTGGGCTAATGTACATATAATACATTTGCTGATCAATTTTTTCCACCGTGCATACTTCTCACTCGACATGAAAGTGGCAAAGGCATTCTGTGCATTCTTCAGTGTTCGCACACTGGCTTTTGAACCAAAGGTTATATAGCAAAAATGTGTTGCTAGTGAGCAAGGTAAACAAGAGTTCAACAGACTAGGAGAAAGGTGCTAAAAGGAGGAAACTTTCCCGTCATATAAACAAACGGTATAGAACAGGATGTTCCACAAACATCCTGTTATTGGGATGTTTTGATGTGTAAACCGGGAGACACTTGCTCATTGCTTCTCTCAATAACAAAATGACAATTTCATTTTTTTGCCCAGTCCATGTAAACTCGGACAAGGACAGAAGTCTAATTAAATCACTGAATGGAGCTTTAACCGTAGTTCGACTTAACTATGATGTAACCATGAGTATTATCAAGCCCAGCTCCTTGCCCCCCCAATGTCCTCATGTCAGTTGTGATGACCAATCACGTACCATCGTTTAGTCTGACATGCCTGTAGGTGAAGCCTCAATGCGATTTCATGGTTCTGTGATTGTTACATCTGACACAGCGTCTGATGTGACAGACAGAACTGTATAACCTGACCTCAGCATTATAACACTGAAAAGGGTTCACATGACGACCAGACCAGAATGTGTAAAAATGATTCAAAACATTGAACGGTAGCAGGTAAGTTGTGATAGCCTTTATGTTATAAGTGATAGGGCACAATAATCCTCATAAAACTCCTGTTGGCTTATTGAATTATAATTCTTACAGATTTAGTGAATACATGTAATTTCCTATCCACTTCCAGTTGGGGTTTTACTAGTTTTTTTCAGGCTAGACTGCATCAAATGAAGTACAATTCAGACTGTTACTGTATGAGCTGCTCCTGGAGGCTGGAAATCAGGAACATGTGCAGACAGTTCTCTCTATGCATGCAGAAACACATCAAAAAATAAATGTACCCATTATTTTTTTATTTTGTAACTGTGTTGTGTATGTGACTTTCTAAACCAGGAGCATGTGGGTTCACCGTCAGCCATCAGAGGGATTATAATGAGTCAACAGCAGAGAGGTGTGGGGGCTGACAGAGGGACAGTGGGGGGAGAAGGTGGCAGTGGACCAGAGCCTAGTGTGATGCAGAGCAGCTGACTGACTCACCTACCCATAAAGGGGTTCAAGACGGACCAGAAGCAAGAGAGGGGAGTTAGCCTGCATGCTGGGAAAATAGGCATATGAACAAATATAGAAAAGTATGGAAATTATGAGACAAAAAAAAGAAACCAGAAACTTTAGGTGCCGGAGAAAACAGCTTATATACAAAACTGTGCAAAGCTGTGTATGTTCTTGTTTATGTCTTTAACCAATATTAATAGAGAGTGCTTCTTCTTGACAGTGACAGCTTCATAATGTTACCTGTGTGGTAAGAGCTCCTGTGATAATCAGTGGCTCTGCATTTATGTTAAAACTTTGCTGTGGGTCTGCAGAAAGGTTTGTTTTAGCTGACGTACTCAAGCTGTGCTTAGCCAACTGACAAATTGACCACGTAGCCGAGTATGTTGGCTGTGGGCTATGTGCTGATGATGAACTCCCATGAGGAGGCAGGCAGCCATGCTGAGGTTCAGCAGTCAGCAAGTAATGACTGAAAACAAAAAAGTGGACTATGTTGGCATATGTATCTCTAAAAACCAGTACAGAAACTAAAGTGTAAAATAATTGGTTGGTTATTTTGTTAGAGTGTGATGTGTCTTTAAAGTCAGAATTAGGTTAATAACTAAGAAAGTCCCCTCAAAGCTCCCCCCCCCCCACCCCCCATTCACACTAAAGCTGTTAACTGCTGCTGCTTTTAGAAGCAGTGTAATTTAGAGTCAAGTCACAGCTGACTTGGCATTAAGATTGAGATGCAAATTGGTTGAAGGGAGAACTTAGAGTAAGATATCAAAAGTGTGGAGCTCAGTGTGTGAGAGTGTGACAGCGAACTCCAACTGGAGACTGAGAAAAAATGTCCTTTTTTGCTTTTGAGCTTTATACACTTTTAATTATGGCAGTTATTTAATCTTAATTAACAGTTTGACTCATTATTAACAAATAGTTACCTCCACCTCAAGAGTATGTGCCTTTGTAGCAATAATCAAAGTAGAGGGAGTGATGCTAATGATTTAACATTAACAGCTTTGTAACACAGTTAACAATGGTCAGGCTGATGTACATAAGCAGCTGTACAGGAGGCAGGTCCACAACAGCAGGACATCTGCACCAGGAACCAAATCAATTTACTGAGAAGTTCAACAGAACCACTTTTATGATCAATAAAGAACTGGAGAAAAACAAAAATGTGTCCATATTTTTTCATGTGACACTAAACCAGAAACAAGAGGGGAAAAAATGTCCTGTTTTTTTCAACAAAGAGGCAAAGCTGACCAGGATCTCCTGTAGGAAGAACACTGACTCGTCACACTTACTATTAACCTTACACTTGCTTAACCAGCCCTGCATCTAAGTATAGCTAACAATCCACTCTGAGATGTCGCCCAGCACCAGCTTTATACTTGCTCTTTAAATCTATATTCAGTCTGTACAACCCAACAGACAGAAGAGAAAGTCTTGACCTTTATCGCTCATCCCTGGCTTCACTGGAGGCTCTGAGGAAATGGCTTTTGATCCAATACTGTGCATCGTGGGTAGGTTATGTGTTTTTATAGTCCGATTGAACATGAATCCTGCAGAGCTGGGGCATTAATGAACATCTGTATGTATGTTTATCCTAGAAACAAATAAAAGTACAGAAAACACAATACAGCAGTAAGAATGTGGCACACACACTTCATCCAGAGCCTGAAGCAAGAATCACTAAGCGTTTCATCACCTGGATTTACCTTGGACGATGTTCCAGTGCCTTCAATCTTTACTTAAGCAGGGCCAGTGCACCATCTCTCTTATCAGGCCACAGGTCTTGGCAAAGCTGGGGTGTTTTGATTCATCATCACTGGAGCACAATCTGTTTAGACTCTGTGAGAGGAACCGTTTCTGGCCAAAAGGCTTGATCAGTGGCCTACTTACTGTTGAACAATGCTGAGTCTTTGACAGTAAGTGCTATCTACTCTCTGGGACGTATCAGGATATGTTCCTTTTTTGGCTCAGTTGCTGTTGTTAAAGGTAATACCATGTTAAAGTATTACACCTCTGCCATGATTGGCTTTTTCTCCTGATTGCAAGTCTGTAGACCGACTTCCCAACTCAGGGGAGCTGGTGGGAGCTCAAAAAAAAAAAAAGAGAAAATGTGATATGCTGTTGTTACAGCATGTTTGCCCATGAGATCAGCACCTCTGCAGTGGTGATAGTGAATCCTGATTTCAGACACCTCTGACTGGACCAAGAACTGTTGTTGAAATGAGGACAGTGAGGCTGTGCATCAGACCCAAACATAATTTAGAGCCTAAACTTTTACTGAAATCATATATGGGCAATTTTTCCACCAATTAACATCCTGCATATCTGATAAGGCACAGGTTCTGTTTTTCATTAACATTTAACCTCACTCGAGAGTGATAATTCTGCCTGCATAAATGAATGAAGGATAAGCTATAGATCTTAACATAATGCTCCCGTTAAAGTACATAATTTTTTAAAGCTCACTTAGTCCTAATCACAATTTAGTGCACATGCCTTTTTCTGGCAGTGATGGACTTATGGTTGTGGATCTGTTTCAGGTTTTCTTCGGCATCTCAGAAACCCTCATGCCTCTGAGCCATTTTAGACCCCTTAAGAGGTCAAGTGGGTGACACATCCTTCAAAATCCAACCACAAAAGGAACAAAGAAAAAATCCTGATACTCTTAAGGCATGACCAGGATCTCAGGGCTTTAACTGTGATGGGCCCATATCAACGCCACCGCAAGACACAGATTGAATAAGGTAGGTTACAAAAAGCGAACATCAATACAAAGAGAGCATTCGGCTTTCCTTCTTAAAGCTAGCACTCAGTACCCCTTTCAGACATGCACAAAGTTCCTGACAACCTTTATTGCAATCATTGACAATAACACAGCAGTGTTATTTAAAGTAAATTAAAACTTGTGAAAGAGATACATTGAGCAGACCCCCATTTGGCAGGGAGGCTTCATGCTGTGGGGGTGTATGTGTGGACAGCAAAAACAGGTAAACTTCCAGGTGAGAGGCCCTGACATTTTCCTGAAATTTCCCAGAGTGCATGACTGACAGCGCTCAACAGAAGTCAGTTCATGTTCCTCTGGGTCTTCCAAATCAGCAAGGTACACCAGAAGTCTTAGTTTGTTAATTTTACCAACACAACGCTCTTTGAAATGGGGCTGATGCTCCACAAACTCCCCCTGGCAGAACTCGAACTGATCAAATCCTGCAGTGCAGATAAATCTTTCTTGTCCTTGCCACCAGCACTCAAAGGTTTCCAATACAAGTGGTTCCTGGGGTAAAATCAACTGAACAGCTGCGACCATTGAGGCAAAAAAAGTGCCTTTTGCACGGCTACATGTTGTCTCTTGGATCTCTTGTCTAAAATCCTGTGATACGCAAGCAGTTCTGTCTGAGAAGTGTGGGGGCTTGTGGATTTTTTTAATGAATACTTAAAATCATTTTACATCTTCCATATCTCCCAGAAACTACTGTCCACCCTCAGTATTTTTCAAAGCTATCAACTTCTTGTATTTTTTGTACAGCTGAAATATAATTTACTGCACAAAAAAATAACATTTCTCCCTGCCAAGGTACAACTTCCACTCATGAAGCACAGAGGTGTCTCCACAGTTTACGAAAAGGGACTCAATCAACTCAAGAGCAGCTGAGGCATCTTAGAGATTAAGTCACATCTGCAGTTTGCAGCCCATGTTTCAGATTCACATGTTGATGAAACACCATAAAGGCCTCCCTGACTTTGATATTCCCATTAAAAATATTTGTCATCTGTTTTCAGGAGGTATGATCTATTCTGATATGCTGTTTCAGTGCTCTAGATGCAGATCAAACTCTCAGTCATGAGACATCATAACAGCACAATGATCTACAGTAGATGGAGGTTGAGCATCCATCATTTATTTATTTTATTTCCTTTTTATTTGTTAAAGAGGGACAGTGTACATTAATGAACATTTTAAAAAGATAAAATGTAAATGGACCCAATTGTAGCCACAAGGCTAGTTTCCATTGGTAATCCCCCTGCCAGAAGGAACATGGCTACCTAAAAAGGTGGGAAATCAGCAACTACATAAAAACATACATAATACACAACATTTACAACATCAACATTACCCACCCGAAAGCACGCCGACCAACTAATGAGAACAAATTTGGTTTTCAAGTAACCACCTCTTCATGTGGAATATCCATAATTGTCTTGCTTCCAGAGACCAATGCCCAAAATGACGTTAAAGTCATCTTCAGACTACTTTTGTGCCACCATGTTGAGCCACTGTGTTCTGATGTGATCTCAAGGACAATACGAAAAAGTGTCTGCCAATAGAATACATGAATGTATGGGTGTTTAATTACAGAACAAATAAAAATTTAATTTGGATCAGGATTTTTATTTTAATCACAGTGTTTATCTGAGTCATTTTTATTCATTTTTTCCAATGGGATTATGAAAACCCACATCATGATGCTGTGACAACCACAAACGGTCATCCTTAAAACAGCCATCACCACTCGAGTTGTTTCAAGATGACGGTCCACAATAGCGGCTCACTGATGGAAGGACAGTCTGTCATCTTTTGAAGTAGAGGCGAGTGAATGGCTTGGCTCAAGAACACCAGACTGTGCCCCTTATTTGTTTCAACCAGTTGTTAAAGAGTTTCAAAAATAATTGATTTTTTTGGTGGGTGGTGTAGGAGGAAGTTTGAGAAATCCTCAGTATGTTTCAGAAATGCAAAAGCCAGGAAACTAGAAGTGTAAGTTAAAACCACAGCTTAGATGTCCTTTCTACCCTGGGTTTCACCAGCTGTGCATCAACTCAAACTCAGCACAGCTTGAATATAATTTCTGATTTGTTATAGAGTTTATGTGCTACTAACATCTTTTTGGTAGTACCAGCTGGGATAGTTATATCGTAAGAATAAGTTACAACTTACATCTTACACTTAGCTCTGAGCAGGTGTAAAGTCCTCCTTAAATACTTACAGTGCATCGTTTGTAGAGATAAGATAACTTAAAAGATGAGTAGAGACTTGACTTGCATTATTGTGCAAGCCAAGTGTTTTCCATGCTAGATTACATCAATTAACTTTGATTTGTACTTCTGCTGTTGTTTTTTTTCACAAGGGGAGAGCAGATTCTAACACCTTAATAACAAATAAATACATCATGGCTAGTGCACCGCTCAGTGTCACCATTAATTACTGCCCTATCATCAAGTTTTGTCATATTTCACACACCTTTCCATTGCTGTCAGTGGAGTACCAGGGGTTAACAGCTGATATATTTTTAGCCTGTTTACAGCTAGTCAGGTATGAGAGTTGGCACTTCAACAAGCACTTCATCAGGAGAAAGGCTTTTCTCTGATTGACCACTGGAAGAGTAAACATCATGTGTGGAAACTTGAACATTTCAGTCTACTTATTAGGATTAATCTTGTGTCCTTATGTTTAAATGTTTTTATCTCAATTTGGAGACATGCGAGAGAGCAAATTTAAGTAGATGTTTCAATGATTAACTTTGAGTTGCTGAAGATAAAAATGCGGCTGAGAGAGCAGTGATCCGAGTGACTGTCCAACCTGCTTGTCCAGGTGCATTTCTTGGACTTAAGGATGTTAGGAGCTAGGTCCCTAAAAACAGAAAGAAAGCTTGACCTAGGATTGTTCCTCTAAATAACCTCAGTAGATTAGTAGAGGATTTAAGTTGTAGGAGAGTCTAAACTAAGGTAAGGAATCCAGACATTGGACAACCAATTTCTGATTGATTGGATTAGTTTGAGGACAGGAAATGTTTTGACTAACACTAATGACTAAAATGGTTTGACTTTTTGTTGACTAAAATGATGAAGGGCAAAAATGACAAGCTAAAAGGCATTTTAGGCCAGAAACTAAGACAAGACTAAATTTAAAATAGCTGCCAAAATTAACAATGCACTGGGCAAAAGGGGGGTGGCACAGTGGTGTAGTGGTTTGCATTGTCGCCTCACAGCAAAAAAGGTCTTGGGTTCGAATCTGGGTCAGGGCATTTCTGTGTGAAGTTTGCATGTTCTCCCTGTGTCTGTGTGGGTTTACTCCGGGTATTCCGGTTTCCTCCCACATCCCAAAAACATGCCTAAGTGGGATTAGGTTCATTGGCCACTTCCAAATTGCCAATAGGTGTGAATGTGAGCATGAATGGTTGTTCATCTCTATATGTTAGTCCTGCGATGAACTGGCGACTTGTCCAGGGTGTCCCCTGCCTTCGCCCAAAGATGCTGGGATAGGCTCCAGCCCCCCATCCAAAAGCATCCTTTTGTGTGCAAAATCTCCAGGCACTAAACAGGTCAGACGCAAAGCTTCAAATGCTTGACATAACTGGTATGATAAATCTGCAGAATGGTAGATAGCTTTTTCTTTAATGCGTATGACCTTGTTGAATGACCTTGTTGAATTAGACCATACCGCTACTGAGCATTTAGAGAGATTCTCCTCATCATCTATGTTTTCAAAAGATGTATGTTTGAGTTAGTTAGTAACATACAAGTTGAGTTAGTAACATACAATTGCTGTGCTTTTGTGCTTTTGTGCACTATCCTTCCCGATTGCCTTCAAGTGTAGCTATAGAGGTAGAGGGACATATGCAGCACAATACTAGGGGCCTTGAAACTTTCTTGAGAATCCTCATTGTAGAATTAAGCTCTTCCATGAAAGCTACTGGTGCAGATCGTGCCTGTTCTGGTACAACAGAGGCTGCAGAACATGTTTGAAAAAGCAATAGTCTGTGCACTTTCTCTCAAAGATCTCCTCCCCTTCAACCTTAATATCTTGATGCAGCTCAGTGAAGCTTGGATAGGGTTTAAACTTTCTTTAAATCCTTGTTTAAAACTGGAAGTGGTCTTGGTCTGTCTTCAGCAGTTTGGGAAGTTAAAGATAATCTGGTGAAACTTTGGTGGTGACCATTGTCAGAGACCCCCTGAATCAAGAGTTGAGCAAAGAAGAGACCACCATATGTAGCTATGTAAGCATGGGTTGAAAATGAAGAGCAAGTATGTCAGTCCCAAAATAGATTAATGGGTTCATGTATGTTTGTTTTCACTTAATACCTACTTTTGTGTCTGTTAATAGGAACTAAAGAAATATTCAATGATTATCTTTATCCAGTACAGGTTTGGGAAACATCATTTGAAACCTGAAGAAGGTAGTTTCATAAGTTCAGAAAGCACTTAAACATGAGGATAGTATAGGGCAAGAACAGCCTGGGCATGTGGGACTCAGGCTGAAGATAGCACAGCCTTCATGGGGCAAAGAAATGGAATCTAGTCGTAGTAATGTGGTTGAACAGGAGCTTCAGAAGCAGGTGAACGCATCTAGATGTGCAGCAGCAGTCTCTCAGGAGAAGCAGGGTCAGTGGATAAGTTTAGAAAGTGAGGAGAAGAAGAAACTTTGCTGGAGGGAAGGTGGAGTTTGGAGGCAGACAGGATTGAATTCAAGCCAGGAGCAATTTTTGATGTACTTTTATCTACCCAAAATCTCAGTAAAAGGAAAGGAGAGGGCCAAACATGCCCTCTGTGTTCAGGTATAGCCTCAGTTTGGCTCATTGTGTCAGGGGGGAAGAACAAAGATGAGACATGCTGTGTCTTAACAGCCATGGAAGATAGCAAGAAAATAAAGCAGTGACAGTTAAAGGGTAAAGCAGCTATCTATTTAGTACGGGCAAAATACTGGGTTGAAAAAGCAAGAAGGAGCAGGAAATGGACTTAAAGATAAAATCATTGTCCCTCTGAAGCCAAAAGGACCATGGGAGACTGCAGTGGAAATGGCCTGTGAGACGAAAAGGCTTAGATACAAAGAGCTGGCTGCAGAATCAGAGGACAGTGGTTGGAATTCAAAGATTGTGTGGTTTGGCAGACAATTTTCTTCATTATCCCGTGGACAAGGTTCAAGAGGGAGGAATAAACAGCAGTCACTGGGTTAGATCTCTTTGTCTTTGGACTAAATGTGTATACTGGTAAAACTCAACTAATGCAGCGAAAAGTCTAGTTATTGGTAAACCAAACTACATTTGGAGCAAAGCAGTTCACCCAAACTGAACCAAAGGAAAACATTTCTGTTACCAACAAATCATCTATGTGGATGATTTCTCTCTCAAGCCAAGCAACTCAGACACTAGATAAAGTAAAATTACTGTCATATTCCCAAAACTCAACATGGCAATTTAAGATAGATGGTCAACAGGATGCATCGTAAGAGCAGCTGGGGATCTTAAATTGCCTGTTATTTGTATATTTTCCAGTCACCAGGGCAGAATTGCACACTGATTGATACAGCCATTATATGCTACACACTCATGAAAATCTGCTGCAATTATTTTATCCACACGTCTGAATTTTTAAGGGAAATAGTTTTTTGTCAAATTTTTGTCAAATCATTGGTCTAGGTAACTGCAAGATATGATACAACTCAAGCAAATGTCTCACATTTTTGACTTGTTGATGGGAACCGGCAATCCCACTGCACAAGTGTACTAGTAGTACGGATCATTACTGGCTCTTCAAAAGGGCATTAAAGCAATCATAACCCAGAGCTTCCTTAGGTGGTTATAAAAGAAATTAATTTGCTCAAGTAAGGCTTATGCTAAACAATCAGTATAACCATGGCTTAAAAGGGGAAGAAAGCCTCAGGGGATAAAGGTTTCTTTATTTAAGACTTCAGATTCACGACTTCATGAAATCTTCATTACACGGTGTGCAAGACTGCCTCATAAGTGGTCTGATTTTCTCTTTTATTTCCCAGCTTAAAGGTGTTAACAGCTTCTGGTGACTCAAGTCTCTAAAACTTCTGAACGGATCAATATGAGTACATACCAATAACTATCTAACAATATTAGAACTGAACTTCAACAAAATTCTGTTTTGGGGTTCTTCTGTTATCAAACTGCGGTGGATTTGGGGTAATGGTGGGCCAAGTTTTTTGGTGAGTCATGCCAGACCTGTCTCACAATTGCTCTGCTCCCCTGGACCATTTCCCCAGCTTTGCCCAGACAGTTCAGGGCTTAGCCAAACAATTTAGCCTGTCACTCAAAGGCCATGCCCCGTCTTCCTGCATTTCAGACTTCAACTCTCCAGGTATCACATGTTCCTGATGCCCTAAATCTGGGGACGACATAGTAACGTGAAAGAAATAAGTGGTAGAAGTAATTTGTAATTCATCACTCGGAGAGCATTTGTAATGAATTGTTTAGAAATGCTGAAGTTTCTTCGTTTGGAGTCAGAAGGTTCATCCATGCAAGATTGGACCACACTCTCTCTGCATTACAAGTTGTGTTGTGACTGTTGTAATGGTTTAGTTATTGTTAACAGCCAGGCTTGCACAGTCCTAAAATATGGTCAAGGTTTTCCAATGGTTGTGGATGTTTATGATCACTCAGATTTTCAGATATTCTTTATGCATTTCCTAACATTTAAACTTGTGTTACCAGAGGCTTTAAGAAAAGTATACTTGTCTGAAGGAGAAAGTTTGTTAATAACCTGCATCCAAGAGGAAGCATCCAAGATACAATATCTCAAAGGGGTTATTGATCAAGCTTCTGCAGGGTGAGTATTTCATCAGCAGCTGCAGGGTAGTAGTAGAAGTGTAGTTCAATCAACACCATCATTCTTATGATCATAGAACAATTTGTCTTTGAGTTATATGAGTTTGGAGTCACTCTTTCGAAGACGGCAAACTTCCGCTCTGAGTTCTTATTAAATTTGTGGACATTTCAGCGCATCATTCTGGAGTAAGGAACTGCTGAACAATTTGGAAGAAAACTTGATTTTGAAGTATAGCAGTTCACATAGTGGTGGCTTACTTGTTCAATGCTGACACATGCTTTACATCTATTCATCAATAACTATTTAGGTTGTCCATTTGAACGAACCTGTACTACACTGATGTAAAGGTCTACTGAGGAATGGTCTAACCAGACTCTTCAGGGTATGATAGGGATGCTGGACAAAAAACAAATATGGCTGGTTTGAAAGGAACTGTAGGTTACCAACTTCATGATAGGAACCGCAGCTTTAATGCTGCTTTAGTGTCAATAGTACCAATTCAAAGCATGTAATTTTGAGAGTCTATACAAAAATAGCAGGTCATAAACCATCCTATCCTTATTGATGCTAACTCAACCTTTATCTCATAGTGGTAAATTCATTGTGGATGGATTGTGACTACGACAACTATAAAGGTTAATGGTTCTGTGTAGTTTGGGCCAATTTTGCCCCACATGAATGCATAATGACCCATTCAAATGTGTGCAAACAACACCAAGGCACAACAGCACTGTTTTCTCTACAACCCAGATATAGTTGCAATTTGTCCTCTATGTGTCACTTTGTAAATTCATGTTTTTGTTTTTGTTTTTTTTTTGTCATTTGCACAGGTTTAGAAGAAAAAAAAGGACAGCAGAACCCGTTTGTGAATCAGGAACAGATTTCTGTGTTGAATTCCTCTTATATATTTCCTATGAGACGGTAATGAACAGATAACACCTGATGTTGAATCTGGTTTTTAGTTAATGTGATAATCTTTCAGTGGAGCCAAATGTCCTCATAATGCCGTCTTCTCCTGATTATCCCCTCCCAGTGTTCTCGCCCAGACAGACAAAGCAGAGCAGCAGTAACAATGAAAATCAGTGTTCAGCGAGGTATTACTGTATCTTGACATGATAATCTTCTTTTTAAATGCAACACTGCACTCTTTTACCCAACATAGAGCACAGCAGACAGCTCATACATTATCATTGAGTGCCTTTTCTCTTTCCTTCCCCTTCTCTCCCCCCCGTCACACCCACCCACCAACTCCCCCCTCTTGGAGCTCTCACCCGCCACTCTCTCTGGCTGGATGTCTCAGTGTGAAAACCTCATTATGTTCTGCCACTGGACCTGCAAACTCAATTGGACAGCAAGCTACAGTCCAGGTCTGATCCAGTGTGTGCCTGTATTGTGTTCCTGTGTGAGTTTAGATGCTTGCGCATAGGTGTGTGTGGGTGTGTGTGTGTGTGTGTGTGTGTGTGTGTGATCGGTAATGAAGGGCTCCATCAGTGTGACAGTCTCCAGATGGCAAAAGTTTCCACTTTTTTTGAGCACTGGGTAATTGTGGCAGCAGCATGAATTGGCATGGCTGATTATTAAAGGCCTGTGGCCAGGTACATGTTTAACAGCCTTTAACTGGTACCTCTTTTACTTTGATTTCTGCCTGTCTTTGACTATAAAGCTGAGACATATAGGATCTGTATTGAGCGCGTTTGCGTATCTGCCCCATTGAGCAGGGGCTGTCTATCGCACACAGGATGCGTATTTGGAGCATGACAGCAGCGTAGTGCAGCCCCGGTCAGCTGGGTTCAGTATAGAGGAAACAACAACAACTTATTTTGCCTTTCTGCGGTCAATTTCCTGCTAATTTGGATATAATTCAGTGACTGTTGAGCTTGTACTGTATGTGAAAAAGTAACATGATTTTACAGTTTTGGCTTTTGCAGGTTTACTCGTGTTTAATAAAGTAAACTATGTTCCTTAATGCTGTGCTGTTACCGTTAGACAGAGTTAGCAGTTGAAAGTCCTGTTGGGGTTCACATGGATCAGGGACTGACCATCAGATTGTTCTGTGTTACTGATAGATCCATAACCAGGAGGTATTTCTCATCTACATGAATGATACACAGACGGGAGTTCGTATATGGTGTTTTATGTGACAGTCAAAATAATAAACATGTTGCATTGCATTTCAATGGTTCAGTGAGTCTGATTTTCAGATCCGGTGAAAGACTGAAACCTACAAATATTTATAAAGACAGGTTAATGAGGGAACTTTCAGCTGTTTCTGTTCTTTGATCGTGCAAATTAGGGGTTGCTGTAGGTTTGTTCTCACCATGAGCTCCATATTGAGGTTCAGGGTGTTCAGCTAAAAAAGCCACACAGACAGACAGACACCAGCTCCCCACAGTGCTGGTTCAGAGTAAAAGATTTCTATGTTCAATACTTGCTGGTGATCAGTGAATCCCCCTTGATCGAATTGCACAGTTTGATGCTGTAAAACATTTCTAATAGAGGACTGAATCCCCTTTCACTACAATGGCTTGGTCATTTTGAGCCTTTGGATTGGTAGGCAGATACAGACACTGCCTACAAAGTGGTCAATATCTCTATATGTTTAGATAACAGACTATATTAAAGTGACCTCAGATAGATGTTTGTCATAGTTTAATCCTGGACAACAAGGGGGAAATGACAGCATGATACTTTACAGGTTAACTGACACAGGTTGCACATATGATGCGATATGACTATTACATACGTCGCCCAGCCCTACAGTGGACTGCCTTCCTTTTCCTGTAGTTCAAGCACCAAAGAACGACAAAATATTAGTCAGAGTCTAAACCGTGGGTCAGAACACTTGAACATCTCCATCACATCCAAATGATGGATTATCTAAGAAAATACATGAAACTCGTTTCTTCTTTTGTTTTTAATTAAGAAATGTCCTATAAACAGAGCTGTAAACTACCACATTTTGACAGTGTCTCTGATGGTGGGATTTGGTTTTAAAGCTGGGCTCTTTGACATTGATAACTGTCTCCTCTGTCTAGTTTGATCTCCTGTTTGGACGAGGCCCTCTCTCTCCACAGAGCACTTTGTAACACAGAACACACACACACAGACCGACTATATGTTTGATCCAAACTTGTTTTGTTTTGAACAAAGAAAACCTGACTTCACATCGTACAGAGTGTGTTCCTCAGAGGATAATCCAATTTATTATTGGCCAGCCTCTGAGCAGCAATTAGAAGGATTCAATTATGCTGATAGATAGTGAGAGCGGAGAACTCAGTTAACTTTGCATCAGCACCTCTTCCCCCTGCTTCATACTATGAGACAGACACAATAGAGAGCGGCCGATCTGAGTCGCATTCTCAAACAGCCCCATTCATCATCCCCCTCAGCCCTATCTCACTGTGTCAGGGACAGCTTTGTTCACCCAGACTGCCCTGCTCAGACAGAAAAGAACTTCTCAACTGGTCACACGCTTTTTTTTTAATCATCCGGAGGCAGACAAAATTCAGAGCTGTGATAACATACAAAAAAAAAAAAAAAAACACACTTTTTACTAAAATTTGTGCATAAATCATCACAGATAACCTTCATTTTTGAAGGGTTGGACCTGGTCAGACTGAAAATACAATGATCTTCTTTGAAAGACACTGGTCTCACAAAGCAAGTGGATTTTACAGCAAGATCTCAATGTTGTACTATTTTGTTTTTACAGCTCATACAACAGTCTCAACCCATTCCTTTTTAAACTCTGAGTGTATAACTATCCTGCTTTTTTCAGATGTATTTTAAGGCAAAATCTTGGTCTTATTTTCTGGTCAATGGGGTTCCTAATACATTTGAGTGATATTTGTCTTACCTAATTTAAATGCATATCTCTATGTATCCATTAGCATACATTCATGTGTATTCAGTACTCTGTTTAGAGGAATAAAACCATATCCATGTGACTGAAAAAGCACAGTGCAAAAGCCCTTCATTCTGAATTCTGAAGTCTAAAGCAGGAAGTCAGATATTAAAATATCAACTTCTGTCGATACTTTAATCAACTGGAAGAAAAGGAAGAGCTAAAAATTTACCAATACTTTCATGTAAATTGAGACTTGAACAAATGACAATTGATTTACGTAAACCAGGACTCGATTCGATCTGAGAAACCCATGAGCACACAGTTTCTTTTGTGTTGTGGCATTTCAGCCAATATGAAGCAACGTTATCATTTATTTGGATAGTCTGTATTGACTCCTGTGACAATTATCTGTTTTGTAAGTCAAAGATCCTCAGCTAGCTTCAGATTTAATTCATCTCCAGCTCTTTGATGACGGCAGGGCAGATGGACAGAGTACAGCAGGTTTCAGAGATTTTTTTATTTTAATTGAAAACAGCTGCATACTTTCCAAGTGAAAGAAGTTAAGCCGGGTGCTGAGATTGGACCAAAACAGTACGAAGATTAAAAAAATAAAAAGTTAAAAGCCTCTTATTGAAGAGGAAAATGACAGAGTCTGCCAATAAATCTGTCTTGGTTTAGTTTTCCTGAAAGCAGCAGTCTATAATTTACATCAATAAATGATGTTATAAAAATCAGTATGAAAACAGTAGAGTAAAGTTTATGATCTGTTAATTTGAACGTGTTTTAATTCATCCAGTCACAATTCTCGACCAGACACAAACATCAACCAGTTGTTTGAGTGTTCAGGCAGATCACCTCCCACTCTGTCATTCAGATGAGGATAAATAATGACTTAATGGCCGTGTGAGCATTCAGATCCCAGTTATTATCTGTGTCCTACAACTGACACTAAACGAGATAATTATTGAATATTACTGTTATTTGTCCTCTCTCTTTTCTCCCTCCTCTAAAGCTGTATGTTTATGGCAGTTGAAGGTCAGGGGCTACTTATCTAACATAGCAGCATTGTGAGCCTGATGGTCTCATGATACAGTTCCTCTCCAGGACTAAATACTCGGAGATCATTTCAGGATATGTTGAGCTGTTGGCTCATGTGTTAACAATGAGCAGTGTGAAGGTGATGTTTATCGTCATTATCATTTCATTTGAAAATTCTGAACAAATTCCTGCTCATTCTGGGTTTCTTTACCCGCCACTGCAACCTTAGGTTAAGCTGCTCCTTTTCATTCATCGCTTAGAGTGTTTTGCTTCTTGTAACACCCGTCACAACAAAACTCAGTGCTTCCTGCTTCCTGGTTTTGTCATTTAACCGCTCATCCATTTACCATGAAGTGCGCCGCCTCTCATCTGCTGGCTCCCCTCTCCACTCAGAAAATGATCCACTTCCCCCGCTCTGTCAGGCTGCATCACGCTTTGAAGTTAATGAGTCAAAACTATCAGTCGTTTCGCTTTTAATTAGAAAACGGACAGAATGATTACATTTTTAATTGAAGCTGTCATTTTCAATTAAGATATGACATCCTTGAGCAGCCCTCTCCTCTCGCCACTCTTTATTTCTTCATTTATCAGCGGAGTTCTCAAGATGTTCCTCTCGTTTTTCCTCCTCCTCATCTCTTTCTCCTCTTTTGCTGTTACAGGCGCCTCTTGTCTGGAGCTGTCAAGTATCTCTGCTGCTTTACAACATGTTGTTGTTGATATTTTACTTCTACCCACTTCAGATTTCACCATTATCTACAGCTATTTTCTTTAATATTGTAATTTCCTTTTGTTGTTACTTTTGCCATAATTCCTAACCTTGTAGAAATTTTGAATACAGGTACAAAAGGTACAAAAGATAATAACCTTGTCCTGTAAGAATTGAATCAGTGTTGTCGTAATTAAATAGAAATGTGTGGGTACATTTGCTTTATGGATGCATTTACTTATAGCTTCAACCAAAGTGTAAAACATTATATCTCTTGAGAAACCATTGATGTGATTCAGCATAAAAAGGTTTATAAAAACAACGTAAAGTAGGAAATATATCAAAGATATCAGATAAAGTGATGATAAAATACAAGCTTGTAAAAAAAAAAAAGCTATAGTTTCTCATTCAGCGGAAGAAGAACTGTGGGAAACGAGCTTCTCTAAAATCAATACATTTTGAATCAAAGTTGTCTTAATCTTCTCCCAGAAGATTTCTCCTCAGAGGGAGTTTTTTTTTTGTCTGGATGAGATTTCTCCTTATGATGTTCAAACTTTTTTTGCCAAAGGCAAGTTTTATAGATTGAAGGAAGAGTCACCTGGGAATATCCGGCGATTTTGCAGCCCTTTGTGTTGTTGTGAATGGTCTATTCTGCAAAGCCAGATGGGGAAAGTTAGCAACTCTGCACAGCTCATGCAAAAAAAAGCTGCATCATGTTACTCTAAATTCAGTTGGACTGCCACAAAATACATCTAGGATGAGCTTCCTTTGTGTTTTTGTGTAAAACCTGTTTCTCCCCCAGGTTTGGCAGCAGAATAACCACACTGAGCTGCAGACAGAGACTATGACAGTGAATCTGCCCTGAGATATTAAAGCTGCAACACATTCATTATGACAGGCTTTCGAGATATACTGCCACACATTTTGTTTCATAAGGCCTGAAATATGAAATGTCTGGGTGGATTCTGAAAGATAGCTTCTGATTCAACATTTCTTTTATAATTTGCTTTTCAGAAAAGTCTTTTACATCCTTTTAAGCACTGAACTGTGAACTATAAATCTTTCATGTTATTCAGTCAGCCATGGGCCATGACCTTATAATCACAGATTAGGAGCATTAAAATAGGAGCAAAATGCAAATGCACAAGACTGTGCACTTTTAACAGGGATTAATGCAGGGACTTTGCTGCAGGCAGTCAGCATGCACAGGGAGCAGGGTTTTGTTTGAAAGTAGAACAGCTCGATCAACCCCAAAAGCACATAAACTGTCAGAAACAATGTTAGACTGGAAAAAAGACAATAAACTATTGGTTCTTTAACCAGCTGTCAGTGGGAACGACACAATATCTATTTTTAAGTGCTGAAACGAATACAAATGTGCAAAACAAATATGAATATTTCCAAAATCCACTTTTGGTCAATCAAAGTTTAAATTCTGTCACATTTTCCGCATTGCAAGAAATGTCATGCTTAAAGGGATATTCCGGTGTGAAATTAAGTTAGGGTCAAACACACCCAAAAGTGGACACCCCCTTGAGAGATAAATGTTGCCGACTGCTTGCAATACCAACTTCAGCAAGGAGCGCACAATAGCAATACACAGCCATCTCCGTCTCCATGCGCAAACCTCAACCATAACGCCACTCTATAGCCACAAATAATCCTCAGAACAGCACCTACCTTCATCAACAGTACATATAGGGTCCAGGCCACAGTACTAGCCAACAAACATCTTTTTAGCTTTGCCTGGTTTCTTAAGCAAAGAGACTAAACACAACTCACCCACTCTCTTCCAGCAGCCACTTGTTTGTGGGGAAGTCCTGACGAGTCGATCACCGAGTGCAATGGAGTTCCACAGCTGAAAGAAGAACATTTATGATTATCACTTCATGGAAATGCAATCAGAGTTCTTGTGTATCTTGTATGTGTTCTGCAGACGCAGCAGTTCTTCTGCTTTAGCGTCTCAGTCTTAGTGTTTGACCATGGATTAAACTTAAGCCAGAATATCCCTTTAATATATAACTCAGAAACTACTGAAGCATCTGTGTAAACACATGGATGATGACTGAGCATACTCCTCACCTCTGAGTACCATGCAGGTCAGCCGATAGATTGTGCACTCAAAGGTGAACACAACCTGCAACATAATTTTTATTCTATCTCGATATTTGATGAGTTGAACCATTACAATCACTTGTCCAACCTTTATCTGTAATTCTAACAGGTCAGGGGTCACAGGAGCTGATCACAGCTGGGTGAGTATATCCTGGGCTGGTTGTATAGAGATATACTACCAGACACATTCACATCAATACAAGAAGTTAAAGTCACCAGTAAACCCATCGAGAATGTCTTTGGACGGTGTAAGGAAACTGTGGAAGACCCACATATGCAAGCTGCGGGAATTGAACCAGAAACCTTACTGCTGTTACACACAGCTCAAACCACTGAACAATGCACCGCTATCCATGAAGAGCATCATCATAAAGTTTCCACAAGAAACAAGCTGCTAAATCTCTTTCAAATGACGGATAAACTTCTTATCCACGTATGACCCAAACTCTGGAGATTTCACCAGTGATACAACAATTCTCAGGTTTACAAAGTCCTGAGGTTTAAGACAAGTCTGTAGATTGTTTTGTATGTTAGGAGACGAAAATCCTGAACTCTCTGTCCTGATAAATTTGGACTTTCAGAGAATAAAGATTAGGTTTTGCATCCACAAGGTTAAGACAGACAAAGTGTGAGGGCTAATTTGGCCCAGAAGTGTTTTCTAAATAAAAACAAACCAATGTCTGGATTAAAGTAGGACAGTTCCCTTTAAAACACAAAGTAAAATGGTGGATCTCAAAACCACAGCTTGTTTAATGAGTGTCAGCGCACAAGAAATTGCTATGTCAAGCATATGACAACAAATGGGCAATTATTTACACATTACCAACAAAATGATTAACAGGGATTAAGAGGTTTCCTCCACTATAGATTCAGCTTCATAATAAAAAAGACGTGGTTTGAAATACTGTATTTTCAGTGGTAGATTATGTACTGGATATGCAATATAAAAGACAAGAGGTCATATATTTTAAGACTTCAGCAGTCAAACCAAGATATTTAGTTAAAAAATCTTAACCACTGCAACAATTTCCTTGGATGACTCAGATATCACAGAGCTTCCAGTGATAAAAAAAAATGAAATTTTGTCTGTACTTAGAAAAACAAAACTGCTGTAATTAAGGCTGTTTTCATACAAGAACGTGTGCTGTAGAAATCCCAAAGCCAAACCAGTATAAGACAAAGAAATGAGAATCTTACTCTGAAACTTTCATTAATCCAGAGTCAAAATGGCCCTGAAATCCAACCTTGTGGCTCTCATGATGGACTAAAGTCATATTTTTATCTGTAGTTAATTAAACCCACATTTGTTGCTTGTATTTGTAAAAAAACAAAACTGAGTTCTTATCACTTGATGTCTTGAGGGATATTTTAGCTGACTTCCCAGAATGAATTATTTCGTAGCTTCAATATTTCTTTCTTTTTTTTTTTTTTTTGGCAACGGTTTAAAGAAACCACAGAAGAGATCATTGTCGCCAAGTACTTAAGTCGCAAATTCGAGCCCAACAAAAGTGCTGATGGTATTTGGACTGTTTCGTTCAGTACGTTTGCATGCACAGTTATGTCACGATGCAGTTCTAGCTCGAATAGGCAACAACTGCCTTTGTCCCAGTTTACAAGCACCAGGTAAGAATCAATGCCCTTTCTTCCTCTGTCAAGGTTTTGTTCTCTAGCTGACTTCTACCAACACATTTCTGCTCTTCAACAAATCTAATCCTAGCTCTAAACTCTAGAGCATATGTAGAACACTCAGGCCTGCTTCAATCCAATAGAAGCATAAACATGAAGGAAAAATCGATCCCCAACCACATAATTTGGGTATGTTAGTCCATTTACAAGTAGTCAGATTTAGTGTGATTTCAGTCAGACTAATCAATCAATCAATCAATCAAATTTTATTTACATAGCGCCAATTCACAACAGTCGTCATCTCAAGATGCTTTTCAAAGAACAAGAGCAGGTCTAGACCACGCTCATTGTTTGAAGACCAAGAACCAACCTAAGATGGGTTTTGGCCCATCTCATCTAACATGAGTAGCAGTGGCAAGGAAAAACTTCCTTTTAACAGGCAGAAACCTTGAGCAGGACCAGACTCATGCCAGACAGCCACCATGCCGCTGCTGGGTTGGGGAGGAATGTAGAGAGATGGAGGGAGAGAGGAAGAGAGGGAGAGAGAGAGAGAGAAGAGGGGAGAGGGCAGGGGGGAGAGAGAGAGAGAATGAGTAAGGAGAGGGAGGGGGAGGGAGAGAGAAGAGAGAACGAGGCTGAGAGAGAGACAGGGAACAGCAGAAACGACAGCAACAGCAACAACCAATGAGTTTACATGTACTCCAAAAGTCCAGTTTTAATCAAATTAATGCAGTAAGTTGATTATTTGAGCAGCATACAAACATACTTACTTTATAGGTTGGGTTTTAAAGAGATGTTTCACTATTTTTCAAGTGTGATTGTATGAGTTACATGTGTGTCAGCCACAGTGGATGCCAGTCAGCTCTACCCTTGTAATGAAAAACTGCAGCGAGAACCTGCACACAAGCTAGGCTACAGTTTCCTACCCCCCAGATGGGGCTGTATCTGTCATGCAATTTTACATGTCTTGAGAGATCAAAAGCCAAGAATTTATCCCAATTTAAATGTACGATCTATTAACAAAATTTTCTGCACTTTGCCACCAGAGGGCATTTCACCTTTCGCATTATTTGCATTCATAATATGTAGACGTCTTCTTCCACTGCAAGCGCTGCCAGCCAGTGTCACTTGTTTTCTTAGGCTTAGTGACTCAGTTACGTAATTTAACATCGTATGAAGACCTTTAACAAGGTCAATTTCAACAAGGCACAGCTGACACATTTGAATGCAGCAAATAACACAAAATTGAGCCTACATGAGGCTCTCAGTGACAACAAGGCTTTACTGTAATACTGACACATTTACTGTTATTTTAAAATGGACATAATTTTCGTGTTAAATCCACACAGTGAAACATTCAGTTACTAACCACAGATAAAAACTGAGTAGTACTCTATAAATGGCCATGATTATGTCTCATTATGTTTGTACCACATTCCTACGCCTCACACAAAACCTTCCTATTCTTTACCCTTCACATAATTTCTCTCCCGTCTTTCCTCTGCCTCCTCTATTGTCTTCCTCTGACTCTCATCTCTTCCTCCTCCAAACCCGGAGGAGTGTGTTTCTGATGCTCTTTATGGTCCATTTCCTGGTGAGGAGGCTCTTGAGTGCAGCCCGAGCCATTCTTTGCCCGTACAATGCTGTGTTCTCATTAACTCTTATCAAAGTTCATCTTGCATCTGAATGCTGTGGACCGCTCAATACCGTCGACGGTGAAAAGAGAAAATGAAAAAGACAAAGCAAGCACGAGAGGCACAGAAGGACGGGGCGAGGGAGGGGGGCACGATGTAGATAAAGGACAGAAATAATGGTTTAATGGTGATTGAGGGTGAGCAGAATAATCACAGCGGTCCCCTGACTAGACTGAATATTGGTTTGATGTCAAATTAAACTGTGTTCATATCTGCAACCCTGATAAGTATGTTTTTTTCATTAAACCAATACTCGCTTTTTAGTTTTCTAGGACTAAAAAAGTAAGTAGAGTAGCATAACTGGCTCGGACAAATGAATTGAATTTCTAATCGTAATTCAATCTTACTAACACAAAAGAGACTCTTTGAATACCTGTGCTTTTAATACAACCTAAAAACAAAATTGCCAATATGCAAAGTGACTACAAGGAGCACGCAAGACAGGAAAACATTCAGTTTCCAGCAAACGAAGGACACAAGTGGGTGGAGACATGAAGGGAGTACTTAGTGCAATCCTTACTTTATTTGTTCACATGATTGGAAATCACCCTGTAATTCTGTCTGTAAGTATCATCCACCTCTCATCATAAACACACACATAGTTAGTCCTCCTCCTGTATCATCAGATCCCACTGTGCAGCTGGATTTTCCTCATTGAGATGTAAAGAGCGATAATTGGAGACTGATTGCAGCCTTCAACGACTATCACAAGACGCTTCAACACATAAGAGCCCCATTTACATCAAGAAAAAAACCCTGCTGTCTGATGAGAGCTTTCATCTAAACACCAGCTTGTAATATCATCTGATGGATATTTTCTACTTCATGTCTGCTGCTGCTGCTTCAAAATGCATATTATCCTCTGTGATGGCCAGCAAACTGCTGGAAGCCAACAAAACGAACACTTGTTATTCTGTTTTCAAGAAGTCCCCGTCAAAGTAGTAACACTGGGTTTTTGAAGCAGTGAGGTTGTATGAAGTACAAAAAGATGAAACTTCATATAACTGAACATATCACTGCTGGTGTTTGCTTGAATCATCTTAAAGTCCATCGACGACTGCAGCGGGGTGACACAGCTCAAGGAGGATCATTTCTTCGTGGAATCAGACTGAGACGCTAAGGCAGAAGAACTACCGCGTCTGCAGTGCAAAATGATTATGATGATTATTACTTTAAGGAAATGACAAAGTAATGATCATAAATGTTCTTCCTTGAGCTGCGTCATCCCACTGCAGTCGATGGACTTGTCCAAGCTCTCCCTACAAACAAGCAGCTGCTGGAAGAGAGTAGGTGAGTTGTGTTAAGTCTCTTTGCTAAAGAAATTAGGCAAAGCTGAAAAGATTTTTGGTGGCTACTAGTACTATGGCTGGGACCTTATATGTACTGTTGATGAAGTTAGGTGCTGTTCTGAGCATTATTTGTGACTATGGAGTGGGTTTTTGGTTGAGGTTTGTGTGTGGCTCCTGGGACCGCTGTGTATTGCTATCCTGCAGTCTTTGCTGAAGTTGGTATAACTAGAGAAGAAAGCGATCGGCAACATTCATCTCTCGAGGGGGTGTCTAACTCGGTGTTATGGTGTGTTTGACCTTAACTTAATTCTACACTGGAATATCCCTTTAACCATTCAACAAAAGCAGTTTTTATGTTTTATGCAGAAAACTACAGAAACTTGCCAGATTTTTCAGGATGAGCTGCATGTGTGAATACGACCAATAAAAATCCATGCACCAATTTTTCTCCAGTAAAATTTCATCATAAAGTCACAGTAGGACAGTTCAAGTTCAACTTAGCAGGCAGGCGGATCTGGAAGTGCTGTCATTTTAAACAGTTTCCCCTCAATGTCAGATATATCAACCCAATCGTGATCCATTATTTTACAGGGCGGGGTTTTAAAAGACGACAACACAGGAGCGCTGCTTCAGTAGATTTATGCCCCATCTAAGACTGTCCAACATGAAGCTTGAAAAAGACCTATTTCACTCAAGTCCAGACAGCCACAAAGACAAATGGTTGGGAGGCTCTGCACTTCTGAGTTCAGGAAGAGCAAACTGTAAAGGAGCAATGATGGAGCAACTGAGCAATGATCAGAGTCTCTGATCCTTGTCTGAGACCTCCTCAGAGAAAGTAAACTAGATGGGCAAAAGTAAAAGCATCTGTGTGTTTACAGGAGAGCTAGTTACTGACCTTTATTTTTGCATATTAGCACATTTGTACATCTAGTCTCCAACCTCTTAAGGCATGTAAGGTCGGTCACAGTTAATACTGACAACCAGAGGGTTTCTGTAAATAAAGATGGTGGTGAAAAAAGTTAGTATGACTTTCTTGAATAGAGAAATTCTTTTTGAAAGTTTAAAAAACTTTGAAAATTCCCATGGAAAGGCGGCTGCGAAATACACATGGCATTCAAGAGAAATATTTTCTTTTTCAGTCAAAGGAGCGGCTCTATAAGTCATAGGTATTTATGGTGAGTCTTATAACAAACTCATCTGGCTGGACGGGCCTCTTCTCAGCTCTCAGAGGCCCAAAGCTCACATCTACTTAACTCACAGCTCGGTAGCGTGAACACTTTTTAAACCCTTGGCCCTGCATGGAGACTGTGCCTCAGCTGCCAGATAAACGCCCAGAGGAGACTGTCTGATACCATAAACACCAGCGGAGAGTCTAACCATGACGGATGGAGGTGAAGACGGAGTCCACTTTGCACAGGAACTCTGTCTCCCCACTCCAATATTTAAGTGTTTTCAAATCAATAACTCATGTTTCGGGGTCTGTATACACATTGTGTTGAACAAAGCTCGCTGTTAGTTCGCACACACCGCCTGTGCTCCCCAGAGAATTAAGGCAGTGAGGAGAAAGATAGTTTAGGGGATTAGACGTTCTTTGTAAAAGGAAAATACAGCAACTAATGGATGTGTGTGTGTATGTATGTACGTGTGTTTTTGTATTGCTTAATGTGTGTGTTTAGAGACAGCTTTAGGTCTTCAGGATGGCGCTGTGCTGCTGCTCCCACTTTAATTGGCTGCTGGCCCCGCAGCCTCGCCTGAATGGAGAGTCATTTAGAGACCTTTCACTCTCACAGAGGATTGTCAGTTGCTGCTGCAGGAGAAATTGCATTCCTGTTTCCATACAATGGCTGGTCTGAGTCGGGGATGGGGCAAGAGTATCACTGTCATTATCATGACAATAGAAGCTAATTCCACTGCCACTAGCGCCATTCTGAACCCTCTGCAGTACCGGCTTATCAGGGGGCACCATGAGACCAGCAGGAAGCTACGCAGTGCTGCATCTGAAGCGGAGATCCACACACACACACACACACACACACATTAATTTAAACACACTCACAGACACACAAACAGTCAGGGTGCACTCATACTTTGTTAAGGTATGAACCAGGCGCATCAGCAGAAAAGTTTATCTAAGATGGCAAATTTCAGATGGTGAAACAAGCTGCTGTCTTGCAGTGGTCTGTTGAATTATATTTACTTAGTCTGATACAGTATTGTCATAAGTGTCCTGATCGCGGTCATCATCATCTGCAAAATAATGAGACAAATGACCCTTAACAGATGTATAAATTTATCAGCAGAAATTATGATATGCAGTAAAAAAAATAACGTTTTTTTTTTTTTAACAAAATCTCGTCTTTTGTTTGTTTTTGCTTTATTTTTAATATTGTGAAAATCATACCAAAGGTTTACACAGGCCACATATACAGTATGTTACCTGTGGTCCTGAAACTGCTGAATGAAAATGATTTCATTAATGTACTGACATCTGGCATCTCACTGGTGTTTCCAGTATTAAAGGGTACAAATGAAAAGGATAATGGTTTGATTTAATTATATACTACATGAGCACTGAATTGCATGTTTTATCGATGTGCATTTTACAGGTGACCAACTTAGAAGAATTGTGTGAATGATATCAGGTGCTGATGTGCAAGACTGTGAAGACAGTAATGTCAAAATAAGGGTTTTACAAGTTTAATTTATTCATACCGTGGACAGTTTGGACAGATAAGCATACTGACAGCAGACACAAAATGAAATCCAGTCCAGTTTGAGGTATGAGTGAAAGAGGAGAGAGCTGAAGAAAAAGAAAAAGTGAATATTAAAAGGAACACAATAAGGGAGAGTATGAGAAAACTGGCTACAACCTCAGCAAATGAAACCTGCTCCTGAAATGTGGAGCATGAACAAAAAAAAATCTGTCTGCAGCTCTTGGCCATAGCAAAAGCTACAGGTCTGCATAGCCCTGTACTTATAGAAGTCTATAAGCGTAAGCTGAAAATGTAACCACTCACCAGAACAACGCAGAGCCCTGTGATTGACCTCTCTCTCTCTTTCTGCTTCACTGCTGTAATTTCATCATGATCACTGCAGCACAACAAACACAAGCTCCAACTTCAACATTTCACGTTCAGATTCAGGCCCTGTGGCTTCCTGTGCACCAACAAAGAAAAAATGTTGCAGGACTGGAAACTGGTGATCTGCAGAACACAGACATGACACTGATAAACTGCCTTTAGGCAAAAATCGCAAAGCAACACTAGCTGGGTTTACATGTGCATAAATAATCGTAATAAGTGCCCGATTGGAAAAAAAAAGCGTCATGTAAATATGACGCTAAATATAAATAAAACACAACCGCAGGTGCCGTGTCTGCTCCTCCGATAACATAACAAGGCGTACACACAGGGTAATGATGTTACATCTACACGCACAGTACAACCTTTGACAGAACAGTAAAATAAGTATGCAAGGTCACCCATCTAGTGACAACATTTAACAAGGGGAAAACTCCTGAATTGGATGAGTGAGCCACTACTGCGTTTGTTGGTTTGTTGACAGCACAGGCGTAAATACAACCCTGCCTCTGCGGTTGTTTTAGCGAATTCAGACAACGCTGCGCTTGTCCAAATGTTGACCACTATGACATAGCTATAAAATAAAGTCGATACAGAAGTGTAAATCAGGCTAATGATTTTTGAGGTGATTTATTCATTTAAACTTGTGAAACAAAGTAAACTTTGTAATGGCCCAAACAGGCCACATCTTGGCCCAGAGGATAAGCAACATGTCAGTCGACCGGGATTTTAAAAAGATGCTACATCCCCTGGTAGAACAATTACCATAATAGCACATGTTGCATGAAAATATTGTGTGGTTTAGTTCGCCAGACAACAAGTAGGTGGTGGAATCCATGAAATTGACACAATGTTGATATTATTGCAGCCATTGTTAGATAGTTCCTCAGTGATCACTGGATCATACTTGTCAAGTTTTGTTGGTGGGTACTTAGTGCGAACCAGTGACAGAGTTCAGTTTGGAGAGGCGGAACAATGTTTTTTTTACATATATTTTAACATGGGAGATTTACGGGTGAATGCTAGTATGGGAAGACGGCGGGAAAGAGGGGTAAAATACAGTTTCCTGGCCAAAACAGGATACTTGACAGCTATGCACTGGATGAAACTTTGTGAAGTCTTAAAGATTTGTTTCAGTTTGTGGCGTTAAAAAAAAACTGAGAGATAAGGAGCAACATTTAGCAACTTTAGATTTCATCAACAAAGTGACACATCCTCTCCTTCCCTCTGGGAGACCTTAACCAAGGTCAGACAACACAAACAAAGTAGAGGGAAGCAAATCACTCACACAGATAAGAGAGAGAAAAAAAAGAGACAGGCAGACAGGATAACCTACAAACAAGGGAGAGGGGAGAAAAAGGACAGGTTAAAACTCCAAGGAGCTGATGGTGCAGATCAACATCTGAATGGGGAACTAACCGTAAGATGAGACAGCAAGATCCCAGACAGCCAACATTCTCATAGTTGGAAGTGTAGTCAAGTGGAAAGCAATGGAAAAGATAGTTTCTTTTTTAAGGATCAGACAGCAGTGAGAGGTAAATGTAAGGTTTTTGTTAATATAGTACATACACATCTTTACTTGGCTTCATGTAGTCTCCAAATAGTAAAAGTAAAGACTCAGTGGAGAAGATTATGAGGACGTAGTTTGTTCCTGCTTCCAGATGTTTAACCCCGTGACATCAACCCTGTTTAATTCATTTGCACCATTTCACTGCAGCTGTGCACGCTGGTCTGACCCCATTATCTGCTGCCTTCATCCTTTTCTTTCTCTGAGTGTATCATCATCCAACACCCTGCAGGATCCCCCTCTGTTCACTCAGAGGGCAGCGTGGTGTCGGACCTGGAGGCTGCCATTACACAGTCACTGACCTTTTCCAAATTAAACCCAGTGCATAAAGCGAAACCAAAGTGCAGATACACACAGCCTCACACTAATGCAGAAAAACTCAGTGGTGTGTATCTGGAACACCTTTTAGTATCAGTTTGAATCAGAAAATCATGTTTTTTTTCTTTTCTGATGCAGAAAATTCGCAGATTTCCTCTAAATGCCCCACTCTGTTGTAATCAAAAACACCTAAAACATAAAAGCACAGGTGATTTTAAGTGAGTTATCAGCTGGTCCTCATTGTGAAGCAGAAGGTCTGGTCCCATTGGGGTTATAATATGCATGTCTACCCACTTATTATCCATTTATCCTACTTATTATCAAACAATTAAAAAGAGTTGACACTTATCATTAATGATCTAAATATGGTTTAATTGATTCATAAATTTTTATGCAGCTTGAGAAACTCAGATTTCACAGTTCAGGGCTTGATACTAACTTTTTTTTCACAAGGTGCACATGTGCTCCTAAGTTGAAAAAGTGAGGAGCACACAGAGAACTTAAGGGACACAATGAAAATTGATCATATAATGTGTGTCTTATTGGTCGACACAAATTTTTGTTTGAAATAAATTTTAGGTCGGTTGGTCACATGACATGGAAGCTATTGAAGAAAATGTTCAAAATTTGCCTTTAAATTTAACACAAAAATGTAAAGAGGACAAATTAGGGAAATAAAGAGGTGTGTCTTATTGACATAAGTATTGTTGTTTGAAATCAATTTTAGGTCATTTGGTCACATGACATGAAAGCTATTAAAGGAAAACTGCCTTTTTTTTCAACCGTTAATTTATTGATGGTCCCTTATTCAACACCTGTGCTGCGTCCGAACTGCCCGCTCGGATACTACATGCTGCTGCTACGTGCTACTGCTAGATCCTACTCCTACATACTAAAAACCTTGGCCCAATTCGGACACACTAGACGAGCGGTGGGGAAAGACGACCCCCGCAGGCAGAGAGTAGGTACTGCGCCCGTGCAGACAGTGGTAACTGAAGCCCCTCATCTGCGGGCCTGGCTGTAGTACTGCAGCTGTGCAGTTTAATTATGGAATAAGTGAGCTTTACCTCCATGATGTCGCCACTTGCTCATAAAATGATTACTTGGGCAAATATGACACCATGACATGACAAAGAGATACAACCGCACATTTTTAGGACAGTGTGTGAAGTTTAGGGCTGCAGCTATCGATTATTTTAGTAATCGAGTACTCTATCGATTAATCTGTCGATTAATCGAGTAATCGGATAAGAAATGTTTTGCTCTCACTGTAATACTTTGCATTGAATCACGTTTGCCTCATTAAAAACCATCAGTAACACACAAAACTGAAATAGGCCAGGTCTTTCAAATGAATATTTTACTGCATAAATCAGGAACCAAAAGTTTTACATTTTACCATGTAGTTCACATGAAACTACTGAAGGCAAGGTCTGCAGATGGTCTTTTAATTGCTATGGTAATGATCTTTGCAGTTTTCACTAAACCAGTCACAACTATTTCCAGGCTTTGGATCTAATTTTACTTGTTTAATTAATAGGCTGAAATAATATAATTCTTGGATACTAACATAATTTGACAAGCAAATGTACATTTATTCAATATATAAAAGTGTTACATTTTTATTTACATGTTGTTGTGTGTTGGTCATTTTGCAGCCCTCTGCTGCTCATCACACGCCTAGCAGGTGGTGTATAGCATTATCACCATGGATACACGGATGTTTGTGTGATTTTTTTCATCCACTGCCGCCCGGTTTGTGTCGTGTAGATGTTGATTATGAAAACACTTCGCAATAATTTGGAAACGTGAAGGGGGAGCTGCTGCTGCCCGGTGTTTACGGTAAATAGACGCAAACACCGACCAAGTGGACGCTTCGGTCTCCGAAAACGCCGAGACAAATTTACAAACAGCCACTATTTCAAACAACTGGGCTCATAATCGTGATGTAAACACTTACTTTCTCGCTAGAAAAAATATTATTATTGAATGAATTTATATAATTTGTCCGGTATGCAGTCGTTCTATGTAGCTTGTGGTAGGACTATTTAAATTTTCCCGGCGCTGCGTCCGGCCGGCACGAAATGCATTCTGGGGTATTTAGTATGTATGTGTGTAAACGCTCGGGCAGCCGCGGCATACTCAAATCATCTTTGAGTAGTCAGTAGGCAGTAGCTACTGCTTGAGTAGGTAAGTAGATAGCAGGCAGTATGCCATTTCGGACACAGCTTCTGTCTGTCCTCGTTTCCCTCCATGATTGAACCAAACGCGCGGCAGCGGAAGGAGCGGAAAGAGCACGCTTCTGCGCAACAGAAATAACCGTCCGTGTCAAACACCGTGCGCTGCACATGGTTCCGGATTTAAACGATTCCTCGAGGCATATAATTTGCCTCGAGGAATTTTATTAATCGAGTTACTCGAGTTACTCGAGTAATCGTTTCAGCCCTAGTGAAGTTACATGAAACTTACATCTGTACTGCTGCGGTCCCGCCTGCTGCTGCTGCTGCTCCGACATGGTGCGCGCTGCTGTGGCCAGCCGGCGTTTGCGACGCATCTAAATAGGCAGCAGCTGGTGGCGCTAGCATCACATGCGCTTCTACAACTTTTAAGAGGACGAAGAAGAAGCCCGCGGTGCATTTTGGGTCAGTAGCATGCCCGTAGGATGCACCGAGACCAACCTACAATGTGGGCGTGTCTAGCATCTGAAGTAGTATCTGAAGTAGCATGCTACTCGCTCCGGTGGCCAATTCGGACATGCTAGATACTACTTCGACTACTACTTGGCAATTCGGACGCAGCTATTATGTTGACAGCGAGGTTGCTTGAGTAGATTTAACCGCGCTGCTGTTGCTATTCCCGATTATGGAGAGTGAGAAGACACCTGTAGCTCTGCAGCGAATGTCCATCGAACATTTTAGTTGCACCTGGGAGTGAAATGGTTGCTCTGTCGAGGCCTGCAATTGATAGCCTTTTCGTGGCGATGTCGTTCTTGTCAGCTTTCTTCTGAGTCAAATTAACATTTATCATTTTCTGACAGTGAAGTCGAAACATTTGTCTGTATGTAGGAAATAAAAGCAGTATTTGCGTCATGTATTTTCCCTTGTAGTTCTTCTTTTCACTCAGCCAGTCCTTACTGCTTTAGGCCATATTGAGTTGCGGTTTGTGGTTGCTTCATATCTGCTGTCTTCACTTTGTTCAATGTCTCTGTCATGCTGTTCCTTCAGTGTTGCTGCTGTTTCTCTCTTCTCTGGTGACTGGTGGGCCATCAACCAAAAATGTAAAGTTTTGTACTCAACAGTTATATGATTATTGTGATTTATGTGGTTATTGTGTTGTGACCAGACGGAATCGAGTAATTAACGCAGCTGGAAAGTAACTAAAATGAAAACGAAAATTAATGAGGGGTTTCAAAGATTAGTGACCTTCATTGTACAAAATCCTAAATTGTAGAAAAACAAGTGAAATAATGTTGTTTCTAAATTTCTGTTAATATGGATGGTTTTTTGTTGAAGGTCTGCACATAAAGGTGTGGTATATTTAAGTTTTTCTTTGTACACTGTTGATAATTCTCTGTAATAGTAAATGGAAGGGTTTAAAAACGTATCATATTTCATTCACTCATATTTCACTCCTAGGACAAAAACATTTTCCCTCCTCTCTTTCCTCTGGTTTCAGTCACACTGCTGAGTCACTGTGTTAGGAAGCGCTGCAGGCAAATCAACAACAAAAACACAACAGGCACCTTCAGGAATCTATGAGCTGATTTGATGTGTGCTATTCTGACAGGAGTCAGGTGAATCTACCACCTCCCATCAGCTTCAGCTTTACACAGACTGAAGGCATCATCAACCTCCTGACACATCTCAGTAATTAGATAGTGTCTCTGTCTGAAATAGAACTTGGCATGGCAACTTGTCTTTCATTTGATAGGAAGTTTCTGTCATGATTTCCACTCAGATACACATGATCTTGACAGAAGCTTTAATGAAACAATCACAAAAACACCAAACAGGGTGCAAATAGAATTTCCAGCGGTAGTACTGGGCCTGCCTATGATGTACTCCTCTGCTGGTCATTTGCTGTCTTAAACTAAGGGGGGTCTTTATAATCCACCCAGCCTTCAACAACACTTATTAGACACAATCACTAGTGAGAGAGAAAAGCTGCCAAACAGACTCACAAAGCAGTTGCTTGCCTCCTCAAGTCTTCAAAGGAAAATGCCTCAAAAAACCTTTCTTAGAGGTTCTGGCTCTTATCTGTGATCCACATGATTTAGCTCATCGAAGCAACAACAAACAACTCTTTCTGCTCCCAAATGACTTTTTATAGTAGCATTTGGCTTTTGTTAAAGTAGCCTTAAAAAAGAAAGTGAAATACTGGAACAAGTCAAAGCTCAAAGTGCCAGTGCATGAGAACACCTCGAAAAAAATGTCAAAATAAATAAGTGGGCAGTAACAAATGTCTAAATCTCTGAATTCAGTGCGGGCAAAGTGGTGATATAAGGCACAGGTGACAGAGATTACTGTCCAGTACAAAGTGACAGTGAGGATTTGTCCAGATCAAAAATGTCAGTGCATGTTGACTGTACAATATGTATGTGGGGCTGTATAAAGGGGGTCAGTCAGAGATTGTTGGGGGTGTAGAGGTGGATGTGAATGACAGCAGGATATTTAAGAGTCTGACAGCCCGGAGAAAAAGCTGTTGTGCTGGTCCTGATGTTGTTAAACCTTTTGCCTGATAGAAAGTCTGAGTGAGGTGTGGGGTGACTTTTTTCTTTTTGACGATTGCAGAGGCTCTGCATGCACAGTATGTCCTAAACATGTCCTGAATGGAGGGAAGACAGCCGCCTGTAGACCCCTCGGCAGGGGTGAAAGTAAGCAGGTACTCAGCGGTACATAATCAGCTGTTTACAGCCAGTACGCAAACTTTCACCCATCCAATGTATGTAAGCTACATTTGCTTACCGTGTTGCCGCACGTCAGTCTGCACTCTCGTAACCATAGTAATCCAATAGGACCATGCTGCTTGCGAGTAAGTTGAATTTGCTTCCGTAAACAAACAAACTCCAGGAAGAGATTTTTTTTCTCTTTTTTTGGAGGACGGTAGAGGAAGGTCCCGCCTTCCTTCGTCTCTGATTGGCCAGAAGTGCTGGGCTCCTATTGGTTATTCCCAATGGCTGTGAAATGTCATCGTTTGTCGGATTAGGGTTAGGGTTAGGAGATTCAGAAGTGCAATAATGTTCTGTTAAATGCACTGAGCCGACAGCGTGCGTTTGGCTCGAGCGTGTGATGATGCTTCAAGCTTATCTAGCAAATCAGAGGCGAAGGAGGCAGGACTTTCCCCAACCATCCTACAAAAATAAATATGGCTGTGTCCGAAATGGATCCCTAACCCCTATATAGGTGACTATATGGGGGTTAGGGCCATTTTGAGGGGTATCCGAAACCCGAGTATATATATATCGCCTCCAGGAAGCGGGAGCGCTCAGTGCGCATTTTTGATTGGACGCTGGTTGCCAAGGCACTGGGGATCGCCTCCCAACTTTAGCGAGGGGGGAACTTTTAAAGAGACAGCTGCTTCAACCTTAATGCAGAAATTAAACAAAATGCAAAGAAAAATTGATCAAGAGAAAGAGAGATGCAGCAGATGATGTTACTGTCGCATCAAAGTCGGCATCTCTTTAAACTTGGGTGTACTCGTCTTGTACAAAGCCTACGGTTACAGTACCTGCAAGAACCTTATCCAGGGCTCTCAAGTTAGAAATGCAGACCAGAGTGACCCCCCACAGTCGAAACATTTTTAACTATTGACTTCCGTCATTCAAACAATTAAAGATGGTTTGCTGATTTGTGTGAGTATTTATGATGAACTCTGTTCACATACTCTGGTGGTCTCTTCAGGGGTGCTGCCAGGGATTTTTGGGCCTCCTGACTATTTTCATAAAACTGCATTTGATGATATTTTTGCCTATCATTCCAATATTTGTGAAAAAAACACCATGACAGTTACTTGGTAGGTGAGGCACTGCTGCAAGACTAAAATGCAACTAAAATCTGTGGAGAAATCACCATCAAAGACAAAATGGGAAAATACCTTTTATGATCTATTGTAATATGAACATCATCTATAGAACAAGATCCAACAAGCAAACAATAAAAAAAAATATAAGTGAAAATAATCCACACACCTGTGATTCTCCAGGATCCAAATGAAATGCAGTCAAGAGGTGGAAACTGCTCACATCTCCTCAGGTTTTGGTTTTTGAATTGCTTTTATGCATTCTTTTTATTCATTTATTTATTTGGGTGGTATGAACCAAAATAGAAATTACCAAACAGATTCAGTCTTTCCATCAATTACATGATAAGCAGGATAATTCAGTTATGTCCACTCAACAAAAACTCTCATTTATCTGGCAAATTTGTCACATTTTTTTGTCAAAATATCTCACTATATTCTATCTAAGCAGCGCTAACCTGATATAAAATATATATAATATCCAAATCTTATTTTAAGGTACTGGAACTCTGTGAGGAAAAAAAAGCCCTTGAAAATGACACAGGTAATTTTGATGTGATTTCAAACACGTGATTTTGGCTAAAAACTTCATAATCATGATTTAAAGACCACTGAGAACACTTTCAATAGTTGGGAAATCCTACTTTCACCCTTGCCCCTCAGCCGTCCCCACAATATGTGTTGTGGGGTTTGTGTTTCAATTGAAGGGGTTGTTGTGCCTCCATGACTTCAGAGGCGGTGATGAGAGACCACGGGAGGTCATCAGAGAGATGTACACCAAGGAACTTTGTGCTCCTCCTGACCCTCTTTACTCTCTACTGAGGAGCCACCGCAAAGTCCCGTCTGCACAGCGCCAAAACACGTGTGATTGTGGGAGAGGAGAGAAAGTGAGGAGGGGGGTTCCTGCAAGTCAGATCACACACAGAAATCATTTACATAGATCATAGCAGAGGTGGACCCCATTGTGAGGATCTGTTGAGTTTGCGCGAACAACAGTGGGCTGAGCACGCAGCCTTGAGGGACACCTGTGCTCAGTGTGATGGGACATGATGTTCAGCTGCCGATGTGCACAGACTGTGGTCTGTCCGTCAGGAAGTCCAAAATCCAGTTTCAGAGGAAGGTACTGAAGACCAGAAAGTAAAGTTTCTCAACCAGCTGCTGGAGGATGATTGTTTTGAATGCTGAGCTGAAGTCAGTGACCAGCAGACTGATGTATGTGTCCTTAGTGTCCAGCAGAGAGAGGGCTAAATAAAGGGTGTAGGAAATGGCCTCAACGGTGGAGCAGTTTGGTACAGGGGTGCTCAAAAGGCTCTCAGTAAAAATACTTTATAATAATTGCATGTAGTCTTTAATGGCCTAAGTCTAGATCTATGAAAATCATTGACAACTAGGTAAAAACTTTGTTTTAAATGGACATCAAAACGAGGAATGATGATTTGTATAACATCATTATTATGGATTTCTCAGAAAGGTACATTATATAATACTTGTGCCAGAATATATTCAAAGCATTGACTACTACCTCTTAAAGCTGAGTCACTGGTGCTTAGTCACTCTGTCTCTGTAGCCAGTATACCAGCTGGCATGGCTGTTCCTTTAAAAAACCCATAAGAACAACTCTTTCATTCAGAGTCCTTTGCATTAGTTTACAGTAACTTCCTTTAATTGCTCATCCATGAATTAAACCCTTGTAAAGTAATAAATTACTGCTGATAATGGTGCACACATTTCATTTTTACATGATCTTGCTTATTGGGGTTATTTCTGGGATAAAAACAGGAAATCAGAGCTCAACTGTTCAACTCATTTGTTTTGTCTTTCATTTAAACCGGTTGCCATTCGTCTCCATGGTTCTCTGGCAAATTGTGCAGTTTCAAGGCAACACACCCTTAGACATGTAAGTAACCTTTTCTTTTTTTTTTTTCTTGTACTCAATGCAGCACTCAGAGGGAGGTTCATCCTTTAATGATGGCAGTACAAAGCAAGAGGGCTGAGGTTGGAGACGATATAAAAGAAAAGAGCAGGGATGTGTAGCAGTAAATGCCAACATTGAAGGAAGGCGGAAAAATTTCAAAGGTAACTTATTCACTTAACTTACAACTATTTATTCATAAAATAATCACATATAACATTGACACATGTACAATATATACAGTACATCTGAAATGCTGTGGTCCTGCTTCTATGAAAAATAAAACAAACCGTCAACAACAATCATGTCCAAACTACTGACTGTATATGAAAATGGATAACAGCGCATCTGCCTCCTTCCATTATGAGAAAGTGAAGCCAAAATATTACCATGATGGATGCACACATACAATGCTGGTGAGGTATTCTGAAACCAGGGCATGTGCTGAAGTAGCCTGGCTGGGCCATCCAGTCGCGTGAATCACTTGCCGTTCCTTCCCACAATAGTCTGGACTTTGGCCCATTGGGAGCCCTAAAAGTGGGCGGGAGTACTTTCCTTGATAGACAGACTGATGTCACCAATCACGGTAACCAAACATCTGACGTCATCACAGTGCGCAACTGTGTTTCCTGCTGGGCTCTCAAGCATCAAGTAAAGGTTTGGTAATATTTCAACGTGTGCGAGCAAACAATGTCTGTTACGTCTTCTTCTGCGGATATAAACGATTTCTGCCGACTTTGCAAAGTCAACTGCAGAATTAACAGCGTTCTGAATGAACGGCGCTTTGAAAAGTCCTGCAGCATGTGTTAGACATCACCATCTACACATGGACCAATCAGGGGCTGCCTTTCACGGTTGTCCAGGGAACAGTGGAAACAAAGTCACTGATTGGCCCAGTTATTTTCTGATTTCTAATACACGCTCCCAATTGGCCGAAGTCCAGACTGTTGTGGGAAGGAACGGCTAGTGATTCATGCAACAGGATGGCCCAGCCAAGCTAGTGCTGAAGTGGTCCGGCTGGTAAACCTGCTGGATTGTCATCACACCATTTCACCTTACAAGGCACAAAGTCAACTTACCAATAAACTGTCACAAACCCTACAGGTTGGCACAGTTTAAGACAAAGGTGATTCTTGTTGTGTTGGTTTGAGGCAGACACTCTTATGCTAGTGTTTGTCTTTTTTTTCTTTTGTTGTTTTTCCTCCGCTCAGATAGTCTGCCAAAGAAAACTGGAAGAGCTCACATTTGTCAACAGAGCTGTCAATCAATCATTCTTATAAAATTAAATGACTAATTAAAATTAAGCAGCTCCACAAAATAAGTGCATCCATGTAAATCTGTATCATACTAAAATAACACAAGCATGATAACATTGACCTGACATTTTATTTTATTTTATAGTCCGTCCCATGCTCCATCTGTTTAAATGGGAGCTCTAAGAGTTTTGGCTTCACTTTGGAGGAGTTGCTGTCATCCATGTTTAAACAGTGCAAACAAGCAGGTAACACAAACTCGTTCTTTAACAATCTAATAAATCCAGGTCACCTGAAATCCTCCCACTTTGCGATATGCTCTGCAGCTGTAAAATACAAAAATGTAGAAATAAAGACACATTAGTTTGGAAACTGAGGTAAATCAATTGTGAATAATTCAATTTTTCCACACCTGGCATAGGCTGGTTTAAGAATCTGATGAAATGATAACAAAGCAAAAATATCACATCTGAACTGTATTGCAGTATTACAAATAGCGATCCAAATTGTCTTAATTTGAAATTTCTCAGTAGAAAAAAATGGTACACACACAATGGTAAAATATGAAAAAAAAGAATGGATTTTACTATGAAACACTTCTACAATGACTAATCAGAATAATCTCAAATTATGTTCTGCTGGTTGTATTTTATCGAAGTTGATGCACAAAAAACAGTCCAAAAAAACTGGGTTGAATGGAGTAGCAACACAGGTACCTTGATGGACATTGCAGGCTATCAGCAAAAACAGCCACTAATAAATTCACTTAATAAACTAAGTGGCCTGAAATAGACACTGGGTGTAGCTAACATAAATATCACCTCAGGGTTTCTCTGTGATGTGCACATCTACTAACCTATTACACATGACTGACACAGAGCGTTAGCTGTCATTTAAACTCAGTGAGATGGAGAGGCAGCTCCAACTGTGGGAACGGTATGACAGAAAATATCAGTGCTTTGAAACTGTGACTTTTCTCAACTGCGGCACATCTCAGTAGCTGACCCATGCCTATTTCAGACACTAGGGCAGGGGTGTCAAAGTCAAATGGACGGAGGGCCAAATAAAAAATTTAGCTACAAGCCGAGGGCCGGACTGATCGAATGTTCATTGAACATTTTTTAAATGACGCATATAGTCTAGTGAACCTAATTGAACCTACTGAAAACCTAACAAATATATTCCAACATGATCAGATAAATAAAGCAATATTTTCTTATGGCTCTGTCAGTAATCTTTAATTTTCAACAGACACAAAAGACAAATTTCCTTTATATAAAAATCCCCATAACATGAACATTAAATGAAAGAAACCGGTATTATTCAAGGCATCAGTAGCCTATATTTTCTATTTTAGCAAAAGTGGGCTAAATTTACTTCAAAGAAAAAAATAATAATAGCAATTTTCTATCATCCACTCAACTGAAATATTTTTTTTGTTCCATGTCCGTATTCTTGTTTTTGTCCGCGTGTTTCGTTTCATAATGTCTCAGATTATACTCTTTCAGTACCGCCACACTTTCTCCACACAGAAGACACACAGGTTTTCCAGCTACCTCCGTGAACATATACTCCGACTCCCACCTTGTTTGAAACCCCCGGTTCTCAGTGTCCACCTTCCGTTTTGCCATTTTTGATGGGTATCTGAAAGTTAATTTTACTGTTATGCTGACGACTGCTGTGCTAATAAATATTGAAACGAAGCAGCCTACTGCTCGGTGCGTCACCGTTGCATTGTGGGAAATGTAGTATTGGTGCGTGTAAAAGATCTGCGGGCTGCCGGCTTGCTGCGGTCTGCGGGCCGGTTCTAATAATAAATCAAGATCATCCCAGGGGCCGTAAAAAACCTTCTCGCGGGCCGGATGTGGCCCGCGGGCCTTGACTCTGACATACACTCACCGGCCACTTTATTAGGTATACCTGTCCAACTGCTCGTTAACACTTAATTTCTAATCAGCCAATCACATGGCGGCAACTTAGTGCATTTAGGCATGTAGACATGGTCAAGACAATCTCCTGCAGTTCAAACCGAGCATCAGTATGGGGAAGAAAGGTGATTTTAATGACTTTGAACGTGGCATGGTTGTTGGTGCCAGAAGGGCTGGTCTGGGTATTTCAGAAACTGCTGATCTAATGGGATTTTCACGCACAACCATCTCTAGGGTTTACAGAGAATGGTCCGAAAAAGAAAAAATATCCAGTGAGCGGCAGTTCTGTGGGCGGAAATGCCTTGTTGATGCCAGAGGTCAGAGGAGAATGGCCAGACTGGTTCGAGCTGATAGAAAGGCAACAGTGACTCAAATAACCACCCGTTACAACCAAGGTAGGCAGAAGAGCATCTCTGAACGCACAGTACGTCGAACTTTGAGGCAGATGGGCTACAGCAGCAGAAGACCACACCGGGTGCCACTCCTTTCAGCTAAGAACAGGAAACTGAGGCTACAATTTGCACAAGCTCATCGAAATTGGACAATAGAAGATTGGAAAAACGTTGCCTGGTCTGATGAGTCTCGATTTCTGCTGCGACATTCGGATGGTAGGGTCAGAATTTGGCGTCAACAACATGAAAGCATGGATCCATCCTGCCTTGTATCAACGGTTCAGGCTGGTGGTGGTGGTGTCATGGTGTGGGGAATATTTTCTTGGCACTCTTTGGGCCCCTTGGTACCAACTGAGCATCGTTGCAACGCCACAGCCTACTTGAGTATTGTTGCTGACCATGTCCATCCCTTTATGACCACAATGTACCCAACTTCTGATGGCTACTTTCAGCAGGATAATGCGCCATGTCATAAAGCTGGAATCATCTCAGACTGGTTTCTTGAACATGACAATGAGTTCACTGTACTCAAATGGCCTCCACAGTCACCAGATCTCAATCCAATAGAGCATCTTTGGGATGTGGTGGAACGGGAGATTCGCATCATGGATGTGCAGCCGACAAATCTGCGGCAACTGTGTGATGCCATCATGTCAATATGGACCAAGCTCTCTGAGGAATGCTTCCAGCACCTTGTTGAATCTATGCCACGAAGAATTGAGGCAGTTCTGAAGGCAAAAGGGGGTCCTACCCGTTACTAGCATGGTGTACCTAATAAAGTGGCCGGTGAGTGTATGTGCACTAGGGAGTGTGGACAAAAAAGGTTAAGATCTAAAGCATCGAATAAAATCCTGACTTTGCACATACAAGCACACACATACACCGTACTCTCCAGAAACCTTACTCAGAGTCTTCGCCTCAGGCTGTGTGATATCCACTTATCATTTTATTGCTAATTACCACAACACAGCAATGCAGGCTGAAACTGGCAGTGATGGTGTGGGGCACTCTGCAAGCTTTTAATCAGCTGAATTTATTCATCTCACTCTTTGATGCTTCAGAGACGTTTTGCTTTTGTTTTGAAAGAGGAGCTGAAAAACTGATGGATTGAATTTTTTTTTTTTCCTAGCCACAAATATAATCCAGCCCTCGAATTTCTTTGATCCGTGTTTTCGTGCTGTTGTACACAAACAAACTAAAACGGGGTAATGTTGTCAAAAAGCTGAAGCAGTTACCCTGACATGAGGGTGGAGTAAAAATGTTAACATAAGACATTTAGCTTTTAGTGATCGATACAAGATGAGCTATCAACCACTTTTAAAAGGAAAAAGACAAAACCAAAACCAAGCATTGAACGCCTCTTAATCACTCTAAGTGTTGTGATAGGGTTTCAACTCTGAGGCCCTTTGTGGAGCTTAGGCTTATTGATCACTCAGAGAGACTGCTGCTGAAGCGCCGAGTGCCATTGATTCAGACTGACTGCTATGTTTAAATGTGTTGGCAGGATCACACAGGGATATCAGTGCTGTGTTCACATCATTAATGGGCAGAGTGGATTAACATTTAACCCTCCACTTGGCAGCGATTACCACTGACACAGGCTGTGAAATAAGTTATAGTCATCATCTGGGCACAGAGGGGGGCAGACGGGACGGGTTCAAATCAAGACTGAGGCTTATTTTGAGTTTCAAATACAGCGACGCTACATCTTAAGAAAATACAAAATGTTCTATGCTCCTCTCAGTAATATGCTCACTCAAAAAATTTTCATAGATGCTACAAGTGTTTTAGCTTTTGGGCATATTCTCTAGAGTGAATCCAGGAGCCATTATGTTTTACCTGAATGCGAAACCCCCAGCTATTTCAATTCACCCCCCCAGAACCTCTTTTCTTGACGCAAAATAGAAGCCTGGTCTTGTTGAAATTGACCTTGGTGATTTAGGCAGACACATCAGTTTCAAGATAAAATGTGAAATCATCCAAACATACAGGTCTTAATGAGGAGACCTAATCCTCATTGAGACCTGAATAAAAAAAATCTTCTTGGATTAAAGCAGGTGTAAAAATTTAATTCCTCAGAAACACAGATGAGCAGGATTTGAAATGAGAATTGACCGTTAAAATCGACTTGAAATTTGCCTGCTTATGGTAAACAGACCATGTTTATATAGCGCTTTCTCTAGTCCTCTGACCACTCAAATCACTCCGGTGTCTTGCCCAAGGACCTTTTAGTGGGCAGTGGGACCTGGGGGGGGGGGACCTTCACCTTTCCAATTAGGAGACAACAAACTCCACCACTGAGCCAAGGCTGCCCCATACTTGTCCTCTTTAAAACCTTTCAATCTTCTTATTCATGTTTTATAATAGTCCCTTTGGTCTCAGGTTTTTGTGATTGGGTTCCTGTGTTGGCTGAGTATCACGGGTTATTATAATGTCTTTGTTTTAATGTCTTTGTTTTAATGATGTCTTAACTCTTGTGACACTCATCAAAGCTTATATGTCTTCCACTGATTTTATTTTATTTCTTTATTGCCAGTAATGAGAAATTAGGACATGTAGTCTGAGTTTTAGCTGTGTCAAGGCTCTTTGCCCCAAGTGTTCTCTTGTTGTTGTTCTGTTGTTTTTATCTTCTTTGTTTACTGCATGATAAAGCACTTTGTAACTCTTCTTTTTAAAAGTGCTATATAAATCAAGTTATTATCATTATTATAATTATTATTATATTATTATGAGTGTATGTATCATATGTTTCAAAATAGCCTCACATTAAGATTAAAAAGTCACCCCCAAGGACCTGTCCTCACTAGTGACAGGAACTCTTCCCTAAAAGGCTTACTCATCAGCATTAATGTTATGTGCCTTTGTGTTTGTGTTTCCCTCGACCTCTCTCTGACCCTCTCTCGCTCTCAGGTGCCACTCACTCTCTGCTGATAAAGTGCTGTCTCCACACCTGCTCACATCTTAAGACAAGTGGTTAGAGTTTTTCGCCACAGTCTAGTCTCAGACTGGGATTTTACAAAGACTGTGAATCTTGCAAGGACACTATCTCTTTGAGCATTTTCAACAGAGTTAATGTTGAATAGGCAAGGCTGACCTGCCCATTGCTCCACCATCCGCTCCAGTTTCTATGTTTTATTGTCGATACTTCTTCATACATTCTAGTTCTTCTTGCTTTGACTGTCAGGTTTCCTCTTTCCGCTTTTGTCAGAGCGCATCTATTGGTTGTTGACTGGGTTAAATCACTGGAAAAACTAGGAAAAGACCGATATGAAACAGCGCAGATTACCACCTTAAACTTAGCAATCGAGATGATGGGAGCACGTCGTGACTCCACTGTGACTCCAGTAAAACTCAGAGACTTATGACTTACGATTTAAGACTTTCAGTTTTTAGTCTGGGACTGTGAAAATCTTTTGGTATAAGCCCAGCATTAATCGTAAACACCTGAAGCTGCCTGCTCATCAGGTGCTGCTGCATTTAGAGCAGGAGAGGCAAAGCAGAGAGGAGTTGGAGTGGATCGGCAGTGGATAAGCAGATGGTGGACCTTTGTTTTCTCCTGAGAGAGGAGGTGTATTTAGGGCTGAGTGCTTCAAGAGTTTCCTGATGCTGTGAATCATTTCTTACTTAGCAGAAATAGCAGCTTGCAAAAAGAAGCTTCTTCAGTTTGTATTTGTAATTAGTTTGCTTATAAATAAAGTCCTTATTCTTTCTTTCCATTACCACTCAGTCTTTTCAATTTGCAGTGTTTCCTGTATTCTTGTTTCTAATTTCTTGGGAACGTAAAACCTTATAATGATCAGCTAAAGAAAACAAGGCTGGGTCAGGCTACAAGTATCAACGGGAATTAATCCTGCAGTAACATTATTAAAACTACAGATCTGTTTAACAATAAAGTATGCAGCTTTGTTTTTGTGCTTTCAGTTGTTGTACAAACCCAGCCAACCCTGCAGCAAATTAAGAGAAGTTTACAGAGAAAAGAAACAAAGAATTATGATATGTGATCAGCTACTTGGTTTTGTGCCAAGGTATGAAAAAAATACAGAGTCTACCCCCCTCAAAATTCTTATCCCTGATCATCCAAAAGGAGTCTTACCGTGCTGGCAGATGTACCGGTTGTGAGTTTTACAGCGCTGGTCGTTCCAGTTAAAAGCACTTGATGCCTGCAGCTCTACACAGTTTCCAAAACTAGACCAAGAAGAAAGAAATTAAAGACCTCCAAACGCTGCATGAGACTATTCTCACAAAAAGATAGATAGATAGATAGATAGATAGATAGATAGATAGATAGATAGATAGATAGATAGATAGATAGATAGATAGATAGATAGATAGATAGATAGATAGATAGATAAACACAGAAAGACAGAGACATCTAGTGGTGGACATCTAACAACACTTTCTTTTTTAAATCATCCTCAAAATAAATAACAAAAAAATGAAAAACAGCCTTTGCAGAACTTAAGTGCTTCTTAAAACCAGATTTTTATTTCAGAGATAAAAACAGATGAAAGACCAAACTTCAGTCATCTCCCACAATGATCTTACAGGCAGACATATCTGCAGATAAAAAAAGCCTGGAGCCCCTGCCAACAAAGTAATTTTCCACCCTTCAGATGATGTGTTTTTAGTTTCATCTTTTTTCCTCTGTCTGTGCTCTGCCATTTCTGTTTTTTGATGCTCTCTACAGTCGCTAACATCTGTGAGTAAATGTGTCTCTTACCCTTGGTTGTCAGGTTGCCCAAAGGCAAAGCTGCTGAATTTGGAGATCTCTCCCGTGTCCCAGCGAAATGAGTCTTTCAGAGGCTTGTATGTCAAACCTGTGGAGCAAAAAAAACATTGCTGCTTTATCCCTGCAGCATCTCCAAAACCTCCACCTGCTACCACATCTGCTGGACGCAGAGCACAGCAGAGTCTGCCACCTAATCTGCTCGTACTGTCAAGTGTTATTAAAAACATTAAGACTTTCAAAGTGAAACACTGTACCTATCCAGAAGTTTCTTGTCTCAAAATCGGTGTTTGTGACCTCGTTGTTCGTCACCAGCTGACTGAGAAAAAACGCCAGAATGTCCTGAACCTTCTGATTGTGGATTTGAGCGAGAATACCTCCTTTTCTCTGGTGATTAAAACAAAAAAAAAGGATCACAGAATGTAATAGATGTGGCTGAATTTGACGTACAAAGGCTGTAAAAGCTCATCTCTCTTCTTTTAAGTTGTCATCACACACCTGTCTCTCACCTGACAGCGACTCTTGGCTCCATAGTAAGTGTCAGCCTCTGAAGACACAATAAAGCAGTCTCCATCTATCATCAGGTCACAGCTGTGAAAGGGGAACTGCACCCTCTCTGTAGACACACAAGCAGCCAGTTATGCCCCCCCCAAAGAAACAATGACACTGACCACCCGTCATGGTTCAAGGTCAATGAAAAGTCTGAAATATAACGTTATCATTTAGGCAGTTTGAGTTTGAAATGTGATCGAAACTTGCAGCATTATGTCCGAGGAGCGTCCCCTAAATTTAACTTTACAAATTTGAAAATTACTCGGAAGTCAGAGCTGGGAATGATGCTACACCCGAGTCGACGGCGTTCCAGTTAACAAGTCGGGAAACCAAGATGGATGCCTGCAATTAGCCGTTGTTTACAATTGTCAGCTGTTGTTAGCGGTCGTTAGCTATACAAGTTGTAAACAACGCATAACACAGTATTTTACTCTTACAAACACAATAGCACTGTGTTCACAGTTAGACATTTGGCTGTACATCATATACCACTAATTTAATTTCAGAAAAACAAAATAGAAGTGCTAATAAATAATACATCACGAGAGCTTTCACTGTCACTCTTTACTGTTGATGCGCTACACTGTCATCTTGGATTATGACGTTAGCATCAAGTCGGAGTTGGTGAGGATCGTCTGACTTTCCAAGTCGTAAATCCGACTTCAGGGGGATGTTCCAGGTGAATTTCCGACTCGGAGCTCGAGTACAACTGGATCGCAGCACAAGAGGTACAAACAGTGGTGACACACAGAGGCATAGAATAAAGAGCTCTGCTCTCACCTGCACACTCAGCTCCACCATAACCAACATCACACAGGCAAGAGCACTCCTCTTCTTTGAAATGACCATGTACACACTGCACGCTGCACCGCACTGAAAAACAGAAACCCAGGTCAGTGAAATCCATATCTCTACTTTTGATATTCAAATGCTAAGGCATACTTAAGAACCAATTTCGATATAGTCTGATAGTAGTGTGTATATACTGTCCTGATTTTGTTGAAGCTCACCCTGGCAGAGGCGTCCAGTGAAGCCAGGCTCGCACTTGCACTTGCAGGATGAAACGTTGAGATGACCATGAAGACCACAACTCATCCGACATGGGTTCTTGGGAATCTCTGAGAGCAAATGTACACAGACACACCAAAAGACAAGCTCAAAGAAAAACACACCTATGAAATTAAAGCCATACCTGAAATCAGCTGTCATTACTCTAATAATAGAAATTAGGCAAATACATCATTCAATAACAGTAAAATGGTCAGATATAATAATAAAAAAAACTATGTCAATTTTTTATTCTTAATCTTTGAGGATTAGTGCCTCATCAAACTTTTAGACAATACTTTACTAAATGTACTTTCAGAAAGTTATACTCAGTGTTTCTCAGAAGTCAAATTTGTTTGCATACAGTCTATGTGTAGGTTGCAAAATAAGCAACTTTGACAATAACTGGACATTTAAAATCGACAGAATATTTGCATCTTGTACATAAATATGTTGTCTTACCACACAATCCACCCACATGGTCCCACAGCCTGAAGCAGCCAGACATGGAGGAGGTGCAGAGAGAGCAGTACAGCCCGCTCTTGTAGGGCATCACCAGCTGGCCGTTGACCTCCCAGTTACCCCTGCAGCAACACAAAAAAACACTGAAAGTCACACTAACTAACAAATACCATGTAGAGTAGTGGTGGGAGTCTTAAAACTACAATTAAAATGCCAAATGAAATCCACCAACAGAGAGGGAAACAGATTTTAAATCTTGTGCACAGCAACTCAGAATCATCTCTTTTTTTAGTATCATTTAGAAGAATGTAATGATGCTATCAGGGGAAACGTACAGTATATTAACATAATTAGCTTTTAATTGTTACATTGTGTGTCTGAAATTAAGACATTTGGGAAGAAGTGTGTTGCTGTTACCCTGGAAAATATGCACAAACAAACATCTCCCAGAGGTCTCCATCTGTCGGACACAGCTGGGCGGCACAACCAACCTGGCTTGAAGTTGCCCACACCATCTTTAAACCAAAAGGAAAGTGAAAACATTACGGATCATCACTTTGTAAAGTAAAAGGACATACAAATGAGAACATCACCAAACTGATACACTTTGTGTTCGCTTATTTATACCTGTGTGTAGTGCTGACAGGTGGCGTTTTCTCCACACTGTCCACTTAAATAAAGAAAATCGTTTCCCTCCTCGAACCAAGAGTCGATGACGTCAGAAAAGGAGGCGACACCAGAGATGGACAGGTGTGTGTTCCAGCCGACGTGGCTGAAAGTTGAGGAGTGTAGAGGGGAGAGGTCTGCGCGGCAGGAAGCTGCTATCTCCTCTGCAAGTAAGGCCAACTTTTCATTCCACTCCTAAAAAGATAAAAATGGGATTTAATAACAACATAACGCAGCTTTTCAAGATGAACAACCACAGTTAACTAGCAGGATAGCTGAAAGAGGAAGTTAAATGGGTTTACTGCTTTAATCTTTTGGCAGTGTGGGGGTCCAAAAATCCATACTTTGTCATATTTTGTCAGAAGCAATAACAAGCAAAATTTACTCACCCTGTTCCTTAATATTATCCCAAAATTTAACTTAATAATTAAACCCCTTGGTGTCTCTTAAACTTGTAGATGCTTTTCAGGTCTGGAACGAAGGTCACATTTTGCTTTGTTGAATTTTATTAGGACTCGCTGACAGAAAGAAACTCTTGGACAAGAAGGTCATTCCTGAGATTTGGACAGTGATTTTTTATATACCCTTTTAATCCTTTCCAGCAGCCACAGCCAGTCAAAGAAAGTTTGGGCAGGCTGCCAGTCCAGGGCAGGACCACAGTTTCACAGAGTAAAACTGGACATAAACAATGCAAGTTTCACAATCAAGAAAATACATTTTCACACATTTTATGATGAAGGAGAAATTTGACGCATTTGTTAAATCTCAATGATACATCAGAGGGTTCCTATGTTGATCACAGAGGGTGGCTCTATCAGGTCTGTGGTGTAATGCTTTACAGGAAAGTCTGTGATCACAGCTCTGAGTCCTAATAACACACACTTTTTAAAATTGCTCATTACACTCAGGTAAAAATCACATGGTTTTGTTGGATAGTGTCAGAACTTTGCACAATAACAATGAGGATAAGACTTTCTCGATTTTAAAAGGATTGTTTAGATTTCTGTAAATAGTCGCCAAACCTCAAAAGTATCCTGTGAAAAAACATAAGATGCAGAAAGGATTGTAAACTTTGATATATTTTGAATCTTAGATCAAAAAGAGTAGGGTTAACTTTATAATAAACCATTTTTAGAAATGCTGTGTATCCTATTTTAGTTTTATTTAAATTTTAGTCAATATAGTATGATGTCTACTTGTAAAAATGACATCCAAATAATAGGAGGTCATGTCTGTTCAGAACCTATTTCAGTGTTTGGAAAGCAGAGATCAGAGCTCTGACACTGATGTGGGCTTTATAAAGGCCTCTTGAAACCCCCAGGAGTTCATTGTCCACCCCGCTCTCTGATGTCAGCCAGACTAACTCATTGGTCTCACACTCAGAGGCTGCCAGAGAGGTTCAGGGTCACTGGGCAATATTTCATCCAAGATGATTTCGTTTCAAAGCATGTCATGATAAATCAGCTGTGTGGGATATGGATGTCTCACCAAGAAGATAAGTATTTTTTTCTCTGTTCTTCTGTATTTGTGGGCCTGTGGGTAATGGTTATATTATTGTAAAGTGACTGCGGGTCAATAGAGGGGGCTAAGGTGCTGCTCGACCACTATCAACAACCATGTCAGACCTTCACTGGGAAAGATTTTCAAAAGTAAGTTTGAAAGCTATACCAAGTTTTTTAGAGCATGGTGAATATTACTAGTTTGGTGAAAGCAAGTAAAATGCAATTAAACTGTAAAATTGCTGATCTAGTGGTCCAAGTGTGGCCCCATATACTCAGGCGGCCTTGATTATTCTGACCTGTGACCCTTCCCAGCATGCTGCCCTCTGCTCCTCTCTCTTTTTTTCTGCTCGGTCCCCTGCCTTGTACTCTCCAAATGAAGCCAAAAAGGGCTAAAATAAATACATTTTCAAAAGTTCCTACTTGTGTCTATCCAGGCGAGCACAATTCTTGTGCCTCATGTCACCACTGGCTCTCCTTATGAGTATCTGCACCTTCATTCCTCAGTACAAGAGGGATGCAGACAAGGCAACCCAAATGTATTGAACACCACTTTAAAAGCAGCAGAAGGGGGATACGCCCCAAGAATTTAGACCAAAAAGCAACCTCCAGTGACGGAAAACGGAGTTGATGCACAAGGGCAAAAATCTGCAGTTCCCCAAATGTCCGCTTTGGGTTGGTTTAGCCATGTTAAATAAAATAAAGGTAAGACATAAACCTCTACAAAAATGTCTTGCACAAATTTGCATGATAAGGGGCACAGCTGTTTTGGCTCTCTACTTGGCGCATGTTGCTGTCTTCTTCACTAGGGTTGCCAACTCCAAGAGATTGAAATAAGGGACAGTTAACCAAAAAATTTTTGGTGTCCCTTATAAAATTTGGGTGTCCCTTATTTCAGACCGGGCCGAAAAATGTGGGAATTTAGGTATCTATGTTGTTGTTGTGGTTCTTTCCTTCTTCACCCACACCGGCAAAACACGCTTATAGGCAGCTAAGCCAATCACCATGAAGTATCCATAGCAACGTAGAGTCAGGCAGCACTGGGGCAGCTCATTGGTCGGTAATCATGAGGGGACCAATGAGAAGCAGTTACAGTTGCTATGAATAACGCGCTCTTGTTAACTACCCATAGCTGGTAGTCTGCTGTGTTTTGTAACTTGTCCCATAGCTCAGCTGCCAAGCTGCTGATGTGAGCCTGTGACAGTGTGTTAGGCAGAGAGACACTGTCAGAAAATACGGGAAAAGGAGCGTCCCGTTTTAGTTCAGGACGGGACATGTCTTTTTGTTTACAAATATGGTACGATTCCGTTTTTTAAGGTACGGTTGGGAACCCTATTCTTCACCCCCAACTCTACTCCATATTTTTTCATTTGTTTAGGTTTATCAAAGTTAGGTCATGTTATTATCTCCTGTAGCACCTACTATTCTTGGGAGGGGCTTTATTACACCTCTTCAGAAACCAGAAGGTGATTTAAATGAGACCATATCTCTGTTTAAGACAGTCTTGAGACATGAACGGCAATGCACGCTGTGTCACAGGACATCTATCTTCTGTGAGAAATCCGACGAGTGAGTTGTTTAAGTGAGACAGTCATCTATACTGTTACTTTAGACCATAAATTCAAGCTTAGAAAATACTAATAAAGGTATTCCAATCCAACTAAATATACTTTTGCAATAAGTCAATGAGTAGTATGTATTTTTTAGCCTCCTTGGAGAAAAAAGCACTGACACCACTCTAAGGATGTGATGGATAAGCCAATTTAATAAAGGTTTCTGTTCCATTCTCACTTAAGCAACATTAAAAATAATCTATGAGCGTCTGTGAAGTTATGAAAGACATAAATAATATAACATTATAAGGTTTGCATATCAAAAGTTAGAAGTGAACTTTCAAATCACCCTCTTAAAGCACTTTTATTACCTCATAATAATTCTTGGCCTGGAGAGCTCAAAGAAAACCTGCAGACAGGGCAGCGGCTGAGAAGGGAGGGGCATCACTCAGTCCTAAAATATTGGTATTTTATCTAACCCTAGAAGTAAAGCCTAAAGGACTGTATTATAATCACTTCAGCACAATCTCATCATAATGCTGACTGGTTCATCCCTGAGTAAAAAAAAAAAATCCTTATTCAGACCCTCACAAACACAGCCAAGGCCTTGAGCCTTTTAACGTTTATCAGTAAAGCTCTTTCATATGCCTCTTGAGCTTCCTCTGAGGGCTTTCACAGGGAAATTACCTGTAACACCAGAGTTTTGAACACAGGGTGATTATCCACATCGTCTTTTTCTCATTACCGCCTTATCAGTGGAGAACAGTTCTCTGAGGCTGAAGAGCAGTCGAAGAAAAGGGCTCAGTCTGTGCAGGTAGCTTTGAGGATGTAATCTGCAGCAAAGTGACAGTTTGCCCCGGTACAAATCTCATATTAGACCCTGAGGATGCCGGATGTATTGTGATTTTCTTAATCCCTCGTTATACCTCTTGGTCATAATCATATGCAGGCGAGACACTAACACAGATAAAGAACTGCACGTCGAAGCAGTAGATGGGATAAGAAAAGGAGGGGATTAGGTTGGAGTGTTGCACGGGAAGTAGGATTAAAAACACCAGAGATTGGAAGTTTATATCTCAAATCTCTGCACATTCAGTACATTTTAACTGTATTTAACAGCAGAATTAAGAGACCTCCTATTTTTAAAGCTACTTTGTTTAATTCTTTCTCCAGTAATGGAGTAGATGTATTGTGCAACCCTCACATGAATTCACACAGCTAATTAACTCTGCTACAGGCACTTTCATTTACACCACAGCAAGACAAATGGTTCATGAACTCTGCTGGTGTACAATGCTGACACTCTCAGAACTACAGAGGAGGAAAGCTCAACTTCTCAGGGAAATCTGGTACCTTCAATCCATTACCTTATTTTTCAACAGTAAAGGGATATTTCGGCGTAAAAGTAAGTTAGGGTCAAACACACCGTAACAATCAGCTCTGCTGTAAAGGAGACGTTGACATTATCATTCAGTGTCTTACTACTGTCTTTAGGTACCTGTGTTTTTTTTCCATGACCTGAGACTAAAACCTGTATCATTAGGCGGGGACAGTGGTTCTCAAGTCCAGTCCTCGAGGCCCACTGTCCTGCACGTTTTGGATGTTTCCCTGCTCCAACACACCTGATTCAAATGATCAGCTCGTTATGAAGCCATTACAGAGCTTGATAACGAGCTCATCATTTGAATCAGGTGTGCAAAATAGCTTAGAGTTGCCATAGCTGTTGAGTTGCTAAAACTGCTGCAGTACCCTTCTATCAAAGTTTTAGTGTTTGACATTACTTTTTTGTGCACCATTTGTCCACAAGAGTCTCAAAAATTCACACAACTCAAATGTACCTCACAATAGCTTCAAGTATGTCCTATATGTTCTCAAAGTCCCTGTTATGGCACTGATCGGCTTGGATCATTATTTTTCAACATGATAGAGAAATACACATCAACCTATTTTCAAAAAGAGGAGGATGTTTCTAAACACCCAACAGTTTTTACATTAAGTTCAACAAACTCCATTGACAAAATCAGTAATTTTATCTCAAAGTACACAGAGATAAAATGCTGTCTACAGCTGCCCTCATTTCTAAGTTCAGCTGAGACTGATGGCTTTAAAAGGAGACATGTAAATTGCATTACTTTGTGACAAATATGTCTATATCTGTTGTAATCTGTAATTGGTAAAAACAAGCAATTTTAGTGGACATTCAACAGCGCATTTGTTTAAGTTATGCACTATCAATCAAGGTCCTTAATCACTGCTGTTTGTTTAGGCTTTCTACTGGAATAATTTCACTTTTTCTCTATAATCTTTTGGAAAATGGACTAAAAATATAAAATGAAATGGGGTCCAGACTTAAAACTATGACAACTGCTCCTAAAACATTTCATATGGGCCTTCACTTATTAGTTTTGTCGTTTCTTTTCTGGATGTTTTTTTTTTTTTTTTTTTTCTGGAAACAAACAGTTCACACTATAACACTCCCACTCTGATCATTATTACTGTCTAATTCTTGGCTCAGCATCTGCAAGCTTAATTAAGTTTAAAAGCATGTTGTTCAGAATGGCAATGCTTAAAGACAGTATTGTTCCACAGAGTTCATGGAACAATCAAAGTAGGTCCTTAAAGCAAAAATGTGCTTTAGAGACACTCAACTGTAGGCAGAAAACCCACGAAGTGGACAATAAACCCGCTTGTTTTCTTTCAACAAAAGTACAGTGATAATAAATGGACAATGTCAAACTATCTTAAACTCACATTAAAAGAGACAGCACTCACACCAGTCAGACAAAAAAAAAGAGACAATGGATGCCACAAACCATTTTTTGCATGTTCGCCGCCATGGGTTTGACCCGGCTTCGCAGCCTATTGTGCTGGGCAACAATCTGTGAGTGCTCCTTCACCCCAAGCCCTGCAAGAAAAACACAAATGCTGAGTAAGTGTAGCTCCTCTGCAGTCACCATGGCAACACAATGCAAATGTGTAAGTGGGATGTTTGAGTGTCAAAGAGGGTCGAAGTTGGAGCATCAGCTGTCATTGTTTCACTCAGGGATAGCTTAAATATACAAAACTTAAAATTGTTTTACATTGGTCAATAAAATCATCCCCTGAAATCATGATCCAAATGCTGTAATAACCTCTTAAAAAAACAACACACTGATCAGTTCAGAAACTTGGGCTTGTTGACCAAAACATAAAAGAAATACTGAACCATTGACAGATATCACACGTGTATCATGATAAAATGTTTCCTTAGATTTTTTTTTTAAACAAACATTATTCACACTAAAAATTCAAAATTGGGGAGAGTGGGGTAAAATGAGCCCTTTTTCATAATTCGGATCACTACATCAAGGCAATCATAGTTTTGTCTCTAACTAGTGTATCTGCATATATTTTAAGATGTTGTGCATCCTTGCAAACCAACAGAATGAGTGTAAACATAACTGTCTCCATAATATAGCATACCAAAAAAAGTGGTCTCCTATGGTCATCTTACCCCGTGTATGGGTAAAGAGTATAGGAGTATAAGTTGTATATGAGTATAAGTTGAGCTGTATCCCCACTACCACCTACTCTCTACTACTAATTATTTTTATTATTATTGCATAAAACTGCTAAAAAGCTGTTTCGTAAAAAGACATTTTAAGAAGAAAACCTTTAAGTGATTCAGAACATTCACAGCTGTATTTTTGAAAAGAAAAAGTAACACATTTCAACAATCTGAACTGAAACTCTGATCCTCTCATCAGACTTACTTTCCTCAGTTGAGCCACTGACTCAACTTAGCCCTGAACTACTGTTATGACTTTATTAGTCCTCTGATCTAAAATTGTGGACTTTTATGCTCACATTGTAGCTCATAGATACCACAATTGATGTATAAAACAAATTTAAAATGATCTTTTTTGGTCTGAACACAATACTAATAAAACTTATGACAGACTCAATTCACTTTCAAGAGTGAAAAATGTTTTTTTTGTAAATAAATGTCTAACCCCTTCACCTATGTACTTCTAACTGTCACAGACTCCATGAATTGATGCCCATTTCCTAAATATTTGGTCACATGATCAATTTCTTTTACCATTTTCAAGGGTGGTGGCTCAACTTACCCTTTGGCTCAACTAACCCCACTCTCCCCTACTCTTCATCACATTAGATGTCTAAGTCAATTAGTACAGCAATAAGTTACAGATAATCACACGCAAGTTTTTTTGTTTTTAACTTTCAGAGAAGGACACTTGTAAGAACATTACCAGTGCAGTACATAAAGTTATGTATGAAATCTAAAAGCTACTGATTGGATGTATGAAATCTCCAAGTTTTCGCCAAAAAAAGAAAAAAAAACAGGGGAAAATTCACAGCTGATGCCAAGTTTCAGTGGTATACAGGCAGAATAGTTTCTGCTGATTTTGGACAGCTAAACTTGCGTCTACAGCCAAAAGGACAACCACCTGATGCTACGAATAAAAACACAGAATCATGCATGACGCACTACATAATGTCGGCCTACTTTCTTTTCGAGAGGTTGATATGTGCCTATGTTGAAAAAGTTCATCCTGCACCGGCTCTCTCCTTGAAAATAGCCCCTCGTGGCCACCAGACTCGTGTGTACAGGCTGCAGTGACAGAGTTTACCTGTGATTGTGGACTTCTGTCGGTCCGCTGTGTTTCTCATAATCCGGTCTGCTTGGATAAAAAGAAGCCAGGGACACAAAACCACGAACAGATCCACACACCATGAAGCTGTTACAGAGCGCATCATGAGCTCCAGGAGTGTCTAAGACAATCTGTGTCCACTTGCTCTCAGCTCTCTGTTTGGTCTCCCTCCTCCACCTCCTCCTCCTTTTTGTCACCACTACAGCAGCCGGCTGGTAACGTGACCTGTTCAACCAATTAGCCCACTTCACTTTTCTGGGACTGGTGAGTGGAGTCATAGGAATGTCCTCAACTTTGTTTTATCAAAACAAACCTCTCTTCTTAATTTGAGGGGATAAAATTAGACACAAGACATCTGTTTTCTGCCAACAACATTGCCAAGGCCTGTATTTAAAATAGTATGTTTTGCAGAGCAGGTGGATCAAATACCCAAAAGACAAGAAATACTCCCCTCACATCGATGTTATATAAAGTTTATATTGGTCTCTTTTTAATTAAAATAAAATAAAAGTTGAAAAATGTAGAAACCTTGCTGTATTTTTTTGTTTGTTTTTGCAGTTGCTAAAATAAAAAGCCGCTTTCTAAAAACATATCTTTTTATTATACACTTCATCAATACACTTTATGATTTTAATTGAGCCTTTACACCCTAAAACATTACATCTTTGTTCCTAAAATGTTGATCCTTTGAAAACATTTCATCATTGCAGATAAGGAGAGATGAAATGCTTTATTTCTTATATTTATGCAAACAGGATTCCTGTCACAAATCCTCTTTCTGTAGTCTGTGGGATAAATTAAACTCAAGTTAACATTCACACATTGTGCTTTAAATTTGAGCTTGGGCCCTGAGTTTACATTTGACATGATCCACTTTGTATTTATTGGGTGAATTTATTGTTTCTACTAATATTAACATTCAAGCAGCATTGTTATATCACAAATAGTTCAACCTCATACTTCCCATATTAGCTGATCCTGTGATTTGTGCGACATAATTTCCTGCAGGTCTTGGTTGTTTCACCAGTGATGTACAGTAAAATAGAAATTCTGAAGTAAAGTGTGTTTTTTTCAAACCTCAGCTGGTACTTGGTACTGGTACGTTTAAATTCCTTGGCTATTTGTGAAGAGCGTAGACTGTATGTACTCTGGACAACTTGGTTCCGCCTTCCACCAGTATACAGATTTGAAACCAAATGGCTCTCGGTAACCTTGCGTTTTTTTTCCACTTCTTGAAACCAACATTGCGCAGTAGCATTTTACACACTCCATCACTTGCGCAGTGGCAATCTGCGCATTCGGCAGGAGAGTCGCCGAGAGTCGCTGTGATACGCTCGGCTCAAACAGTGTATCCCCCCGGGTGAGCTATGCAGTTTTTCCACAACTCCGTAAGCTTTGCTGGCGGAGGTGGGATTTATACAAGGACCTATACTGCAGCCTGTCACCAGAGGGTGCTGTTCTCAGAGTGGCTTCACCCAGCGAGGAGGCAGATGCTGTCCACTCTATATACAGTCTATGGTCAAGAGTAACACCAAGTGTGTCACCACTGCCGGTTAGTTCATAATAACAAAACTGTTTTGCTTTGTCATCATTTCCTGACTAAATGAGTAAAAGAGAGATTTACTCTCAGTTGAGTGTCCCTCCGTGTCAGACATGGAAGTTTATTCAAAGAGATGTCCAGATGAGTCATAAGTTTTAAAGATTTGCTCCTGTCCTAGCACACTCTGAGCAACAGGTGATTGTTGGTTATTTCTAATCCTAATGATGCTGATTTAAAAGGAAAGAATAATTTAAGTTGGTTAAAGGTGCAGAGTGAACCTGCACTTGGTGTCTGTTTAGACATCTAAACAGTTATTTTAACACAAACCTGGTCTGTTAGGCAGGAATCATGACTCACACCCTGTGGGCTGATTCAGTGTCTGACTGCAGCGCGACACAATAGACTCCCTCTCATTCGTCTCCCCTGTGGGCTGGATGTGTTTAGCAGTGAGGATTCAGTCCCGAGGACTCCCAGTTGTTTCTTATCTCTGTGATTCTGCTGCATCAGTGAAGGACTGTCTGACCCTGCTGAGCCAGACCACAGCTGCGCTCACCGACTGTTCTGGGATCAGTCAGATGCAGCCTCCCTATGGGGTGATTTCTCAGGTACATCCAACAAGCAGAGGAACCACTGTGTGCTCCCCCCCTGTGTGAGCTCAAAGCAGTCCTCGAGAGTCTGAGCATCCTTAAAGCTCTCTGAACACTTGGCAGTGATGCTGGCTGCACACAGTGAGGACAGAGGCTTATCTGCACAATGAATGTTTTTACCTCTCACACAAATCTTTACTGATTATACTGAACCAGTGGATTTTCAACAACAGATCACTCTGTACACTCACTGCAGTTAACTGAAAAGGAGTGGGAGAGCCATTTCATTTAAACCTGTTGTTTTGTCGACTAACACTTTGAAACATCAAATTCTGCATTTTTAGTGTTGTTATCTTTTTTTTGTTTGTTAACTTAATCCTCTATTTCACTGGCAGTGACTCCAAAGTGAATACATTTTCTGGTGTGGTTTTATGCAGATGGACTTTTTTCTTTTTTTTTGCAAACATCAGCATTGTCCCCTGCTGACTATAACAGTGAATGTTAATTTGAAGTTTTATAAGCCTTCAAAAATGAACAGGCTATGCCCAGTTCTTACAGGCTTATAGGCCAATCATCTATAACATTGTGACTAGGGTTGGGCAATAAAATGATAGCGATGTATATCGAAAATTAATTTCCCTCAATATTAAAATAAAACATGGTCAATATCCTTTTCGATAACCGGCATTGCTCTATGTTTTGGTAGACTATACAGAAGCCAATGAAAAGGGGAGTTGCTCCGTGTCCGCTTCATGCTGAACCAATCGGAATTAGAATAAAGTAGCAAACAACAGGCTGCAGCTACACGCAACCACAGCACTTTAACATGTGAAGCCGACAGCACTGTTGGTGAGAAAAAAAGAAAATGAGTGCTACCCCTGGCAGAAATGCAGATGAAGGCTAAACAGATGATGACATCGTCGACAACACTGACACGAAAACGCTAGTGTTGTGGAGGTATTTTGGTTTTCTGAGGTCGGACATGAAGCAGAGTAATGTGCACTGCAAATTATGTCGAATACATGTTCTCGTAAAGTCGAGGAATACCTCAAATCTTTTCACCACCTGAAGCAGTGCCACGCAGCAGCAACAGCCGCCCATTCAGTCCACTCTCTTTAGTGCAATGCCATACGACAAAAACGTCAGAGACACAAAGACCTCACAGATTAGCTTATTGTTTTGCAAAAGACATGCTACCAATAAGCACTGTTAAATTTCATTTTTCAAATCATGATATATATTGATATCAACTGAAAAAAATATATCGTGATCAACTTTTTTTAATATCGCCTAGCCCTAATTGTGACCTCTAATAGGTGAAGTAAACATCATTGATTATCTCTTCACAATGGCACCTGCCAGTTGGCGGGAGGTATGTTCAGCAGTGAGTGAACGCAAAGGATGTGAGTGACTTTATCAAACACCAGAGGCTTTGGACACTACCTCTAACCATGATTTGCATGTGCTTTTACTAATTTATAGAGTTTTTAAATCATTTTATGTAAGTCTAGTGGGTGAGATTGATTTTCATGTTGTCTGAGCTCATAACCAAAGGTACTTTTCCGAGACTGTGTGGTTAAGTTTTCTTCAATCCTAAATCTTGTCTCCTGATCACCACCTGACATCTTTAAAAATATCACCTGATGTTTTCATAATGTATCGATGTCATGTGTGGCTCCTTGTTTTGGACCGGAGAAAGTGGTTTTGGTCAGTCAATACTTACACAGTAGAGAACTTCATGTACTGCATATTCCTGTAGAGGGCACACAGGGTCTCAGCAGCCTCTCTCCATCACTCACAGGGAACACTGTGTTCAACTCTGAGAGCAAATGCAGCTTTCTGATTTTCAATTTAACTTTGTTTGGCCGATACCAATTAAAAATGAGTTCAAATACATAATTAAAACATTATCTGAATATGTATTTTTATTGCGGCAAAGATTAAATCTTTGGTCATCAAATATTTTCAAATATTTTTCCATTAAAAAAGCCTCTAATGTGATCAGATAAAATCAAGAGCCAGTGGATGCAGGCTGCAAAACCTTATTTTTCAGTTTAGTGGTACAGCTGTTGTATTCACATTTGGAAAGTCTGTGTCCTCAGTTCACATTTCTGTTACAGGTTGTACACGATCCAGTACATCTTGTCTGGCACGTTTAGTTTTCTTGCATTTCTACAAAAAATATAAAGACATATATTAACTTTGCTGCTTTGACAAGGCAGGAAGTGCATACCAAGTACAGAAAAAAGGGTGAAATTGTGGTTACATTTTCTAAATGTCTCTTTCTGATTGGCTCCTCAAGAGTAGACCCTACATTCCTCAGCGTTTTGCTGCTGCACTTTTTTCCACTCTGGTCATTCCCTGCACACACTCAGGGTTCACACTGCCGGCAACTTTCCACAAGTTGGAGGACTGATCTTCAGGTGGACTGGAATCCTTGGAAACATGTTCGCCTCAGCTGCTATTGTCTTCACCTTGTGTTTCTGCTCTCTAAATCCTGCTTTTGGACAGGTGAGTTTGTGAAGTGTCATAGACTTATCAAGGAGTTGAAGCTACTGTAGGTACCTTAGCATATATACATCAATAAAATTAAGACAGTCTATTTTCCCATTTGTTTATTTCATGCAATAAGTAGAAATTATGAAATCAATTCAATCAATTCAACTGCTTTTTTAGGCTGCCACACGACAAAAATGTTAAATCTGGTTTAAGTGTCTCTGTTGTTTCCCTTTGCAAGAACGCCTGTTAATGCAACTTGTTTTTTATGCATATCATTTGTTGTTATTGTTGTCGTTTTGAGTGTTTTTGAGTATTTCTCAGAGGTGGCCTGCATATTCACATGTTGGTTAGACTGCAAGTGTAAATGGAGCTTTGAGATGCGTGTGTATAGTTGGTTAAAAGTTGCCATCCGGTGTTTCCGGGCTGCTTCACATTAAATCAAATGGACATTTAGTAAGAGTTGAAGTTACTTTAAGGGCAAGTTGAGTTCCAGAACTTTTTACACGCCTTCTATACCTAACCAGTAAACATGCAACCATGTGGGGTGTAGCTTAGCACAGGTAGAAAGAGGCCTTTGACAGCAACACTAAAAACACCAGCCAACCCCTGAGTGACTGAAGTCTCTCCAGCTCCAGTTCAGGCCAAATCAGAAAGGTGTTTTCAACAAATATTGACTCTTCTTACATAACTCGGGCTGGCCGAAAACACTAATTGGTTGTCTGAAAAACACACATTTGAGGACATGGCAGACAGAATTAAGGTAGCTGTTGAATGAAGGAGGGGGCTTGGACAGAAAACAAGCCTGTGCCCCTCCCTTGACACGCCAGCCAATCAAAAGGAAGGACGTTATGTTTATGAATGGGGTGTTTAAACCCTGCTCTGAACTCTACATCCCTCACTTCATTCATACAATGTATCACTCATAATGCATGCTAGTTAACTTTTGCAAATATCAGACCCTCTCTGAAAGTTACACAACTTTATATAACGACTTCAATCTTTCATGTGGCATCGAGCCCAAATACCACATTACAAGACTGGTCAACTGGTTACTTTCAGAGGGTGTTTCTGTTTTTATGACTGGGTTACAGTACGCAGCTTTGAGAGGAGCAGGCTCCTGCTTGCAAAGACTTAAAGTGGCCAAACATAATCTAATCCTGATGCATGAAACAGCCCAGCCTCTGTGCTGCTCCAGCTGCAAAGAGACTTTTGTTTGTTTACTTGCAGAAGAGTGGGCCGGTGTTTCCATGTTTTGGTTACAAATGCGATTCTGTTTCATACTGTACTTTTGATTCATCCTTATCTTTGCACAGCGGAGCACTACGGTAGACTGGCTCACTGAAAGAGAAATCCCGGGTGTTCCCAAGTCTTTGATATCAGTGGAATAGTTCAGCACCGACTGCTACATACAAAAATGTTTCATTCAATAAGGAATAGACAGAAAAATACTTTAAAGGCACTGTCAGGGGTTTTAAACTGGTTGGGGAGCAGACTGAAACTTGTACTACTGTGCTTTTAGACCTCCAAAAGAAAACAAGACTTTCAGCACAGGACAAATATTTTCTATATGACATTAAAGGGACATTCCGGTGTAAAATCAATTTAGGGTCAAACACACCATAACACCGAGCTGGACACTCCGTGGAGAGATGAGTGTTGTCGACCGCTTGCTTCTCTAGTTATACCAACTTTAGTAGCGTCCACACGATAGCAATACAGCGGTCTAAGGAGCCATGAACAAACCTCAACTAAAACATCACTCTATAGCCACGAATAATGCTCAGAACAGCACCTAACTTCATCAACAGTACATATGGGGTCCCAGCCATCATACTAGCCATCAAACATCTTTTTATTTATGCCTAACACAACTTACCCACTCTCTTCCAGCAGCCGCTTGTTTGTAGAGAGACCTCAGGCCAGTCCATTAGGGACTGCTGCGGGTTGACACAGCTCAAGGAAGAACATTTATGATCATTTCTTTATCATTTCCTTCAAGTAATAATCACTATATCAATCATTTTGCACTACAGACGTGATAGTTCTTCTGCTTTAGCGTCTCGGTCTGATTTTCCATGAAGAAATGAGCATAAATGTTCTCGGTGTAACGGTGTGTTTGACCCTAAATTAATTTTACGCCGGAATATCCCTTTAAATGCACAAAACCACTGGGGCAGGTTTTTGATCATTGCAACCACTTTCCATGGCAATACTTTGATGATTTGGTGGTTTGTGGTCAAAAACGCTATTTTCACATGAACAGGGCAAGAGATAAGAGATATCACTTTGTCCACAGGGGGCGCCAAAACAACACAAACCAGAAGTTCCTCACAGCGTTTTAAAGGAGGTCCAAATGATTGAGTAAACATGTAAATACACTTTCAGATGATATTAGCATAATATAATAGGTGGAGAAAGCAATGGAGGCGAGAAAAACTTAGTTGAGAGCACCTAGTGGAGACATAAAGAATTGCAATTAGGGAATTTAAGAGTTTGACAGAAAGGGAAGCTTTCAGAAAAGCTCTCGGTCTAATCAAATTATGTGTAAAATTCATTGTTGACTTGAAATTCATCTTATTCTGTTTTCTTTCAGGACTGTCCAAGCAGACAGGAGCTACAGGGGTCTCTGAAACAGGTCCAGAAACTTCTTTCAGCATATGAAGCCTCTAATTTGCAGAGTCTACGCAACCTGAAGAAGAAGATTAACCTGTTGCAGAGCACGGCAGGGAAGCAGACCACAAAAGCCATCAACAGTTAGAAAAAACCCTCCAAAGATTCATTTTAATGTTTGATATCTGTCTCGTCTTTGTGCATCACCTTCTACTTCACCAACAGGTACCTGCCCAAAACTGGAGGCACCCTTCAATGGAAGGAAACTTGGAAAGTCTCACAGTGTGGGCCATGAGGTTCACTTTCTATGTGACCCCGGCTATGAACTTGTGGGATCAGAGAGCAGAGTTTGTCAGGAGAGCCTGACCTGGAGTGGCCAGCAGTCTTCCTGCCGAGGTGGGTCACAGGCACCTTTCAGGCCTCACCCCTGTCTTTATTATCCTGACTGATCCTGTTATCTAACCTACTGATCACACTCTACAGCCCTGTCATCATCTTCTTTGTTACCATCCCTTCTCTCCTGCTCTCTATTGCCATTCCTCTCTTTGTGCTCCATGCATGTCACCAACATTTTTCCGTGCAGAGATATACTTCAGATGTGGCCCAAGATCATGTTTCTTCTTTATGTACTTTGGTTGTTTTCCAGAGAGCTTACTGAATGCCTTGACATGTGATAGTCTGAACTCCTCTGACAGCTCGCTGACTTCAAGATAACAGCTCAAAAGCTGTTTGATCAGGGAAAGTCCTTTTTACACTTGAGCTGTCCCCCACATTAAATCATCATGTCCTAATATCACCTCTAGAAGCAATATGCTGTAATATCATGTTCACTTATCTTTGAGCATTAAAGGAGCTGCCAAAGAGATTTTGTCCTGAGAAGTTCATACATTGCAGTAGAGTCTCATTTGATGTACAGTATATCCTTTTGTTTTGTCCCTCAGACATCAATGATTGTGTGTGCTCCCCGTGCCTAAATGGTGGGACATGTGTGGATGAAGCAAACAAGTTCTCTTGTAACTGTGCAAAAGGCTGGTCTGGAGCTACCTGTCAGACCCCTGTGCCAAGTAAGAGCAAACTTCTACACGCTCAGACCACACTCACACACATACATGTCAGAGGTGTAGCGGTACCTCCCTGTGTACAAGGCTATAACCAAGGATTTTGTTGCTTCAGTTGGAAGCACTCCTTTATTTAGCTAAAGTCCAAATCCTCCCAGTTCAATTAAGGAAATCCTTTTGGTCAGCACCATTGCAACCCAGTGCAACACACTACTAAGTGTCCTCTCCCTCAAACACCATTGTATATGCCTGTTTTCTATCCCTGAATTGTGGGGTCGGTGCTGATAAAGGGACGAAGTTCTCTTATGTATGTGCGAAAAGCTTGGCTGGAGGTACCTGCCAGAACCCTGTGCCAACAACTAGTTTAACACACCACACGTCCAGACAACACAGGCGTTTTCATTGTTTGACTCTGTATAACTAAAGGACAGACTTTGCATAAAAGTCTAATGGTAATCATTGGCAACAAAATGACAGTATTTCACTTCAAAGAACCATTTTTATGAGCTATAACACCAAAATGTCCCAATTCACTGAGGAAGGTTTGTTGTGACAGGTTGTTTGTCATGTATTTCCATCCAAGTCAAACTACAGCTACTACAAATGTCTCCTCTCTCAGACACCAACGCCTGTATGTGTTATCCATGCATGAACACTTTGTGTGGGGAAGAAGTTTGGTAGTTTATGCGCAAAGGGACATTTTGTTATCTATGCTTTTATTTTTTCATATCATATCATATCATATCATATCATATCATATTGTATCATATCATTTCATATCATATCGTATTTTATCGTATCGTATCCTATTGTACCGTATTGTATTATATAATATATCGTATTGTACCATATTGTATAGTATTGTACCCTATCGTATCTTAACGTATCGTACCAGTCTTGCGACAGTGGACAAAGACATAAAAAATTACAATAAACAAATGATCAGTCATGGTCTTGTTCGCTCATATAGAATCGTATCGTATTGTACCCTATCATATCAAATCGTATTGTACCCTATCATATCATATCATATCGTATCGTATCGTATCGTATCATATTGTATCATATTATACCGTATCGTATCGTATCGTATTTTACCATATTGTATCGTATTGTACCCTATCATATCAAATCGTATTGTACCCTATCATATCATATCATATCGTATCATATTGTATCGTATTATACCGTATCGTATTTTACCATATTGTATCGTATTGTACTCTAACGTATCGTAACGTATCGTACCAGTCTTGCGACAGTGGACATAAGACATAAAAAATTACAATAAACAAATGATCAGTCATGCTCATGTTTGCTTTGATGGAGTCAATAGGAGACATAATGCTTAATTTTCAGTCTGTACAACTATTTAGGTAAAACTCCTCAAAGAAGCTTCAAGCTTATATCAGAATCCATCAGTCTGCAAGGACAGTTAAATTGGTCAGTGGTTCTGACAGAAGCCAGCGCAACTGATTCAGAGTGTATTTTTCTACAGACACTAATGCATGTGCGTGCTCTCCGTGCCTAAATGGTGGGACATGTGTGGAAGAAGGAAAGAAGTTCTCTTGTCTCTGTGCCAAAGGCTGGGCTGGAGCTACCTGTCAGAACCCTCTGCCAAAATGTACGTATGCAGACCACACAAATGTTTAGGTAAACTGAAGATTTGATTGCACCTGGTCTGTTGAAGGTAATCAGACTGTCAAGGGATCTGATTTGCCAGAATAAGCAAAGGAAGTCTTGATGAATTCAGACCTAAGTCAAGGAATAAGGTGATTGAGAGGCAGTGCTCACAAAAAGAGACTTTGAACCCATGTAGAGAGACTTTTGTAACTATTAAATGGCCCCATATTGATTTGGGGATAGTTGGCTACTGCAGGTCTGGTGCTCACCGGACAGCAGCCAAACACCATTATCAGTACAGGGTCTAAAATTCTTCTACTGCTAGATTCCATGATATCAACTAAAGTCAATTATATATCTGGACGCGTTCATTTTTAAGGCTGTCTTAAAATGCTTTTGTACATGCTTCTGACTACAATATATGAACAATATTTAGCTCTGAATCACATCACATTAAGATGGTGAAATTTAAATCTTCCTATCTTCATTTCAAAGAGAAGATGTTTGTCAAAGTTATCGATCAACAGTTCTTCTCATGCTATCCTTTGTTACCCCTCTGGACGCACCCTGCAGACATTGCACTCTACAACAATCTTATACCAATGCATCTTATTTATTGGTGCCCTATTAGACTCAGTGACATATCTTAACACATTGGCTGAGTGAGACTAAGATGAACAATGACTTGAGATACGGAGTCCATTCATTGATGCCTTAAAAAAATGATCTCAGGACAGAAACAGAGCCTCTGCAATGAAAATACTGCCTCGAGAAGTAAAAAAAAAACTGCAACCTCTTCACATTTCTCTTTCCTGTCTTCCTAATTCAGTTTTTGTCATCATGACAAACACCTCTGCAGCCACCTCCCCTGCCACAAATGCTGCTGCAGCTGCCACCTTACCTGCTGCCACCACAGGGCCCTATGTCCGTCCATCACGTTGTACCGTTACACAGGGGACCACCCACTGCACCTGTGAGCCAGGATACACCATCTCTGGCAGGGACAGCAACACCTGCACTGGTACTCACAACACCTGCTACTAAAACAGATGTTCATGTCTAATGTCTCAATGCGGGAAGTTAACTGTGTGTGCACTGATCATTTCAGACATAGATGAATGTGAGCTGTTCCACAATGGCCAGGCTGGGAGACTGTGTTTGCACACGTGTGTTAACACACCTGGAGGCTACCGCTGCTCCTGTCCTGCTGGATACAATTCAACCCGAGACGGACGCAGCTGCAAAGGTGAACAGATTTTAGGTTTACTTTAAGAACTTTCTTTATTCCACAAATCTCACCCGAAATTTAACAAAGCTAGAATGCTCATTAATGCTATGATAAAACAAAACCATGTGCACACAACAGAACAGCATTAATGACTTTTGACTTCTTGGCCCATTTAGATAAAAAATACACCTACTTTATTCTGTTTAGTTTCTATGACATGAAAGATAAATCCTGTAAAAAGACCAAACCATATCAACACAAGACCTGGACTATCGATAACTCAGTAACAGTGAACCCATCTCTTGCATCATAAGCAAATATATAAAGCCTTAGAAATCCATCTATAGCTACAGACTGCTGAACAGGTCTATCGAAATTCACTACTCCAATCAGATTATAACACAATCATTAAATTAAAGTACGAGTATAATTCCATTCTGGGAGAACAGATTGGCAATTTATTATTAAAACTTAAACGGAGACACTTTGAGCTCGGTGACAAACCACAAAAGCTACTGGCGAGACAGTTAAAAGGAGAACAAGCAAAACGAGCTATTTATAAAATAAAATCTGAGTCTGGAGAGATGCTTACAGACTTGAAGGACATCAATGACCGTTTTAAAGAATTCTACTCAGAAATTTACACCTCCGAATCAACCGCTACACAGGAAGACTTCGACCAGTTTTTTGACTCGCTTAACTTTCCAAAATTAGACACAGTTTTTAGGAAGAGTCTGGACTCAGAGTTCTCTCTTTCTGAGTTACAGGACGCCATCAGAGCGTTCCCCACTGGTAAAGCGCCGGGCCCAGATGGGTTTGGGCCAGAGTTTTACAAAGCTTTTCTTGGGATCCTAGCACCCCCTCTGTTGAGAATGATTCGTGACACGTTTAAAAACAAACAGCTTCCACCCTCTCTCAGTGAAGCAAATATTTGCGTTTTATTAAAAAAAGACAAGGATGAAACAGACCCGGGCAGCTACAGGCCTATTGCCCTGCTAAATTACGATTTGAAAATAATTACAAAAGTTCTAGCGAACCGGCTCGGGAAGAATGTAGCAAGTATTATTCACCCTGACCAAACAGGATTTATCCCAGGCAGGTACTCCTTCTGTAATGTTCGCAAAATCCTTAATATAATTTATGCAGATTATAGCAAAGATGATAGAGCAGCTTTACTGTCCTTAGACGCTCGCAAGGCATTCGACATGATAGAATGGCCCTATCTATTTGCAACACTTAAAAAATTTGGATTCGGCGACACTTTCATAGAGTGGGTCAAGATATTATACAGCAATCCGAAATCTTCCATTCTAACGAATGGGGACAGATCAGGTTCGTTCACCCTGCAACGCGGCGTCCGTCAGGGAGACCCATTGTCCCCCCTGCTCTTCAATATAGCGTTGGAGCCGTTGGCCATTGGTATTAGAGGACATCCATATATTAAAGGTATTAGATCAGGCGGTACTGAGACCTGCGTGACTCTGTACGCAGACGACCTCCTTGTCTGTTTAGCTGACCCCATGGTTTCCATTCCTGTCTTACTAGAATACATAAATGACTTTGGGAGCATCTCTGGCTATACTATAAACTGGGGGAAGAGTGAGTTCATGCCCTTAACAGACCAACTCACGGATGATTTTTTGACAAAACTGCCTTTTAAAGTGACGAAGGAATATTTCACCTACTTAGGACTTAAACTGACGAAAAGTCCTGGGCATCTCTTCAAATTTAATTTTACAGAATCCATAGAAAAACTTAAAACAAATATTGAGTCCTGGAGAATATTGCCCCTATCTATGATCGGCCGAGTAAACGCAATCAAAATGGTGAGCCTACCCAGGTTTTTATACCTCTTCCAGAACTTGCCTATATTCTTAAATGCATCGTTTTTTAAGAAGCTTGACTCTATCGTATTGCCCTTTGTGTGGGGTTATAAATCACACAGGATATCTAAGGCTCACCTTCAAAAACCTTCCAGGAATGGTGGTCTGGGACTGCCTGTTTTTAAACATTACTACTGGGCAGCCAACTCCAGGGCCCTTTCTTACTGGAAGGGTGGAAGTGTTAAACCAGAGGAGAACCCTTTGTGGTTACAGTTGGAAGCCTCCGCGGTTGACATGTCATCACTTCCTGCACTTTTGTTTTCTGACCCCGCCCCAGTAGTGAAACTACTTAAACATAACTTCACCGTGAAAAATTCTTTACGCATTTTGAAGCAAATAAAAGCAGCGTGCCGGGTTCCCAGTGTCTCCGTACACGCACCCATATGTCAAAATCATTCTTTCCTGCCTGCCCGGTTGGACGGAGTGTTTGCGCTCTGGAGGGAGAAGGGTGTTAAAACATTTTCAGATCTGTACATCAACGGTCAACTGGCATCATTTGCTCAGCTAAGCAAAAAATTTAATCTTCCGAATTCTCACTTTTTTCGTTACCTCCAAGTCAGACACTATGTTAAGGAGAATTGGCCACATCTCAATTCCACCCCCACCACCCATCCCTTCCTTGAGACCCTCCAGCTCCCTCCAGAATCCAAACGGTTAATATCGAAATTTGTGGATTCATTTACTAAGTCAGTTTCCTCTGATTTTATCAGGGAAGCGTGGTCCAGGGACTTGAACTCTGAAATATCAGCAGAACTTTGGGAGCATGCAATGTCCCAAGTCCATTGTTGTTCTATTAACTCACGTTACAGGTTAATTCAGTACAAGGTGTTGCACAGATTGCACTACTCCAAAACAAAACTAAATCGTATTTTCCCATCCGTGTCCCCTGCATGTGATAAGTGTCATATTGCTGAGGGCTCACTAGCGCATCTTCTCTGGTCATGTCCTGAGTTGCACAACTATTGGTCAGCTATATTTGAACATCTGTCCAAAGCTTACTCCAGAGCCATTCAGCCTAACCATGTCCTGGCCATCCTTGGATGCTCGACTGAGACTTCTGATTTTCCGCATGACACTCAAGTTGCCCTGAACCTAGGGATGGTGGTGGCCAAGAAGATTATTCTCTTAACTTGGAAGTCTAGCACTCCTCCCACCTTTGCTCACTGGCTCAACGAGATGTTGTCGACTATTCAAATGGAAAGACTGCGCTTGCACAAACCCAACAACCCGAACAGATTTGAGAGAACTTGGGGACCCTTCTTGGCTCAGTGTCAGGTGTGATACCTGACTTAATCTTTCATATGATGGTACTTGGTTCAACTGATGCAACTGTTTCTTTTTTCTGAAAATTCATGTAAAACTACAATTGTCTGGCAGCCCTTTTGATTGTTTTTGATTGTTTCTTTACCGTTGTTTGTCTCGTACAGTTTTGTAAAGTTTAAAACTGAAAATAAAGTATTAAAAAAAAAAAAAAAGAAATCCATCTATGACAGCCCTTATAGGTATTTATTAGCATGCATAAAAGCTAATAACGATGTCTATGCAGTGAGCATAATGAGTTATCAAGGTATGGTGTATTCTGATTATACCTTAAAACCAAAGATAATTGGATTCTGGGTTTAAAACCTGGTTATAAATGTTGATAAAGAATTCATAAAAAAAAAGTTTTGGTAACACTTTATTTGACACCTATTTCTATAAGCCATTATAAATATATGTATAATGCGTTATAATCACATTATAGCACTGTATACCTTTTGTTATAAACACTCATAAATGATCATAATGCTTTATAGCAGTATCATAACACATTATAAAGCATTTTATCATGACTTACAAGGTCAGGTATTATAATGTGTTACTATCATTATAAACACTAATTAATTACCATAAGGCTTTATAACAATAAGCATAAAACATTATAATACCTGACCTTGTAAGTCATGATAAAATGGTTTATAATGTGTTATAATTATTGCCATAAAGCATTATGATCATTTATGAGTGTTTATAACTACAGTTATACAGTGCTATAATGTGAGTATAGCGCATTATACATATATTTAGAATGCGTTATAGAGATAGGCGTCAATAAAGTGTTTCCACATTTTTAAAATTTAAAATTTTTAATTTTATTATAATCATTATAAATGACAACTTCATTACAATTACTCCTTTCTACACTTATCAAGCATTGTTATAAGCTGTTGGGAATGCACATTTTCAATCATAAGGGTTGTTATAAAACATTGTAGGTGCATTTATAGACCTTTGTACATGTGCTTATGATGCTATATAAGGGTGGTTCATGTAAAGTGTTACCAATAACTCCTTTTGGGTGATCATGAACTTTCAAAACTTTCTCTGGATATCACTTCAGATTTTAAAAAGGTCAAAAAAATAGAATTGGATTTTATTCTGTTGTAATACTCGAGCAATCGTCTTACTGTGTTCATTCATGCTTTCTTCTCTCTTCTTAGACATTGATGAGTGTGCCACCAGACAAAACAACTGCACAAAGGACCAGATGTGCATTAATACATATGGAGGTTTCCAGTGTGTTCGTGTGGATTGCCCCAAAATCCCTCATGCTACATATGTCAAAACATCACCAATGTAAGCACCACCCTAAAACATTTCTGTTTTTTAAAATCCTCTTGCAAATCTTTTTTTTTTTTTATGTTGGATGCACAAAAAGGAGTCAGCAAGGGGATTTTAGCTGAATGACAACATGTATTAACCCAGCCTTCCTGTTCACTTTCACCCAAGGCGATGTGAGCGTAACCCCTGCCCCATGGACAACAAGGCGTGCTCTCAGACCCCCAACTCCTTCTCCTACCACTACCTGGCTGTGGTATCTAATCTGTCAGCTCCCCGCGTCATGTTTAGAGTGTCAGCACTGCGTCCCATGGGTGACACACTTCGCTTCTCCCTGCTGGGGGGAAAGCTAGCTCGGCGCCACTTCACAGTCCAGCGCTCAGACCGGCAGACGGGTCAGCTGATGCTGGTGGGCCCCGTGCAGGGCCCCGCCACGCTGGAGGCAGAAGTGGAGATGAGTGAGCTGGAGAGAGGAGTACAGTTGGGGAGGTATATCACCAAAGTCACCATGTTTGTTTCCCAGTATGACTTTTAAGAGGAGAGGCAAAATGTTGAGGCACAGAATTATGATAATTCAGCTTATCATGATGACCAAAAATCAAACAAAGAATATAAACTCTGCAAAAGTAAGACAGTATACATAAACACACACATACAGTATAAATCTCCAGGTGTTTAATAATATTATACATGTTTCACACTGTATTATCCAATAAATGTAATGGACAGATGTACTAACATTTCTTTAAAAAAGAAGTAGATATCAAAATTTTTTGATGTACGTTGGTGTTGTTTTACCTCAGTAGCAGGACCTTGTGTTGATGAATTCATATAGGTGTTCTTTATAAAGTCTGTGTAAGGTTTATACTGAAGAGGAAAGACATGTGGGAGCAGTACAGCAGGGACCAGTAACACAGTTTATCAAAAAATGTTTTTTTTGCAAGAAAATATCCTTTTTTGTGGTCATGGAGTTACATTCACTGATTATCAGTTGGATCAGTTTTATATCTGTTATGTTTCATGAAGTTTTAATGCAGCTGTACTATTGTTGCCTCTCATTCAAATAATAAATAAGGGAAAAAAGAAACCCATAAAAGTCTGTGTTTTATGCCCAAACACAAAATGAGTTAAAATGAATTTATAACAATTTGATCACTCAAATTTATAAGACTTTTAAAGACATATTGAATTTCCCATTGTGGATAAATAAATTTCTTATTCTTATCAAGATTTGCTGTCAACTTTCCAGTACTGTATACAGAGGTGCTAAGAATTTATAGGGCTTTCTTATGCTTGAAGTAAAGTCCTTCTTGCTGTTATATAATCTGCTGAAAAACTGCACCAAAGCATGAAACTTGATAAAGTGTAGGTTTCCAGAGGAAAACGAGGCATCTTTGGTGGCGCAGCAGACTCCCTACCAGGTCTTACAGATGACTCCCCCGAGGAGGAAGAGGAGGGGGGGACTGCAGCCACGGGTCCTTAAAACCAGATTGTACGCTGAGTGAAAAAAAAACCGATGCATGGAGATAGGGAGGCAGACAGAGTGATGGCTGAATGGAGGAGGCTGAATAGAGGACGATTCACTGGAGCTAGTCAGTCACAGGCTGACGGGTGCAGGCTGAATTAAAAGCTGCTGTCTTTATTACCAGAGCAGAATAGACCTCTCACTGTTCCCCACTCTGCTGCCTTAATAGAAGGGGAGAGGAAGAGATAGAAAGAGAGGCTGTCCTTCTGTCCGTCCCACAGGGAGTGGTCATGACTCTGTTTCCAAAGTTCAGCCAAACTCTTTTTTTCCCTTTTTGTCCCTGTATTGCACCCATCCTAAAACCCAAAGAAAAGTGTTCTGCTTGCTGCAAGGTCCATCATGGTGTGGCTTACAAAAAATTAACCAACCTGGCTCTTGGGAAATCTGCCTGGGATCCAATGGCGTCCACCCATGTTTCACTTTTCTCTTTTTCCTCTCCTTACGTTACATCCACATTTTCATCCTACTATCCCCACTCTTCCTCTTCTTTTTTTTTCCTTTTACAGCTCCTTCTACTAAGGTGAAGTCACACAGCGTAGATAAAAAAAAACTCTCCTAATTAGTGCTGGCAGAGTCGACAGGGTTGAAATCAATACCCTGATCTGAGTGTGGTTGTGAGGTCTGGTCATGAGAAACCTGCACACTTTGACAGCAGGCAGGGTTATCGCTGCCTCTTCCTTTTGAAAGGGAATACCTTAGCCATGTCTGAAGTTTAATGGAACAAAGGAGAGTGTGACTGGGTTTGCAGAGAGTGCAGACGGCACTCCACTATCAGTTCAGCTCCTGGCCATTAGATGTGGCATGCAGGCAGCAAAGGGGGGGTAAAGCCTTTTGAGCATTTTTTGCGATATCCTTGATATCAAGGGTGATTGTCCTGCACTAGTTGAATCCAAACAAAAAAACAATTTAACAATTTAAAAAAAAAACCAAAACACCAGAAAACTGAGAAAGCACTTAAAGAGTCGAAATCAATACAAGGAGACCATTAGACCACGGAAGGAGATACGCACGGACAAAGAGGGGATGAAACAGAGACGATGAGCAGCTGGGTCAATTAAACACAGGTGTGAAACAAATGAGGGAAATTGAATTAGAGGGAAACAAAGAATGTAAAACAAGAGGTCCATTTGAATAGGACAGTTCCTGAGTTCAGTGACCTGGAAGTCTTCAAGTGTTGGCCATAATTAGCTCTGTTAAAATTCTCCAAATGATAAGGAAAGGAGCGTCATTGCTTCCTTTATTACTTCCTTAAGCATAGGACCATCCTTCACCAAAGGAGAGAAGGAAAATTACCCATAGCACTCAATGCAACTGTAGGCTATTTTAAGTTGTGCCTCTCTTGACATGCATCTCAACAAACGTGCAGTATGACAGCAGCTGATCTGATGCCAAATTAACTGGATAAAATGACTATTTTTAATGAATCAAACTCATGTTGAGTGGTCAGAAGTCACCCTTTAACTTTGCAGGGGTCCAGCTCTGACTGCTCTGATTTTATTCATATAAAAATGGGTCAGTTAGCAGAAGTAATTAAACAAGTTTTACTTTAAGTTACCAAAGGTGAAGTGAATGTTTGTTAGGTTGATAATGCTGCTGAGCTCACCCTCTGCTTTTTTCATATCTATCTACATTTATCATGGGTTAGTTTGATTCATGTTATGTCAGAGAGAAAATTTTGGTCTTTATATTCTGAAAAGTCACTCAACTGGATAAAGACAAGAACAAAACGTTCAGGAATTTTTTGCACATATGAAAAGGGATTTATAATCATTCATACAGCCATAGATGAGGAACTACAATGTAAAATCAAACCACCTTAAATGCAGCAGACTGCACTGATTTAATTTTAAGAGTTATCACAGTGGGAAGCCTTTGCATTTTCAAACCAGTCTTACACTGCCCCCTGCTGTCAGTAAAGGAGTCATACTGCTTATACACTAAGTGAATAGTGAAGTGCATGTAGTCTATATTCAATGCTACATTACAGTACTTAATGCTTTCTCGGGTATTCTGACCCCTTGAAGCACTTTTACATTACATTAAATCCACACAATTACCCATTGATGGCAGAGGCTGCCATGTTAAGTACCATCAGTATGAACTGATACCAATCATCATACAGTACCACCACCAGCACAGCCAACGGTCTTACTCACTCCAACATGAGGGCAGCAGAACCTGGGATGAAACTGGGGTCAGGTCTGCAGTCACACTTCCCTCTTTTCCAATCTGCAGCCATCTCTCTTTTAGGATTTTTACATCAGGTCAATGCTGGTCACTTTTGGGATATAGATTTTTAGTGTCAATCTACTGTCATCACTTTGTTCTATAATTCTTTTCACATTTTATGATTTTCACACCACGTGCTTGGTCGTCCCATTATCAATGATTTTGACATTCTGCTGTCACTTTCTATGATTATTGTTATAAGCCCATGGCCATACTTTTTTACTGTTTATTGCTCCAGGTCAGCTGACTTCACTATTTTGATCATTTTTACGTCAGCTCCTTGGTCATGACTATTTGATGATTTTCAAGGTTGGTCCGCAGTCACCCTTTCTAACAGTTTTTGTGGATAACAAACTGTAACTTAGACAGAATAACTAAGAGTTGGCTGGACTCTATGGACAACTGTTCATATAACTATTTGTTTTATTCTGTTACTGAAGAATAGACAATGTTTTCTAACTGTTATTAAGGCAGTATTACTATTTTTGGTACATCAACCCTAATAAGCCCTTATACCGAACAAAGCATGTTGAGACAGTAGTTAATTCACATTAATGATTTAAAAATAAGATCACTGAGATAAAAAATCCAGTTAATGGCTTTGCAGTGGTGGAGTACACTCGTGCAAAATAAGGTGTTAACAAGTGGATGTGTAATTAAGAGCTAACAGACTACCAATGTACACACTAAACAATGAGTTAATAGCTACTACATGTATTCTGATCTAAAATGATACAACAGATGGTTCTTTTTCATGAAAAAATAACGCTCCAGCCAGCCTACAATCGTTTGTGATGTGTGCAGAATTTTTACATGTCTTGACCCAGCCATAATCATAAAACACATACAACCCTGCTGCTGTGCTTTAATAAGTCCTCAAGCTGGGCCGCTGGGACCTGATCGTCTGCCTTTAATTTCTGACTCTCCACATTCACAGCATGTAACATCACGGTGCAACATGTCCCACAGTGTCAGATCAGGTGTGAGCTTTTCTGTCGGTACATGCCTGCCCACAGCACAGAGGCTGAAGGTGATGGTTTTAAAGGACAGTCAATAGTTGGGTGTGAACTTCTGTGAAGATCTTTTGTTTCCAGGAAGATTATTGAGCATGATCACCCAGTGATTTAAAAAAATAATAATAAGAAGAAAAACAGACAATGACAGTGAAACAGAAAAGCCCTCATCGTGGTCAAGAAACTTAAGAGACAGGAATAGAGCTGGAGTCAAGAGACAACTTCCAGGAGTGGATTGTTGTCTGTCTTGGAAGCAAGCGTCTGTTTATAGAGATTAGTTGAAGTTGAGTTTCCATGGGATGAATGTCAACTGAGACTGGTTTCCACTAAGGCAGACTGTGTTCTGCATCCTTTGCTTTGCTACATACTTCCAAAGTGAACTCAAATTAGTAAAACCATGAAGTAAAGTGATATAAATGTAAAGTGCCAGTGCAGGGTAGGGGGTCAAACAAGTTATGTGAAACAAACTGTAGTAATAAAGAAAAACCTGAATTAATGCCTCTGTGAAAGTGCCACTGATAACTAGTTTTTATGTGGTATTGAATCATGATGGATTGCACAAGTACACTGTATGAAGTGTCTGCTGAGTGTGAACAGCACATTAAGTGTTATTATCGTCTAATGACCGAGAGCAAAGGCAGTGATCGAAAAGGACACTTTTTAAAAATAGTATAGCATTAAAAACGACACCCATTAACCCAGGTGGACAGAGACAACACACACACACACACACACACACACACACACACACTTATGTATGAAATACAGTATAGAAATGTTTAGGGGTCTGGAGGATCGTGACGTCAAGGTGCTGTCAAGTCATCTGTCACTGAGCTTCACTATAAAGGACACAACACAAGAATAACAGAGTGGTGACCAGACAGCCTGGGCAGGTAAGATTAACGAGCTAATAGAGAAATTCAAATGCTGGGGATACAGCCAGGAGGTCAGTTATTAGAGGTGAGTAAATGTCATGTTTAGCGTGCGTGCGTGCGTGCGTGCGTGCGTGCGTGCGTGCGTGCGTGCGTGCGTGCGTGTTTGCTTGAGACAGAGACAGGGACAGGAGTTGAATACTGATCTGGAGTTGGACAAATTTTTTGATCATTTTAATAGTCTTTTCATTTTTCAAAATAATGTTGATTGATGATTTGATGATTTGTTGCTGAAGGTAATTTATTTCTATGTGTAAAATGTTTAAAGTCAATATCTTGAACAGAACTTTTCTGGATAACCCACCTGAACAAGTTGGACTAAAATCAGCAGCTGAGTAAATTAGTTTCGTAACTTTATCAAACAGATAAAGAAAATCTGACGAAAGACGTGTTGTGAGCTTTGTAGAAGAGAAATTTAAGTTTAACATCACTGTGAAATCTGTATATTTAACAGCATAAGAAACCATGTGTATAAGAATTTCTGAGGTGGATTGATAAGATTTCATTTATGTGATCTGTTTTATTCTTGACATCAGAGTACCAACAGTAACTGAGGAAATCTGTTTTTATTTTCATGTTGCCATGTACTAGCAGGAGACATGTGACTTAAGCACAGTATCCTTCATTTGTGTGTTTTTTTCTTTTATAGTACCAATCTGACTAGAATGCAATTTGCCATAAATCTGTTTTATACCTTATCACGCCTCAGTTTCCTAGAAATGGCTGTATACTCATTTTGTGTCATTTTATGACTTTTGTGCATCAGATGTAAATAAAACAATCATCCTCATGGCATGTAGTCGAAAATGAAGATAGTTTAATATTGATATTGAGGTCTTTCTACCAAGTAATTGAAAATGAGATTTGGTTCAACATCCTTGACATGGATGAGATCATTTTAAGACCGGCCTAAGTCTTAAATTTGACGGTAATGCATTATTAATTCAATACTTTGCTGATTTTCTCCCTTCTTTTTCTTACTTTTTGTTTATGAGGAAAATTACAGTTTTCAAGGAGCGCTTTGGTCAAAGAAAATGTTTTGAATGCTTTGGAAGAGCTTTGATTTTGTTGTTGTGGGTTCATTCAGACAACAAGACACAGCCTTCCATAATATTCAAGATCTACTCCCAGTGACTCATACTGGTAACAGTGGATACACCGTCAGGCGCTATGGCCTCATGTAGTCTGAGTTGGACCTCTGATGGAGCCCCTGAGGTCGTTTGGGTGCTAAATTTTATCCTTTGCTCTTAGATTAATCATGTTGTGTGTTCTGCTCATGTTGTGACACTGTTAAGACAGAGCAATGTCTGAATCTTTCTTTATTTAAATGATGTCATTGTCCAGACAGCATGAGGTATACTAATGATCTTCATTTATCTAATCTTTTGATCTTTCAAACCATAGCTTAGCTCCCACATATCAATATAGCAAAGGCTGCAACAAACATTTTTTAATATGCTTTTACTTAATTATACCAAAGTGAGAAACTAAATTATTTATAACTTTTATTAACAGAAAAAAAAATACCAGTGAGATATATATATATATATAAACCTTCAAAATGAAAATCAAGAAAGCCAGACCCTGATTTATCAATGGTAACATTTGATTTGGATAGTTTGACCAACCACTCAACCACTCCCCACAAAACATCATTGTTTATCACAGTTTATGGCATCCTATAATCTTACAAAATATCCCTCACCAGCCCTCCCACACAATCACATGGTCAGATGTGGTTTTGATAGAAAAAGAAGTAAAAGAACTCTCACTTGGCTATTCACATAATCCATTTTAAATCACTGAGCATATTTCTGCAGATCCCATTAGACTTAAAGACACCCAGGTATATCTTATTATTTTTGAACATACTACCTTAAGCTAAGCTAAAACAATGATACCAGCAAGCTAACAATGTACACCATAAAGGCATTATGTGCTGAATATCTGCATAATGTTAATTCTTAATTCAATTGTATATGCAAACATTTAACGATGATAGGTAATAGCTATAGGTAGGTAATTATTTCTTTAAGCCTTTAATGATTTGTTTGACTTCATAATGAGTTCCTGATCTAGCTCCGGGACTAGACTGTTGTCTAGTGACATTACATTTATCTTCAACCTTCAGTCAGATACTCTGTAAATAAAATGACATCAGACAGTGTTTTTCTTCATTAATTGAGTTTGTACCTCTGAAAAGCTCAACAGAATCATATTTTTCTGGTTGCATGATAAACTAAAACTGAATTCAATAGACAAAGTAAAAGCAGCTAATCTGTGGTAACTTTGAACATAAACAAAGCAGCAGAGAGCAGAAGGTTGTGCAGTACTGATATTTACTATAACATCATGACCTGAGATGTAATATTTCTTCAGTACTTAGAAATCTAAGGTACAGTGATTCATAAAGCAAAATGTCCCAGTGCTGTATACTTTATATCAGCACTCATGGGCTGCCTCTGGTCCTATAAGTCTTTTCAGAATTAAATGTTGCATCAAAAAGTATATTAAAATAGCCACTGCTGTTTCATGTATAAGAAGATTTTGTTTGGAGACGTAATCTGGCATTCTATTAACATTGATGGCATTTATTGAGTTTTTTCCCTCCCTAACTCCTGAGCAGCATGCTGGCCCAAATGCAAATTTTATAATGAAATGTTTAATAATTACTTATGTCAAAAAAGTCAGTGATTAAAATTAAAGACAACAAACTTTTTTTCTGATAGTTCTAACTTAGCTGTACCATTTCACAGGAAAAGAGAAACATAAAGTATTGCTGATTTGTCATTAGGGAAATATTTAGCGACCTGGCCTGCCTGCATGGATAAACCCTTCCATGAAATCAATCTAAATATGTTGAATTTTACATTGTGTACCATGATCTGTTTCCCACAGGTGTCAATTTTTTCTGCAGTTTTATCTTAAACTTCTCCTGCAGGATCTGATCCACTTCGTCTTCCTTTATATCCCTCATCTCATAGTAATCAACACCTTCCTCAGGTCTGAAGGTGATCTCACTGTAAGTCCAACCAATCAGGGATATGAACCCTGTTGGTGTTTGCAAACTGCAGATGTACTTGTTGCTAAAAATGGAGGCTGGGTCAGTTTGGAGTTTGTCATTTATGTAGAGGAAACTGTCTATCTCAGTAGGTTCCAGGGTGAAGCGGTAGAGAGGGTTGGTTTCTGATCTGTTGATCAGGCTTGATTTGGCGAAGTCTGGATCAAGAATCTTTGGTTTTCTGCCTGTCCTCTCCAGCACCCAGGTGCCCCCCTCTTCTATCAGCCGAAAGACACCAGATGCCTGAGGTTGGTCCTTCCCAGAGATGAGCTCCAGGGGCTCCCGCAGCTCACCAGACAACCCATAACTCACATCTGCTATGTAAGCTTTTCCATCAATGACCACCTTCAGGATAAGATGAGACTTAAAAGGCAAATAATCACTGTGGGAAGCCATGTAAGTTCTGGACGTGAGAGTTGTGCAGTCATAACCCATTTCCTTGAGCACCCAGCCAAACAAGTGGTTGCTCTCAAGGCACCAGCCCCCACGGTTGCTCCTCACAATCTTGTTATATGTCACCTCAAGATCCAGAACCATCCTCTCTCCACAGTGCATGCTGAGGTTTTCAAATGGGATTGTCATGACGTGCTGTTTGTGAACCATCTTCAGTGTTTCAAGATCAGGTTTACTGAAAGAGCCATGGAAGTCAGTTCTTCGGAAGTATTCCTCTAGATTCATCTTGGCTGTAACACAAAGGACACCCTGTGGTCGTACAAAATGGCATTATCAAAAACTTTATAGAGTGTTGATAACCTGCAAGAAACACCAACTTCTTCCACAGTGGCACAGAATTATGCAAAGTTATTAACTTTATGCTCAAAATGACCTAAAATTGCAAGTTTCAAACATTTTTGCTACACTGGCTTTCAGAGATATATGAGTTGGTATTTAACCTGGTCTCACTTTTCTGCTTGAGCCAGGACTTAACTGAAGAGTTTATAGACACATGAAGTATTGAAACTGTGCTGCTATATACCAGAAAAATTAGGATTTATCTCAAAAAAATTTACATGGTCTGCTTTATTATCAGGTCTTCAGCTCATGAACTGAGTTAACAGTCAGTTTCATCTATCCATCTTGGTAGATTTTCATTCAATAGTTATTTTCCTAATCTTAAAATATTTGATCTGTCAAATGTCAGCTGAACCAGCAAACCTCTTACCTTCAAACTTTGATGTGATGAAGGGCTGTGAGATGTTGTGGCTGAGAAGTGACAATGAAGCACAGCACAGCTATCCTCCAGTTAAGAAGTTGTTTGCATATTGCATGTATGCCGAAGGCACAGTTGTTGATGTAATGACTCCATCTATCAATATAATTAAACAGATAATAATGCAATGGTGCAATAATATTCACAATATTGAACAAGTCTAAGAAGCGTTTATGAGAATGGACGTCATGCAATAAATAAATAATTTCCTCCCTTATATTATGCATAAATGTAACCCGGGTCAATGTATACAAAGTGTAATATACTGTTTAAAGGCTACGCTAAAATAAAATGAAAAGGTAATGTGTGACATTCAGGTATGGTACAGATATGTTTTAAGTTTCAATGTGTTTTTTTTTAATCTTAGGCTGTTATCTGCAAATCTTGCATTATTATTTGTACAAGCAACCAGTCAGAGAGCTTGGTTAGCATCCCCATACAGATATCCAATGATATTTACTTTAAAAATGTAAAATAATGTGAAGACATCGATCCATTGTCATACAATAATGTAATGCTCAAAACTTTTAAATCAGATTGTTGAGCTCATCCCCTTGCCTGAGAAATGCTAATTTATGTTAAGTGGTCTCAGCCTTTCTTCCATTAAAGTGTATAAAAGCTGCTCTGTTCTGTCAAGTAGACTGCTCTAACATGGAATCAGATAGCAAGGAACCTCTCTCCAAGATGGCATCTGCGTATGAACACTCGACAAGTCCATGGGTGGTATCATCAATCGGTACATTCATGCTGGACACAGACACAACTTTGAGACACACAGGTTTATCTGATTAATCTTTAATTTAGTACTCAACAGTCAGTGAAGACGTTTGTATTATCAGGTTTACAAAGAATATCATTGGGGCAAACATTGTGTGCTAATGTTAAACATAATTTCTTAACCCCTATTGTGATGTTGATTTTGATTGTATGTGCAGACTTTTAATGGTAAAGGTGAAAACTGTCAACAGTTTGTTATTTCTTTAAGTGTTTAATGATTCATTCGCCTTCAGCTATAGAGTTCCTGGACTACTTCCCTGACTTGGACTGATCTGTTGCCAAGTAATTTGCATTTTTCTCAACTCGCTCTACTCACTGTTTGTTCATATTTCAGCAGACATTCATTTCATGTATGTACATTTATGTTTCCCTTCATCATGTGATTGCTCTTCATAGTGGAAATCTGATTGGTCACTTGGCATTCTATGAGTTCTGGTATGGTGTACAACAGATCTGCCACTTTTTACTCTATCAACCTGCAGCCAGGTGTTTTAAATTAGCATTGATTAATCAGGCTGATACATTTGATTGGCACAACAAACTCGTTTCACTGGTGCATGACAAATGAAAGCAAACAAATACATCTATATAGTACAACAGAGCCAGTTTAATGATAACCTGAGACAGAATCAAAGTACCAGAGTGCAGGAGATTGTTTGATAGATAGAACAAAAACTACACATCTGTTGTTGTCCTTACATTTTACTTCTATACTGCTTACTTAACTTTTGAAGGAAAGAAATATCTTGCTTAACATCAATGAATCAAATTCTTTGTCAAACCCCCTTTCAATTCATATAGAATTCTTGTAATGAAGGTCTGTATTGAAGGTTTGTTGTCTGTGTCGACAACAAAACCAGTGATTTAAGTAGAAATAGTCACAATATTGCTGCAGAATTTCACTATAAAATAAATACAAAGATAATGCAAAGTACTGCTAAAGTATTTGAGAAAAATCAAGCAACCTACTCTGCCTGACTAAATATAAACCCCTATTTATTTTTAATTATCCCAGGAGAGTTAATAACAGAAATGTTGAATTTTACATTGTGTACCATGATTTATTTGCTACAGGTGTCAATTTTTTCTGCAGTTTTATCTTAAACTTCTCCTGCAGGATCTGATCCACTTCGTCTTCCTTTATTTCCCTCATATCATAATAATCAACACCCTCCTCAGGTTTGAAGGTGATCTCACTGTAAGTCCAACCAATCAGGGATATGACCCCTGTTGGTGTTTGCAAACTGCAGATGTACTTGTTGCTAAAAATGGAGGCTGGGTCAGTTTGGAGTTTATCATTGATGTAGAGGAAACTGTCTACCTCAGTAGGTTCCAGGGTGAAGCGATGGATAGGGTATGCTTCTAATCTGTTGATCAAACTTGTTTTGGTAAAATTTGGATCAAGAATCTTTAGTTTTCTGTTGGTTTTCTCCAGCGCCCAGAAGCCCCCCTCTTCTATCAGCCGAAAGACACCAGGTCCCTGAGGTTGGTCCTTCCCAGAGATGAGCTCCAGGGGCTCCCACAGTTGGCAAGTCATCCCATAACTCACATCTGCTAAGTAAGCTTTTCCATCAATAACTACCTTGTGGATGAGATGAGACTCAATTGGAGAGTAGTCATTGAGGGGAACCATGAAGCATTTGGACTTGAGAGTTGTGCAGTCATAACCCATTTCTCTCAGCACCCAACCAAACAGGTAGTTGTTTTCAAGGCACCAGCCCCCACGGTTGCTCCTCACAATCTTATTGTATGCCACCTCAATGTCCAGGACTATCCTCTCTCCACAGTGCATGCTGAGGTTTTCAAATGGGACTGTCATGACGTGCTGTTTGTGAACCATCTTCAGTGTTTCAAGATCAGGTTTCCTGAAAGAGCCATGGAAGTCAATTCTTCTCATGTATTCCTCCAGACTCATTTTGCCTGAAACACAAAAGACACTACATTTTATATTACTTTCTTAAAAAGGACTTAAAAAGCTTTTTTTTCCTGAAAATTCAACACCTCTACTCAGTACTAAGATAATAAATGAATAAAATGTAAGTGCCTAATTTTACATTGCAGTTCAAAATTTTAAAAAAGTATGCTGTTTATCTAAAAGCAAAAATTCTCATCCAATGACAGATTAAAGTTAACTATTTCTTCACACACTGGCTTGAGGTTGTTAGAAATTTATTTTGCAATTTGCCACTGCAGTACTGTGTCTGTTCCTTCAGAAGCTTCAGATCCAAAATGCAGAAAATCTGTCACTTGTCAGACCAGATATGATTTGCTTCTAAAATAGTTAAACTGCTTTTAGAAACGGAATGTTTAGCTTTTCTTGGTAGCCTACTTGTCTCGGCAGAATTACATCAACAGTTTATCTTTTTGCCATCATAAATCTGTTGATCTATCTAATACCAGCTTTGCAGCAAACCTCTTACCTTGAAGTTGAGACATGGTTGTGATGCAGCAGTTTGAAGTTAAAATGATAGCGTGCAGCGCACCTACCTTTGTTTGCAAACATCTACGTTAATGGTTTACAGAAAACCTCTACAAAGTTAAAATTTGTCCTTTCCTTAGAAAATAAACTGCAGGTTTCATGTATTCATGGATATGGGTACAAAGTATAGATTAGCAGCAGCTTTTATAAACAGTGAAACGTTCTCATTTAATTTTGTGGGAAGCTTATCAGAGGTAAAGGTCTTGTTTAAGAAAAGAACTTTACTTATCCCTGATCCCATGATTATTCAATCATTGTTTATACCATTGTGTTAATCTATTAGATTCAAAGCGAAACAACTCTAAAGAAATCGTCTCTTATTCTCTAAGCATACAGGAAGCTACACTGTTTTAAACATATCCATGTACATTTTTTTAAGATTCACCTGCTGTGTTTTTACAAATACCTGGTGCACTTACAACAGCCAGCCAGGGGGTGGCAGTGTAAAAGAAAACTTTCTTATGTCCCCTGAAGTGACTGAAGTGAAAAATATGTGTGACATTGTGATACATGGGTTCAGTCGTGTACTCGGGGATGGTCTGAAGTATGTAAGACAAAAAAGGTTCCCTCTAGATGCTCCTGAAATGGATAAGATATATCTCTTTAAAAGTGCCCTGGAAGTGATGTCCAGTTGTATTGGACAAAAAAGGGCACTCTGTATGCCCTCCCAGTCGGTCATTTTTTTTTTAAAACTGTCCATCAGAGGTTCCAGTAGATAAAATGTAAAAAACAAAAATTACGTGGATGTGTAAAATGTGTAATGTGGGTTCTCTGGGCACCTTTCCAGAATAAATCCAATGTGTAAAAAGTACTCTCTAGATCCCCTATCACAATGTAAAATATCTGAAAAATGTCCTCTGGTTTTGTCCCAGCTGATAAAACATGATAATGCGCTTCTTGGCTGCCCTTCAATTATATAAGGTGATCTCTGTGTACTCTCTTCATAGAACTGCTAGAGGCAGATCTTCATTGTTACCGACCGTCTATGCACTGAGTGCCCCATGGCAAAAAGGAGGTGCCCTCTGTCATTTTTTCATCCTGCTCCTCATACAGCCTCAATTCACCACTGCAGGAGTCTTTTCAAGTCAGCCCATACTGTTTTTTTTTTTCAACAGCTGTTAAACTATTTGGAAACTCGAGCGAAAAAGAAGTTTTCCAAATGCATGGAAAACAAGTTGATATCCCTGCGAAACGATAAGCAATACTTTAATAATGTAGTCGTGTGGATTTGTGGTCGTGTGGTTCAATCTGTATCACAGCCATTAACAGTCAAAGCAGTGTCTGTTTTCTCCTGTTTTATTGATTTTATGTTACAAACAGCACACAGTTAAATCACAGTGTACATTCTAATCATCATTTAAATGCTGATTGGCTTTAATATTTGACTGTAGCAGGAAATGGTTTATTTTTATTTTACTGTTTATTATGCTGTTTTTCCTAATATCACAGAGCTAACTTAATTATCAACTTCTAAAAATGGAGGTCGATGGCTGACTTAAAAATATAAAAATGAATCCACAGTCAGGCCCTGATTTATCCTCACAAGGTAACATCATTCAGGACAACCGGATCAACCATACTCACCACAGAACATCACAGTTTGTACATTTCTACTATAAAAATGAACATCCCACAATCATAGGCTTCAGAAAAAGAGCAGAAAACAGTTTCAAAAACTCACTTCTTCAGACAATGCATCAGTGAGCACGCTTATGCAGAACACAGATGAGTCTTAAGGTATATCTGATTACTTGTTAACATATTGCTTGAACTTTGGAAGAGTACATTTGTGTAAGCATTTACAAAAGATGTTATCACAGAGAAGAATATTTGACTTTTAGGAGTTATGATGGTTAAAGTCTGTAAGGACGAATAAGTACATTAGAGGGGCGTTCCAGTCCAGAGTTTTTATTTCCAATACATTCAACTGGTTACTGGTTTGCTGCTGTCTAAAACTCAGTGGGACTAACCTGGTTAAACAATGCGCAAATACCTTTAGGAAATGTAAAAAACATGGACATGGACAAGTCATAATGTTGTTCTGAACAGCAAAACAATCTTATAATGTGTACCATGACTTATTTGCAACAGGCTTCAATTTTTTCTGTAATTTTATCGTCAACTTCTCCTGCAGGATCTGATCCACTTCGTCTTCCTTTATATCCCTCATCTCATAGTAATCAACACCTTCCTCAGGTTTGAAGGTGATCTCACTGTAAGTCAAACCAATCAGGCCTCTGAATCCTGTTGGTGTTTGCAAACAGCAGATGGATTTATTGCTGAACAGTGTGTTTGGGTCCGTTTGGAGTTTGTCATTTGCGTACTGTAAAGTGGACGGGTCACGAGGTTCCAGGGTGAAACGGTAGACAGGGTTGGTTTCTGATCTGTTAATCAGACTTGATTTGGCGAAGTCTGGATCAAGAATCTTTGGTTTTCTTCCTGTCCTCTCCAGCACCCAGGTGCTGTCTGTGTTTATCAGCCGAAAGACACCAGATGCCTGAGGTTGGTCCTTCCCGGAGATGAGCTCCAGGGGCTCCCGCAATTGAGAAGACGTCCCATAACTCACATCTGCTATGTAAGCTTTTCCATCAATGACCACCTTATGGATGAGATGAGACTCAATTGGAGAATAGTCTTTCCGGGAAGTCATGAAAACTCTGGAGATGAGACTTGTGCAGTCGTAACCCATTTCTCTCAGCACCCAGCCAAAGAGTTGGTTGTTTTCAAGGCACCAGCCCCCACGGTTGCTCCTCACAATCTTGTTGTATGTCACCTCAAGATCTAGAACCATCCTCTCTCCACAGTGCATGCTGAGGTTTTCAAATGGGACTGTCATGACGTGCTGTTTGTGAACCATCTTCAGTGTTTCAAGATCAGGTTTACTGAAAAAGCCATGGAAGTCAATTCTTCTGAAGTATTCCTCTAGATTCATCTTGGCTGTAACACAAAGGATATCGCATGATGTTATTGTACCGTTGAATGCACTTTTAGGAATTCCAAAAGACAGTCATGGAAACCCTTTCTTTATGTAATGAAAGATTTAGATCTAAAATGTCCTGAGTCATTAAACACTCAAACAGATCCACCCAATTAGACAAGCTCATCTTTTTCATCCCAATGAATACAATATATCATAGGGTGACAAAGTTTCCTGCACTGGCTCTGTTTTGGGGGGAGTTATCTTGGAGCATGCTTCTGCTGTAACTTTTGCACCAAGTTGTTCAAGGAAATGTTTCCTGACACGTTTTAAAGAGTTGCTTAAGTAAAATAGGCTGCAGAAACTTGGTTTCTAATCAGGGTACATAACATGGTTTGTCCTGACTTAAGTTATACTGCTGGAATGTACAGTCAGTGTACCCCGCCCACTTTAAAGGAATTTCATGTTACCAGCAGTTTCTGGATCCTTTTGTACTCTTTCGGTCGATGATGTATCAAAGTTGGATAAGACACGCTTTTACCTTGACACCTTGACCTGACTTGCAGCTTTGGGTTGATGTTGCAGTTTGGGTTGATGGGAAAACACGACGTTCTAGCTCCTCTCGAGATAGTCTCTGAAGTTATTTAGGGACGTCTTTGCTCGGTGTTGCCAGATCAGCTGTTTCCTGCTCATAAACTGTCCAAAAACCCAGAATGAATGCGCAAAAAACGCCAATAATGTGAACACATCTTTAAGCTCTGTAATGTTCAAAACTTACACAAAAAACATCATGCGCATGCACATAAAGTAAGTTTTAGCACAGCAAATCACAGGAGACTACATGAAAACAGACAGCTATCGTTTTTGTTACAGGGGACTCATCTGTGTCCCTCTTTGTACAAGCACAAAACACATCAGTGCGCTAAAAACAGACGCAGTGCAATATAGAGTATAGTGATGATTATTAACAGACACCCCTGTAATTAATTAGTATAATTATGAAATGTAACTCTGAGCTGACTTGTGGTAATGATCTTACCTTAAGTAGAACATCCGCTGTGGTGGGCGACGACACATACAGCACTTACACATGTAACTAGAAGGTGTGTCTTTTAATGATAAATCATGTGTACTCTCACCGGTGTGGAGCTTAAAAACTAGATGTGACATTATTTAGCTACATACATTTTTCTTAATTTTTAGAATTATAGTCACTATCGCTAAAGGCAAAACCTGCCCAATGTATGATAAACCTGTCCAAAATAATGCCAACCTGTCCAAGTCCATTTAAACGTGCATAATCTCAGCCAAAACCGACTATTTAGGTGCAAAACCACCCAATCTGGCAACCACGTTTGGGCTTCCTTCTTATTATTCGTCTCCCTTCGTTCCTGCGTTTATTGGCCGGGCGCCAATAGCAGACCACGGGATGTTTTGGAACACCAGTATTCCCAGTAATACTGTCTGGGAAGAGGTAACATGACATTGTAGCACTTGCTGCCTCGTATTAAATAATCATTAGCAAACTTATTTATTTATTTATTATTATTATCATTATTATTATTATTATTATTATTATTATTATTATTATTATTATCACTTCTCCATTTATATATATCTTTTCATCTGTGTTTCAGGGGGTAGGTCTGTGTCAGTCCCTACCATATGAGCGCTCTTATGTGGAGTTAGTGCACTTTCCTTCAGGCTGGATCAGCAGACTCTTCATACTGAAGTAGTCCAGTTGATATTAAAGACCCCCCTCATATTCAATAAAGTTAAAACAATAAAAAAAATACTTCGCAACAGGAATATATCTTTGTTTTGGGGTCAAATAACTGCACAAGACTAAAGGAAGTAAACTACTGTATCCCTGGTTTGTGTTGAGGGCTTTAGGGCGGGGACTGGGGTTGAGCCATGCATTGACTGAACTGTACGTAAGTTACGTAACAAGTGGCGCGTTACGTACAGCCCCGACCAAGGAAGTGCAGACCGGTGCTCTCTCACCACCAGTGTTACCGAACACTGTTGAGTGTGTGAAAGTCCACAAACATTGAGCTCGTTTTCTATCTGGTCCATGCTGAGGTTAGTGTAAAAATTAAATGGTTCTACTTTGATAGTTTAGTGCGCAAACTGTAAGTATGTAGTAACTATTTGCTGTATTTGCACGTATGTGACCGGGTAAATTTGAACCAAGCCTTCTGCATCAGTCCTTACAGATATAAGTGTGGTAGTTTGTGTGAAATCTTAAAAAGAAGAAACATATTTTGCAGGTTACAGACAGTTTGGTCATGTAATTTCCTATCTAATGAATATTTTTACCTTTACTTACTTTTCTGAAACCCACAGATACGCCCTGCTGCAATGAAAACTGCGGGTCAACAAACATTTTGTATAACTGGGGGATGTGGCTATGTTGGTTATCGGTAAGTATACAACTTTGGCTGAATTCACCACATATTCTGTACCATCTGTAAAGTCGGAGAAATCATAGAGTTGCTTTCTGCTGTCACACTTCTTTTCTACAACAAGATGGCGCTATTGCATAAGTTATATTTGGCTACTTCAGTGTTTTGCCAGAATTGAACCCAGGAAGATACACAATACATGAAAGACGTGTTTCTGCAAAGTTTTTTTGCTTCGAATGACCATTTACTTCCTCTGATAGAATAAAGAACATGTATTTTTTTTATTGCACACAAAATCTAATATTCACTCATTTGTTTCCTCCTGCAGCCTTGCATGTTCCCTGCATAAAAAAGGAGCCAAAATCATACTTTTTGACACAATCCCTCCAAATCAAGAACTGCCAGAGGACATTGTGTTCATTCAGGGAGACATACGTGATTATGCACACGTTGAGAAGGCCATCACTGGTGCGGACTGTGTGCTCCACCTTGCCTCCTATGGCATGTCTGGCAGGGAGCAGCTGAACCCGCCTCTGATCGAGGCGGTGAATGTACAGGGCACACAGAACGTCCTGAAGGCTTGCATTGAGCTTGGAGTGTCCAGGCTGGTTTACACAAGCACCTTCAACGTGGTGTTTGGAGGCCAAGTGATAGAGAACGGGGATGAAAGCCTTCCTTATCTACCTCTCCATCTACACCCTGACCATTACTCCAGAACAAAGTCCCTGGCTGAGATGGCGGTGCTAAATGCTAATGGCACAGCTCTGAAGGACGGCTCTGACGTGCTGAGAACTTGTGCGCTGCGCCCAGCAGGGATCTATGGGCCTGGTGAGCAGAGACACCTGCCCAGAATAGTGAGCTACATAGAGAAAGGGATCTTCAGGTTTGTTTACGGTGACCCCTGCAGTCTGGTGGAGTTTGTCCATGTGGACAACCTGGTGTCGGCACACGAGCTTGCTGCAGAGGCTCTGACATCAGAGAAGGAGCACCGCTCTGCTGGTCAGGCATACTTCATCTCAGATGGTCGTCCTGTAAACAACTTTGAATTCTTTCGACCCCTGGTGGAGGGCTTGGGTTATCCTTTTCCAAAGCTGCGTCTTCCCATTTCTCTCATCTACTTTTTTGCCTTCCTCACAGAAATGGTTCACCACCTCATTGGCCCCCTCTACAACTTCCAACCTCTGCTCACACGCACAGAGGTGTACAAAACTGGTGTGACGCATTACTTCAGCATGACAAAAGCTAAGGTAGAGCTGGGTTATGAGCCCCAGGAGTACAACCTGGATGAGGTGGTTCAATGGTTCAGAAGCAGAGGGCATGGGAAAAAATCTCACGGCTCCTCTCTCAGCCGATTGCTGCGAGATGTCCTGTTTGTTTCTGCTCTTGTTGCTGTGGCGTTTTCTTTTCTTCCACTGGTTGGCAGTTGATGCACCGCTACAGGAAACTAGAATTCCAACATTTTCTCAAGACAGCTATATGACAACTGGTTCATAAATACACTGTTTACATGTCCGAATTTGTAAACGTGCACATTTGTTTTCAAAATGGTTAGTACATATAGGTGCTTTAACCATAAAGGCAGCTCTAGGTACAGACCAACTCAAAGCAAAAATGAACGTGTTGACCTTTTTCTTTTTGTACTGTAACTTCAAACTCTATCAATCAAGTGCAATCTCGGTACCTTTAATGTATCATTTTACCTCCTTCTTCAGAGACGTTACCTGGAAAACATGCAAGAAAGAAAATCACTGACAGTAGATAGATAGATAGATAGATAGATAGATAGATAGATAGATAGACTTTATTGATTCCAAACTGGTAAATTCTCAAAAGTAGTCTTGGAAGATATGTTTTAATGCCTTTTTAACTTCATATGAAAATAACTCGCAATGTTGGGAAAGAATAAAACTTTTCAAGTAAAATGCAGCTTTTGTGATTTTTATTCAAGATTAAGTTATTTTTCAATTCCTTAAATGCACCATTTTCATTTGAATAACCCTTTAAAATATATATTTGCGTTCTGTTTGATAACATATGGTAATAGCCAGATCTGTCTCAGTTAAAACATATCAAATGACTAATTTAACAGTGGCCTTAATTTGGGGTCATTACACATTACTATTCCCATGCTGTTTGCTCTATTATGACTCACTTGCATTAAGCTTGGTGAGATAGAATTAATCATAATATCTAAATGCAGCTTTTTTATAGCTTGCATTAAATATTTGTGATAACTAGTTTGGTCCTATTCAGCATCAGAGTATTTTTGAGAACCTAACAATGGTGACCGGCAAGAATCTTCATTTTACCTGATTATAAAAAAGATGGATAAACTTGAGTTGTTATCAGCCTTGTACTCCATGATCATTTCATTGCAGCTTATATCTGGTGTAAAAGGAATCGGACCAGGTGAGGCGTGCTTTGTGTGGTATTTTAGTCTGCCTGGGATGAATGCAGACGTCCCCTTCTCTCTAAACTATTCTCTTTTCAGAGCCGGCAGCCCCTTGCTGAGTTGGTCGCAATCATTGTTTCTCTGCAGCATTAACCACATTCCTGAGGGGCGCAGCGCATCCTGTCTCCATCCCCGCATTCCTTTCACGCGAACGAGTCCCTTGTGTAAAACGCTATTTTATTTGGATTATTAAAAGCTTTGCGGGTTCGGATTCATACTGAAAGCATATTTATAGCATATCCGATTATTCAGTCTACTTTGCTTTGTAGCATTGAGACTGTGAGTCAAACTAGAGGGAAAACCAACAAGGGGAAATTCCTCCGCGCAGCGCGCCATTGACTGTAAAGACCTTTCAACTTAACAAAAACTGAAGTTGACAAACGTATCCCTGTCGGCTGAAACTGTGAGAAAGAGTTTGTTTTTTCGGCGGAGGGGGAGAAGCGGCAGAAGACGATGCGGCACACGGTGGAGCTTTCAGAGTACGTTGGCGGTTTTCTGTAAATGAGAGAGAGAGAGGGCTGTAGCGCGGCGTTTTGTTTTGATTTCCATGTGAAATGCAATTAGTGCTCCGCGGTGCTCGCTGCTAGTTTGGCTCGCGGAGCGGAGCACACTCTCAACTTGTTTCTCGCGCAACATGGAGCACTACCAGGAGGATTTGGGACTCCGGGCCAGTACATTGATGGAGGACCTTTCCTTGTATGATTCCTATAAAGACGGGATGTATAACGCGAGGAGAGACTTGGTGATAAACCCCGATTTAGACTTTTCCGAGCACAAAAGTAAGCCAATGAATGGTACCTCTGTGCTCCACCAGCAGCATCACACTGTGGAGAATTTCACCACGGGGAATAAAGTGTACACGGCGGCTCCGGTGCGACCTGTGAACTGCACCCGGACCGTGCCTGTGGATTTCTGCGCCCCTCAAAGAGACGCAGGGTACAGTGAGGAGGGCTGCTGCACCAAATCCGAGGTGGCTCTGCCCTGCTACACGGGCGCTTCAGAGAGGCACAGGAGGTACTCTCTGGAGGTGCAGGGCCACAGGTACAGCACCGGGTCCACCTTCGACGGCGTGCCTCTCAATAAACCGGTGCCTCTGCCCGGCAACAGGTGCAACAGCATCTGCATCACCAGCAGCCACGACGGGAGATACAACGCCACAAGCCCCCGGTCCAGCCTAGCGTCGTCCCTGTCCTCGCAGGAGCAGAGCAAGCATGCCAGCCCGAGGTCCAGCATCAGCAGCCCGCGTACTAGCCTCGTAGTACCGGGTCAGGACAGGTACACGAGCCCCAGGTCGAGTTTGGTGCACTGCGAGGGCAACAGTGTCCTCAGTCCGAGATCCAGCTATGCAAGCACGGCCAGCGACACCAGTAAACACTCCAGCCCGAGGACCAGCCTCAACAGCTGCGACTGCTGCAGCAAACCCAGCAGCAACCGGACCAGCGGCATCAGCATGGGCTACGACCAGAGGCACACCAGCCCCAGGTCCAGCACAGCCAGCCAGTACTCCTTTACCACCAGTCCGAGGTCCAGTTACTCGGATTCAAGGTACGGGCCCGGGGGCAACCACGATCTAGATGGGGCGATTTTACATCCAGCACCGAGTCCGAGGTCCAGCATCTGCAGCCAGGATGGGAGTGCAAGACAGGGTACCACCGCCAACTGCGTGGTCAGTCCCCGATCCAGCATCTCTAGTCACAGTTCGAGAAGTTCCCGCAGCTCCAGGGGGTCTATGAGCACCTACCCGGACCTGCAGCTGCCCTCACCCAGGTCATCCATGCTGGGAACAAGTTTGCACGAGGACACCTTGTTGCAGGAGTTTGGAGACTCCAACGGTATCCAGAACCGCCTCCACCTGCAGGGACTCTCTGCGGTGCCCGAGCCCCAGCAGCAGTCAGCCCTGACGGGAGGACCTGCGGAGATGACTGGGTCACCCTCATCGTTAAGCTACGGGATATCTCCTAAAACAGCGACCTCAGGGCAGAGGTTCAAGATACCCTACCAGGTGACCCCAAGCAGGGAGAGTGGGCCGAGCCAGGCGGAGAGACGGCTGGAGGCGCTCACCTTAGAGCTGGAGAAGGAGTTGGAGATGCACATGAAAAAGGAATACTTTGGTAGGTCATAGTAATCGCAGGTGTCTTTAACCCTAGAACACTATCACTAAAATTACTAACACCATCACTATCACCAGGTGATTTTTACCTGAAATAATATACCCAAGAAAAAGTACTTGTCATCAAAATATATCAATATACAATACATGACAAATTTGATAAGTTTTCTTTTATTTTTAACTGTGCAATGACCAAAGGGAGGGGGAAAAGTCATTAGGGGACCATATAAAAATGCAACAAAATAACTAAAATTAGGCATTCATGAACAAAAAAATCCTTAACATATATATACTTATATATATAGAGAGAGAAACTAAACTTAGGCTGTGTCCGAAATGGATCCCTAACCCCTTTATGTATAGGTGACTACATGGGGGTTAGCGCCATTTTGAGGGGTGTCCGAAACCTGAGTGATCAATTCCAGTGCCCTATAGAGGCGACTCAAAATTTCTCATAAAGAAATGCAAAATGTAGGGACCATCCGATGGTCACTCACTGGTGGTGGGCATCCCTTCATGCATTGCATCTTGTCGTGTAGTGTCTGAAACCTCTGGTGATTGAGTTCACTACATAATCAACTATATAGTAAAACCCCCCATATGGGGGTTAGGGGTTAGGGAGTGAGTGATTCATTTCGGACACAGCCAATGTCATGCAAACGTGCAGAATGATCCCTATGCAGAGGTCTGTTTCTGTTTCATAAAGCCTACTACAGCCCACTGCACACAGTCCTACACTTCCCCTCATAGTGGGTTAGGGTTTGATTTTGTGATCCACCATACAAAACACTAGTGAGTTTTGGCAGACGTATCACATATATGGACTATATGCAGGTCAGTGATGCTCTGACTCCAACTTCTTACAGTGGTCTTGCAGAGTAGCTTATACAGGTAATAGGGAAATCCCAGCAGTGATGATTTCACTACTAACCATGCTTGAGGTTGTAGTCTTGTGCAGACCGAGCAGGTTTCCAATCCAATATAGCAACTCAAAATGATAATTGTTTCAGCTTGTGATAACAAATTTCCCCATTTATTGTTTTATTTTTGATCTACCGGATGTAAAGAGTTCGCCATGGCAACAGCGTAATAGTGCAGCAGTACAAAATGTCTTGTGTAACTTTTGTAATATCAGACAAGTACCCACTCAAACTGGAATTCAAGGAGAGGAGTTTAAGCAGCATTTGCTGGAGCAGGAAAGGGGGTTATTTATTGTCTTGTCACCATTTCAAGGTCTGTTTGCTAGCAGCCAGTGCAGCGTTTCCACTAACAGGTCCCTCTGTGGCTGATAACAGTGGCTTTGCAGGGCAATACTAATTTCTGTCTTGGCACAGCTAACATTTGCGCAGCACTGCACCTCGCTGAATGGAACCTTCTGTTCTGCCAGAGTGGACACCCCTCGGTCATTCAGAGCAGCGTGGTCTGTATTTGTTGCAAATACATCATCTGGAGGAGAGAGCTTTTTGGGTTTTTGCCTGGTTTTAATAATTGAACATTCGCTGGGATCTTTTTGTGTGTGTGTGTGTGTGTGTGTGTGTGTGATTAGGGACTGTGAGACCAGATGCATTTTGTTCGGCAGCCACAGAAACCCTGCCGAGGAAGTCGCTGTCTACTTTTGAATCGGCAGCCGGGCTATTGGCTGCAGTCAGAGGACACTGGTTTGTTGAGTAGCCGGTGCACTTGTTCAGAGGCGGAGACAGCTGTTGATTCGAGAAGGAGGTGAGCTTAAAGAGGAGAGGGAGGGAAGACAGGAGAGAGAAATGGGAAGGAATCATGGGAGGAGGAGGTGTAGAAGAGATGATGGAGAACAAGAGTGGAATTAGGTTGGGAAAGAGAGAAGAATAAAGTCAGACTCTCCTTTCAAAAACTCCAATAGACACAGCTCTGTTTCCGTAGCGACAGTGGAGAAATTGATCGTCTTTTTTGGGGTGGGTGGGGGCACTCTTTGCCAGTGTCCCACCCTGCCCGGCTCTGCTTGGCCAGCCCTTGTGTGGCCTTCTGTTTGTTGTGGTGGCGAAGGAGCTGTGAATCAACAGCTGGCCCGATACAGGCCCGCAATCCAAGCAGCAGAGGGAGGGAAGGAGGGGAGGCTCACCCCACCCCTTTTCTCCCCCTTCTCCCCTCTTCTCTCCTCTCTTCTCTCAACACCACCACCACCACCACCACCACCCCGCCCTGACTCCCCCGCGAAGCCCTTCATTAACCAGCCAGTGGGGAGTCGGGCAACACCAGACACTTGGCACACGATCTTGGCTGGCGGGCCAGACGTAGTTGGTGGGGGTCAAGTCTGATCACCTGCCCAGAATTATAATGGCAGTAGTCATGCACATGCCTGACGCACACACATGTGCACACACACACACACGCTGGCATGTTGCAACAGCACTCTGCAGCTACCATGTGTCTTTCTTTGCAGCCTTCTTTAAGCGCAGTACAGTATGTACGTTTATTGCACAAATTGCAGCTGACACAGGATAAGCTGTATAATTAAAGGAAAGTCTTAATTTAAGTTGTAAAGCTTCATTATCCTCTGATGTGTCAAACACTCTCAGATGTCTCACAAGTGAAGACCTCTCTCTTTTAATAGCGTCTTATTTCCAGGCTTTGATGATATAAAGGCTATCCATTGCCGCTCTTTTCACTGTTCCTCACTGCAGCTTTTGAAGTGAAGAGCTGCATTTTTCGCTTTTTGCTAGAGTTAAAAGAAGTGGGTTTCATCTAATTAATCGAGAAGCGTAACTCCGTTTTGCAGCTGCTGTCTGATGGTTTAACAATATTCCAATTTGCATGGCGATTCAAGCATTTATGAAGAATCACTTTATTTGTTATTTTGTGTTATTAACTCATGAAAGCAGCAAAAGTATAAACCAAAGAGGAAAAGGGCTTTGATTTCTCTTTTCTCACCAAGGTTTCTCTTCTGTAACTGAACTCCCCTTTTGCTTTTTTCCTGGCCTCTGTGTAGGCACAATGCATTGATCATGAATATTTGATTTTGTCAAAAAATGCTCAGAGGAGTTGTTCTCTTCCATCTGAGTATCTATCTTGGCTATCTGAGTAATCCTTTCCTTGCTTTACCCAGACTCTTTGACATGATGTGGACATTTCACACAGAACCAGACCTGATGCTCTTTGTAGTTTCCTCTGAACAGTTACCGATTTGATTTCTTCAGCGTCTGAGAGTGGCATAATCGGTGGCTTTTATAGAAAAGCCATCCCTCCCTGGTAACTTTCCTGGCACTACATATTGTAATGTCTGTTTTTACCATACGCAAGTGTTAGGAAATCAAATCAGTCAACAGAAGCCACAAAAAATATCCACAAAGAGTCGAGAAGGTTTAAGGGATATTCCGGTGTAAAATTAATTTAGGGTCAAACACACAGTAACACCGAGTTAGACACCCCTTTGAGAGATGAATGTTGCCAACGGCTTGCTTCTCTGGTTATACCAACTTTAGTAACGACCGCACGATAGAAATAAACAGCAGTCTGTGGAGACATAAACCAACCTCGACCAAAACGCCACTCTATAGCCACAAATAATGCTCAGAGCAGCACCTAACCTCATCAACAGTACATAGAGGGTCCCAGCCACAGCAGTAGCCACCAGCGGGGTGACGCAGCTCAAGGAAGAACATTTATGATAATTTCTTCATGGAAATGCAATCAGACCGAGACGCTAAGGCAGAAGAACTACCGAGTCTGCAGTGCAAAATGATTAATATGATGATGATTACTTCAAGGAAATGATAAAGTTATGATCATAAATGTTCTTCCTTGAGCTGCGTCACCCCGCAGCAGTCTGTAATGGTCTGGCCTGAGGTCTTGCTACAAGTGGCTGCTGGAAGAGAGTAGGTGAGTTGTGTTTGGTCTCTTTGCTAAAGAAATCAGGCAAAGCTAAAAAGATATTTGGTGGCTAGTACTATGGCTGGGACCCTATATGTACTGTTGATGAAGTTAGGTGCTGTTCTGAGCATTATTTGTGGCTATAGAGCAGCGTTTTGGTTGAGGTTTATTTTTGGCTCCTCAGACCACTGTGTATTGCTATTGTGCTGTTGTCACTAAAGTTGGTATAACTAGAGAAGCAAGCGGTCGGCAACATTTATCTCTCGAGGGGGTGTCTAACTCAGTATTATGGTGTGTTTGAGCCTAAAATTATTTTACGCCGGAATATCCCTTCAATGTGTTAGTGCCAAAATATGTTTTTTTACACTCACCATCAAAGTCTCTTTTTACTTATGTTGATGCAGGTATTTTTGTCTCTCGTTTCTGATCATCAAAATGGATCACCACAGTGAGGTTTTTACAGTTCTTGGTGCTGTTAGTCTATCATTCTGCAGTGATTTCTCGGCCACAGCTATGCTTGTTGGGTATTGAAGAAGAAGTGTGAGCCTGCTCTGTGTGTGCAGTGAATCACTCGTGTAAGAAGTGCAGAGACTTGAAAGCACTGAGCAGCAGTTGTTTGCACAAACTAGGTATCTGATTTTATTCCTTCAAACGGTAGATGCTGAGTTTGTGAGGCATTTTTCATGTAGCTTGCTCATAACTGCGGAGATTGTTTTATTTTTACACTGTAAGGAGACAAAGTCAGGCCGAGCGGTCGTTAAAGTTTCATGAATCAGCCTGTGCCATCCTTCCAACAACTTGGAGCACAAATTCAGTAATTTTCAGGGATGATTAAACATGAAGTCAAGTGTATTCTTACTCCTTAGGAAAAAGGAGTATGAGCCGCATACATTCATGTTTACACGCACACACACACACATGTCTGTGTTATATCAGAAGATTCTTTGCTTTACCTCCCATTTTACTTTTATCTTTCAGGACTTACAGTTCACTTAAAAACGCTCATACTGTCCTCATCCCTTGTTTTTATTTCATCATAAGACTCATCAGTCTGGTGTTATGAAGCTGTCTCATAAGCCCACACTGATCAGTCTTCTGGTGCTGCTGCTGTAGAAAAGCCAAACTGCTTTGTCCAATGTAGCAGAGACCTATGTGCATCCAGTGATTTTATTTTTAACCCCAGTGAACGCTCAACATCCTGTCCTTGTTGCCACATGGACATGTTATGAAATGGGCACATGAGGGACTCAGCTTCCTGTTTTAAAATGAAAAACAAGAGGGTTTGCCGGAGAGATTTCCCCTCTGTCCTTTTAAAACCAGAACCACATCCTCACTCATAAAATACTTTTAGCAGTAATGCATGAATTAATCACAATCATATTTATGAATTTAGTGTTTTCTTATGACCAAAAACAGGTGAACAGATAGAAGTCAAATCGGAGGAGTCTCGCAAACACTCAGTGTGTGATTAATAGGAATCTGCAGTGCAGCTGGAAAGAGAGGGGGTGAAGAAATGAAAGTGAATCAATGCGGTTCTATTAATAAATCATCTTTCTTCACTTCAGTCGTCGGGTAAAGCATCAAAGTCAGACAGTTTGTCAGTCAGTAATTGCATGACCATAGAATAACTCTGCTGGAAAGAAGCAAAGATAGATGATCTTTCAAAATACATCTGCTTGAAAATCCACTGACTAGATATCTGTGTTTTAAAAATAGGTACAAAGTGACGTGTGTTGATAACAGTTTAAAACCAAAAATTATTTATACTTTTCTCAATCCTATTGAGGGAGATGTGTGGCAGGAGGGTTGAACCTGATCAGTCTTTGTAAATAAATCTTGAGATGCTAAAGGTAGCCTTTGTTCACATCACACACTATAACATAAGTCAGGATTAGTCGTATGTCTTTAGGACCATTTGCAGTTAATTCATTAAGATTCATTTAGATACTTTATGCCCAGTCTGTGAAAATCCCCGAAAAGGTTAAAGCAAATAACCTACAAAAGATTTTCAGATGATTTAACAGAAGAGAAACAAACACCTCGTGTGAACATGGGAGGAAATACCTGCGTTATAGTCCTGCTCTCTCCTCCTCTGATATTTAACTCTGCATACTTTTATTCGATTCCACCCAATATTGAATTGAAAATTAAGGTTTTTCAATACTGTATGAGGAAAAAGAAGTAGACCATAACAATGACAGGAAGTAATCAGTAAAGTAAAAGTTTCACATAATCACTGTAGAGTAGAAAAAGGAGCCGAACAAATTAAGCGACTGCCAAATCCCAAAGTAATAGACTTTAAACAAGTAGGAAGAGATTTTTAATTGGTCTTCATGTTTTGTGTCGGAAGAAGTGCAGAGCTCCTTCACTATAAAATGTAATAGTTTAAAAGTTTAAACCACAAAAGCCAAAATTAAAACTGAAGAGCTTCATAAAAAGAATCATTTCATTAACTGTAGCTAAATACTGTCTGGATAAATTCAGCATGATTAATTAATATACTGGGAGGTTGTATTCAGTTTATGAAGGGTTTTCTGCAGCCTTGGTGTCACTGAGTCTATAATAAAGAGTGTCCTGACTGCGTGTTTCCACAGGCTGCAGTGGTAAGTGAGAAAGGTGGCAGACACTGTTGCTGAACCCGACACTGTCTGTGTTTTTCATGAAGAGTAAGGTCAGGTGCCTCCTGGTTGAGTTGCCAGATGCGGTCGCTGTATCTGATGAATCTGTGTGTTCATCAAAATGACCTTCTTTACTCTTATTGTTGCTTTATGATTTTATTGATTCTGTCCTGCTGAGACTTCACTCAGTAATAAAAGCCGAGCAGCAGCCCCAGGTGTTAAAAATGAAGCTAGTGCAAGAGAAAAAAAAGGAAAGTTCCTCAAGTCTCTACTTGAGGTTAGCTCTCAAAGCTAAGGAAGCCTTGAACTCTAAAAACACTTGTAACTCTGATTTGGTTTCTTAGCAGAAGTTTTGGAGGCCAAATCATGCTAACTTTTTCAGGCAAGGAGGTGGAACTGAGGTGGACTTGTGGCTTCCAAATGTTACAAACCTTTGGCCTTTAGCAACTCCATACAGATGCACAATTAAAAACTTAATCCCCAGTTTTGTTTGTATGAAGACATTGATAAACAACACGTCAAAACAGGTGTGATGATCTGATGTGTGATTGTGTGATTTAGCTGGAAAATGTGAATTTTAACATAGAACTCCTTTGCTGTCAGTGTTGTGTTAACACTAGACGCAAATGAAGGTATCAACTTACTTAATTGTGTGTAACCAAGCGCCCAAATATTGAGTGTTTACTGGCTTAATTTGGAATAACTTGCTCCAGTTGCATCCCTTATCAGGTCCGCACAAGTACGCATACACCTAAATTTATGCAGCAAGGGGGTGTTAACGCAGTGTCGGTCTATTTACATCAAACATGGTTGAGGTTGACTACATTGCGTAAATTTGTCGTGTTTCACAACTTTCCAATGAATCTGACTTCCTCATTCACTCACTCACTCACTTTCCTCCAAGCCAGCTCAGTCTTATTCCAACTTCTATTAAAAAAAGAAGACTTCTCATTAAGCTCAGTGCAGCTGCACACCCTCACAGACAGTTTGTCCTTCATTTTTGCTGTTTTTTTGTTGACATGCGTCACCAGTAGATCTCCATGCTGATTGGCTGTCATGGTGCAAGTGAGACTCGAGGTCTGATTTTTCAACTGTGGCAAATAAGTGAATGAAGCAATAAGCTCGTTGAACACTATTGCATCGTTCACATCACCCGACAAGAACATGAAATTTTATGCCAGTGTCCAGAAGAGCTGGAATGGCGTCTGCCACCTTTGTCGAAAATGTGAGTGAAATTAGAAGTTAAGGGGATACAAAAATGTACTTTAAATCCAATCACTTATTTCATTCAAATGGCTGAAGTTTAAAAGAGGGATGTGTAACCTTTGTGTTGTTTTAAGTATCTGCGTCCTTTATCTGCGTCTGCTTATGTCACACGCTGCTCTGGAGCTGATACAAAAGGGAAATAACCGCTTCAGAAAGCCAGGGAATTCCACCGTTACGTCACAGAAAGCGTGTCCTCGCTCTGAATCCCTCCTCAGATATTGTTTCAAAGATAAGCCATCATTTATCTTGGGGGAGGAGAAGAGGGGTTATGAGCTGCTCCCTGTTGGGATCTTGTGAGATCTTGTGTCCTGTAGGCACTGTGACCCTGGACTCACCCCACCCAGGCTTTGACCCTGCTCTCCCTGAGGAATGTGACCCCGGTGGAGGTCGTCTTGTGCGCGAGAGTTTGGAGATTGTTGGTTTGCTGCTGCTGCTGTGTCCGAGTACTTTTAAGCCACAGTTTCCCTCCTGTCTCATTTGTGCACTAAAGGTCACACCAGCCTTTATGTCAGGTTTGTTCAGGCTTTTGTGGAAGTAAAGGCCATAGTCCTGTACCTGCTGATGGCTGGGCTTTACCCCCCTGAGTTACTCAATCCAGAACAGACATTTAGACAAATTATTACAGTTAGGTGTGAGTTAAAAAATCTTCACCCTTATCACCTTTCATTTGGCTGTCAGTTAGACTAATCCAGACAAAGACTGTCAGCTGTAACTGAAATGACACTTGGCTGAAGCAGAGCAACTCACAGATAGTTAAAAGTCAGAGTGATGTGGAAGTCTTGAAAGACTTGTCCAAAACCAACGCCAAGTGGGACTAACTGTTGTCTTAGCTGTAACATATTTCATTACAACGCTTTTATTATGATATGAATGAAATCACTAGCTTCAGAAACCATATGATACATGTACTCTAAGTAATGTCACCAACTAGTTTCTGAAGAGAGGAATCAACCCAAATAACGTTGGTCACCATATTGGGAATGATGGCTCAACCTTACTTTCAATCAACCTGAGCAGGCAAAGAGGAGGAGTTAACGATGCACACCTGTCCTTCAACTCAGCTATGAATAAATGAGCTGCATACCGGAACACATTAACCTTAGCTGTAGGAATAGGCACTTTAACATGGGACCTAGTGGAGTCGCTTGTCTTTTATGGCCAGCCTCAAGTGGACACTTGAAGGACTGCAGGTTTTTTGCGCTTCTGTATTGTCTACAGACAATCGGCTGCTGGAAGAGAGTAGGTGAGTTGTGTTTAGTCTCTTTGCTAAAGAAATCAGGCAAAGCTGAAAAGATGTTTGGTGGCTAGTACTATGGCTGGTACCCTATATGTACTGTTGATGAAGTTAGGTGCTGTTCTGAGCATTATTTGTAGCTATAGAGTGGCTTTTCGGTTGAGGTTTGCACATGGCTCTGTAGACCGCTGTGTATTGCTATTGTGCGGTCGTTACTAAAGGTGTTATAACTAGAGAACCAAGCAGTCGGCAACATTCATCTCTCGAGGGGGTGTCTAACTAGGTGTGTTTGACCCTAAATTAATTCTACACCGGAATATCCTTTGAAGTAAAAATGTAAGGATGCGACATTCAGTCGTCTTCACACTCTCTGCTCGAGCACATGATGAGTTGTTTTTTTTATTTTTACATAAATGATCCTGCATTTTTGTTTTGTTGTTTTTTACACGTCCTCCTCTTGTTGATTTGAAGGGGGTGGGGCTTGAGTGGAATGAAGTGATGTCACTACTTTCTGTGCACCAATCATAGTTGGCAACATTTAAATTAAAACTCTAATTACAGTGATGGGGTTGTTTGTTTATGTTGGCAGCACTTTCAGTGAACTCTACACAAACGCTCACACAGTCCAGCGAGGCTGAGATTCTGAACAAAGTTCGTTAAAAAGAAAAATGATTCACTTTTTCGTCCTGTACCTTCACATTTCCTCTTCTGTTTTGAATGAACAATTACTTTTAAAGAGGAATACTTTGGCTCTAACGTGATATTTTGAGGGGCACTTTTGCAATGGTTTGGAGGGCTTTTTGGCTGCTGCTCAAAAATCTCGTTGTTAGTGGGGACGATGATGAGCAGAGAGCGGTTGGACTCATGACCTCAATACTTAAATTCTGTTAATAGCCCAAGTTTATTAGAACTGCAGAAACCTGTTTCATCTCCATCTGTAAGGCAGCTCTTACAAATTCTAGTTTTACGAGTTAGGTGTTAATTTATCACCATGAAAACTCTTTTTTTTACTGTTGCTGTAAAAGCGGACTCCTACCATGATCAAAGTTTGCATAAAAGTCGAGTTTCGTGCCTTTTCTTTTTGTCCGTCCCTCCTTCCATCCCCTTTGCTCTTCCTTCAGCACGCGGAGTTCCTTCTGCCTGATGTAACGCATAGAAACCACATAAGTTTGGTTCAAGTTTCGCACCAGGGATAGAAATCAATTCAGGAAATAAAACTTGTGAACTTAAAGTCAGAAGTTGAAAACTGCAGTGCCCTCTCTCATCGTTATCCTTCAAATGAAAGCAGAGCTCTGCAGCTGTGATAGCTCTCTATTTTTCTTTGTTTGGCACAGTTTGGTTTCCGAGCTTGACGAGTTTGACAGCCCCGAATTACATTGTGATGGTGATCTTCAAAAGCTGCTGAGAGAACAAGGGATTAGATCTGATGCTGGAAAAACAGCAGTGATGGAATTTGAGCAAGTTCATTTTTTTTGCACATATTGTACAACAGATTTCTTTAAGCATCAAAGCTGGTCCAGCAGTTGTTTGATTCTAGCTCATCCAGTATCTCACTTGTTTTTAAAACGGTCTGCTGCAGAGGACGAGGTGCAACCCTTACCAATGTCAAAATATTATGAAGACAAAGTATGAGGCGGTTTCTAGGAGGTTTTGTTTTGACGCTGTGTGCAAGGTGCTCGTTTCTGACCCTCTTATTATGCTCAGACTTGAGGAGCTCGGCTGACTAACTTTGTGTTTTTGACAGGTATCTGTGTCAAATGTGGAAAGGGAGTGTACGGAGCCAGCCAGGCATGCCAGGCCATGGGGAACCTGTACCACACAAACTGCTTCACCTGCTGCTCCTGTGGTGAGTACAACTGTCATATAAACAATATTAGAAACTGCTTCATCATCTGGTAAATCTGTGCATTTAAAGCTCCGTTTTGACGTGAGAAAGCTCTTCTTTATCGTGTTTCTTGGCCTGAATGAAGTGACGTTGACTTCCATTGCACATTCATCAACTGGCTAATGCAGGGCTGAATATAGAGCCTGGTCAGAGCTGTATTGTTCATGAGCCTTTAAACATTAAATCAGTCATGGCTGTTGTGTGACTATTTTCTGGCTTCTACAGCACAGGCAGCAGATTTTAAATGTCAGATCTGCTCATGATTTGGTATTTACAGCCTGCTGAACAGAACTCTCTATTTTGGGCCCAGGCTAGAAAGAGCGAAACATATAGAGCTTGTTGAGTTTCTTTATAAATCTGATGCCTGTAATTCCAGAAAAACACAGAAGCACTCTCTGAAACTGGTCTGGTGGATGGATTAGATTTTGCTCCTCTTTCCCATCATTTATGTGAAGGGTTATTATTGGTGTCTTACAGCAAATAGTGCAGTTGTAACCAGGAATCTAAACCAGGGGTTTTCAGAGGTTTTGCGTAAGATTAATCAAGATAACAGGAGCCTACAATATCCTTCATCATTTTCAATTCATCAATTTTATCAATTGCATATGCAAATTGTCCTTTAAAGACCCACTCTAATAATAATCATGTTTTTCTCACATGTTCAGATGGCATTTTTCTGATGCTACAGGACATATCATGAGTAAAATAAGTGTGAAATTGCATTTCTGAGTATTTCTGCATTCAAGTTGCTGTGAATCTCTGGCAGACCCAAATGGTAGGCACACACAGTGAGATTTCATGCATCACAAATCCAAGCTCCGCCCCTGGAGCCCCACTATGCAGGCCAGGCTTGAAGAAATAGAGAGGACAATCATGGAACAAGCGGATAGCAGATTGCAATACTCATAAGAAAGCTAATCATGATATTAACTTTCATCAATTCCCCAAAGACATTAGTGTCGGTGTTACACCGGGAATGTTAGGCCGCAAGCTAGTGTGAAGGGGAGAAAGAAGAGAAGAGTGTCTCCGCCGAAGATTTAGAGGCGGATTGCTAATGATTTACTAGAGCTCTGCAGAAGAAGCTCTTAAAAATGACACATGTAACGTGATTTTAGCTAAAAACTTCATAATCACAGTTTAAAGACCACTGAGAACACTTAGAGTAGTGAAAAAGAAATGATCAGAGTGGGACTTTAAGTGTACACACTGCTCAGTATGGTAACTTCTGCTATTTTGTTCTGTAACTGCTCTGTTTGGTTTTCTTTTGACCTGTCTATTTCTCTTTATTTACCATATTTCATACTGCTCTCTTTCAGATTCTGATTTAGAGTTTTGGTAGATATTCATAGTGGAGTTGATTTGAGAATAACACAACATTATATCCATGCTCAAGGTCTTTTGTTACTTCAGCTTTTAAATTTGAAAAACAGAGGAAAGATGTTGCCATGGAGTCAGTGAGTCACACAGCGGGTCACATCTTATCCCTGTTTTTCAGACTATATGTTTACACTGCGCTATATAAACACATCTGTAAGTGGCTGATGACAGTCCTTGTTTACGCTGTTTCCATTAATGCAAAGACAGTTTTCCCCAGAGTATCCTGCTGATACCAAAGCAATTTGATACGTCTTTGGTGAGTTCCTGAGTTGTTTGGCACACTGGATGATACTGGAGTTGGAAGTTAAAGATGTAAAGTCTCAGTCTCATAGAAACACGAGGAGTCTCTGTGTTGGAGTTGATTGAGTCGATTGAGTCGGTGGAATGGTGCAGTCAGAGGATCTGCTGCAACATCCGTCAATGTTGATCAGACGGCCGGTTTATTATCCTCTGTGAACTAACCAGTTACTGTCAGAGCAGCAGCACGCACCTGTCTGTTTCAAATTAGATCCTCTGCATATCAGCTGCACCCCTCTGAGGAGATTTCTGTAAGACTTCGGAGGTGTGGGGGTGTCTGCTGTCGACGTCTTTCTTCATCTCCAACAAGTAGTTTTGATGCAGGTTTTGTTCGTCCTGATAGATTACTTCAGCCTTGCAACTGTCACTCATGCTCGTCTTTATTTTTCAGCTGCTTTTCTTTTTCTCTTTTTCATTTTTGTTTTTTTTTTTTTACCTCAAGCCGAAAAGAAAATCTGGCTGCAAATCTTTATCTCACTTAGAAAGCTGTGAGCAGTCGATTTTTTTCTCAGGCCAGGAAAACTACCCATCAATGAGCGTAGCATACCGCATATTTAAAACACTCAGAAAGTCAAAAAAAATGGGTGGTAGAGGAGCGGAGGAGCAGGCTTATCTGTTCGCTTGTTGGTTTCCGCCGTTATAAAAAAGTGAAGACTGAAAATCAATCAGTTTAATTCGCAAACATCTCAAGATATTGGATTCATCGAAGGATCTGCAGTTAATCTCTGAAAACAGAGGGAATAATGTGTGCCAGTGTTTCCGCCTCCCCTCCTTTTTTGATTGAAGTGCTGTTTCAAACCACCTTCAGGCTTCAGCAACTGCTGCTCAGGCTGGAAATCCATCATTTATATCATTGGCTCTCTGTCAGAGGTGGTGTTATTGCCTGCATTAAGACTGACTAGAAAAAACAGCTCTCTGCAGCAAAAACAAGCTAATGACTCCAAACAAATAAAAGGCTGACTTTATTTGGTCTTTAAGTACATAATTGAATCTTTTTCTCCGAGCTCGCTGAGGATGTGTGAATGTGAGTGTGTGAGTTTTAGACGTCCCTGTCACCCGAGCCTGTCCCTCCTCTCCTCTTTCCCGGGAAACAAGAGGAAGATGTCTGGAGAGAGCTTTTTAGCCAGGTTGCCTCCATTCATATATTGTACTCCTCATGGATACTGATCCTCCAGCCCAGCCCCTCCGGCTCTGGAAGAACTGCCTATAATTTACATGTAACCAAAGCTGCATACTTTCCGATTTATTGTGTGTCTGAAGAAAGAGGGGGCCAGATGAGGAGTGTCCAGTTGCTGAAGTTGCGGGGTTTGGTTTTGGAAAAGTGGCCCCTGACCTGGTTAAGGTTTAAGTGCTGTTTAAACAGTCCTGATTAAGCTTTAAAGCCAGCCGAGAGGTTATTAGCTGGCTGTGCTCAGAAAACTGCGTTTGGAAACACACTTTTTTGTTTGATTTTTTTCTGAAACAGCCCGATTATTTTCCTCGGAGAGCTAAAAATATTTTCATTGAATGACTCTGGTGCTTCTAGGAAGCGTTGATCATATCTCAAAATAGCTCAGTGTGACTTTATGGCTGTAAGACAAAAAACACAGACAGCTCCAGTGAGAATTATCGTTGCTTTAGTTCGTGGAATCACATCCAGGATTCGTCATTTTCCGAGCCTAGCGCAGGTTGTTGTTGATAGCTTCACAGGCCATCTTGCCTCTCGAGATGGTTTATTTGTAACATAAACTCGGAGTTGTATCATTTGACCTCATGTGAATGGGAATGTTTTCTTTTAAGAAGGCCTCTGAGAAGTTTAGTTTCAAAGTGTCTGCACTTGTCATAACACAATCCGCTGATTTATCAGCAGCTACGACTCTGTGTTCCTGTTTGTTTTTGGGTCTCTTTCAGTTGTTTTTTTTCCTCTCGAGTAGGGTCCTCCTGGAGTCTGGAGCTCCAGAGCGAGGCAGAGTTTGCTGAGACATTGCTCGCTGGTAGCCTTGGGCTTTGTTTAACCATGCATAATTGAGCCCTCCTCTTGGCTTACTCCCATGGTTGCACCCTTTTTTCATGAAATGGCCAAGAATGCAAACTACCCCCCTCCACTTCAGCCGGCCTTCCCTGGAGGACCTCGATCAGACAGTCACAAAGTGTACCAGACCTGCTTATCAGAGGGGGCAGGCCTGCTGGGATGGGCGCACATTAAACACTACAGCTTTTTGTATTTTCTGTGGGTCAATATGATAAATTTTCTGCCACTATTTCATTGACCTGTCACTCTTAATACGAAAAACTATTTTTCTAAGAAGCAGAAACACTGCCTTAGAGTCTACTGTACATGATCATTGTTGTCTGTTTTCAGTACTTTAAAATAGTTCCATTCAGCCAATACTTTTAAGTTATCATTACGTGTACATCTCCCACCTTTTTGGCCGATAATCGTATCAGTGAAAAGTTTTATATCTGCTAATATCAATAATAAACTTTTAAAGCTAGTATCTAAAGTGCCAATATCATGCCGATAACATTGTGTAGCTGTGGGACTGATCTGGTAGCTCTGTGTTTGATACCATGCTGCATTGAGAGGCGCCCAGAGAGGTTGGAAAGCAAAAGTGTTTCAACACGGCAAACTCAAAACCAGACAGCTTGATGCGCAATTGATGATTTCTTTGTCGTCTGATTATGATTTGCATTATATGGAGTGTCATTTAAATTTAAATCAATGCATCAACGTGATAAATGAATTGTGATACCCCTCCCCAATAACATCTTCTGGAGCAGTATGCACAAAAAAAATACTAGGTGAAATTTACAGCTGATATCTGAGTGCTATTAAACAAAACGCATGTGTTCCTTGGAAGCTAAACATGAAATCCTTTCATTTTTCCCCAGTGAGATTTTCCCACAAAAGTGCGCCGGGGTAAACATTTTTCCATGTGCCTGCCAGACAGGGTGTTGTCCAAAATAAGCATGCCTTCACCGGGTAGAATAAAAAAAATAATAAAACATGTTGCTTCAGGCTGGATGAACAGACTGTCAACCGCAAGGCTGATGACTCATTGGTGTGTTACAGTAATCCAAGCGGCCTTTAAAAGTGCTGGCAGGAGAAGAGAGCTCAGGGGCTTGAATTTCTCAAAATCATTCACCGCCACCAGTTGCACCTGCCAGGCAGCGGAAATCAGAAAGCTGAAAATTGAGGGACACTTGTTCCTTACAGTCTGTGCAGATACACACCAATCACAGCAGCCATTTAGAAATGAGTAGATCGTCATAACAACAGAGGAAAACTTCAACTGTGATAGCTAGCACCTTAAGCAAGTTAATTTAATTTTTCACATTGAGATACTCTGTATGGTTTGACTAATAGGATTGTAGGTTCACTTAAAAATCATGTTGTAAAAGCCAGTAGCTTGCCAGATACTAACAGGCATTCTTATTAGTAGGAGGTTATAAAACCCTGAGCTAACAAGCGTGAAGCATACCTTAACCTCTCTGACCTTACAGTTGAGTGAGACATCCTGGATCATAAGAGTGACCTCGATTTGAGCTATAACTATTATTGCCATTATATGTTTATCATCTTATTTCTTCTGACCTGAGGATTTCAGGCAAACTTTTTCGTCAGTGTAGGCACAAAGCTGGCCGACTTCATCTGGCACCTCATCATGAGACCTCACTCTGAAATATCAGCCTGTATCCAGCATCATTGTTGGATTGAGTCCTCCGCCCCACGAACATAATGTGAAGAGGTTTAATGGTGTTAGGGGGATTAAGAGAAGGACTTTTGTGTGATTTGTATCACATTCAGAAACAGTAGCAGAGAACTCGAAGCTTATCTGCTTTCAAATCCCAAAAGCTCTTCAGCTACCAAATGAGAAAATAACAGTGCACCACTGAGGAGAATATTATCTTTTTTTTTTCTGTGGAAGCTTCAGAGAAAAAGCTTTTTCTGTCAAACGCACTTTCATCTCTCTTCTGTGGCTCTTGCATCAGCCTTATGACTGCAATATTAAAAGTCCTTTTCTCCCCCTCTTTTGAAGACCTGACATTGTGCAATATGTTAGACTAAAAAGGGGGTAATAGTTTTGAAAAGATTATCCTGCAAATATCATCTGAGTTTGAAGTTGTGTCCTGAGTCTCTTTGAAATCAGTTTGTAAAGTGAAAATCTTAATAAAGGATGTAAACTGAATGGAAATGTCACTTTTGCTGGGGTTACTCAATATTTTAAGTACAGGCTAACCAGAACTACCAAGGAGTCCACTATCAAGAATTAATACAGACCTTGGCTTAAAGGCTGAAGTCCTCACAGATGGCAGCTGGAGTTTAGTTACTGGGGATAGTCCAAAAGGTAGGACAAAATCACAAAACAGTCTAAAGTGTAGATATATATATATATATGTCAACATTACTAAATAGAGGGTCACATTATCTGTCACTGAACAATGCCAAAGTTAGTATAGCCAAAGTAAGCAGAGCTAGCACCACCAGCTGTTTCTCCCTGCAGGTAGAGGTCCACATGACTGCACTTCTAATGCATTGCTCCAGTTAACCTCACTGGATCCGGTCTAATCCAACCTTTTCTTCATTTTCTCAATCAACAAACTACCAAACGGTCCCACATTATGTCGTTGTCTGTGTTTATTTACATCCAGGTAGTAGAGCATTAAAGCATTATGGCAGTCGCTGTAGCCCCAGTTAGTGGTGGGACACTACACTACAGCTTAGATGCCACACAACACCAATAATTTGAGCCTGCAGTGATAAAAACATCAGTAACTAGTTGAACTCTATTGTAACTCTAGAGAGGGTAACAAAGTTCACTGTCCTTTCCCTCAATAAAGGCATAAACCCAAAAATTGAAATTAAAAAGAGACAACCTGATGGACACCCTCCAGTCGAGTAGTATTTAGTAAGAAACCTTTGCTTGGTAAATCTGAGTCTGTCTTTTCTCTAGGGTTTACACAAACAACAGGTGATTGGTGAACGTATAGAGTACACCTCTTAGTATCTCCAGCCATGGCACAGCTCTCTGTGAGTTTCAGTGGTAAAGTTGGAGTAAATCTGTGTGAAAATATCTTGTAATCAGACCCTGATGGAGTGTGCGTGCGTGCGTGTGTGTGCATGTGTGTGTTTATTGTGTACATTAGTTGGCTCAAGGGATGTTGCAGCAATTACTGTCCAAAGATAGATCCGTGATTGTTACAGATTCAAGTCGAGAACTGCATTATTAATGGTGGATTACATGCCTGCTGCTGTACCTGCTGCAGCTGAGTTGTCACATAATACTTAAAATCTTGTTCAGGCTGCAGGCCTGCAGAGGCTCACCATGGTGCAGTAAAACAAAAAAAAAAAAGCTCACTTTGAAGCTGTTTTTGTGAGCAAATCACCACACGTCTGTCCTTCTAGCCTGGCCGGAGCTCTGGTCTTCCTGCCAGAGATGGAGAACAGAGAGTTTCAGTCTGATGCATCCCAAAACAGCACCTCTCTCGGTTTACTGTCAGAGGAAACATGACAAAGCTTTGTTTCTAAAAACAGGAAATCAAGTTTTGATTTTATCAGTCACCATATTCGTCAAAATAGAAAAAGATGTAAAAATACTTCAACATGAATTTTGCTGTATTTGGATGCTCATATAAGTACAACGCATTCTGATCCATCAGCATGATTTTGTGAATATCAGTATTGGGTGTAGGCTTGTTCACCACTTACTGCACAGGTCCATCATGGTATTGTGCACCTCCCCAAATGGTTTCAGGGGAATTATAATGTGAGGAATATTAATAACAGTGCAGTGCAAAGTATATGTCAGAAGAAGATTAATGCGCCTTTCTCATTCATATACATTTTTTAAATCCTGCTTGGGTCTGAGAAACACTTGGTAGCAGCTGATGACCATCTACAGGTGAAGAAACGACTTTTTCTGTTACACACTCATCTTACCCTTCTCACTCGTTGGTACAGACTCGTCCCATGTTGATAAATTAAAAACACTCTCCTTATTGAATAAAAACAGATTATAATACAGTATATTTGTGCACAGAAAGCTTTAAATGCTAAGTCAGTCAAATATTGGAGGCAGGTGGTCTGTATGTAAACACAATTATTGCTGTGGACATGAGGGGAGTGAGTGGTTCTACACGTGTGCACACACACTTCCAGGCCAACATGGATGAATGACCACCGCCGTACCCCGTCTGAGTGATCAGATCCCAATGCATCCAATTTTTCAAGACAGTCCATGTTTCATAAAGTTTCATACTGGCTACCAAAGTGCTGATTCCAGTAACTTATATCATGACAACAGCAAACAACAACAACAGAGCAGCGCTAGCAGCAAATGTACCATGAGTCAGAGGAAGCAAAACGTCAGCGATTTGGTAATATTTACTCAGAGTTATAGAACAAAAACTTGACCGGTCTGATGGTTTCGGCTCAAAGAGGAAGTGGTAGTTTTGTCATACTGGACAAAACTGAGCAAAACTATTTGATCATGATTTTATTTTTTATTCAACTGGAGTCAGAGAGGTAAATTTTTAATCATATCTCTGAATCAGAGATATGATTGTAGGTTTATCAGCTGCAGTCAGCACCCACTGCTCACCATTTGTTAAGACAATCAGACAGGGTTAAACATGTCATAATCAAAGATGTGTTGTTCCAAATGTTCAGCCAAAAACATTCAACAGCCTGCCCAGTTCTCTTAAGCCTTTTAGAGGAGGTAATTATAGTTATTATATTCCTTAAAATCGTGTTGTGTCATGAGCGCAACCGAAAAACTCTGAGATAAAAAGGAAAAGTCAGAAAGTCCTGACACACAGTCGCATCATTCAAACAGTAGGAAGTTGACGGATACTTCTACATAATAACTTCAAAAGTGGAATTTTATTAGAGGAAGAAGCTGAAGACTTGGTCATGCCTTTGAGCTCTTTAGCTGTGGGGTTTATGTTTTATGATTTTTTTGCCCTGAGTTCAGACTTGAGGCTCATTATGCTCTTTGTCAGATTCACATACAGATAGAGCCTTCAGGACTCTGTGTTCATTTGTCTGGATTTGTGTAAATCTTATACAGACCAAACAATGCAGTACAATGGTGGGGAAGCCAGTAGATCAACCATACACTGTTTTAAACACAAAACACAACACGACACAGATAGACCCTCAACTGAGACTACGTTAAAAAAACCATGCACCTTCACTAAGCTATTTATTTAAGCTGTATTACTTTAATGAAACCTAAAAATATATATACTTTCTGTATCTTGGTCCAAAATGATGCTAAAAAAATCTGAAATAGCTGAAGCAACTTATTTCCTAGTCGTTTTGACAGAAACATAAATGGACTAATCAACTAGTTAAAGGTTAAAAAGTCAGTCATAAAATGGTCAAAATGGAGGCACATTTATTCAACAGTGGGATAGGGCTGTAAAGTTCTAGTCAACTGGTCGACTTATTGGTTGATATGTGCTGAGTCGACCAAAATTCTGATCTATTTTTTTTACACGTCAACGTACAGTCTATAAATGATTTCATCAGGAGGAACGTACCAAGAGCTAATGAGGGTGTTTTCAGAGTACCCCCATTTCACAGGTAACAACCTGTCTTAGAACACCCCCCTTGTTTTCATCATTTTGGATTCGCTCAATCCACTGGAGACAGGAAAATTGAAGAGCGTCCACGATAATCAACGTTCGATGGTTTGCTGAATATTAATATTTTCGGCTTTTGTGTTTAATTGCCGCCTTGTGCTGATGACAGTATACTTTCACTCGCCAAGCTGCGCTCTCTACAGTTGGATCACATAGTCTTCAGGTAGATATAGCTAGCAGTGCCAGCTATCAGCTCTCCTTGCACAATAACGTTCACATGCCTGTGCTGCTTATGTCTTTCTCCAGTCAGTTAAACTTGACACAGTCAACATAAACTGTATCTCCATTGTCTGAATCAAAATATCACCAAATCATGCCGCTCCGCAAGATGACATCTGTCTACCTGGAAGCAGTGGTGCATGACAGCAGTAGCCAAAATAAGCTGTAGCCATGCTGGTGGTGGATGACTGTACAAAAACTTAGACAAAACATATATATATAACCAGCATTTCAGGCTCAGGGGAATAACTAAATGCATAATTTGGATAACGTTCTGGCAATTCTGGTGCTGACTTGAAGAGTGATGATGTTTAATCATGAAGTTATTAACCTCAACAGTTCTATGAATCAGGCGCAGACTTTTATTAAACCTGCACCCAACCAAGAGGTTTAAAAATAAGAAACACTCCTCTTTCAGCGCTCTACAGCACTCACTCCTAGGGTGTAAACGGTTTTATCAGACAGCTGTAGAAATTTTTTATTACATTAGTTAAAAAGATAGACCATCTGTTCTTCAGGATACAACGAGACTTCCTAGAAAGATTCACCTGACATTATGGATACAAATCTCTCCAGTGCTCCTCATTTTCTGGATGCAGTCCCCTGTGGCTGCCAGTCAAGTTTCCTGCAGGACTCCAGTTCATGATGTACAAATGTCTGAAAACACATCTGCTGCTTCATGGTCAGATTCGAGCTATTTAATGCCTTTGCCTCGGTTACAAATCAGTCCAGCACTCATTTCCATGGCAACACCATCATTCAAAATGAGTGCATTTGCAGAATGGGCTCTAATTCCTAAATAACTCAAATTACAGGCAGGCACTGTTGAGGGGAGCAAAGGTCAAAGCCCTGAAGCCTCGACTGTAACACTGCGACCGCAGCGCAGGAGGTCAAAATCAATCATCATTTATTCATTGTTATTGGTATCATTTTGTGATAATGTTACCGTTTAGAGGATATTTAAGGTTATGGTGGGGGATTTTAATGTTCAGCAGCTGTTTAGTGAAAACTGGCATGTTTTTTTGGCTTGTTATGGTCCTTGTTTAGACGAATAAAGCTCTCATACCAACTATTTAAATGGAGGAAATGCAATTTTCTGCATATGTCAATCAGTTTTAACTCAAAAAACACTTAAGGTCTGTTTCAAGAGGAGTTAGGGACTTTTATATTGTATCTGTTACCTACATCAGTGTCAATTACTATACATTTAAAAAGTACATCACTTATATTCAGTGCTACAGAGGTTTTAAAATTAGAAATCCACAGGTGGACAGAAACTCATAAATGGAGCTTCTGCAGCGCTGCGAGGAAGTTCAGGCTCTCCGTCTGGGGACAAAAGGCCAGAGGAGAGAGAGAAGCAGGCACAGAGTCCCCCCCCCCCTTCCTCCTCATCCCCCCTCTCCTCTCCTCTCCTCTCCTCGGTGAGGGGAGTGGGCAGAGAGCGGGTGTTAGAGAGGTGTGGGGGGTTGAATGGGACCAGCTAGTGACCTCAGGCAGAAAGAATGTCCCCGTTTGCTCAGTCGGCCCGCTCCCCTAGCAGCGCTCCACACAGTCATCAACGCTGAGGCTTTTGTGTTCACCTTCCAGACCCCAAACTCCAGAGCAGAGGCCACAGACGAGCACACAGCAACACCTCGCAGCCCCCGCTGCTGCTCTGTTCTCTATAATCTCACTGTTCCTGCAAGTTTAGCCTCTCCAAAGTCCTGGGTTTGAAGACGGTGTCTCCTAAGAGTTCTTCCTGGATCCTGCTTTTCTCCTTGCTCCACGCTACCAAAATGCTAATTGCTCCTCTGTCTCAAAGTCTTAAAAGTCTCACCTATTGTGTGGGCAGCATTCCTGGGCTGCTCCGGCCATTTATGTGGGTGTTAATGTATTGCCATCTCCAAGCATTGTGACACCGTGTTTGTGTGTGAAATACAGCGATTGCATAAATTTCAGAGTTAAAAAGAAAGGAGGGGTGGATTTCCCATGCTGGGACACCCATAAAATCAATGGAGGCTCGGGACGACAATTAAATCTGACTAATCCAGCAGATTTATGAGATCCGTGTGCGTCTTCTGCCAGGCTCGGGTGAAGTCATCACGCTGCCAGAGAGACAGCGCTGCTGTTAAATGAATTTGAATGGGCGAGCTATAAGGGGTGCATGGCAGGGGGCTGCAGAAGCCAGCCCGCAGCAGAATTTCTTTTTAAGATTGGATTCAGACTTGGATTCTGATGAATGAGGACTCACCCAGAGGAATTCAGACTCTCACTTTGAGCTGGAAGCTCAGTGCGCTGAACCTAGGCCTGCTGCAGTTTGACCATGTCGCTGTGGATCTGCTCTCAGAGTGCAAAGATGCAAATATCAGTTACTTTCAATTTGATGTAAAAAGTGTCAAAATGAAAACCACCAAAATGACACTTCAAAGTTCATCATTGGTACAAGCAACCGTTCAATCTCTGAGCGATTTTCTGTTTAGGATGCAGGACCATCATGAAAGTTAACCGGACAACCAAACGGACTAATTATAAAATGTTTTTCCAGCATCAGTGATGAGGGAGCACCGCTGGTGTTCAACTGTGTGTCAGACTCAGAGGCATCCTCCCTCTTGTCTGCTATTGTTGGTGTGTCTGTGCACGCTGCACAAAGGCAGGGAAGGAAAGAGGAGTGATTTTGGGGGGGAGGTTTGGAAAGAAAGCAGCAGCCTGCTGTATTGATTGTTTATGGGTTGTGAATGGAATCTTGTCAGGATCAATGGTTGAAGTAATTAAACGGAGGCACAGGCAGGATGTCGCCTACGTTCAGCCAGCCATCTGCTCGGCGCTGACCTGCTGCTGTGGCTGTTCAAAACAGAGATTTTTCAAGAGCACACAGTTATTTCTGTCTTGTGTTTTTTAGGCTACGGTAAATCCTTTTACAATGTTTCCTCTTGCAGTTTGTTTGACTGTTTTAGAACAGTGCTGTGGGGACGGCTACTGACGAGAAAATAAGGTTTTTACTTGCCCTCACGAAGTCATTAGTGGACTTGTCAGATGGAGAAGTCATGTCGTAACACAGATATTTGTGAGGAATTTGACTAGACAGCACATACCTACCTAAAGATGTACAAACATTAGGGATGGGCGATATGGGCTAAAAGATTTATCATAAGTTTTGCTGTTCTGGTGATAACGATAAAAGTGCTGACAAAAAAATATTTTTTAATTCCAATCCATGTTTTTGACTCATTTTGTCTTGAGAACACCAGTTGGAGTAGTCAAATAAGATACTTAACCACAAGTTTGAGTGGTAGGTTATGGAGAAAACTAATGACATGAAAAGTCTGAAATGTGAAAAAACTTACAACTTTTATTGAAAACTCTTATTGCACAGAGTGAACAGCAGTAGATCCGCTGTCTGATGTCAGGCATATTTGATTGCACTCGTCTAAAGGTCCTCACACACCAGGGCCGAGGCAAATTTTGACGCGCCTGACTATACACATCAAGCCTGATGCGATTTTGCGACTTTCCGGGGGGGAAAAAGACACATCCCAGGGAAAACTTTTCCCGGGGAAAGTCCCGCCTCCTTCGCCTCTGATTGGCTAGAAAAAGCTGGAAATGTCATCACACACTCAAGCCAAACGGTCAGCACTTATAGCCAATCAAAGGCGATAAGATAAGCACATGAAACTATGGTAACAACCGTTTGCATACATTAGCACAGATGAAACAAAGATGTTTAGCAAACTGTTAAAGCATACAAACCATCGTCATACGAGAGATCCGACGCTATGACTCTCCACAAGTTGTCCTTCAAGTCGTTATCTTTGTAATGTTTGTGTCTTTTGTCAAAAAGCACTCTGTTTTCCGACACGTAAACAATTAGCCGGTCGGCCATGTTGGATATGCCGGTGAATCAGACGTCGCAATGGCACGCAATCTGATTGGTCAGAAGTGGGCACACAGTATCTGAAACTTAAGAAAAATCAACCATGATCTGAAAAAATAAATGCCGCAATATCGCAGGACAGGAAAACGCTGCTGATGTGAACGCTTGTATTGACGGGATACGGGTTCGAAAAAAAATATTGATGTCCAAAACAATCGTACGACAAAAACGGTCCCGGTGTGAAAGGACCTTTAGCTCCAATCTTGAAGGAAATCCCTTGTTAAGCAACGAGTTGTTCAGAGATGTTTTCTCTACCACCTTGGGCCGTATTTTTTTGTCATTCTGCTCTGTGTGAGCTACAGCTACAAGTCCGTTGCTTGTGCTTACACTATCAACTTGCATTTATCGCATTTATCATGAGATGAAAAACAATTATCGTGGAGGATTTTTCTGATTATAAATTGTAAACAATAATTTATCGCCCACCCCTAACAAACATGGATGAAGAATACATAGAGCTTCATTAAGAGAGACTTTTAGTTACACGCAGCTCAAAATCAAGACACAACCAATCCACACATTAGAGGTTTTTAAACATGCTAAAGTGTCAGTTTTCTCCTTTAACTCGCTCGTGTATCAAGTCAGGAGACAGCTTTGTGCACTCAACACTTTGGATCCATAAAGTCAACAGTGAAGTTAATGTGCATGTCTCACAGAAATGTTTCTCTCCTGAGGCTTTGTGTTGTAGCAGCATACCTCAGCTGCTGGGGAAAAAAACTGCTGACTAGCAAGCTCAGGAGAATATGTTACTCACTTTAGGACTGGTCAGGTTATGTGCATTATAAGTCATTCATACTGCTGTAGTGGCTTTAGATTTCCTGAAGGGAATGAAGCCGTCAAAGTTTATGAAGCTTTTGAAAAATTATTCGCTAGTTAGCTTAAACCAGGGCCTAAGAGGAAGAGGGTGGTTTATTTTCTGAGTTTATTTAAAGTTTGTATTTTTTTTTTTATGTCGTAAGTGAAATTTCTTTTTAAAAAGTGACTCAGCTAAGGGATGCAAATTCAAAGTATTCTCCTCTATCAGTCTTTGGATACTTCAACAATCAGTTATTGATCAGTCATCTAACAAGAACGTCTATTTTCCACAACACCACAGTGGATATGACTGACAGTATTGCAGAACTACAGAGCTTGTAGAGCTGTACAAATTGTTCAACGCGCCGGACATCAACATGCTCATAAAAATAATCCCTGCAGACATCAAGTCATAAATGGCAAGTCCCAAATGACTAAATGTGGAAGCGCTGCAAGAGGAGAACTGATCAGAAAAATCTCTCAGGGTCAGAAGGTCCAGTTTTCTGCTTAATGATCTTATAAGGGGAAAAAAAAGCATGCTCACACAGTTGGGTGTCAGTCAGGAGGAGCACAACTGGTTCCAGAGGCAGAAAACACGCTCAGACAGCACTGATGTTGCTAGTATGCAGAGATACTGACGCTCCAGCTTTGAAATCTCTCATGTATAAAACTGCGTGTCCTGTAAAACCTTCTCCACCTTTGTGTCGGTGTTGTACGAGGAGGCTACCATATGTTACTCCACCTAAAAAGAGAGTTTGTAGAAACTTTGCATAAAGCTGCAGTCCTTGGGGTGAGATTCTCTGCTGGGTGCATCATGTTTATAATCAGTTGTTGTTGTTCATTGAAACATGTTTAAATCTAAAACAACACCCTGAAGGTCCTTTCACACCGGGATCATTTTTATCGTGCCATTATTTCGGACAACAATTTTCGCAAAGTTTCGTATACTGTGTGTCCACTTCTGACCAATCAGATTGCGTGTTGTTGCGACGTCTGATTCACCGGTATATCCAACATGGCCGACCGGCTGATTGTTTACATGTTGAAGAACAGAGTACTTTTTGATAAAAAAAAAAAAAAACATTACAAAGATAACGACCTGAAGGATAGTTTGTTTGCTTTAACAGTTTGCTAAACGTCTTTGTTTTAACTTTCATCTGTGCTAAGTGACTTTAGCTCATAAGCTAACCTGTTCAGATACAACATACCATATGTATTTTCACTGTCTCAAACTCAATCACGTTGCTGTCACAGCACCATTAGGTCTCGGTTGTTACCTTACGTTTATGGATTATAGTTTAATGTGCTTATCTGGTACTGGCCCCGACTCAGTACATGCTATCATGACAGACAGACATCTCAACACTAGTGTCTAATCAAAGCAGTCAGTCTGGTGTTGTGTCAGTCTTCTAGCTTCCACCCGGGACACGTCTTTTTTCTCCCCAGAAAGTGAATAGTTAAAAATCACTGATTGCAGATATTTTAGCCCAATTTGTTCGTCTCCCCTCCACGTACACGTAGTTAATCGTGGCAATAATGATATACATATTACTTTAAGAGCTGCTTTTGAAATGAGCCAAGTTTGGTGGTGAGCGGTAAACCATCTGGTCTGTACATTCAGTTGTATAAACCCATTCTTAACCATGTTGGATTGTTATTGCCATCCAGCTTCAGTTTTGCTTCAAATAAAACATTTTTCACTACCGTTGAGACTTGGTCTAAAGATTTGCAAAAATACACCTCACATGCTGTCAGCAGGAGTGTATTACGTGACTAACTCTTTCAATAACTCTTCCTCACATGAATATTAAAGTGTGTTGTCTTTCTCCTCAGGGCGAAGGCTGCGAGGGAAAGCGTTCTACAATGTAAACGGGAAGGTCTACTGCGAGGAGGACTTTCTGGTAAGTCACCTGCTGGTTCATGATTATTGATTTTATCCTGTCATGAGGGGATCCGCTGGTAGCATCATATCACTGCGGCGAGGTTGTGTAACAGAGGAACGGGTGGAGCAGAGAGCAGAGGATTAAGATCTCAGGCTGCATACTGCAACCCTCCAGAGGAAAGAGAGATGGCAGCTACAATTAGTCGTTAGGCACCACCCCGCCAATTCACACTCATTTCCCCCCTGAAATTTCCCCGAGGAGCTCAATTAGCCCACGAGCTGCTTCCAAACACTTACAATTAAGAGTGGGAGGAGGACAGCTGTGGCTCTCAGGCTCCTGGTCCATCTGCTTCAGGTTACCAGGGCAGACCCAGGCCCCCGATCACATGGTGCTTACTTTACAGTGGATGAACTCCACAAGATGCTTGTTTTGCAAACAAGTGTATGACATCCCTCACCGGTGACTGTGTGTGTGCAGAGGCTGCATGTGTTGCTGTCATTAGGACAAAAATGTGAGAGAAGTGTTACAAAACATGGAGGAAGGAGCTTACAGAAGCTTCCTGAAACAACCTGACAACACATGTTTTTGTACTTCCTGTTTATCAGCAGCTTCCCGTCACTGGGGAACCTGTTGATCAGTTAGGAAATACTGTAATTCCTCTTTTTTTACTGCACAATCATATGATACTGTAGGTCAGGTCAGAGGATGAGACTAATCCCCCCCACAGAAGTCGTGCAGCCAAGATTTGACCAGTCTGGCTCGTCACCCCAGGGGTGTGTCAGGGTGGCAGATGGTTGATCTTGAGTGGAGATGTCAGGGCAGGGGGCAGCCCGCTCATCACCAAACTCCCACCTCCACCTGGTAGCCATGTCTCCAGTGGAAGCCCCCCTGAGTCATCAGGTCACAACCCTGAGGGGGGCTGCGGGCTGCAGATGGTCACCTTCATTATCTGCCTGTGCTCTTTGTTCACAAAGAGCGGGAGTGGGGGTGTATAAGGATGTGATGCTGACACACTTCACACCCAGTCAGTCCAGTGGAGATGCTCACCGAGCTTTTAAAGTGTAAACATGTCGGAGGGTTTTTCATGAAAACAGCTAAAAGCCTCCAGAGTTAACCTGAGAGGACTCGGGTCAAGATGTTTCACCTCTCATCTAAAAGGCCTTTCAGATCAAGTAGAAGGTTTTTGGTTCAGATGCAAAACGGTTTCAAGAAAGATGTCATCCTCTCCAGGTGCCTTTTGAATTCAACTCTGAATTACAGGGTGAACAAGAACTTTCACACACAGAGGATGAAATTATCATTAGGTGAAGAAGCAGAGGTCTCCACACCCTGATGGGTCTGTCAGCTGAGGGACAACATAAACTCCTTGAACGTTAAAGAGCTCAACAGCACCCCCTATAGATGAGTCAAGGACTGAAACAAAGTCGTGCATCAGGTGTACAGCAGCACATGTTGTAGTTCTTGAAAATGCATTAAATACTGAGAATAATAATCTAAAGTCTGGTGTCTCCCACAGTACTCTGGTTTCCAGCAGACAGCTGAGAAGTGCTTTGTGTGCGGTCACCTCATCATGGAGATGGTAAGAGTCTCACCAAACGGAGCATCACACGAACACACATATGAGAAGAGGACATATTGTGTTTGATTTGTAAAAGTTCAAGTGCAGAAGTTGTGATACTGAAGTGCCATATTGTGATCATTTTAGTTTAATGTGAGGAAAATGTAATTATGATTTTATCTCTGAATGCTGTTGTTGCGCTTATTTGTTTTGCTGGCAGTGCTTTGGTGCCAAAATAAACTCAACCTTATCTTAACCTACATCACATATTCATCTTCAGGCGCTTTTTCGCATTCTGAAAAACATTTGCATCGTATTTAGATGAAGTATTTAGAGCCCCTGTGAGGAGTTCTTTTGAGGGGCGATGAAACAGGCTGATATCAGCAGTAATGTCTCGTCCTGACCCAAAACTAAGACCATCCACAACAAGACTGACAGCTTTTGTGTAGTTTTTAATGTCTGACTGGTAAGAGTCAGACCCGAGGACTGACAATAAGCTGAAGGAAAAGTGAAGTTACATGTTTGACTGTTAAAAGATGTGCAAGCATGGTAGGAGCATCACTTTGTCCTCAGAGGGCACCAAAATAAACACAATAGAAGTTGTTAAAAATGGTTAAATTAGTGAAGTTTAAGGGGCGCTCAGATAGCTGGCACACCTCATGCATAGGGTCCACGGTCCCCATAGTGGTCGTTGGTTCAAGTCCAGCCCTGACCATGTGTTGCATGTCATCCCCCATCTCTCTCTATCTCGCCACATTTCGCCCTATCTGATCAGTAAAAGGCAAAAATCGCCCTAAAAATACTGAATATAAGGTTAGTTAAGTTGAAGTCTCTATAGCTTCACTGTAACAGAGATTTCAAGAACCAACACAGTACGTCAACTTTACTATCCATCTGATTCAGTGTATTGATATTTTCCTACATTTCTTTTACTCAGTACAAGAACTACTTAAAACAACAACACTGCAGCAGCTGAGGCCTTACATCACACCCACTTCACTCAATATATGTATTCAGTCTATACTCCAAGACCCTCCAGATGGATGCATGTTGTGTATTTCTGCATGAACTCTGTGGCTTCACTCCAAAGTCTTACTATTACCTTTTGTGTATTCTTCTCCGTGTGTGTATGTGTGTGTGTTCTTCTTCTTTGTGTGGTGTTTCTTCTGCCTCTGTGTGTTCCTTTTGTGCGTGTGTACGTGTGTGTGTGGGTGTCCAGATCCTGCAGGCACTGGGCAAGTCCTACCATCCTGGCTGTTTCCGCTGTGTGGTGTGTAAAGAGGGTCTAGATGGAGTGCCTTTTACTGTGGACGTGGAGAACAACATCTACTGTGTCAAAGACTACCACACGTAAGGACATCGCTCTGCTGTGCACTTTAGTAACACAAGAAAACACCTCCGATTTGCAAAATAGGAAATGCTCTATATATAGTCACTGCTCTTCTCAAGCAATTGATGATAGCTCTCTGAAGAATTATTTTTGTGGCATCTCCCCGGAAATAAAGTTTGAAATGAAGTCATTAGAGACGATAAACTTCTCCAGTGTGAATCATTTGTTGTCTCTTCCTTGACAGGGTTTTTGCTCCTAAGTGTGCCTCCTGTAACCAGCCCATCCTCCCAGCCCAGGTAAGAAGAACATAATGTTTAACTTGTCTGTTTGCCTTTTTTCCTCTCTAAGAAACATTTCCTGATAAGAATCTACTCCTCCAAGAAGTATGAAACTGACTAACAACCAACACTGTCATTCATTAAAATACACACGATACACTCACTCTCTCTCCCTCAGGACTCAGCTTAGCCAGCTCTGGCCGTACCGCGTCCAAAACAACTCAGGCAAAAAGTAGACTAGAAACCAGATATTGTTTTTTTTTTTTGGATGAGAGCAGGTTGGAAAAGAAAGGGAAGCTGGCAGATACTGTCGAACTGGCAACAGTGGGAGGATGGTGTCCAAAAATTTGAACATTTTGTTTCAATCATGTGATTTACACTCTGTGTCACATGAAGAAATCATGGGAGGTCTGAAAACACCAAGAGTATCATACAGTATATAACACTACCTCACTATCACCCAGTCATAACCAAAGATACACAAAGAATAGTTCACCTCTGTTATCCACGAGTTAAGGAATTAATTTTATAACTTATCAACACGTGTTTTATTTTGCTTTGTTGCCATCGGGTCATACGATTTGCTTGTTGTCTGTCTTCCAGCCTCTTAAATGTGCGGTCCATGTATCACATGCTGAAATCAATGTCAATGTATAAAAATAGCAAAGAAAAAACACGTTTCTACTAATGTGCCTTGTTGCACACTAAAAGAAAAACAAAAATCTCACATTATCTTTTTGAGAAGAGTAATGGGCTCCCATGATTTCCATTAAGGAATGTTAGTTTTTGATTTATACCACGGGACAGTTTTTCACTGCACCTCAGTCAGGGTTCCTACTCAAGTATGGAAAAGTATGGAAGTAATTTGATCAATTTCCAGGTTTTAAAAAGTATGGTAAGTGAAAAATAAAGTATGGAAAAATATTTAGGTTTTCAGACTATTACCACATTTCCAAAATAATTCTAAAAAGTAGGGTATGGAAAAGTATGGAAATTCCAACTGTGTAGGAACCCTGCTCAGTCCATCTTGAATGGATTAACCCACAGAAAAGACACCAGCCTTCCTGGATTATGTTTTTTTTACACAGCATTTGATTTCCTCTTTGCATGGTACAGCTTTAACCTGCACTTCTTCATAGAGTAAAGCACTTTTTTTTAATTTTGGCCAATGCAGGGATTTCTGCTACAGAGGCATGTCTGTTTGTAAAGCATTGCCATCTTTTAAGATCACAGCTAACCAGTTTAGTTTTTCGGCTTTCAGCAGAGATTTCTCCAGATTCTCAAAATCTTATTATTACTTACTAAAGATGATGAACTCACCAATTTTTTGTAATTTGGTGTATCTTTCTTTCTGAGAGATTGAGCCTCTCTGGGATGCTCTTTTTATACCCAGTCATGTTACTAACCAACTGACAGCTAACCTTGGTATTTGAGAAATGTTCTTCCAGGTATCATTTTAACGTTACATAATCTTTTGTGTTTTCTTGTTGTCCCTCTCCCAACAACTCTTAAAGGTTTAACTTCTATCAATTTAAAATGAGCCTATACTTTGCATTAGGGCTGGGCGATATGGCCTCAAATCAATATCACAATATATTGAGCAGTTCACCTCCATAATGATAAATGGACGATAACTGCTTCACTAGCTGCTCAAACCCTCCCACATTAACTTCATCTACTTCAGCCACTGCTACAACTTTTGAACTTGCCTCCATCTCCTCACCTGTCTTTCCCTCTTTGTTACGGACTGGATGAGAAGGAGTCACATCTCTGACGGATGTAGGACAGCATCTTAAAGGGATATGAGACCATAGCCTACCTACACACATCCAAAATCAACTCTTATTTATCTATTTATTTGACACTGAATATACTGACATGAGCAAAATGATATTGGTCATTGTTGTAAATTTTAGTATCGGGAAATTTTCGGTTTAATGCCCAGCCCTACTTCGCATAAAATAACATTTTGCAATTACATGACGCGTACATTGATTTTAATATGAAGGTCTCACTGTGTTATTGTTTTACCAGGGGTCTGAGGAGACCATCCGGGTGGTTTCAATGGACAAAGACTACCATGTGGAGTGTTACCACTGTGAGGTGAGGCTTACACAATGTCCTCCTACGCACACACACACACAGACATACAAATGAGGTATCAGTCAGTGAAGTATACCATGCATTTATCTCACTCTGTCCATGTTGAAACTTTCAAGTTGTTTTGAACATAGAAAATCCCCCACACACACACACACACACATATCTCATAGAGTTGAGCCACACACCTGACTGTGCACACATACCCACACATTCACGTGCCCAGACACAAAATAAGCCTGAATAACAGCTTCAAAACAGTGGGATGAGACGAGACCGCTTGTAGCAGCGAGTGTGAATCACCTCTGCAGTCTCTTGTGGAATGAATGAGACACACACACCAAAAAAAAAAAAACACACACTCAGATAAATACCACGCCGAGGTTACAGCTGAACATTGTGACTCATTGACAAAAGCACATTCCTGCACCGAGCTCTGAACTCAGCTGGGGACTTGTTGCTTAAACCAGACTTGTGAAATTGCCGTCATCCTGCCACTCCGCTTCAAAAGATGTTTGCAGTTCAAGTGTGACAGAAAGGTTTCGGGAAACAAACGAGCGACTCGTGGCAGCCTGCAGTTAGTCAGCCATTGTTTCCTTTCAATGTGTTACACTGGATCCAAATATGGATCATAACATTTCTCCTGAGGTTTCACCGGACAGCCAGTAGCCCCCTTCATTGATAAAAATCCGATCATTATGTAAGGGGAGGGTAATCATTAGCAGAGTTGTACATGGAGGAAGGGTAAAGTCTAAAGCTGAATCATCCTGGAAATGGTAAATTATTACAAATTGGTGAAAAAAAAGCACTTTTTTTTTTCTATGAGTTGCCCTCAGGTTGTTGTTTTTCTTACGTATTCAATAAATGAGAGCGGATGATACAGTGATACACACAAGTGCAAAGTCATGCATAATACATGAACTTTCAGCTTCTTACACTCTGAATCATGATGTGTGGTTAGTTGTTAAGGGACAGTCAGTTTGTGCAATCCTCCCAGTTTGCCTGGGGGAGTCTGATCCTGGTCTGAAGTTCAAGGTCCAGTTTAGCCTGTTTCAACCCTCTAGAAACCTGAATTGATAACAGAACTCTGACTGTCTGATGTCAGGTTTTATTTTTATCATGGTTTAGATCTTCAAGTATTTCAAGAAAGTTTTGGTCCAACTTAAAAAAAAGGTTGAATTTTGTAATAATATTTGTTGTTTCCAGCTTGATTTGATCGTGGTTTTACTTGGTGTGACAGAGCAGCTGAAATTACCATCTGACTCATCGAGATCAATCCGAGAAATAGTTCACAGTAGCTATTTGGCCATTTACACCAAGCATGAGTGCTGTATGCAGATGAATAATGGGATTGCGGTTGTTCAGTGTTGATTGTAGTTGTTTTTTTAAGTCTGCATGGTGTATAAAGAGCTTCACTACACTGGTAGTAAAGGACACCCATGATGAGCCAGAGGCCACGAATCAAAACATGATTCATCTCACCTCTAAGGTGTTTTAATCCACAACACAACCTGAATTTTGAGTTTGATTTCACACATACTGATGTTTGCTTTTTTTTCGTAATTTTGTGGTTGCAAACTCTAAAGAAGAGACTCTAAACTGTTTGATGTGGATTTTTGATATTTCAAACCACATTTTCTGAGGCTTTGATAGAAATACACAGAGAATACCCAAGGCAAGCCCAGTTCAAGGACCACTGAGCCAGCTCCTTTCATACCCAGAAATCCTTCAACATGAGCACCCCACCACCACCAACAAAAACACATTTCAGCCACTTGAACTTGAATCACAGCTTTGCCCTCTGGCTCAACCGCACCTACAACTCCAAGTAGGGGTGTCCTGATACAACTTTTTGACTTCCAATACGATACCGATATTGTAGCCTTCAATATTGACTGATACTGATCTTGATCTTGACACAAAATTGTGTATGACAAGTTTTTCACTCAGCTGCTATGTCTTTTTTGGACGTTTAACAAAAAATACTGCCACAAGGCCAACATCACTCTTACTCCTTGCTACTTTGATTAGTACACACCGATGTTGTGATTTTGTGGGCTTAGCTTGCTGGATCAGTGCGCTGCTAGATAGAGGTGCCGGAGTGGAGTCTGGAATGGACTGCTGATATCAGAGATTTTAGATGCAGGCCAATATAATTTTTTTGCTGATATCGGACTGATATCTGATATCAATATCGTATCAGGACACCCCTAACTCCAAGTCCATTAAAACATTTGGTTGAAAGTAACAAGTCACTCTGTTAGTCCTGCAGCTCACTGACTCACTGACAAGACTAAACCGCTCACTTTCATTAACTTTACTGTCCCTCACAGAGTAAACTTTGGAGTTCAGCAGAGTTTGTTGTACAGTTTGTTTTAGCATTCAGACCAGACATGGAGTGAAACAGCTAGCTTTGCTTTGTCTAAATATAACAAAGAATAATAAATATCTAATTCATTATCCATCAAAGTAGGTAAATGAATGGTAATTCACAATTCACTGAGGGTTTATCTGCTGTCTTCACTCTGGGTCTTTAGTACCAATTAAACAAACATCATTTATAAGCAACAGAGACAGCGTTCATTTTAAGTACATAGAATATGATGATAAATGTTTGTGATCAAACTCTATTTCATGACAAAGATAAAACAATGACAAGCAAAAACCGAATCACTGGTAATAAGAAGTCCAACAGACGCCTGTTCTGTTTACGAGGAGATAAAACGCCAGTGCGAGACCATCTGAAATTCAGAGCCCCTGTTATTTCCTCTGACTGTGCATCCAATTTGTCTGTCAAAGTATGAGAGCGGGAAAGGCTAATTGAGGGGTGTTTATTTGGTCACTTTTTCCTGCAGTACACATTTTCACTGCGTTCGTGACTCTCTTTCGTATTAAGTGAGGATTTTTTTTCACATCCAGATACGCGGGTGACATTAGTTTAACATCGACGTTTGCCTTTCTCTTACAGTTTTTACCATCAGCAGTTCAGAGTCAAAGCCTCAGTTTATCCTAGTTTGGCGACACGGTCAGATGTCATAAGTTTTGCAGTTTGGATCAGCTCTGAATCATCACAGCTGAAGGTACAGCTGAGAGGTTTCATGTCCTCCTTTAACTCTTTGGTGTCGATCTTCCAGGACTGTGCTCTCCAGCTAAACGACGAAGAGGGACACCGCTGTTACCCACTGGAAGGCCACCTGCTCTGCCACGGCTGCCACATCCACCGGCTCCAGTCGAAGGTCCCCGGCCACATGCCCCCCAGCTACCCCCTCCATGTCACAGAGCTGTGAGGGGGAGAAAGGGGGGCAAGCAACGGAGCCCCGCCTCCCAGGTGATCTGAGACACCAGCAACAGGAGGGGAAAAGGCCAGAGGAGCCTCCGTGTGGCCATCCGAGCTGAACTACCAGGCCGTGGACTAACACACACTGTGCAGCTCCCACCACAGGCCCTGCTGTCACATGACAGGGCTGGGAAAAAAGGGTCCCCCCCCCTCCTCCTCCATCTGTGGTCCTTTCCTCCCCCCTTTCCCTTGGGGTGCCTAACCCTGAAAGCCAACACGCTGGCTCACCCAGAGGCCCCTGGTGACGTCACAGCGCCTGACCCCTGCACATTCATCAAAGCGAGAGGGGTTTTCAGATCTGAGGAGGGAACTCAAACTCTTTTCTCTCCTCGCTCCTCTCTCTTCCTTTCCTTGTTTTTCATTCCTGTGCTCTGCCTGAAGCGGTTTAACCGTCTGAGATCGCTGCTGCTGCTGCTGCTTCTGCTGCTGTCGACGTCAGGAAGGTGGAGGAGCGAGCCCTTACATCCCAGTGCTGGCCAGACTGGTGTGCACCCCAGGGTGGGCATGCTGTGCCTTCAGAGTGGGCTCTTTCTCTCTCTCTCGCTCTCTCTCTCTCTTTCTGTGCAGCTTCTAACACTGAAATGGAGTTCTGCTGGAGGCTATGCAAAGGACACCCACCATCATGACCCAGGGCTGTGAGAGAAACTGTGAACTGCACCACCAGACATAACAGATGCACCGTAGCAGCACAGGCCCAGAGGACCGACTGACATTCCACTTAGAAGTCTTAGACCAGACCTCCTGAGATTCACAAGCAGTGTCTTAATAATGATTATATGATGACAGAAAAAAGAAGATTTTAGGTGCACATAGATTGTCTTTTATATATGAATATATATTTTGCAGATGTTTTCCACATAAGATCATAGATGTAGATTTTTTTTGTTTTGTGCTGGCAATAGATTCCGAGGTGGAACACGCTGTCTGAAGCTTCTGAACATTTTGGGTTTGTTGCATCATTTCTCCTCCAGGATGCAGAGCCTCCTTGTGTCTGTCAGCGGGTCCCGGATCCACAGATTCTGTGTGGGAGCAGACCTGGCTCAAAAAGCATTTGTCTTTTAATTATGTCTTTCCATTTTTAGCCTCAAAGGTTTATGTGTCAGTCTAGTTTTTGGCTGCACATGTGTCCCCTTTAGAAATCTATATTCTCTCTCTGCAGGCTGGAGACAGATTTAACACACACACGCACAGCAGACATGTCTGCTTACCTGAAATGCACTGTCTTTGGTGCAGAGTGCAAACATGAGGAATGGTAGAATGATAGAAAGCTGCAGTTTCCAGTAAAGTGTGTGAAACTTACTGTTTATATAAGCCAGTGGTTCTCAAGTCCAGTCCTCGAGTCCCCCCTTTCCTGCATGTTTTGGATGTTTCCCTGCTGTATCACACCTGATTCAAATGATCAGCTCGTTAGTAAGCCATTCCAGAGCTTGATAACGAGCTGATCATTTGAATCAGGTGTGTTGGAGCAGCCAGAGCTTGATAACGAGCTGATCATATGAATCAGGTGTGCTGGAGCAGGGAAACATCCAAAACATGCAGGGACTCGAGGACTGAACTTGAGAACCACTGATATAAGCTCAGCATCATCTTCAGCACTCATCAAACTTCCATGTACTGCCTTGATTTGAACCGTTTTTTTAAACAGCATGTAAACATAAAAGTGCATTCACGATCCTGTTTGTAATTCGTCTGAGTTGCACAGTCTGAGCTTCTGTCCAGGGCGCTGTAAGTGTGCCAAGATGTCACACAGAGCTCAAAGATTAAGATTTAAGCTTAATCTGAAAATCTGAGAGTTTAGCCAGCGAGAAATTGGTCTTTAAATGCTGAGATTTAGGCCCTTTAGTGGAGCATTAAAAGACCGGCATCTGTCAAAGACGTTAAATGTCACATTCTGAACACTCTTACAAAGAAAAATATCACCCAAACGGAGGTAGTATTGAGTTCTGAGGTTTAAATCACCACTGTAGAAACACAGAACCCCTGGTGTAAAAGATTGAGCTGAATGAGTCTTTGCCAAATTTTACATTTACTGCTTTTTCTCTGAATTTAACATCTCGTCAGTCTGGCGCTGGAAGAGAAATCAAACAAAAAGGAAGATTGTTTTCAATCCTTTTTGCCCCAGGTCTGCTCTGGAGTGTTTCCTCTCCTGTGTTTTCCAGACTCTGTTTTTATTTCTTTGTCATACGAGCACTGAGAACACAGTGTGTTACCACAGTGTGAACCTCCACTTGTCCACATGCCTTAAAACACAACAGGTATGTTTGTGTGTCTCACTCTGTTTTGTCTGCTGTTACATGTTGTGAGGACATCCCTGAAAACCTGGAGCTGCTGGTCCCACCCAGGTCTACAAGGGAGTCCTTTTGTGTCCCTGCAAGTGTGTGTGTTCGTGTGTGTGTGTATATTCAGTATGCAAAACAGTGAGTAAACACGACTGAAACACTTGAAACTGTGAGGACTGGGGGCGTGGAGAAGATAGTCTCAACCAAACCCACTCGTTTGACTTTTTTCTCTGGATTCACTCCCCATCCACGAGGAGCTGTGAGACGCAGTTCAAAATATCTGAGGGAACTTTTTTTGTTTTTGAGGAGAAAGAAATCTGCCTTACTCTCACAATGAACAGGAATCGTAGCTGCTGCACAGTTATGCAGAAAACCCCCAACTTCATGTCCTTATTTCCTCAAATAGACAAGCTGTGTAGATGTCCTGAGTGTGTTTGTGAGTGTGTGTGTGTTTGTTTGTGAGTGTGTACCAGTGGCAGGGCCATGGCACATGCACTTCACTGTGTTTGTAGGGCAGCACAGCATCCAGCATAACAACCTCTGCTCTCTTTGTTAAATCTTAATGATTTTGATGTCTGCATTTTTTTAAATGAGACCTCTTTTTTTTTCTCCAGATGTTTGTGTGTGTTTGTGTAATGCTGCGTTTAAGTTACCTTGGAAATCGGATGTCTGAGCCGGGAATGACGTCGTTATTTTAGCGCTTGCCTTGTCATTGCTTATATTCGGACAAGGCAAGTTCTAAAATAGCTTTCAATCTTCTGACTTGGAAAGTCGCCTCAGATTTTGATTTCTTCTGACTTGGAAAGTCAGAAACAAGATGGCTACATCTGTGAAAGTTATTTTAGCACTTGCCTAGAAAGTTCTTCCGATTTTCCAAGTCTCAAGAAAGCAAAATCGGAGGCGGAAACAAGATGGCTACATCTAGGAAAGTTATTTTAGCTCTTGCCTTGTCCTTGCTTATATTCAGACAAGTGCTAAAATAACTTTCGTTCTTCCGACATTTAAAGTCGAAAGAAAGCAAAATCAGAGGCGGAAACAAGATGGCTACGTCTATGAAATTTCTTTTAGCGCTTGCCTTGTCCTTGCTTATATTTAGACAAGGCAAGTGCTAAAATAACGTTAATGTAGCCATCTTGTTTCTGCCTCCGATTTTGCTTTCTTGCGACTTGGTAACTGGATCGCTGGTAGCTCGGGTGTGACATCATTCCCAGCTTGGACTTCTGATTTCTTGGGTGACTCAAACGCAGCGTAATTGTTGGTGTTTGTTTGTTTCATACCTTATCGGTGGAGTTAAAGTAAATGTTACTGATTCATCATTCCCTGATTGTAGCAAACTTCACCTGTTTGGTACTTCAAAGACAAAACAAGCACTGATAATTGCATGCAAACTCTGGTTCAGCTCTTATTGGTCATATTCTATTACTGTACACACACAGCTCTGAATAATACTACTGAATGTGTCAAAAACAGAGACTGAAGGCAGGGGTCAGTGCAGGCAGAGGGTCCTTTGTGTGTTTGAATGTAATGACAATTAGTTTGTGTTCCTTCTTCTGGTTGTAAATTTGTGTAAGCAGAGAAGAAAAGGTCTGTAAATGTGAGACATTCCCTTTGTGGTTAAAAAACCCCATCTTTGTGCAACGGTTCTGGTTAAATCATGGACGTCGTACTTGAAGAAAGAGGCTTTTTTTTTTTTTTTTTAACAAAATCAACCCTGAGGAAAAACTTATCACCCCTTTGAAAGATGTCTTAATACACCTGTTGTCATTTTTTTTTTAAAGTACTACTTCAGTGTCTATTGCATAGCACACAGATAGTTACCCTGTACATAAAGAGGCTAGTTTTTTATTTTATTTTTCTGTCAAATATCACTTGGAAAGGGAAGATTTCTTCTCCTACTGGTAGTTCCAACAAGCACATCTCGACACCTGTCACACATCTTTTGTATCGCTAAGTGTTTTGATTACCTAGATGGTTCATAAAAAAAGGAAACTAGATCTATTTATCTAAACATGAAAAAAGTCTAAAGTTATTTAATGTATTAAAAATCAGGACGTATCATTTAACTGTAGATGACATAATCTGCTTTTTCAATAAAGTGGTTTTGTAGCTAACTGCAAAAGTGGTCTGTCTCTTGTTTTTCTGTTTATAGAAACATCCATTCATTAATTTATTCGTTTATTCACAACTCTGATCCCAAATAAAGGTTAGGACACTATTTAATGCACAAAAACAAGCAGGTTTTAATGGTTGTTTCAATTGAAAAAAGTGTCAACATATTGAATTTTGAACCTGAATCCTTTTACTGTGTTCTGAAAAAAAAATACATGCTTATTTTTAAATTTGATACCAACAACAGGTTTCAAAACAGTTTTGACAGAAATTTCCATTACTGTGTTGCATCACGTCTTTCTATCACACCGTACAGATTTGGAAACCGAGGAGGCCTGTCTCTGGATTCTTAAAGTGAAATGATGTCCCCTTCTTGCCTCATATAGGAGGTCAGCTGCTCAACAAATCAGGGTCTCCCTGTTGTATTTTAATTTTACACGCCAAATGTTTTTGATGTGAAGACAGGTCAGCTTAGTACCTGGACGTTTCTACTACAGGGCCATGCTGTTGCAGCACATGCCGAATGTGATTTGTCATTGTCTTGTTGGAATAAGTATTTCTCTGAAAAAGTCATTGTCTGGATGGCAGGATATGTTGCTCTAAAACCTATATATATTGATCAGCATAATGGACCCTTTACAGATGTGAAAGCTACCCATGCTATTGACACTCATGCATCCCTAGAGCATTGTGCATAAAAGTCACATTTGGACTTGACAGGCCATATTCAGTTTTCCACCTCCCATCAGTCAATCTGTAATGGGTTTAGACCCAGAGGAGCTGGTACACCATATGTTTCGACTAATTTTCTTTATATCTGTTACTGGCTTCAATGTTGAATAAGCACACTCAGATAAAGATGGTTTAGTACTTACATTGCCTTGAAAAGGTATTCATACCCCTTGCACTTTTTCACATTTTGTCACTCTACAACCACAAACTTAAATGTATTTTATTGAGATTTTTTTTGTCATAGACCAACAAAAAGTAGCACAGAATTGTGAAGTGGAATGAAAATTATACATAGTTTTCAAAATTTTAAAGAAATAAAAATTTTAAAAGTGTAGTTTGCATTTGTATTCAGCCCCCCTGTGTCAATACTTTGTAGAGCCACCTTTCACTGCAATTACAGCTGCAAGTCTGCTGGGTTATGTCTCTACAAGCTTTGCACATCTAGAGACTGAAATTTTTGCACATTCTTCTTCATTCTTCAAAATACCTCAAACCCAGCCAGATTGGATGGAGATCGTCTGTTAAGTTTCTCTTTCAAATTCTTCAAATCAGCATAAATCTTTCATTTGTGATAATTCAATTCGATCAGTTAAAACATATGAATATAGGTTAAATTATGATGAGCTGTGGATCAACCAGATCCAGATTCATTTAGTTAAAATTTATGAGACAGAAACAAGTTATTTTAGTTTTATTATGAGCACATTGGGTTTGTTGATATTATTACATAAATCAAATTCTTCATTTACATTTGACTGACAAATATGCAGCACTTTCAGTTTATTGGCCTATTTATGTTAAATCTAAGAAATTCAAATAGATGGAAATTTTGTATGCAATGAGGCCTAAATATTTTCCTGAGAGTATATATGTTTTATAAAATAAAGTTCACAATTCCTAAATGTGATATGTTTTTGTATGTTAGGTTCTTTCATGTTATATTAAGATGTTTCCGTCCTATGATCTGATCATTGAGTGGATGTCGGTTGGATTGTATGTCTGTTTAAACCATGCCCCTGAACTTTCAGTTTTAATATTTACAGACTGTCTCACTCTAATGGAGTCAAGAGTTAATTTTAAAGCAGTTAATGGCAGCCAACAATCTCCAAAGGCTTCCTAACAACCACATTATGAAACTATCAGTATAAATGTTCAATAAAAACTACAATTAAAACCTGAGCTACCCAGTGGGCATAACAACAGATGATATTATTAAGAACGTATTAGTAATAGGTGTTCAGGTGTGTAATGTGAGCACTTAACGTGGTAAAACACTGCTCTGTTATAACACACAGGCACACAATCTTCCTCAGGGTGATGGACTCTACCTCCTGTGACAGCCCAGTGCTCTGTTGGTCAGATATCCCAAAGAGAAAAATGACCATCAAAACTGTGGATACCAGAATGAGTTTTAAAGTAAGACACACAATAACAGTAATTTGAGAAAACATTTGAATTCGACCCTGACACAGAAGATACAGATCAGCCTGGGGAAACTGTTACAGATGAGTCAGTGTCCCCTGATACTGACCTTTTCAGTAAACTGCCCCTGCGCATAAACATTTCCCGAAGTTCCACAAAAGCATGACGAGCTGATACTGAGGAGGGTGTCTGTGGAATTTCCTAAGAAGTTAAAGCTCCAATGAGGAGTTTTTAACTGGTTATCAAACGGATTCAGATAAATACTTCTATGAACTACAAAAGCAGAAAAGACTCGAGTGTTTCCACCAAACTCTGGGGAGACGAATGAACAGTTAATGCTTCAAAGAAATGGCCGTTATCTTTGTCTTTTTTATGTCTAACCATTGCAAGATTTTATGGGTTCACATGATGCTGGTGAGAGATGATAAAACAGAGCTGCAAAGCTGTAGGTTGTTTGAGCAAAACACTTAACTAAGAGGTGCTAAAATCCCCCTGTGGAGCGGAGCAAGGGAGCCCTCTTATATTATAAATTAGTCAAAACCTTGATATAAAACTATTTAATTGAGTGAGGCCTGGTTTGGATAGTGAAGACACAGAAACATGCCACAGACAGTGATGCTGTCGTCTCTGCAGATCCTGCAGTGGTGAGTGGGTGAGTTTCTGCAGAAGTAGAAGTATCATTTATTACTGGTCTCCTAACTCACTGCTGCATGGCTCAGTCCTGACAAGTATGAAGAAATCAAATCATTGCCTCGTTCCAGGTATGGGAAATATTTGCAGTGAAAATTTCACACAGATAGGCAAAGAGAAACACTGGGTAATAAGCTTTATAATTTCTGCACAAGAAAATTGAGATCAGGCACACATCTCTCCAGTCTAAACTTTCAATCACTGTAGGTGCAGCCGCATTAATAATCCTCTGATGCTCAGATAGTTGGAGATGTAGCCGCATTTCGTGTGGGCGTACATAAAAGCAGTGTCTGCCCACTGACTGAGCTCTCCTGTTGGCTGAACAGTGGTGTTCAGTGAGAGGAGCTCTCCGGTGTTGGTTGTCAGCTCCATGAGTCGGGGCACAAAGCTCCCTTTATGTGTGTGAGGGTTCCACCCTGTGACTCAGGGAGCCGTATGTGTGTTAAGTGTGTATGTACCTGTGTATGTGTAGATGTGCAGAGGTAGAGGAGCCCTGAGGGTTCGACTGTGAGGTGAGCTCTGTTACACTGAACAATAGAACACCTTCCTGCTGGAGCACACGGGTCCCCACACTGCCAGGAAATGAGGGAAAATATGCTCACTGCAGGATTACCTCATACACTCTCAATCTTTGGTTACTGACACTTTGTGTGTCCTTCCTGTACCGAAAATTTCAGCCTCCTGTTTGCTCCACTTTTGACTCATCACTCATTTTTTGATAGTCCAATGTGCCATTCCTGAGTCAAGTCTGATTATTATCGCAGAGAGATGCAAGATTCCTCATTTAGTTGATAAACGCTATCACATTTAATGATATAGAGTCACTTTATCACAGAAAAACTCTTAATTTGAGGGATGACATTGGAGGAGAGACAGTCTTTTGAACTGTCTTGGGTCTAGGACTGAATCTATCCATTATCCATGTGTTTACTCGAATAAGGGCTGTGGGATGGCATGGAACCAACCCAGCTGTCATTAAGCCAGAGATTGAGTGCACCCTTGACAGGTTGGCAATAGATCACCGGGAGGATACACAGAGACAAGCAACTAGCAGCAATCTCACACCTTCAGGGAATTTGAGTCAGAAATCAACCCAACAAGCATGCCTTTAGTTTGTGGGAGGGTCAGAGCAAAGGGAGAACATGCAGACTCCATAGAGAGAGGCCCCCCTCTGGAATTCTGAGAACCTTCTTTCTGTGGGGCCAAGGTGCCACCACAAAAAAAAAACCCTTCAACCTAGAGTGATTCAGTTGTGTCATACTAGACATGAAACCAACCTGCGTCTCACTTCATCTGTTACCTCTGTTTATATGTTTCTGAAGAGTTTACAGTGTTAATGGTGAGTTTTATGTCATCTTCACCATAGTCATTAGTGACACCAGTGAAATTAGAAAGACCATCTATCCATCCATCCATCCATCCATCCATCCATCCATCCATCCATCCATCCATCCCCTTTTGCTGATCTGGAGCTGGGCCCAAGTACCTCCAAAAGGACATGATCTGTAGTGATCCTCGTTGGAGTCCCAAAACCATATCACCTGATTCTTTCAGATTTAAAAGGGATATTCTGGCATAAAATTTATTTAGGGTCAAACACACCGTAACACCAAGTTAGACACCCCCTCGAGACCTGAATATTGCAGACTGCTTGCTTCTCTAGTTATACCAACTTTAGTAACGACCGCACAGCAATACACAGCGATCTCAGGAGCCATAAACAAACCTCAACCAAAACGCCACTCCATAGCCACAAATAATGCTCAGAACACCAGCAGCACCTAACTTCATCAACCATAGTGCTGGCCATCAAACATCTTTTGAGCTTTGCCTGATTTCTCAAAGAGACTAAACACAACTCACCTACTCTCTTCCAGCAGCCGCTTGTTTGTCGCGAGACCTCGACCAGTCCATTACGGACTGCTGCGGGGTGACGCAGCTCAAGGAAGAACATTTATGATCATTTCTTCATGGAAATGCAATCAGACCGAGACGCTAAGGCAGAAGAACTACTGCGTCTGCAGTGCAAAATGATTAATATGGTGATTATTACTTCAAAGATATGATAAAGTAATGATCATGAATGTTCTTTCTTGAGCTGCGTCCCCCCCACTGTAGTCCATAATAGACTGGTCTGAGGTCTCGCTACAAAGAAGCGGCTGCTGGAAGAGAGTAGGTGAGTTGTGTTTAGTCTCTTTGCTAAAGAAATCAGGCAAAATTAAAAAGATGTTTGGTGGCTAGTACTATGGCTGGGACCCTTTATGTACTGTTGATGAAGTTAGGTGCTGTTCTGAGTATTATTTGTGGCTATAGAGTGGCGTTTTGGTTGAGGTTTGTTTATGGCTCCTCAGACCGCTGTGTATTACTATCCTGTGGTTGTTACTAAAGTTGGTATAACTAGAGAAGCAAGTGGTCGGCAACATTCATCTCTCCACAGGGTGTCTAACTTGGTTACGGTGTGTTTGAGCCTAAATGAATTTTTTGCCGGAATATCCCTTTAAGGAGTAGTGGTAGCTCATCTATGAGGTCCCCCCAAATGTCCGTGCTCCGGACCCTGTCTCTAAGTCTGAGCCCAGCCACCCTTTCTATCATCTGTATCTGCCATCTCATTCTGTCAGTCAGTCCCTAGAGCTCATGATCATAGGTGAAGGTTGGAAAGTAGATTGACTGGTAAATCAAAAGCTTTGCCTTAAGGGCTCAGCTTCCTCTTCACCACAACATGTCTGTGAAACTCACTTTCCATTTTACCCCCACTCATAAACAAGACCCTGATATACTAAGGACGAGACAGTGAATGATTTGAGGTTGAGCTACCTTTCATTGGCAAGTTTCTACTATGGTGATCTGACAACAAAGATAGACGTGTTTCCAGCCTCTCATCTAGGATGCTCTGAACAATTTATGGCCTCGGCAAAAGAAAAAAAACAACAACACTGAGGCTTAGAAAACAGGAGTTTAGAAATTTTTGGCTAAAACCACTGTAGCCATGTGGCTAACTTCTCTCATGCAATCTATAGTAGCTGAAACATAAACCGTGATGTTACGGTTAGTGATTTTTTCAACTGTTGTATTTCTCTTGGAGGGAAAGTAACTTTTAATGTCACGACTACTGAACTGAGTCACCCTTAAACAGCTTCAAAGAGATATGAAGGTTGAACTAATCCACTTTACCTCCTCTGCTGACGACAAAAGCCCAACAGTCTTTGCCTGCATAAAAACTGAATAGATGATGATAATCAGTCACGGCCTTGATGTTGAAGAGTGAGAAAGCTACAGTCAGTGTCACGGACAACATAAGGCACAGTATCACCAGCAGACCAACAGAGGCAGCGTAGGAGTCTCTCTCTCTCTCTCTCTCTTTCTCTCTCTCTCTATTTAATCTCTCACAGTGTGATACCGAATAAGAGCCAGATGTCACTCCACATATTTTGAAGAATCAGCAAAGACCAAAAAATTCACCGTGAGTGAAGAGTCTCCAAAAACCCACACAGTTAAGCAGATAACTGACCTGGAGGAGTCCCCGGAGGACTAACAAACCCAGCTGTCTGCTGGTTTTAAGACACGAATCACTGAAAGAAGCCTCAGACTGTTCTTTGAGATGAGATGGTATTTTTCTCTCTGAAAAATATTTCAAAAGTCCCTCTGAGAAAGATGTAGAGCTGCAGAGCTTCAATCTCCCTTCACATCGATTTACCATTATAACCTGAGATCATATTGTCCTCCTGTTTTTAGGGCGTTACACTTTGTTTTCAATACGCATTTCAGCAATGATATTTTTAAAGATATCTCTAACTGCAAGGGTGTGTCCAGACTTTTTTGAGAGTGGCACAACTGGACCACTTACTTGGGCAGAAGCTGCATTAAGTATGTGTGCATTAGTATCTGTTTCCATTATCTGTCTCCACTAATCATGTATACTTAAATTACTGACAATAGCTCCTGTCACAGTGAGCTGGAGTGTATCAAAATTTGTTCATATTTCATGGCAAAGATTCAGTGAGTTGCGTGTTGGGTAATAAAAATGAAGCACGAGTTCTTTCATTGACCAATTTCAGGTTTTTTTGATCATCACAGGGGGATGCACAAAATGATTTCTCTTGGCCAATACAGATTACTAAACAGGTAATAATACCCTGTTTTTGATGGCCAGTACATAAAAGATTATCCATTTCTTTAACATTTCTACATTTCAAAATGAGTGGTTTATCCACATTACAGGGTAGGACAGACACAGATTGAGTAAAAAAAAAAAAAGAATATCTATTTTAATACTCTGGACTCAGTGAAACTTTGATAGTTAATGCACAAAAAGCAAAATAAAACAAAACAAAACAAACAAAAAAACAAACAAACAGGTGAAACCAAGCATGTTAAGTAAACGAAAACAATAAAATATTCCCTTTATTGGACACATGACCCATGGGCCTGATCTCCTGTATATTAAGCACCCTAACTACTTACACACACACACACACACACACACACACACACACACACACACACACACACACACACACACACACACACAAGAACTGAGCGCTAGAGGAACTATTTTGTCCATGGGGCGCTTAAACCAACCCAAACCAAAAGTTCATCATGGGAGATTTTAACAATGATACAGGATTTACATTCTGCCAAACAGAGTGGCAACATAAACACCCCTGTACTTGGTTACTGGAGGACTCAAAGAAGGATATGTATGTCCAGAGTAAAAGTTTCAAGTAGCAAAGCTGTGAATTTGCCCCTATGAAATGCATAGAAACTTACAAGCAAAAAGTGCCTTTGAAAAGGCGCATGGGCCATCACAGCGTTGGTTTTAGGGATGGTCACCCCTGGCCACCCCTCTGGATCCACCCCTGAACATCCAATGGGGTTGTGATTTAAAGAGAGGACATGAACCCTGAGTGACGAGGGGTCCTTTTCAGCCTCATGGGACATCTGCTGGTCTCATATGCAGCAGAGCATCAAGCTCTGCCCACGTACTTCAGCTTAACTTTTATATAACTCCAGTAGTCGTGGGAAACTCTGGACTTGGTGGCTATTTTTTTTTTCTTTTTTTCAAGCCTGCAGGGTGCTTGTGTGTCACTGCTGTAAATAACAGCTTCAGACCACAAACTGGTAACTTAAGAGAGCATCCATGAAGTTTGATATTGGGAAATGCGGTGTTGCGTGGAGGCTGGAGGGGTCATGTGTTTGCAGGGCGTACGTTTCACTCAGGAGAATATATCCCCTGAAGGTTTCTGGGAGAGGCGGATGGCTAAAACCATGCAAAATAAAAGCATTCCAGTAAATTTCAAGCCAGAACTCAAACCCGCAGGCAGTAGTCTCCTCTGAGGCTCATGAATTTCCGAGCTTGTTTACATGCAAGGATGCTGACCCTCATACTGCTTCCAGCTCTGTGGCTCATCATGAATACAAATGATACAAATGCGAGGAGAACATGGCTCTCAGAAGATGCTCAAACAAACTAACACAGGATGGTTCACATCAGAGATCTTAAACCTCACCCTGAAAATCCCCCCCCCTGACATTGTCTTGAACTTGGGCCCTCACAGTCAAAAGTGGGAGGTTGTGACCCTGATCGAGTTAGGGGGTGGGGGCAGCTCTTTAACAGGCTGGAGAAAAAAAATGACTGACAGTCCCCGAGCAATAAAGCATGAAGTGGAATGTGAGGGTATGAAGAGCCATTGTTCGACAAACATCTCAGGAACGCACACAGAACCGTTTTTTATGCTGCTATTTGATTCTGCTCACTAACAGACTCAAACCTGATCACTTATTTCCTCGTGTTGACTGTCTGCCTGTTTATTTCTGCCTGTTGCACCTGGCTTTACTTAACCTGGAGAAGAGTCATTATTCAGCATCAGTTGCTCAAAGGGTATATGACTCAGCTTTCAGTCCTCTGCAGATCAGTTTCATTCATAAACTTCTTTAGACTGGCCCAAGTGTGTCAAAAATCTATTTTTCTTTTGATTTAGAAATAAGAGAAATGCTGTTTTTAATTTCCAGAAAAATGACAACAAGGAGGATTTTCTATCCTCACTCAAACTCACTTTCGTCTGTATCTCGGAGCAGCAGATAAAAAGAACAAGTTCGATTTGAAGTAAAGTATTGTTGCCTGGCAACAGCATTGAAAACCCAGCAGTGTCTGGGGGTCTAGGATTTTTTTAAAACTTTCTGTTTGTCCTCATACACTCTCTGTAAATGTGCCCAACCGTTAGAATAGGGAGAACATATCACAGGGAAAAACATCTCTTTACCAAATCATTGCTAATATGACTGCAGTGTTTTTTTTTTGAGTGTAGTTACCTCTCAAACCGTTATCATGTGTGGTTTCGTGTCTGTAGGAGGATTTAACGGGCTAATTTTGAAGCACAAAGCAAAAACATTAAGCAAATTAAGTTTAATGATGTTTAGATTTAGTGCCAGGGAGGACTGAGGTTGTGGTCCAGCTGCTTTTTTAGTCCAGCTGTTTGTTTTTCTCTCTAAATGGATGCGGTGGAGTCTGGGGATTTGTGGGGAGGAACTGTGCAGATGGGCTGACCTTTGACCCTTTGTTCCACTGAATAAATGGTAGATAACTGGGTGGCTGAATTGCTCCGAGTTAATAAATCTGGTACCCTGATGCCACCTAGTGGTGTGTTGAAGAAATGTTAGTTCATGCATCTGCCTGGTTGGGGTCCAAGCATCAGGGATGTGAGCACCATCTTAGAAAATTAAGGACTATTGTTTTTATAGTTATTATCATTGTCATTATATCAGTAGAAGTACCCATAGTAGTAGTAGTAGTAGTAATATTATTAGTATTATTATTTTTACTTATTGTTTCAGACAAATTAATAGCTTTTTAGAGGCCTTACCAAACTCACCATTCTCCACGCACATTTTCCATGAAATACACATATTGTAATGGTCTTGTGAAAAGCTGTGGAAAATTTTTGCTATATAGTAACCCCTAAAATGTTTAAACAGCCCTTACTATAAAGGTTATTTATTTTTGTAACCATCATGAATGAGTGTCACCTTGCAAGTTTGTCATATCAAGCCCATAGACTGTATATAGAATGGACAGCGTCTGCCTCCTCATTGGGTGAAACCACCCCGAGAACAGCACCCTCTGGTGACGGGCTGCAGTATAGGTCATAAATCCCGCCTCCTCCAGCAATCCTTAAGGGGCTGTGGACAAACTTAAGAAATTAATTACACAGAATATGAATTTTTCTCCCTCCTGCCTGCAATGTTGACATGTAGTTATTGTAAGACTAGTTTGTGCTCAAGTCCTCTTTTTTCTGTGCAGCTCCATTTTTAAAAGTTATTAGGCGGTTCATGTTTTCTATGATTGACACTCAATACAGCCTATGGGCGTACGAAGATTGCGTAGCTCACTGGGGGGGATATGCTGTTTGAGCCGAGTGTCTCTGCGACTCTCCTGCCGAATGCGTACAATGCTACTGCACAATGTTGATTTCAGAAAGTGGAGAAAAAACGCAGAATTACAGAGAGCTTTTCAGCTTCATATCCGTATACTGGCGGAAGGCGAAACCAAGTTGTCCATAGTATATACAGTCTATGATGAAGCCCTACAGAAAAAGTCTCTTGCACCCAATTCCTAAACCCAATAAGTAGTTAGCAATTTCTGTCACTGTCAAAGTTGTCCCTAGTTTTAATGATTTTCATGGTGTCTATTTGATCGGATGAAATCTACCAGAGGGGATTACATTGTGCTATGTACATATTAGAGATTAAAAGATTCTCAGAGCTTTCCACCTCATTTAATTTCTTTTACTTTTTAATCAACCCATATTTCAGTGATGCTGAAACAGACTTTTTGTAAAGATATTTTATTCCAGTAACATTCTCTGTGACATTTAGGAAACCGAGGGTGCATATTTGACCCTGTCGTCCACAACACAACACACTGAAACAAAAAGGGTTTCCCCCTCACAGTGATGAACAAACAAACATCAAAAAGACAACACAATAAACAGTCACGATATTCATAACTGGAGTACAAACATACAGAGTGCTTTAGCCCGACTGTTTGGGAGACACCAGCTGCCTCTGAGAGCCTCCTGTCCCTGCAGCTCAGGAGCAGCTCAGATGGATGATGATGTGGAGTAAAGTGGAAGTCGTCGGGGTTAAAAGATGGGGGAGGGTCTGGGGTGTGACTTAAGCAAAGTTTTTCTTGAGGAAGTTGATGAGTCCATTGGTGGAGGAGTCATGAGAGTTGACCTCTGTGGTGTCCTTGAGCTCAGGCTCGATCTTCTTGGCGAGCTGTTTGCCCAGTTCCACTCTGGAATAAATACAGGGAGAAGAGAGATGATTAAAATGCAAGTTGTTAATTTTCAGCAAAAAATGAACAGTCTGAAGAGTTTTCTCTCCTTGTCACCAAGTTCCTCATACTTTGATTTTGTTTGCCTATCAGTGTCGCACTTTGCATGTTTTAACCTCATAGAAAGTCAGAGGGCAATTTGTTAGTAAGAAGGACAAAAAAGAGCCCCTCTTTCTAACTTGTTTTGGCAGTCAGCCACTGAGCACCAGCTGTTAACAGACTGACAAGAGTACAGCTGAAAGAAGGTAAGCTCTACAAAAATGGTTTGCATTTTTACAACTAAATCGTCCCTCTTACTCATCATTAGAAAGTACAATAGATGAGTTCAGTGAACAGAGAGGAAGAGCTGCATTGTAAACCATATGTATGACAAAATGTAGTGTTCATATTTATTGAATATGTTCCTTCTTTTACTTTATTAAAGTTTAAAAAATGTAATCCTAAATGAAATGTTATAAAAATGTAGCCTACCTTACCAGCTTAGAGCTGCACAGTCCACTGAGCACTTTAAAACACAGCTGAAAAAAAACTCTTTTTCTTCGGCATTCAGTCCCAGCTTGATAAGTTAGCTTGGCTTTTATCCTTTTATCTTTCATTCCCTATCTTCTCTTTTACTCTTCTTTTATTGTTTTCAATTTAATTTTATTCTATTTTTAAATATACTTTTTAAGTATTGGGTTTGTTTTTATTTAATTGCTGTTTTTATTATTAGTAAGTGTATGTATGATTATATTGCACACCTGTTCAGCACCTTGGTCATCTGTGGTTACTTTTAAATGTGCTTTAGAAATAAACTTTGACTTGGCTTGACTTGACAAGTGGACATTAAAAGATTTCTGTGGCTTCTCTGTTATGTGATGAAGTTATTTTAAATGCTTTGTGGATTATTTGACTTACATTTCCCTAGAATCTGTCTGATTCGTTTATGATTTTTTTTATCAGTGTATTTCTATTACTTTACCTAATATGGACTCTTACCTGTTCTTACTGCTTTCATACATTTTTAATGCTTTTATCCGCCTTCACTGATTTTTATTTCATTTTTTTGCTTTTATCTCCTTCCTCTGCTTTTACCTCCTCGTCTCCTTACATAATCTTAAATCTTTCATCCTTTTGGTCTTGGATCACGCTGTTCAGTTCTTGTTTTGCTGGATTTCTTTTGATGTTGGATTCATCTCTATGGTTTTCATTTTTCGTTTGGGTAATTCAGTTTTCTGGTTAGGATTGTGGTGTTTGGGTTAATCATTCTGCTTTATTTTGTTCTCAGTTTTTTTGTGTTTTGCTCTGTTTTCTTCAGATTTTTGCATGTATGTCAAAGCACTTTGTAAACCCATGTTTTTGAAAGCAATATATACATAACTAAGCTATTATTCATAACTATTACTGTTATTATTTATTATAATCTTGCACCATAATCCATAGATGATTTATTGGGTATTTGACACATCTTGCTGAGGAGCATGAGTCTGCTTCTACAGACAGAAAGCTGCTCAGTATGACTATAGGCCTCTATTTTGTCAGCCTATGTGTTCAGTACAACATACAGTGTGTGTGCAGTCTAAACTGTCTCACCCCCACTGGTCAAAACTGTTGATCTCCCACATCACACCCTGGATGAAGATCTTGTGCTCGTACATGGCTGTGAAAAAAACAGAGTCATTATTATTACAACAATAGCCGAGCATGAAGAGGTGGTTTGTTTTCAAATAGATGCAGTTTCAGAGGTAATGCAGAGAACTGTAAACAAGAAAACCTGTTTTCTTGGTCCAAAGTGCAAACAGACTGACTGTTACTATGCGACACCATTCCTCCTCCTCCCTAAACCTATATTTTTCTCTCAGCTGTTTCCACTCAATTCCTAATGCTGAATCATAAATGTTTCTGCTATTTAACTACATCCATTTAAAGTTGCTCTGAAGGGCAGATGTGAGTCATGTATGTGAGAACTAAACTAAAAACAAAGTAGCAATAACTCACTATGAAATAATTAAAAAACAAGTAAAAGTGTTGAATTTAGACCTGTTCCAAAGCAAAAGTTTGACAGTAGCTCAAAAGGAAATACTTTTCAGAAAAAAATGGTTGTATTTTACTGCAGCAGGTGTTTTCAGTGGTACTAATTATAAGTACTATATCGACAGGTGGATAGTAAAATCAACAGAAACGTATTATATTTAACAAAAAAATCAAAGGTTTTAGGCCTGAAAAGAGATTACATTTTGACTTTAATATGAGCTCCATGGAGGCTTTTGTTTCTGCCAATAAAATCCAAATAAAAAAAACAGCCTCTTCAACACTAAACACTTACATTTCTGTGCTGTTGAAGTTTTTTTATATCATTCACTGGTTGTCACAACCAACACCGTTTGCTCTCACCTATAAGTGCTCCCAGTGTGTACGGGGTCAGTTTCTTGAAGATGATTGAGTTGGTTGGCCTGTTTCCTTGGAATACCTGTGTTACACAAGGGACAATGTGTCATGATAAAGACCATACAAACACAGACTTGATTTAGTTTTGATTACCAAACAGTAATGGTCAGTGGTCACTGGGGGGCACTATCCCTGTGTAGTATGAAAGCACATCCTCATGCAAAGCTTAGCATAATTCATTTAGTAGGAGTAACATTGGCGAACTGGTTCTTAAAAATGTCAGCTGAAGTCATTTTTCTTTGTTTGGACTCACTTTGTGTGGCAGGATTTTATCCAGAGCTTCCCCACTGAGGCCACCAGCCTCCAGCTCCTTCCTGGCCTCCTCTGTGGTCTTCCCCTTCATCAGAGCTTCAGTCTGGGCCAGGAAGTTTGCCAGCAGGATCTACAACCACATTAAACACAAACACACACTTTTGTACTTGAGTAGAACCATGTCATATATAAGCCATTAATTCTCCCTTTTAGCATCTTTCTGCATCATTTATTCAGCCTTGAAGAGGGGGAGCACTAGGGCAGTATAAAAACTTGACCTTCAACTTCTACTGTGAGCAGATAAATCTAATAAAACTGTAAACAAGAATGGGTTTGCATCATCTGGTTCAACCCAAACTTGATTACATACATTTTCTACAGCCAGTCAAGAAGCATTCATTTTTTGGCACGCATGCCAATGATGACAACGCTGTTTCTACTCGTTCAATTCTTCATAAACAATCATCTTGTTGATACCTTGTGGTGCAGGCTCTCTCTGATTGGATGCTGTGTCTGAGCAGGAATCAGGAAGTCAGAGGGCACCATACGTGTTCCTGAGAGAGACACAGTTTGGATTGATTAGTTATCCAAAATACATGAGATGGCCACCTACAACATCAGCAACATTAAATACAACTTACTAGAAATGTAGCTTATATAGTGCGAAGCATAAATGAGTACATCCCTTAAGAGTTGTCAGAAAACCTTTAGTTTCCTTTCAAAGTCAACATCTTCTACGTCAGACTATACAACAAAATGCTCCCCCAAATGTAGGCTATTGATTGCAAACAAGATTTTTTAAGTTGCATACAAAAATATATATATTTTTTCAATTTAAAGTCAGGATGCAAAAATGAGTACATCCCAATCAAAGTTTTGAGAGCAAAGCTAAATTTTAGTTACCATATCACCCTTATTTTCATCATATGGTAAATACAAAGTTATGTCAAACCCAGCTTTGTCAAAACTTTGGAAATTGTAATTTTGCTCATCTAGATATTGAGTAATACATTACTTTTAGCTGGGGGTGTACTGACTTATGCTGGGCACTGTATATGTAACTATAAATACTCCCTGGTGGAGTGTATCTTAACAATTAGTCAAACAAAGCAGAGACACACCCTGATCGCATATAACCATAACCTTAGAGAAAAGTGAAAAATGTGGAAGTCCTGACAATCAGGAAAGGAATAGGTAACTGCACAGGTGAGTTAGAGAAACATTATAACATCACAGCGAAATAATTTATAAATCCAAGTAAATATTTTCAAATTTATAAAACAAGTTAACTAAGCTAATGCTAATTTAAGAATGCTTAGACTTAACCTTCCTTGACTGATCCATCCAGCCCCTACGATCAACTTCAGCTTCATTAATTAGAAATGCTACCGCTACATGACAATGATAGACCAATTGACTGTGATTGTCATACATTAAATTTTAAGCGCACAAACTGAACCTTCTCTCCTGGCTGTGATTGGATAATGATGTTCAGTGGCGTTACCTTGGTGGATGAGCTGGTAGAAGGCATGCTGTCCGTTAGTTCCTGGCTCCCCCCACACAATTGGCCCAGTGTGATAGTTCACGCGTGCTCCATGGTTAGTGATGTACTTTCCATTTGACTCCATGTCACCCTGGAAACACACACCTGTCAATGCTTTTTTATGCTTTATAGCAGTGTCCATATCAACATGCATGCACTTGGTCTTTTTGTCGTCATGTCAGTGTGTTCAGTATGGTCCCTAAAGTATGGACTACCTAGAAAACTCAACATTAAAAAAGATCTTTAAAATAAATTATTCTCCTCTCTGATGCTTCTTTAAAGCCCTGCAGCTTTGTAGGGGCAGACCTGCTGGAAGTAGGCGGTGAAGCGGTGCATGTACTGGTCATAGGGCAGCATGGCGTGAGTCTCAGCGTGGAAGAAGTTGATGTACCAGATGCCCAACAGAGCAAGCAGGACGGGAGCGTTTTTGTCCAGAGGAGCCGTGCGGAAGTGGTTATCCTGCAGCAGAGAGTTAGATCTTCAGTTATATTTATATATTCTGTATGTGAATATGGCATGAATAGGGTTTTCTAACACTGCAGAGGTGGAGAAATGAAGGTGTTGGAGAGGTGCCTACCATCCAGTGAGCTCCTGAGAGCAGCTTTTCAAAGTTGTCAAAGCCTGGTGAGGAGAGCAGATGTGACAGGAAAGTTAACCGACAGAATAAAAAACATTTCAACACTGTTTCCTTTTTTCAATGTGTTTCTGCAGAGAAAATCAGCAAGTCAAATTCCTGTTTTTTTTTTTCACTTAAGACCCAGGTTATAGATATTCTATTCCTGCAGCAGTGTGGGGGCAGACCTGTTGAAAGTAGGTGGTTCAGAGGTGAATAAACTTTTCTTCAGGCATCAGAGCGTTGGTGTCAGAAAGAGTTCATGGGCCAGATTGCCTCATATTGCCACTAAAATTGGTGCTTGTGTTGATGTTTCCCTTTGGATGAACTTGAATAATTTTAGTGATCCCTGCGCAAATCATCCAGTACCACAATTCGGTCTACGCTTCAATCCCTCAAGAAGTATTTACAGGTAAATACCTGCAGGAACTTACTACTGTCAGCCTCAGCTACACTTGGAAGTTAGGGCTGTCGTTGTAAACTAGTATTGATGATAAGTGTCTCTTTTCAAAAACTGAAACATGATTTTGTTTTTCTTAAAAAAGATATGTTTGGGGTGTTTGTAGACACTCCAGCCTCCATGAAATATGGAATAGCAGTGTCCACAAACTACTTCTACATCTTATCGCTTATCATCCTGCAGACTTAATTAGGATAAAAGGAGGAAATCCTTGTTTGTAAAGCAAATTTCATCACTCTGTTGTGTGAAGTACTTGCTTATTGTTGATCATCACACAACAACAGCTCACAGCAATGACCCATAACACCGCCCTAGCAGACCACTTTGGTGAAGAATGGACCATTGCCAAGGATGCTCTAATCACAGACGCTGGTAGACTGGAACTTTTTGATCACATCAGTGTGCAAACTTAACATTGGTATGTAAAAGCCAACAAAGATGAAAACAGAAAGACCTTCCTACAACAACCCACTCACTATACATTTTCTTTAGCATACATATGAGATTTATCTAAGTTAGGTGGGCTTCAACAGGAAACGATCTCACAGCAGGATTCTTAGTTAGTGAGTTTGTTTTTGCAAATTAGCATGTTTACTTTGGTTCAAATTGGGGGAAAATTGGCATAACCATTCAGAATGACAAAGTGGGAACTGACAGGGTCCCAAATGGGCCACATCCTATCTATATATGGGTCCTATATGAAGCTGGTTCAGGGCCCACTTGCTGTAACACTTTGGGGCATCTATGGAAGTAAACAAGGAAATTGGACATTTAAGACCCCTACACAATCAGTCAATCTGTTGATGTTATCCCTCCTCCTGTGTTAGAGTCTGCACCGATCTGTTCTTGATTTTAAATGTTAAAAGAACCACTTACATTAGCTTTTCTGCATCAAGAATTTTTGACTTTGTCAGGAACCTCTATTTCAACAAAATAAAAACAAAAAAAGAAATAGACTAAATTATAAAATGCACTTATTAAAATTATGGCAAGTGTCATGTTAGGGTCGCTGTTGACCCGGTTAGATCAATATCTAATAATAAGAGCAAAAACTGGAATCATAAGTGCACTGTCTGGCACCACACTGACAGTCAGATCCTCTTCCAATCATGTGAGATTTAGGAAATTCTCATTTTGCCATGTATTTCCCTGCACAAAAAACAACGTCGGGCATGTCCAGACATGTAAGATCAATTCAGTATAGATGTCTGTATGAGGGGTACACTGACAAAGAAAGATCCAGTGGCCCACTAAAGATATATATATTATAAGTGATACTTTCATGTATAATGAAGCCTAACAAGGTAACCTAAAGATGAGAACCAAATTGGATGAAAGAGAATTGTTTTTAGTGTAATTAACAGCTGATTTAAGACAGGGGACAAAACCGACCCTTAACACAGTGGATGCGTAGTAAAAGCTAACACAGGAGGAAGGTTATCTGCAGTACCTGTGGACCCTTTTTACTGGCAACAAAGCATTTTTAAATGTAGACCTATACTGTATCCACTGTACTTACCAATGTGAAGGGCAATGGACATTCCAATTGCAGACCACAGAGAGAAACGACCGCCGACCCACTGAAAGAAAAAGAAAAAACTGGGTTTTAAAAAACTGTTTAAACAAGGTAAACAGAGCAGTCTTTTTAAAATGTGAGAAACTTTTTTTGCACAGGAAACTGGTGCAGGCAACAGCAGGACAAACATTGAACGTTAATGTAATCAACTATAACTACGAGTATTTGGGTTATACTCTCTGCACACCTAAGAGTGAAGTAAATGCAGTTCAGTCAGCATTGATAAACTACCATAACATTACTTTTGTTAACTTTTTTGCTGTAAACTTTGCACACACAGTTTACATTATGAGTGCAAAACACTGGCCGCCATTTTAACTGTGACATAAAGAACATATTATAGTTGGCACCCTTTAAATACCAACAATGTAACTAAATGCAGCTCCCTGACCTTTGGTGAGGCTCAGCCTTTACAGTAACCTCTGCAAGAGAGAAGGTCGCTACCAATAATAACTGAGTCTGAAGAGAGGGGCTTCTGATTACCCAGCAGCTGCCCGCCAGAGCATCACCCACCTACTTCACAGGTCAAAAGTCTAGCTTATTTTTAGCTGTTGCCTGCGGTCCCCTTCATCCAGAGTCTGTGCATGAAGGCAGGAGCCTACTGAACACAGTCTGCTGCAGGGCTTAAAGAGCACTCACATCCCAGAACTCAAACATGTTCTCTGTGTCGATGCCGAAGTCCTTCACTTTGGGCTGAGGATGGGGACAGAGAAAACAGGACCATCAGGATCAGATATTCAGGCAGAGGGAGAACTTTGAGGCTGAAAAACAATTTTACTCACTCCATTAGTGGAAAGAGCCACAAAGTGCTTTGCAACAGCAGCTTTCTGTTGAAACATAGAGAGGATATGTTGGAGGGTATCTTTCAACCAAATAACAAAGTTAAAGCTGTCTGTAGCTGCAGCATTCATACTCACATCTTTGGCATGTTCAAGGAACCATGCTTTGGCCGACTCAGCGTTGGTTATGGTCTCTTGGGTGGTGAAAGTCTTTAATTTGAAAAAAAGATGATTAAAATCAATATCAAATGCAACATCATTTATGGTAAAGGTATATATACAATTAAAGTCGATGTTACCATTGCAAAATCAACACTTGATTAGAAACTCCAGGAGTTTGCATTTGGCTGAAACCATCTTAGTTTTCCCAACCAGAGGTGACCATATTTGGACAATGAGGTAAATGTGCATGTGCTATAACTTTATACTGAAGGACAAGTTGCCATGTTGGATTTGACTGCCAAGAGTAGCCATGGACCAAAACATAACAAACTTTATTATCAATTTATTTGAAATTGGTGAAATTGGATCATTATTCAAACAACAAAATCAAATGAAAATATTTAGTGAGGTGGAAAATCAAATGAAAGTAGGTTTGATTTCCCATCAGTTTGACTGCTTTCCAACCACTTGGGTCGCCCACTGCTGGCCAGTCGAGATAATGCATATTACTTATTGCTTTGCAGCGGCTCTATCATCTCTAAAACCAGAGTTTGTGCCCTTTTATTGTGCAAAATCTTTGGTTAAAAACATTTTCAAAAAGGAGGCACCAAAAAATTAAAAACAAACAGACATAAGAGAAATATAATCAAGTTGTGTGGGTCATCGGTCTTAATTCTTTTGATATATTTACCACTAAATATAAGAAGCAACCTCGATGCACAGTATTGCAGGAACAGCTGCGTTTCACTTGTGCCAAAGCTGAAGAGCTGATTTGACAGACATTTAGATAAGTGACAACACATGAAGGATTTTGTACACACTCACGGTGAACACATGAATATAGATTAGGAAGAGAAGTTAATCAGGTGCAGTTGTTAAATTTCTGCCCTGTAAAGCAGCTACCTTGGATGCGATGATGAAGAGGGTTGTCTCTGCGTTCAGCTGTGCCAGGGTTTTGGCGATGTGCGTTCCATCAATATTTGACACAAACCACACGCGGGGTCCATCTTTGGAGTAAGGCTTCAGGGCCTCTGTCACCATCAGGGGGCCCTGCAATGCAAATAAACTCAAGTTCAAATTCAGATTTCTGTGCTGCTTTGGTCAAGAGTGACTGTAGGGACACAGAGCTGCAAAATCTACCAAATATTTGAGGCTCATTTAGATTTTCCCACAAGTCTCACTCACAAGGTCAGATCCTCCAATGCCAACATTGACAACATCTGTGATTGCCTTCCCTGTGAAGCCTTTCCACTCACCGCTGCGGACTCTCTGAAACACAATGAACACAATGACACATCAACCAAATCAACTCACAAAAAACTTGTAGATATATCAAACATCAATGAGCAGGAACATGACACAGAAAGTGTGAAACATTTAACTCAAAGTTGTGCTTCAATGTATCTGGATTTCAACTCACATGACAAAAACCCTTCATCTTCTCAAGAACTTTATTGACGTCCGGCATCACGTCCTTACCATCCACCATAATGGGAGTGTTGGAGCGGTTCCTCAGAGCCACGTGGAGCACAGCACGGCCCTGCACATGCACAACACTGTGAAATAAACACCTACACTCTCTACTGTGACATTTATCCTCTACTTTTGGCTAAGAGTAGATGCTAACATCTAATTTAAAAAAGCTTAGAGAAAAAAAATGATGTGCAGGAGTGATTGTGTCATATGGTGTGAGTGCTGTGTTTTCAGTTTCACCCTAGTGGAATAAATGTCAAGTGGTAAACACTGCTATGAGTCAAGCAACAGCTGGCATGTGGTCACCAATGAGCACCTCAGTGAAGTTGATCTTGTCTCCACTGAACATCTTCTCTCTGGCAGCTTCGATGTTTCTGGACTTGCCCTGGAAAGACAATACTTTTAAGATTCACTCTGTCAGCTGATGTATACTCAAGATGTGTGTCTGTAATGAAACTATCAGTGGTGGCTATGAATCAAAATGAGGACCATTTCTGCAAGTCAGTGGGTTCATCCCCTGTCGCAACAAGGTCAGGTAAAATTTCCACTTTAACAGCACATCAACTCATTCTCGTTTTCTTGTATCAATGAGGTGCTAATGAGAAGTGAATCTGAATAAATATCAAAAGTTCTTGTATAATCTAAATGGAAAAAGTTTACCAGGTCAACCAACATCTTCACGACTTCCTCAGTGATGAGATTCTTGGAGTAATCCAGAAGAATATCTCCATCCCCTGTGTTCAGTGTTAAACTGTTCACACACACAGAGAGACATCAGTAATGAGAACAGCAAAGAAAAAATTCTTCATCTGAAAAACTTGGTTGCCATAGAGCTTTTAGCCATAGAGATATCATGTAATGAAGGAAGAGGTGACTTTGAATGCGAACAGATAATGCAAACATCAAACTGTCACACTTTGCTGCTAATATCATGCAAGATTACTGTATCCTCTTCAGTGATGCTGTATACATCATGGTTTAGTTTGAACAATGAAGTAACTTTGACTCGAATGCCTACCTGAGCTTGTTGAATCTCTCCTTGTCAGACTCAAACATGTGCCTCATGTTGAGGTTCAAGGCATGGGCTGTGTACCAGTCCTGCAGTTTTTGGAAGTTGGGGTCCTGTGTGAGTCCCATGATGTCTGGAGGGGCTTGCTGTGCTCGGCAGTGCTCAACTATCCTGGCTGAGTGGGGCCAAGCGGGTCAGTGGAAACGCTTTTTGAAGGACGCACAGTCCAGATCCACAGACGCCCCTCCCACTGGAGACACACTATCCTCGGGCCTCGTGCATGTCACACCTCCACACTGTCCTGCAGGGTTACAGTCGGTTCTTGTTGCTACTGGGGGGGCGCCATTAGCACAGAAACACAGGGGTTTACAATCAGAAACTGAGTCTATTCTTCTGGTGTCAAACACATTCAATGGCACTTAGTATATAACCAGAATTATAAAATAGTTTAATATTTAATATAACATGCAAGAACATGAAAACAAAGTCTACCATTGTTGCTACCATGTTGCACATAGAAACACTGATATGAACTTATAGAAACACTGATATGGAATCATTCAGTTTCCCAGAATTAAAGTACATTTAATTTTTAAAAAACATATTTATAAACTAAAGGAAGTTAAATTACTCAAGTATATACACATCTTGTATAGAGCAGTGTTTTTCAACCACTGTGCCGTGACAGATAGTCAGATGTACCCTGAGAAATTATCCAATTTCACTTTATCGGTCTATTTTTATTTTTATTTTTTAAAATACCTATCATATGCAAATACTATGCACTTTTCAAGTGTCTGTGCTGTAATCTACAGCCCCAGGTTTCACACTGGGTGAGTATGAATAAATTGAGAGACTATAATGTTATTGTATAAACCTGTATCTGGGGCTACCAGGTGTCATTTAGTAACATTTTTGGTTGGTGGTGTGCCTCGTAATTCAAAAAAGGTTGAAAAACACTGGTATAGAGTGTATTAATTTAGGATAAATCCCTTGAGATGCATCATCTCCTTTCCAAACAGGTTTCAAATGTCTTTGGAAAAAAAATTTAAGATGAGGCCACTGATTATTCCCTAATAAAAATAAAAAAGTAAACTCACAGGATTTAAAGGAAAAAATGAAAAGATTGCTACAGTGATGTGATCTCCATTTTTGTTGTAAGAGTACCCTGTTAGTAAAGTCACAATACCTAATTTCTTGTGCACTCCCAGGCTTTCTTATCTAATCACAAAGCCAAACCAACTTTTATTCAGACAAAGTACCAACCATCCATCTTCTTCATAGTTTTAGTTAGTTTTACTTTACTTGTTTATATGAACAGGTTAAAAGAAAAACAAAATAAATACTATATACAATGTGCTTTAGCAGAAAAACAATTAAAGAGACAGCTCTGTAGCAACATAGATAATCATACTTTGTTTGAAAGGGTGTAGGATAAAGTTGATAAAACTTATCTAGTCCTACCCCTTAAATGTTGAGGTAGTTACTGTGATTTAATCAGTCAAAGCATGTGTAAAAATAACAGCACGAAAGACAGAAAATATATCAGAAAGAAAGGCACGTTGCCTATAAAAAAAGTCCGAGCTTTTTTTTTCTATGTACCAGAATGACAATGTTCTTTTTAAAAATACGACTTTAGTGCAGCTTATGTGCATTTCAGCGCCGACAAGGGGCAGTTTAAATGTAAAATAAATAATTCGACAGGGTTGTAGTATTCTCTGTCATACGCTAGAGGGCGGTAACTGATCAGTCTGCAGGATAAACAGCTACTCTGTCAATGCCGTCATAGTTGTAGATCTGACACAAAAATAATAGTATTGAACATTAACGTGTTGTCGCTAAATTCACAAAGTGCTTTCAAAATCATGTTGTTTAACCTTTTTTGTTTAATTTGAAAGAGAAGCTGTGGAAATATTTTCTATAGTTCCTCCAATAGCTATTAAATCTGTGTTGAAGTTATTATGAGCATTTTAACTTCTTTCTTTTACACTTTCACTTAATAATGTGTGTAAAAAAGTTACCATTTAACATAACTAGTTTCAATACTGATTGCATTTCATTGTCATATACCGAGTCTGTAAAAATTAAGATATTATTTGACAGCTAAACGGAACTTAATGAATATTTTAGTTGTGTGTGTGTAAAATAAGGGCATTTTTACCAGCAGTGTTTTATTGTGAAGGTTTTGAGGAAGTGTGTGCTTTTATTTTTGTGTTTCTCTCAGTGGACACAGACAGGGGATTCGCTGTCAGGAGGGTGGATGCTTGGAGCTGGTGAGCGATGTGCAGTTTAACTTACCGTTTACTGTCATATTTTGTGCGTTTTACCTAAAGCTGGTAGGTTTTTCCTTAGTAACAATGACACTGACTGTTTTTGGTTTGTATAGGAAAACAACTTGTCCGTGTACATTTGCTTGTTCCTTACAGGAGCGCTCATAGTCGTGCCGCAGAGTGCTAGCTATGTTGCTAATGTTAGCTCTTTAGCTATGTGGCTAGCCTACCTAGAAACACTCCTGTGTCCATTATCGGACACACCTCACTAGGAGATAAATATTAATGTGTTTACACCATTATCTGTATGTGAGATACATGAACAACGTTTGGGGGTGTTTTTTAATTACACCTTAAACGCATTTAATGTCTTCTACAGTTGAAAATGATGTTTTACTGTACAAACCTAATGCGATATCTGCAGAAGAGGAGCGGTTTGTGGGGAGCGGTGTGTGTTATTTCTGTGTGCAGTGGCAGTGGCTCGTATCCGCGGCTGATGCTCCTGATTTGATCCATGTCTCAACCCCGTCAGTGCAGGTACGACAGACGAGTGAGTTAATGAGCTCTAGTGTTAGCGGCGACCTGGTTTGACTGCATGTCCGATAATGGATCTGGGCGTATTTGGTTGTAAGTTAACGCGCTGCAGTCGGTGATCTCCTACCGAGCAGACACGGAATGTAGGTTAACGTAAGACAGACGGTGGATAAAGGTGGGATGATGTGCTCGTAAGGCAATCTAAGTACTACCCAAGAGTGAGGTTCAATTGGCAATGTCGCCTTGTGAAGAGGAAGGGCACTAGCAGGCTAGCTAACGGGCGAGAGTCTGGCTCTGTGTGGCCGGTGTGCGAGTGTCTATCTCGGCTGTGACGCGGACTAGGGGTACCGGGTATCCACCGTGCACGGTGCCGTGTAGCGCTTTCACGCCTCTCTCTTTTCCTGCGTTTGCTGCTTTTATTCACGTTTACAACTGAATACTTCCATGTATTTTTGTGTCTCATCCGTTAAAGGCCGTATTAATAATAGCTGCGACATAATATTCCCATGACCTGGGCCATGTCATCCCCGAGTTTCGATGAAACCGGCTAACTGCGCGTGCGGGGGATTCGGTTACACCTTCCTGCTAAATAGTAATCTGGGTTTACATTAATCTCCAAACATGTTCAATACTAAGCATATAGTTAGTTATTTGGCTCGTTTTATGAAGTATTTCGACAGTGTTGCATTCTGTTGGCCTGAGTGAAGCCATGCTGTGTTTGATAACATGTAGAGAGCAGCAGGGCTTGTAATCTTATCCTCAGATACATTTCACAGAAGTATATTCATAAATAGTGTCACATTCACTGGGCCATGCACTTAAACATATGAGGAACCATTTTTATTTTTTTAGCCTACAGCATAATTTTTCTTTCTTTTATTTTGAACCATGAAACACACACATGCACAGGATCCTGTGGAAATGCATTAACCCTAGAACACTATTGATTTTCACCCTACCAAACATGTTTACGTGATTTTCATTATGTTGTGTTTTTCTGAGTATCATGGGTCCCTAGGTAGCTTTAGCATTGCCTTTGACATCTTTGAAGGCGTATTTGTTTCCCGATCCAAACCCCACTTTTTCCTACAGGCACGTGTTTGGGTGATTTTCACCCAGCAATAGTGATAGAGGGTAAAGTAGGTTTAGGTGGATTTGATAGCTGCATGTAGGGAATAAGGTCAGTAAGAGTGGTCCATATATATATATTTATTATATATAATAATATATATATTTTAGGATTTTTTTTTGTTCATGAATGCCTAATTTCAGTTATTTTGTTGCATTTTTATTAAGGCCCAACTGATATGGATTTTTCGGGGCCGATACCGATTATTAGGGGGGAAAAAATATCCAATTACAGATTAACAGCCGATTTTTTAAAAAAATTTTAAGAAGTTAAAAAATATATACTGTAGATATCTACATTATTAAGTATACTGTGGATATACTGTAGGCTACTGCTCTTCACACCGACAGGAAGACTGACTGATCAAACTCGGACAAGAAAAGCGTTTTTAACTACCCCCCCTGTCGCCGCCGATCGGTGCCTCCATGTCTTCACTCATGTTACTCATTTCCGGTCCGGTCTCATCTGGAGACATGCAGCTGCCTCAGTAAGAGAAGTAGCTCGATCAGGTAATGTGTACGGTTGTTTATTTTACCGTTACTGGCACGGCTAGTAGTGTAGCACGGCTAATAGCATATGACTAACTCTAACTTGAGCTTGCATATTACATGGTGCTTCACCATTCGCTTGGTGTGACAGAGACAGAACATTGTGAAGTGGGTTGAACTGAAACTTGTTGACTTATTGTTTATTTCACAAACTGGTTTGTTTACTGTTGGGGTGGACCACTCTCCTCCGTGCATCCCTGAGCTGCCTGATTCAGATCCGTCACTTTGCTGTGCTGTGAGGTAGTTAGTGGATGAAGATTGTCATGAGGTTGCTGCGCCATTTACTGGATAAGTCGGATAACTTTTCAAATGGTGGAACATTTTTCAAGTGAAACAGAGTCTTTTTCTCTGCATTTTATTTCTGAAAATATCTGCGAGTTTTGGCTGATTACCAATTAGTCTCAAACGGGCTAAAATTGGCCGATTTAATCGGCTTGCCGATAAATCAGTCAGGCCCTAATTTTTATATGGTCCCCTCATGGCACTTTTTTCCTCCCTTTGGACATTGCACAGTTAAAAATCAAAGAAAACTACTTTAATTTGTTATTTATTGTCCTATTTTGATATATTTTGATGACAAGTACTTTTTCTTGGGTATATTCTTTCGGGTAAAAATCCCCCAGCAATAGTGATGGTGTTAGTAATTTTAGCGATAGTGTTCTAGGGTTAATGGAGATATGCCTGAGATAAAGGGCTGGACATGGTTTAGTCCTCAGCACTTGGGCTTTGCACTGCCTTGCTTTCCCTTGAAAGTGAAATGGCTCCTTTCCAGCTAACAGCCTGACTTCCAGTCTCAGTCTGTTTTAGGGTTTGAACCGATGACCCTCTGTATCCCTTGGCAAGTCCCTACAGATTGACCTACTTGCTCCCCCCTGTTGCTGCAGACTGATGGTAAAGATTTGAGTCTGCAACAGAAGAGCAGTATCAAATATACCTTATATCCATGGCCTAACTAAGGCTCTGCAGTGCAGGGGAAGATATCTGACATTGCGTTAGTAAGTATATTAACTTGTCAACAAATATAGTCTGATATATGTTGACAAGCAGAGGCATCTATCATCTAAATAGGGATGAGTGTTTTGATATCCTGTGGAAAGTGTTTCTTGTTCTGATGTTAATATAACCAAGGATGTGTTGAGATGAGCTAAGGTTTAGCTCATGAACTTGGTCATGCATGAAGGGATCTTTATTCTGGATTAGTTTGCTGGTGGAATCTAGATATTAACACTTATTTGTTACTTATTATGCTGTGAGAGAAGATTTGTTGTGTTTGTTTTTGTTACCTCGTAAAATGGCATATTTTTGACGGAGTTGCTGATGTTGTATTCCGATCTAAGATCATATGGATGTTGTATGGTTTGAACTTGTATCAGAATCAGACAGTGGAGTTCCAGATCTGGAGGGAGGTATTTATTTGGAGGTTTGCTTGTCTTTTGTTGAGTTTTCCAGTCATGTGCAGCCCACCACTGAAACAACCCTACATGTTGACATCTGCCACAGCTGTGTCACTATGGAAATACGTGCTTTGCTCTGCAAAATTCCTGTCTCTGTTTAAACTCATTCTTTTTTTCAATGGCCTATTCAACACTGTGCCTGAGCAGTAACAACAGGTAGTCAGTCAGTGGGCTGTATATCGAGCCTCTGTTTGTTTTCTGGCTCTTTTCTTTTTTTGCTGCCTGTATTTGTCAACATGTGACATGGCCAATAGTAACACTTAACCTTAGTCTTACATTGAATCCGGATGCCTGAGTGAGGAAGTCGACTTACAGTCACAAGATTACTGTTTGTGTTTGCCTCGGGTGGAGTACAGGCCAGTCTTGTGCTTGTCTGTCACCGTCTCCTCCGTCTTGAATGATATATTTCTTCAAACAATGGAGCTTTATGATGTTTCCTTAGTGGCACTCTTTTAAATAATACAGATAAGAAAGAAGTCCCTGCTGGAGGAAGAAATGAGTAAACCCAGATATGATACTGTAAAGCCCAGGAACTTTTATGTATTTCATCGTGATCAGACCAGACAGATAGATGTTGTTTTTGTAATTCTCTGTCTAAAGTGATTGCCTGTCTGCTATTGAGCTTTTTTAATGACGTTAGACACTCTGACGTAGGAGACTTCCTTGCAACGATTTCAAAAGAACAACAGGTGTTAACCAACAGGAAGCTAATTGTTACCCCCAGTTTGTAGCTTCCACCAGGCAACACCTAGCAGAGGTATTCTGAAGTTATTCTTGGCTTGGTTAGGCTTCACTTACATAAGTGTTAGCATGTCAGACATATCTTAACATCTTTCTCCTTTGGCACATTTTTTGAAGCAGAAACCTCCATAGCAGGGTTGTAAACATCATTATACTATGTATGCATACTGGATACTTGCAACTTCATTGTGATGCTTCAAAGGAGCCAAATGTATTTTAGATAAAGTTGTGCTTTGTTGAAAGACTGTTCTAGTGAAAGGCTTTTAACATTTTTGGACAAACTAGAGCCACTCAATTCTAAGTTAAATGAGAATACAGTGAAATTGATTGTATACAAAGGAAAATCCAAAAACCAACCATCATACAGAGGAATTCTATCATTCTGTAACAGTGTGCATGCTGTCAACCTGTGGCCTAACCAAGTATGGAGTAAGAGGAAGAAACTGATTTGGATGCAGTTCCATCATCATGTTAGATAATATCCACCTACAACAACTTTTACTGGCCCATGCATCAGAGAGACCAAAGCTTGTTCGAGTTTGTGCTGTGTGACAGGATTTTCATTTGGATGCACAAAACTAACACCTCTATTTGCACTGGTGTGAGGCCGAGGGGCGGGTTTGCTTCATCTGTATTAGAGGATGTTTCAGCCTAAGTATATTTGTTGTTGTATTTTTAGGGCCCGACTGATATGGATTTTTTGGGGCAGATGCCGATACTGATTATTAGGTGGGAAAAATCCGATTACTGGTTAATCAGCCTATTTTTTAATTTTTTTACGAAGTTATAAAAAATATCAATCTACTGTAGATATCAACAGTATACCATACACTGTAGATATACGGTAGGCTACTGCTCTTCACGCCAACAGGAAGGCAGACTGATCAAACTCTGACCAGAAAAGCGTTTTCAATTACCCGACCCCAACCACCCCACCCCCGCTGCTGATTGGTGCCTCCACATCTGAAGTCACGTTACTCATTTCCGGTCCGGTCTCATCTGGAGACATGCAGCTGCCTCAGTAAGAGAAGTAGCTTGATCACGGAATGTGTACTGATGTTTATTCTACCGTTACTGGCACGGCTAACAGTGTAGCAAGGCTAATAGCAGATGGCTAACTCTAACTTTAGCTTGCATATTACATGGTGCTTCACCGTTAACTCGGCGTGACTGAGACCAGCACAGCATGGAACATCGTGAAGTGGGTTGAACTGAAACTTGTTGACTTGTGGTGTATTTCACAAACTGGTTTATTTACTGTTGACCACTCTCCTCCGTCCGTCCCTGAGCTGCCTGCTTCAGATCTGTCACTCTGCTGCGCTGTGAGGTAGTTAGTGGATGAAGACTGTCATGAGGTCACTGCGCCATCTACAGGATAAGTTGAGGAACTTTTCAAATGGCAGAACATTTTTGAAGTGAAACCGAATCTTATTCTCCACATTTTATTTCTGAAAATATCGGCGAGTTTTGGCTGATTACCAATTAGTCTCAAATGGGCTAAAATTGGCCGACTTAATCGGCTCACCGATAAATTGGTCGGGCCCTAGTATTTTTCTCTTCAGGTGGGTTAGCAAAAGCATTTCCTTCACATACATGAAAGTGGATTGATAAAGATGTCAGTCCTGACCCAGAGAGAAGCAGCGAGTAGCTTTGCAGATAAGTGAGGGCTGGTCTTGTAGGCTGGGAAATCTCCCCCTTGTCTCCTGGGAAACCAGTTTGACCTTAGTTTGTGGTCAGCTATTTGCCCCTCAGTCAAATGTTCACAGTAAGATGCATGAATGCTCATGCATCAGAGATGAATGAATTCCAGGAGGAAATGTTTTACTTGCTTTGCACGAGCAGGTTGGAAGTCAGGGTCAGCTACCAGACAGAGGATAATGGAACTGAGATTCACCAGTGGCCTGAATCCACAACCATGATTGTTTACTCCACCACCAGTTCTTATCACACCTGTCAACTCTGGCGTATGAGGCTTTATTTTGCTAAATGATGACACAAGAGCAGTTTTGCAGTCCCTTCTGACTTCTGTGGCACCTTCATATCCTGCCTCATTGTGCCTAAAGTGGAGGAATGAATTCCTGCTCCTGTCCTTTCTAAAAATACAGCACCCTGGTGGCTGGCATGCAGTACAACCTGCAGCCTCAGTATATAGCTTGCTCAGTATAGGCTGAGAAAAGCATTTTCATCCCTGCAGGTTGCCACCAGTCTTTCATGAATGGAACTGACGTCAGGACCTTTCATCACTGCTCTCACATGTTGAAACCCACCGGCATGGGCACACTAAACACACACTCTATTGTACACCGCTATTTTAGAGGGTGATATCTGAGCTAATTCTGTTTGCAAATACTGAAAGGCATCTGTGCTTTGTGCAACAGCCCTGGCTGGATCACATCAGGTTAGACTTCTCATTTTATGGTGAAATTTTGAAGTCATCACAAGGCTTGACACTAATTTTTTTCATAAGGTGCACATGTGCTCCTAAGTTGAAAAAGTGAGGAGCACACAAAGAACTTTAGGAACACAATGAAAATTGATCAAGGGTGGAGAGTAGATTTAACCACGCTGCTCTTGCCATCACTGGTTATGGAGAGTGAGAAGACACCAGTAGATCCACAGTGAATGTCCGTCAAATGTCCAACCTAAAACTAACTTCGCCGCGGTGTTTACATTAAAAAAACATGTTTTGCCTTGGCTGATTTCTTTCATGCGCACATGTGCCCCTAAATACATTTTACAATTGGCATACATCTATTTTTAGCTGCAAATGCAAGTGAAATTGTCACATTGTCGAGCCCTGCATCATGATGTTAATTTCTTCTGACCTTAAATTAATAACTTAATCCTTTTCTTTTCATAGACTCAAGATTAGCTGAATGGAAATATGGTTAAATATTTGAGAGATCTGTAAGACAGTAAATCTTTTGTCAAAGTGGCCTGTTTGCTGTTTTATTGTAGCAATAATTTACTTACTCTGTCTGCTTTAACAACGCAGGTTGGCCTAATATTATCTTGCCTGTTCCCTGACTGATATAAGCTTTTGGTGTCGTCCAAACTTACTCAACTGTAAGCAGAGAGGTTTCACTACTGCTTTAGAAAGTGTAAGTCAGCTAAAATGTATAAGCAGCAGAATTTTCCATGACTTAACACCAAGATGACTATTTTCACAACAACTATGAAATTTAATCTTTTTTCACTTCCAGCCCCTTTGAACATGAGACCAAAAGCAAAATAAGTTTGAAAAGCAAACCAAAGTTCAGCCTCAAACCACCAAAACAGCAACCCTACTTGATATTTCTGGGAGAGTCACAATATCAGTGGAAGAAAATCTATTCTTGTAGTTAATAATAAATGGTAGCCAAGGCCCTTTTATATTTCTCTTCCTCTCCGAAAACTCATGCAGCTGCATGTGTGAGACTGTGTGTGTGTGTGTGTGTGTGTGTGTGTGTGTGTGTGTGTGTGTGTGTGTGTGTGTTTTTTTCTGTGTGCTGGTATGAGACGACCAGGCTCTGCCACAATACTCTCCTTGTGTTCTGTGGGCTAGAGGAGCCTGGCTCAGCTCCTGTCACACAGTTGCTCACGGCACATGTCCTGTCATTTGGACTGACCTCCTCGACCTGTCTGCTGATTCTCAGACTTTACTGTACCTTATCTTCTCTGGGGAATGTCTTCCATTGAAGCTTCTCAAATAAACAGCCCCAATTTAACTCGCAGACTCCTGATTAGTTTTTTTCTTGTTTGTTTTAATGTAAATATTTATTTCACACAGTGACATATTTGGAGCAGATTTTTTTTTGCAATGTCTTGCTGGTTTTCCTGACCTGTTTTTTGTGCTTGTTTGAACCCACATCAGGAGAGTTCTGGGAAAATGCATTCCTTTGCTTCATTGGCAACAGATGTAGGGGAGAACATTTTTTTTCTTTGAGCTGAACCTTTTGGAGAGTCTAAAAACAGTGCGGTGTGGACCGTAGGGCAGCTGTTTTGCCCAAGGAGGCTGAAATAGACTTCATGAGAGAGCGAATGTCGGGCCTGTGGCCGGAGCGTCACAGGGCCCCGTGTTTGCTTCCCAGTGGCAGATGGATAAGGAGCTGTCAGCATGGGTAACAGCTGCCCTATCCACAGCTATTAAGCTACCTAGCTGTGATGTGACAGCCACACATATACGGCTACAGATCCAAAAGTAACTGCAGTTGGTATAATGTGTCGCAGTATCCTGAAGGTTACTGAAGAGGGGTCTGTGACCACAGGGATGACTGGGCTGTTTTGTTAAATCTGTGGGGGAATAAGTGTGGGGAAAGTGTGTAAAAAAAAAAAAAAAGGCAAATGCTACTCAACAGCTGCTGAGAAGGTGCCTTTGAGCAATGAGCCTTGTATGAATGGGTGGAGCAGCTCAATGGCCATTGTAAAAGGGTGCACACGCACTGGGTATCATCCTGGGCATTCATGTGGTTTCCATGATGAAAGTAAAGAAGTTGCATGCATCTTTTATGTGGAGAAAAAGAGGTCATTGTTTGGAAGGCCTTTGAATTTACTTTAACCCAGGAGTTTTATAATTTATAGTTGCCATCAAACTGACTTAGTTTATTACAGATACCTCTATAGAGCAGTGGTTCTCAAGTCCAGTCCTTGAGGCCCACTGTCCTGCCCCAACACACCTGATTCAAATGATCAGCTCGTTATCAAGCTCTGCAATGGTTTAATAACGAGCTGATCATTTGAATCAGGTGTGTTGGAGCAGCGAAACATCCAAAACATGCAGGACAGTAGGCCTTGAGGACTGGACTTGAGAACCACTGCTCTATAGGGCCCCCGAAAATCCAAACAGCCCATCAGCTGGAAGATTTACAGTGTCTATATAGTTATTTTTAATGCTTGCTACCCCTACCACCAGATTAGATTCCAGCAAAGATTAAAGGATGCAAACATAAATGACGTTTGTTAACATTTTTTAAGTCAGTTCGTCATATGTTTGGGGAACTTCCAAGACAGGATGAGCGCTGTGATAAGATGGTTAAAACTGAGACAAAATCCTCACAGTTGCTTTAAGTAAAAGCAACAACAAAAAAAAGAGTATATCCACTCTGAAAATGCCCACCTAGCCTAGTGCTTGCTGCCGTTGTTTCGTTGAAGCTTAACGCAGACAGGTAAATCACACTTGGTGTCATGATTTACTTCATACCCCCAACCCAGTAGCATACTTGTTTTGACGTTTTTGTTGCTGGCGACAGGGATCTTACAGCAGGAAACCTTAACCCCTTTCCTGTTGGAGTTGAGCAGCTGACATGTTTGGTGAGTGGGGAAGTGGAGCTAACATTAGCTCCAAGTAGCCCTTGCTGCAGGAAGGACATTATAGTTTGCTGGCACGAGTCCAGCGCATCCGGAGGGAGTCTCCTATCACATGTGTTTGTTTGGGTGCAATCTCTTAATACAGTGTGCCCTCAACCAGGAGGCTGTCAACCAGTGAAGCTAGCCTCATTAATATTGATGCCATGTCTGTTCCTCTTGGGGTAACCTCTGCTCACACAGTTTTACAGCCAGAGATGAAATGTAGACCACCGACACTCTTTGATAACATTACACTGCTAAATTATATGAAAATGGGAAACCATGTTACAAAACCAGCAGCCCACTCTCTTCAAAAATTGAGCTTTTAACTGAGGCTGAATGGACTGTGACTCACTCACTGCACTTAATCAGTTCCTACTTGTGTTTTTCTCCATCTGGAGATTCATCAAACCAATGTGAGGTTTCTGAAAAACAATATCAAAGAGCTTTATGGAGCCATATGTGTGACCTAATACCATACCACACCACACCACACACTGAAATCACAGAATTTACTTTTAGCAAATCGTCATGGAAAATGGTTCACTGTTTTTGACTATCATTTCTAATTCAAAACCAGAAGCGCAACAAAGTTTTTCTGAGGTATTGCACTGAAATTTTTGTCTTTCAAACGGCACACCTAAGTGTGTGTCAGCATTGTCTGTGGTTTGAATTATTCCCAGCTGTGAACAGATTGTTCATTTCATCCCGCACTGCATGTGACCAAAGTGTTTTCGACACAAACTTTAGATAAAAATGAGTAATAAGTTGTGGTGCGACAGCTGATCTTGCCTTATTCACGTTCTACTCGAATGGTCCTGCATAGTTCATACAGTGTGATCACCACAGCAGAGGAAAATTTATTGTTCTTAGTAGTATTGAATGTTTCTTGAATGTTCGCCTCTGCTCCAAACTAATGCAAGCATGAGATAGATACCTAGTGGTGTGTTAGCACCTCCTGCTCTGAGTTTGTGAGTGAGGGGAGGCAGGATTCAGAGGTCAAAACAAATGGAAACAAGATGAATAACTGCATTTTGCTGCACTAAGAGGGATAATTATAATAACTAGCTTCTTCTTCTGTATAAAAGAGTAATAACATTATGCATGCAGATGTTAATGAATAAATAAATAAAATGGACAGCTTTGCTAGTTATGTTTGTTTTCTCCTCCTAGCTGTAGTTACAGACAAAAATAAATAAATAAATAAATAATACTCTGCAGTTGTAGTTAAAATAAGAACAATAATTACACAAAGTTCAAGATGTGAGCAGAGCAGGGTTACATGAGTGTTGAATTCACTGATTCGTCTCATAATAAACATCTGAAAAGTAACATATAAGAACTTAGTCAAAGTTATGACATCGCCTGTTTATTCCTGGAGTATTTTTTTTAATAGAATTTTATTTTGAACCAGAGCGTCAATAAAGTTTGTGTTTTGCATGTTCAAAATGGAGTGGGAAGAAGTCAAAACTTATCTAGTCCCACCCCTAATGATGAACCAAACATGTTGGACATGGTATATGAGCAAAGTGAAGGATTTTTTTTCTATATGGTGGCCTTCATGACCTGTTCTGCCTAACAGCAGGATGCACAGACTGTATTTCTCTTCTCCTCTTGTGAGCAGTGTGAAAGTGTGAGAACTAGAGCGGTTAGCCCCAGGCTGGCTAAGCTCAAGTTTCCTGTTTACCTCGCACAAGGCTAATATCCTATCAAGCGTGTCAACCAGCAGGTATTGTGGGGCACCTGGCAGGTTCTGACTTTGGCAGTAATCCCTGAGATTAAGAAGTCTGACTGCCTGTTGCACTAGTTAGCTGCTGTCAAACTGCCAGTGAGCAACAAGCAGATATCCGTATAGAGGCTTAACGGGAAATCTCATCCTGTGTCAATGTACAACTGATTGGTTGATTGAACTAATTTATTTTGAACATGTTGAATTAAAAGCAATATATTATATAACACAAAACACAAAAAGCATAACACGATACAGGAGTTTAAAAACTTGATAGTTTAGTTTCAGTTTATTTGAAAAGGAGTAAAATTACACAGAATCAAGACTGAAATGAACCATGAAAGTACAAAACCGTTGTAACCATATCGTTGTAAAAAGTAAAAATTATGAGACGCAGATCATGAACCACATCATGTATCGACCAAATAGTTGTGTTAAAAAAGAAAATAGTGTTACAAGAATACATATTTCTCTCACCAGTTTGTTAAAAAAATGAGCTACATAGATTGGGATCTTCTAAAACAGGTGCTGTTGTGAACCAGAACCTAATTCAACTCAATGTTATTCATACATGGTTTTGTTCAGGGTAGTTTATGGAGGATAAGGCTGTATCTGCAGTGTACTGTCACTGGAGATGTAGAGGTCATTTAATAATTGCTTGTAACTGGATTAACAGAACTGATAGTGAAAATACAAACATTTTAATAATGATGACTCCAAAGCTTTATGGCTGATAACCCAGGACAAGTGACAAAATCTAGTGTTGATACTGATTTGGCATGTGGTGGTGGGTCCATTGTGAAATTCAAAGATCTTAAAATAGCATCACAACCACAACAACCAACCTCCGATGGGATCTTGAAAATATGATCTAGATAATTGAGCAGCATCTGTCTGGTGAAGTCGCCTACTATTGTTTATTTTAGAGAGTAGTTTGAAGGAAAGCTCAAGATGATGGAAACAAGTATGACTGAAGTATTACTGCAGTGTGCATTTGCATGTCTTTGAATATACACATGCAAGACTTCCACTTCTTCTACTGTGTTATAACATAAGGGTTAAACATGGGATGCATATCTCTGTCGTCACTTGATGAGGAGGTCACTAGTTTCCCTTGGCTCTTTCTTTCCTCTGAACTGCAGAGGACACATGAGGGCGGGCTGATTTTAGTTGGGCGTACCCCTCTGTTTGTGAAAGGAAGTGAGGTTTAAAGGTCGGGGGAACATTGGCGGGGAGGCAGTACGGACACTCAGCTTGAACAGCCACCAGCAGACTCGACGGTGGTGTTGCTTTTCCTGACTCATCCCAAAACACAAAGGTTTTTAGCATGGTGCTGCTGCAAGATAAGAGAGACTGAATGTTCCACTGTGATTGCCATGCATGTAACAGATAAGTCTGTCATGTTGATGTTGGGTGTCCCATTGAGTGTGATATTATCACAAGTGTGTGTATTAACTTTAGTGCCACCGAGGCTCTACAAAGCAAGGAAACAGGTTTAGTGATTGACTGTTGACTTAAAAAAACAACATCTACTGTCCAACAGCTCAACCCAAACTCAAATATGGACACAGATTATGAAGTGTATTTCTGCTTCACCTTTTCCGCTTGACGTGTTTGTTTGAATTAAAAGCACATAAACAGAAGTGGGGGTGGGAATAACCAGTGGCCCCACGATACGATATTATCACGATACTTGGGCCACAATATGATATTATCACGATACTTGGGCCACAATATGATATTTAACATTTTGCAATACAGTAAGTATTGCGATACAATGTATTGCGATTTATGCATTATTTTTCAACTGTCAAGCTAATTTAGCATTTGTCATTCCTTTGTGTTTGTCTTATTTACGCTGTTTTTTATGTTCATGTAGCACATCTTGCAAACCTTATATTTATTTGTTGTACTAACTTTCTCCTGCACTATGATGTCACCTCTGCAAACCTCACTGGACAAACAGTTGATTTGTTTTTTTCATTATCATAGATTTGACTTCATATTCGCAATTAATTTAAAAAGTCGATACTTAGTAAATGAGATGATATGATATATCACCAGACAAAATATCGCGATACTATGCTGTATCGATTTTTTTCTCCCAACACTAACAGAAGTCTTTCAGGTAGATTAGATTTAAAGTTCCTAATGGTGTATTTGAGACAGTGCTCTTATGCAGTCTGCATGTTGTGTCTTGGGTAAATACACAATTTGGAGTATTTATTCCTAGAGCGCCACAGACTTCGGCACAATGCTATGTTACACATCTTTTACTGAAAACTGACCTTTGAGTAGGAAGAGATGTGACGCTACGTTTCCTCTGATCCTGACATTGATAATAATATTCATAATCAAGTAAAAAGGCTGGTTGGAGAATGAAAAGTCATGAAATGCTTGGGTGCTAAATGGGGGCATTGTGACTCCTACTAAGCCCAGTTCAACAGACCCTGCAGTGTCTCCTAACAATGACTTCTAGCAGGAATGTTTCTGTGCAGCTGTGCGCTGCTAAACCAGACACTGCCAGAGATTCTTTTCAGAGACACTCACTGTGAGCTGTGGTGTTAGTAATCGTCTAGAAATTCACAGCTTTCCACCACAGCTCTTTACCAAACTGTGAAATTATACTACCATGTTTGGTGAAACGTGATTGAATATAATCCTCTCCTTCTGTGGCAGCGACAAAAGCTTTTGTCTCTCAGTTCGTTCATTTTATTTACACAGCAGTTAACAGTTGGCATTTAAGTTATTATACACTGAACAAAGTTAAACAAGTTACTGCATAGTTTGCATTAGCTAAAGCGTACCAGCTTACTCAAGTTTATGTTCCTTTTTGTGTGATTTAATAAATAGATAAATAAATAAATACAAATTAAATAATAATATTAATAATGATAATAAAAAAACATTTTAAATGCAAACCTTTAAGTTTGAGCTCCCTTATATTATTGGACCTTAAGAGTTTAAAAACAACATGTATAGCACCTGTATAGCCTGTGTGCCAGCAGTTGATACAGTATGTTAGATGTGAATGAAAGGCAAGGCTCTACGATAAGAATTGTTATTTATGTAGTACTGCAAACATGAAGTGGAGAGGCCACTGGAGACAGTTTGAAAGAAAAAAAAGAAAAATGATACATTGAAAAGTAGATTAGAGTCCAACTGAATCTAAGCAGCTTTCCATTACTCTCAAAGATTTGACTAGGTTACTTTGCTGCATGGGTGGAGATCTTATTTGGATTAAACCAAATCAATTTTAAGGAAGTGAAGGTTTTCTGGAAAGTGAGTGTGGCAGGTTGGTACAATTCCCTCCACACACTGGCCTCTGAAAAACCGTTTATGACCAGTGGTGAAAGTACTTAATAAAGTGGCTGCTCAAGCTCTAGTACAATAAACAATTGAGGGTCTAATTTCATATAAGTATGGCTACAGTGGTAATAGGATCTGCAGTGTTAATCTGATTTCTTTGTTATGCAAAAGTATTGTCAAATTTCTCCCCCTTGTCTGCACTACCCATCAGGTTTCCATTGTACCGTTTTCGAAAGGTCATAAATGTATTTGTACATTTGAGCCCAACACTCAAGTTTGTTGTGAAAATCAAAATCTTTCTGTTATTTGCTAATAACCTAATAAAATATCAGAGTTGTAGTAAAAAGGCATCTTAATGAATAGTGCTACTCTAAGCTGCAGAAGGCCGTCCAGTTAATTTCACGTATTAACAGTTAACTTTGAGCTCATCCTTCCTATGTGACATGATATTAACCCACTCCTCTGTGTCTCTGCCCTTTCCTCCCTTAGGAAATGACCTAGAGGCCTTACAGATACATTTGTGCTTTTGTCGCTCTAATCTGCATCCGCGGAGAGCAGCGAGATCTGGAAGCACACTTGTTTCCGCGGTGAGTAATATCTACCTCAGCCAGCAGACGAGAGGGAACCAGGAAGTTGCTGGAGACTTCAGACGGGCAGACAGAGCTATCAGCTGGCCACTCGCTCACTGCCTGCAGAGCTCTGCTTCGTGAAGGGGACTGTAGACGGACTGGATCTGTCTGCCTCTCGCCACCCACTGCTACTCTACCAGCTGGTGCACAAGGAAAGCCCGAACTCTATCCTCTGATTCCAGCATTTGTTTTTGTTTTATTACCGTCGTTGTCCTCCCTGCTGTTGACCAGTGTCTCGTTTTGCTTGGATTATTTTTCTCTCAGCTTTTAAAAGAATTTTCTACTTCAGTTCGTGCAGGCTGGTAGAGGTTACTCTATGTACTTACATATGTGTACATACTATACATGCTGTGTGAAGAAGGATTTTTCTCCAAAACTGAAGGAAGGTTAGCGCACTTTACAAACTTGACTGTGGAATCACTTTAATCGAATTAAGGAGTGTTTTTGACTTTTCCCCCCTCTGATATGATCATTTTCTTTGAAGCTGGAAGCAGAGTATCTGGAGGTGTGTTACTGCGGTTTTTAAGCAGGGCCTGACGTATCTGCAGCAGGGCTGCATGCAAGCATTTCACTCAGCCTGCCAGTCTTTTTGATCACCCTCCAAACCTGACCCAAGTCTCTGCTGCCTCTCAGCAAGGCGCACTGAGATGAGCCCCTGGCAGGTGGAAGCCTTGAGCGATTTTTTAAAATAACTTGAACGGTTTCAGGACAGTTGAGTTTGTTTGTTTTTTTTTCTACAGAGGACAAGCGTACTTTGTGGAGCAAACAAACTAAAAACAGCTTCCGGTGCTGTTGCACCACATATGTATTGTTGTAGTGCGCAGGAAAGTAAAATGGACTACAAGCGTCGCTTTTTGCTCGGCGGGTCCAAGCAGAAAGTGCAACAGCACCAGCAGTACCAGATGCCTGAGCTGAGCCGGACCCTTAGCGCCTCCCTGGCCTCCTCTTGCTCAGCCTCTTCACCTATCGGCACTGGAGTGGTCATGCCCGGCGGCTGCCACCCTCCTCCTGGTGCCACCACCGCGGTTGCAGACATCCAGCAAGGCATTTCCAAATATTTGGATGCACTTAATGTGTTCTGTAGGGCCAGCGCCTTCCTCACAGACCTGTTCAGCAGCGTGTTCAGGAACTCTCACTATTCCAAAGCAGCTATGCAACTGAAGGACGTGCAGGAACACGTCATGGAGGCGGCCAGCAGGCTGACTGCAGCAATAAAGCCTGAGATCGCCAAGATGCTGATGGAGCTGAGCGCCGGGGCCGCCAACTTCAAAGACCAGAACGACTTCAGCCTGCAGGATGTTGAGGTTGGTGCGCACACAGAAACACAACATCTCACTACAACAACTTAATGAAGTCATTTGTGTACTGAAATATGTCACACTGTGTTGACTTAAGTGAGATAAAAGTCTCATGACTGTCTCCTGTCTGCCAACAGACAAAAAAAATATTGACATTCATCCACACTGTTTGCTATCCTGGAAAGAATTAGTCAAGCCCACAACCTGAGGCACAGAAGTGAGGAAGAGAATTGATCACATTCACTTAAACATGACTGGTCCTCTAGCTGTAGTGCTAAGATGCTTAGCTGCACAGTGGCAGAGGCCTGGCTGCATGAATCAGTGTTTCCTGGCTCTAACAAGATTCTCACGCCCAGTGTTGAGCTAGTGTCAGGATCTGAGGGTGAGGTGTGAAAAACACTGAGGATGTGAGAAGAAAAGTCATCTTTTGTCACTGTGGACTCCACACCATCTTTCCAATACACTGAATCTGCTGATGTGAGAATGTGCATTTGGAGCAGAGGTGTTTTTTTTTTCTTCTTTGCATGGGGGTTTAGAAGAGGATTCAGACAAGAATTCACCTAATAACCAAAGGCCTAACTTTGATGTAGGGTTCATTATCTGTCTGTCTTAAATTCCTTTTGAATGCTTTCGTCTCTGTTTTGGATGTTTTTGTTTGTCTTTTGTCACAGCTGATTCCTCTGAATTTCTCAGACATACACCTGTGTCCAACCAATTAATTCCAGTCTAGTGAATCTGTGGTTTCCACTGCTAAAGAACTGAGTCTCAGTGTTTTATAGAGAGATGAGAAAACCCATGGACATATAATAGGAGCATGTCTCACAGTCTTTTGAAGAAGCAGCCAGCAGCAATTATACCTGTGTGTCCTATATCCCATGTACAGACCCCTCCCCCTCCCCACCTTTCGTCTGGGTCGTCACACAGGTCAGGTCAGGAGGTTCATGAAGCCAGATTGGGTAACACATACTGAGACAGTTAAAGCTGTACTTAAACATGGTTTGTTTTAGATAGGTGCCTCAAACAGATCCAGACCCGGTCATTCAAAATAAACAACAGATGTTTTTTTTTCTTCTTGCGATGTAAGAATCCTTATTTGAAAGTTGTTATGAATGTCTTCAACAAAGGTTTAGTAGAGGAATTCATTTGTCTCCCAGGTGGTGCCCTCAGTATCAAGATTGTGTGTTTTCAGCTGTACACCACACCCATGCAGCCCCAGGCCCAAATCAGTCCTTCAAATGGTTACTACATCTGCTTATTTATCTTCTTGTTAACAAATAGATATGGACATGTCAAATGCAAATAAATAAAAACAAGCTTTCATTAATACTCAGAATGTAAAACATTTAAACAGGTGGAGCTGTTAAAGCATATAAGTTATATTCACACTTTTCAGTCAATCAGACAAAGTCTAAGCTACTGTCTCCAGCTGCTGCCAGTTTGGTTGCAAATTAGGGCTGAGCGATAAACCGAAAATTTACCAATACTGAAATTTATGACAAAAACTGATGTCATTTTGCCCATGTCAGTATATAAGGTGTCAAAAAAATAAATAGATAAAAGTTGGTTTTGGATGTGTGTAGGTAGGCTATGGTCTCATGTCCCTTTCAAGCTTGTGGAGTAGTTATCATCCATTTATTGTTTTCGATGTAAACTGTTCAATATATAGTGATATTGATTTGAGGCCATATTGCCCTGCTCTATTGCAAATATAAAGTTAGAATGCCAAGATCAGACTACATGTTAGAAGTTATATCCTGATCCAGCAGATGTAGAGTTTTAGTACCTGTCAGCCTTAAAAAAATGATCATTTATCCTGCGTAGTGTGTTATAATGAACGACAATCAAACCCGCATCTAGGACGCCCCACAAACACTCGACAGGAAGTTTTGCATGCGTGATTTTTCTTTCTGCCGTCTACATCTGTGATGTTGATCAGTGAGATCACAGAGCGCTCTGCATCCTCCAGAGTCATAATAGTAAACAAACAAAGCAGCAGTAGAAGAATGATGGAGTTGGTGCTGTGAGGTGGAACCATGAGACAGAGAGAAAAGTTTGTGGAGTTCTGGCAACTTGACAAACATCCCCGCCTTTACGATGATGTGTCATTGAGAGATGTCCATTACAGGCTGAAACAAAAAGAGAAACAGCAGATGCATTTCAACAGTGTTTTCTAGCGCAGCCACTCTTCCTTCCAACATCATTACATCAGTTGTGATGATTGTTTGGGTACCACCTTGTCATCTGTCATGTCTGTCACTACAGTCGTGGCACAAACTTATAACTCCGGCCCAGTCTGACACAGTAACCCCTCTAACATCATGGAGTCTGAACTGATCTCAGCATTAGGAAGGAAGGAAACGAGAAGAACACAAGACTGATGATCTCCTTTAGTTGACAGACGGTACCTCTGATGTTTGGAATAATTTGAGGTTTAGGAGAGAGACATACTACAAACACAGACGCAGGGCTAAACTATTACAATAGTGGGAAGAAACTAAAACTGGAAGCTTATAATAAAATATTTGTTGGTACCGATCTATTATGTTATCTTAAAATTGAGCAAAATAAGCACAGTCTCTCTGCAGACATCATCTCCAGCAGTCATGGTATCTCTCTTCCTATTTTTACTTTTTAAGACACACATCCTTCTAAATATTGGCCGAACCAAGGGCAACTGCAGATTATAACCAGTGAAATCTTCTCCTTCTCTGCCCTGTAGTCAGAACCACTATCACATTTTGAGTCTTTGCTTTCGATCAAATGTCAGTAATACTCTTCAAACACCTCTTCACAACACAGATTTCTTTGTCATTCCCAGTATAGTTGATCAGCCAAGGCAAGACAGTATCCCATTCATGCTTTTGTGTGTTAAAACACTTCCTTAAGTCAGAAACTAGGCTCAACTCTGATTCTGTAATCCTTCAGCATGTAGCAGCTCGTGGGTACGTGACTGTGTCCAAGACACTGGTGGGGTAGCAGGACCTCAGTGGATGTGGCTGATCCTGAAACAGGAAACACTTCTGCACCGCAGTCAGTAAATCTGACTCTCTGTGGTCTGGGACATGCACAGATGAATATTAGAGGAAGCCCAAGTCTGTGAAAGTTTAAACCGCACGGTTTGGCACACATTCGCTGTCTGGCCCTGGGTATAAAGGGTACGTTTTATAAAGGAAGAGAAGAAAAAGCATCAATACTTTCCTTACAATGGCCTTATTTGAGTATGCATTTTGATTTACCCTGAAAGGAAAACATTGTGCATACACACTATTATTCTAGTCTAAGGAATAGAAACGTGCCTGTTACCTGTGGACAGAAAATAGTGGGGGAAAAGGAAGTAGTTGGTGGGTTCTTTGTATCTCAAAAGATGTTTTTATTCCTCGTAAAGCACCTTCACAGTATGATTTGAAACAGATTTACTGCTTTTATTGTTGAGTCAACAGTTTCCTAGGCTTATAAATTAATATCTGCACTAAGCTCTGTGTATGCAAACTTGTTTACACCAAGCTTTTACTAATTACTTCACATTCAGACTGGCCCTTACAATGTGATGGATGTGTTTCTGTAAAAGGGATTTTCCTTTTGTCTGCTTGAGTTGAGGAATGCTGCTTGGCAGCAGGATGTTATGAGGTATTGAAAAAGACCCAAATGCATTTCTGAGTTTGGGGAGTTGTGGTATGTGAAGCTTTCCCCCTTTTTTTCCCCCCTAACTCATGTCTCCCTCTCCTCTCCCCCCTCCTCTTTTTCTTTTAACCCAAACCCTCCTAAAGTTCAGGTCAGTGCAGTCTGCAAAACAAACCAATCAGAGTCCGGCTCTCTGGCTGCTCACAGAGACTCCACTGCCAAATATGCATGAAAATGTCATGGTTTGTTTAGAGGCAGATTGCCGAGCTAGTAAGTTTGAACCACAGAGAAAAGACCAGAGGCAGACAGAGAGGTCCAGAGAGAGCTTCATGACGGCTCACGTTAGACAAATGCATGAGGCTTCCCAGCAAACCCCACTGCAGACTGGAAACACGCTGGAAAAACAACCCCTTGGTCATAAGCTGTTAAAAACACCCTTGGCGTCAGTTATATTTAGTCACTGTATTCTTCATGAAATGCAGTCATAAAGTGTGAGGACTCGGTCTAATTGCAGGGCAAACATCATGCAGTTATTGTTAAGGTTATTTTGATTTTCTGCTGTGACTCGGTTATGATTTAAAGATACAAAGTTATAGAGGAAAAACATGAGGCAAACAGAAAAGGACATCAAACTTACTTCATCATTTTAATTTGAACTTATGGTTTCTGTGACTCACGGCTCTAATAAACATCTGAATGGAAAGCAGTTTTACATTTGGCAAACTAAACTCCAAAACTCTACCGAAAAGAATACAAAGAAGACTGTAGGAGTGATGTTCCCCTGAAAGGGCCTCATACAGAAGACTTCAAGATGAGTTTCTCAAAAAGAGCTTGATTCATGTTTGGCATGGTGGTCACTCTTGGTACTGCAGCAAAATGGAGCTGTGGACAAACTTTAGAAATTAATTACACAGAATATAAAATTTTCTCCCCTCTGGTTGCGATGTTGACATGTAGTTATTGTAAGACTGGTTTGTGCTCAAGTCCTCTTTTTTTCTGTGCAGCTCCATTTTAAAAAATTATTTGGGAGTTCATGTTTTCAATGATTGACACTTGATACAACCTATGGGCATAAGGAGATTGCGTAGCTCGCCCGGGGGATACACTGCCTGAGTGTCATCACAGCACATTTGGTCTGTAAGAAGAGACCATGTAAATCACAAGAAAAACTCCACACAGCACCTCTTAAAAATCTGTAACCACAGAAAAAATACATGTACGAGTGATCAGGTCAAGGAAATGCTCGCATAGAGAGTACTTTTCCGTATTTTTTCTGAGGATTACAGGGAATAGAGGGGTCCAGAAAAAAAGATGTGAACCAGCAAAAAACGAAGATAAAACACTGACATTTAAAACCAAGATGGGCTTTTTTTTTGTTTCATAAACTGTTTTTTTTTCTTTTTTAACAGACTAAACCGCACGCAGGACCTAACAGTCTTGTTAGTTTAACAGGATCAACCTCCTTTTCCCCCAGAAAAGCTCTAGATCTCCGAGAAAACCGCTTTCCTAGATTTGGTGCCCTAAAAGAGGAGGTGTTCTTCGAAAATAGAAGTACAAATGTTGATTGATTCATGAGTCCTTGTTTGGGCTTTAGAGGGGCTCAGTGTCTGCTTGGCTCTGTTGTGCTCTAATTTCTCATATTTTCCATGACTGTGCGGGATACTGCACAGCCAATCACATGTGTTATCCATTATCTGCTGCTGCAGCCATGGCCTCATTTTTTTGTCCTCTTGGTTGTAGAAGTCAACTCTGTAATACTTTGAGCTGCATTTTATCTCAGAGTTTTATGTTTGTTGTTCAGGGTATTTGGTGATTATTAAGACGTGCTGCAGGTGGTATCAGTTGGCATCACGCTGAATACAGACAGGCTTGAAGTGTGAGCTGGTATCTATTGTTTGTCTACTTTGAAAACACACTAAACCTCTTGTAACTGATGAAAGTATAAATACTTGCTAAACATCCACAGCAGAGGCAGGAATTTCCCATCTTGTGCACGCTGGACTTGAGCCTGTGTTTATCGAGCCTCCAATCACTTCAGTTCAGACCGAAAGATCTCAATGACTATTTGATGGATTACTACAACACTGTGTACACATAGTCATGGTTTCCAGAGTCAAAGCCCTGCTGACATCTGGCTTCTTTGCTAGCTTCACCATTAGATAGTAAAAAAACTTTACCAGGTTGTATCAACTTGATTTATTGGCTTTTTAATGTGATGACCTGTTGAAGTTAAATTATCCTTCCTGTGACTCATAAAATACAACGATTATCATTCCAGCTTCAACTCATCTTTGAGTGGAGAGCTAATTAGCCAACGTTGGCATGCTAACACACTGAACTAGGGAGGTGAATGTCTCTCCTGCAAAACAATAACATCATCATGTTGGCATCATCTGCTGCATGATGCATGAAGCTGGAAGCACCACTGTAGCCTGAAGCAGCCTGAGCGAGCTGGTTTTGTGGCTGTAGACTGTTAGTCATATTTCTCTGAAAATGCGCTGTTTATTATTCTTATTTAAACGGCATACCATGGAGTCTGTGAAATGAAATCAGGTGACGTTTGACCATATTATGCGTTTACTGGCCAGGAAAGGTATTAAATAGTAGACAGTACTATAGAGCAGTGGTTCTCAAGTCCAGTCGTCGAGGTCCAATGTCCTGCATGTTTTGGATGTTTTCCTGCTCCAACACACCTGATTCAAATGATTAGCTCGTTATGTAGCCATTACAGAGCTTGATAACGAGCTGATCATTTGAATCAGGTGTGTCGGAGCAGGGAAACATTCAAAACATGCAGGACAGGGGGGCTCAAGGAATGGACTTGAAAACCACTGATCAAGAGTATCTATAATAGATAGTAGGGCTGGGTGATAAAGCGAAAATTTACCAATACCGAAATTTACAACAATAACCAACGTCATTTTGCCCATGTCAATATATTCGGTATCTAAAAAATAAAAAATAAAAGTTGTTTTTGGATGGGTGTAGGTAGGCTATGGTCTCGTGCTTTTAAGATGCCGTCTTATGTCAGAGACGTGACTCCACCCCCATCCAGTCCCAAAGATGGGAAAGACAGGTGTGGAGATGGAGGTGGCTGAATTAGACAACGTTAATATGGGAGGGGGTGAGCAGCTTGTGGAGTAGTTATCGTCCATTTATCGTCATCGAGGTGAACTGCTCAATATATCGTGATATTGATTTGAGGCCATATCGCCCAGCCCTAATAGATAGTCTCCCTTCGTAATACACAGGACCTAGCAGATTTCTAGATTATGCTTAAACCCACGTGACACGTCGATGAAAAGTATTTTTCCCTGATGTACAATTACAAGAGACTCAAGTCAGTTGGTTTTAATCGTTTTATATTAGAGTACATTTTTTGACCTGTCATCATCAGTAAAGGGAGGAAAACACCCTTACCATAATTTCTACTTTGCCTTGCTCACAAAGCTTTTGTCATGCAGCAAGCTCTCTGAATCAGCAAACATACATGTGCCTGGATCTTAGGACGGGTCACTGTATCTCCTCTTAGCAAAGTTACTCTTTAATAACACCTTATGTGAGGAGATACACAAACCCAAATCCTGTGGGTATAAAAGCAACAGTTTTAGGCTAACAAAGAAGGTTTGTGGAGTAAGAGAGCCTCTTCTGTCCCCCTCTTCTCATGCATTTTTCAGTGTTTGTATCGGAGGGCAGTTCATTTGTTGCTCATGACAACGTATTGCCTGAGGAAAATATTTATATACACAGTAGCTAATAAAGCAAACCAAAAACTGCTATTCTTATGGGTGTTCAAGTAGTTTATTTGGAATATTAATAGGGATACTGCAAATAATTGGGCTATTACTTCCTTTCAAAGACTTGGCAGCAGCAATGGCAGTCATTTTGGGGTACTCTACTTTTAATTTGACAGGGGATATTATAGGAGAGGAAATGAGGATAAAGAGAGGGGGGATAACCTTCAAGAATCCAGTCCAAATCAAACTGGTCATGTTGTGAATCAAAATAAGTACAGGAAGTGTCCTAACTACCTGGCCACCCTATTTGGATTCTTGGTGCCACATAGAAATAATAATAGCCCATCAACTTCTTCCAGAGTGTTTTCATGAAACTCCACAGAGTCAAAGCAGTCATTAAAGTTCCTCCGTCATGACTCAAACACACAAGAGGACGATGAATTTGCCGTCCCATCCTGTTGTGTACTTGCTAAGAAAACAACAACCTCCCAAGTTTTATGCCTGTTAGTCACTCGACACAGTTGTCCTCTGCTAAGTGTGGCGATGAAGAATGAAACTGGCTGTGTCCTGTCCTGTTGTTCCTGTCTGCCGTCAGAACGCAGCAGCATATTTCTGTCTTTACAACTCAGCTTCCCCCTCGAGATATTTTCAGCAGGTACCTGAAAAAGAAAACCCTGTGACCGTGGCAGATCCTGTGGTGTCTGGTTTCTCTTATTTTGCTAACTGGACAACAAACGGCCTCCAAAGCTGACCTATTCTCTCACCTCACAAGCACCCAGTGGATGTGGAACAAAATGTGTTGCTTTAAAAGTTTTATGTTTGTACAGATATTTAATTAGTGCTGTGAAAGTTGAAATAAAACACTTGGTTTTAATGCTGTTTTCTTGCTTAATAAGAGTAGATAATTAAACTTCTCAACTTGAGCACACTATCGCTTAAATAAGAATCTACAAAAACTTTGATAAAACAGATTTTTAGTGGTTTTCAAGTTATTTAAACCATGTACATAATTAAGAATACTGCAAAGACAACCTACCAATCGTAAAACTGAAAGATTTTAGAGTTTTATTTTTTTTAAAAAAAGCACATTTGAATTTTGATGCCTGCAACCACTTTAGAAAAGTTTGGTTAACAACAACAAAATAGTGAACATGTTGTGTAATATTTGAAAAAAAAAAAAGGCCAACACTACATGATTATTAGGGCCTCAGGCTTTAAGATGGACTCATGCTTGCGTTGAATTTTCCTGAATACTTTGACACACGCTCACCCAACTTGTTGCAGAAATTCACCAACATGCTGACTGAAAAAAAGTCCTAATTATTTTGAGATAAAATGTAAGATGTTCACTTTCACATCTTTAGCCCACCCCAGTAAATTTGAGGAGGTTTTAGACATCCTTGCTTACAAGCAAACAGCTTGAGTTTGTACCCTGTGCTTGAATTAAAATCAAGAATGTTATTTTTTCCACCACTAAATTGGGGAAATCCAATAATCTGAGGATAGCTGAAAGCTGGCTTGAGTTCATTGGACTGCACTGAAACAGTGTATTATTATTATTTGATAATGATAAAAAAAAACTTGCTTTGCCTTTGCTACACAGTGTTATTATTGTGTTTATAGATTACCTACAGTTCAACTCTGTCACTATTTTCCTGTTTTTTTTTTCCAGTCATTAATGTACCAAAAGCTCAAAGCGATGAATCAGTGTATCAACAGAAGTAGATATTCCATATTGTTTTTGAGTTTCCACCCCAGCCTGCAGTTTTCCTCTCAGTCTTCGCTACACTGAGACACATCTTTCTCCTCTCCGTCTGTTTTCAAAGACACACACACATTGACGTTTATATTCAGCCCAATATGCTCTCCATCTGTCTCTACTCACAAACACAAATACACAACCTTCTTGTTCTCCGTCGTTTGATGTAAATATACAGCTCACAATTAACCACAAATGCAAACACATGCACATTTAGCTGAGACCTGCCCTTGAAAGATGTTTCATTTTAAGAGATGCTGTTCTCTCTGATCTGCTCCTCATGGCCCGTCCTTGGCCCTCCGCTGTTTTGGTTCAGAAGTAACTTTCCTATTATGGTATCTGCTGATGGAGGAATGGGGGACATCCTTATCTTCTCTTTTTGTTTGTTTTATATTATTAATTTTATTACCATTGAAAGGAGCAGAACAAAGATCATCTGCTGATAAAGTTCATGTGATCTGGTAGCAAAAACAAAAGTGATGAAGGAGTCGACCTCTCACTGACTCCACATTATTTTATGAAAACACTGATTGTACTGAATAAAGTATTTAAAATTAACACACTGGGATGTTTTTCAAAGAAAATGTTTTGCCTGAAACACAATGTTTATTTTGGACACGAGAACAAGGTGTAGATTCTGATTTTTTTTCATGAGTTTTGTAGTTATTTGTTGCTGTTGAATTCTGTGAACCTGGAAACATGACGTATTTGAGCAGAGACAGTGTTTTCTTACCTTTATGTATTGTGTAATTTGCTGGTAAAGTAGCTCAGGAATTCAATGACACAGTGCGTTAACTGATCACTGAGGCATGTGGATGTTCATGTTAGTTTTGTAGCCTGCAGGCAGCCATGTTGTTTGGTGTCTGGAACACACTGACTTAGCTGCTCAAGCATGTAAAGAATGACAGTGACGTACTGCGCGGTGTTGTGACAGTAATATGTTGTCATGTCTCTCCAGGTGCTGGGTCGGTGCTTCCTCACGGTCATGCAGGTCCATTTCCAGTTTCTATCACAGGCTCTGCAGAAGGTCCAGCCTGTTGCTCAGTCCTGCCTGGCTGAGGCCCTCGCCCAGGCACAGGAGCGCTGCGCCAACGCCCGCTCCCAAAGCTCTGATCTCGGGCCTCTCACCGAGCTGGAGGAAGCCTCTCGCTCATGGAAGGGTGCAGCTCAGGTATGCAGCCGCTGGGCGCCTCAGGACTCTTCCTGGTCTGGATCTTGGAAATATTGTGTCTGTCTGTGCGAGGTGAAAAGCAGACTTGTCGCACATTCCTGAGAAATGCCAGCAGTTTATGATTTCCAGCCCCAATTTCCTATTTCCTCTTTTCTGTCTGTGAACCTGCAGTGTTAAGTTCTGTACCTCTCTTAACCCCGACTCATGTAGGGGAGGCGGTTTTGTAAGAGGACCTGTCTAATCCCCAGGCTAATCAGCCCCACTGGCCCATTTTGAGCTGCGCTGAATAAAGTGAAGCAGAGAGGAGAATAGTGGGTTGATTGATCTGTTAAGCCCTGGCATGCAGAGAGTTAGCCCGGGGGGGGGGATTGGGCCTGGATGGACCCTGATATAATGTTCTGGCTGGGGGGTGAGGCAGAGCGAGGCTGCCAGCACTCTTTTTCAAAAACTCTGCAGTTTCTTTTTACAGTGGTACGCCCCAGGTCTTGGACTCTCTGCTTCGTCAAAACCTTTATGTTTTAGTGAGATTTCAGCAGAACGAAATTCCTGTCGAACTTCACGGAAAACACCCTTCATTTGAATCGTACTCGGTGCATCCTTGTGCGCAGAAACCTTTACGAAATTCTGGTCATCTTGATTCACATCACAGTCTATTCATCCTCCTGTATTTCTTGCATTTCACCATGAGAATGAACTGCAGTAGAGTCGGTGTTCCTGCTGTGTTTCTAACTGTGTACTCTGACTGCGCCCTCAGGCTATGGCCAGGCTGAGGGAGAGGGGCCGGGACGGCTGCCTGGCAGGCATCCAGGTTCAGCAGCTCTTCTGCTCCAACAACACATCCATCCCTGAGCACCAGCTGAAGGAGCTCAACATGAAGATTGACAATGCTTTACAGGTGAAATATCTCCTCAAACACCAGCCGAGGGATCTAACCTCTGAGATATACAACATAAACAAAAGTATAACTTTAAAATCAGTCAGTGTAAAGTTTAATCTTGTTCACAGTGGAAAAAGAGAACAATTCATTCATGAAGTGTTGTGTTAGGAGAGTGAAATACTTAAATGTCTTGAACTGGATGATGAAAACAGTGTTGAACTGGTTTCCCGCTATCTCTAGGCCTACAAAGCAGCACTGGAGAGCCTGGGCCATAGTGAGTACGCACTAAAGGCCGGCTTTCATCTCAACCCTAAAGCTGTGGAGGCAGCCTTGCAGGTGGGTTCACTCTGAAAAACTCAGTAAAAACCCTGAAAGATTGATCACATTATGAGTAATTCAGTGGTGTTTGTATCATTTATTGATTCTCATGTGTTAACTTGCTTATTTGTGTGTCTGTGTGTGTGTTCAGGGTTGCTGCAGTGAAGCTGAGGCCCAGCAGGCAGGTCGGATGCAGACCACCTCCCAGCCCATCCAGTGCGAGCTGCCCACCATCCCAGTACAGATCGGTTCACATTTTCTCAAAGGAGTGTCCTTCAACGAGTCAGCGGCTGATAACCTCAAACTGAAAACGGTAAATATGTCCCAGACTGGACGGGCAAGCTTCATGCTGCATCTGATACTCTTGAGATTAAAACCACAAGTATGAAGTATTTATCCCTCAGCAGATACTGTGTTCTCGGACGAGTGTGTAGTCCTCGTTGTTTGACATCAGCAGGCAGTGAACACAGACTGCTTTTGTGGATGAGCCTCCATGTTTTGTCCCCTCAGCACACGATGCTCCAGCTCATTAAGGAGGCGCTGGGCCAGAACGGAGTGAGGGACGACTCTCCCGTCACCGAGGTCCTCAACCAAGTCTGCCCATCCAGCTGGAGAGGAGCCTGCAAGACAGCTGTTCAGCTGCTGTTTGCCCAGGCTGGTCTGGTGAGTGGAGACGTTAATGACAGAACAGGGTTGATTTTTCCTGTGCGTTTGTTAGAGGTGAACACGAGAAAAATCAAACTCCTTCTCTTGTTTTGAGTCTGTTTTTATATTAAAAAAAAACATTATGGATCCATTATGTTAATATGCATTGATTAGCATAAGTCGGTTAACTTTTTCTGCATGGATTTCATACATGTATTTGACAAAAGAACTGGTAAAACAGGAGGTGTAGGTTTTTCTGTAATCCAGATCATGCTCTGACCTGCTTTCTTCACATTTCTCAGCGCGTGAAGGAAAGTTCTCCTCTGTATCCTCTCTCAGTATTTCGCTCTTGCTAACATCCATCAACACAGTTTAGTTGATACTAGAGATTAGGAGAAAGGTGACGGCATGCTGATGTGACGGCAGGGCCTGTTGTTCCTCACTGACACTTCTGCTTAGGTTACAGACTCGTCTCCTTTTGTGTGTCTGTGGGTTTGGCAACCTGCATCTCATTGTTTATCAGATTTGTAATGGAGATGAGGAGATCTGTCCGCTCGCTTTGAGGCGGCCCAGAGGTGTAAACAAACACCAGAGACACACAAAAGGAAAGAAACATTCCTGCAGCATCTGGGTGAAGGATGGGCTCGCCTGGGTGGGTCTGCAAACAGAGACCCCCTCCCTCTTCTGTTGAAAAGAAGAGCTGGAGGGAGGGAGGGAGGGTCAGCAGAGGGACTCTCCTCAGAGTAACACCAGCGTGTTTATGCTCGGCTGTTTATTTCCTCTGTGTGGTCTGTCCTGCTCCGTGTGTCAGGCTGAGGGAGTGTTCCCATCCAGCTCTGCCGGCCCCCGTGCTAACTGTAAAACAATCTCCGGGTGACGGACGAGCGCTTTGCATTAGCTCCCTATCTGAGCTTATGGCCTCCAGGCTCAAAATAGATCACACAGCAGAGCAGAGAGCATGGACAAAAACACACTCACATGCAAAGTATCTTCTCTACACTCGAAAAAGCTTGCATGCACACATTCCTTCATTAGTCATACACTATTCATACCTCTCTCCACTCAGTCTTTCCATCCTCTGTTTTCTTTCTTTCACACCCACACACAGCACTGACAGTCAGAATCATCAAACATGATCTCTTCTGTTGTCTCTCCTGAAAGCATCATTTTCCAGCAACTTCTTTTCTTTCCCCTCTTGTCATGGCTTTCCAAGAGCAGCGAAAGAGTCGACCCGGTCTGCTGAGCTGCTGTTCCTCCTCCTTCCTGCCCTCCATGACCCTGTCATATGTGTTTTGATACGGTCAACAAACTGTGTGTATGTGTGCGCAGTTCGCTCACATGAGCAGCCCGGGGTTTCCGAGGATACACCTGCTTTTTAACAACAATAGAGTTACTTCCTGCAATAGAGGAAATAGGCTCCTCCCACCTCGTCTCTCTCATGGTGACCCAGTTGCGTGGGTCTCGAGGAGCCAAGGCCACTTTCAAAGAACTCTCAAATAAACGTGGCCGTCAGCAGGCAGGAAGGCGAGTCTATTTGTTGTCAGTGACTGTTGAATGTGTCCAGTTTCCTCACCTTGAACCGTCCTCTCTGCTTGTTGGAAACATAATGACAGACGAAAGTGGAAAAAAAGCTTTTGCTTGTAGCGATTTTTCCATGTTGGCATGGCTGGTAAAAAGGCAAAATCTGACTTCTTTGACGTATTTTACAGGATCGAACCAGTTTGAATGAGTAAACAGACAGTAAAACGTTGACCTTGATGATAGAGTTCATAAATTTGATAGATACTCATGCAGGTGTGTTTTTTTTTTCCGTCCCTGCAGGTGGTTGTTGATACAGCTCAGATTGAAAACAAGGAGGCCTACGCTCCCCAGATCACTCTGGAGGGATCGAAGGTGGTGGTTCAGGTCCCCTCTACATGGTAAGTAGTGGTGGGCGATATAGCCTCAAAATGATATCATGATATTTCAAGGTAATGATAATGATATTTAAAGTAAATTTCAGAACATATTAGTGATTGTTGTTTTTTTATACTTTTACTGGTGTTAAAAAGAGGTTAAATTATGAAAATAAATTCAGATTTTCCATACAAAAACAGGACAGGAGTTAGTAAGTCCCCTGTAAAAGTTTGACAACATTGACAACATTAGCTCCGTTGTCTGTTGTTACATACACATCTGTTTGTCTTCTTGTAGATTTCATGACTCAAGAAACTCCCTTAATCTACTCCCAATAGTTTCTCCCATGTGATCCTTGGGAAAGTATCAAGATAGTAGTTGTGCAGCTTCTAGTTGTTAGCCTATGTAATGGACCGTCGGGCTGATATAGGGTTTGGAGCTTCGGCTCGATCATGTCAGCCGTACAGGCGGTTTTTTTTATAAGGTGTTTATAAAGTATAAAGTGCCTTCCTTTGGCTGAATTAGCTTCATGTCTTTGGCTTAACAATACGTGATCGCTTTGGTGATGTCCCGCCACCATCTGTTTTTTAAATTTTTTTTTTTTATTGTACGGAGTGCAATGAGTGCTCCCGCAAGGCTCCGTTTAGCCATTTGTTTACTTTTACTCTTAACACCAGTAGCTGCTTTCACATCCTCATCATGTGCCTTCAAAGCCTGCTGATATTAAGCTGTGTGTTTTAGCTTTAAGTAGTAAAACGCATTAGCTGTGTTAGCCAAACCACATCCACACCGCACCACAGAGGTAGAGGTGTGGTAGAAGTTGACACTGCTGTGCTGCTCTTGTGTATGCAGTAGGGAACGTCATTAATCATTGCGTCCCTACGGTGTAAATACCTCAATATGAAAAATTTACAGTGCTCAGCATAAATAAGTACACTCCTTCAGAGTTGTCAGAAAACCTTAAGTTTCCTTTCAAAATCAACATTTTCTATGTCATACTATACAACAAAATACTCCCCCAAATGTAGGCCATGGTTTGCAAACAAGATTTTTTAAGTTGCATACAAAAAAGTATATTTTTCCATTTAAAATCAGGATGCAAAAATGAATACACCCCAATCAAAGTTTTGGTAGCAAAGCTAAATTATAGTTACCATATCACCCTTATTTTCATCTTGTGGTAAATAAAATGTTATGTTAGACAAAGCTTTGTCAAAACTTTGAAAATTGTACTTTCGCTCATCTAGATATTGAGTAATACATTACTTTTAATAGGGGGTGTACTGACTTATGCTAGGCACTGTATATCACCAAAAAAGTACACCGGTATTACCGTACATGGTATGATGTGGCACACCCCTAATGGCAAGCAGATCATTTTTGTAAAGATGCACACTGAAATGTTGACATTTCATGGAGCTCCTGTTAGTAAGCTGGTCAGAGGCAATATTTGGCTGCTTTAATAATGCTCACACCAGTTTGTGTTTGCCGTCTCAGCCAGAGCAGGAAAACTGTAATATTCTTAAGAGGATTATGTATGATTCAACAGCATGATTATTATACAAGTGCAGAAACATACAAGTATATTTGATCCTGTGGCTTTGTGCACACAACAGGATACATGTGTAGCAGAGTGAAAAGATAAGTAGCACATGTAGATCTGCAGTAAACAAGCAGAGCTGACCGATTAGAGAGACAATGACAGTGTTTGTTTCTGGTTCATGGCTCCAGTGTACACAGAAAAGGCTTCCCCAAAAAAGAGAAAGGATGTAAGACTGTCTGTTTGTTGACCAGATCCTTATCTCCTCCCTTTATTTTTGGGATGTGGACACCAGTTCTTGAGTACACACCGGCCTTTCAGCACCCATGCTTTAACTGTTCTTCAGTAATACCAAACTAAGGCACTCTTGGTAGCAGATCCTGAAATAATCCCTTTCGCATGTTACTTAAACAACAGGCTTTATCCTCTGTGCTGGTTTCTCAGGCAGACTTAGCATTCAGACAAGGAGACTTGTTTTTAATTTCCATCTCTGAGCTGCAAAGACATAAAAAAGAGGCATCACAGTAAATCTAAACCAGTCTACAAGCTGAAAGAAGAATATCAGATATCACATATTCATCTTTTCAGAACACGCACCTGGAGCTTTGTTTGTGAGACAATGAACTGTACTTGTAGTTCATGTCTTGTCCTGTCTTGCTGTGTGAATGTGTGTTTGTGCAGGTGTCTGAAGGAGGACCCGGCCACCATGTCCCTGCTGCAGCGGAGTTTGGACCCGGAGAAGACACTCGGTCTCGTAGATGTGCTCTACACAGCGGTGTTTGACATCAACAGGTGGAAAGAGAGGAAGTGAGTGAATGCTTTCTTTCTGTCTCTGCGATGTTGTACCTGTGACACTTGTTGTCCTTATGACACACACGCGGTCCCAGATGACAGTCCTTGTTGTTTTTGGTGTATTTGTAAAGAGTTGGTAGAAACCAGACTATTGCACCAATAAGGCTGTGTTCACACTGCAGGTCAATTCCGATTTTTTAACCATATGTGACACAAATCTGATTTTTTCGTGTAAGTGTGAACAGTGCACTTCAATTTTTTTCTAATCCGACCCAGGCCTCTTTTGTATGTGGATATAAATCGGATATGTATTCGATGTGACTGGACGCTTAGGTCGCATTCATCCGACCTATACGTCATCAATATGCGACAAACGTCACCATCGTTCGACAACACAAACAGGCGCGGAAAGCAATGGCGGACTAGGAAACGGAGAACAGCCAGTTGTGCACATGCGGGCCACTTCACAGAAAAATTCCGTTCACATTGGATGCCGCATTTGTTGTTGTAATGTGAACGACTGCACAAAAAGATCGGATTTAACAAAAATCTGAATTGTGCATCATAACCTGCAGTGTGAATATAGCCTAAGTTTATGAAAAGAAAAAAAGTCACCACCTACTGGGTTATTGATGAGTCATTTCAGCAGTTTTTGTGGCAGAGATTTTAAACAAATGTAGTTCTGGTCTCCCAGTGATGATTTGCTGTTTCCCTTCCTGGTTCATGACAGTAAATTATGAGTCTGCAGCGTTTGGAATCTGTTTTACAAAAGATTTCAATTAAATTTCAATTTATAGACTTTGTTTTACAAATTTGTGTCATGTTATTTTATTTAGAAAATTGACAAAAGTATTGTTAATGAATTATCAGCAGTCTCTTGAATAATGAAGACCATCGTTAGATGCTCACTCACATCAAGTCTATTTAAAATTGAAGAACTGAACCAAGTGAGCCAAGCTGTCCTTCAACAACAGTAGTAGTTTTCATGGCTGTGGGGATTTCTTGAAACACAAAATAACTGGATGCTTGTTTTTTCTCTTTTCCTCTCCAAAGAGAACAAGCTCTGCCCACCATTCAGATACAGCTGCAGAGGGAGATCCCAGACTACGGCAGCCAGGCAGACCTGACTCCAGGCACCAGCTCAAAGACTTCCAGCGGACTGCCCAAAACAATATCCAAGCTGACTTCCAAGTTCACCAAGAAGGTCTCATCCAGCTCCAATAGCGGGGGCAGTTACTCCATCCCCAATACCCCATCTCGCAGCATGCTATCATCCAGCAGCTCTGAGGAAAAGGCCAAGAGCCTGGGCCACAGCGACGGGAGGATCCAGAGCATCCTGCAGATGAGCACCTTGTCCTGCACCCCCGACTCTCCTCAGCAGAACCAGCTGGCCAACGGTTTGGTGTCGGAGGATCAAGGGATGAATCTGCCCACCGACCAGGAGATGCAGGACGTCATCGACTTTCTCTCAGGTTTCAATATGGGAAAATCTCAGCAGGCCTCGCCTCTGGTCAAGAGGAGGAACTCTGTGGCGTCTGCAAACCCAGCTGAGCTGAAGCCCCCGAGCGGACCTCCACCCACGTCCCAGTCAATCTCTCTGCAGCCCCCTGCTCAGACCCTGCCCCAGCCCCAGCCTCAACCCCAGTCTCAGTCTCAGCCTCCACCATCTGTGCAGAAGCAGCAGCCTCAGTCTCAACCGCAGCCACCTCCCCCTCCACCTCCACAGCAACAACAGCCTCAGCAGCAGCAGCAGCCCCCTCCACCTCCGCCCCAGCAGCCCTCCCCACAGGCTCTGCAGTACTACCAGCACCTCCTGCAGCCCATCAGCCAGCAGCAGCCGCCTCCTCCTCAGCTCCCTCCCCAGCAGACGCCACCCCAGGTCCTCCCTCAGCAAAGAGTCGCCAGCAAGTGGCTCGGCACCTCCGGGCAGCAGCCCCCACCACAGGGCCACCCAGCAGGGCTGTCACCCCTGGGTCCAATCGGGCAGTGGGGCTCTCCTGGACTGCCAGATTTGAGCTCAGACCTGTACAGTCTGGGTCTGGTCAGCACCTATATGGACAGTGTGATGTCAGAGATGTTGGGCCAGAAGCCGCAGGGGCCCCGCAACAACACGTGGCCCAACAGGGACCAGAATGAAGGAGTGTTTGGAGTTCTGGGAGACACGCTGCCCTTTGACCCTGCAGGTGAGACCAACCTCCCTGATGTTTTCTACATCATCACACAAACCAAATCAAATGTTATGAACAGTTCTGATAAATCTTCCAGTCTAGAGAGAAAAAATTAGCAGGTATGTTTCTTAACTTGAGCACAACTTATTATCATTTTATTCAGTTTCAGTTGTTCTGCTTAATCTGGAAAGAAATATGATTATTTTTTTCCAAACATGGTGTTGGATCGGTAAGTAGGTTTTTACAAGCTTAAGGTAAAACCCAGCAAACATCTTTATAGGGAAAATAAGACAAAAGTTCTTTGTTGTTACTTTGGCAATACCCCTGTTTTGGTGGAAGTGCTTGAAACAGAGGACTCAGATTCTTAACTTAATGTAGTTTGTGTCTTTGGTCAAATAACTGCAAAAAGAAAATCCAGGGTAACCTTGTTTGTCCTAGATCCTCTTCCTGGACGGTTGTAAGTGGGCACAAAACCTGTCAAAGTTGGCTGTGGTCACTTTAATAGTGTTTGAAAAAGGTGATTTTCCTGAGATTGTTGCTTTATTTTGGGCTTCAGGTTAGGGCTGGGCGATGTGGCCTCAAATCAATATCACAATACATTGAGCAGTTCACCTCAATAACGATAAATGGGTGATAACTACTCCACAAGCTGCCCACCCCCTCCCATGCTAACTTCGTCTACTTCAGCCGCTACAACTTTTGAACCGTCCTCCATCTCCTCATCTGTCTTTCCCTCTTTCTTACGGACTGGATGGGGTGGAGTCATGTCTCTGATGTAGGACAGCGTCTTAAAGGGACATGAGACCACAGCCTACCTACACACATCCAAAACCAACTTTTACTTATTTACTTTTTTTGACACCGAATATACAGATATGGGCAAAATGACGTTGGTTATTGATTTTCAATTTATTGCCCAGCCCTACATCAAGTAATGAATGACAGACTTCTGTTTGAACTGGAGATGGATGCCATGAACCAATGAGACAAAGTACTGTAGCCTCCGACTGTACATAGGGGGCCTGCTGTACCAGCTCAGCAAAACCTGTTGGAGTTTTCCTGCTGTGTTTGTTAAACCAGCAGCTTCACAAAAGTCAGTGTTGACACCAAACTAGCTGTTGATGACTGAACTGCTGTTCAGTATGATTCCGGTTTGCAAAAGTTACAAAACACTGAAGGTTGTTGTTTCCTTGTTCAAAATTTTGTGTTATGAAACATCAGAGTACGAAATATATTCAATATTCTTCACAAACATCATCAGTCTCTTTTACTGTTTGTTAATAATAAAAATAACTTTATTTGTATAGCACTTCAAAAAAACAGATGTTTACAAAGTGCTTTGACATGTAGTCACAGAGCACATGGAAAAAGACAAATAAAAACCAAAAGCTCAGTAAAAACGGAATTGAAGGCCATTTTCATGTCTTAAGGAACCCAGACAATACAAGAACCATGCAACATAAAGTGAGACCATGACGACCAAAATAAAAACATAAATGCAATTAAAAGGAAGGACAACGCGGACACAGGATAGTAAAATGATAACAGGTAATCCTGATAATAAAAATAATGATAAAATAGAGCAATAGATTTGGCAAAAGTTGTGACCGGTCATGTTTATTAGTCATGATGAGACTAAACAGTGTTGTTGCTGTCACCTCTCATGCTCTTTAGTAATGCTGTGAAGTCAGCTGTGTGTGTGTGTGTGTGTGTGTGTGTGCGAGTGAGAGGAGGAGGAGGGGCAGGCCTGAAGCTCTGCTGACACCATCACTTCATTATCATATAAAAAACCTTAGAGAAGCAGCTCGGTGATGTTTTTCTGGCTAACCCTGTAATCATCAGTAAGTTATTCATCATACCTGGAGACTAATGTTCAGATGGAGAAAATCGGTGCTCTGGGTCCATGAAATCCAAGTGAAGCCATTATAATGCTTGACGTGGTACCAGCTGTCGTATAAAGTGTTACTCATCCAAACTCAAATCTTTGTTGTCCCATAAAAGAAAATGAGTTTGCAAACAGCAGCTACTAATAACATACAGGGACTCAAATCCAGAGGTTACCGGATTGTTAATGTGCAACATTAAAGCAACATGATGTGTCTAAGATAAGTGTTGTATTGGCAGCGGGGATCAATAACCTCCCTGCTCATTTAAGTTTATGGCCAAAGAACTCTGATGTGGTTTTATAGTGGACGTCCCGAGGATTGTTGAAAGTTGGTTCGTGTCAGACTACAAACAAACAAACACATTCGATCAGGACATTCAGGTGACAGTGAAATAATTTCCTAAATGTCTTTCTGTAACACAGTGGTTCCTTAAGTCAAGTCCTCGAGGCCCCCTGCTCCAACACACCTGATTCAAATGATGAGCTCGTTATCAAACCATTACAGAGCTTGATAACGAGCTGATCATTTGAATCAGGTGTGTTGGAGCAGGGCAGGGGGCCTCGAGGACTGGACTTGAGAACCACTGCTGTAACGTATTATAAGATGATTTAATCAATACGATTTGTGATTACTTTTAGTGTTCTAGTTTAGTCAACTTAGGATCTTGGAGAAATAATCAATACAGGTCAAAGAGTGTAAGCACCTTGTTTCTTCTCAACATGCTGCTATGACCGTAAATTGACGAATTATGCTGAATTACGTCTGTGTCAGTTGCTATTTTTACTGTGCAGCAGCCTCTTTTGATTGCGGTCTGGCCTATTATGCTGAGCTGACTTACGACCATTGTGATTTTCTGCTTGGGTCGACAGTCTGGCTAAACGGATTGAGCTCCAGGGAGCGAAAGAGAAAAGCTGAGGGCGTCAGAAACTCATAGTTGTGTTTATCCTCCCTTTTTTTTTTTTTTTTTTTTTTTTCTCACACGCAGTCGGCTCTGACCCGGAGTTCGCACGTTACGTGGCCGGCGTCAGTCAGGCCATGCAGCAGAAACGGCAGGTGCAGCACATCCGTCGCCCCAGCAACCCACGCAGCAACTGGCCAATGCCTGATGAGCAACACAGGACCTGGTCCCACCCAGAGTACTACAGTGAGGGGTATGTGCCTGTTGATGCCTGAGATGTCATTGTAACCTGTTTCCCTTCTGAAGTCTCAGTTCAGTCATACTCTCACAAGATCATGAATACAAACAGAAAAGAAAAAGAGCTGAATGAAATTTACATGAAACAGCCAACTCATGTATACTCAGTGTACACTATACTTAATTTTATAATGATAACGTGCAACTGTCCTGCGGATAACCGGTATCAATTCTTGTGATTTGGCGCAAAATAATACAAGATTGATTGATCGAATATGTGCAGAACTCATATTTGAAGCAGTAGTATTAGAATAGCGATCAATCATTCTTATCAAGCATCTCTGGAAACATCACGGCAGAGAATCAGAGTTCAACTAAACAAGAACTGAAGCTGAAACAAAGCTATTAACGCTGTCAGCTGTGCTGCAAAGACTGTGTTCTGACAGTGATGTTTTCAAAGTGAGACAATAACAGTAAGCAACCGCCGCAAGTACTTGGACATGAGTCATTCTGCCAGACGATTGAACACGTGGAACCCAGGTAGAGTTTAGCATCAGGTTCATATTTTTAGACGAGACTCCATCCGAGCTCCACAGGGATGATTGCAGACACTCGCACACAGAGTCAATCTGAATATCTAAAGCTCTGACATTTGCCTTTCGTTAATAATAGTACATTAGGTTCTCACCACATAAAGTCGCCGTCTAGGGGAAAAACAAAAAACCTCCTAAAATCCCAGTCCAGGGGATTACTCCTGACTGCCATTCAAGAAGTGCCTGACCAGTAGCGTAGTCTGCTGAATGTCAGTTTGTTTGCACTGTTTTCTGACATGATTGTGATGTTATGTTTGCATTTTCTTTTCTCATCTGTTTTTATTTTACACAGTAATTTTAATTCCTGATTATTTCACTGCTGGATCTGAAGGCTCACAGTAATTGTTAGATCAGGTAGCAGATTTATTCACCCAACTGCAGGAAGACGTTCATAATCTTTAGAATCAAGAATGAATAAGTCAGTTTAGAAAGAGAAAGTATTAATACTGGCGTTAGATTGGTAGTTGTGTAAGTATTGATACTTAAAAAGTTGGATTGGTGCAGCCCTATGATAAATCAGTAGTTACTGGCTGATTTAACATACCAGCGGCTCATCTACTCCTTTAAAGCTGATATGTTTATTGCCATTTGCAGAGTTGCAGGACAGCACATGTGCGCCACACATTTAGTTTATATGCTCTATACATAAGGATGAAAGGGGACTGAGAAAATGTAATATAAAAATGCAAAAAGAAATACACAAACTAAAACTTCCACACTTTCAGGAATAAAAAAGGAAACACAGAAATAGAATGCACTTGTCGTCTTGTCGTGAGTTATTGTCTCATTGGACCTTATGCTAATACACTATACTGAATACAGTCAGAAATGGAGCAACGACACTGTCTTTTATACTGAACTCTTCAGATGTTTGATCTTCTTTTAACCATCAACAAAAAGGTATAACTTATACAGACACCTGTTGACCCATTTATGTGTGGGTGGGTTTTTACAGGTGATTCATTGTATCAACATTTGTACTGCATCAATGATATTAATCGAGGGCATATTAATCCATGTCCTCATACAGGCTGATGTCGCCACAGGCCAATAAATAGATATCACCTTAAGTGTGATGTGATCTGCTGTGGTTGCATCCTGATCAAAGTTTTAACTTTGAATCACCTTCTAAACGCAGACATGAATCATTCTACAGAGAGGACGGTTTCCCTCCACTCTCCTTAGCTCTCACTCTTTGATTTGATACAGCAGTTCCCTGCTCTATCTCTGTAACATCACGTCTTCACATATCGGACAGATTCTCCAAAATCTGGAAAACAAATTACGCACGTTGAAAATCCCAGCTGCCACGTCTCGGGGTTTGGTTTAATGCTGATTTGCTGGAGAATGTTTTCCAGCTTAGTTTAATCATAGAACGTGCTAGCAGAGCGCTCTGTTGAGTTATTAGTGCAGCAGACGTCATTAATATGAGAGGCATTTACCACGTTATTAATGTCTGTAGTCATTGAATTCAGCCCACAAGTGTGAGACAGCACCATCCTGACGAGATTAGTGAGAGCTAAGAGAGTGAAACAAACGCTCATTAATGCAGCAGCAGATGTACAAACTCACAAAACATCTTTAACATTCAGGTTTGTCTTCAAATGTGTGTCATAAAGGTAGTCCAAACACATAAATGTAAGCTCTTATACCTGTTAAAGTACAACACGGTCAGCGCTCACACCTCCTCTGGTTGTGTCTTCAGGGAGGCCGTGAACAGCAGCTGGTCAGCCAATCAGGGGGACTCGGCTAGCTCCAGCGACGAGACGTCTTCAGCCAACGGGGACAGTCTGTTCTCCATGTTTTCTGGGCCAGACCTTGTGGCAGCGGTGAAACAAAGAAGGTGAGTCCCAAACTCACTCTCCGACCTACATTTGTCTTTCGCTGTTGTCGAACTTTACATCTTTGTTTCACTGAGTTCTTTTAAACTCACTAAACTGGATGATCTTTTTCTTCATTCCTTTTTGAACACACTTGTTAACACTTATTACATAGAACGGGGTGTCCAAGCTGCAGTTGTGTAACAACTGTTTTAACTTTCTTTCAGAAAACACAGCTGTGGAGAGCCAGAGGTGTGCACTCTGCCCTCACCACCTCTCCATCACATCAGCGATGATAACCAGGTAAGAGCGGAGAGCCTTAGAGTGCTTTAAACTTTAAACAAAAACATACAGTTCATAACAGTATGAAAAGTTGTCTCATCTGTTAAACTGCATTTCTGGGTTGCAGCAGTCTTTGCTTACATGGTTTTAAAATCTGTATGATGGTTTTTGCCATTTATAACTTAAGACAGATTGTTAAAGTAGTTAAGCAAAGGTTTTAAACCTGGGCAAACGGTGCTGGATGGTGTTCACGGAGGTGGGCACGTAGGTTAGAAGTGTTAGACAACGGCGCTGCAACTTCCTTACGGCATAACCTGCAGATTGGTGTCAGGTTTACCTGCTCTGTCTGTTTTGTGAAGCCGTTAAACGTCCATACTGCCGACGAAACCTTTTTAATAGGAAGATAGCGGGTTAGGTAGGTAAGTACTCTGCCTCGCTTGCCTCTGCTGAGTGACGCTGCCACTCGTCTTTAAATTATAACTGTGGAACGATTATTGCGGTACCCTACGATTTCATTATAGCGATTAAATCGTTTATTGGCACATCCCTATTTGAGGGTATTATTAAAATCTGACTGGGCAGTTATTGTTCTCTTTTTAACCTTAACTGGTCTCTATCTGCTGTTGTCCACAGGACAGCAAAACTAAGACCTGGCCCCCTAAAGCACCCTGGCAGCACTCCACCCACACCCACGCACACACCAACACCATGCCCAATCCCAGCTCTTCCTTGTACCAGATGAATATCCCTCCATCCTCCCAGTGGAACGACTCCATGCAGATGCTGCAGTCTCCCGTGTGGTCCACTGCCAGCGACTGCTCCCCCTCCACCGGCATCTCCTCCGGGTTCCCCTCCTTCACCCAGCAGCAGCAGCAGCAGCAGCAGCAACAACAACAGCAGCAGCAACAGCAACACAAACCCATGACCAAGGGCTTTAAATCCTTCCCCCTCAAACACGAGCACAGGCCCTCCTATCTTCACCAGTACTGATATCAGTTTGATACCCAACGTTGTTGCCGATGAAGAGCCACCGAGGGCCTGCAGCTCTCTGAGACGAGTGGACCGAGCTGCAGCCATCCCAGCCCACACCCACTCAATTTGGAAGAATTCAAAGCCGCAGATGGAGGCCGAATCAAAGTAAACACACTGGCTCGACATTTTTGTAACTATATTTTTCCATGTCAGACATCCCACATTTGAAACAGAGACGTATTTTGAAGTTTTTTGAACTGCCATGTTTTAACTACGAGAGGTGCATGCGTCATGCTGGCAGCAGTCAGTCTAGTGGTCGTTTCTCTGTCTGTTGAGCTGACGTCTCCTCGGACAAGAGCTGGAGACGTGCACGGCCGTCACCCACTTGCTTCTGCAGCTGAACGCGTGTTTGTTTGTGCGAGTGTGTGTGCGTGTGTGTGCGTGTGCGCAAAGGAGCGGATTACAAGGGGGCAGGGGCTTGTGATGCTCTCATTTTGCCCGTAATAAATATACTGTGTCTACATAGCTGTAACTGCCAAATCTCACGCAAGATGACTCAGAATACAGCTACCATCTACTGTTTCATAGCTTGTAAAATACTGAAGTTGAAATATAAATATTTAGTTCTTTTTATTAAGAGGCTTTGAGCAGGCTCAGCATAAATATAGTAAGTCACTGCAGAGGTGTCGTTTGAGAGAAATACACTAATTTTTTCAACAACTGACCAGAGTTTAGAGTTCTAGCAGTAACAATGTGCCATGTTGGTATTGATAGCACTTGCAGAATATTATTTCCAACCAAAGCGTTGTTCAGAAGATGAATGGTGCTGAGGAGAAGAGAGGCAATCTGAGATTATCGAGAAACAGTGAATGAGTGGCCCTTTTGGAGAAGAGCATTAGGGAGCATCTTCACATCCATTCATTTCCTCCTCCTCTCTCATTGGCAGTTGTTTGACACTAACTCCCATAACCCTAACCTTTCTTCTGTTTAATAATACAATATTTTTCTTGTACAATTATTGACAGTATTAATCTTATTTTTGTATTTTCTTACATGTTATACCATTACTGTATGTTAGTATTCTTGTAGGCATATTACATAAAACATTATTTTCCACCTCCCAATATGTGAAAAAGCACATTTTTTTCCTACAGAGTTGAACTACACCATCTATCTATAAAGGTTACCAAATATGCCATGCTAAACACTAAAACATTGTGTGATGAGGGTGTTTTTGGAGCCCTTGTTTCTTCGGTTTCTATGGCAATGGGCTGTATTTAAAAGCCCAGAATGTTATCTTTTTGTGATGTTTGCGGATGCCAATGTTGCCTGTATTTATGAAATGACACCATGTTTTCAGAAAACTAACATACTTAACATGTTTACAGAGAATTGTTTGCTGTATATACATATAAATATATATCTTTTTATAGTTAATGTGCTTTGCACAATCAAGATATAGGGTTTGTTGCTTTTTGTCTGTGTTTTCTCCCTAACTGTTGCAGCCTTTTTTAAAGACATCATTACAGACCTTGGACTGTAACTGTTAGCTTCTCAGCTGTGTCAAATGGTTTACTAGTGGCTTCTACAAAAGAAAAAAAATAATAATAAAAACATGTTTCCCTGATAGAAGATATGAAGGGGGACTGCTTGGCTTATGTTGCTTATTGTTCTCTTGAGCTGGCAACTGAATCTTTCCAAGTGTACCAGCAATGCAAAAAATGAATAAAAATGACTAGCAATTAAAAAATTGTCTTTTGTAGTTTTTCTGTTAAAAGATGTGCACTGTCCTACTTCACTCACGATGTTTACAACGTCCTCTGCTTCTGGTTTTCTCATGTCTGTTAACAGCATGTCCTTAATTTAACCCTTTAATGCCTTTTGTATCATATTTGATACATACTTTTATATACTTCTATCAAACAACAATAACACCTGAATACAGTCTGATAAATGATTTAAAAAAGAGTCCTCTTGTGGCTTATAAGTTTCCAAAAACACTAATGTATCAAATGAGATAAATAAATATATTTGTTAAATTTTAAGGACATTTAGAATTTTTAGCTCCAAGAAAATTTGAATTTTCTGGTCATCATTTGTGGTTTCAGGCAATAAAGGGATACATACAGAGGTGTTTAAGTAAGAATCTGGTTGAATCAAGTGAAAGAAAATATTGAATTTTTAGAACCAAAGGCATCAAAACAGTCTCAGTTTGGATGAGTGGATTCTGCTGCCTGAGTATGAATATCTGCCTGTGTGTTTTTTCCCATTACTTAGCTGTTTTCGAGCAAAAACAGTGTAGCAACATTTAATTATACAATCCTTTCAGAGACATTTGCACTTGGACTCTGATAAATGAATATCAGGGCACTTTCAAAAATAAATATTTCTTTATTAAACTCAGATGGTATCAAAATTCACAGAACTTCCTCACATGATCTAAACATCCAGTATAGCATTACTGAACTAAAACACAGGTAGACTTTGAATGGGAAACTTCTTTCAACGGTGAAACTTCTTATAAATACATTTTGTTGTGCAAAATCATTTTCAGTCACATCAGATATTTGACAGTAAATCCTAACTCCACTGACAGAGGCAGTCATCCTCATGTCCCTCCATGTTCGTTCACAGTGGCTGTGGAAGTTTCACTGGATGAGGACTGTAAACAGAAACAAAGAAATGTGTTAGGAATGAGCCACAAAGCGGGATACTGTTCTCACTGCAGCGGTTTCAGATGAATGTGGTGGTTTGTCATTACACTGGGAGCAGGGGCCACTGTGTCTGGGCTGGCATCAGCAATGGTCGCAAGATAAACGATGTTGCGATGCAGAATCTGTTGGTATCTAATGGAAATATACACAAAAACAAACAGCAGCTGTTAAGTGCAAGTGCACAGTAGTGAAGGCGGGCGTAGAACAACGAAATACTGATCTGTGTACAGAAATGTGCCATATTAAAAGGGATATTCCGGCGTAAAATTAATTTAGAGTCAAACACACTGTAACACTGAGTTAGACACCCCCTCGAGAGATGGATGTTGCCGACCGCTTGCTTCTCTGGTTATACCAACTTAAGCAACAACCGCACAATAGCAATACACAACGGTCTATGTCTCCACACACAAACCTTAAACAAAAACCTACTCTATAGCCACAAATAATGCTAAGAACAGCACATAACTTCATCAACAGTACATATAGGGTCCCAGCCACAGCACTCGCCACCAAACATCCTTTTAACTTTGCCTGATTTCTTGAACAAAGAGACCAAACACAACTCACCTACTCTCTTACAGCAGCTGCTTGTTTGTAGCGAGACCTCAGGGGAGTCCATTACAGACTGCCGTGGGTTGACACAGCTCAAGGAAGAACATTTATTATCAATATTTTATAATTTCCTTTAAGTAATAATCATCATATTAATCATTTTGAGCTGCAGACACGGTAGTTCTGCCTTAGCGTCTCAGTCTGATTGCATTTCCATGAAGAAATGATCATAAATGTTCTTCCTTGAGCTGCGTCACCCCGCTGTGTCATCTCTCGAGGGGGTGTGTAACTCGGTGTTACTGTGTGTTTGATCCTAAATTAATTTTACGCCGGAATGTCCCTTTGATATGGCAATTCTAAGGCAACAAAATAGAGTTAAAACAAAAATAGCATAGTATGGGGTAAGAGTGCCATTATAACGACATTCAATAAGCACAGTCTCATGTTTGTTTTAAGTATTAAATATGATCAACACAGGAACAATAAATGCCTCATGAAGCATTAAGTTTTGAACCTTACTGAACTCGATCTGTATAAAATGTAATCAACATTCTCTAAAAAGTTCTGTCTCATCATCTGTGCTCTAAATAAGCAGCAAGACTTACTGCACACACTCCACAGCTCGTCCTTTCTGCATGTACTCAGCGATGCATCTGATCAGCTGATCATTTTCATCCAGCAGCTGTGGAAAAAAACAAGACAACACAAAGTTAACCAAATGTTTGCAGCTTTGAAAATATTAATAGTAGGAGTGAACAAATCGCATTATCACAGAGTACGACGATAAATGAGAGCTCAAATCAAGAGAACAAGAGGCCTGAATGATGGTTCAACCTCAAAAACTACAGAAGCTAGCAGTGAAATTTCGCGCCTTACCTCCATTTCTGAGCGGGAATTTTAGCTAACAGCTTCCTAAAGAAATCTGTAGATATGCTTTATAACTGTGTCTTACCCTTTGTATCGTTTCTTGGTTGATTACCGCGGTTCCCCGTAATTTCTTCGGCACGAAAACAATCGACATTTCTAGATCACGTTAGCGGCACTTCTTGTAGCATCTGCCGACTTCCTGTTATTGTGCTCCGTCTTCTTCTTCGCTGATTTTATTTGTAGACAGTCGCGGTATTCCTGCCACCTCCTGGGGAACTGCTATATAGCAACCCCGAATAAAAACATACATACTCTTTGAATTATTACAGTTGTATTTGCCTGTTATTGCATTAATATTCTTTCAAAATAAGGGCATATAAAAACAGAGAAAGCTTGGACCGTGACAGATATTGATAATAGGGTGACAAACTTGGTGACAATTATCCTGTAAGTAACATAAATACCAAACCTGCAACAGCAAGTGATAAATACATCAATATATATATATATTTTTTTCCAAAATGTACAAAGAAAAGAAAAGTTGCTTTCAAAACAAACAATTCCAAAGCATGTGCAGCTGTAACCATTTCAGCTTCCCAAATTTTCACGTTCAGGCTACAACATCCTAAACAACTTAAACACACATTTGTCAGTTTTTAATAGACCAAATGAACTCAGATTTAACAGCATTGCCTCAAAAAAAGATATGACTTTGGGGACGTGGGCTGTCGACATTCCTATCTCATAAAAGTTCCAGAACATTCTTCCATAATGGGAAAACCATGCAACATCCCCATAATGCATTTATCACTCATTGCTTCATACCCCAAACAAACTGTCCTCGATTAACCCCTTTTTGGTGATCATAATGTCTTTTTATGTTGACGAATCTTGATTTTGGTCTCATATTTAATTCTAGAAATATCTGATCCAGTAAAAAGATGTTCTAAGGTTGACTATTTCATAAAACACATGTTTCTGACAATGTAACGTGTAATATGTAACAATATGTGAAATTAAATGTTCACTGGATGAACTGAAACACTTAGAGTGTTCGGATTATTTTCTCAAACCCTTTTTGTTCCATCTTTACTGTTTTAAGCAACTTGGAACAATAAATTCTGGCGTTTCAACCTTCAACCTGGAACAACTTTTTAGTTTTCACCAAGTTTTATGTTTATTACAAAAGTGAACTTCATTATTTTTGTTTCTATCATGTCTAATTCTCAACACCTTCACACTGGTCTCTTCTGCCATCTTCTGGATAAAGTGTAAAATAAATAAATAAATAAAAAGGTTCTCTGGCCCGTTCTGAACACCTGAGCAGCATATTATTTCCAGTATATAAGTGAGATGAACTTTTTCAGCTCAAGGTGAACTGACTTTAACTGTGAAACTAACATTGTAATACTTGAGCCCTCTCATATCACTTTTATACATATAACTGTTCCAATACTGATCAAAACATTGTTGACTGAAAAAGTACTCACAGCCACATCACATAGACTCATGCTCATGGTTTACACCTTCAAATCACTTTGTTGTCAATTTCAAGTCCAAACATACGATTTAGCTCTTACTAGAAATATAAAATCAGTAAATACTGCTAAGAAAACCAGTCCAACGTTCTGTTTGATCTGGTCTTGACACAAAATCAAAACTATTCTTTTTCAAAGTTTATTTATAAAGCACTGTTCATATAAATGAAATTGCAGCTCAAAGTGCTTTATATCAGGACAAGAAAAGAAATAAGTTATTAAAATAGACTGAAACAGACAATAAAATATGAACTTAAATTTATGAATAAAAGAAGGTAAGAAGTGATACTTAAAAAATAAATTATAATAGTATTTAAAATAATAAAGCTTTACATAAAAGCCAGGCTAAATAGATGAGTTTTTAGGTTATGTTTAAAAATTTCAATATTTGCAGCTTGTGTCAGACCCTCTGGAAGTTTGTTCCACAGTGTTGGAGTGTAGCAGCTAAAAGAAGCATCACAAAATTTTTTTGTTCTGCTCTGTGGAACGACTTAAAGAGAAGATTGAGAGGATCTGAGAGGCCACTTTGGTTCATAAATTAAAATCATCTTTGAAAGGTATTCTGGAGCCAGGCCATGTTTTTCATTCTGTTTTAATGAAAAACACAACTGGTCCTACTCCCTCATATCAATTTTATAGATTTGATATGATCTACAATCATCAAATTAATCCTAATCTAAAATAAAACACCGGAGACACCGATATTGTACAACTCTTTATTTTACGTAAAAACTCAATTTTTGTTGATATTCTCAAGAAAACAATTCCTGGTTTACATTTCCAGCGACTGGAAGGAGTAACAAACATATGAAAAACAAGTCAGTTTTCAATAATTCAGCAATATGTTTTTTTTTTTTTTTGTCTCAAATTCAGTATCGCTGGTTATCCTGAAAGCCTATATAAAGTGATGGTTTCTACTGGCTATCATGCAGTCATCAGCATATCTGTGAATATTCAAATAAACAACACATTTTTTTTACTGGGCTGCTTTGTTGGAAACAACCTCAGCCACTGAGATAGAGATCGAGTTTCATCTTGTAGTGCTATCAATACTTTGAAACCTTTAAGTTAAAGGGAGAGCTGTATCAAAAATCATTCTGAAGGCAAAAGTACTCTGACACCCCTAAAGTACTAACAAATCAGAGCCAAAAAGACAAAAAAGGAATATTCACCCTCTATCCCTCTCTCTGACATACTGGCACCACATCCAGTTCTTGTCCCTTTTCTCACATATCAGTAAAAAATGACGAGTTCACTCCAGAGAACAATCACATTGACGACATCGCAACAAAAGGGGCTACAAAGAAGCCAGCCAGCTGATATTTAGCGCAACTTTCCACCTTTCGTACTGAATTTTATCTTGTTAGACATTTCAATCCATTTACAACAATTCCCATTTTCAGTGAACAATCATTACGACACTGCAAGTGCTCAGATCTGCAGTGGAAACAACAACATCAACGTGGATGACTCAACTGTAAGACAATTTAAAGATGGATTTAACAGAGGGCTTTCGACAGACGGCTCAGTGTGTTCTGGACATGAAGAGTAAAAAGTACCAAACGGAAAGTTAATCTGTACTTTTGGGCTGTGGGTTAGTTTTGCGCAACTGAATGTTTTAGAGTTCCTTTTTGGTCAAAATAGCAAGAAAAAAAGAAAAAAGAAAAAATGGATCCGAGGTCACCCTGACTGCAGGTCTCACCAGAAGATACATGAGACAATCTAAAGGCATTAATACTAATCAATGTTTCTTATCCATGAGCAGAATTAACTGAATAACTGCTTTTCAATCAAACAGATGCGGTCAACAAAATCTATAGTCAACAAATACTTCTAAAGCTAATGCTGTAAACCCAAATCATCAATCAGAAGATCAGCCGGGAAAGATCAGCAGTAACAGAATCCAACTGATGTGGGAGGCTGGAGGTTCACAGTAAGACCTAATGAGTCTAAATACTGAACGCACATCTCTAACAGGTCGAAACGAAATCTGTCCTGTGAGCAACGATTTATTAGGGGCGCTGAGTTGAAAATATACATTCATTCAAAACAATACTCAGTTTGGATTGTTAGATGTAACTGGCTGTACTTTCGCTACTTCACTGTGAAATCATAAATGTAAAACAAGAACATGACCTGCAAACTAAGTGAAATAATGAACATATAATGATAAACTACGGGAGTCTGAGTAGAGAACAACAATGCATCGAGAGGATTTCGGAAACTGAAAGCAGAGAAATAAAGCTATGAGATCAGACGGACTATGATCCACTCACAGTATCAGTGGGCTTTTTGCTCTCCGCTTAGAATATCAAAGACAACTTCAGGATGAAATGAACTTGACTGATGTAGGAATGCGGATCATAATAAAGCAGTGGGGCAAATTAAAACAAAAACAAAAGCCTGTCAGTCTGAGAGAGCTGCACTCTCGGCCCCTTTAGGGTAAAAGCAGCAGACTCTGGTGCTGGTGACTGAGATGACGTCTTCATCCTGCCTGTTAAATGCTGAGACCAAACAACTTCTTTTACTGGAACTACGAAATGAGGGGCTCCCATCTTTGTGGATCCATCACCGCTGTACTATGCAGCCACTTTGTTCTCCTTCTGGGAAATGAAAGGAAACAAAAACACATGTTCAGAAAAGAATTTTTTTCTTAAACCACAAAAATCATTATTTTCAAGTCACAAACTACAAACCTTGAATACAGCTAGTAGAGAAAAACAATCATTGTCCTCAATCGTCAGTAATTTTCGATACCCTCCATTGATATTGTGTTGTTTAAAAGCACGAGGTATAAAAAAGTATTCTCAATACTCTCTAACTGTCCTAACTTCTCTTTTCCTACGGGGTGCAGGGAAGAACCTGCAACAGAGCCAAGAGACTTACCCTGTATTCAAAATCAGAGAAATCCCGTCCTCCTCTACCACCTCTGAATCCACCTCTAAAGCCTGGTGGAGGACCCCGGGGTGGCCCAAAGGAGCCCCTGCTCAACGGTCGCCCTCTGCCTCCTCTGGGCCCCATGAAGCCACGGCCGCGGAAACCACCTCTTCCTCGGTTGTGCCTCAGAGGGATGCCGAATGTCTCGGAGTTCATGCGTCTTTCTTCTGCCCAGGTGGACCTCCTCTCTCTGTGACACACGAACATCCATCAAGATCAGAAAGTTTGACACAGAAACCTCGTTTTTAAAAAGAAGGACAAAAAGGAAGCACCAAAGGCACAACTGGACATGGAGCCTGCGACCGTAAAACGCAAGTCCAACAAAAAAGGTTGATTTCAAAAAGGAAAAACATGATGAAATAGAAATGTCCATTTGTTTGTAGCATTATGAAAAACCTGTTTCAATAACAAGCTCCTCTGGTTCAATGGCCAACAAGGATACCAACCTTCAGACCTCCTCCTTTTCCTTTAAACTGAATAAATTGAAAACAACTGAAACTAGGCAGAATTATACACACAGAAAAAAAGAGAATAAAGATGAACTCACCTTGAAAATCCCCGATTGTCCCCTTTGCTGTGAAAAATAACAAAAAAAGGTCTTGAGTGTATTGATAAAACATGTTTTGAAGCATTAAAAGATCCTTACACACCAGGGCTGACGCGAACATAGAACGTGAAATCACGAAATATTAGGAGGCAAATTTTGACACGCACGACTACACCCTTCAAGCCTGATGTGATTTTGCAACTTTCTGGGGGGAAAAAGACGCATACCGGGGAAGACTTTTCCCAGGGAAAGTCCCGCCTCCTTCGCCTCTGATTGGCTAGAAATGCTGGAAACGTCATCACACGCTTAAGACAAACGGTAAGCACTTATAGCTAATCAGAGGCGATAAGATAAGCAAATGAAACTACGGAAACAACTGTTAGCTTACATTAGCACAGATGAAAGTTGAAACAAAAGACGTTTAGCAAACTGTTAAAGGGGACCTGCCACCAAAATTTCATACCCATTTTTATCATTTTTTCATAATCCTTGATGTCCTCTGATCATGTTTGCAACATAATTTTAGCTGAAAAGTTATTTGATGGTTTGTTTTAGTATGCCTAAAAAACCTTACAGGAAAACCAACTGGTTTTGGCTCATTAACATTTATGGTAATGAGCTTTGCTCTGATTGGATCGCTGCTGTGACGCCTGCTGTGCTCTGATTGGCTCAGCAGTGGAGGTTCGGATTTCGGTTTATCCACTGTTATTATGCTAATGCTAATAGCATATGCTAATGTGTGCTAAAGTAAGGTGCCCAGATGTCTGTAATGATATCCGGGGATATTCGGTGCGGCGGCGGCGGTGCAGGGGCTGCAGGGGCTGTGTGATCACAGACAAAGTCTCGGTACTTTTTAGTAGCAGCGCATGCCCCTTGTAATAACCCCCGTAAGAACTGTTGTTCAGGACTGCTAACTAAATTCGGCTACTGTAATAACCGTTGTTCGAGCCCACACGCAACATTTTTGCTCTCATTAATGAAACGCTTAAATCGGGGACATTTTCGGGGACAGCTTTTGCCGGGGACAGATCATCCAATACGGGGACTGTCCCCGGAAATCGGGGATGTCTGGTCACCTTATGCTAAAGGCTAAAAACGGCAGGTATTAAACCATATATTTTAGACCCCGAGTCCGAAGAGGAGGTGGAAGTTGAGGAAGAAGCCGGAGATCTCCAGCGGTGTTTTCTCATTCATTCTGCCCAGCTTTAAGTTCATTTTCCCGGCAGTGAACCCAAGGAAACAGCGGTCGTTTGGAAGAGACCCATAGCGGATACAGCGGTAGCTGGGTCTCGCTCTGGCTGTGACTGAGTACGAGAACGAGAGAGTGGGCGCGGCTCACCGGGGACGCGCTCATGAATAAGAATGAGCAAGGTCGGCGCAACGTAACACCGACGGGCTTTTTCAATTGGCCTGGTTTACTCGTTCCTTTATTTTAAACCTTTACAGAATGCAAACGACGGAACGATTTTTTTTCACATGTACAACATAAACGAACATAATATGGACCTTATATGACACAAAAAACCCAAAAATTACATTTTTATGGCAGGTCCCCTTTAAAGCACACAAACTATCGTCATACGAGAGATCCGACGCTATGACTCTCCACAAGTTGTCCTTCAGGTCGTTATCTATGTAATGTTTGTGTCTTTTATCAAAAAACACTCTGTTCTCCGACACGTTAACAATCAGCCGGTCGGCCATGTTGGATATACTGGTGAATCTGACGTTGCAACAACATGCAATCTGAAAATAAATGTTGCGATATAGCAGAACGGGAAAACGTCGCTGATGTAAACGCTTGTATTGACAGGATACGGGTTCAAAAAAAATATTGACGTCCGAAATAATCACACGACAAAAACAGTCCCGGAGTGAAAGGACCTTAATACCCAAAGAAATGCAACGTGATTGATTCTATTTGTGAGCGTTGGATGGAGCATGTCAATATTGCAGCACTGAGGATCCACAGGTGTTAACTCCATCAGTCTGACACACCTTTACATTTAACTACCTGCTTTGTGGTTAATCTTGTATCGAGTGTCTGAACATTGAATACTCCACAGATTCGTTTCCACAGTTTGACAGTATGACAGCATTTTAAGAGTGGACTTGCGTACTTCAAATCATCACAGGACAGGTTGTCAAAGAAGGACTTGGACTTGTCGTAGTAACATGTGTTGATCACAGCCTCCTCCTCCTCAGTGGTCCCCTCAGTGGCAGGATGCTCGGACTCTGCAGTCTCTTCCCCGTTAAGTGCCTTGTCAGCCTTGTCAGTCTTGTCATCTTTGGTCATGTCGAGAGGGATATTTGAAATATTTAAACATACATTAAAAGCAGGTCTAGTGATGTAGAAAAAAAAAGTTGGCAACAGCATTGTAATATAAAGGGAGAGCTTCACACACTGCAGGACACACACACACACACACAATCCCATCTCAGCCTTTTAACACAGCTCCGTCACACCATCCCTCCACTGTGACATTCATACTGAAGGCCAGGTTACAGTGGCGTGACTATCGCACCGTGAACTGCCAATCAGAGAAGGACTAATGAGGACTGAATGTAATATACTACAAATAGAGCAGGGATTACAACGCAGTGAGTCCCATTTCATTGTTGCTGTTAAAGCCTTCAGCGTGTCAGTCATACCTTTCAGCTTGAGCTTGTTCTGAAGCTCTTTGTCGATCTCATCTTTGTGGAACAGGGCATTCGCAGTCTCAAAGTCAAAGTCTTCTTCGAACTTCATGGGGCCATCCCTGCGCACATTCATTTTGCCTCTGCTGCGGTTTCCTCGTCCACGTCCTCTGCGCATTGACTGAGCCGCAGCTGACAAAAGAGGAATGACAGGAGACTAAAATGAAGCATCAATCAAACAAGCAAAATCGGGGATTATTCATCAGGTAAAGCATAATTACAGGGCCTGGTTAAAGAGCTGATGGTTAACTTCAACCTCTGTTCATGACTCTCAATTCTGTATCATAGTGCATCATAGCTTCAATGACATTAAGGTGGGAGATGACTTACCGCCATGCTGGTTCCTGTTGGGATCTCTGTTTTCAACAGCACCATGTTCACCATCCGGTTGCGACACCTTCTGAACCTCAGGAGCTAAAAAGCAAGACACAACCTACTGTTAGTTGGACTTAAAGATAAAACTGAAACCCCTCTCAGACATGCATTCCTGAAAATATAGTGAGAAAAGTTGCCAGGTTCTTGCCTCGCAACTAACCTAATTGTACTGCTCACATACACACACTGTCACAGCATGAAGCCTCCCATGATGGAGGGAGGGCGTGGGGGAGTTTAGGAGACTGACCATGTTGTCAAGTAGATGCTGCAGTACTCATGATGTTATGTCTTACAATTAAGTCCAAAAATAAATCCACAGGACCTTCAATTTTTGCAAAAAATGGCAGAACACACGCTGCATAAGACACCTTGTCTGGCCCCCCTGCTGCTACTCTCAGTGAATTACTCAGAAGATTTGCTGCTGTGTTGTTATGTAGGCTCACCCTGAATTTACCCTGAAATGATACAAGGGGCTAGCAGGAAATATTCCTGGTGAAAACTCAGATGTGTCTGTTCAATCAAACAGCTCATCCTGGAGATTTAAGGGAATGTTCAGTGACTTTGTGCATGTCTGAAAGGGGCATGAGTGGCTAAAAAAGACAAACTCATACATACAGCACCTGAATAAAATATATTTTACACAAACACTTCATCTTAAAAAAAAAACAGACATTACAGGCTCAGTAGGTACCGTTACCCTTTCTCTGCTCCAGGAGGTCTGGGGGCTTCTGGCTGCCTGTGGTGCTGCTGGTGGGTCTGGAGGCTGCAGCTGCAGTCTGACTCCTCTGTCCTACAGGTGCAGGTGGTGCTGATGCAGCTGAAGAAGCCGCCTGCACTGCTTGCTCCAGGGTGGGACTTTTCCTTTTAGAGTCCAGCTTGGGGCTGGAGCGCCCTGCCGAGAGAAAAAATAAAGGGATTCTTAAATAGAGATTACTGCAGTTTTTGTCTGATAGGAGCTTAGCAGTGCTCAGTGTTTGGGATGCTGAGTGATCTGGTATGACTTGTAGGGTGATGTTAATGTAGATTTAAATCTACCTAAGTGACATATGTCAATTTGTGTTACCCTTGGTCAACTGGGCATTTGAATAGCTCTCATATCTCATTTCATATCAGTCAGTGCAGTGTTTCAGGCTAACAGTTTTTCAATATCCAATGAGAAATATAAACACAATCCCCATTTTAACATCTGAAAAAGTTAAAAATCAAAATGTACCAGCTTGTTTTTTTTTTTTTTGTAGTAAACAAATCAATTGAACGAGTGTGTAAATTATCTGTACATGTTTTTTGGCACATCTTGTGGACACACACTCTTAATATAAAGGGAAAAAAAACCACAACTTCTTACCTCCAGCTCCAGCAGATCCAAACGGCTGAGCTGTGTGTGGTGTCACTCCAAACTGGCTGTATGGTTGGACCGGGGCCCTGCTGTATGGAGGGGCATAGGACCCAGTCGACGGGAAAGATGGTGGTGGTGCTGCATTGGTGGATCCAATTGATGACTAGGACAAAAGAACACAATATGTGAGTGAAAAACTACACATCAACATCACAAACAACACTTAAAAAAGAAGGCGTAGGATAACAAACATCTCTTTTTGAGTTTGTGTAATGCAGGCCAGGGAAGACATCTACCTCCACAAGAAACTGATGCAATTTAAAAAACATGAAAACAAAAAAAGACCTCATTCTCAGAGTGACAAACATTGTGTAAACTCACTCTTCACTATTTCTTCTGTATTCACCAATGTTCTGTAAAAGCTGTTGCGTTCAGAAAGCCTCTGTGACATTTAGTTCAGTTTAGGATTAGCACCGTGAAAACTGGTCGGGCTAAAGTTTTGAACTATGAAGGGGGTTGGGTGTTCATGAATATTTGTAAAGACTGTGTCCTTTTTTTTTTCAGTTCATGAGCTGAAATGTTGCAGTCAAGTCTTACAAAATTTTGTTCTGCCAAATATTGAAAGACAATAAAAGTCTAAAGTCTAAGTCAATGGCTGTGTCCGAAATGAACCACTAAATCCCCAATCCCTATATGGGATTTCACTATATAGCTGACTATGTTGTGAACTCAATCACTGGAGGTTTCGGACACTACATGGCAAGACGCAATTCATGACGGGATGCCCACCACCAGTGAGTGACCATCGGATGGTCCCTACATTTTGCAATGCTTTATGGGAAATTTTGAGTCGCCTCTATAGGGCACTGGAATCGATCACTGAGGTTTCGGACACCCTTCAAAATGGCGCTAACCTCCGATATAGTCACCTATATAGGGGATAGGGATCCATTTCAGACACAGCCAATGACTTACCTGAAAACTTAACGAGCTGTAATTAGTGTCATTAGGTACACCTGTGCCTTCACTGAAGCAACAGGTTTAACTGGGGACACTGAGAAGTGTTTTGGGGCCTAAGCAAGTAATGATGATAACAAATTGGAGTTAAAATAAAATAAAAATAATTTTAAAAATGTTTGTGTTATTCACAAAAAATAAATAAAAATACAATGAATGCAGAAATAACTTGTTTTCCTACTCAGACTTTCAGAACAGGAAAGCAAAGATATCATCTTACCTGGACAATGGCAGGGTCCTGAGGCAGGGAGCTAGTGGCTTTAGGTGGCTCACAAACAGTAAGGTCTTTGATATCACTTCCTCTGAATATGATGTACTCAAAGACCTCATCCCGAGGCGGAATTGGCCTGTCAGTGGGTCGGTCCTCAGTGCCAAAAGAGCGAACTGTTGAGAAAAACAAAATATCTCAGATTTCTTTAAAGCTGCTATGGGGAACTTCGGGCTCAAGTCTCAAAACTGACACAAAATTGACAGGGTGATCCCTCTTGTCTCTTGTACTTTACACCTTAAAGTGGAGTTTGCAGACAAAAACCTCAGCAGGTTGTCTTTAAGAAGTGAAATGTATCACTCGGTGTGATTATTTGAAATGGGAAAAGTAAAAAGGGGCCGTTTCTTGAGCTTGCTGGCAAACATCTGGTCGGACACCAACTCCCTCATGGTGGTTTCATGTATCAAAATTACACTTGAGAAAGTTTCACCTTGGTTTCTGATGGTCTCATCTGCTTTCAAGAGTCATAAAGAGACATCAGTATAAGTTTGAGCTCATTTCCCAACCAGTTAGGAACTTCTAATCTTCCTATTGGAAAGGGTGGATGTCTTTAACCCTGAGCAGTCTCTCAAATGTTACTGCGATTTCAGGTTATCAACATTTAAGACAAAACTGTACACTGAAGGGAGTACATGGGTGGATATCCCTGGGGTTCACGAAAATGACCAATTCTGGACAGCCAAATTTCGACTAATCTGAGGGACTTTTAAAGTTAATTTTCTTCAGATGAGAAGTCTCAACAAAATCTTGAAATGATGCAGGCATGCATAAAATTTATAGTGATTTGTCTTAGTTTAACAAAACGTAAAATAATCTAATTAAAAAGGGACAGAAGACCAAATGCCTAAAAACTGGTCAAACTAAAACTTCTTAACGTTGATTTGCTGTGTAATCTTAACCCTCGCTTTAGGATTAATGTGTAATTAATTCTTCAACGGCCGCAACAATCCCCACAAAGTTACTTTAGAAAAACCGTACTCTTTTAAAAAGTGACAAATGTGAAGGACACGGTGTATCGGGGTTTTGAGAGTAGCTTTCAAGTGAGTCTTCTATCAGAGTTCACAAACCCTCAAAAGAGGACTTAAAAGTACATCGGCCGACGTGCTTTGCTATCACTTCAACAAGTTATATTAGGTGATAACATGAGCTTGACTTCCCTTTTAGAGGTGTGCCATTAAGTACCCGATGATAGTAGTAATTTATTGAACACAAGTCCAAACACAAGGTAAACAAAGGACTCAAAGAGTAACTCCTGCACCCCTGAGCGAGTAGTTTGCTACACAACCAGCTAGCATGGCTGACTAGCGTGCACTTTATTTCACATTCCCCTTCACCAAAACCTCTTCTTAACTATGTTTTAACTATATGCGACTTCCGTAATAAACCTCCGGGTTACTTAACTTACCTTTAGCGAGAGCTACGGTCGAGTTTTCGGTGTCAATGGTGTATAAAATTCCTTCATAGCGAATCTCGGCCTTTGAAATCAGGCTAATTTTGCTACCAATGTACGGCGTCCCTCCTCCGCTCATGTTTTTCTTGTTTTTTTTAAACGCACCGAACTACAAAAATAAAGGCTGTTCCTTTCAATTGAGAGTACAGAGAGATGAATTACGGAGCTGTTGTTTCTAACGCTTCATGAAAGAAAACTGCGCCGTGACTCGGACTCGCTCTTTCCTGAACTCGGATCTAACACGACATGGCCGTTTACATTTTCCTTTACCCGCCGCTAAGCATCATGGGAGAGAGGTTGTGTCCTTTGTAGTTTTCCCCTCCTCCTCCTCCTCCTCTTCCTCTCACTGCTGCTTTTTCTTATCGACAAAGAGGTGGCACATCGAGAACTAAATAATACAGAGAGCCTTAATATATTTATTTTTTCGTTTTCTATCATAAATTTTAAATGGAGAATAGCCATAGCGTGCTTCAGACTCGAGATTCAGCCAGTCTGCATAAAGGGATATGACACTCGCTAGCCTCTCGCTACCCTATCCCTATTTGACCAGATGATATTTTTAAGCGATATTTTTACTTGACACGAAATGACATACATTTTACTAATATAATTAGACATTTTAAGAAACAGACTGTATTTATAAATATCAAAATAATTTTTTAGTGCGCACAACAAACGTATCACTGAAGAAACGCATAAAAACTCTCACGTTGAAGGCAAGACACTTCCTTAAGTCATCTTCTGTATTCGTGTTTGACTTAATTTAAGACAGATCCATGTTTCAGTTGTTACACTTTAGCCGTTATTACAAGTGCCCTGTTTGGTTGTACCTGCAATATGTTTAATGAAAAGTATATATGTGTGTAAAAAAAATGAAGTAGAAGGACAAAAATAAAAATTTAAATAGAGGTTTTATTGCTTTATTCTCCATGTATTTAAGTGTGAGAAAACAACTGCAAAGCTCCTGATGGATGACAATGAAACTAAACATGGTTTTTATGTAATTTTGTTACATAATAAATATCCCTTAGCATGAGAAAAACATTGATAGCCAATTTGTGTAAGTGTAGTTTACATGCCAAACATTTTGAGTGAAAGGGATAGGTAGATTCAGATGCTAATATAATCATAATAAAATAAATAAATCCTCTAAAAAGGCATGTTCAATAGCCTGGATATTCCCTTGTTTGGCTGTACCTGAAATATGTTTAATAAAAAAGTATAAAAGAAAAAGAGCAAAGTAGAAGGCCAAAAAAAAAGAAAAGAAAAAGCACATATTTTTTAAAAAGAGGTTAAATTTTTTCCATATATTTAAGTGTGAGAAAACAGCTGCAAAGCTCCTAATGGATGACAATGAACATAAGCATGTTTTTTTTAATGTAATTTTGTTACATAATAAGAAAAACATTGATAGCCAATTTGTGTAAGTGTAGTTTACAGGCTAAACACTTTGAGTGAAAGGAAAAGGTAAATTCAGATGCTAATGTAATAACAATAATAGAATATCTTCTAAAAAAAAAGGCATGTACAATAGCCTGGACATTAATCGATGGAGCACCTTAAGACATGTTTATCGAGTTTTTTTTTTTACGACGGACCAATTTCCCGGATTTGTCTTTGAAAACACATGTATTAAACGGTAAAAACTTCTTTATAAATGTGTAAATAATTGGTTAAGATGACTATATTTCATCTCTTAACGTGGTTGTTTGACATTTTAAATCTTTCGTATTGAAGGAAAATCAGGAAAAATACAACCAGGAGCCCCCCCTTCATGCAATGACGTAAGATTCATTCCCACAATGCCCAGTAACACGCATGCGCACTGTATTAAAAAAAAAAATACAAGAGCTATCTGTGATCAGAGATGGCGGGCGCCTCCGACCCCCTGGAAGATATGCTCTTTTCAGAGGTGGATGAAAAAGCGGTGAGCGACCTGGTGGGCTCGTTGGAGTCACAGCTTGCTGGCCAAAGCAACTCCGCAGGTAAAACAGATGAAAACGGAGGCGCTGGCTCAGTGGCCCCCGCTAACCATCACTTAGGAAAAACGCTACCAGCTCCAGTGGGCACCACAACAGTAGAACAACAACAACAAGGACGGAGGAATAAACCTGAGATTAACTCTAAAGATATTAGCCCGGAGAAAACTGTCACATCTCCTCCTGTGGGCTGCACGCCTCCCTTTGAGCAGACCTCCACCACTTCAGCTGCCGGTGTGAACGCCACCAGCAGCAGCGGTTTGCAATCACATGGAGCATCCATCACAACACTGACTGCATCTGGTGTGTCAACTTTGGCAGCTACGCCGAGCAGCATCAGCACCGCATCCATCCGGGGGTGTAAGGTTTCCCCGGCTGCAGGTGAGACGTCGACGGAAGCTAACCCGCCGAGAAAACGCATTACCACGCCGCGGAGGAGCACCTCTGCGCGGATAAAGAGTTTGAACGGAGCCGGTGTTACAACCAGGAGGAATAGCAGCACGGCGGTGGTGGAAAACGTCAGCTGTGTGGATACAACTACTACTACGAACTCCACCCGACCTGTAACATCTTCTATTAACACTTCCACTTTCACCGTATCCAACGCCAGCCTCCCTGTAGGTCAGTCTGCTATTGCTTTGGACCGAGGGACCCCCACCATCGCTTTGCATAGACTCCCCAGTCACATTGTGGCGAGTATTGCTCAAAACGGCAACGGGACCAGTGTGTCGGCCTTGGTCCAGCAGAGCGCCCGAACATCACCCACCACCACCACATCCACATCCGCAGCTTCACAGGACATCCACAGCAAAACCCTCACAGACACTGGGGCTTCCAAAACAGACGACTGTCAATCCAAAATTGTAATGCCAAGCCAGTCTGTCAATTCTGTAATAAACACTGTATCTACTACACCTTCTGTTGTCATACCAACAACAACCACAACAGCAGCAGCAACAACCACCACAACAACCGTAAGTCAGCCTCTGAGCTCCCCCATATCTACCGCCTGTGTTACAACAGGGGTGGCAACAAGTTCTGTATGTGGAGCAGCTCAGATCACATCAGTGACCACCACCACTATCAGCATGGTCAGACCTACAGCCCCCTCTCCAACGCCTGCTGTAGCCACCACCGCCCAGTCACAACCTCGTCCTGGACTTACAGCACCTCAGAGGATCGTAGCCCCCCAGCTGATTGTCAGACCACCTCAGCAGCAGACGACCATTCAGCTGCCCCCTGGGTTTACCATCCCACCGGGTAAGGTTTGGAGGGGGGAAAGGAGAGGAGCCAGAGGAGCTGTTTACACCTGTGTTATGATACCCGTACCTGAGGCTCATGTGTGGTTACAGAGTCTGTCTGACTGTCTTGTGCATGTGATGTCCTGTTACTGTACCATGTTTTTAATGTGTGTGGGAAGCCTCATGTGTTTCCAGCATAAACATTGTTTGAATTTAAACATTGCTTTTATTCACAGTAGCTGTGCTGTGCGTTTCAGTATGTGTGGCCCCATGGGGAATCAAACACTTTACACAGCAGTGTAATGATGTGCCAACTGAGCCGTGCAAATTATAACATTTACACCAAGCATCTTTGACAGCGGCATAACTAAACACTAATACCACATCTGTGAAATAAACTCTAATAAATATGACAAATATTACTTTGGGTTGACATTGCAGCTTTGTTAAATGAAATGTATCTGTGCAATTTAGTAATTTAACATGAGTCGTAAGGGATCAAACTAATATTATGAAGAATTGCGCAAAGTGGCCAAGATATGACATATGATTTCACTGATAACTGTCTGGAGAGGACACCTGTTTCTAATGAAATCATGCAAAAATGTCATTTTGAATGTATTTACATACTATCACAGTTAACAGAATGGCATGTCCATAAGCAGGCATTCATAAAGTTTACATATGCAAAACACAGTTGGCAAGTTACAGCTGCTGTCTCGACTGTTACCAACATTTCACACATTTCTGTAATTCCAATAACCTTTAAAAGAATAATGAAATACTTCCTTTTGCCTGATACAAAACAATTATGTGGAGTATTTTAATACCTGACTCAATTTGTCAACATTTGAAAAGTTCATGTTAAGGTGTAAAGACTGCCGCGCCACAAGAATCCGACAAAGTGTGCAGAGTCAAATTAGCACTTCAGAAATCTGGGCGGAATAACCTTCAAAAGTTGCACATGTATAAAACAAGGGGACTCTTTCAGTGGCTTTTACTTTTTGAGTGACAGAACCTAAAAAAGAAAAGGAAACTTCATTAGTGGAGACCTGTTGCTGTTCACACAGGATTGTTACAGAGTCAAGTTAGGTATGCTGAAAAAGTAAATCACTTAGATTGTCATTTTTTTTGGTTAACATTGTGGATCGAGTCTGAAGTTCACATTAAGTTCCTTGACTGGAGGGGAATATTGACCTTTATTGTCCCCCAATTATAGAGCCATCAACGACCAGTTATTGTAGCAAAAATCAAGTAACAGAAGTTAACTAATTGTTCCCATTTATGATTAAAAAAAGGTCTGACACAATCATCAATCATATTGTGCAAGAAGTCTTTAATATGACTCTTATATTGGGCTGGAAGTTAACCTCTGTAAAGGTGATTATGTAATATTCAGGACCAAGTGTAGACAGTGTGCGCTGCTCCTCCACTCTGTGTGTAATAATACCCTGAGTCATCTAACCCCAGGATTAATAGCTCAGTCAGAAAGCCAAGATAATTACCAGGTAATTTTATTAGCCTCAGGTCTTGTCTTGTTTACGTTAGAGAGATGTGGCAAAGATATAAAAAGTGAGGTAAAACTTTTTACATTGACCTGACTGACCACAATATTATAATGTGAGAAAGTGTTCATAGTTTGTGTTTCAAACTTTCACTAAATTCTTAAACCTCAGCTGTCGTTAGGTTGTCAGATAAACTAATAATTGGGTAAGCGGCTTTTTAAACAGAAACATACATGACAGGTTGTCCTGAATGTGCAGGATATGAAGGCGTTGTCAGTTTTATATTTTATGATGCATGATTTTTTTCCTCTTGTTTGTTTTACCCATGACTGGGTTTGCTCCAGTCTTAGTGAGGTTTGTTTCATGCAGGCAGTGTGGCACAAAGCAAAGTAGCATTGCTGTTTGGTAAACTGGAATGAAAATTTGCACTGATTTAGAGCAAGAGTAAATCCCAACAACTGATGAGACCACAGAGGTCTAACTTTGGTATCAAAACTGAGTAATCTTGTTTCTCACAGTACGAGCTCATTCACCATTTCATGATCACTCAGTCAGTG